TTGACCAGGAAGACGATGACCTGGGCTCTGTCTTCGACTTCATCGGTATCTCAGCCCCTCAACCAGCGGCTGCAGGTGAAAACAACGCGGAGGCCGGTCCTTCGTCTAGGCCACTGAGAAGGACTGCAATTGCGCTGGATGACGATGAAGACACACGAGTTGAGGAGGTGGATGAAGAAGCGGCGAGAGTGCTCCGCATGGTTGAAGACGCGGGTGACGTGTGGAGCAGGGGCGGAAGTGCCAAAAAGAGGCGTACAGAAACTGCAGAGGATGAAGGTGAGTACGACGCCGTAGATCAATGGATTCTTGTAACGCATCTGTGCAGATAGAGACTTGGAACATGCCGGTGATGACAATCCCTGGGATCCTTTCGACTCAGAGATGGATTGGAAATTTGCGTCGTGGGCCATCCAAGAGGGCCTCACGCAAACTTCCATTGACAAAGTTCTTGAGATTCCCGGTGTGCGTATACTTCTTTCTCTTCCCTTCGGCTCCTTGATTCAAGCCACCGCAGTTCCGGGACAGACTCGGCCTTTCCTATCACAATTCATACACACTTCTTCAACGAGTCGACTCTCTTCCAGAACGCGCGGAGTGGAAAGAGCGTTGGCTAACGTTCAAGGACCGGCCAAACGAGAAGCATCTTGTCCAGTACCGCGACATCATCGAGGCCATACGAACCCTCCTCGGTAACCCCGAGCACGCTGACCGTATAGTCTACCGACCGCGCCGCATATTCACTGACGCGTCTCGCACCAGCCGCATCTACCATGAGATGTGGACAGGGCGGTGGTGGCATGCCATTCAGGTGAGTTTGATAATATTTTTCCAGTGTATCCGGCCTTGACGTTCCACTCAGAGTCTCTTACCAGTGGGTGCAGCAGTGGCCCCGGTGATAATTGCAACAGACAAGACTCAGTTGACGCGGTTCTCCGGGAGCAAGGCCGCGTATCCAGTGTACATGACTCTAGGCAACATCCCTCGCGCCCTTCGCCGCAAACCTTCCGAGCACGCCTGCATCCTTATTGGTTACCTGTCTGTCGACAAGGTCAGTTCTGATGGAATCACGCAGCGCAAGCAGCGCGCCCTCATGCAGCAACTATTCCACTCGTCCGTTCGCGTCATCCTCGAACCTTTGATCGAGGCCGGCAAGAACGGGATCGACGTGACCGGAGGCGACGGCGCCGTCCGCAGAGTCCACCCCATCCTCGCCACGTACGTCGCAGACTTTCCCGAGCAGTGCCTTGTTACCTGCACGAAGTACGGAACGTGCCCCAAGTGCCGACTACCCGAGGCTGATCTCGACGCTGCTTCCCCAGGAGTGCCAAGGAGCGCGCTTTGGACTCTGGACGTTCTACGCCTTGCAAGGAAGAAAAGCGGCGGAAACACCAACTCAGCAACGTACGCGAGGGCGTGTACCAGTCTCGACGTCTCCGGATACGTCATACGCCCTTTCTGGAGCGATCTCCCCTTCACCGACATCCACTCGTGCATCACGCCCGACATTCTCCACCAGCTCTACCAAGGCGTGTTGAAGCACATCGTCGAGTGGTGCAGCGACCTCATCGACGAGAATGAACTGGACCGCCGAATTCGCACCCTTCCCCCCGCGTTCGGGACTCGTCACTTTGCTAACGGGATCACTTCTCTATCCCAAGTATCCGGTATGGAGTCCAAGCAGATCGCACGCATCCTGCTGGGATGCTTGGTCGGCAAGATTCCTCAGAACGTCATGCTTGCGTTCAGATCTCTACTCGACTTCATCTATCTCGCGCAATACACCACCCACGATGACTCCACCCTCCAGTACATGGAAGACGCCCTCAAAATCTATCACAAGAACAAACAAGCTCTGGTCAATCTTGGCGTGCGCGAACACATGAAGATCCCGAAGTTCCACTCCCTCCTCCACTACGTCGAATCAATCCGGTTGCTTGGCGCAACAGACAACTACAACACGGAAGCCTTCGAACGTCTTCATATTGACTATGCCAAGAACGGCTGGAGGGCGTCGAACCATCGCGACGCGCGTCCTCAGATGGTCCGATGGCTAGCACGCCAGGAGAAGATGATCATGCTCAGCTCTACCATTCGCAGGAAGCTACAAATCGACGAGGATCCGGACGAGGACGCTGCCTTTGCGTCTGAAGACCCGGACCTTTCGACCAAGCGCCACACCCAGATCAAGCTGCCAAAGAATCCAAGCGTACCGCTCCAGTCCATCAAGCTCGTCGAAGAACGTCACAACGCACCCGGTTTTACACACGCACTCCTCCAGCATATCTATACCCTCAAACTCGGTCGACGCCTCACTCCAACTGAGCTTCAGACCGCGTCGTCCAACTTGCCGTTCAATCGCGTCGACGTTTTCCACGGATTCAAGTTCGCTCCCCAGCCATTGACTGACGACAAGAACGAGACCGACGTGGTGAAGGCGCGTCCAGCATGCGCCAAACAGCCTGCCCGTTTTGATACAGCAGTCATCCTGCAGGAGAGTGATGCAGAGACGACCGGCCTCCAAGGTATGTGACCGACTCGCGTTCAAATGAATATTCGTTTACTCAAAGACGCATGTCGCTCAGGAACAAGAATAGGACGAGTCAAGGTTATCTTCAGACTCCCGCAGCGCATACATGACCCGCGGACCAGCGTTGCCTTGCCTGCGCCTGCGTCCTGGCCAGATCAAGGGCCACTAGCGTATGTGGAATGGTACTCCAAGCTCGCACGTACAGCCGACCCAGTCCATATGATGTACGCGGTCAACAAACCCGCTCTCAGGGCCAACGGACATCCCCAAGGAGAGATAATACCTCTCAGCATGATACGGCAGTCTTGCCAACTGATTCCCAAGTTCCCCGGATCAGTGGGAGATTCTCCTGAGCATCTACCAGAGGAATGGACGACTCATACTGTACTGGATTGCGCTTCAAAGTTCTTATTGAACAATTGGACCTCTCACTACGCGTATCAAACACTTTGGTAGTCATTAGCTAGCTTACACGTACTCCAGGAGTCTTAATGTAGAGCACTGAAGCTGCATGGCTCGAGTCTTGAAAACAAGGCACAAATCTCAAAGGTACTTCATTTCCCTTCAGCGGTCTTCAGGTGCATACTGCACTCGTTTAAGGTGCACAAGTTACCAGAGGTCGCTTAAGATCGCATGGTTCTTATTTAAGACCTCTGAAGTAAGAAACATTTTTCCTGATGGCCTCGGATGCCGGAAGTGGAGCTACAACGATAAGAAGCAAAACCACGGAGCCACGAGACTGTGGCGGATCCTAATCTCCGAGTCTGCTTTCCTAATATGGAAGCTGCGCTGCGAAAGGGTCATCGGACATGAGGAGGAGGAGAGATGGGCGCACAGCAGCAACGAGCTACGAAGCCGATGGGCCTCGACGATGAATCAAAGGCTGCACCTCGATGCGGCAACCACACACCCCCGTTTTGGCCGCAAAGCGCTGAGACGAGATATATATGCCGATACATGGCACGACGCAGTCGTTGATAACCGCGCGCTCTACACCCATAGATCGCGCGAAGGGGTTTTAGTGGGTATTCCGTCCGCGGGCTATGAGTTAGACCCCGGATGAGAGAGCCCCACACTGGTCCGAAACGACCGTGCGCAAAGCATTTTTCCCTGAAGCGATGCGGATATCCGCTGGCTGGCTGGACGGATGGTTGGCCCGATTGGCCAATGCTACCGTCTACTAGAGCCCTCCAAAAAAAAAAAAAAAAAAAAAAAAAACTATGGACCGTTCATACCTTCAGGTTATAGCGTACACGGTATCAGTCCATGACACCTACTACTAGAGCAGCTATGTCTTATCGCGGTACGCATCCCATCTATATGTATCATATTACCGTTATCGTATTGTAGTAAGCAGCAAGTTGGGCTCGAGTCAGCTTGGACGTTCAGAACGTCATATCATACTTATGTGAACATCCTATGTACATATCACGTGCAAGTACCCCATACCATCACCTCCGATGCTTTGCAGGAGAGCACACTACGCACCGACTACACTGTTATCACTCGCTTGAATCGACTGTTGACCTTTAGTCATGGTAGAGCAATCCGTAACGTCAAGAAATCGACTCGACTCGGAGGAGCGCGAGCAGAAACCTCCCATACACGACGAGGAGTTCTGGTTCACGGACGGCTCAGCAGTCGTCGTTGCGGGAGATGTGGCATTTCGTGTGTACGAGGGACTGTTGACACGGGATTCCTCCGTATTCCGCGACCTCTTCGGCGCGCGGCGACGTTCCGCGAGTGCGGAGAGGATCGATGGGTGCGTCGTCGTCCGTCTGCCTGATGTTGCAGAGGAGGTTCGTGTCCTGTTGCGAGCTTTGCTATCGCCTTGGTTGTCCGTCTATCTGTCTTGCCTTCCTCCCTAGATCACTCAGTCTCTACGCGTCCGCAGATACTACCAAACCATGAGCTTTTCGGTCGTCGAGAGCCTGATCCGTCTCGGCCACAAATATCGCATTCAGCACATTACGGTCAACGCGCTTGAGCGGCTCAAAAGCCACTATAGCGACGACATGGAGACGTGGCTCAAGGCCTGGAGAAGCATGTACGAGCCTGGCAAGCCTTGTCAGCCCGCCGACGCTATCGCCGCCGTCAACCTCGCACGCCTAACAGGAACCTTGTCGGTCCTGCCCAGCGCGCTCTACGAATGCTCGATTCTGCCGACAAGAGTGCTCCTGCAAGGTGCACAGCACGGCGACGCTGGCACGGCGACGGCTCGTCTCTCATTGGAGGACGTCGAGCGCTGTCTGGACGCGAGGAGGCTTCTGAGTCAAGACTATCTCCTCTCCGCGTTGCGCGTCATGGTGCCAGAGACGAGCGCGGACTGCGAAGATATGCAGTGCGCCGCGTCCCTCGAGGTTGTGCTCAAGACATTCAGATCCGGCGATCACCAAGAGTCTGTACTTTGTCGCTATGACACCCTGACTCATCGGAGTCCGCTGGAGTTGATCAGACCTGAACCGCTCTGTGGGCCGTGCCAGGAGATGTTGGAGGAGCGGCATCGTAGGGAACAACAGAAGACGTGGTCTAGACTGCCTGAGTACTTTGGCATCGACGTTCCTGGCTGGTCCACCCGAAGACACAGTTCTCAGGAAACCGTTAACGCCTCAGACAGTGAAACAGCATTGGTGTGTTGAATGAATGTGAGTCGTCCACCTGGCTGTTCTCTCCGGCAGCTAACCCAACTCTTCTGTGATGTAGGGCAAGGATCCGAGAGATGGCCAGCTATACAGGCGTGTCCACTTCGTATTCATCCTGAGGCTTGTTAGACCTTCCAGTCTCCGCCTCCTCCGTGATGATTGCATGCTTCGACCGCAACCGTCCTGAAGGCAGATTCGGCTGGACACTGCGATGTAAACCTGACGCACGCCTGCTTCACATGCGGTGCCGTGTTGCTCTGAATATACCAGGACGCTGCTAGTGCTGCATCAGTACGTGCCACTTGTGCTAATGCATTCAAACTTGTCTATCACCACCAGCAATTACGATCTTTGAACTTACATAACTTTCGCCCGCCTTTGTCAATTGGATAGCGTGCCATAAGATCTATGTTAGTAATGCGCCAAGGTCTTCAACGCGAGAGTACCTGCATTACCAATCCCGGGATTGAGCTGTGGTAGTCCGCCTTCACGAACTCAACGCGAGAGTAACTGCATTTTAATGACCAATCCCGGACTTGAGCTGTGGTAGTCCGCCTTCATGAACTCAACGAGGGCCTGGACTCCGCACGAAGCACAGCGGCTGGTGTTCGCGATGTGCGCGTGTTCAGATGTCCTAAGCTAAGGTTATGGGCACGTCATCTTGTATGTCTCGGCAGCCCATTCGCCGATCCCACCGGGAATGCATTCTCATGGCGCAATTCAAGGAGACGGTTCTTCGGAGGGTGCTTACACATACAGCGCTCGCCCCTCTTCAGACTATATATTGTCATCGACGGCACTCACCACAAGATAGCAAGCAATCCCCGCCTTCATCTTACCTGTGAACCCGCATTCTACATCGCACTATGCCTGAGCGTATCACCCTCTACACTGCAAAGGTACGTGGTCATGACACCAATCGTCGGGACGAGTCGACGCTGATCAACCGGTTCCTGGCATGCAGATCTGCCCGTATGCCCAGAGGGTAACTACATAGGCGGGCTGAGTGTACATCGATCAGCGCGACTGACATGCAATCCAGGCAGAGCTGGCCCTCGAGGAGGCAAAGGCAAAGTACACCAAGTACCAGATCGATCTGCAGAACAAGCCAGAGTGGTACGCCCCCAAGGTGAACCCCGCGAGCAAGGTCCCTGCCATTGCCTACGGCGGGCCCGCCGTGCAGCCCGACCAGCCCTCGTCCGAGTCCGTCAAGCTTGCCGAGTCGCTCGTCCTCGTCGAGTTCGTCGCCGACCTCTTCCCGGACTCGCCGCTCCTGCCCGCGGACCCCGTCAAGCGGGCGCAGGCGCGCTTCTTCATCGAAGTCGTCTCCTCCAAGCTCGTGTCCTCGTGGAACAACGCCCTCCGCACAGGCACACCGGAGGCCGTCCAGGCCTTCCTGGGCGGCGTCGAGGCCGTCCAGAGCCTCCTCCCCGCGCAGGGCTACGCGGTCGGCGAGTTCAGCATCGCGGATATCTCCGTCGCGCCGTTTCTTGCGCGCGCGTACGTCGCGCTCGAGAACGATATCGGCGCGTACGAGCAGGGTGAGGGCGCGAAGATCCTCGAGGCATTGCAGCAGCCGCGGTTCGCGCGCTTCCAGACGTACTGGGCTGAGCTTCAGGCGAGGCCGAGCTTCCAGGCGACGTTTGACAAGGTGCGTTTGCCTCGCAGAGGGCCGCCGCTGGGTCGTGCGCTGATGTCGTGGTTGCATCACTAGGAGTACGTGACCGAGGCGTTCAAGAAGCGCTTTAGCAGCCTTCGTGTCAAGCAGTGACCCGGGAGGCTTTGAGAAACAGGCTGACGACGATCCAAATTGAAGTTTGTACACGATTGCGCACCGTACGCCCGAGGAAGAATCCACATACATGTTGTACAGTAAGGCTTTATACACAAGAAGTGCCCATGTAAGCAATGTCAGAGGTATGAAGGACTTAGTTCAGACTCAAGAGTCGTCGAAAGGCGAATGTTCAGGCCGCAAATCGGCTACGCGGTCCTGGTCCTCTTTGGTTGTCGCCTTATGTCGGCCTCCTCTTGTGAGGGATTCTTCTTTGACCCTGTGATAATATGACTGTTATACAAGGCTTCCTCTCCGTTGTCCTCAAGCTAGCCCTCCGAGCCGGCGGTTCGTGGCGCTTCCATGAGGGGCCCGGGGTACAGTATGAGGTGGACGACTCGTATGTCTGCGACCGTGCAATTCAGCAGCCTGTGTGCAAAATCGTCTGGACGCTTTCAACACTTGTAGTTGCGGTGCAGTCGCATTTTCCGGTTAGCACGTCGCGACGCGCGCGCCGCGATCATCCACCGCGATGTGGTCGTCCACGTGACTAGTTGAACGCGTCTGTGGCGCAGCCTCTATACTACGCCAGATATGCAAACTACTTCTGGACGTCGTGATGCAAGGAAAGAGCAGAATTGTATTGGTGCACACGCATTGCCCGTGCCGCATCGCTGACGACGTTGCGTCGCTGCCAGTGACGGTGGTAAGCAATGTCGGGCGCTAACGCAACGCGGGTAAAGACGCCTCAGCCCTGGCCCTCACTGAGCCGCCACTCAGCCACTCACACCACTCTGACCCCTATTTCACTGACGGTCGTTGAAACGATCTTGTGCACTAATACTGTGCAGAAAGAGCACACTACATGTACGTACAATCTTTGTGAATCGCTGGGACGAGGAGGACTCACTATCAACAGCCCGACGATGTCGTCGAGCCGACCTCCGAAGCGGGCCCGCCGCATCGATTCCACAGAGCCACCGGACGAAGACTTGCCAATAGTGAAGGCGGGCACACCACCGCCGGAATTAATTCCGCCTGCCCCATTCGAACACGACGACAAGTTTTGGTACGAAGACGGGAACGTCATACTCGTCGCGGAGCGCGTGGGCTTCCGAGTATACAAGGGTTTACTCGCTGCACAGTCCGACGTCCTGCGCGAGCTGTTCTCGGACTCGCATCCCGCGGACGCCCAACGGATCGATGGGAGTCCTGTCGTGTATGTCCCCGATAGGGCGGAGGAAGTGCGGTCGCTGTTGTCAGTTCTTGTGGAGGGAAAGAGGTGCGTCCGTAGTCACCCCTTTGTTCGTTGTCGTCGACGAGTGATCGTTCGGCATCGCCAGCTACATCACGAAGCGCGACGTCAGGTTTGAGGACCTCGCGAACTGGATCCGCCTCGCGCACAAGTATGGCATCGCGGACCTCCTGGAGAACGCGCTGGCCCTGTTCCGCAGCCTCTTCCCGTCCGACTTCGCTTCCTGGGCCCGTCGCGGCGCACTGCAGTCGATGCACCACTCGATCACGGCAGTCAACCTCGCTCGTCTTACCGGAACCACAACAGCCCTTCCCTGTGCTCTGTACGAATGTTGTCAACTCCCGATCGAAACCCTCCTCAACGGGGTCGTCTTCGCCGACGGGACGACGGAGAAGCTCGGTACAGAGGATGCTCATCGCTGCTTAGCCGCCTTGCCCGTCCTTGGAGCCCAGCTAGCGGTGGCCGTCACGAAGATCGCCGACATCAAATTCGATAACGCTTGCCCGAATCCTACTAGGTGTATGAAGGAGATTGGCGATATCAGACGAGAGGCTCTCGGGACTTTGAAGTCCCGGGAAATCTGCTGCAACCTCCTCTCTTCATAGGTGAACTCCATCCAAGACTACAACCCCAAGCTTCCACCCAATCGCAAGAATCAGGCGCATCCCTTGTGTATCAGGTGCATCAGGGTAGTCCAACAAAACGATGCGAAGGTGTTACAGGAGTATTGGGATAGCCTGCCTGACCTGTTTGGCGTTCGAGGCGTGATGGCCGTCGAACGTTAAGTTCAGTGTAGCCTCGAGGTAGGGTAGCAAAGCGAATGTGTATGCTTGAGACAGTGTGAGTGGACATGTAGTGATCTGTGTGATAGCCCCTGCAGTTGTACAGTATGCAGCGCGAGGCGCCGATGTCATACAGAACTCGCCAAAGGGAGCGCAGTGCGAACCAAGAATCCGTTGAAGACAGTGCCGGTGCAACTCTGTTCGTGCATATCGCTCTCCGAGGTTCCGCGACACACATGTAAAGCCCGTAGTTACACCGTCGTGCATGTAGAGCAGTAGCACAGCGCCACCCACACCGACGATCACTGAGGCGACGACATCATGACTTCTGTTTGAGCTCGGTATACTGTATACATATCGATAACATTGCAAAGATACACACCGCCATACCGCCTCACGGCTTCTCACTCAACCTCCGAGTCGAAGTCCTCCTGGTCCCAGGTTTTGTCGACTGGGAGGTCGAAGAACCTTGGGAGCTTAGCCCACAGATTCTCCTCGGACTGCGCCATCTTCGACTGTAGGAGGGCGATGCAGGCTTCGCAGAGGGCTGTATAATTGACGTTGTATTCGCGCTTCCTGAAAGTGTCTAGCAGGTCGTAACGCGGCTCCAAGACACCCGCCTCCATATTCTCCCTGGACGCTCGCACCAAGGCAGCGTTCTTGAAGTTGTGGAAAGCGAGGGAACACATGCCCGCGGAGGTGCAGTTGGCGATGTTCGCAGCGGGGAGGGACATGTTGTGTATATCATTGGTTAGGCGGCGGACGAACTGGACCTTTGCCTTCATGCACCTCAGCAGGTCTTCCCGGCCGAGCATATTGACAGTGCCGTCCGGGTGAGGTGCACCGTCAAGCAGGTGGTGGTTGGCAAGTAGGCAACATACGTAGAGCGCGGATGGCAGGACGGAAGGCGTGTTGGTAAGATGAGCTAAATTGATGGCGGTGATGGCTCGCGGGGAGTCGTGCCGCTCAAGATCGCGCCAGGCGTCGAGGGTCGCCGGGAAAAGTTGCTTGAGCTGCCGTACGGACTCCGCCAAGAGGTCTTCGATACCGTACTTGTGTGCTAGACGGATTCGATAAGACAGAAGGTCCAGTTCGATATCGCTCCTCCAAATATACCTGGCATACATACGAAGAATCAGTGCACCGTGGCTACTAGGCTCCGGCAGATACAGGCCACGCGCCGCGTACCTCTTGCCACACAACAGTACACCCAAAAGCTCTCTGAGGGCATCGGGAGTGTCAGAGAGATGAACAACTGGGCAGCCATAGACGAGCCAGCTGTCCTGGGGCTGCGGAACGGTGAAGAGGTCGTTGAAAACCTCGGATCGCTTCGCAAGCAGGCCTCGATACACGCGAAAGCCGACGTTTCCTGCAACTAGCACAATGTTTCCGTCGTCGTACCAGATTTCTTCGTCGCGCGTGAACCCCGTGACTTGGTTTAGCTCGACGGTGTCGGAGTCGCCTAGGGTAGCGTGTAAAAGGGGTCTGTAAATTACACACCACTTTTTTACATGTATTTAACGTGTAAAATACCGGTAAATTACTGGACCGCGAGGCGGGCATGTAAGAAAGGGTAAAGAACCTCGGTCACGTGTAGCTGCGGCTTGCGCCTTGACGTTTGAGCCACAGAGTGCAATGGACAAGTAATATAGTAGTAGATATCGTGTGATGCATGTGCAGGGGTCATCAAGCTGAATGTCTGCTTCGAAACGTTAATCTTAGAATTGGAAGTGTGGCACTGCTTGGCGCGGGCGTACATTGTCAATGCTTGACATGACGTAATCGAGGTTAGGGCTCCGCCAAGCGACGCACGGAGAACGCGCGTCCGGCGTCCGTCCCTGCTGCTGCAGAGTGCACGAAGCTCTGTGTCGTCCATCTGTGCTTCCTTGCCCCAGTGCGCCAGGTATCGAATTGCTAGCACTTAAGGCCCTCCCTCGTTTCTCGGTGTGCTCGTATTGCGCGTCGTGTCGCGTCTGTCGCGTGCGGCATCGCCCTGTGTCCGCCGCTTGCCCGGTGCTGCGTCATCGACGGTATGAACACCGACATCTTCGATCGCTTCGCGGAAGAGGCTAGGACGGCGAATACAAAAAGCAAGCACGGTGTATTGGACGAGGTGCTCAAGGCGGAGAACAACTCATTCTACTTCCTGACGTTGTCGGGCAACGGTGAGTATTCGAACAGCATGAGCCAGCATGCGACTCTCGTACCCTCTCTGTTACCCACCGGACAAAAGTGTCCATCACGTCACTCCGGTCCTATCTAGTCGCCCTCACTGCCCTCGACATCCTCGCGCCCCGCACCGCCCCAGATACAACTGCAGCGGCGTGCACAAGGTCAATTGTCTTTCTCCCCTCCACCCTATGATCCCACTTGCTGTGTCTCTTACTTCCTCTCAGATACCGTGTGCCCCTGCCGGACACGCTCCACAGACAAAATGTCCGCTTTTAGCGGGTCCGCCTCCGCACCGCAAACGCCGGCGCATGCATGCGTCCCGGGCCACACTCCCCGTGAACCTGTTCTCAGTGGTTCAAGTTGCCCAGTCCGCCGCGCTTGACTCTGTGATTGCGCATGGGACGCCGTTCACTGCCGTGCCGTTCATGCCCGCGAGCAGCGTGCTGGGGCCCGACGGCGACAGGAGGTAGGACAAGGGCTGCTCAAATGAAAACGAGAGGAGCGACTCGTGGCGCAAGAGCGTGCGCCTGGCCGAGAGGAAGGATATCGCGAGCTCAGTATCAGTGCCTCTGTCCGCCGCGTATCCACGAATGTCACCGTGTTGCTGTCTGATATTCCATTCACCATGGGGAGCATCACATCGCGTCTACGCTCCAAGTCATTGTTTGTTCTCATAGTGTCTGCTGCAACCGAGTACCATAAGACGATGCATGTAGAGCAGTACACTCAATATGAGATTGGTTTGGTACAACCTCTGACTACGTGATGGTGAATTATATACATGTGCAGTCCCAGTCCGAAACCATGAAGATGGTTGTCTGCATAGAGTTGTTTTGCCATTGGGCTGGTCCCAGTGCGCCGCAGGCAGCGAAAAATCACGTGATACATGTATCTTACGGTAAAAAACGCACGTAAACAACTCACACCTAGGGGCGACTTACTTACCTACCGTAAGTTACCGACCTCGAGTTTCTTACGCAACCTTAGAGTCGCCGTTGGCTGGAGTCATTGCCGGGCGTGGTCGTTTGGAACTGCTACTTCCTTCCGGTGCCGCAGCTCTGAGCGTAGGAGTGAGCGACTGTGATACGTCGTGGGTACCATATCGCTTACTGGGAGCTTCCGCGTTTCATTGAAGAGCGAGAGGAGGGACTCAGCGTTGTGAATAGTTGATAAGTTTGCCGCGTTCGAAGTTCGAACGGATCTTCGAACGTCCCTCGACGCGACCACGTGAGTACATATTCGTTAGACGTGACGGTGTAGCACTGTATTTTGCAGGGTCTAAGTACTACCTATTCTGAGTGCAGAAAGCTACCGTACCTCCGTGAAAGCAACTGCATACTTGTATTAGACTGTATGTAAGGCAGGGGACACATCGGATGCGACGCATTTATCCGCGTGCGCACAGTATGTTAGGAGAGCATGCACGTCAGTGACTACTGATGTGCCTTTTGTGCACATGGCAGATGTCACCCATAGTGCAGTGGTCGTACTGACAGCGAAGGCATCACGAACTTGATGCAGACGTAATGTACGCGTGTTGTTTGCAATAAGTAACTGCTGGCTGAACACAAAGTGAGTAGATGTCCAAGCTCAAGACGGATTGGTCAGCGACGCCCTCGCACAAACCGATACTGTACATTCCATAATTCAAACTCACGACGCCCAGGGCTATGTCTTCTCTCCGGTGCTCCTCTGCCTGATCTTACTCTTTTGTGCTGCCTCTTGCACCGTCTGTCCCTCTCGCCTCCACTGAGCATTCTCCCAGGCGTCCCACTCTTCCCGCGCGTCAACCCATCTCTCTTGGACATCACGCACGTCGCTTTTCGGGCCCTGAATCGTAGCCGCGGCACTTGTGAAGAGTCCGTATGCATTTGGTCGTTGTGAGCTGGGTGCGTCGTGCGCGTCGAAAGTGCCTTCCGGCTGCTGTGCGTCTGGCGGTGGAACGAAGACGCAGCCTGTCGCCTTGTCAATCACATGCATGAGGTGCAACATAGAATCTTTGTCCTGCGGACGACGTCAGAACATGCGCAAGGCAGACGAAAGACATCGCGGAGAGAGGCGTACTTCGACTGCGAGGGTTTCGAACCCTACGAGCCCGTAGTCCTCGATTAGAGAGCATATGGCCAGGTTGAGTGCCTTGAAACGCGGTGTGGACGAAGATAGTGCGTTCTCGAGGTACGAGAGGTCCTGGACCTCGGTGTAGAAGTCGAGATTGAAGTCTGCGCAGATCAGCGCGGGCCACGCAACCAAGGGCAAGTTGACGCACCGAGGTCACCGTATTGCGCTATGAGGTCGACCTTCGAGAGCACATTGACATGCGGCAGCTCAAGGTGCAGCATCGCGCGCAGCGACAGCATCAGAACGGAAATATACTTTGGTGCGTCCGTCACATAGTGCGCATCGCACAGGTGGACCGCGGCTAGCTAGCGCAGTTGCAAATCATGATTCGCCGCGAGAGGACGTCACACATACCCGAAAGCCGCTCTTCGTCAGCTTGTGCACGATGTTCTTCACGCTGTCGTGGTTCGTGCTCAACTCCACCTGACCAGGCAAGTCAAACAGCACGTAGGCGTCCTTGCCTAGCTCCCGCAGCCTGTCCTCGAGCCAGTCGAAGTTCGCTTCGAGGTACTCCATGCAGTAGAGCATGCCGCCGTTCGGTCCGAGCCCATGTTCCACCATGACGTCCTTGAGGGTGATAAGTTGAGAGACGTCAATTGCGCATGGATATGGTATGTTGTCGTTTGCGGGGTCAAGGTTGACGACGGAAATGGGTCGATTAAGAGCGGTGAAGAGCTGATGCTTGCCGTAACAGTAGGTCGACTTGCCGCTCCCGGGCGAGCCGCACACGACCTCGCCGAAAGGCATGCTAAATCAGAAACACAAGCAGATAGTTTGAACACAGTTCCGATAGCGGACGAACGAGTGAGGGCAGGATGTCGGAAGGCAAGCGTCCACTAAGGTCTACAGTAACAGTAACGGGTACGGTAGGCGTGACTAAAATACGCGTGACGGTAATGCACGTGGGCATAACAGGTCACACCGCGCCGCGGCGCGCGTCGCAGCGCGATCGACTCTTTTTCTCTAAATCTTTGTATTAAATGTTGACTCGACCATCCGCACATTCACTCGAAGCAGCGCTGCGCAAGGCACTGTAATCAGTATCGTCTTTGATCTGCGCTTAAGATGAAGCACACCATGTCTAGGTACTTACTCGCTGTAAGACATGCTCATGAGTATTGATGGTATCTTGTGCAGCGACAGCGGCGAAGTTGCCAATCACGCTGGCAAACGGCCCCGTCTGGACAGCGTCTTTCCGACGATACAAGGTCCCCTCACCGACGTCAAGCACGACGAACAGCTGTGGTACCCAGACGGGAACATCATCCTAGTTGCAAAGGGTGTCGGCTTCCGCGTGTACCGAGGTCTACTTGCCGACCGATCCGAAGTGTTTCGCGACCTCTTCTCCGTCCCCCAGCCACCGGACGACGAGACGGTCGACGGTTGTCCGATTGTCCACTTATCCGACACCGATATCGCTTTGAGAGAGTTCTTGCTCGTTCTCCTACGCGGCAAAAGGTGCGCACGCACCTCTTGCTCCGAACCAAGAGGTTACTGACGCTCTGGGCCGCGACGCCAGATACAGCCAAGAGGATGATCCTGAGTTGGACCTACTGTCTTTTCGGATTCGTCTCGCGCATAAGTACGGCGTTACGAGCCTCCTTGAGGCATCGGTGTCCAAGTTGAAGGCGCTGTATCCCTCTCGCCTCGCTGTATGGCAGAGCATGCGGCATACCTTCTCTCCGCGTGCCATCACCGCTGTTAACTTGGCGCACCTTACTGGCACCCTGACCGTACTACCTGCTGCACTCTATTGCTGCTGTCAACTCCCCGACGCTACCTTGCTTCGCGGTGCGACGCATCCCGACGGCTCCAATGACTGCCTGAACCAAGACGACCTATTGAAGTGCATTGGTGGGAAGGTCTATTTTGCGCAGGAACAAATGCAAACTATCTGTTTTTTGTTCTTACGTGGCGAGGCATCATGCAGCCATAGATGTCCTTCCAAGCCTTCCTGCAAGGGAATCTTCAATAAGATCCATAGCAAAGCCTTGGCACGCGCATGGGAGAGGGACACAATAGCGTGGGCTATGGAGCCTTGGGACGATATACTCAACAAATTCGACCCCCGCCGTCACCGGCCTGACTCTCCCAACATGCTCTGCGTGGCTTGTATGAAGCGGATCGATGAAATGATCGAAGAGCACTTCACCAGTATGTGGGACGGGTTGCCATACCATCTAGGAGTTACCCTTGATGACACCGACAAGTGGAGCCAGTCCGGAACCGAGGAGTAGGCCTTGCGAACCCATACTCGTGACGACGGAAGGGTAGGCACCTGCATTCTGCGCTGCAAGCATACCCAAAGCTAATCATGCTTCTAGGGCAGCTTTGATTCCATCGTTCAACCATCTTGGAACGATATATGTGCTGTCGCGGCGTTCCCTTGTGTTCGCTCGCGCTCATGTCTGAAGGGGTCGGAATGGTGTCACGGACTGTTGGTCCTCATAGACACTTTCCGCGTTCTTCGCTTGAACTTGGTATGGACGGATATACAAATGATATGTACGCAAGGTTGCTGTATTTGTCTCCCTATCTATAATGTAACGACTCAATCAGTGCGCCTGCGTCAAATTTGGCTGCAACGATCATGATCACCCAGCTGGACCGCAGAGCGTGCGTGGTACCGCACCACCCGCGGCCGGAAGTTGCACTGGTTGGGGAGCCAGGTAGTGGACACGGTAGCTATGGTCGGGGGATCCTCTCCCGTGTACTGAGTACTGAGACCTCAGGCCTCAGGCCTCAGACCTGAACGTTTGAACGTTTGAACCATCCATCACCTGAACCATCAGCCGAAGGGCAGAAACAACTGTCCGCTGCATTCACTGACTAGACTGATCCCTCCGGATCCCTCCCAGTACTGAGCGCAAACACACCACCGTCCACTTTGAAGCTATCCCAGCCTTTCGACGTCGATGCCGACAATGCCTATTACAGTCCTTGTTGCCTGCTGGTGCGAAGTACGAGGACCTTCTGACGAGGCTCGTGACTGCGGACAGCCCAACGTATATCTGCCTCTGTTGCAGTAAAGCCTGTCAATAAAGACCAGCATACAGCGGCGAGCTACCGACGATGTAGTCACTGTCCATTGCCAGAGGGAACGATGCGACAAGTCTCAGCTAACGGCACCATCTTTGCTCTGAACGCAACAGCGACAGTAATTGGGTACGATATACGAAGTACGAAAGATGGATACAAGATTATCGTGGGGCGAGCAACAAACGAAGGCAACGCTCGTATTACAGAAGGGGGTATGCGTATGCGTATGCGTTACAACTTCCCTGGTTAGACTCGTAATCGTTACACTGCTCCGTGCACACTCACGAACGCATCGACCACGACAGCGCACGCTCGGCATTCAGTTCACACGGACACCCCATCCCAGCATCTCGAACATGACAGGGATGAGGCCGCACGCGAGCATGCCGATCCCACAATAGACGATGACCTTCGTCAACACTGCACGCGGCGCGTCAGGCGTCAGTATCGAAATACCAGTCCGAGTACAAGCAAACACGCACCATCCGCGTCGTAGTGCTTCACCTCCTCCCGCTTCGCCCCGTACTCGTCCACGCCCAGCCCGAGGCCGACCTTCTCCGTGGGGTACGCGTCGCGCGGGGCCCTTCCCCGCGCCTTCGCGCCACGCAGCTTGACGTTGCGCTCGCCGTAGATCCCGCCGGGCACGCCGAACCGGTGCCCACTCGCGCCGCCCGCGCCGTCCATCTCCATCTCGAGCATGCTCGGGAGGTCGATGACGGACGGGATAGGGTAGAGGCCCTTCTCGGCCGGGACGTTCTTGTAGTCCGTCGCGGGCGTGTAGAACCGGCGATGCGGGAGCGTGAAAGCGTGCGCGAGGAGACGGAAGAGCGGGGGGAGGACGAAGTGCATCATGCTCTTCGCGAGGATACGCCAGATGAAGATGACGAGGATGCCTGGGGGCGGCGTGAGTACGGATGAGCGGGACTGGAGGGGCGAGGCAGAGCCTTACCGAGAACCATCTTCATGCTGGCCAAGGACCACCAGGTCATGGCGTCCACCCAGTTGCCCCAGGGACTGCCGGGTTGAATACGCACGAAGAAGCTCTCGTCGTACCCGTGGTGGAACATGTACCACCGCGAGAGGATCTCGCCCATCACGACGGAGACGAAGGCGATCGCATCCTCGAAGCACGGGCAGTCGTCCACGGGCTGCGGGTGTTTGTGAACCATCAGCAGGGAAACCGGGATCGTCACGGCGGGGACTATCCAGTCGGAGTCGCGGATCCAGACATGCAGGGCATCGCTGTAGAATAGATGAATAGCCCAGATGCCCGTCCCGAGGACGAACCCGCACACGCAGTCCGTGAACGAGTGCATGCCTGTGTACAGCCGCCCGTACACGATGGAGAACACGTAGAACAGCAGCACGCCGACGCAGACAGTGTAGGCATTGCTTGAGATGAAGATGTCCTGCCTCAGAGAGGGCACAGCGACCTCGTCAAGGACGATGGCCGTCGAGTTTTGAAGGGAGATGACGGAGGACACAACGGATGCTGCAGATCTTATGTAGGCTTGGTGGAGGAGCGTGAAGAAGAATAGGGCCATGGAGACACTGTTAGTCGTATGTGTGGAGGGGAAGCCATACTCGTGATGGTGCGTGCCGATGGCTGGAGGGCGTGTCAGGGGGTCATCATATCCATATGCAAGCTGGACGCACTCAATCTCGTAACGGGAGGAGCGAATGGCCGAGGCGAGCAGATTGCATCCTTCACGAACGAGGATACATAGACTCCGAGCGCAAGAACCAGCAAAAGTCTACAGAACCGTTGTAAACATCACGCGGAGCAGAGAAAAGGGAGCCTTTTCTATACTGCTCGGCCCTGTGCAGTGGAATGTACACAGACGGACGGCATCGTTCGTACGGAGACAAGCCGTAGCACGACGAGCACTCCGCCTGTGTGCACTTCACGCGCAAGACCCAGCAAGATAGATTTGGCGAGTACGCACCCTCGAGCAACGTCTCCATAACCGAAGAACGCGAAAGCAGGCAAGGAGATCATGAAGAACGTATGCGTCCCGAGGGAGGACGTATAAACGAAGTACCTGTCCAGGAACGGCGTACGGACAGCCTCCTACGCATGCAGTTCATATGTGTAAGAACGCTTTCTACAGCAGATACGGACTGCAGCAACTCACCTGCATCTTCGCGAGCACCTCCGACTCCCAGACGACGCTGTCACGGATGCGCCGACGGATCCCACTCCTCCAAGAGTTCATCGCCTCCTCGTAGACCTCCTCAGGCAGCAGCCCGATGCCCGCAAACACCTCGCCCTCGCTCCGCGGCTCGCCCTCCACGCCGTACCCCGTCTTCTCATCCCACACACGTCTGTCCTCGTCGGGCGAGACGGACGACGACCGCGACTCCGAGCGTATGCTGCTGCCGCAGCTGAACAACTTCTCCGACGTAGGGCTCGAGGCGTCCATGTCCTCGACGAACGGGTAGCCAGCCAGCTGGCTACCAGTGCCTGCGTTTTGGGTCATGATGGAGGGCATGGCGATTTTTGTCTCAGCGTTGTCCGGGGCAAGCGAGCGGCCGTCTGAGACGTGGGCGTATGGTCTAGTGTGAGAGTAGGCGGGCTGTGGTAAGATATTTACTTGGACGTGACGTGAGGGTTCGTGAGCGGTAGAGTTGGACGGTCGGTGGGAATGGGATGGGAGATGGGAAGGGCGCGGCCGCAGAACGGGCTTCGCGGGGCAGCGTGTTAAATCAACGGTGGCGGTGAGCCGGGTGGGGTATCACACGCCCAGCCTCAGTGCCGGCGGGCCTGACAAGAGGTGTAGCGCTGTTACTCATGAGACACAGCCGCCATACATCATCTTGTGTTCATTTCTGAATCACGCAAGCACGGAAGACGGGAGTGGTTCAGCTGATGGAGCCCGAGCGTCGAGGATGACCGAACATTCACGCGGGGCACACACGACGATCTCAGCAGAGGGAGTAGGGGGGAACATGCATCATATAATTGGACACCAGTATAGAACATGGAGAAAGAACATTGGGAGAACGCGAAGCGGCTCGGAGCAAGGTTCAGGGGACCGGAGTACACGCAGATCTGTCAGGTTGGCGGTCAGTCAGATGTCCGGCATAGGACGGAAGAATCAACAGATGTGATGAAGAGCCTCAGCGAATATACGATGTCCCCATACGTTAGTCGGACATATGCTTGTTAAATATTGTTGAAATCATCGGCAGGGAAAGGGAATGCAGGTAGGGGATGACGTGTGGCATAGACACTCACCAGGATATGTATGACCGTGCGTACCAGAACATGGCAAAGTTTATAGATTGATTCCGGCGCAACAAGGGACGCTGCAGACACCCGCGCTGCGCACATCACAGAAGCCCAACAATGGCGACAGCGACAGCTTTGCGCGGCAGGGCAGCCGCCTCACCACGAATGCGTAGAAAAATCACCTGAGGCAAAAGAGAGCATTTCAGTAAATGGTACACATCCACATAAGAGACAAGACAATGTGGAGGAGAGCTCAGTTGGTGATGCATGTTGTGAGTGCGGCTCAGGAGTCGCCAACTCGGATGTTATGGATAACAATCTTCATAGCAAAGCAACAAAAAAAAACCACCCCAGGTACTCACCTACCACAATCAACCCTCGACGACTTGTTGTGGGTCAGTATACCGCGGTGGTGAGCAAGGAAAGAGAGCAGGGACTGACAAAAAGTGCAGAGACGCGCTGGCACGAAAAGGCGGAGGCGCTGACCGCGTTCTGCTCTTCGAGCTCCGCCACAGAATTTAAACGGAGCTTGCCAGCTGTACAGTTCGCTCAAAATGATCGCGTCGCGTCGGGGCTCTGTCGTGTCTCGCTCTCTCGTCGACGACTCGACCAAGACTCGGCCGCTGTGCATGTGCGAGCTATACGTGAGTATCCTGTTCGTGTCGCTCCTGGATGATGAATCTATTCAGTTCTGCTTCCGAATGGAGATTAATCTCTTGTGGACAACCTGTATACCAAAACTCAATTCTGACTATTCCTTCCCTCCATCTTGACGTGTTTGTATGGACATCGCGCTGATACATGTTCTTCTTTCAGGGCTCGATGTACTCTATGCCAGTCAACTGACTGCGGTGCGCGTTCGTGTTAGCCAGGTGGTGAGCATTTGCGTCTACTTGTTCGACCAGGACGAAACCAAGTTCATCCATTCGTTGACGTCCGCTGACGCATCCCGTCTTGTCCCTCCCGTCTCGCCTGTCGAGTGCGGGGGCGTGTCTGCTTGCGTCGTCTTGGTGCATGTGGGCCGGACGAGGTGGGGTTCATGCGTTGGAGAACGGTGAAAACACCGGCTTCTCTGATTTTCTCATCGGCTCCGTCTGTAGAACGTCGTACTGATGCGTCATCTTACAGGTAAGTTGTTGTTCTTGCGTACTCGCGTGGATGTGGTTCGTGTAAACATCGTTGGATGTGTTGAGTAGAAATGCGGCTGTGTCATAATGTATCTATTGTACAAGACTACGTCGATATAGATACAGATACAGAGTCTAATAACATGATAGCAAACATGATAATACTACGAACAACGGTGCGAATCAGTAAGGATGAGCATAGCAAACAGAGGGTATAGAACAACTGGGCGAATCGGGTTATCGCGACCTATACGCTACCACCAGTCTCCAGTACTTTGGACATTCGGCTTCGAACTCCTTGAGCTTTCTGCTGCGTTCACTCTCAGGTTCGTCTTCTGGCATGGCCGGCAAGTCAGGAGGGTGCGGATCTGAGCCGGAGTAAGCCTTAGACCCTCGGGCGAGGACGATATGCATATGCCGGGGATGGAAGAAGTGCTGGATAGTGTCGTCAGCAGTACTCCAATGAAGAGAAACATACCACGTACATGGTTCCAGTACCCGATCAGCTCGCCCACCGGGCCCCTCCTCCGGTTATGCATGTACACCTCGATCCCCTTCACCACGAGCCCGACCGACAGGCCTATCAGCGACGGCAAGCTCACCCTCGTCATGATGCGCTCCCACTTCGACAGCTGGCCCGCCGCCTCGACGTCCCTGAGGAAGCGCGACCAGTCCTCCTCCGTCACGTCGTGCGTCGCGAACGGGTGCTCCGCGCCGCTCGCGCACGGCGGGGCCATCCTAGGGAAGCTCCGCGTGAGGTCCGTGCTAATCCCGAGGAGGGATGTCGGCTTGAACGGCGTGTAGGGCACGTCCGCCGCGCGCGGCCGCTCGAACGACGGCGGGGGCGGGCTGAGCAGCGCGGCGAGCCCGTCGCTGCTCGTGGGCAGCTTGAACCCGCGCGAGGGCCGCGTACTGGGGTCCTGTCGCGCGGCGAACTCGGCGGCGGAGATGGGCGAGGTGGGCGAGCCGGTGGAGGAGGCGAGTGCGGGGGACGAGGAGGACCGCGCGAGGAAGTCGCTGTAGGAGGAGGCGGCGTATGGGGAGAGCGAGCGGCTGCTGCCGACGCTGAAGTCGCGCCGGTGGGAGGGGACGGAGAGGTATGGGTTTGTTGATGGGCTGGGGGACGGGGCGAGCGAGCGGGGTGCCGGGGATGGTGCGAGTGTTGAGGACGATATGGATGTGGATGGGCCGCCGCTTGCAGTCAATAGAGATGCATCGCGGGCCTGTGTGGAGGGCCCGCCCCGGCGAACGTCGACTTGCTGATATGGTGGAGGCGGGATCAGCAGGTCAGGATCCCGCAGGGGACCTGCGGTCTTAGCGTCCATGCTGCCCTCGTTCAGAACGATCATATCGACGCGAGCTCAAGTTCCTACGCCGCAGGCGGGTGTCGTCAGTCGAAGGCACCCGCAGTTCAGTGATTGCCATACTCACCTTGAAACAACCGGGGATGCGAGGAGGACTGACCGACGACTGCTGACTCTGCAAGCCAGGACAACGACCTTTGTGCTCGGGACAGCCTGATCAATGGGCTCTGTACCGTACGTACAGCCACAGCTCGGCCACACTCCCGCCCGGCTTATTTGCTCCGACCCTTACGGGTATCTGCATTTTGCTGGTCAATCTCAGGTGCTATACTCACTGGTGAGGCCCTGAGTCCGTTTGCAGGAACACATCTGAGTATTGCGCGTGACCGTCGATGTCTCATGACTTGAAAGTCGTCCTTGACCAGTAGTAGTTCCACTGTCGGCTGTGGCGCGATGGTGTTCTTCACTCTACGGAGGTGACGTCCGATATAGGCAAGTGCTGTTCTTCCCGAGCCACGGGAGGGACGTCTACATAGGGCTCCGCCCTCAGTGACCCTAAAGGGACAAAACAAACAAAAAACAAACGGGAGGGACGCGGTCACCCCGTCGACTGAGGGTGCAGTAAGTTGCAAACTCATGAAGTCAATGCCCTGCAGTATTCTGCGCGGCGGTCTCTCTTCCGTTGAGCACTGTTCATGGCAATCAACTAATCGCGCTGAACTTCACGGCTGTCGCATTTAAGTAGCAGCTTTGATGTAATACATGTGGATGTGAGTCAGAATTGACGCAGCTTACAGCGACTGTAGGTCGGCGCCGGTGCCGGTGAGACGCGCGGGGTGGGCGACTCCAACTTGCCGGCGCGCCACGTCGGGCGCTGCTGCCTCAAAAAGGCTGCCTCTGTCTCCCTCACGCACATTGCACTCGCCCACCTTTATATACAGTGAACAGATGAATGCAATTTATCAGCTGTAGATTGACATAGAGTTGAATGAAGCGTTGAAGTTGGCGCTCAGCTTGGATCCGCCAGGGTGGTTCCCGACATCATGACGCAGCCCAGTATGGGAATATTACGTAAGCTCAGATTGCCTCGCCGAAAGTGCGCTGCTCGCTGCGCCCGTCTTTCTTCCACCACCACCACATCCACCTCCGCCATCCGCACCTTTGCCATGCTCGTCGACAACCCGCTACAATCAGGCTTTAGCCTCAATTCAGCCTTCGAAGACTTCTTCAACATGGATCTTCTCGCAGGCCCCTCGAACGCCGCAGGCTCGAGCTCTAGTGGCTCGTCGCCGCGTTCAGACGGTTCCCCCTCCGAGTCTTTCACCGGCCTCCCCCCGACCCCCCCGAACCCCTACGTGCCCGACGTCGCCCTCAACTCCCATCCGTACCTCGATTTTCCCCTTGACGATGACTTCTCCAAGCTCGACCTCCCCATGCCCCTCGCAGCGCCCGGCTTCGACTTCATGAGCGCCTTCTCCAGCGCTGCGGCGCAGATGGCAAGCCCAGGCGACTCGGGCTCCGGTGCGTCGTCCTCGACGTCCGGCACGTCGCCAACAAGCATCGACCCGCAGCTGGTTACCTCTCCCACGGGCCCCAAGCCCGCGAGCGAGTTCGGTGAATCCGTCGAGGAGGACGAGGACGAGGAGGGAGATAATGAAGACTCCATGAGTGCCATGGACGATGCCCTGGACGAGGAGCTGTCGCTCGCGCCCATGAAAGTCGGTGGCCGAGGCAAGTCGAACCGGAAGGGCACCGTACAGTCAGGTGGCGTCGTTAAGCGCGCCGGGAGCGAGAAGAAGGAAAACAAGCCGGCGAACATGCTCGCAACAACGTCCAACGACCCCGAGGACTGGCGACCGACGCCTGAGGAGTACAAGAAGATGAGCAGCAAGGAGAAGCGCCAGCTGAGGAACAAGATCAGCGCTAGGAATTTCCGTGTGAGGAGGAAGGGTGAGTGTCGTTTCCCTGCAGTTGCCTGTTATACGGCTGAGCTGGCTGGCTGGCTTGCGCGGGAACCATGATATACAACTGCGTATGTATGCTGTGGTTCTGGCAAGCCGCCACTCAGGTCACCCAGTAGTATCTCGCGCAATAAATGTCATTTACTGACTTGTACCACAGAGTACATCACTACCCTTGAGGGCGACATCGCGGAACGCGATCGTCTCATCGACGCCATCCGCACCGAGCTCGGTAGCATGCGGTCAGAGAACGGCGCTCTCCGCCAGGAGATCGATGCGCTCAAGAAAGCCCTACTTGATGGTCGCGGCAGCGTCGACACTCCCGTACTTCCGCCTCCTGCTCCCATCCCTACCGTCTCCCCTCTCCTTTCCTCCGGCCCCTCTTCCAACACGTCAAGCGCGCCTGTTCCGCCCAAGAGCCCGCTCGTTACACCCAACACCCAGAAGGATCTCCCGACGTCGCCCAGGCTTGGCGCGCGGGGTTTCTGGGGTGGTGCGTCGAGCCCTTTCGGCGCTGGCGGCTTCACTCCCGTGCACACCACTCTTGTGCCTGAGTGGGGCAGCGTGCTGTCGGGCAAGCCTATCGGCAGGCGCAGCCCGACCCTCCAGGAGAACATCAACCCGGTGCTCAACGCTGCACCCTGGCCTGGCGCTGACAAGGCTCAGCAACAGCGGCAACAGCAGCAGCAACAACAGCAACAGCTCGGCGCTCTCGAGTCGTTCATTGAGATGCACCCATTCACAATGAAGACCCTCGATCCGTGAGTACCTCTCATCACCGCTGCTCGACGAGATAGCTGACGTCTTTCTTACACAGGTACCGCATGCAGTTGTGGCGCAACATGGCTTCCCAACAGCAAACTGGCCGTTCACAAGCCCAACAGCAGTCGCACGCAAGCCCGAGCCCAAGCCCGCTCTCGAGCCCCAACGCATCGCCCTCCGGACTCGCCGGCGGCCTCCGCCCGCACTACTTCGCCAAGTCCGGCCCGCTCTCAGCTATCCTCTCCGGCAAGGCCGCGGTCAACGCATACCCGACCCCGCCGAACTCCCCGCCGCTCGCGCCGTCCCTCGCACAGAACCTCCAGCCGTCGCAGCCCGCGGGCGGCAAGGGGCAGCAGTCGCAAACACCAACAGCCCAGCAGGCGATGCTTGCGTCGATGGCGTCCCAGACGCTCATGGGCAAGCTCGGCTCCGCGTTCTGGGACGCGTTCTCCGCGAAGCCCGCTGCGATTCCGGTGTCCGGCACTGGCTCTGCGTCGCGCGCGGCCGCGCGGACGCTCGACGCGGACAAGATGCGCCGCGTCATGGAGGGCAGCGCCGTCCTCAAGGTCGTCGACGTCGAGCCGCAGGAGAAGACCTCGCCCCGCATGGCGGCGCCCCAGCCGGCGTTGGCGCGCACGATGTCGGCGTCGGCGGTGCCGTCGGCTTCGTCGATGAACGAGAAGAAGTGCCAGCTGACGGACGTGCTCGCAGAGTCGATGGCGAGCCTCAGCCTTGGGAAGAAGTAAGCGATACCTGAGTATCTGCTGGTGCTCGGAAGAGCAGCGTGTGTTGCGTTGCGAGAGAGGTGTCCGGTGCGTGGTTGGAGTCGTTGCGGACGCTTGTTGCATCGTGTTGCGTGCCGTGTGGGCGCGCGTCCCGGCTTTTTGCTCACTTCGTTCTTCGTCTTGTCGTCCTTCGTCTTAGTAGTGTTAGACCCAACAAACCCTCCTTATCTATACGGCTTCTTGTCGTCCCTCTCCCCTCTCGCTCCTCGTCTCTATCTCCATCCCAGCCACACGAAACCCCACTCCTCCCAGCACTTTCGTTAATCCCATCTCCCTCCTCGCTCCCTCGAACACCCTGACCCTTGTTCCGTCTTGCTGCTCCCCGCCGTTTCGAAGCTTGGCTCTTGACCTCCCATACCGTACCGTATTTGCGCCTGGCGCGCGGGCCTCTCGCGTGCCAGCGTGTGTAGTTAGTTCGCCTCGAGTCCTGGAATGTCTGCTCTCCCCATGTTGATAGTCGCAAAAGAGAAACAAATGTAGATATTATTGTGCAAGTGCTCACTGTTCTTGGGAGAGGCGTGTGAGTGACCTCGAGGTGGTCGCTGCGGAATTTCTGCTCTCTTTGAGAGTGTATGCAGATAAAGCAGGTTCAATAAATGTAGTAGCGTGTACTGTAGATACATGTATTCATACGGGTATATAGGGTATACAGAGGGCGATGTGTAGTGATTCAGATACAGTGCAGCGTATAAGTATATGGATGTGGGTATACAGGGTATGCAATGGGCGACGCGTAGTGATACGGATACAATGCAGCAATAGGCGGAATGGCAGTACATCTTCACGATGAGTCTTGTGGCATCCAGATCCTTGAGCTTGTCAGCAGCATATGTCAATGCCACTCAGCTACTCAATCTCAGGATCCCCGTTTTCTTCGGCCACTTTATCCTTCCAGGCGTCCACGAGGCCCGGCAATGAAGCCCACCTGGTGCAGATAGTAGCAAAGACCCTCTCGCGGAGGTTGGTCATGCAGCACTCGCACAAACTGACGAGCGCATTTCCGCCAACCTTCGTTCTGTCATATTTGTCCAACAGGTCGTCCCACGTGTCGAGGATGTCTATCGGCGTCGCGACGTCGAGCGACCGCGTCGTCGCCGTGTGGCGCATGCGATCGAAGGCCCTGCAGCAGGACGGCTGCGAGCGGCAGCCCTGGACGAAGGAGCCTATGTGGTGGAGCAGGGTGTGGATGCCATGCACGTGTGTACGCCCGAGGAGAGACTTCGCGGCCATGCATCGCAGGAGGTCGTCCCGGCTCAGCTCGTCGGTGGTCCCGTCGGGATGAGCCGCGCCCTCCAGCAAGGCACGGTCGGACAATTGACAACATACATATAGCGCGGTGGGCAGCACGGACTGCGTGTTCGTCAGACGGGCCAGGTTGACGGCGGTGATCCCTCGGGAAGTGTAGTGGCGTCCCGTGGCGCGCCAGCTTGCGAAGTTCGCTGGGAAGAGTTGCCTGAGTTGTTGTATGGACTCATCCAGGAGGTCTTCGATGCCGTATTTGTGCGCTAGGCGGATGCGGTAGGACAGACGATCTAATTCAATGTCGTTCTTCTGGATGTATCTGACGGTCAAACGCGGGTATGAGCACCTGAGAGGAGACCAACACAAGGATGGACGCACTTCTTTCCGCAAAGCAGTACACCCAGGACCTCTCTCAAGGCGTCGGGTGTATCAGACAGATGAACGACTGGGCAGCCGCAGACCAGCTGGCTGTCCTGTGGCTGCGGGACGGAGAAGAGGTCGCTGAAGACCTCAGATCGCCTCACCAACAGACCTCGGTACACGCGGAAACCAACGTTTCCCGCAACTAGAACGACGCTACCATCTTCGTACCAGAACTCTTTGTCGCGTACAAGCCCTGAATCTTCGGCTCCGGTGTTTGGGCCTTGCGAGCGGTCTTTGTGCGAAGTCTGTCGACGAGGCCGTTTGTGGCCACTTGCCTCCTCCGAGGTGTCTCTACGCCACAATGAACAGACCTCGTTGAGTCCATCAGGCTCTCAGTGCATGGTATACCACTCACATATCTAGACTGCGCTTCATGATGTATTAAGTGGCAGCGTGTGTGGTGGATGCAAGTGGAAGAGAGGATGATGATGAACTAAGTAGAGAGGAAAGACGCGTTTAAATATGTTGATCGTCGTGCCACACGTGATTCCGATCATTCAAAGCGGTACGTACTTGGGCGAGCACTCAGCGCGTCGGACCGGAACCTGAGTCCTGTCGCATCCGGCGAATCTATACTTTGGTAGGGCGAAATAATACCAGTACATGCGCAACCTGTCAAATGGCTCACCGTAAAATTCTCAGATTACACTCGTCAAACCATCCATAGACACTGCGGCGTAGTATCTGGCAGTGGCACTGCACTGCCACGGACAGTCCTGCCAGTGTGGCTCCTGTTACGTGGCATTGAAAATCCGCAGAGTCAGCAAAGTAAGCTCTGAATTCTCATTTAGGTGTGCGACGATGGAGAGAAAGACCACTGATTCGCTGCCAGTTCATCGCATAACTTGAATGGCTGCCGAATCGTCGAGGCCGCGCAAACGTGCACGCCTAGACGCCGCTTCCGCCTCTGGGAGCACGGTTGTGAGCGCAGTGACGGACGACCAAGTGTGGTTTGATGATGGAAACATAGTCATCGTCGCACAAGGCACCGCCTTTCGAGTCCATCGTGGGGTCCTCTCACTACACTCGGAGGTGTTTCGCGACATGTTCACGGTTCCCCCACCCGCCGATGATGAGACGATCGAGGGATGCCCTGTCGTACGCGTCACCGATACGGTGCACGAGATGCGAACCCTGTTGTGGGCCCTTTACTACGGTAGACCGTGCGTCGAACGACTCGTATACACGGCGGAGACTGATGAGTGATGTTCTAGCTTTGTCAACAGCAGAGAACCGATGGAATTCACGGTCGTCGCAGCTCTGGCTCGACTGGCCCACAAGTATCATATCACCGACCTTCGAAACGATGCCGTCGCCCGGATCAAGACTCTGTATACGGACAAGTTTGAAGACTTCACGAAGCAGCAGCCTCACTCGCATGAACTGCTGTCCTACAAAAGGCAGGACGCTTTCGAAGCGGTGCAGCTAGCGCATCTGGTCAACGAGGAAACAATCCTTCCCGTGGCGCTATACCTCTGCTGCCAGGCCAGATTCTTCGAGGACCACACGGCCATTGCCGAACTCATGGCACATCGGGCCGACATCGACAAAGTGGACCTTCAAGTTCGTGTCTGGGCCGAGGAGGACCTCTCGCGTTGCCTAGTCGCCCGGCCCCGACTCATGCAAGCCAAGTTCGAAGTAGTATGCACCACTTTCCAGCAAGGGCTTAGTCCGAGCTGTACTGGCAAGAGGTTGTCACAGTGCGAAGAAGCTCTCCATCGCGTCAAGGACAACATTTTATCGTACGAAGTGGGCAACAATTACCATCCAACTCTCGACGTTGACTGCCTGGCGTCTTGTCTGCAGGACGACCCGGTAGGAGAGGAGTTGAGGAGTTTCTGTGCGGAGTGTATGGCTTTCTTCCGAGAACGTGATCTTGCGGCACGGAGTTCTGCTTGGGCTCAGTTGCCGCGCTGTTTTGGACTGAACATAGCAGGATGGGCGTAGACAGATATCGTTGCGAGCCGTAATGTAGGTTAGTGCACATGGTGGAATCTCCGAGTATCGTACATCGCACTTAGAACCGATGTCAGTTCCGTTTGCATCTGCATCAGGCGTTCCTCGTCTGAGACTCTACTGGTGGGCCGCGTCAATTGGTATGTCCCCACGGCTCCAGAACGAACATTTGCGTTGTGTTGACGGTAACATCTGAAGGCGACTCCGTATTATTATAATGCACATATCGAATTCTATGAACCACTGTCCGTCCGTTTGCATTAGGCTTGTCTCGTGTGGGGCCCACTTGATAGCGTAGTACACAAACTGGGCTGTCCCAGCACTCCTCACCGAATTGATTCATATTGTGTCCATGGCCGTCGACTCATCCGAGCTGCCGGTCTGAAAGCTACGCTGGTATACCTCAGGCGCGCCGTCGTGCGGCCACCTTACGATGCCAGGGCAAAACACTACTGTACTGTATCTCCAAACAAACAGAACACAAAGGGACACGTATCCTAATATCCTCCAGCTGGCTTATACGCTATGATCAAACGCCACAGCTCGCGCCTGTTCTTCCGCTTCTCCTTCTTCTGTGCTTTGCGAGCCGCTTTCTCTGCCTTCCGTTCTTCCCTCCGCTCCTCCTTTCTCTCTCGCCGGGCAGCGCGGCGTTCCCGTCGACCGCCCGAAACACCCTGAGGAACGTCTTCGTCCGAGCTGCTCGACGAGGAGTGGTCGTCGCGCGCGAGCGCAGCGGAGTACTGTGCCATGTCCGGGGGCTGAGCGCCCTCAGGTCCGCTGTAGACCATGGAACCTTCGGCGAGCACCACTGAAATCTGTCTCGGGTGGAAGAAGTGCTGGGTTCGCATGTCAGTTATGAGTGGGCGGAAGAACTGCCATGACAAGGACTGACGGCATTCCATTGCTCGATGAGCTGGCCGATCGCCTCGCTCTTCTTGGCCCTCATCCGCTTCTCGATACCCCTTGACACCAGGAAGCCTAGCCAAAGTGTATCAGAATCAAATTCGGTTGTAATGCTCTTGACTAACTCACCTGTCAAGCCTATGTTCATCGCCATAGGTGCCACGCCCGCCGCGACACGGTTGATCGGCGAGAGCGAGCTAGCGATCTTGATATCGTGCAGGAACCGCTGCCAGTCGTCGTCCGCCACGTCGTGCGTCGCGAACGGATGGGGCATCCTCGCCACCGGCGGGGCGAGCGGCGGGAAACCCTTGTCGAGCTGGGCATCGAGGCTTGTCAGAGCTGCGGGCTCAAATGGTCCGTAGGGGAAATCGGGACGCGGAGCTCGTAGAAACGGCGGAGGCGGGGGATCGAGGAGGGACGCGATGCTTTGTCCCGGTGCCATGTTCTTCAGCATACCCAGCATGCCTCCGGGGTTGCTCCCGCTTGAAACGCCAGATGGCCCAGGAGACCTGTTGTCTCCATTGATCTGGACAAGAGAGTTCACATTCAGCACGAGTCCGTATTCGCAGCCTCAAGCTGAGGACTGACCGCATAATTCGCGCTTGCATGTGCGCCCCCCTGCGTGTAGGAGCCGCTTTGAGGGCGTGGAAACGGACCGCTGTGCACCCACAAGGGGGATCAGCATACTGAGTTCTGTGAAGAAGAGTTGAAGCACGTACTTGATATAGGAGCGATTGACATCATCGTACGACGGAGGTGGCATTGATCGTACATCTTGAGAGCGATAGCCCTCTCTGGCCTTCTCGTAGTATGCGTACTCATCTTCGTTGTGATTAGGCATTGTACGGTCGTGGCCTCAAACGCGAAAGAGAACTGGTGGAGTGGTCGCCGCTCGTCGACAGGTCTTATACGTGATATTGAGACACACCGGGCGGCCGGCAGAGCCTATCTGCGGCTGTGCAGTCATCGACGCCCGACAGGGTCAGGACTCAGCCGCAGTCGAGCTTCTATGCATAGGTGGACCTGGCCCGTACAGGGACGTCAAAGGCGAGTAAGTACAAGTTAGGTCGCACTAGGGCATGTAGGAAGTGCTGTGCAAAGGAGATTCTTACACAGCTTTGTACGCAGTAGTACTTGAAATGAGACGGACCGAGCTCACGCTCGAGCCTGGCACCGCACCGGGCCCAGTCCCGCACGACACACGAGGCTATATGAGGACCTTGAAATCGTGAATGCAGCTGAGAACAAAGATTATACACGAAAGTGCACATTACACGGACAAATTCCAACAAATGCAAACGAGACCAGTCCAGTCACGATACAGACCATCCACAGCCCTATCCACAATGCGATGCAATGCAAAACATGCTACCGTCCACGTCCCATGCTCAACTGGGCGAGGGCGGCGCGCTGGTCCGCGGACTGCTCTGGCCTGCGATGGAATCCGCGAGCTTGATGAGCTCCGGGTCTGTGATGGGCACCTTCGAGTCGACGACCTCCTTGATGAGCGACATCGTGCTCTCGATGCTCCTCCGACGCGTACTCGGGCTCGTCATCGTCGTCCCGAGACTCGCCTGGCGCCCGTGACCGCGTCTGAACGGCGAAGGCGTGGCTATTGGTGACGCTGGCGACGCTGGCGTGCTGGGGCCAGACGTGCTGATCGGTGTGACAGAGCCGCTGGAGATCGCCTTCTCCAGCGCCTGTGCAACGCCAGCGGCGGGGGGCGGAGATGCTGGTGAGCCATCGGGCGACGATGGCCCCGAAGACAGGATCGCTCTGCCTTCTTCAGACTCAGCGTCGTAGAGGTCGGGCGGCAGACGCTCATTCTCAATGTCGGATTTACGGCTGCGAAAGTTGGTGAGAGAAGGATATGCAGGGATGCAGGCCCACATACGCATCCTCGAAGCCAGTGATGGCATCCTTAATGCCCTCCGCGCCCAATGCGAGCGTCCCGTATGGCAACTTGGCAGAGCCGGAAATGCTTTTGAGCTCCGACACTTTCTCGGACTCCTCCCTGCAAGAACATGAGTGTCACAGCACACGAGTAGGCGAATGACGCACCGAAGCAGAGCAAAAACACGCGACATCCGCCCGACAGCAAGGATCTTGTTTTTGATGACCTTCCGTCTCTCTGAGGACTCCTCGGAGAGTGCGCCACCAGGCGACACAAGCGGCCCCTCGACTTCCTCGTCGGAGCTTTCCTCCTCCAACTCTTCCTTGGTGCAGCAGTTGAGCATCGCCAACAGCATGTCGGTGACTAGGGCAACTCGTCAAACACACGGCTTTCGATAGATGACAAACAGACGCACTCTTCTCGCCGACGAAGGGCAAACTCCACGTGAACGCATCCATGAAGTTCGGCAACCAGTACGGGTGAGGGCTCGCGTTGAACTGTCGAATGTTGAGAACGTTGCTCTCATACTTGAGGATAGCGGCCTTGTTGTTGTAGACATCCAAGTAGTTAGGGGCGGAGAAGAGGGTCATGACGGAGGGGAAGCCCGTTGTTCTGGTCTTGCGGTACATACGGTATCCAGCATCTTGTGCCTCGTGCGCTCGGATGATGGAAAGAAGCTTGTTACGCTCCAAGAACTGACATGCTGCCTGATACCTGCAGTCGTCGTCGGTGATAATCATTGTTCAGCGAGAGAACGACACCTACGTGAAGAAGTAAGAGCACCCGCGGACATGGTTGTGCACGAAGCTCTCGTTCATCTTCTCTTGGCCGAAGTCCTCGACGGGGTCGGACCAGAGAATATCACACATCAGACCCTGCGTGGGAGGCTCTCGGAACCGATCGATCTATATATGAGTTGGCTCTCCTGTGGTCAAATTCAGACGCATGGAAGCCACGTACCGCACGGATGTCTTCCAGCGTCTGCAGTTCGGGCGAGAGGCCACCGTGAATACAGAAGAACTGCTTGTTCATGATAGCAGCAAGGGGCAGCGCGCAAAATGACTGCATGCATGTATCGTAGAGGCGCTCTGAGTACTTGCGCTTGCCTGCTGAGTAGTGAGCGCAGGCCACCTAGACAACAAACGTGACGTACACTCGAGCTTGAAGGTGAAGTAATCCGTCAAGTGACGACATTCGTGATTCCCGCGCAGGAGGAACAGGGTATCCGGGTACCAAATCTTCAAGGACCAGAGGTAGAGCACGCACTGAACGAGATGACAAAGTCAGCGGATGCGTTCACGTACGACACCGAGTGAACACACCTCAATGCTGAAGTATCCTCGGTCGACGTAGTCGCCAAGGAAGAGGTACCGCGTGGTTGCTGGATTGCCCCCGAGCTCAAACAGTTTCATGAGATCGTACTGAACAGAGTCAGCATCGGCTACACGGTAGATCCGAGGATGTAGGAGCTCACATATTGGCCGTGTATGTCGCCACACACTACGATCGCACAGAATGGTTTCAGTCGTCGCGCCCGCCACCCTATGAGCTATGCAACGTACCAGTGACCGGCGCGTCGACGTAGAGCAAATTCGGCTCCGCTCTCAGCAGCTCAGTCGCCTTCTCCAGGATGTACGTGGCCTGCTCTTCTGATACTCGACCCTCTCGGTAGAAGTGGTTCTTGAGGAACGCGATGTCGGGCTTCGTGGGGTCTTCACCGGAGAAGAACTGCTCGTCCGTTGGGATGGCCATGGCGGGGGCTTGCACCTGAGCAGTTCATGATCAAGAACGTCCACGTACTCCGTAGCGACGACATGCACACGACGCATACCTCTTTCACGACGCGTTCCTGCGTGCTGATGGTGAAGCCATTGTCGAGCTGGTGCTGAGTGAAGTCGATTTCTGGTATGGGTGGCTTGTCCTGTATTTGAGTGATGGCCTTCTCGATCTGGCTACGTGTTCCGCTCATTGTGAATGATACCGAGCGGGAGACGGGGGAGGGAGACGGTCGTGGTAGGGGGTGAAGATCGCCTTCGCGGTTGCTAAAGGCCGAATCACAAACAACAACTACAAAACATTAGCGGAGCTTCAATGGTTGATTTATGCGATAAGCCTGCGCTGTGAGGCTTACTGATCGCGCACTATGCAATGCGTTCCCGCTATTCCGAGTACACCGGGCTGTACCGCACTGCTTTCTACTGAACTGAGGACAGTCTTGACACTGCACGTTGCAAATCCTGAAGACGCCAGTTCCAACTAACCAGGACCGGGAGGCCGTCGTCTCATCCACACAGGACTGCATTGCCGGATCTATGTATGCCACAGGTCCATGATTGACGCACCCACTGACCATCTGCCAATATACAAATGCTTGCTTGTATGTGGAAAATGCCGCGGCTCAGCACACGATGCCCTGAATATGTAGTCGAGGCGTCTTCGTAGAGTGCGAGAGGCCCTACAGACCCCTACGAGACGCCATATTCCTAGCCGGCTTGGTACTCTCGTAAGTTAGCAGGCACAGTAGAACATGGCCATGTCCGATTATGAACCGAAGTACATAGGTAAAACATGCTTAGCGATGTTGAAGCCCAATAACGATATGATGTATCCCGTGAACAACGGGAGCAACGGTGCGAGGAGAACCTCCGTACGGACGAGAAATGGTAGGGCTGATAAATATATACCATTAGTGAACACTGCGGCCGACACGCACGAACCTCTTACCGTTCAGCCCAAGATACACACCGTACGTGTACTGCGCGAAACTATACGACACGAGTGAGTGCCGTGTTCCCATGTCTAGACGGACGGATGACTCACGCAGCGAGGTACAGCGTGTTGGATACGAACAGGCATATCCAGTTGCCCCTCAGCACAATCGGTACCAGGAATAATTGTGCGAGGTATAATGTGAGGTAGAGAGGGAAGAAGGCGTTCGTATGCACATCGAAGGCATACGCCCACTCAACCGCTGAGTCCGATGGCGCTGAATGCGATGGCGGGCTGAGCAGCACTCTGTTCGAGAAGAACCTTCAAACGCCATGAACTCGTCACTTCGAGACCTGCTGCACTGCACAACGTACCACAGTAATGTTGCCATGATAGCACCAACCAAGAGATAATCTCGGAAGATCATGAGAAATGCAAGCTCGATCGCCTGGAACGGTGAGTACGAGTACACCACGGACCAAGCAATCGCAGATACTATAAAGCGCATGTCAGCGCCGCCTGTCTAGATGTAATCGAATTGAAAACACAGACCTGCCAAACATCCGGAAATGAGGATGAGTATCGCAGGGTCGTCTCTTGCCCACGTATTCTTCGTCTCTTGAGGATGGCTTCACTTTAATACTACGCCCGCCATAAACCGTTCCTGACACTCACGTTTGTGGAAGTATACGTTGCGATATCTAGCAACTGCTGTGAATAACGCTTCACACCAACGGCTGAGGAGTACTCACACTCTCTTGGGTGCTAGACATAGGTATGTGAGCTGCCATGCCGCCAACTCGAAGTCCTACTTCCCGATGTGATTACAGTCTCGACTTTCCAGCCAAGTTGTGACATACCATTTGCTGGAAGCGCGTGAGCCGTCTGAACATCACAGGAACACGGTTCGAGAGAGACCCAGCGGATCGCATGGGTCCTGGACTTGCACTTCCGTTGTGGGGAAATGTGGGCGAACTTAGAGGAAGGACAGACATTGTTGTAAAGAATAAGCAGGGTCGCAACGCAAAGCCCAGTGTTCAGCAGCCCAACACCTAATCAGCCTCGTCGCCGTCGGTCGTGCTTTCGTCGTCGTGTCGAGCGTGCGCGCCCGCGAGTCCGACGCATTCGCGCAGTGCGGGCACATGATCGTGCGGAAGATCATCATCGGAGTCTCGGCGGCTGCCGAATACGTACTCGACCTCCATCCTCAGCTTGCCTCGACACCTTTCTCTCATAACCGTCCGTCGAGCTCGACGACCTCCTCCTCTCTCTCGATACTACAGTCAACATGGAGGACGACGCGGAAGTGCTTGACTGGGGGCACGAGGACGACGAACAGACCGCCCAGCGCGGTCCAGAGGACGCAGAAGACGCAGTTTCGCTCGGTGGCGACGAAGACGACACGCAGGATTACTATGCGTACCAGGCCTCGGAGCAGGAGGACACAAAGGCTGCCTCTCAGACTTCAAACCCTCAGTCTAGGCGGGAGTCGTATGGGTCGAAGCAGTCGATGGCGCCCCAGCGCGAGCCGGACTCGCCCCAGCTGCGACGTTCTCAGTCTGTGGGCAAGCTCACTCATGCGCTTCCTCCAAAGCCTGTCCTGTCTGTGGCACCAGTGCATCCCTCTCCTGCTCAGGCAAGCACTTTGGCAAGCTCCATGATTCAGCGCGAGCCGCGAGCGAATGGGCACGGGAAGCCTACCTCAGGCAGCAATCAGGACGCGCTACCTCCAGATTGGGAACTCCGACAAGCTAGAAGTGGTGGAGGCGAGCAGTATTTTTACAACACCAAGACGCACGAGTCCACCTGGACTCGACCGGTGAGCGACAAGTCGTCACCGGTAAAGGACAGAGGAAGGGACGTGTCGCGCGGCAGGGAAGGTAGATCACCTTCCCGACGCGCCAATTCGTCGGAGAGGCGGACGAAAGGCAAGGATGCCAAGCGGGCGACGGACGATCTCTCATACGAGGATCGACATTACCGTCCTGGGGCGGCACCTAGTGCTGCTGCTGGCACTGAGATGAGTCACCCGCGGTCGCTCTCCCCACCTGTCCGTCGGGACCACCCAAGCGAGGATCGCTCTGGTCGTTCGCGCAGAGAGCCAACACCGCCGAGGGTGCCTGAGAGCGACTATACGGAGGGGCGGCACGGCAACCTATCCTCTCGCATCACAATGGATGTGGACCCTCCGCCTCGCCAAAGTCGCACCCGTGGCCGACAGGATCGCCTCGACATGGACGTCTCTCCCCGAAACAGGTCGTTGGATCGAGAACAAACGAATCGTCGTGGTCCCAATGACTGGTCGGCACCTAGTACGTTATTCGCATCATCCCCTCTATCGCGTCCCCGGCGTGCGATCTCCTCCCGAGGTGGAGGACATGGTCGATTCGGCTGTCTCGAGAAGCCTAGGGAGTCGAGTGCCGTTGTCCCCTTCTGCCATTATCCGACCTCTTCTCGTACGCGGCCCAAGGACGTTCACCCTGGAATCACCCTTTTCCGCTTTCTCCTTTGTCTGCGTCTCCGTTCGTCGCCCTCCTTACCTTGTCCGTTTTCATCTTGCAGGGACTAGATCACCGCCGCCACACCTCCGCGCGCCCTCCCCACCGGGTGCTCGTCGATTCTCTCGTGGCTCATCGCCCGGAAGCTCTCCAGCATCGCTTCCCCCGCCATTGGCTCCGAGACAGAGACCTTGGCCCGAAAGGCCTACGAATCCTCCGAGGTCATTGTCACCACGTGGTCACGGTGACTACTCACCCATTGACTCTGTGCCCCAACGTCGAGGACGGGAAGCTGACAGTATAGATACTGGCTATGGATTCGACACCAAGCGAAGGCGAGTCGATGATCGTGATGATGACCTCCCTTCCCGTCGAAGCAGCGCTGTCGATGTGCCGCCTGTACGTGGATTACCAGCACGTCCGCAAACGTCCTTCCCCTCGCCGACACCAGATGATCGTGAGTGCGGTTGCTTTTCGCCATGTAACTGTCGCCCCTGACTATGTGTATGCGTGTATGCGTAACTATTGTAGGCCCTCGCAAGCGTGCACCTCTGCCACCGCAAAGTGCTCGTTTCCGGGAGGTGCGCCACGCTCCAGTGCAGGAGCCGTTGCCGCTGCCAGCCCCTGCCGCTGAAGGCGGCCGGCGCGGCTACCCCGACTTGCCCCCTCGAGCACCACGGGAGGACGATGCACCTATGAGATATGCTAACGTGCCTACTGACGCGCCTCCCCTCCGTCGCCAGGGACCTCCTGCCATCACCGAGCCCGAGTTCGATGGGCGTGGTCGCCCGCCGCCTACTAGACCTGCTATGACAAGTAGACCTGGTAGTCGCTTTGACGATTTGCCTGGACAGGGACCTCGAGAATTCATCTCTGAACCAATGGACATCGATGGGCCGCCTAGCTTGCCACCTCCGCGTGGCTTCGAAGGCTCTTCCAGGCCAAGCTCGTCTATGTATGCAGACCGCATGGGTGATGCACCTGGAGATGCGCCAAGGGGCCCAAGAGCTATGGCAGGTGGACGAGAGCCCGTAGTCAACGTTCCTTCGCAGCGCTTCCCGCCTCTGGAGACGCAAGGCCCGCCGCCGCCACACACGAGCTCTTGGAACATCGGTAGCCCGTCAACTGTCCGCGGGGGACTCAGGACCATGCCGCGCCCCGTACCCGAGGTTGTCCATGCTTTGATCCTCATGCTGCAGCTCTCGTTCTCATATCTCCTTCCTCGCTGTTTCAGAACCCTCCGAAGCAGCCGTCATTCGGTCCCCCGCCTCCCAGGTCGGTGTCAGGAACGAACCTCGTACCTATAGGCAACAGGAAGATACCGCCTGCACGCGAGCCGGACGTTGTCCCCTCCCCTCAAGACAGACTGCCTCCCCCTAATCATTTTGCGACACCGCGTGTAGCTCCTGGCAGGGAGAGGGTCAGTGGCTTTTGAGTATGAAACGTAGTAGCTAATCCTCACGAGTGCAACAGGATTATCCTGAGCCGCCTTTTGGTAGCCCAGACAGACTGCCGGAACCTATTGAAGACGGACGTATGCGCCGCTCATCAGTCTCAAGTGCTGGTCGCGCTGAGCCTGTGAGTCACTAGCTGCCTCGATCCTCACTCTTATTGATGGTTTTGCTCCAGGTCGCTGATAGACTACCTCCTCGGCCTGTTGAGGATCGCCCGCCTTTCTCTTCGAGGCCGCGAGGAGATTCATATTCCGAACACAAGGACCGTGGCCCTCGAGCGGTATGTCTTCCCGCAGCCGTTTTTGGGGAACTTCGTGGTCTCATACCCCCTCAGAGTCGCTTCGGTCCAGAACGTGCCCCACCGTCATCTGCTCCTGCGCCTCCGAATGAACCTCGCATCTGGATGACCAGAGAAGAGTCAGAACATTTCGAGATGCGACACAAAGACGTCAAGAAAGCGGAGTTGACCCACAAGCTTCCGGAACGTCCGGCTAGGACTGAGCCTGATTCGTGGCGACCGACTGACGGAGCAAACTCGTCGACGAGGTTCAATGGACACAACAATGCACGAGGAGACCGAGACGCTGTCAACGATCTCCCTCGACCTGCCGCTGGAGAAGGTTCAGCTGGACAAAGACGTCAATCTGACTCCCGGCCGGCTGACCTTCCGGGCGGTCGTAAAAGTCCTGTTGAGGTTCGGCCCCGAGGTCGGCGACCCAGTCTTGAAGGTCGACTCGGTCCATCATACAATGACCGCCACACTACTCTGGCACCACCTCCCGCGTCGCTTCCTCCTAGGCCTATTGACCGAGAGGTCCATCCCGAGCTAGCCCCGCGCTCCGACTATCGCAGTGCGAGAGACGATGCAAACGTCCGCGAAGACGAGGCGTCCACCTGGGACCGCTCTAGCATTGAGCCTCCACGTGACGTGTCCCCTACCAACAGCGCGACCTGGATACATCCTGATCGCGCTCGTCTACTGCAAACCGCGCCCCTGTCTTCACAGTCAACAGGGGAATCGACGAAGACATCCAAGCCTGTGCGCATCCGTCGTCCGCCCCCGATGGCGAAGCCGCCGCCCGAAGCGATGCTGGCGATGGCTGACAGGCTGCCTCTAGATGAAGCAGCCGATCGCATGTCGGATGTCCGTGTCGACGACAACGCACGACCAGACCTGCTAAGGCGCACAGGGTCATCTCTCCTCGACAGGCTGTCACTCAACGATGCACCTCATGCACCAGAGGCGTCGTCTCCTTCCCTTCGCGACAGAGTGGACCCGTACTCGAAGGGACCTGGCGCGCACGGCGGAGATAGCCTCGGTGAATATGCGATGGACGCCGACATGGATGGCGGTTCAGGAGAGGCGTCGCGATCAAAGGGTGGGAGGAAACGTTCTTCAAGGGCGAAGCGCGGAAGGAGGAGTGGGTACCCGGCATGAGACCGGTTCGTATCATGATGATTGTCAAAAGACTGTTGGTGAAAACGTTTTAGTGTTTTCTGTCATTGAACGATATAGGTTCGCATTCGTCTTCGCACTGTCAAATGGTTTTTCACTTCTTCGCAATACAATTGTCCCCTCCAAGCCGTCGACGTCTGTTGCAAGGCAGCTCGAACCTCGGTGTTTGCAGCCCGCCTTTCGAGGGTACATGCTATTTGACGGGAAGACACGGTTGCTACGAAATGTCCTCAGCGGCGGATGGGGTTGTTCGATATGCCTTCGTTCATCTCGCGGAGCACTAAACGAACTATCCAGTAAGTAACTCGCATTCACTCTTGGCTAGACCTGTATGGAATGTCCTGAGCAGTGTGGAACTAGTGAGGAACGCGATGCTCTAGGATGTAGCGGTGGAACATGAATGCATGATGATTGGCACACCTGTATGGCACGTCTACATCGCGGGGTTCCTAACCGTTGATTTACGCGTCAAAGGTCGGCTTTCTTTCGGGCATCGTAGTTGATCGACCGCGCTTTCACAGCAACTGTCAGTGGTTGATGAATTGGTCTCACCAGCTGCTACGCGAGTGCAATTATGCAGTGCAAGTCGCGCTGGCGGTGTCAAAGGCGAAACTAGTCTTGCTGCCGCGGCAGTACCGCCGGAACCTTGTAACGACGCCGCCTGTCGCCGTCCATTCGGCAATGACTGGAATGAAATGCTAGATTGCTGCCGCGCAGTCGCGTACAGTTGGTTATATACATGAGCTGCCTCTTCCGAATCGCATCGCATCCTCCCTCTGTGACCTCTCAGTTTTACCAAGTGTCGCACCTCACATACACCATGCTACCTGACTCGCCAGAATACGCATCCTCGGAAAAACGTGCGAAGAATCCTCACATCGGTGCTCCTCATGGAGAATACCCGCCCCCGCCACCAGCATATATGGAGGTCGACAATCGTCCCGCGAGGTATGGTGTAGTGACTGTGGCTCATTCCCGGATAACTCTGACTGTCTGATAGGGGTCCTCTTGCGGACGCGTCCTTTCCTCGCCAGGAGAGCCGATCTCGTTCACCTTACATGCCCCCTCCCGGCCCCCCTGATGACCGAGAGTTTAAGTCTGCAGCATATGGCCCTGGGCCGAGCGCAGACGGACCTTGGGCCAAGGATGCTTCAATGCCTTACGAAGGTCGTGGGTCCTACGATGCGCCTCGCGGAATGCACCAGTCCTACGCTGGGTATCCAGCTGCTGGGCCACCACCCAGCCAACCTTATTCTGGGTATGCAAGCCCTTACGCGGCACCCAGTCAGCCGCATGGCCCCTACGCTTCCCAGCCTGGCATGAGCTACGCATCTGGCGGCTATGCAGCGTCTTCTGGCTACAGTAGCAATGAGCAGGTATACGCAGGGTATGTACTCACTCCTTACTCATCGGCCGTGGGTTCTGAGCACTTCAACAGTGCTAGCCGCTTCGCTTCTCCCAGCATGGGACGTATGTCTCCTGGAATGGCGCCATGGGGTATCAGGGGCGCTCTGGTGGGCTCTGTTTATTTTGTGTAGCGGATGCGTGAGGCTGATGACTAAACGTATAGTTTTCTCGCGCGGACATGCAATCATCCTACGCACCGATGAGAGGCCCGAGAGGCGGTGGAGGCCTGTTCAGCGGGGCCCTGATGAACCTCAGTCAATCCCCAGCGCAAGGCGTACGCTCGCTTCTCGACCCGCCGCCGCCGTCCTTCCGTCGATCTGCGCGCCCGGATCTGCCGTATGAGCCGTTCGAACCTGCGTCGATTACCAGCCTGGACAGGGACCTTGACGGAGGCTTTCCTATGGCCGCACCACCATCGCGAGCCGTGCCACACCCCTTTGCTACGCATGACATATTCGAGGATGATTGGTGTCGGTTCGTGCAGGATGTACGAGCAGCGGCGGCAATCTCGTCCGAGATGGCTGCGCCAACGGGTAGGAGAATCGGGTTAGTGGGTGCGTCGCCATTTTCATCTACAACTACATTAGTTCGTGAATTCATCCATGTCGTGATTCAGGAACGCTGGTATCGCTGGGGGTAGAGCAAGCGACGAAGAGCAAGAGCAGCGATGCAGTAAGCCAATTGATCGATCAGTGGAACATGGTGAGTACGATTATGTCCCTTGCGCTGCCGTTTCCTCTTAACACTTCCTGTAGCATTTCTTCCATCCTAGGCAAATGACAGTGGTCCTCGCGAAAGGCTCGAAGGCCTATAACGGGTCGGGCAGTGCAAGTCCCCCAGATATCATGTCCGTGGATGAAGATAAGCATGCCAATGGGAAGTGGCGGCTGGTCATTGCCTACCGGCCTGAGAGCGGATACTAGAGTCTCTGTGCGTACATGTTGCCTGTGTAGCTGCGCAACTAGACGTTGCGCGTACATATTGTTAGATCCTACTTATCACGATATTGGTTTGCATACAAGTACGTGTGACGAGGCACGTGAACGTGACTGAACGCGCTGTTGTACTCCGGGCTCCCGGGCCAGCCTGGGTAAGGAGGGATTTCGGAGGCCTTTGCGCCTACTCGGGCACTCCCCTTGAGTGCAGCGGCCGTCCAGAACGTCTCCGGCGCGCCGCGCCTGCTGACAGAGGAGGAGGAGGTGGGTCCATTTAGCCGCAGTGTACGCGGACGGTCCCTATCCCGCTCGTCGGCGCAGTGCCGTCGGTCGCGTACGGCGGGCCCAACGCACAGAGCAATTCTCGCCAGTGGCCCCCCCAAGGCACGTTTGTCGATCCTCAGCATCCCGTCTATACAGGAAGCTCACTGCCGTGCACAGATACAGGTGACTACAGCCTTATAATCAACTACCATAGCACTCGGCCCCTCTGCTTCTCGCGGCGTACGCGATTTCGCTTCCGGCCAGTCATGATACAAGCTAACGCGGCGATGTAGACTTAGTCTAGCAAGATTGCACATCGCTGCTGCGTACCGCTGTCGCTCGCTCACCCACCGCTACCCCTTTGATTCTGATTATCTTTGATGCGGTGTATTTTTGTGTCATGTATAGCAGGCTACCCTCGTCACACCCATAACATATCTCCTTTGGGGAAGCGGCGCTCGCGTGGGCGCTCTTCGTCTTGCCGCACTGGCAGCACCCGAACGAGTGACGAAGCAGAGGCTGTGTCGACGCGGCCACTTACACAGAGGCAACCTTGAATCTCAGTCCTGACTCTCTCCTCACGCACGGTCGCAGCCTGACGTGAAGTCTGAAATGTATGCTACCCTCATGCTTTACTGTCTTCGAGTCTTGGAGGATTGACCGACTGATGAAGTACTTGGTTAGACCATGTCTGAAGATCCCGAGCTACCAGGCCAGACGCAACCTCGCCTTGCGGGAAGCAACGGCGATACGATGGACCAATCCGAATGCACGGCATTCGACCGAGACGAACAATTTTGGTACGATGACGGAAGCATCACACTCGTGGCGGAAAGAGTCGGCTTTCGTGTGTATCGAGGTCTGCTCGCAGACCGATCCGAGATATTTCGCGATCTCTTCTTCGTCCCGCAGCCACCGGATGCTCAGCTCTCCTTCGGCTGTCCAGTCATCCACCTGTCCGATACCGCTTACGCCTTGAGAGAGTTCCTGGATGCGCTGCTTCGTGGCAAAAAGTGTGCACCTCCTACTAGCCTTTCCATGTGAGGCTGAGTGACTGAAGCAGCGAGATTGCATTGTCAGATATGACCACGACTGCGACTAGAACTTAGATGGACTCGCATGCCGCATTCGCCTCGCTCACAAATACGGAGTAGAAGACCTTTTGGCGGAGTCCATATCTCACCTGCGTGCACTCTGGCCCACGACCTTCGATGAATGGAACGAGTTGCCGGAGCCGGAGGATCTGGGTAGTACCACAATAGAGGTTCATGCCATCACTGCCGTCAACTTGGCAAATCTCACCGCCACGCCTTCTGTTCTACCTTCGGCTCTCTACGCTTGCTGCATGCTTCGCGAGGCTATCCTCCTCGAAGGCGCAGTCCACCCGGACGGAACAGTCGACACTCTGAGTAGGGCCGACCTCCTCCGGTGCATGAAAGGAAAAGTCAAGTTGGCATTCAAGCATGCAAATGAAATTCAGTCGATGTTTCACCATCCCGCGAGCCCGGCATGCACCGCTGCGTCCTGCAAACAAGCCCTTTCCATTACGCACACCCAGGCTGTCAACTGTATACACGCTGCCAGCGATGGAGACCACTATTACGGCTCTTATTACAGCTCCCTCCTTTCGACATGGTCTTTCCTACTTGACAAATGGGATGCCTCCCTGAACCCGCCGGGTGCAGTCGTGCAAGCGATCAGACCATGCCAGGCTTGTATGGCAATCCTGAGAGATATCGGAGAGAGAAGAAACGATACGCGAACGCACTTGGCAAGCGTTGCCGTCGTACATGGGCGTTGAGGTAGCAGGCTGGGGGGTCCCAAAAGCTGACGAGTGACATCTCCAGTAAGTCCATGATCATCAACCACAGTGACAACGTGTTCACCGCTGTTGACAGGTGTTTCGACCTAGCATGATTGAGTCTTAGGACACTGGCTCTCGATACTCTATGGGCATTCGGCCGATTATTTGAACGTGCACGATTTTTGGCCTAGACTGTGTCTCGGTCCGCCTGAAATGTGGTTCAAAAACGATGGATGGCAGGTACGTCACTATGCAAGAGCTGTATAGACCGGGTCATCGCGACGCAACTTCAAGTTGTCATTCAATGGCTCGAACATGACGATCGTCTAGCTGGTCGCCTCGGTGTAGCAGTTGCATACGTGGCGTTCTTCCTCGCTCTGGAGCAGCGCCTTTGCGTACACGTTCTTCTAATGGGTCGAGATGCCTATGCCTTCGCTGGTGAACATCAACTGCGAGATGCATTCGTCGTTCAAGTTCAGCACGCTGAATTCACACATCTCGTCACGACTGGAACAGATTATCTTGACCTGCCGAGTTCGTATGAGCCTCAATGGTTGAGATATTCCCTTTGAATGGGGCTCATACTTAGTCTGCAGAGCTTTCTGCGGCTGCAGTACGGGATATCCAGCTGGTTCCGACTGTGCCTCTACAGCACCACCATCGGACATGTCCACAGATTCGCGGCGTCGCCGGTAAGTATTTTGTTCGTGCGACTCACAATCCGTTGCCATGCTGATCATCCCAAGGTCATATATCCGTCATGCTGCGGCGGTCACACTGTGTGGATGTGCGACAACAGCATGAATGATTGGGGCAGGCATACCCGCCACATGCATGCAGTTATGAGATGCGCGGGTTATAACCGCGCTCAAGGCAAGGGGTAATCAATTCATCAATGAGTATGCCGTAGTTAATCTATCACCAGTAACTTTGTGAGCACATGTAGGATGGTCTTGTAACGGAGAAATGAAAGCGCACCAATCAATGTGTGGTGAGTTATGACTCGGACTCGGGCCAGTTCGGTATCGCCAAACCGAAGTACGTGGGCATCTCGTGCCAGACCGTGTCTCGCGCCTCGTCCTCTCTCTCCCCGCATCTATTAGAGCACTGATAACAGAATGTGAATCCGTCAAGACTTAACAAGGTCGAGCGCATAACGTCATCCGCAATTGTCTCAAGACAATTGGTGTCGATGGGTCCATCTGGGCTATGCATTGTACCGTCAAAGAACTTGTCGTGGGTGACAGAGGACCATACGGCTTTGCACATGGCGTTCTCCACGCAATCGGGGCTGATTCCTGAGAAGATGGTTCCAAACATCCATAGCTTTACTTGCACGAGTCGGGGCAGCACGGAAAGACATCGGAAGATGTCCTCCTCGGTCAGGTACTTGAGGTAAGGGAATTGACTCGAGCCCCTGTCTGCGAGAAAGCATTGAAGATTCTTCGACAGATTGCAGAAGGGTTCAGATGTGCAGCAGAGGTATAGCGCAGCAGGGAGAAGCGACGGGGTGTTTGTCAAGTGGGCCAACTGGACAACTTGGAAGGCGTCCTCCACTTTGTAGGTAAGGCGCGGATGCACCGACCGGGGCTTACAAGCAATGAAGTCCAGAAACCCCTCTACGTAGAGCTCCTTGATTGTGGAGAGCGTTTCATCGCAGAGGTAACTGATCTGATATTTGTGCGCCATGCGGACCAAGGCCGCGACGACGTCGAACTCGACCTGTCCGTGTTCAGGGAATCTAGAACCACGACCTGTGAGCCGTTGTAACTTGCAAGTACAAATAGTGCCGCCCACGTTCTTCCATTGTATAATGCCCACAGCATATGGCGCATGCCGTCGGCTGTGTCAGACACCCGGACCGCAGGACATCCATCTATGGTCTCTTCGTCGTCGGGAGGTGGGATCGTAAACATGTCACGAAACACCTCCGAGTGCAGCGAGAGCACGCTCCGATGGACGCGGAACGCCACATTTTGCGCGACGATGACTATGTTGCCGTCGTCGAGCCACACCTTCTCATCGTGTTTGAGTTCCATTTTCATGGCGGGTTCGTCTTCGGCTTCAGTACGCGCGCGTTTATGCGGAAGCGCAGGGTCGGCGGACATTCTGCATGAACCACAGACGCTTGATGTTCCCATTTCACTTGGTGGACTGGAGGTAATGGACGACTCACCCGATGATGCACTATGTAACCCCGAGATTTTGCGACGAGGTGACTCGGACAGCCCGGAGAGTATTTCAGATTGATCTAGTTGTGGGCTTTCTATGCACTGCATGTTCAGGTAGGTAGAGCAACAGACAATGAAATGAGACGTACTGTGCTTCTCGTCGCAGCGAGACTTGTGCTCGGTACAGCCTGGTACAGCGGTATCCGGCGCGAGCGGTGGTCAGCAAGATCGGAGATTAGGCGCCTACAACAGCCCAAAATCACGTGTGGGCTGAAGCGCGACCGTACGCCGCAACTTACAGCGCCTTGAAGTGTCCGAGTCTGCTCCGTCGGGTCGCGGTCTTGTCCTCCCTCCCTCGCGATGTCGGAAGATGACGATCACGCTAGCGTGGACGACCAGAAGACTGCAGCGTCTACCTCTGACGCGGCCTCGCTTCCCCCAGCCAAGGCGGAGGGGCCAACCCAGCAAAACCCCGACCCAGCCGTGCCACCCAGACCGCACACTCGCGATGCACCAGCGGAGCCTCCCTTGGCTCAGCAGAACATGTCTGACGCACCTTTGAATATGGCTACGGAACGCCCGCTGAACGTCACGGACGCACTGACATATCTAGACTCCGTCAAGATGAAGTTCCAGGATAAGCCGGAGGTGTACAACCGGTTCTTGGACATTATGAAGGATTTCAAAAGTCAAATGTGAGTCTCCTATCTCTTTTGTATACGCCTTCCTACTCTGTCGCGCAGGATGGCCTGGTTTGCGACAGTTCTCGGTCAGGTCGCGGCCAGTGGCACGAGGCTCTCTACGACATCGACATCGCATACATTTGCTGACTTGTCATTCTCAACAGAATCGACACACCAGGGGTCATCGAGCGAGTGTCGAACCTGTTCCACGGTCACCCAACACTCATTCAAGGATTCAATACCTTCCTTCCCTCCGGCTACCGTATTGACTGCACGACGGACGCACAGAATCCCAACTCGATTACGGTGACCACCCCTGCCGGCATCACGACGCAGACCACCAATGGCGCATTCTCGTTCGGGATCGGTAGCACCCGCCCCAATGTGCCACTCGAGCCTGAACACGCCCCAGCGCCCCCGCCCCTCCCCGACGTCAACCTGGAGCCTGCGCTCGCATACGTCCAGCGTGTGAAGACGCGGTATGCGAACGAGCCGGACAAGTACCGGCGGTTTCTCGAGATCCTGAACCCCAAGTCGGGCAGCGGCATGCTCAGCCATGAACTCCGCGAACTGGAGCACTGGGCGGTGGCGTCCCTGTCCGCGGGGTACGCACAGGGCGAGGTCGTGCAGCGGCTGGGTAAGCTGTTCGCGGACGCGCCGAGCCTCATGAAGGACTTCGTCGAGTTCTTGCCGGACAGGCAGACGAGGGAGATCGAGCTCGCGAAGCTGGCTGAGCTGCAGGAGAGCCGGAAGGCAGGGACGCCCGCAGGTGAGTCGAAGTCGAGGAAGAAGGGCGAGGGCTCTGCGGCATCTGTGGCATCTGCGCCTCCGAAGAGGAAGCGGAAGGTAGCGGAGCGGGACAAGGATGACAAGAAGGAGAAAGAGAAGGAGAAAGATAGCGGTACGAAGTCAGTCGCGAGCAAGGTATGAGAGCCGTACAGAATACAATCGTCGACTGAGTACGAAGTAGACCAAGAGATCGCGCCCGTCACAGGCACATGGCAGCGATGCTCCCTCTCCGGCGGTCTCACAGCGAGTTGCAGCGGGTCCATCCTCCCCACGTCGCCCAGCTCAGGCCCATGCCCCTCAGCCACACGCCCATCATGCACAACCTGGGCCGTCGATGCAGGGTGCACCGCCCGTAGCAGTCGCACCACCGGCGCCTCAACCACTGAGTCCAGCGGATGAGACGCAGTTCTTCGACCGCGTCAAGCGCGCTCTCGACAACCGCGAGGCGTACAACGAGTTCCTGAAGCTAGTCAACTTGTTCACTCAGGATATCATCGACACTGCACGTCTTGTTCGGGAGGGCAGGTCCTTCCTCGGAGACGGGGAGCTCATGGCGCAGTTTATGGAGATCCTTGGGTGGGACGAGATGCGCGACCGAGTTGCTGTCGCGGACGATGTATGGACACGCCCGATGGTGGCACTGGAGAGGCCCAGCCGTAACCAGCTGAACATCCGATACGGTAGCTACAGGAAGCTCCCTCAGAATGTGAGTGCTTTCCGCAAGCCACCCCAATTGGAGGCTTATGGGACTCCAGGAGGTCAACGTGACGTGCTCAGGCCGTGACGAGATGTGCAAGTCCGTGCTGAACGACGAGTGGATTTCGCAGCCGACGTTCGCGAGCGAGGACACGGGCTTCTCAACACACCGGAAGAATGTGTACGAGGAGGCGCTGCTCCGGAGCGAGGAGGAGCGGCACGAGTACGACTTTTACATCGAGGCGATCAGCCGGACGATTGTCATGCTCGAGCCGCTGAACAACAAAATCGCGCAGCTCAGCCCCGAGGAACGCAACGGTTTCAAGCTTAAGCCGAACCTCGGCGGTGCGGGCAAGAGCGTGCACTTGCGCGTGCTCAAGAAGATTTACGGCCGCGAGGCGGGTATCGAAGTCTATCAAGCAATGCAGGATGTGCCTGCGTTCGCGATCCCCGTCGTGCTTTCCCGCCTGAAGGTGAAGCATGAGGAGTGGCGGCGGGCGCAGCGCGAGTGGAACAAGATCTGGCGCGAGGTGGACGCGCGCAACTACTACAAGTCGCTCGACTACCAGGGCATCACGTTCAAGACGACGGATAAGAAGGCGATTACGACCAAGGCGTTCGTGAGCCAGATCGAAGCTGCGCGGGACGAGCAGATGGCGAAGCGTGCAGCGCTGATCGATCCGCTATTCGCGCGGACGCGCCCACGGCATCAGCTCGAGTTTGTGATTGAGGACATCCCTGTCCTCCAAGATGCGCTGAAGCTCACGCTGTCATTTTTGGACCGCACGTCAGGTCAGATCAATGCCGCAGATCGGAAGAAGATTGAGACATTCCTCAGGGCCTTCGTCCCGACCTTCTTCGTTCTCGAGACCGCGCAATTCAATGCCGCGTTCGTGCCGCACGAGACGAACGAAACCGACATGGAGGTGGACAGCACCACGGACGACTCAGACCCGTTAGCGACTGCGCGCCTTGGCAAACGGAAGGCGAACGGCGCCGCGTCCGGCGGCGACCTCCGGAAGAAGCTATTGAAGAGCGAGCAGGCGAAGTCGAGCAGGCGGACACGCGCGCAGGGCACCGGTTCTCCATCTGTGTCACGATTTGCGTCGCCCGCGGCCTCCGACACCATGCAGGTTGATAGCGAGGAAATTTCCCCGGACAGTGATTCAGTGAGCAATGGTGCTGTGGCTACTGCTGGGCCAAGCAGTCCGACTGGGGAGAAGCCTGTGAGACGACGGTATAGCTTCTTCACGAATACTACGTTCTACGTCTTCTTCCGCCTGCTCGAGGTAGGCTTGGCCTTTTCCTGCCCGGACCTCTTGTTGACCCTTTCGCAGCTTCTATGCTCTAGGCTGCTATACTACCGGGACCTTGCCGCCAAGATTGCGGATGACCCCAAGACTGTGACAAGGCCCGGTCAAGCCACCACCGATTTGGGCAGTCTACCCGAGCACGCGGCGAATGCTCGCCATTTTTACACGCTGATGCTTGAGTCTTGTGAGAAGCTCTTCGACAACCAGCTCGAGCAGGCCGTCTTTGAGGATCAGATGCGATGGATGTTCGGTCCACAGGTGTGTATATCCATAGTTTTCAGGAACATACTCGTTCCCTCCCTAATCGATGTCAACAGAATGCGTACAAGATGTTCACCGTCGACCGAGTGGTTGGAGCCATCATCAAACAGGTAAGGTCATTATTCCCAGGATCGGCATAGCTATACCAACCCTTCGTACAGGTCCAAAACGTGTTGAGTGATACAAAGAGCCAAGAACTCTTCGAATTCCTTCGTCGGGATCGGGAGCTTGTCTCGCCCACGACGCAAGACCAGATCAATGCCCGACGGAACACGGAAAGGGTGGTTGGGCCCGACGAGAACATCTTCCGAATAGACTGGGTAAGTCATGGTACATGTGTTGTATGTTGTCGTTGACGCGCGCGTTACAGCTGCCCGAGAGCAAGACTGTGACTGTCCAACTCTTTGGCAAAGACGACTCAAGGTTTGTCGACTCGGAAGCGCTCACAGGACGGTGGCAGACATATGTCCAATCATTCGTATCAGTGAGTGAGATGGTTCGAAGCAGCATATAACACTGCTCAATGGTACCCTCAGGACGAACGGACACAAGGTGTATCGTCCCGTGCAGGTTCCAAGCGACCGTTCCTCCGCAAGTGAGTCATGTCCTGGGTAGCCAAATGGCATCTCATGTTGATAAACTTGTTTGCTTCTAGATCGCGATTCCCAACTGCTACGACGGGTGACGTGCCCGAAGTCATTGCGCATGGCGGACTGGAGATCAAGGTCTGCGTGCGAACGTACCGGTTCTTCTTCGTGTCGCACACGGAAGACTATCTGTGGCGCGTCGTCGGCTCCGAGGACGTTTCTACTGCGCGTGACAAGGCAAAGACACAAAGCGTCAGACGACGGCAGTGGTTGGAGCGATTTGCTGGGCAGCGGGACGAGCCGCAACAGCGCAAAGAGCTAAGCAATCCCGATCCTGTTGTCTCTCCTCCAGCTTCGGACACCACGAAGAAAGCTGCTGAAGAAAATCAACTTGAGTCGGATGCCCCGCCGCCCGAAATTACACCTTCCCCCCCAAAACCAGACGAGGCTACTAACCACACTTCCGGGTCTTCGTGATGCGCTGTTCCCTCTTTCGATCCCTTTGTAGTCCGTTTGTATGGGAGCATGCGTTGTTATATACCTTTCGCATTTCGTAGTTCCCCATGTTGTATTGCTGTGTGTAAGATAATATCAGCCCACTTAGATACTAGTACTAGTAGTCGGCTCGAAGCGTGGCCTCAGCACTGACAGGATTTGAGTAAGTACTTTGAGCGCTTGAGTGCTTGAGCGCCCACGTGCTTGCTGGCGACGCGTCGGCGGCGTCGTGACACGTCGTGCAAGACGACCGCCCTCCTCCCCTCAGAAAGGTCGTCCTAGTGGGCTGCCTACGGGAGACTACGTCGTGCACGACTCGGAAGACAAAAAAGCCGTGCAACATCTCACACAACTCGCTGCATCTTAATTTGTCTCCCGTAGGCAGACCCTAAAGAAGACCTCTTTGAGTGAGGGAGAGGACGCAGACCCTAAAGAAGACCTCTTTGAGTGAGGGAGAGGACGGTCTTCTAAGGGTCTGCTTCAAAACGCGCCCCCAACACCGGGACAGGCCCTTTGCTACGCATTCTGTGATGGCCGTGCAATGCCGACGGCTACGCCGGCTCGGCGGGTGGCAACGGCAGATCGGCGGGTGGCTGGAATGAGATCTATCACGATATATTGGATGATACCTAAACTAATGAACCGTATCCGTCATACTGCTTGGGCGCAACATGAATATATCTCATTCCTGACCTACACATAGCCCCGGAAGCTCTTTGCTGGCCATGCAGCCCGAATATGCACCAAACACACCTCCATTTCCGAACCAGTTCCCGGCAAACCAGAGACCATACGACTACCATCCCGCCGCTCAGGCACCATGGGCCGTCCCAAGCCATCCGTTCCCAGAGTCACCTCTGTACTATAGTTCAAGTTCATCTACATCGCATGTATGTGTCAGCTCACGAGTCACTGCTCAGAATAATTAACTGACTCACTTTATGACCACAGTACTACTCGAGCGTCTTGCTGACGTATGACTCGCTAGATATTCAGGTGAAGACGCGGACACGGTCCTTGTAGCCAGGTAAATGTTTCGCCTTCCGCCGTAGATATGATAATATGCGGTGAGCAAACGATATGGTCTCGCAGAAGATGATGACGCGCCGGTCGCCCTCGAGCACCCAGTCGAGTTCAGGGAACTCTCGTGAAGTGGGTCCAGCGTCCGTCGTCCGGAAGATCCAGCGAACGTCGTACCGCGCGTTCGAGCGGCGGATGACGTGGCACTGCCGCATCCCAAGGAACTCCATGACGGTCTTTGTCTGCGGACCCGGGCAGATTGTAGCGGTCAACGCGATGAGAATAGGGTTACCTGGCAGCCGAGCGCGAACGTTTCCGATCTCCCGAAAGAGTGGTCGGAATTGGGCTCCCCAGCTATCCAGAAGGTGGGCCTCGTCGACATTGAGCGCCATGATGCGCGCTGCAAAGGACGGGTCATTGATGAGCGAGAAGAATCCAGGCGTGGCAAGCTGTTCTGGCGACAGCAGAATCACCGCCTTCTTGGAACGACCAACCTTCCAGAGGTTGCCATCGCGCCGCACTGCGGCTGCCGCCTTCGTGGTGTTCGCATTGATTACTAGGGTACTGAGGCCTGCGGCCTGGAACTTCGGTTCCTAGGGTAAGAGAGTGAGACACAGACTAGATAAAATTATAGAAGACTCACCATGTCATGCTCCAGTGCTTTCGTAGGGCAAACAACAAGCATACATGGGTCCGCTTTGAAGCGCGTCCGTAAGGCTCCCGGGCACAGCGCCGGGTCATTTGCGATCGCCTGAGCCACGAGGATGTAGACAAGCAGAAAGCCCGTCTTACCAGATCCTGTAGGCGTAATCGCGAAGACGTCAATGCCGTCCAAGGCTTTGCAAGCCCCTTCGAGTTGGTAGTCGTGCGGGTCCCACGGCAAGCTCTTCGATGCGATGTTGCGGCAGAACGCGATGCCGTCAGGGGAGCTGAACGATGTAAAAGAGGGTGATGACGGCCCTTGTGTATCAGGGCCTTGCATTATATTAGAGCAAGGGTACTGTACATAGGATTTGGGCGGAAGTAAGGGTAGGGCGAACACAGGCGACGCGACGCGTCGAGCGCGTCGAGATTCGTGCACGCGTTTCGGAGATCAAGTCGCTTATGTAACTCCGCTAACAGGCTGTCCCGGTGTAGGGCAGTCATTTTGAAGCAGACTACATCTTAATTGCAGTCTGGTCGATCTTCAAGGTCGTAGGTGTGCCATGTCAAACTTGCGGCCCATACCTTATCCGCTAACCCAGAACACCCCGTACTACAGGCCGCGCGAGGCGGGAAATCGTACTGTATCGGACTACCCCCCATGTCGAACGCAAGGAATCGAAAACGCCCGCGCACTGACAACAAAGACCATGTTGGGCAGCCCATCGAAACAAGTCAGGGCTTTACTCCAGACAAAGAAGTATATTTTGCCGACGGCAACATCGACGTTATAGCGGAGAGGACCGCTTTTCGCGTACATCGCGGCGTGCTCTCCGCTCACTCCGAGGTCTTTCAAGACATGTTGTCGATCCCTCAACCGGAAAGCACGGGTCATGGCCATGACGTGCCGATCGTAGAAGTCACAGACGCCGCTGACGAGATGCGGCACTTGCTCCTCGTTCTCTACTATCGCAATGAGTACGCGGCTTATCCTTGATGCATACATGACTGGGTAGGATTGAGCTCAACTGTTCTTACACAGAGACTTCAGGTCGCAGAAACCAGCAATCTTTGGCGTGGCTAGCTGCCTCGTCCGCCTGGCACACAAATATCAGATCCAGAGTGTACTGGACGACGCAATGGGTCGCATCAAAGGATTTTACCCGTCGGACCTGGACGACTTCAAGAAGGTTTTCGATCGACAAGCTGCGAACACTGCCTTGATTCATGCCGAACCCGATTGCATGGAGGTCGTCAAGCTCGCACGGCTCGTTGGAGACATATCGCTACTACCAGCAGCATTCTACCGCTGCTGCCAGCTTTCGCCGAGCTTCCTGCTCGGAAAGCAACCCGACGGAACGTTCTCGAATTCGCATCGCCTCCCGGACGAGGACATCGGGCGGTGCATGGCAGGCAAGGCTTACCTGACAAGTGCACGATCGTTTGTACTGCATGAAATGCGGGGAAAGGGTCGGTCGGTCGATTGTGATCGAGAAGACTCATGCGACCAAGCTTTCGACAATATGTTGGGTGAGTTGGACTTAGCACCGTCGGCTTCCCCGCACCGGTGGTGCAACCCTTTCGAAGTCGGGGACATGCCCTACTGGAGTGAGGTGCTGTGTGGGTCTTGCGGAACAGTCGTCAAATACAGGCTGGACCATGCAGAACAGACCGTATGGAGCACGCTCCCAAGAGTTTTCGATCTGAAGGAGTAGTACCAGGTATGTTTTAGTAAGTTCTTTCTCGCTTTGACAACAATGCTGATATCCATGATGTCACCAGCAAGTGGGCCGCCCTTTCGAGGCCGTGCATCCGGAACAATCTGTGTAACGACAAGTGCACATGCGTTTGGGCTGGAGAGCCTTCTACTACTATTCAAACATAGTGATACTGGCATCTGCAGCATGAATCACCGTGACGACCGTCTGTCGACTTCTAACAGTCGCGTGAAGGTTGTCGTATGAACTCTATTTGTACCGGTGTAGCCCGTTGAACTGTGTATTAACATTGCGGCTGCTTCCAGTATGTCTTAAACATACTCTAAACACGATCTTTCTGAGGAAAGGGAGTTCCGGTTGTACAGACCGCGTCACAAACGAGAACGAGAAGAATTCGGATGATGAATATGTAGGTCGGCTCAGCCTGTACGATCACGTGCCCGCGTTATGCACCCAACAATCAGCATCTTCCGTCCTACTAAAGCTGAAGCTCTGAAGCTTGAAGCTTGAAGCTTGAAGTCTCAGATCTCATTAATCATTCTCCGGCTGCCACGCACCCGGGTAAGGCAATTGAACTCACTCTTACTATGTACGTGCCGGTGCATACTACATGCTACTAGTATAGCGCCACCCGCTGCTACTGTGACCGTGACTTGAACGCGCTAACATCAACGAACAATAGTGCCGAGTCGAACTAAGTTACAGCAATGTCGACACCGTTGAAACGCCCACGTGTCGACAGCGATCCTCAAGAGGATACGAAAACAGGCCTAGTCAAAGACAAGGAAGCGTGGTTCCACGACGGAAACATCGACATCGTTGCGGGCGGGATTGCCTTTCGCGTCCACCGCAGCGTTCTCTCCATCCATTCCGAGCTATTCCGCGACATGCTATCCATACCGCAACCCACGGACAAGGGAAGCTCCTGTGACATCCCGTCCGTGGAAGTCACAGATTCCGCAGACGACATGCGGCACTTGTTACTCGCTCTCTACTTCAATAACGAGTACGCCGCACCTCCGTGCCTCGCATCTGTTGACTCATCTATCGTCCACGGACCAGGTGCTTCAGACCACACAAGACCGTCAAGTTCAAAGTTGTCGACTCACTTATCCGCCTTGCACACAAGTACCAGGTCAAGAGCGTGTTGGACGATGCCATGACCCGCCTGAAGGCATACTACCCAGATGACATGGATCAGTTCATCAAAGTGCTGAACGATCCGCCTGTCTCCCCCCTTCTGCAGCACGACTCTATGGACTCTCTTCAAGTCATCCGAATCGCACGGCTCACCGGGGACACAGCACTCTTACGCCCCGCGTTCTACCTCCTGTGCCAGGCTATAGACTACCCGGGCCCTCAGACTGACCGTGCCAGTGACGGACCGACGGACTCCGACGAAGACATCGCACGGGCCATTGTGGGTATCAAGGGTATGCAAAGGGCGACCGACGATGTGCGTGAGGAGGCTTCCGAGCCATGCGGGTCAATGGAATGCTACATGTCTCAGTGTCGAGGGGCCCTCAAGTCGATCCATAGAACTTACCGTGACGTGTGTGCGGATTCCGAAGACCGTGATGCATTCCGTTGTATGGATCTAGATGATTGGGCGGAGATCCTGTGCAGGTGTTGTATGGAGACTGTCAAGGAGAGGGAGAATGCGGCGCAGTACCGAGTTTGGGAAGACCTACCGACGATATTCAACTTCAGAGTATAGCGTGCGTATTCGGCGTCGTATTCAATAGATTTGGGCCGTGTGTTATCCTCATTCGCTCGGTTCAAAACCCCTGTGATAAACTGAGTCATTGCGCAGCGACGAGGCCATGGGTAAGTGTCATACACGGGATTCATAGTACATGGTCGGCATACAATATGGCTAATCATACAGCATTGAATGACACAAGTAGGCTCAATACCTTGCTCCGGGTCCGCGGCGATCATCATGCGGTAGGATAAAATGCGCCAAACAAAAAGTCGTCGGAACCGATATACCCCGTCTCGTCCTCGTCTCCATTCGTGACATACCGACGCGGAGTGGCGTACTCGCCAGTTTCGTCGTCGGAATCATCATTCACGTCCAAGGTTGCTTCCGTCCCCTCAGCATCCTCCAGGTTGACCGTACCCTCGTCACTGTCGTCATCCTCGCCATCAATGGTATCTTCTTCAGTAGCATCTTCGCCTGTGTCGTCCGAGTCGTGCTCCGGCGGCACGTCGACGGTATGTTGCGGCTCGTGCTCGCCCTTCTCCAGGACGTCATCGCCGGACACCGTCCTGTTGCCCTCGCCTTCGGACCCCACCCACCCCGGGATTTTGAGGTTGAGCATCGCTGGCAGCAGTGCCCAGTGCTTCCGCATCGTAGTGTTCGCGCGCCCGCGGATCATCTCATCACAACTCGCACAAAGCTGAGGGGCCTCCTTTAGTGGATCCACGAACGTCGAGAACAGATCATAGCCGCGGAATGTCCCGCTCTCCACTAGTCGTACGGCCTCGGCCTGGACTTCAAGTGCGTGCTTACAAAACGTTGGGGTACTGCACGCGCGAGCAGTATCGGGTTGCCAGAGTCGTAACATAGAGTTGATGTTCTGGCGCATAACCTCCTCGCGCGCGTCGAAGCAACGCTCGACATCGCCCTCGTTCAGCTTCTCGATGGTGCCATCGGAGAGGGTCACGCCACGCAGGAGATCCTTCGAAGAGAGTTGGCAGCACATGTAGAGTGCTGATGGGAGAATGGTCAGAGTCCCTGTCAGGCGTGCTAGATTGACCGCGCCGACAGCTTCCTCTGGCATGACAGATATGAGAGGGGTCCCATAGCTTGCGTGAGCCACTAGCCATTCTTTGAGATTATCGCTGAAGAACGACACTAGTCGCTCCATCGCCTTTGCGCAGATGTCTTGCCTTTCATATTTATGCCCCATTCGGATCCATGATGCCACGAGAGGAAAGTCAACCCGCTCACTGGCTTGTAAGCGCCTGATGGGGTGTTTCAGTCAATAAGAACACTGGGGAGGACGAAGATGAGCACTCACTTTGAGCCATGTATCGCCAACCGCAGTAGGCGGGCTATATCTTCTGCCTTGTCTGTGAGGCGAACAACTTGGGCCCCATCAAATCCCTCCGTGGGCGCCGCAGGTTGTGGTTCGTCGAACAGTCGCCCGAAATACGCTGAGAATTCGCTCAGCAGCCCTTTGTGCAGTCGGAAAGCGATATTATCTGCCACGAGTACGACGGTGCCGCCATCGAACCAGATATTGCGATCCTTTGTTGGAACGAAGTGTCCATCCCTCCCGCGTACATCGTCCGTACGCGGTCTTTTCATTACCCGTTTGCTAGAGGGGGAGTCCCCGACTCCGATCGCCATGCCGATACCTACGTCTTGTGTTCAGCAATCATGGAGATTCTTGCGTTAAAGAGACGGACCTTTCTGCGAATAGAGTCAATGACGAGGATCTATCCGCAGACATACGGCGCCTTATATAGAGCTCGAGCAGCATAAAGGAAGCATTCCAGCGTGGACCTACCCATTGTTCCTGGCCGCAGCCATTGGCCTTTTGATGTCAGTCTTGCTTTGTTCCTGTAGCAGCTGATACCTTGCATTATCCAAGGTGCCAGTGGAGGTCCCTTGAAGATTGCAGCTATGCAGCGGCGCGTGGTGTTCATGCCGTCAATGATCAATTGTGCTCTTCTCTCATCATCAGACGTAATCGGGGCCGGGAGAGAAGCAGCGCGGGTCGCGGTGATAGACGTATGTCGGTCCTCGGACAGTATACTGCAGTTCCTTCTGGGACAAACATACTGAACGACATTTAGAATCACGTTCAAATAGGGTTGCCGAAGACGTACCGCCTCCCGACTCGGAGCATGTGTCCAACGCTGCCCTCAGTAGGTGCATGGTGACGCTGCAAAGACATCGATCCCGGGATTCATGCGCCGAAGGGTGCCATGCTGTAGCGAACCCAGTCATCCTTTGCTGAGACATGTCGAAGATCAGCATTTCAGCGTTGCGTCTACGCCCAAGTTCGTGTGTCTCCCAAAGGCTTGAACGGTCGCCGCGTGAGTGGTGAGAATTCGGTCTTTCTGTTTCGTCATGAGCGTATTGACAATATTGGGCCATAGCTCATCATATTCCGGCCTGGGTGGAAAGGCAGTTCCATGAAAGTGGGGAGCCGGTGAGCGATGTCTGTACAAGGTACGGTAGCATGCCAGCGCGCATGCGCAAAGGCCAGTACGCGTGAGACAAATACGGTACAAGCACGTCACGGTCACGAGACCGAACATGGTCGCGTTCTGAATGCCTCTTCAAATTTCAGCCACTGCCCCATGGTCATTTCCACCCATTCCTTCGATTTTCATCGTCAATCAAGGCTTTCGCTCAATGTACCAAGAATAAGTTTGGAACGTCTGCGTCGGCGGCTTATGACCATGCACAGAAACACTGTCCGGCCTCCGAGTGCAACCGTGAGTCCGTGACTGTCGCCGCACAGATGCCAGCGACGGGAGATGTGCCCGCTAGTAGCTACATCGATGCTAACATTCGAGGAATCTTACCGAGTGCGTCTGATTATTTGGCCTTGTCTGTCGCTAACCCTTGTTATCAGAAGGGTTTCAATTTGGGTGCCGGGACATCCAGGTTCATCCCTGCGCAACTCACCTGTGCGGCAGCCGTCTTTGAGGCACATCCGTTTATAGAGCTGGATGACACAGCTCAGGCAAGCCCTTTCACTGATAACGGGCCTCAACAAGGTCATAGAGATCGATAAGGAGAAGCCAACGAAGGCCATGGATGCGAAATATGCCTTCATGACGGTGAAGTTCTTCCCTTACCGGGCAAGGCGCCTTCCGTATCCGTCGATCCAGCTATGATTCGCCGTCAAGTACAGTGGGTTCTTGGTGAGTTCTCTAACATCTGCCTCTTCTGTGTATGTTCTCATGTTCGTGGCATACCTACCCTAACGAACATCTCGTAGGTCCGTATAACGGTAAATTACAGCACTATCGATCAATATCCATTTGGGCAGACAATTCCAACAGAACTGGAATCGTGTCCGCTATCTCTACGTGAGGTAATGAATGACACACCGTCAATTCTTGTGCGCAGAGTCTCGTACGACATCTGCTCGTTCCTCAAACCGGCGAAAGACCAGCTTCGCCGTGGCAGCGGGTACGTTTGATACGTCTGGAGCAGCCAGGTCTCCTCATCAATGTATCTTGGTGAGGTTCTACCACTGACCGGCTCTGTGGTGAACAGGTTCATCTTCGCAATGTCGTAAGACACAGAGCAGGTCAGGGTCTTGGATCTTATGAGCCATCGAGGTGTGGAAACAGAACGGCTCTCCGACGCAGCCGTTCCAATATTCCTGCTCTCTCTCGAAAGACTCCAGATCGAAGCGACGTCCCGAACACATTCTTTTAACGATCGGTGCGTGTTACGAACGGCACCGTAATAGTCGCACTCTTGACTGACTACAGACTCAAATACCTCGCCCATTCGCGCAACCACAGCTTCCTCGACACTTCTCGTTAACCGCGAGAGCTTGGAGCGACGCGTATGACTTCTTCTCGCGCACTTAGGCAAGGAGGCGACCGCAGGTGCCTTGATGGTTTCGTCAAAAATACGTACGCCGCGGTCCGCGCATCCCCTTCCAGCGTCTTGCTGCCACCCAATGTACACTGTACAGTGTAAGTAGCCCTTCTCCATCTCCGCGGGGACAGCACCGAGGCTTCCTCTGTGTCAGCGACCAGCGACATCCATACGCCGTCCGGCGTTCACTGCCAACGCTCACACACCAGGACTCCTATCGCGGCGCGATCGCCTCCTCCTCCATCCTCGCCGACAGTTATCTGATTGATCCTTATTCGCTGTTGGCGTGTGTGCGAGGGGCGCGCGAGCATCGCGGCTCCGAGAGCTGCGCCCGTTTATGGTGATTGATCCCTCCGGTCGAATCTAAGGCGCGCTGAATGCGGCGGCCGAGTTCGCTACCGCGGCAGCTTGGGTCGTCTATTAGTGATCCCGCCCTGGTCCATGCAGCGCCCTTCCCCCGACAAGGTCGATGGATGCTGGGGACCTCAAGTCCCCCGAGCAAGCTCAGCACATTGCCATGTACAGTGACCGGACACTGTCCAGCCGGCTACTCTACCGGTCTCGTCCCAGGGTTTGAATCTCCGGCGTACAAGAACAGCAACGTGCTGACATAGAGGGGTCGAACGATTGGTCCACTCCTGCCCCTTGGGGCGACCACAGCGGCTTGAACTCGTCCGCGCAGTCTCTTCCAAGTCCTCCCTCGGAGTTCCTCCAGCCTTCGCCCTCTACCCTCCGCGCACCAAGCCTATACTACACCAGCAATCACATCGCCCTCCGTACAAGTAAGAGTGCTTACTGCCCACCTCCGTCATAGGCTCGGTGCCAAGCATATGCAGCCAAAAGTTGGTACCCCTGCCCCCAAACCCAACCGCTGCCGAAGAAAGTCCGTGTGTACGAAACGCCCGTAGCCCCACTTCTTCACAGCATACACAGTCCAGAGCGCACGGCAAGTGTCTCCGGCCGCTGCAGCAACTCTCCCGCGTCCCTCAGCGGCCACGCGATGCGGGGAAGGTTATGCCGTCTTCGCTGACGTACGGGGCCATCCTTCTTGCCCGTCCGCGAGGCCCGGAAAGCGTACAGGGCGGATGGTGCTCAGGAGAGCTCGTATCGCGGCCAATAACCGTCCATGTCATGGCCCATCAGCGCACTGTCACATACTGTCATTGTAGGCACGCACCCGCGGGGGCGTCGCACCCGCCGAGTCCGGGCAAAACAATAGGCACCAGTGATGACGACGGTGCTTGTCCACTTACTGCCTCCTTACTCTCGAGTCTGACACAAGCGCGGCCCAGTCCAATCCCATCCACTTGCATCCCATCCAACCCTATCCGCACAGATACGTCGGAGATCGTCCAGTCGAGCCCTCCCTCCTGCCCCTGCTGTCAGCTAGAGTCCCCATGCCTCCCCTTCACCGCTGCCACGACGCTGCGCGGCTGAGCTAAGCTCCTGCTTCCGGGGGCGTCCTGTGCGAACGGACGTAAGCACGCATCCACTGGAGCCCTGCGTGCGTCCTTCTGGCCTGCGCTGAGTCCTCACCGCCCGCCCAATTGCAATCGCCCACCGCCAGGGCCCGGCCCCCGGGTGCTTCTGGGCTGGGAGAACCGCGCTGCTCCCGGCCGTCCCTGGTTCCCCGCACGCACCCCGCATTACCTTGTTTTGATCGCCCTACTTATCGCCATCGATCGCGGGGTAGCCTGGGGAAGCTGCGTGCGCCGACGTCTGTGAAGAGCAAGAGGCGTGCCAAGCGCTGCGCGCCGCGGCCGGCCACTAGCCCGCCCCGCACTGCGCATGCTCTTCGCGGTCGCGGCCCCTGTTCCCCCTGCGTACGTCGCTGCGAGTGTGGTAGGTTGAGCTACATTAGCCCCGCAACGCCGGCTCAACCATTCGATCGCTCCACCGATAGCTCGATGGGCTGATGGACGAGGGACGGATTTGGCCCGCATGAGAACAAACGCACGGATCGAGGGCAAGGTCGTGCGCCCAATTACGATTACGAGGACTACGAGACTTCGTAAGCTATACATACAGTGCGTATCCCGGTCGCGTACTTTGTAAGGCGATATTACAGTAGTGATGACGGCGCGGCGGAGAGGGAAGGGGGTAAACGGATTTGTCTGACTACCGAAGCGGCTGCGTGCGGCGAGGGGGACGAGAATCCCGGATCACGAACTGTATGCCATGAGACTCGAACGGATGCCATACCATGCAAGTGGATGCCAATGAGTATAGTGTACAAGTGCAGAGTTCACACACACCCTATACGTGATTCTGAGCCGTAACGCGGATCCGGAGCAAGCCAACGAGCAGACGGGACCAGCACAAAACTATCTTACAATGCACGACTTCGACAACGATGAGAGTAGAGAAGATAGGTGAGATAGACGGGGAAGCGCGAACGTGGGGAGGGAAGGGTGTTCAGAGGAAACTCGCAGGGGAATAATGACACGGAAAGCACACGATTAAGCACCTAGTGGGCGGTAAACGGGGACGAGACGGCAAGATCGTGGATGATGAGTACGCGAGCGGGCGGGCGACGTACATTCTTTTGCGAGGCACGTCGGCGGCACTGCCACGGCATAACTAAATCAAGAGCAGAGCAAAAATACAACCAGCCGCGGATGTGAGAGGCGGCGGTAAGCGGAGATGGAGGATGGATATGGAGCAAGCGACCATGCGAGGAGCGGTGGGGCGTAACGAGGGCGTGAACGAGCGTGCTGGAGACGTCGGAAGAACGCGCGACCAAGCTGCACGTCCAGTGCCGGCGAACGAGCGGATCGAGGGAGCGTAAACGGAGCCGTGGCAGGTCGTAGTCGTGATCTTCACCGAGCATGAAAAGAGCATATCGTCAGCGAGAGGCGGGACAGGCGGGAAACACATGGACGAGACGGTCAGACACCGGGGCCAGACATTTTCAGAAGATTTTGCGTCTTTTTCGTCTCCGCCCCGGGCGTCATGACGTCTCCATCTCGCCGTTCTCCTCGAGCTTCACCCTCTCCTTCAAGCCCGCTGGACGCCCGTCCCGCCCCTTCCTCCCCCGCAGCTCCTCCTCTCTTTCCCCCTCTCCTTCGTCCTCCTCCTCGCCCATCGCGCTCGGGCTGCTCTTCTCGGTCTCCTCCCCGTCCCCGTCCTGCATGTCCACGTCCGCGTCGTCGTCCATGTCCATCTCCTCCACGCTCGCAAGCTCCCCGCGCGAGAACTTCTTCCGCTTCCCGTTCGCATGCCGGTGGGCCGGGGCCGAGTGCGCCGCGGGCGAGGGCGAGCCGAAGAGCGTGAAGTCCTCTGCGACCTCCTCGTGCAGCACGAGCGCGCCGTCGTCCAGGTCCGAGGACGGCACAGACGACGAGCGGAATGATTGCAGTTGCTGTTCGAGTTCGCGGTTGCGTGAGGCCTGCGCGGAGACGAGCTGCTGGAGGTACCTGTATGCGGGGGAAAATAGCAATCAGCATCGCTCTCTTTCGGTGCGCGAATTTAATGCTACAGCACGCAAATCGCTCGAATCGCGTCATCCGATGGCAATAGATCGGCCTTGCCCGCACAAAAGCAACTGCCAGAGCACGGAAATCCACGCATACACGCAGACTTGCGGCGTGAATGCATAAACAGAAAAATACTCACCGAATATATTCGACGCTCTTCTTCAGGATCATGCCCTTATTCGCCTTGACCGCCGCCGCATTACCATCCTGCCCGTCCTTATCATCACGCTCCGCGCTCCCGTCCTTCTCTTCCTTCTTCGCTCCGGCTGCGTCGAGGTTGGCGCCGTTAACAGCAGCAGCGGACGCCGACGGACCGGGAGCGCCACCGAAGAGCAAATCGTCTGACGACGCCGAGAGCGACGCAGGCATCGTCATCGTCGCTGCATTATCCGGCCCAAGGGGGTTGCCCAATTACCCGAAAACAAAAATAACCGTCAATCACTCGTCCGCGCACCAGCCACCAGAAACGGACGCACCATTCGGGTCCAGCAAACACTCCGGTATCAACGTCGCCAGCTCGCTGATCTTCTCGTTGATGTTGTCCCGCCTGCGCCGCTCGACCGCGTTGTGGCTCTCCCGCCGCCGCCTCCGCTTCTCGCTCGCGATGAGTGCCTGCTTCGTCGCGAGGTCCGCGCCCGGCGGACTCTCGCCCCCCGCGCCCGCGAGGCCCGGGAGGTTCAGCGACTTGCCGAGCGCGCCTGCGGCGGAGGACACGTCCTTCGGCGAGACACCCAGCCCGTTCGCCGGGAGGGACGACGCCCCGGTGAACGCGGAGAAGCCGCCTGGACGCCACCGATCAGCTTGCCGCACTTAACGCCGCAGGAGGAGGGGTGCTACTCACCGTGGACGCTGTCCGGCGTGGGCAGGCTGAACTCGCCCTGCCCGCCGGGGACGAACCAGCCGCTCCCGTGGAGGCCGAGCGGGCTCGCGGGGCCGCGGCCGTTCATGCCGTTCACGCCGCCCATGCCGCCGATGTTGTTGCCGGGGATGATGAGCGGCTGCGTGTGGCCGCGGTGCAGCGGGGGCGGGCTCACGGAGCTGACGCTGCCGCGCTTCGCGCGCGTGCGGCGCGCGGGCCCGCCGTTCGTCGAGGGCGGCTCGCCCTGCTGCTGCGCGGACTGGGACTGGCGGGTCGTGCTGCGCGAGCGCGAGCGCGAGAACTCGGTGGGCGACGCGACGGACACGGGCGAGGGTGTCTGGCGCTGCCCGCCGGGGTGGCCGAGGAGGTCGCCCTGGCCGGGGGTGTTGCCCGCGGTGGAGAAGGAGAGCGAGGAGAGGTGCGAGGAGAAGGAGGAGACGGAGGAGGGCTCGGCGCCGGGCGTGCCGAGCGGGTGGGCGAGCCCCTGGCTGTGTTGCGAGTGCGAGAGCGAGAAGGGCGAGTGTGGCGCGGGTGGCGGCTCGTAGCGCATGGAGGAGCCGAGGGCGGGGAGGGTGCTGTTGAAGTTGCCGTGGGCGAACTCGGGGGCTTGCTGCTGCTGGTTGTTGTTGCCGTTGGGGTTGTTGGAGGAGCCGAGGGAGAAGGGCGACTGCGGGTGGAACGACTGGGAGTGGGAGTGCGCGGAGTGGTGATGGTGGGATGTCGGGGCGGAGATGTCGAAGATGTTGTGTGTGGGCGGACGGTACTCCTCGTACGGATTGCCGTTGTGGGACGCGCCGTTCTGGGTGGAGCGCTCGCTGGACTGGTGCTCGCTGTTGATGAGGCTGGCGAGCTCGTCGGTGAAGTCCATGCCGGCGGCGGTGTCTGCGGAGGCGGGGAACTTGCGGAAGGGGTCGGGGATGGAGAGGAAGGGTGGGAGGAAGAGGTTGTTGGGGTCGAAGTTGGCGGCTGCGTTGCTAGGGGTGCCATTGCTGGACGGGGGGGACGGGGGGTTGTGGGAGGGGGCGGGGGACGGGAGGTGGAAGCCCTCCTGGCGGGAGAGGACCTGGGGCTTGTAGGAGGGGAAGAAGGCGGAGGACATCTCTGCTGCCTGGTGTGCGGGGCAGCGAGCGTGAAAGCGAATCGAGAAGCGGCCGGCCTGCTTATATCACCCCGCGTCCGCCCCTCGGCCCCCACAACACACACAAACACAAACACCCCCAAATATTCCCCGCATCCCCGGCTCCCCGCCGTCTGATCCCCCGCATTCCCCGTCTCCCTCGCCCCGCCCGCCACCGCCGCCTGCCCGCCACCGCCGCCCGGCCCAGCCCAGCGCCGTGCCCGCCCGCCCGCCTCGCCGGCCGGGGCCAGAAACGGAGGCGTCAACGCGCTCGGCCGGCTCAACTCTCACGCCCGCCGGCTGACGTAAAGTGCGAGTCCGGGTCCTTGGACCTTGGCGGGCGAGCGACAGCGACTGCCCGTCGCCCTCCCATCGTCCGCGACGGCAGGGATCAGCTCGGCAGCAGTACCCACGCAGCGGTGCGATCGCGCTATCAGCCTCACACGCGCGGAAGCACCCCGTCATAGTAGGCACCAGCTCAACGTGCGACTGCCCGGACTTCGCCCTCAGATAGCTCGACGGTCGCCCAGCGGTCGCCGGTGCGTCGAAGTCCTCCCCTCGTCCTGCCTTCGTGCGCAAGCTATCCTTGTCCATCATCCAGTCTGACTCACCCTCCCTATCTGTCTGTCCCTAAACTGCACGCCCCGGGTCCCCGTCGCTCCTGGCCCCCTCCCAGGTCCCCGCCCCGTCATCTCGCATGAGCAAGGCCCGGCGCAGACGCACCCCCGATCGCCCGATCGACGCAATTATTGCAGCCATCACGACCCCCGCCCTCGCAATCTCGATCCCCGCCCCTAAGCAAGTGCGGTAGGCTCCGTCCCCAGGGGCACCCGCAGTCTCCACGTCACTCAACGCCCGCCGCCTCGACGTCCTCCTCCTCCCGCGTCCTCTGCCCCCAACAAAGTCCGCACTCTCTTCCGCTCCTCGAGGCTCCCAGTCCCCTCTAGTGCCACCGGCGCACTCGAAGCCACACATCCAACCCTGCCTTCCCTCCAGATCCCCCGCTATCTCATCACCACAGCCCGTCATCGCCCCAGATTCGATGAAGTCGCGCGCGAGCCTATCGTCTTCGCCGGCGCTCGCGAGTGCGGTGGGATAAACGCGCCCGCTGTGATTGGCTCGCGCGCCCGGGCCGGGCTCCCGGGGGCGTTTGTGAGGCTTCTGGCGCCTGGCGCCAAGTACTTACTTGGCTGTGGTGGAACTCTATCGTGGTATGCACTCGCTGTCGTCGTCTCGCTCTGGCTGGGGTGGGGAGTCAGTCGATGGATGTTGCTTGCTGGTGCGCTCGCCGCGTCGGGTCGTCGATGGCCAGTAAGCCTTCGCCCAACTCCGCCTCCAATTGCGGGCTCTTGTGACGGTGCATCGTCTCACACAAGACACGACTTCAGTCTACTCGGGACGGCAAATGGCGCGCAGGGTACGATCCGATACAGAAATGAACCGACGCTGATGACGGCGGCCGGCAGAGACAACGCTAACACTGACGCACCCCAGGAGCTCCCACCACACCTACTGCACAGCGCGACCCCCGGACGGGGTCCCTTCGACATCGCAATCACTCGAAGAACGATCGATGTGGAGCCGCGCGACGGGGAGCTCGAGCTTGAGCCTGGGGGAAGCACCGCCAACTCCGTGGGGACCTGCCAACCGTCCGACCATTCGAATTCGTGCGTCCCCAGGCTCCTGCTCGTTTGGCGCCCTCTGGCTTCGCGAAGGGCTTTGGGCTTGTCGTGCGCGCAGAACCAACGCGGAGGCGCTGGGTGGGCGGTTGCGGCGTGGGTGGACCAGGATTGCTTGCAGCTTCGGTGCTGGGGGCCCGGCACGCTGTGTGCTCTTTCTTCTCTGGTGCATGCAAACACGTCTCGCTCTTCGCTCGCCCGTTCCAAACTTACCCCCCGAGTCTCGACCCGCGGCCACACCCTGCTTGACTCGACTCGGCCGGCACGTCGCCGTCCGACGCGGGGTGGCCTCCGAGTCTGCTCATCCCAACCGTCACTGACAGTGCTAGGCTCCTCCCGTCCGGATCACGGATCACACATAGACGGGGAACGGAGGACGCGCGGGTGGGCGGGCGTCGTCTCCCGGAGTTACAGCGTGCATAATGCTACTGCGCGCGCCCGAGTCTACTGTGACAGCGTCGAACCCCAATGGTGATGCGCAATCCGCGTGTTTATGTCGAGTGTGGGGAGGGCGTTCGTGTCTGTGTCAAATGTGAAATGCGGATGGCTTGCTGTGACTCTAACGTTCGTGGCCACTGGCAAACGCCCTGGGCCTGGCGTTGCGGAGCGCGCGCGCCGCGAGCCTGAGGTGTGGTTTGTGCGGGTCGGACGTGGGATGGCCCGGTACGATCGCGGGTGGACCGTGGACGGAGGGCGGGCGAGGTGCGCATGCGTCCGGTCCCTTAGCCAAGGAGGATGAGATTCGTAGCTGGGCACTCGGTCCGCTCTTGGACACGCTCATAGCATGGATTTGACGAGGTCGCAGACTCAGCGGACCCGATTGTCGTGCGCGTCTGACTAAATATGCTTCCTTTGCAAGTACAGTGCGACGCGACCCACGACATATCCTCACAGCTCTGTGCCCTCCGCCCACAGCACTGGCCGGGCGGCCTGCCGGGACCCCAACGTAGCCGTCCAACTCCCCACAACAAAAGCAGCGCGCGCCTCACTCTGCGATACATTCCTCGGGACGCCACGATTCTTATGGCACCGTGCACCGGAAGGTTGAGCGCGGCCGCAGTGCTCCATGCTCCCAGCCGCCTCGCCGTAAGTACTTACTTGGACTGGGATTACAGCTCGGAACGCGCGCCTCTGCCGAAGTCAAATTCGAACCTTTCATATCGCTTGTGGACCTTCGACGGTGTGGTTTGGGTGCACCCCGGGTGCGAGCGAGTGGGATGCCGGTCGGACTCTGGGGTGCGGGACGGACGTTGCACGACGGGAGTGAATGTCGAAGCTTGAAGCGGAGCGCGTTTGTCCGAGTCGTTCGGTCGGCCGTCGACCGACCTGTATGTGAATCCAGACTCCGGGGATGGCCTCTGTCCGTCCGCGGCATCGCGCCTGCAGTGGAGAAGGGATGCCGACCACTTTGGAGGCCCAGCCGACACCGGGTTGATGTGCGTTTGCAGTGTTGCACGCTCTGCCCGTCCGTTCGAGTATGACTTTGGCGCGCGTTCGGTGCGAGGGTCCGGTCTTCCTGGGCTACTTGCTTAGTTGCATCAGCCCCGCATGTGTCCGGACAGGATGCACAGGCACGGCGATGACATGGGCGTCGACGTGCCAGTGACGATAGGCTTGTGCGAGTTCCGTCCGTTCGCGGGGAGATCTCAGCTGTGGCCGTGGGTCGAAGCTGCGCTGCCAGCTGCTGCCAGTCCTCGCCGACGTCATTTCTAGTGTTCACTGAGTATCGAAGCACTCGCTTCCGAGGAAGATGAAGACGTGGGGATCAGGGAGCCCCAGAGGTTGCATCATCGATTATGCATGTACCCCGGAGATGATTGCTCGACCTTGCCTGTTCGCGGGGGGTGGGGCGCGCGAAGTCGGGCTGTGTCGTAAGATCCGGATGGATGGGATAGGACGAGATGGTCGAGCCTGCTTTGAGCCTACTTACAGATGCGCAGCTGAAATGAGATAGGTGACGTCGGTGGCTTCGTGAGACTGCGAAACTTGTGATTCGCCGGCACGGGCTGGTACATGCACTGCGTCTCCCGGAGTGCGACTGCGGCACCCTGCCAGGATGGTCCGAGCGGGCTTGCTGCTCGGTACATGCGGCTGCGCGGTGTAGAGGGTGGACTGTCCCTTGCCATACTGGGAGGCCGAGTGGCCTCGGATTCGTTTGGATCGGTGGCGTTTGACTCTTTGGCTTCCAATGCGGGGCAGGAACGATCACTGATGCCGCGCCTGTGCCAGTGTGGGGTATGTACCGGTCAGCGTCCAACCTTCTGTCAACGGGCTCAGCACCGGAAAGCGCACCTTCACTACTCCGCGCGGCCAGCACGGCGTCTCTGTCGTCAAGTCCACCGCCGATTCGGAGCTAATTCGTGGTGACGGATTTCCCGTGCGCGTCCGCATTGCCTCCGCATCAGAGCTGCCGTACTGACCCCGCCGCCGTCCATGGAAATGCACTCGTCGGGGAAGGTAGGACTGCTCGTTCCCCATTGACAAGTTGTGCATAAGTCAACTTGGAGGCTATTATGGCCTAATTCAATATGCGGTGCGACTGCCGTCTGATCTTTATACCGATCAATAACAAGGATGTCTTCTGAGTTACGTCTCTGCGTACCATGATGGTCAACCTAAGCTCAACATGCTGTCAACACCGACCGAGCTTGGTTGACCGCGTCTATCAGAATAAGATCGCGTCGTGCGCGCAGTCCGCCTTTGGCGTAGTTGCGCTGATCGCTAGGATAGTGATCACTCTGGATCTTGCTTATACCGGATCAGCAGTCAACCGAGATGCGTATGTTTCTGACCCGACCTTGCGGTAATGTCCCTCGAAGGTCAATGATCCCCACTGCTGAGTCTTGGCACGGATTCGAACGGCGGGGTATACCTCGGCGGGCGACGATGATCTTGGACAAGAGGCATCCGAGTCGAGGACACGCCCGCAATCGGTGCATCCTTCACGCGTTCATTTCCGGCACCTCCTGCAAGCTCACCATCGATGATCACCTATCTGACAATGAGTAAGAGTGAGCGATTGTCGCCGCGGCACTGAAGAGAAGCAGACAGTGGCAGCATGCTGATTGAGCTCCCGCGACGAGCCACCACATAGTCAGCATACCCATCAACGAAAGAGAAACGATGGGACGGCCCTGCCTCGGACCCTTCCGTGCAAGACCGCACCTTCACCTGCTCGGGGCAGCGGAGAATAGTAGGCTGATGTGCGCTGCGCAAACCGGCTGCCCGTGCGGGGTATCAGGGGGAAGGCCGTTCGTCCTAGTGAGGCTTGATCGTGAATCGTGAAGGCACGGTTGTCGTGCTGCCGTGCACAATCTTCCGAATAATAAGCATTGGCCCTGTCTACACGGTTACTCACTTGTCCGGGGAACTACTCCTTCCACCCGAGAGTCATGCTCCTGACGAAGCTACGACTGGTCGATGGGGATCATGTCCCCGGCGAACTTAGGTCTGCAGGATCCGGATCTGCGTGCGGGGGATCAGCGAGGGGACTTGCCTACAGCACCGCCCCGTGCGGGGGGATTGGCGGGGACGATCGCAAATGAGTGCGGGGTCGCTGCGCAGAGCGATCATCCACAGCCATTCCTAGGTCCCTAGGTCCAACCCTGGCGTCGACCCATGTGGGAGTGCTGACGCAAACGTGCCGGAGATCAGAAGCAGAAGAAGGCTGAGGTGCGTCGGACTCAGTCGCTGATACAGCAGTGCGAAGAGCAAAAATCCCCGCGCAGGGCTAGCGTGTTGCCGAACTTCGGATGCGGACGAGGAGCCGGTGCCTGAGAGCACGGTGGAGAATGGACGGCTGCTGCCCGCGCGAAGATCCACGTAGGGTTGTACGGAGTCTTGTCGGACGTCCTAGAAAGACGTCGTGAGGGAAGAGGCAAAGAACGTAGCCTCGATAGAGTTGAAACCAGTGGGACCCAGAGACTGGCGGTACGAGTCACGGCCATAAATCGGCTGCCAGCTCTGGGCCTGAGCTGGTTGGCGCGCGCACAGCGCGTATAGCATCCCTGATGGGCCAGCCGGTATTGCGACCCTGGGAGGTTCACGCCGAACGAGGGTGCGCGTATGTTTTGCGAGGAGAACTGTCCCGTTATGTCTCACCGATACCATGCCATCGGAAGGTTGTTTTAGCCCCGGCATATCTTGCCGGAAGCCCCGGAGGCCCCGGAATGTGGAGACATTGTTGCAAGGACTAAACGAGGCATGAATCAGACGGTCGTTCGTCATCAACAAGTTCGCGACAATAAAATATGCAACTCACTGCTCTTACTCAATTATTTCAAGACGACTCGGAGTCCGCCGCCCACGGCCGTGCAAGTTGGCTCAAAATGCTCCCGTGTCATAACGAATGTCGGGGGAGCGCACACTGTCCTATTCCTTCTCCATACTGCATGCGTCATCGATTCGGAGGCAGAGTGTGCGTCGACTCTCGATCCGAGGAAGACGCGCAGTAGTAGATCGGGGGCAATCTCGCATTCGCCCTTCGCCAATTAAGTCGGACTTAGCGAGCGCATGGCGTTGAATGTGCCCGAGTGATGTCTACGCAAGTGCTGTGAGAAGACACTGTCTATAGGCAGCCCTTGTTCCGGTCCCATGTCCGCGGCGCGTAACACTCTTGTCGTAGGATATCAATGGGCCTTCGTTGAGAGAGCGCAGTTGAAAAAGTGATCAACATGCCTTTTTACAAGTCAGACAAACTATGCGCGGCCAATGGTTGAGCTGTCGGGTCCAGATGCGCGGGTGGGCCGCGCTTCTCGCGGTACAACCTGAACGTTCTCCGAGTGCTGGCTACGATATGAGCGTCAGGACAGGGTCGTCTCCTCATAGCGGAATACTCACACAGTATTATTAGGTACAGACACGTTGCTGCCGATGTGCTAGCAGGAAAGCCGTGACATAAGATTCACGCTCGGATGGATCGCGGTGACGCACGGACTCGGGCGCACATTGTTTGATCCTGACTTCTATACAAAGAACGACGATCGTCCTGTTGTTGCTGTCCGCAAGGTTATCTCCGGATGGCAGTCATACGGGCATATGAATACGTACGAGTCTGTTGAACATCGGAACTGACAAGGCACAATGCCGGCGATAGCTATTCTCAGAGCGAGTGTTACGTCGAACTGCTGCGACCACGGTGAGGGTATGGCGTAGAAAGACAAGCGATAACGAGAGCTCCGACTCCGCGTATTCATTGCCAATATCACAAGCTCGAGAGACGAGGGAACAGGTGCGCTGGACTCACTTACAGGGCTTTTCCCTTGGCATATGGGCAACAACAGGCGACTTTCACTGAACATATGCGCTGCGATACGATGACATGTCAGGTGGAGGGCATATTGCAGCCTAGTAAGCACCACTTGCCTTTTGGGCGGCCACTGCCAGCAGGCCGAAGAGACTCCTACATTCAGACCGTGATTCCGAAGACGAGAAGGCTTGATTCGAAGCTCGTTGTACTTACTGCACTAGAGCATATGTCCGTGTAGACACATTGGGACACTCGAGGCACACCTGGACCGCTTGTTGCATTGGCTCGGGTGACTTGCTTCAAGTCTAAGAGCATGTTAATGAAACTTGTCCACCACGTCGCGAACTCGCCGTGACAGTGGCGAGTGTAGCGAGTCTTCGAATGTTACCCTGGGTTCATATGATATTAATGTGATTTTGGCATCGTCCTGTGCGATGGTTATGAAGCGTATAGAAAACGGGTCAAAGGCGTAATTTGCGGATACTTCGTAGCACTTTCGCAGCCAGTTTGTACGTTGTCAGTGCATTACGAGTTACGAGTTGGTTTCGGGAGACCAGTTGGCAGCGGGAGCCGGTGGAGCCAGCCGGCTTCTCCGTCACGTCCGTGTCGGTAGCGGAGTCAACATAGCCAATTGATAAATTGTACGATACTAACTACTAGTACGTAAGATGTTGTTATGGTGTTATTATATCTACAATACTCATCGAACGGGACGCGGGATATAGATCAAGATATGGATAAAGTTACATCGCGTATTCTGCATCTCAAGCAGCACTTCTCTCCCAGTTCCTCATGGTAAAATTGAAAATAGACGGCAACTTCAACCACACCTTTTTACGCTCCAAAATCTCTCTCTTGTACAACATCATGACGCACGTAGTACATACGTACGACTGCTCGCGAACCACTCCCAATCCTCGATCGATATCCTTCCGCCACGACTCGAGCGCATCGGTCGCACCGGCGCCCCGGCTCCCACCCGCGAGTTTGACGTGGAGAAGGATGATCGCAAACGCGCATTTGTCCGGCGTCGCGCACGCCTCGCTAGCCAGTGGGCACAGTATACTTGAGCGGCTCAGAGCTAGCTGTCCTGCAAGCACCGCCTTCCCATGAATGCATCGCTCGAGATCGTCATCGCTCAGACGGTCGACGGTACCATCCGAGCGGGAGGAGCCGTGCAAAAGGGTGTGAGCGTTGAGCATGCAGCAGTAGTACAGTGCTGAGGGAATGAAGTATTTCTTCTCCGTCAACCGGGCGAGATTGACTACCGCAATGGCGTGCAGCGGCTGCACCGGATGGTCGGAGGAGTTCATCTCGACGAATCTCGGGGGAAAGAAGCGCCGGAGTCGCTTCAGTGCGTCATCGAGCAGATCTTGAATATGGTACTTGTGGCTCATACGAGCCCACGCCACGATGTCTTCGAGGTGGGCGCCGTCGTTGTGAGTGTACCTGTGGGATGGAGTAAGCATGGAGATCAAGCAGGTAAGCAGGCGACGCACTTTCGTCCGTGGATCATGACCGACAGCAAGGCTCTCAGCTCCTGCGCCGTGTCAGACAAGTGTACCGTGGGGCACTCCTCGATGGACGGCACCTCAGGCGGTTGTGGGATCGTGAAGAGGTCGGCGAACACCTCTGACTGCTCCGCCAGGAGACCCTGGTAAACCTTGAAGCCGATATTCCCCGCGAGCAGCACAATGCTCCCGTCGGGATACCAGAACGCGTCGTCCTTCGTGAAGCCCTCCTTGGATTCCTTTACGGGCTCCCCCGCAACGGACTGTGTGTCAGAGTCCGCGCGAGGGCGTTTACGGGATTGATTAGGCATGATGCTTGGCATCCTCACGAGTGTTGCACTAGTCGGTTCCGGCTAGTACAATGTGCATCTAGAGCATAGCAGTCATTACTGATGATCTCGCTGAGGGAGAATGAGAACGTACCTATTTCAGACCCGCCCCTGTTGCAGCGGGCAGATGGAGGGGCAACTACGGAGGAGGAATGACGACCGCACGAGTCTTATACTCGTGACAGAGGCACAGGGCGTCACTCATTGTCACGCTCTGCGTTGCTTGCAGGGCCCAGGTTGGGCCCAGGCGTGCATGTGATCGCGCTCGTACCTCTTCCGTTTCCTCGCGACGCGCCGCATCTACAGCGACTTCAACCTCGCCAAGGCCCAAACGCAGGGCAGCTTGGTACGGCCATTCAGTTTCATTGATCGAAATGCATCTCACCGTCTCGTCTCGCTGCTTAGCATCATGTCCGAAGCCGGCAGTAACAGAAGACCTCTCTTGGCCGAACCGGACGACGCCGGTGGCGACGACCTCGCTAGCCAGTCGATACGCACGGACTTCGACTGTGACAATGAAATATGGTACCAGGATGGGACAATCATTCTCATTGCACAAGGCACAGGCTTCCGCGTATATCGCGGTATGCTGGCCGAACGAGCAGAGATCTTCCGCGACATCCTTTCCATCCCGCAACCACCAGACACCCAGCTCGCTTTCGGCTGCCCTGTTGTCCATTTGTCTGACACGGCGATTGCCTTGCGCGAATTCTTGAACGCGCTTTTCCGCGAGGAGAGGTACATACTACTCGGTCTAACCTTGTATCCCGAGCCGCACTGATGCTGCCAAACTCAATAGGTACAGTCCGACGAGCGACGTTGATTTGGCAAAACTATCGTATCGGATCCGCCTATCCCACAAGTATGGCGCAGAGAAGCTTTTGAAACGATCCATTCAAGAACTTCAGAAGCTCTATCCCACTGACTATTCGTCGGTGCAGCACAGACAATTTTACAGCAGTGGGATTCCTCGAGGCATCGTCGCTGCCAACTTGGCAGACTTGACGAACACTTCCTCCGTCTTGCCCTCCGCGCTGTACAGCTGTTGCCAGCTTCCCGACGAAATGCTCTTCGAGGGCACGGTACTGCCGGACGGAACAGTGGAGAGGCTGAGTAGAGACAATCTGCTTCGGTGCTCCAGGGCCAAAGCCAAGCTGGCCTTCAGACATGCGCAGTCCATCCACGAGATATTCTCCCATGAGGACTCCCAAGACTGCCTCGATAATTCCCTTTGCCGGGATGATACTCGAATCGCACGCGACGCCGTCTTGGACGGACGCGGCGTTGAAGGCGGTGAAACCGATGCCCTCGCGCCTTTGGGCGCGTTCTTCTCGGAATACCGGTACGCTTTTTCTGATGGTGCGTATCGTTGTGGACACTGCATGTCCGCACTCTACGCTAGAGAGGTAGCGGCGCATAATGCCGTGTGGAAGCACCTGCCATCGTACATGGGGGTGAAGGTTGAAGGTTGGGGAGACAAGGCAGAAGACTCCGACTTGGATGTCTGAGTCGACTACGTCTGACGGGAAACTCCAAAGAGAACATGCATTCGTGGGTTGTCCCAACAGCGTACGTGGAGTGCCCATTCATACTTTCGATAGGTATGGCATCTCGTCGCGATATCGCTCAATTGTATCTTCTTACTCCGAACAATCACGGCGCCGTACCATGAAGCAATCACTACTCATTTTCATACCCTCAAGGCAAAGAGTAACATTCAAGTCGAGCGACCAGTCACCCCAAGCCAAGGATTCATAAATTCATACACGATCATCAGAGTCTATCGTACAGTCTCACTTCATTGCCGTGCCTATCTAACAAGTACCGCTACTTTCGTCGCACCAGTCGAAGACGGTGTAGCGATTATTCACGCTATAGGCCCCGCGTGCGGATGCAAAAATTGTTGTCAAACTCCAAGATGCGAAGTGTGACGCTCAGAATCACTGACCTGGACGACTATGTATCATGGCGGTCTGAGTCATCATGTTCCAAGCAGTACCGCAGTCCACAATCTCAGGGAGCCTTCCCCACACATACCATCGCGCCCTGACTGCCTTCTGCTTCAACCTGGCAATGCAGTGGGTGCAACATCCGCCCGTGACCTCCTTGATGATGCTATCCCAGTCTCGCAATGCGTCGTGAGGCGAAACCCCGATCTTCTGGTATATGCAGTAGCTCGCTGCGATCGCGTTCAGGTTGGTGAGGCACGGTTCGTGCCATCCCTCCGAGTCGTTGGAAATTTCCCAAATCGCCATCGCCACGTCGATGTTGCGGCGGCAAAGTTCCTTTTGGGCATGCAGACATCGCATGATATCAGCACGACTCAGGTAGTCTTTGTCGCACTCGGCGCCGAGACCACGCAATAGGTCATCGGGGTCGAGCTGGCAGCACATGTACAGGGCCACTGGCAAGATACGGTGTTCGCCAGTCAGGCGTGCGATGTTCACCGCTGCGATTGCGTCTGTCACGACGAAGGTCATGGTACGGCTTCGCATTTTCTTGATCGCTTCGTCCCAGACGTCAAAGGTATCACTGAAGCAGCTTCTGATGCGCGCAAGGCCTTCCTTCAGCACGTCTTTGATCCAGTATTCATGGCTGAGGCGGACCAGCGCGGCGACCATAGCGAATGGCAATACGGCAGGCCACCTAGATGGAAATCGTCATGAGGCAGCATACATGCGTAGCTGGAGGACTCACGATTCTCCTAACACGACAATCCGCAGAAGGAGTCGAACGGCGTCGGATGGCCACTGATCGAGTGAGAACACCTCGTCACGAACATCGCTCCGCGAATCCAGCGCCGACGCGTCTGCTGCCGTTGCTGGGCCAAAGATCCTGGCGCGGAAGACCTCCGAGTGGCGAGCCAACAGCCCTCCGTAAACGCGAAAGCCGACGGAATCGGCGGCGATGATAGTTACGTTGCCGTCCGGGAACCACAGCGAGTTGTCAGGTCGGATCTCTGTCGCGGTCAAGTCCACTAACTCCGCACGATTACTCGAGTTCGAGCGAAGCCGCTTCCTCGCGTTGGTCCCGGAACCTCTTGCCACTGTTTGCAGGCTCATAGCGGAGCCGTCGATATAGAGACTTGCAGTGTGCTAGCGCCCCAAAGATGTCAGGATACGCGTATGATGGAGAAGAGAGCAAGGGATGGTGGGGAGATGCAAACCGACCTGGTAGGTCAGGAGGAAGGTTGAGGGTTAGCGTTGTGGTATCTGCAGGCGGCATATAATGCCACTGGCATGCATTGTTTCATACGGCTGTGACGATGGCCCGGCCGTCCGGCGCTTGCTCCAGCGGCATGGTACCCCCAAAGCGCGTCGTTGTTCTTCACATGCAGGCAACTGGGATCATTGCTCAGCGATGCTGAATAAATCGGAGAGCTCATGGTGGTCGAAAGGAAAGAACGCGCAATAACATTGGACTCACCCCTCGCTGTGTTGATACGCTACGTGACAAGCTCATCGAAAAGAGCCTTACCTGTCTGGCTACACGGCGCGTGCAGCATCTTGTCAAACCTAGCCGGGAGAGTCTCATCTATGCGTCAGTCCCAGACCGCCGCAATCATATCCCCAAGTGTCCCATGAGACGACGGGCCGATCATGTACACGGGTGAGAAGCTAGGTCAGCATGGAGTAGGGCAAGGGGACAACGTGAGAACGTAACCGAGCCTATGCATTATAATTCGCGCACAGCGTACACCACGATTGCGTGTCAAGAAACTTCTCTGCTTACTGTTGCTACGGCCCCCGTATATGCACCACGACCTCCGTATATGCACCATGTCGCCTCACCGCTTCGCCCTCCAGCCCGAGCCACCCAGCGCACCCGCCCCGCCAATGCCAAAGCCCGCGAATGCACCACCGGGCCCCGGTGCACCTGCAGCAGGAAGCGCCGGGCCCTCGCCCGGACCGCTCAGCGGGCTGTTCTTGTTGTGGAACGACGAGCGGAAGGACGTTTGCGGGAGTGCCTGGATGGTGAGGAATTTGTTCGGTGTTGGGCGATCGTCGTTGTTGTACTGAGCGACGGGGGTCAGCGGAGCTACACGCACACGAGGGAACACGGTCACGCACCTGGAACTCAAGCCCAATGCCGTCCGCCTCGGAGACGTCGAGGAGCTTCACGAGCTTCCGGCCGATGCCGTTGATCTTCTCGACGTCCTCCTTGGAGCGCGTCCAGAGCTGTATGCGGTCGACCTTGCTGCGTAGACTAACGACCGCGCCGCTAATTTCATCGCCGTCGTCGAGATCCTCGCCGACGAGAGCCATTGCGAGCCAGCTCCAGCAGCGGTCGAGCAACTGCGGGTTGTTCTTCATGGTGAGGACCCACTTGCCGCCGTTCGCGTTCGCGGGGTCTTCCCACATTGGCTTGATGCCTGACTTGAACAGGTGGTAGTTGGAGTTGCGCTCCAAGCGCGAGGGCGGCTTGAGCCAGTTGAAGTAGCGGCAGAACGTTTCGACGGTGTCGAACTCGCCTATCACCGTCAGGCCGGCCTCGTATTCGTCCGTGTCGGGCGCGACGAAATGGGTCGCGCTCTGCGGTGGGTCCGCGCCCGCACTGCTGAGCGAGCGCGCAGGATGGGCGGAGGCGGGTGTGAAGGGAACGTTGGACTTTGTGTCGTGGAATAGTGTCCTGCACGCGGCGTGAGGGCGTGTGCGGGACAAAGCATGAGCACGCACCACTTGTTCTCGAGCGGATGCTCTGGCGCCTTGATGCGCAGCCCAGGCGTCTTGGGATCCTCAATTGTGTCTGCGTCTGGTGGCTTGGCACTGCCGTCGACGCTGAGCGTCCTCGCCTTTGCGAGGCGGGCAGTGATCGCGTCGAGACTTGGAATGTTCTTGTAGCCGACGGGCATCTTCTGCTTCTTCGCCCCTACCGCCTCCGTTTCCTCATTGAGCTTGTCCAGTGTCTCGGTCGTAAGCTGTTCACCGCTGCCCACATCGCTGGGCGCTGGTGTCGTAGACGAGCTGCCCGGGGGAGAGGTCGAGAGGGTGGCGGGTGATACGGATCGAGATCCAGGCGGATTGACGGTTACAGAATCCGTCGTCGACGCCTGGGTAGACAATGATGTCTGAGACGAAGTGCGAAGGAGCGCGGCGGCGAGGCGAGGACGGGAGGCCGCAGCAGCGGGGTTGGTGCCTGCATTTAAGTTGATACGTGCGGCGAGCTGGTTGAGCGACGGCATGCGCCCGCCTGCAGCGGGACGCTCGGGCTTCGGCGCATCGATCTTGGGTATGGCGGGGTCGGAGGCAGCGGCGGGAGCAGCGGCGGGAGTCGACATGGCGGCGATGAGCAAGTCGTCCGCGACGGCGCGCGGGGCTGTGGCGCGCCTCAGTGCAGCGCGTGCGGCAACCATCTGTGACGCATAGCGGCGATGTCTGTAAGAGGTGACCAGACAACGATTATGTACATTCTTGTCTATTCCTCCATCGTGGGCATGTGGTGTAGTTGGTTATCACGCTCGCTTAGCATGCCGAGTACGATCACTCTTGGCTGCGAGAGGGGTCCGGTTCGATCCCGGACATGTCCATTTGCTTTTTGCGCCCAAGTGGGTAGGTCGACCCACTATACCCTGTATGCACGGCAGAGAGTCACTACAGACTTATGTACTTCTGCGTCAATCTTCAGCCGCTCCTTCCGCCCTACTGGCCTCCTGACCAAAAGCATCCTTGTCGTCCTAGCATATCCGATTATAGACCTCCAACGTCGCAAACACAATCTCGTCAAGGCAGGCGCAACCTACGAACGGATTAGTCTTCGCAATATTTGAAGCCAATGCCGCGTTCCTCACCCTCACGAAGTCCTCGATGTTCGCTCACCGCGTTCCAGTTACCGAGGACACGCCCATGACCTGTGGTAGTCTCTTCCATATCGTCTGCCGTTCTTCATTTGCTCTCCTTTTCAGTAGAGCGATGTGCGGTCCGCAGATTCGGTGTTTCTTCCCAACGTCTTCAATGACGAGACTCCAATCCTTCAAGGCGCCATGGTGGGTAAGTCCGCTCTTCTCGTAGTCTCGATACGCTGCAGCAATCACATCCACAGCCTCCGCGCAGTCGCATTCGTATCTCGCGCCATGATCACAAAGAATGGGTCTCCAGATGTTCATCACAACGAGAACGTTGTCGTGGCAAAGCCTCGTACGGGCGCGGACACAGAGCTTGATATCTGCAGGGCTCAAGCGTGAGTCCTCCATGCCTCGAGGGAAGCCGTCTACGATACGGTCATGAGGAAGCTGGCAACACGTCACGAGGCAAGCTGACGCCAGACGTCAGGCGCCTACACGCTCACGATCCACACTCACCACCGCGGGCAAACCAGGTTTTTCGGGCTCCGAAAACGCTAATAACATCGGTCCTCCATGGGAACCTTTCCGGAGAGCTTGACTGACTCCGAAAATGCTCCCGCATTTCTCATGTTCGTAGCATGTTCTAGTGTTTCTGCAGAGGCGAGTCAACTCGCAACTCGCCTCGACTCGAACCCCCGAGTTGCGTAACTCGCTGATGGAGAGGCGAGTCGAGTTCACCCCCGAGCCAACTCCGAGTTGCTAGGCGGGGTGCTGAGATAAGGGGTACGCACGCATATGATTGGCCGGCAGCCCCCACTGCGGTCACGCGAATGCGTTCAACGCGCTGTACGCGCCGCGTCGCGCTGGAATTGGCCACCGCTGTCGCTATGGTCCTCCGCAATGGATCGAGGAAAATCGGGACCCCAGCGAAGCTGCCAGTGCACGTCAATGGATGATAGAGGCTGTGCGTCCGATTCTCCATACTAACGCAATTTCAAGTGACTAATTCACGCTTATGCCCCGCTGCAGATGCTCGAATATCGCATGGACGAACAACTTCGTCGCCGGGGGCTGGCGAGTCAAGCTAGTCAAGCCTCAACCCGGCGTAGCGCAAGCTTCCCAAGAGCCGCGAATATGGCCCACCACAGCGGCGCGGACTTGCCGGTCTGCGTCAGTTGGCTGCGCGCCGCATCGAACGATCCGCCTCAATGCCGACCTCGTCTGCGTCATCCGGGTCAGACTCTCCTGCACAGCCCAGCGGCCCCGAAACCCGGCCAGCGACACCAGAGCCTGGCGAGCCAACGAACAACGAGAACGCGACCTCGAGTGCTCAGGCTGGTGTTCCCGAGAGCGGGACCAATGAGGCCTGTTGCCTCGACTACCAAGCTGTCAAACTGGGATTAGAGAGGTACCTGAAAGATAACAACACTGACACAATTGACGAGGGTGCAGACCTCATCGATATTGGGGGGTATGTTTGAAGGTTCTGTCAATCACCTGCCGACGATCGCTGACGCGGCAATTCATGTCAGGAGCGGAAGACGGAGTACTCGTATATGTATCGTGTCGCACTCGACGTGCTCCCTGCTCAAGCACCCGCGGTCACTTGCGAGCGGATGTTCCCGTCCAGCAAGGAGACCGATACCCTCCGCCGCAACAGACTGTGTGACTCACCGGAGGTCATGGAGGCGCTACAGATCCTCAAGTACTTCTACAAGCAAGAGCGACTTCACTTCGCGTCGTAGCTTCTCGCGCGCGAGGACGACTACACGATCGAAGGCCCAATCACTGAGGCGGTGATGGACGAGCTTTTACGAACTGGCCAATACGTTGTTCTCGATGATCGAGTCATCCATAATTCGAACGAGCAAGCCCGGGAGATGGCGTAGCCGCCGTAGCGTACATTAGGAAGCTTAGAGTACTTTACTATAGTGATAATTGTTGTCCACCTTGCGTACATGTTCGCCCGTTATCCGTCTCCGCGTCCTTTGCAGTCGCAGGCCGCAGCCACCGGGTCTGTTCTCCCATTGGTCAGTGCTCACGTGCTAAGTGGTGGGCAACTCGCGAGTTGACTCGCAACTCGCCTCGTCATAACTCGCATCACCGAGTTATGTCGAGTTCCCGGACTCGACTCGCCTCGACTCCCTCTGCAGAAACACTAGCATGTTCGCCGAAAACACGCATGTTCGGCCTCCGAACATGCTGAAATCGGCTGAAATGCATCATGTTCGCAGCATGCTCTGACAATATTCGGAGTCCGTAAAGGTTCCCAGGCGGGACTGATGTTCGTAGGGGTTTTCGGAGTTGGAACAACCTGGTTTGCCCGCGGTGCACGCCGAGTCGATCCGGTGGCGCTTAGAAATGATGGATACCTACGACCACCCACAGCTTTCCCGACGCCACGGAAAGCAATACTGGCAAGACTGAGCCAGTGTTCTCCGGCTACTTCGGTGAGGAGGACTGAGCGCTGTCGCCGCGGGCCGTCAAGAACTTGTCGGGACCCCCTCCTCCTCGGACATGGCCCGGGCAGTGCGTGCACTGAAACGGCCGGACAAACCTGTGGGGTTGTCGAAGAGTTGCGGTCGGACGCACCGTGGACCTGAAGTTGCGGAGACGGAGTCTTCATGCTTGACAGATGCTTGATGCTTCGTCGGTCAAGCGAAGGTACGCAGCAAACATACTTGTGATTGTCAGAGCCCACATTGATACGATGTGCAAGTTTCGCGTGATTGTGTGATGCGCCAGACTCATAACCCGTCACAGCTCTTGACTCGGATTAGAATGGGGCGAACAAGGGATCCCAATGAGTCCAGGTATCGCTATGGATGTATTTCGCAGTAGATCGGGTATGATTGTCACTGGTACTCGTGATGAAGCATGCGCTGACCTGACATCTGCATTATAGCGCGATATCCCTGGCTCGTTATCTGCAGTAGTATGCAGTAGAGGTTCTCGCGCGTGAACGTTTACGTCGACCCACACGGTGAGCCGACTCTTTGCGCCGCATTGCTTCGCGATTGCTCATTCCGGACCTCGTGTCGTAGATTCGTTTAAGACGCTATAGATAAACATGATAACAGAGCAAGCGGAGCGAAAGAAATGGAGAACGTCCATCAGCCTTCATTTACAAGAACTCGAGCCAGGGGACGGCTACTTCGGCACACCTGGCGCGTTCTCCAGGCGGCCGCAGGCGACAAAGAGCACTACGATTCAGAGCATGCGCCGTTCGAAAATGGGAGGAAGTGAAGCCAACAAAGGTGGTACGTCTGCCATCCTCGTACTGTGGCGGTCGCGGGAGGGACCCGCAGTGCAAAAATCCGACGGCGACACAGTGCGGACTTCTTTTATATCTTAGAGGGCTTTTTGTAGCAGTGCGGGCTTCTATAGGTGCGTGAGCTTCGACTCGGCTTCCTTCCGGGCGCTATTTACATGATGGTTGAATGTGTGGATTACATACTTAGTTGCATCGTGAAAAATATCGTGGAGAAGATGCACTGCCCTGTGTGCCATAAGCTCTTCCTCCTGGGACTCAATGCCTAGTCTTGAATTGGATAACCGTTGTGCACATTATACGTATCTTGTGTGTTTTCTGTGCGTGTACCTTCATGCTGCTCGACTCGGACAATCGGAAACTTGCAGCAGACACCAACGGAAGACATTGCAGGAGAATACTGAGCTGTTTTATTGGGTGATGTCAGCGTGCTCCTGCCGTAACTCTGTCATGGGAACGCGGCTACTCCGCAAGCAGGAAATTGTGCATGAATTGCGACTGTAGGACTCAAGTCACTAGGAGTGACGCTCCGGCGATTGCCGCGTGCAGACCCTAAGATAGGGTTCCCGTGCCCCGCTGTCGTCACCGCATCCTCACGGATGATGTCTACGCCACCGTGCTCACTGCGGCCAAACATTGCAGGGTGTGACAATGTCCAGTCTGTCTGTGCCACCTTGCACAGATAATGCATCTTGTCCGTCAGCACTATTCCGTTGCTCGTCTTCACGCAACGAGAACCTTCAGTAGTAACTCTACGCGACTTCGGATTCTCTCGTCGACCAGACTCACGCCCAGTGCACCTGGCTCCCGCAGCATACTTCATACGCAGACATCAAGTTCGGTACATAGAACCTTTTCTCCTGCGAGTGCAGAGAAAACGCGCAGCATGTCTTCAGACGCACCAAGCACAGCGCGCGACCGGAATGCCGCAGACAAGCCAAGGCATCAGAACCGTCTGGTGAACGCGAAGAGCCCGTACCTGCTGCAGCATGCTGAAAACCCGGTACGTCGCATGCTTCCTTCCAGCTGATGTATAAGCTGAGAAATGATGTTCTGCACGCAGGTTGATTGGTACGAGTGGGGCCCGGAAGCGTTCGAGAAGGCAAAGAGGGAGGACAAACCGATATTCCTTTCGGTGAGTTGCTTTTCACGGTCAAATGGTCCAGCGATTCTCCTGCAAAAAATGAACCTCCCTACAAGGGGCATTGTCATGGATAGACACCTTACTCTAACCGATTCCATAAGTTTGTGATATGGGCATATCCTTCTTGCCACAATCTACGATCTCCTGCTCACTTGTCGTCGACCCTATGTCTTACTGACCCGCATATACCCACAGGTCGGCTACTCAGCGTGCCACTGTCTGTCTCACAACTTTGTACTCAGCGACCCTTCGCTTACGGGAGCCACCCAGGGTGCCACGTCCTCGCTCACGAATCGTTCGAGGACGAAGTAACAGCAAAACTCATGAACGAGCACTACGTGAACATCAAGGTCGACCGCGAGGAGCGGCCCGACGTAGACCGGCTGTACATGACGTACTTGCAGGCGACTACAGGTGGCGGTGGCTGGCCGGTGTCTATCTGTGCGTCCAGCAATTCTTTATTATCCTGCTTGTATACTGCAGAGGGAAAGGAATTCATGCAGGTTCTGACGGTGTGCTCAGGGCTGACGCCGGAACTCCATCCATTCTTCGCGGGGACTTACTTCCCTCCGGGGAACTTCAGGCAGGTTCTGGTGAAGCTCGCTGAAGTGTGAGTGGCATACCGCAGCCCTCATTAGGCAAGCAGTTTCGCTAACCCGAGTATATGCACAGCTGGGAGGAAGACCCCGAGCGGTGCCGCTCCACTGGCAAACAGGTGATCGAGCAGCTACGTGAAGCAACTGAGGTACTGGCCTGCCCTCGACCGGTCTCCGAGTCTCCGATACTCACGACCTTAACAGGCACCTGCCTCATCCTCAGGCAGCGCGAACCTGCCCATCCCTTCCCTCGCACACAAGACCTTCTCTCGACTCGCCCGGCAGTTCGATAGCACGCACGGCGGGTTTGGGCGCGCGCCCAAGTTCCCGCAGGTATCCACGACGACCGGGTTCCTCGCGCGCTTCGCCGCCGCCGAGCAGCGCTCCCCCGCCGCGAAGGTTGTGTCCTCACCAAGCAGCTCCAGCGCAGGCCAGCCTCCGAGTGCACAGGAGGTCCTAAGCTACCTGGACGCGGAGCCACACGGGGAAGAGGCGGGGGCAGACTTGGAAGGGGAGACGGGCCGCCCGGCGAAGGCGGCGGGCGGGCAGACCGACGCAGCGAGGGCGCTGGAGATGGCGGTGTTCACAATGGGGCGGATCTATGCCGGTGGGGTGCACGACCATGTCGGGGGCGGGGTTGCGCGCTACTCGGTCGATGAGCGGTGGCATGTCCCGCACTTCGAGAAGATGCTGTGAGTCCGCCTTACTACATCGCAACCAGTCGCGTTCGTTCCGCTGACTAGGCGAGGCTAGCTACGACCAAGCTCAGCTCCTCCGCTCTGCGCTCGAGCTCTACCTACTTGTTCCAGAGGGCGACCCGCAGCGCGCACCCCTCCTCGCGCTCGCCCGCTCCATCCTCGCCTACCTCCCCACACTGACGAGCCTCGCTGGCGTCTTCTTCAGCGCGGAGGACGCGGACTCGCTGCCCACGTTCCACAGCACGAAGAAGCGCGAGGGTGCGTTCTACACGTGGACTGCGGCGGAGATCGACGCGGTCCTCGGTGGCGTGAAGCTCGGTGAGGATAGCTTGAGTAAAGGCGTGATGAAAGCGGCGGACGTGTTCAAATGGACATATGGCGTGGAGGAGGACGGCAATTGTGACCCGGGGCATGACATCCAAGGCGAGCTGAAGGGGCAGGTGAGGCTGTTGCTTTGCGCACTTCATTCATTATCGCTTAAGTCCGCGTGTTGGCAGAACGTCCTGTACCTCGCGCATACTCACGAAGAGACAGCGCATATGTTCGGGATCTCGGGTGTTGAGGCCGAGCGCATACTCACCGATAGCCTGGCTGCGCTGAAGGACTGGCGTGACAAGAACCGACCTCGCCCGCACCTGGACGACAAGTTCGTCACTGCTTGGAACGGCCTCATGGTTGGTGTCTTCTGTATTATCTGCTTACATGCACTTATCGCATGATGCGTAGATCTCAGGACTTGCGCTCGCCGCTGAGGTTCTCCCGGGTGCCGAAGGTAGGCAGGCGTTGGGCATGGCCGAAGATGCGGCGAAGTTCATTAAGGGGAGCATGTATGATTCGGAGACCGGAGAACTCTGCCGGAGCTGGCGCGAGGGCAAGGGTCCGAGAGGTGTGACAGAGGACTATGCGTTCCTCGTTCAGGGTACGGCCCACGCTCAACAACGTCCTTCACACCACTGACGTGCACGCCGCATAGGTTTGCTGGACCTCTACGAAGCGAGCGGCAAGGAGGAGTACGCGACCTGGGCGATTCTCCTCCAAGAGAAGCAAGACGAGCTCTTCTTCGACGAAGACAACGGCGGATACTTCACCTCCGCGCCCGACGAGCACATCCTCATTCGCATGAAGGATGCGCAGGATGGCGCAGAGCCGAGCGCCGCGTCCGTCACACTCGCGAACCTCTACCGCCTCTCACACATCGCGGAGGACCACCACGCGGAGTTCGCGAAGAAGGCAGCGAGTGTGCTGCAGTCAAACGCGCAGCTCCTGGAGCACGCGCCGTTCGCGCTTGGGTCGATGCTCGCGAATGCGATGGTCCATGAACGCGGATACGTGCAGATGATTGTGACCGAGTCGCCCGCAGCGTCACCACAGTCGCCTGCGTTGAAGACGATCCGCAAGCGGTTCATGCCGCACCGTGTCCTGATCCATTTTGATCCCAACGCACCGCCGAAGAAGGTCGCGAAGGCTAACGGCACGTTGCGCAGCCTCGTGGAGCATCCAGAGGAGAAGCCCAGCGATGGAGATGTCAGGCCGAACGTACGGGTGTGCCAAGATTTCACTTGCGGCCTGCCTATCTACGAGTTAAGTGAGCTTGAGAGTGTTTTGAACGCTTGAAGAAGACTATGTCATAGCCAGAGTGTGTGGAGCAGTCCGAGATAAATATGTACACTATCGACATTCCAGCCCATACGAATATACATCATGCGACATCGAGCGAGTCCCAGCATATCACAAGTACCCAGACTCGACAGAGCAGATATGTAGATGCACAGCTGCCAAGCTACGGAAATTCGAACAAAAGATAGACTAGATTACAATGAGATAGGTTGCCCTTCCTTGACTGTCCGAGGATATCCGTCCTTTACTGGGATTCGTTAAGACGTTCACCAACAGGCGGTGGGGTATTGTCCGAGTCATGATTGTGGCAGTGGAATGAAGCACTCGTACAGCGGATCTGAGGCTCCTTTCCAGCCGACTAAGATGCATTCCTCAGTTACGACGAGCTCGAACGAATGGGAGTACACACCACATTGCCAGCAATCGAAAACGCCATCAGGATCGCTATCGAAGACGTTAGGAACAGTTGGATTGCGTTGGAAGCGGAGGTCACTGACTACTTCTGCTTCACGGAGAGCAGCTTAGCATAGTTGGAGCCCCAGTACGCATCGGTGTGATCCGGCTCGTACACGTCTCCTTCGTTCTGCAGTGGGCGTTATCAATGACTGCTTATGAGGCAGTGAAGAATGAAGGCGTACGAAGTATGCTCCGCTGCCTGGGGTGATGTCCCGGAAGGTCTGTATGTGCTGCGAAATGGCCGTATACTGATCGGCGATGTACTCTGCGGTGCTGTTCCACGCCCAGCTACCATGCAAGCCCAGCTAGCATCATCATGATCGTCAATCAAACAGCATGAGCCCGAACCCGACGCACAGAACGCACATGCCACAGAGAGTCGTACCACGCCGGTGTGACGCTCGTCGAGCCCGGAGTGTAGTCATACAAAAACGGCGTGCCCACGACGACATACGGGCTCGTAAACGAGAGCACGTTCTCGATCGTCTTCGCGATCACCGCCCGGCCGTCCGTCGTGTTGAATAGCTCGCTCGAGATCAGCCGCGTGCCGAGCGTGATCTCCGTGCCCACAGCCTGCCCGTACATATCAATGAGGAACCGCTAACTTGAAGCGCATGCAAGGGTAGGGAACGTACCACTTCGGCTGTGGGCACGTACTTGCTGAAGAAAGCGAGGTAGGACGGCATCTCCTCCACGACGGCTGTGCCGCCCTGAGCGAGGGCAAAGTCGGCGGTTGCTTGCATGGACGCGTTTGCCTCGGCATTGCTGAGCAGGGGCGTCACGTAGATCAACGCTGGGCCCTGCGAGCACGATAGTCAGCGTGTGGTAGTGGTACAAGTGGAAAAATACGGACCGTTATGTGGCCTCCCCAACCTTCAGTTCCCCATTTGTATGTCTCGTTGACCAGCAGGCTGTACCACTGGGCGAGGTTGCTCGTGTTTGAATGGCCAGTAAAGCCGATGGACGCGCTGTGTTAAGGTACGTCTTCATGAGACGAAACCTCTCAGCAGGGACGAGTACGTACACCTGCAGGGTCACCTGCGGCTCCAGTCGATGTGTAGACTCGAAGACCACGCCAAAGGCGCTCCCGCCACCCCCTCGGAGTGAGAAGAACAAATCAGAGTTCTGGCATTCGTTCGCAACGAGGTAGAGCCCCTCAGGTGTGACGACCTTGACTTGGACCTGTAGTTGTTCAGCTCAAGCATTGTTCCAGCAAGTAGACGGCTTACCACGCGGTCCGCAGCTAGCCCGTATACAGGAGAGAGGACGCTGTGGCCGCCTCCCTAAATTAAGATATCAGATACGTTCGGGGGGCAGGAATAGCTAGGCCTACGAGGAAGTAGCCGCCTCCGGCGCCGATGGTTTGGTGGTACCCGCCAATGAACGTCCGGTTGATGCTGTCAACGTATTCGAAGATGTCTTCCGTATTCGCGCCGGGCTGGAAAGGTATGTCAGAGAGCTATACGGCGTACGCAGTGATGCTCCCTACCCCAATGGTCAGAGCGTCGTAGCTGGTCGTGCACCCTTCAGGTACGAACAACTCGTCGTGCGATATCTGAATCTCTCATTAGTCCAAACCGGATCACAACACATAGCGTAGCATACCGAGTTCAGATTTGCGACCTGTCGTACCACGGTAAGATATGCATACAAGACACTGAAGGAGCGAACCGACCCATAGCGCAAGAGTGCCCTTGCCGCCTGACCTGCCCTTGTAGTCATGTCCCTTGTTCTTGACAGACAATCGGATACCCGTCAACTTCGAAAATGCTATGGCAGCTTGCACGTCCGTAGGGCACTGAACGTCAATCTGAGCGAGCGAAGGATATCTCAGTATGCCAGACACTGGCTTTGCAAAGCACGGCGGACGCACGTAGTACGAAGGGATATCACCAAGCTCGCAGTCAACGCCAGTGAAAGCTGCGGGGTCCTCGGGATTCGAAACGTTAAGCAGGCACTCCCCAGCAGGCCGCTTTGCTTGACAAGTACTCCATTGTGACTACGGACAAACGTCTCATTCACGAGTTAGCCAGTAACCTCTTCACGAATGGACGTACTATCATGTACGTGCCAAAATGCTGCGTGCGCTCGAAAGGGGACGTGTAGTTGGCCTGGATCGCTGCGCACGCGTCCTCGTCTGGCGTAACCGACTCGCCATTGTACTCGGAGAAACATGGCAGCTCCCAGGGGATCGCTGTGTACAGACGTCCACCGACAGTCGCGTTCAGGCGCGCAAGTTGTCCCCGTACCTCCCCATGGCTGAGAACCGCGCCCAGAGCTGAAATCACATTGCTATTGACCACTGGAAGTGTGCAGCCCAAGAGGACCCACGGCAAGCGGACCATCGCAGGTGGGACACAGCAAACTGTCAGTCAAAGAGGTGCTGAAGTCGAAGACGGCGCGTCGTATAGAGAGCTGGAGGCAGCGCCTGTGTGCTCGGTGAGGTCACTGTTGAAACCTTCTCCACCCTCTGTCCAGCCAGAGTGGGAGATCCTGAACACTGCCAATGCCATCAGACGCGACGATCTGCGACGCGGCGCGTAATACACGGTCACGTGATGACATAAAACATCTCGCTCGCGAGTCTTCGCGACCACCCGTCAGTCCCGTCGAGATGCATACTTATGGACGTCTTACTACATACTGAAGCCTTCAAGCAAGAGGCGACTTCACCGGGTTGGTGAAGGGAACAGTACTTACTACGCGTCGTCCCGAATAGAAATTATGGCACGTGAGAGTTGCGCGCTCGGGCGGCAGCCTGCACCGTGGGAGACCTTGGATCCTTGAACCTTCGCACTCACAGCAGGCTACCTCGTTGCAGGAATGCCTCTAACAAAGCGCTGAGTAGGCTTGCGATGACCGCACAAGCCGCATGCCTCAGCCGCCAAACTTGCGAGGAGACGAAGGAAGACTAGTTGTGGTCAGCCGTCGTGCCACGTCTTGTTGAAGCGCTCAGCGCAGGCAGAAGCCTGCTATGAGTATGTACGTTACTACCTCTCAGATTGTATGCTCACCGACAGGCGCGCCCTTCAGATATTGAACGCGTCAGACCGGATATGCGCTTGTTTATCACATTAAAGCCGCGCGATCAGAACGCGGTAGCGGGGAAGGGGCACCGGGCATTCAAGTTCACAGAACGTCTCTCGCCACGATGTCATTGAGGGACTCCCTACCGTGCTGCACAGGCGCAGGCAGCGCTGAAGATACTCTCCTGAAAGTATGCTCTCGTTTGCAGCGTATTGCCACAAGTCTAACGCGGACGCGTTCTTGGATGTGACGAGATCCTCCTAAGTAGCGCTCAAGTAAGTCTTTTCGCTATGATACGTGGGGACACATTTATCCTGAGTGTAACAAGCTCGATGCACCTGAATACCACAAGTGGTGAGTGCCAGTTCTTTATCACCGCCATCTGAGTTTGCGCGCTTCGATGTGCATTTGAACCTTGAGGCAGGAGCTCCTCCACGCGGGCACGCTTGTCAGTGAGAGCCGGAGTTGAGCCGAGGACCACGAAATTCGCCTCCATCGCGCTTTCCGCAAGGTATACACGGGGCAACCCGAGTTAAAGTATGCACGAGAGACGTGCTGTGCATCTCGAGCACCTCGCTCTTGCTTTCGTTGCTGCCAGACTTTGGTCACGGTCCTCACAGACAATATGCCCAGCTGCTCGTCGTGCGGACGTGCGTTTGCGAAGGAGCCCGCGCTCCGACAACATTGTAAGGATAAAGGTCACACATTTTACGTTGCTCAGGTGGTGGCCGCTCCAGTGGTCACCCCAGTGGTCACCCCAGTGGTCGCCCCGGTGGTCGCCCCGGTGCGGAAGTGCAATGTCTGCAACTTAATCTTTGCATCTGAGGCTCGACTCGATGCGCATTATCAAGCGTCGCCCAAACATCCATCATGCAGCCGCTGCGGCGAATCGTTCAAAGACCTGACACAACTAAGTAAGGTGCGTTGTATCTCTTCTCCGATACAGGAATCATAACCTGACAGACGTGCAATAGCATATAGCGGCCGCCCATATTCTGAAGAAAGCAGCGGCACCGGCTTCAGCTGTCCCTTCGTCGCCGGCAGCCCCGCAGCCAATTCAAACCACGCCTGCTCAGCCAGCAGCGTCCACCTCTGCATCAGGGACGTCAACCTCGAAAGGGAAGGCAGTTTCGTGGGGCGTGTGTGGGTCCTGCCATGGGTCAATCTTGGATCTTCAAACACACTACGACTACTCCACGCAACACCCGAAGTGCGAAGAATGCAACATGGGGTTTCTCGATGCCTCGGCCTTGCAAATTGTGGGATTCCCTTAGCCCAGTATTGTCGAGTACTGATGCATGTGCAGCACACGACCTCCGCGCACCCACCCATCCAATGCACGTCATGCGGAGAGGGATTCGCCGACGCATTGAGCCTGCAGAATGTGGGCGTTTCTTGATACGAACTTTGTCGAATTCTCACATGTGGGCAGCATATGGCCTCCGCGCACCCATCCCCTCAATGCAAGACGTGCGGAAGGCTGTTCACGGGGACCGAGGACCTCAAGCAGCATTACAGAGACTCGCCAAACCACCCCTCGTGCGCCTCATGTAGTATTGGCTTCCCAGACGCCGCGACCTTCCAACGTGTAAGTGCGCCGGTGACCTTGTGTGATGTTCATTCACGGATCCCACCAAATGATAAGCACATGGTGGATGTCCATCCGACACCCGTGCAGATCCCATCTCCGGTGTCAAGTGAAGAGTCGTTCGTCGAGGTGGTAAGCGGAGCGCTCGTCGGCCTCGCTGTTGACATCACTGACGCATCGTCCACCGTGCATTGAAGCGACGGGAGACGCCCCCGACCCCGGAGGACTACCTTGAGACACGCTCGCTGCCCACGACGCCGCTCGTGTGTCCGACGCCGAGTTCCGCCACATCGGCTCGGAGTGCGCTTTCTCTGAAGGTTCGTCGCATCGCTAATCGCGTCTGACGAGCATTCTATAACGTATACACAGACCCAGAGCGATGCTTCGTCAGTATCGTACTCGTCTCGACGTGCCTCGGAGCCGAGTCTTCCTTCGGCATTCCTTTGTACGTGCGCATCCCACTACACCATGCTTCCGACTGAATGAGACTCGCTTCAGCTGGCGACGGCGCCTCGGCGCCTTGGGCCGATTATCCGCTCGATACTCCCCAGTCCCCCGCCCACGAACACTTCGACTACGCAAGGTATGTGACATTCGCTGAGCGCTGATACCCCTGATTGACATGAAGCATAGCGAGGCTGGCGTGACACACGAGCCTCCGCCGAGTGCTACCACCATGCAGTCCGCAGTCCTCGAGCTCACAGACGCATCGAGCGTGGCTGAGCCGTATACACCGAGGTCCAGTTCTCTGGGGACTATCACTCCCATGGAGACGCCGCAAATCCGCACAATACATGTGCCACTCGGTCGACCTCACGTTGAACGCCCGGAGTCGGCACTGTCATACGTGAGCGAACACGCCTCGGTCAAACAAACCCCTTTTCAGCAGGCATCATCCGCTGCCGTGGCCCGAGACGAGATAGACGAAGTCGCCTCGGCGGGGTCGAGAGCCATGCACCGGGTTGTGAATGCGGTGCAGTCGAGGCCTCCGTCGGTTGCGTCCAGCGTGGCTCGACGGCACGAGCATTCCAGATCGCGGTCGGCGTCGTCCAAAGCACGTTCAGATGGTATGTTCCAACGAATACACTACAGCGGTGCTGCAAACTCTCTGACACCCTCGCTACAGAGCCCTCAGAGCTGTCCGCGAACTCTCTGGGAACGACTGTGACGCCTACGAAGGTGGTCTCCCCAGCGAGGCCTTCCGTCCCTTCGAGCGCCGTGTCGTGGCATTGTAGGTCTTGCATGAAGGACCCTTGCGAAGAGCCGACTGCGACGGTGTGCGGACATATCTTCTGCCATCAGTACGTCCCAGCTGTCACAGAGGATAACACTGTTTACTGAAGGAGCTCTATCGCAGATGCATCATCAAGGAACTCGCTACGAGTATGGCCTGCCCAGTGTGCAAGAAGATGTTTTTGTTGAGGCTGCACGTGGAGTCAGTGTAAGGGTAGGCGGATGTCTCGCTGCTAATCATCATGTGTACGATGTGGTATTTAGTCTCATGGATGCTTGTTTATACAATGCTCCTCACAAATGACTTGAAACATTGTGCACATGTGCGAGTCTGACTCCGATACTTAGGTATGTAGAAGTTGAATGTCTGACTGCCAGTGTCGACCATGGCGCCGCTCCCTGGTCGTCGCATCGGGCAGCACAACGCCACCGCGTTTGGACTTGGTGCATGGAGCGCTCAGAATTCTACCAGGTACTTACCCCATCCCGAAGAGGATGCGTTCAAGGTGCGTGTCACCGCAGCACATGCGTTCAGACTCCACTGCTGTGTCTCCGAGTCGAACACTCCCGGAGAACTGGCCAGGAATGGGGAAATAATATCAGCGATTTTTTGTCGTCCTGTCAACGTAGAGCACTCATTTTCTCCCAATTCTTTGCATCGACAAGCAGGCCCGTGAGGAAGCCGTGAAGACAGTCAAAAGTCAAAACAAGACCCGTTCCTGGGGCGTCTATCAAATATGTCCAAATGTGGCAATAACCGCAACAGTTGTAGTTCGCGCGACGACGCGGGCGTCTCGTCACACCTTGGACTGACACGCAACGCTTGCACCTCATTTCCGGACTATCGGTCTCAAGTACTGTGTATACTTATCTACTGGATCGTGGACATTCTGCGAGTCCTTGTGACGGTCACTATAGAATAGCTTACCCCTACAGTACTAGTACATTGTCGATGCCACGCAAGGTGGCTGTGAGCGAGCACGATGATTCCGGTCGCCTGATAGCTTCATACACTATTGGAGACTCGCTGGCGAAGAAAGAGGTGTGCTCTTGATAGCCTCTCTTAATGTTGCTGACGATGTTTAGTAGCTCTCGTTACAGTTGCCGTCCGATGCTATTAGTGTTCAACGCAAACGGAGAACCTGGAGACATGTCCTCAGCAACGTCTTCCTTCCTGCAGGCTATCCTGCCACCGTATCACCTGGTGAGTGTCAAATCTCACTTGACGGGTTGGATGTTAAACAATACGCGATCTTAGACTACCTATGGTATGATCGGGTTCGTCTCGGCGCTTCTGCATTGGATGATAAATCAGTCCAGGTATTCAATCTACAACGCACTGCAGGCCTTCTGCAGCTCCCTGGCAGGGTTGATCGCGTCCCGTGCGGTACTACAAGGTAGACGCTCCTCATGCGGGCTCTTGCTAGACACATTGTCTCAAGACATGCAACACAGGTCATGGTGTTGGCAAAGCGGATGCCTCTGCAACTCACGCCATCTTCTTGACTGTGATACAAGACATATTTAGTCGTCTAACAAGTTAGTGTTATGCTATTACCTCACTGGCAACCGTTGTTAATTCCTACTGGTATTGTTCAGCTATCATTGCTGCGTACTATCTGGGCACTTCCCTCTTTCCAGAAGCGAAGACCTACCGTCTCGCCGCAGATATATTCAATGACGCCTCAATCATCTTCGACACGATTTCACCTCATCTCGGCTTCTTAGAACTGACAGATAGATACCCCTTCGTGCGATATGGCACGGGCTCGTCTCTAAGAATCGCGTCGCTTTGCCTGAGCGGCGCGTTTCGTGCTCTTTGCGGAGTCGTCGCTGGAGGCTCCAAAACGGCGCTGACCGTGCACTTCGCGACGTCTGGTCGAATATCTGGTGATGTGGGCGATCTGAATGCCAAGGATGGTAGCAAAGAGACCGTTCTTGCGCTGCTGGGCATGCTGGTAGGTGATATCACTATGAAAGTAGCCATGGCTTATCGTGATCGACACAGGGAGGGTCCCTCGTGATGCACTACGTTCACGACACAACATTAACTTTGATTGTGTTGTTCACCCTCCTTTTCCTTCATCTTTGGGCGAACTACCGCGCAGTCAGGGTAGTAACACTTCGCACTCTTAACCGGCAGAGGGCCAACATCGTTTGGACGGCGTACCGGCCCAAGATGTCCGGTAAGTGTGGTAGTACTCGTGACGTGTGGTGTGATTCTCACCATGCGCAGGAAACCTGGCAGACCAAAGTGGCAGCCCGAAGATACTCACCCCGGAGGCCGTATCCGCCCTGGAGTACATCTTCGTCAACCCAAGCCGCTTGCACGACCTCTCCGCGCGTTCAGCACCCTTGCTAGGTCACTGCCATATCGGGTCCTCGTTCGCCGCGATCACCTCCGGCGCACCGACCATTCCAGGCGTCGACGCGACGAAGTCGGGCCACAAGGGACTCCACGTCCCAAACGCTTCGCAAATCGAGTCGATCCTCGAATTCTTCGAGGACGAGCAGTACGTCCTCTGGTTCGACCCACACGCCCGCGGGGCCTGTCGCATGCACATATGCTTGAAGGCAGGGCACAAACCTGCGGACCACCTGAAGGCCTGGGCGCACGCGCAAGAGGCTGGGAGGATCCTTGACGGCCGAGCACCCGGAAGCTTCGACGTGGCCATGTCCGCAGTCGAGATCGCCTTTAGTCTGGTGGAGGAGTCCTTCCCTGCGTTCCTGGAGGGAATCCTCGCTGCAGGCTGGAAGGTCGACGAGGGAGGCATGGTCGCCGGCTCACCGCTCGTGCTGTCCGTGGACAATGGCGAGGCGCGCCTGGGAGAAGAGGTAGATGAAGACCGCAAGAACGTATAGATCGCTAGATCGTGTACATAGGCAATGTGAGTAGATGAGGATTAGAGCCGAAGTGGCGGCCGCACTGGCCTGTGTCTCGCCTGTGGTGGTGTGTACCATGGTCTGTGCCATCATCAGGGGCAGGTATGCACTGAAATCACGGTGTTGTCGTCCGTCCAGGGCATATGCGACTAGACCTTTGTTTCCAGGGTAAAGCAGGTAGTAAGGAGCCAAGCCAGGCGCGGGCACTGTATGGCGGGTACTCATCTATCGATCGATGCCTACTAATTCAAGGAGCTCCACACCTACACAGACAAAAGCATCAGTGGCTCAGGTGTTTCGACCGACGCGGACAACCCGTCGTACGCAGTCGGGAGTACGTTGATGCGTAGCGCAATCCACTCAGTCTGACTATATGGTATTTCTAGGACTGTCCACAGAAAACCCCCCCACCTTCGAGCCTCCCGCCGGAAAAATCCACGCGGTCGTACCACCGCAACACACCCAATGCGTCTCGGCTCGGCTTCCAGACCGATGCATTGACAAAGTACGTATGCCCATGGCACGGAACGTGTTGTATCCGCCGCCAGCATATGCCTGGTCTGGAGCTGTGCATGGACGCGGGGCTCCCCAACGTCGACATTCTCACCGCCCGTCGCGGCAGAGATTCCGCAGATTCTAGCGTCCCGTCCGGTTCCTGAACAAATGATTAAAATGTTACAGTACCTCGCGGTGCCTTCAGATTATTGTCGATCCGATTCGACATCTTCGAAAATCTGTCGCTCCGACTTACCCGGCCATGATTTTGGCTCTCGGGTGGATAGATCCTTGGCTAGCGATCTGAGAATACTTTGCAATCACTAGGATTGAGCTTTGCCAACGGAGAGTCGTTCGCGCAGGCGTGTATACCAAAGACCAGAGCTAGAAAAAAATCCATCTCGTTCCGACTCGTACAGGGGGGATGCAGAACATCCCGAGACTACTCTACAGCGGGCCAATGCTACATTTTGTGCGAGCACACGAACTCAATCCGTGCGGGGCCGCACACGGAGACCCTTGACCTTCTTCGCAAGGCCAAAGAACCGTCCACGCTCCGCCTTCGCCTCGATCCGCAGTCTCTCCTCATACTCGATCTCCGCCTCCGAGATGTGTCCGCCGAGCGCGTACCACACGACGGTCGCCATGCCGAGCACCGCGGTGAGCACGCAGCCGGCCATCGCGCCGATAGCCTTGGAGTGCCAGCCGTTGTTCTGCACCCACGGCCCAGCGGGCAGGCCGTTGAGGTCCGTCACCGACGCGTAGCCCGCAGCGTTCCCGGAGTAGGGCAGCCCGAGCGTCGCGCACTGGTCGTTCAGCACGGACGGCAGCGAGTTGCGCTCCTGCATCTGCAGGGGCGCCTCGATGATCTGGATCGCGAGACCACTCTCCAAGTGCCACTCGATGTGGCCTGAATGCGGATCAGCACATGGCTTGGAACAAGACGGGCGGATACGCACAGTGGAAGAACCACACGCCTGGGTTATCCATGATGATGCGGAAGGTGTACGCGCCGCCCGGGGGAGCGAGCACGGTGTCGCGGCGCATCGGGTTCGTCTGGCTCTCGTTGATCGGCGGGTTCAGCGCCGGGTCGTCGCTCGTGTAGTCCTCCGCGAAGTTGACAATCTGCATCACGTGGCCGTGCAAGTGGCTAGAGACACCGATTAGCTACCATGACTCCACGATCTAACCTGGGGCTACTCACAAGGGGTGCTTGCCCGTGTCTGCGTTCCGAAGCGTGATATCGAGGACTTGCAGATGGTCGACGACAAAGCTGAGCGGGCCGTACGCGGCGCTGGTCGTCGCGTTGTCGCCGAGGGTGAGCGCGGACATGACAGCCGGCGTCAGCGGCGAGTTGTACGTGACACTGTCGAACGAGTCGTCGTTGTACGCGCCGTAGAACACGGCGTGGTTCGTGCCGTCGTTCATCGTGTCGAACTCGAAGGTCACCGTGAGGTTCGCGTTCGAGGGTTGCATGGGCACCTGAGGGGTGCGGCGTCAGCAGATAGCCAGCTAGAGCCAGCTGTAACGTACGGGGTTGATCGGGACAAGGTCAATGTCGGGGGTCGAGAGGAACTCATCGACTGTGCCCTCCACTGTCGGGGAAGAGGAGTCGTAGATGATGTAGGAGGTTGCGTCTACACAGTAACGGTGAGTCCACAGCACTGCTGGATATCGCTGATCACTGCTCACTGGGGTTGAGATCGTCCGGAACAGTGTCAAACATGGTCGTGTCGAAGGCCGCATGAATCGCGTAGTTCGAGGACGTGTCGTTCTTCGCGGTAACTAGTACCGAATAGCGCTGCGCGACACCGATGTTGAGCTGGGAGATAGTGTACGGCTTTGTCTCGATACCGTCCGCCTCAATGATTTGCATGTCGTGGCCATCGATCCAGAAGTAGAAGCCCCCGAACGCGCCGGTGTTGGCTATCCGAAGGCGGTAGGTCTTCCCGGGCTCGAACGACATCGTTGCGTTCTCGTTGAAGCCCGTGCCCGCAGTCGAGCCGCTGGGGCTGGAACCCTCCTTTGGCGGGAGGTACGACTCGCCTTGCGAGAAGTACATCAGCGGAGCCTCTGCGCGTGTGACATGCATGAGCTTCGCCGATCGAACGTGGGAGAGACACTGAGACACACTCGGGACGGGCTCTGCACCACCTGGGTTAGCGATGTTGATGAACTGGTTGATTAGCACCGAGTGCTGGTCGTGGTACCAATCACCGATAGTGATCGTATACTCTTCGTCGTAGGCGTATGTCTCGTTCTCGGGTTGGATGATGAGTACGGTGCGTAGACCATCGACATATTGACCCTGCGAAGCGTTAAGCATGCTGAGCGACGGTGGTCGAGCACGGACATACATTGGAGTGTGCATGTGCCCAGTATGTGCCGTGCTGGTTGGAGGAGTTGATCGGCACAACATATGTGAAGCTCTCGCCGGGTGGAATACCACTGCCAAGACCGTGCATAAACATTCGGTAAGTATCAGGTATACAAATGTACGTACCATGAAGAGACGCCCATGGCACCATCCATCCAGGACGTCGAGTTGAAGAACATACCATGGTGGTGGACGGTCAGGGGGTCAGACAGGGAATTGGTCGTGTGCAGGACAAGCGAATCGGTCGTATTGATCACGATCGGCGGGGGCCTGCCAGACACAGCGTCAGCACGAAACAGTGAAGTCGTCTGCGCGTCGATCACTCACGGCCATGTCCCGTTGACGCCGACGGCGCTCCTAGGGAAGAGACCGTCGGGGTTGGCGTTCTCGACGTAGGTGACGTTCCACCAAACTTCCTTGACACCCGCGAGGGCCGGGGACGCGGCGGAGAGGAGGGCCAGGAGGGTACACGCAGCGGACCGCATGGTGGACGCGTACGGTCGAGCGAAAGGGGGACCGGGACGCCTTCGCGGAAATGGATCGCGCCTTTTACGTGGGCGCGTCGAAGTGCCCGGATGATGTGACCTGCAGGCTTGGGCGGGTGGGACGTCTTCCTGGACAAGCGGAATAACGACGCACGGAAATTTTATCTGATAAGCAGATACGAGGCCCATCGCCGGCAGTCCTCATCTTGGCGCCCGCGAGCCGGTGCCGCCAAGCCATCTTCCCGAGACGGGTTATCAGATAATCACCGCCCCAAAAGCTCTTCCCGATCATTGTGCCCATGATGCTCCTTGCGGCGTAGTCGGATCGAACCCGGGCTGCCCTGAGTTCTAGCGTCGGCGAGGGCATGCTCTGCAGACGTTGGATTTGAAGGACAGCTAATTCTCGCCTGCACATAGGCTCGCCTAAGGAGCATCCCAATTTCAATTGCATCAGAGGAGGCAGACGACGCACCGTGGACGTCACAGTTTGCTGAAACCCCGCCTTCGCACAGGAAGGACCTGCGGGGCCACGGCGAGGCGAATGCAACCTCGCCCGATTTGTCCGACGATGCGAGGAACGCCGGTCGCCGAGGCAGGCCTGGACGTCGGGATGGCCAAGGCGACCGCGAGGGTGGGTGGCGCTATCTGATAAGATAATGGCACGATTACCCGCGAGCCAATCTGTGTCAGGCCTGATCAGGCAAGCGCGAGACGGAAGAAAGATCACAGACCGCGTTCTTCCTCTCCCCGCTCCTCCTTATATTGCCCGCCACAATGGCTCGCGATCTCCCAGCGACCCAGCTCGTTTGCGCGCGTCCCTGTCGCGTCTGCACCCTCCGCTTGCCCGTCCCGCATCCGCAAGGCGAAGTGTAGCGACCATGGCCAAAGACCTCTTCTCCGTCACGATCTTCTTCATCGTCTTCCGAGAGACTCTCGAGGCCGCCATCATCGTCTCCGTCCTCCTCGGTCTCGTCGAGCAGATCATCTACGAGGACCCAGAGCGCCTCGCACGCATCAAGGACGCCCAAGCCAGGGCCGACCCCGAGACCCCCGGCACTGACAATGCCCTCGAGAAGGACCCGTCCGCGTCCTCGGACGTGTCCTCGACCCCCGAGCTCACTAGCGGCGTGGACGATGACATCGTCACGAAGCGTCTCCTCCGCAAGATGCGCATCCAGATCTTCTTGGGTGCTGCCATTGGTCTCCTCGTAGCATGTGGTGTCGGCGCGGCGTTCATCGCTGTGTGGTTCACGCAGGCGGCGGACCTCTGGGCGAACACCGAGGACCTTTGGGAAGGTGTGTATACATTGTTGGCACCCGCCTGACACGCCATGCTCATTCCGCATGTACAGGCATCTTCTCCCTTATTGCGTCCGTTATTATCTTCATCATGGGCGTCACGATGCTCAAGATGGACCGCGCCAAGGCAAAATGGCGCATCAAGCTGCAGCGCGCCTTCTCCGGAGAGCGTACGTGTGGTTCACCCTCGACACGCCCATCCACCACGATGCTGACGAGACGTCCACAGATGTTGACCGTAACACCAAGGCTGGAAAATGGGTCCTCTTCGTCCTCCCGTGCATCACTGTCCTCCGAGAGGGTAAGTCGGTAGTCCCAAATACTCGAACTTCTTCTCTGATATGCGTTCCGCAACAGGTATGGAAGCTGTCATCTTCGTCGGCGGTGTCTCTCTTGGGCAGCAGGCTACCTCCATCCCAATTGCCGCCGTTGTTGGCCTGATCTGCGGGCTCATTGTCGGCTACCTGATTTACGCTTTCGCCTCCCGAACAAGTGAGTGCATTCTAGACCGTCCTCAGTGAGTTCGCATTCTGACATCGGCACAGCACTCACGGTCTTCATGGTCGTGATGACGAACTTCATCCTGCTCATCGGCGCGGGCCTGCTCTCCAAGGCGGTCTGGTACTTCGAGTCGCACGCCTTCGCGCAGATCGTCGGGTCCGACGTCGACGACACGGGCGGAGATGGGCCCGGTTCGTACAACGTGCGCGGCTCCGTCTGGCACATCGACTGCTGCAACCCCGAGAACAACTTCGACAACTCGGGCTGGTCGATCTTCGCGGCCATCTTCGGTTGGACGAACTCGGCGACGATCGGGAGCGTGCTCAGCTACGTGTTCTACTGGATAGCCGTCATGATTACGCTCGTGTATTTGAAGTGGAAGGAGGGCCGCACGAAGGTCTTCGGTAAGGAGAGCCAGGCAGGCGTCAGGAGGAGGGAGCGCCAGGAGATGCTCGCTGCACAGGAGCAGGAACAGCAGCGGCTTGAGGAGACGGAGAAGGAGGGTGCACGCGAGGCGGCGCCCATAGCGGAAGAGCTTGTTCAGTAGACTGCGCGGCGACTGACTATTCTCCTGTCTCGCACATGCGAAAATTTGCCACGATGCCTTGTCTCTCGGACCCCCTCACAATGTCGTCTGTAGCTACTACTCTTGCGCTTTGGTTGGTTTTTGATGCCTGTACGATAACGATCTGAGGTAACATCGTGTCGTGCGTACGATGGGTTGTAACACGAATGAAGGAATTTCAAACTCTCATAGTTTGGATCTGTCATCCTTGCCGGGGTCTTGGCTTGTGTGGCCGTCAAGTACACATCTGTTGAGTTATCGGACGCTCACGGTGACGGGTGACGCGGCGACGAGTGTTCTGGTAAAAACAGAAGATCATTTGCATGACGTGAGCGCTTCGGAAGCCTGATACGGACAAACTGTAACATTGACAACGACATCACTTACAGGATACCTCCGAGTCCTGACCGCACTCGACCTGCTTGACTGTCTCGTCACTCCTGCCAGGCTTGAGGTTCGCAGGGAGGAGATGGGAGAAGCGGGGAGAGATTCAACGACCGGAGAGGGCGACGCGACCCTCTATAAGTACTCAGAGAGCAAGAGCGAGAGCGACAGGTAAAAAAAACTAAGAGTGACAGCGCGACGGCCAGGAATTTGACATATGTTCGAATCGAAGCGTGACCAGTGCAGAGCGAACGATCGATGACAGATGAGGCATGGATGATACCGTAAAAGGAAGGTACACCCGTCCGCCGGATGACGACGCGCGACGTCTGTGGACTGGCCACCCATACCGTTCGAAAAGGAATGCTTGCTCAGAGCTGTGCGGAAACGAGCGAAACGTGATCACGTTGTGTCCATCCTTATTGACCTCGATGCTGCACGGCAATAACGACCGAGATCCCGCTATACTGGCCAGGCGGCCGATGCATCATGATGTGCGCAGCAGCAGCTCATAGCAGTGCGTCCAGCATACCAAAGGTGAACCCACAAATGTTAATGAAGCTTGAAGGGCTCGCCGGAGCTTACTATAACAGATATATGACTCACTGATGACATCTAGAATCTGTCGATAGGTTGTAGCATCATCCTACCTCACATGGTGCGGCGGTATGCACAGTGGTAAATTGACTGCTTGTAAGTGGACGCATCGCAATTTGTCCAATCCATCCCACAGTGTACTAGGCGGCGCCAGGCATCACTGCCGTAACCGTCCGATGTGATAGCAGTATCCGCACCTCGAACGTCGGTGTCAGTAACCAAGCCGTCCAGTATGCGCTCGCGCCGCGAGGAAGGAAGGTTCGCATTCGAATTTGCGCTATGTGCAATACCCCTCGGCGACCCGGGGTGTCTCCGCGTTCCACGACGACCACATCGCGCGGCGTGCTTCTCTGCCCGCCTGACCGTCCAAAACGAGTGCTCTGGGATGATCCCACCCCGCATTGCACTCAGTACCGGGAGGCTGAGCTCCAACTCTTGTGCTTGGCCCACATGCCACCGCGAATGAATGTACGAGAGGAATTCAGAACATACGCCGACACAGAGTAGGCGTGTGAAGGCGTTGCCGAGATTGACGATAGCCTCAAGTGTCCGCGCCCGTTCTGGTGGTCGATCGCTACCATCCCAGGTATACTATTCCATATGCATTGTGCGGACGTTAGTGCCGAGCGCTCGACGTCTCATGATGATCGCAGAGCATGTGGCACGCGTCTCGGTGGCTGGCCTCGCCGGATACACGACATGCGCGAGTCCACTGCTTGGATAGACACAAGCCTAATGGACCGACATCAGTGCCGATGTTATCAGAAGGCAAAGCAGACGCCTTCCTGAACGCACTGGTAAACTCTGGAACCCAAGGCCTTGCTCTTCATACGCACGCACTCGGGCAGTAGGGGCATGAACCTGGCATGAACTACCGAAAGCGGCTCGCATTGCTAACGCCGCTGTCGCGCTTTTGCAGCCGAGAGCGTGCTGTCAATTAGCAGCGTTCATCCCCTGAGAATACAACACTTCGAGCCGGTGCTGGAGCTTCCATCTCGGCAATGGCGCTCAACATGGTTTCACAGGCACGAAGGAAGTCGGAAGGCCCTAAGCCGAGTTGCCTGTATATAAAAAGTAGATGTTAGAAATCTCTGTGTCATTTTCTGCGAAGTAAATAGCTCACCAATGACTTCGCGAACTGGTCTAGACGGAATGTTATGAGCGCTTGTTTGACTCACCCAGAAGACGTACCTGGCTTTACAGTCCACTCTCGACAGAATTTGAATTGTAGTTGGAGATCTGGTACACAGAGCACCGCTCTGCGCTGTCGCGTTCCTGTCAGCTAAACCATGGTCGGAAAAGGCCGCATCATAAGTTAGCAGCTGTTCTAGGAATACACCCAGTTTGATTGGCCGGGATCAATTCAAACGCTGGATCGTCGTCTACCCAGAATGACCCTCATGACTGGCAACCGAAGCTAACGCGGAATCAAACCCTTGGAGAACTTAGTCAGGGCGGTATCAGATAAGATAGCGAATGTGGCAAACCGGAGGGTAATCGCAGACGGTGGGTTCGTACTGCAGAACGATTTAGGGGATTCAACGGACGGCAGGGAGGACAGATCATGCAAATTGGACTGCGGAATTGAGAACATCTGGACAAGGCCCGAGGGACAGGAACGCGAAGCCAAGAAGTGTCCAGCAGCGAATCCGAGTTTGTTGGTTCGGTATCGGCCACCCGCTCGGCAGAGCGCACTAAACGTTGAGAGGGACCAATATCGCCCTCTTGCAAACAGGACATTGAAAATCTCGCGTGACTGCTTCGCTGATGCAACTAGACGTGCGTCAATGTCAACGTCAACGTCAAAGGGCGCCTGACACGATATGGTATGTGGAACGTACCTTCTACAGAAGATATGCCCACACAGGGTCGCCGTCGGCTTGTCAGAAGGATCTTGCATGCACATCCTGCAGTGCAGGGACCCCAATTGTGGTGGGGCGAGCGGCGTCAAGGAGGCTGGAGGAACCTCTCGGCCTTGTTCGACGGGCCGAGTCGAGTTGGGCAACTCGAGGTGCTGTGCAGAACCTTTGTCCCAAATATGCGAGGATTGTGCGGTGGGTTGATCGTATACGCGCTGCTTTATGCCACTACATGCGAGCGTGCATCGCGCCACGCTGACGAGGGACGCTTCGTTTCCGCCTTCGGGAAGCAGCGGAGGAGTCGGGGAAGGTATGGTTGCTGAGGATGGGAGCGATTCCGAGATGCTACTGACCGTCTCGGAGTCTGTAGTTATTATTGGAGACCTCGAGGATACATCTTATGAACGATGTACTTCGCTGAGGATGGCTGTATAACACACTTACCTAACAGAAGACACGCCTCCTAGCTGAGGAGACGTCGACGCGGTCGTTCTCCCGGACCTGCTGTGCACGTCGGGCTTCTGCCGTTCATTGTCAGCATAGATGCATTCGTGCAATAATTAGCCTGTGAGCAATCCTCATAGCATCTATGGAGTGTACGGCCTACTTACGGCTTTCCGAGGCGGAGGCCCGCTCATTACAGGCTCAACAGCTTGCATAGAAGACGGAAATTGTGGGATTGCGCTTGATTTAGATCGAAGCGATGCACGAGACGTTGTGGGTGTCCTCGCTCCGCGATGATCCGCCTCTGACGGCGATGCGTCCCCGAAAAGAGATGTCCTTCGACTAGGAGATTGACGGCGTTGCGGAGAGCTTGGTGCCATCGACGCTGACACCGATGGAGTCGCCGCCACGACTGCGGGCTCCGTTGTGTAATCAGACCATTCGGATGGACACGGCGAGGGTGCCCTCGATGCGGTAGAAGATGCCTCCGTTACAGGAGTCAGCGTGTTTCTCCATGACTGTGGCCGCGAAGGAGACCCGACGGGATCAGATGGGCGGTCGACAAACTCGTGTAGTGAGTTGCGTTCGCACGCGCATGGAGGTAACATCAGGATGGTCGAGTCATCAGAGCCGAGAGAGTCTGAGCGATGGCCGAGCAACGAGCTGAGGTCCGATGGACTAGGTGGACTCTGCGTGCGGAGACTGTCATCCTACAGAACAGAATCGGACTAAGTTGGAGTCATCAGAGTTGCTCACGAACCTTCAAGCCAATAGGCCGGCCTTGCTGGAAGTACGCTGCTCCGTCATTGAGATGAACACAGTCTACGTGCTGACACTGTTGTCAGTCGACACCCTAAGTGTGAGCTATACATGAGCACAAACCTTGGAAAGCACCGTGGTATCCACGAATCCAGACCCACAGTGCTCGCAGACGGGATGGAAAGGCGAGTCGTCGTAATGCTGCTGCAAGTGAGCGGTAGTACGACAATGAACTTGGCAGTTCTTGCATCCGCCCTCCGGATGGAACGTCCACAGGTGCTGGCTAGAAATAAATGCCAGGTCCCTTCAAGGTCGAGAAGAACACCACTGACCTCGTCGAACCGGACAGGGTCCTCGAAACCAACTCTGCATTGACAACACTTTGGGTGCAGCTTGGAATCCATCAAATGTTGCTGATATGCATGCTGATAGTATCCTTCGCCGCAGAACCCACATGCTTGCTTAGAGTGCGCAGCAATTACGTGCTATTGTGGTCGAACTCAGCTCAAGCTAGCCAATACAAGAAAGGCTATAAGGCACATACCGATGCAAAAGTAAGCGCATCCGCAAAACGTTCGTCACACCTGCGACGCAGGCCATTAGTACACACACTAACACCAGGCGGAAAAAAGGCTGTACGTGGAGCAGACGAGTGGAAGGCTTGAGTTGATATTATTTGTGCTCTAATTAGAAACAAAACAATTCAGCATACTACGAACACCAGACGGTCTGCACGTACTGTTCCAAGGGTACTCTCGTCGCTGACGGAAGGTACCCGCTTACCGGAGTCGCCCGAGTCCCCGCAGATACAGGTAGCGGTAGACATGATGGAGGCAGAAAAAGAGGCGAACACTCGACTCACGTCCCCTCAGATATAGCACCAGAAATTTCGGAAGAGGCTTTGCGATCATCGATGCTATGGCCGGCAACGTGGTGTTCGCTAAAACAGCAGTTTTACGAAAGCTGACAGCTACGGTCGTAATCGAGACGCTCTGGTGTCAAAGTAGGAAACTCAGTCACCGTTTTGAGTTTGAGTGATGGTACCACGCACCGCTAGTTGCCCTTTCGTCGCTCAAACTAATGCAGTGTCAACGCACTTGTCGGTGAGGTCCTCTGACATGATCTCGAACGAAACACTGCAACGGCACCGATAAGATGCGCACTACTTACATTGAAGTACAGTGAGAGTGAAGGACAAGCGACTGTTGAGAGCCGCATCAAATCGACACACGCGGTGTAGTTCTCTCTCCATAGAGGTAGCGCCGCGTTATTCATCACCTGTCCGCCCAACCCACTCTAGGAACTCGAGCCACCGCTTCTCCCAAAGTCCGAGTGCGTATGCCTTCTCTTCGTCTTCCAACATGGAATACTGTATACACGAGGCGAGTCAGCTTGTAAAACATATCGATTATCGAAAAGCGGTGCTGGAAGATTACCTTGATGCTGTCTCTTGCGAACTCGCCGAGTGTCAGAAGTCCGGTCACTTCGCTCGCCATGAGGACCTGCATTGCTTTGATGAGCGGACAGCCTTCACATGTCATGGACACAGCGTACCTGGAAGAAGTCAAAGGTCAAGCCCATGTTGCCGAAGACCGCGGGGTCGTCCGAACAGAGCGAGACATGGACACCATGGTTCACCAGGATCGGAAGCGGATGTGCCGGCATCGACGATGTCAAGCGCTGCGATATGCGTCCCGAATCAGGGCCAGAACATCCTATACGAACAATGCGCTCTTACAAGGATTTCGTTCCTTCAGTGCGAACAACATGAGCCCTGGGAGACTTTCCGGGAGACATCGAGCAACGTACGAGATGGGGCAGACTTCAACAGCAATGCCTTTCTCCCGGCATATCTCCATGAGTTTCGGGTGCTTGACAAGAGAATACCTAGATTCGAGTCGCAAATGCATTAAGTGATGATTCTCTCCGCCGTCATTGAGCAACTATGATGCTCACCCGTGCCCGATGCGTTTCGTTCCAAGAAGAATCGCATCGTACAGGTTCATGTCGGGCGCATTCCCGTCGCCGAGGGTTTCTCCAGCATGGAAGATGAAGGGCAGGTCGACACCGAGCTCCTCCCTACGGCGCATGAACTTGGTCAAGGGCTCGATGTAGTCGATAAGAGGCTTCAGCGAGTCTTCATGTCCGACGAGGTCAAATCCTGCGACCAGCCAAGAGTGTGAATGACATTTGCGTTCGCACACGCTGGGAACTTGGGTATGTACCTGCAATCAGATGCGGAAACTCTTGCTTGAGTGCCAGAGCGTCTTCCGTGTACCACTCCAGCTCTTCTGGAGTGATGAAGCGAATTGTCGTGTAGATAAGCTAGGAGCTGTGAGCAGCAAACCAACGATTTGCAGAATGGAAATAACCTTCACGCCAATCAGTTCATCTTGTCGACCTTGCTCCTTTAATTCTGCCTTGATTTCGTTCAGGACCCGGTCAAATATGATGAGCCATTCTCTATGCGGGAGGTTTTCGAGTCCATCTGGGCCTGTCATGTACCTAGCAGGGAAGAACGTCTATGAGATTCGTTGCGACGATCATCATACGGGGACTCGACACACTTATACAGGAAATTGACTCGTGCTTCTACATAGGAAATCCCGTCGTCAATGGATGACAAGATGAACTCCCTTATGTACTGTTGCCATATAGGGAGATAGTATATGAGGTTCTGTAAGTCGTCATATGTGTCACAACGTTGCTCTCGGAGCAGTTTGTGACACCTACGTGGCAAGTGAGGAATGTACTGGAGAACTTCGCCCAAATCTTGAGACGGTCGTTCAATGAAACATACGAAAGGCGCAGGATGGGCGAAGAACTACCTTTGTAGGCGAGTCGTGTGTGCCATATGCTTCAGATGGGTTGATTGTCAGCGCTCTTTTCACCCAGTTGTCGAATCCAACAGGGCCCTCGAGGCTCTCGTCGAATGTCTCCCTGGCGCGGTACAACGGCACCCACTCGCCGCCGATATATGTTGAGTCCGTCAAAGAAGACGAGGTTGAGAAGGCACCTGGGGAGAGCACTTTGAACTCGGGCAGCGTTGCTACAATGTTACTTGTCGTCAAGCGAGCGGGTGCTCGGACGTGCATGGCCGGTTGGGCGAGAGCCAGCTTGAGCAAAACATCGACATTCACTGTTGCGTCTAGATGAGCGTGAAGGAGAGCACCTTTGGGCATCTGCGTAAGATAGACAGCGAAGCCGTCATATCAACTTCGTACAACTGAGTATTACTCAAATTCACCTTGTTCAACATCTGGAACAGCTTTGTCTTTGTCACGGTCTCACGAGCTGAATGATCATGATCAGCCGTCCACGTAGCGGCACTTCAGAGTCACTGCATGCGCTTACCAGTCAGGAATGCCATTCCCGGGAAGACATTGGGTGTGCTGTCTATTGGGTTGTAGTCGAAGATGGACTTCCCCGTGCCCCATACCGAATCAGCTTCTACAGCGCGTGTCGCACGCACGACAGCTTCCGCTTTCGCTTCGATGTCGGTGAGGCTCGCCAGTCTGGACGCATCGACGCGCAGAGCTCTGTCTTCTCGGACTAACTGGTCGCGTCGTTGCAGGTATTCTTGCGTAGCATCCATATCGCCGGAAGCGTTAGCAGTGGTTCAGCCAACTTGAATCTTGAGGACTTCTCCTCTGTGTCTCCCAAGCCCAGATGATGGAAACGAATACAAGTTTGATGGCAGCAGCGACATGATAGCTGCAAGATATAGCTGATCACTCAGCACTGACTCGTTCAAGTGTGGTGACGATAGTTGCTAAATCGGGCGGTGCGGATGCGCCGGCACCGAACAATAGGGCGCTAATTCCGCTGGACTGCCAGCAACTCTTGTCTCGTACAGTACGTGGCAAGTTGATTGCTATGGTACGAATGCTCAACATTAGAACAAAGCTTTTGCATCAGTTGTGCTCCAAGTCTTGACACGTACTACGCACGCAATAAGGTAGCCAAGCTACCTTACTCATGCTTACGACCGTGCGTGTCCTGCCAGTGACGCGCGTACCTCCGCCGCGTAAGCTATCATTAGCCTAGTCTCCCGTAGGCAGCCCACTAGGACGACCTTTATGAGGGGAGGAGGGCGGTCGTCTAGGGGCCACACACGACGTAAGTTCACTATTGCATCATATCTTTCCTAGCAGAAGAGGATTTCCGCCTCACATGCTCACTGTGCCACCGTCTGACCATTGGCATTAGCAGACACCGTTCAATCTAGACTCGACGGGACTCTCCGAGTCCTGATCATCTCGGGTTCTACCCGGGCCTGTCCACACTTCAATGAGCGGTCTTGATCACAATAAGTGTACCTTAACTGCTCCCGTATGTTTGAGCCCGACATGGTGGGTGTTTGCTGTCCAGCTGTGCAAGCTACTGCATGGCGCCCTATCATTGTCATACTAGCTGACCGCCCGCATCAGTGCTTAACCTTCCGGGCCTGTACAAACATTGATGCATGATGTGCTATGTGGGTTGACGCGCTATGTGGGTTGATGGGCTCACCGCGTTCGATCCGGCGCTGAAGGCGCTTCACATCGATGACTGGGACCTAGTATAAAATGGTTCGAACGCAGAGAGAACGGCAGGAGTCAACGCATCCTATGCAGGAATTCTACAGCAAACACCTTCCTTTATTCAGCCTCTCGGTCTCTATGCAGTTTCTTCCCTTGCTCGTGTTCGCTGTGTTGCTCGGTTTCGCGCACGCCGCCACCGTCAGTCTAGATCCTCGCCAGGCCGAGTGCCCCTCAGCATACACCGGATAGTGAGTGACTCGGGCGTACCCAGTATTCTGGTGCTCATCATCGAGTGTAGTGACTGCCATGGCGATGCAATTATTTATTGCAATAATGGACAACTTGATACCGGTCTCGCGCCCACAGCGTGCGATGTACGTTCTCTCTCCGAATCGAAACACTGTTGGACTAGCTAATTAGTGTGATACAGAGTGGCACGACGTGCTGGGCCAACGGGAACCAGTATGGCTGCACGTAACAGATGACCGGACTCTCGCTTACACAGGAGTGGGGGTTCCATGGACTTAATATTAGGGATTCAAGTTGGGGATTGTGATTTACTGTTTGGTCAAGCTATCACATTACTTTCTCGTGTCTGCGTGTGGATCGTCGTTCGGATCATCAAGCATTCGCTGTGACTATATATGCACATGCGATCCAGGGACTTTATAAGATCAGTCTTCGAGATTACGATCTACAAGGCTTGAAGTGACGTTCAGAAAAGCATCATGCGTGCAAATGGCTTCGAATGAACCACTGGTAGGCTTTGCCATCTGGGTGTACATGTTCACAAGCCCGGCTTCATCAAACTGACGAGCGTAGATACAGTCCGGCGACCCGCCAATTTGCATGCTTGATCTTCACAGGTATCAAGTCGGCGCCTCAGGCTGTAGCATCTGAGTCGCCGAACCGCAGCCTTGAGCACCATCAATTCGCAGTTCGCAGAGGAAGACAAAGAGCAGCTTGCTGAACGAAGAAGATATCCAACACGAGACTAGCCATACGTGTTGCACCGCCTGTAACGTTGCTTGAGCTGGAGGTATGTATTCGGGTCCGCAGAGCATCGACCCCTTGTGTTGGGATCCTCGTAGAGTGTCCCGACAAAAGGAGACTTTGCAAGAAATACTGTACACACAGAGAAAGCATACAAGACGCGTGCCATCTCCACTGCGGCTGTCTAATTCAAGGTGAGACGTTGAGTCTCAGGAGGAAGAGCTTATGGCACACAGGGCAGTGCATCTTCTCCGCGATCTCCTTCACGATGCAACTAATCCACACATTCACCCATCATGAGCATAGCGCCCGGAAGAAAGCCGAGTCGGAGCTCACGCACCTATAGCAGAAGATATGTCCGCATTGCGTCGCGGTCGGCTCCTCGCACGGGTCCTTTCCACAGCTTCGACAGTGCCACGATGGGCCTGGAGCCTGAGGTCGGACCTGTGATGTGGTCACGGCGGCGTTGGAAGTAGCAGGCACTGATTGCCCATTGGCCGCGGTAGTGGCTGTGGACTCCGTCACAGACGAGACTGCATGAAGGTCGAGCAGTATTTAGTGTACGATTTACCAGTAATTCGAGACACCAGGTTCTCTCACCTTCCTCCTCCGTCATCGAGGATGCTGAGCTGCATCCTGGGGCTGAGCGGACGGAGTGTATGTCCGACGCCTCAGAGCCAAGCATAGCTTCGAGTGGCCGCCGTGAAACGAGGCGGAGAGCCGCCTCGTACTCAGTGCTGGGAAATCCAATACTTGATGACCGGGTACTTGACGGCCCAGTGGACAGACCCTGCGTACAAGCGTCTGAGGCTGGCGCGCGTCTTTTTTTACGGACGTGGTCTCGTTGGTCTCGTTCGCCATCAGACAGCGAGAGCGACGGTGCATTGGGACTAGCAGGGACTTGATGGACACCGTGGTCATCCAGAGTGGCTGTAGAGCCGACATAATGGTCTCGGTCGGGGTTTGAGTCGATCGCCGTGATATAGCTGATCACACTGTCTGGCCGGCTCTGCATTTTACGGTCACCACCATCGGGCGATCGCTCGGCCGCCCTGATGACAAGCAGTCAGTTCCAATTTGCTTGTCGTTGCTTGGACGGTATGCGAGAACTCACTCGACATGCTCGAAGTCGTCCTCCTCGATTTCATCGGATACCTCGCATTGCACCGCCTTCTCATTAACGGCCGGCCCGACCTCTTCGAGGAACGAGTTCAAGTGTGCTTCAGCCTGAGGTCGTCGTACAGGCAGGTTCTCTTCCTCTATACTTGTCGACGAAATTGAACGTAAGGACTCAAGCGATATGGTCGATTCGGCGTCGTCTTTGTCCTAGAAATCTTGTGATCAGCAGACGAGTCATCGAGCGCTGCAAAATTGGACTGACGTCGACCTCAGACGCGTGGACCTGCAGTTCGTCGGCCAATGTGACTACCATGCTGTTCGCGCGGTATTCCGCCGATGTCGCTAAGATATGGCTCGCCTGAGCAAACCCAAATACAGTGCAGCTAATAATATACTTACGCTCAAATTGCGCGAGAGGGCCTCCCTCGTTGTTAGCCTCAAGAATTGATGGGCTTGTGTCTAGGATTGGCGCGTGGACGTCCGCCCCCTCTCTATCGGGCACTGATGCCGAGCTTCCGCCGTTGGACTCGATGCGTTGACCAACCAATTCCGAGCAGCTAAAAGGAAATACCTCCTCCTCCTCCTCCTCCTCAGGCTTGCTCCGCATGTCGCGTGACTCCGACTCTGTACGGACCGCAGTAGTTGATGATCCAGCGACAGCCGAAACCTGGTGCTACAATGCAGCAAGACGCCCGCTCAGTACCATTGCCATCGGACTGGTAAGAGACGGTGAATGCTTACCGGCACTGATAGACGCGGGGGAAGCGGGGGAAGGACCATGGCAGACGGATGCTTGGCAGCCATGTGCTAAGATTATGAACGGACGTGTAAGCGATGGAGATGTGATGGTGGCGAGGCATACCAACCGCGGTGTAGTCTTTATATAAGGCGAAGCCCACATCGCAGAGCGTGCAGCACGGGTGCAAGGAGGTCTTGTGGTTGTGTTTCTTGAGCCCCTTCTTCTTTGTGAATCCTTTGTTACAGTATTCGCACCGATTTTTCTGCATCTGCACCGCCCTCATCGCTTTCTTCTCCTTCTTCTCCTTCTTCAACTCTTCCTTGGTCTTCACAGGCTGTGCAATCGGACTAGTCTGTAGCCGTAACGGGCTCATCAGCGCATGTGGTCAACAAAGTTTCATTGCATGGCCTTGCCTTAGTGTCCGGTGTGACGTGCTTTGGTTCGTGTACCAGCTCCAAGTGCTGCATCCGCACGGATAAGCCATTGTAATGAGATCAGGTGGATTAATACAGACCGCGAGATACTTGACATTCCCTGCAAAGCCTATCTTGCATTCGAGACAGCGAGGATGCGCAAAACACTCGTAGTAATGCCGCTGTAGCTCAGGCTTTGTTGGATACCATCGGTCGCAGCGAAGACAATATTGATCGGTATGAGCGAATTTCTGATGCTATACAGAGATCAATCCAGATAGGACGAACAATGTGCAGTGCGACCCGCTCACCGTCAATAACCCAGCGTCGTCCTTGAAGGCCGCATTGCAAGCGGGGCATTTGGGGTGGCACGATGCACTCTGGTAGTGTAGATACAATTCGTCCATTTTGACGGACATTCCGCAAACACAGATTTCCTCCGCGTGCGCAGCTTGAAGGTGCTGAAGATAGCGTCAACGATCCGAATAAACAAGCGGCATTCACATTACGGTAACGCACCTGCAGCAGCTCGGTCATATCCCGGAAGCAGTTCCCACATCGCCCACAAGTTGGATGTATGGGAGATGCCTTATAATGTGCTCCGATCTCACTCGCCGAGGTGAAGGACAGTTCGCATATGGTACATTTGACTAGCCCTGTTGCAGGCGCTGCCGCGGGCCTCTCGTCCATGGTGGGTGGATTCGCGTCCCCAGTCGCTGCTGCTATCCCTGACGTAGGACCGAAGCCGAAGCTCGTAGTGTGCGCCGTACCGTTGACTCTGAACTGACCATGCTTTCTGGCCACTGTATGGTTGAGCAGGAGTCCCGCTGTTAAATAGCTGCTGTCACAATCGGGACAGCCAAACGGCCGTCGAAAGGCTCCGTGTTTCTTCGCAGAGCTATGACTGTGCAAGCCAATTGAGTCCCGGAAGCCTTTCGCGCAGTCAGGACAAGTGAACGACGTCCTAGACATGATCAGAGCAGCGGATGGCGATGATCGCGGCCAGGTTGGTCGTTGACCTGAGGCTTATCAGCAGGGCTTTATAGCGCCGCAGCGTGCGAGTGACATCCTTGAGGACGGCTTCGGCGACTTCGAAGCTTCGTATCCAGAATCGGCCACAGTGTGACGTCGTCGGCCCTCATGGTCTGCCAACCATTCATACTGACATGGTCCGAGTTGACAGCCAAGGCAATGCGCGGTGGGAACAGAACTTAGTGATAACTGAGGAGCTGAGAGAAACATGGGAGGTGTTGTATGTAGATGAGAGAGAAACGGCTCCGAGCGTACACTACATACTGCCTTCTGCAGCAGATTCTGCGTTCCGGGAGCGCCCGACAGCCTGCCAGCAAGCGCTCGAAGGAGGCGCTCTGGGCTCTGTCTGCCTGGATCCAGAACTGGCAGACAGCGAGAAAGCAACACTGAGAAAAATGGTTGCAGATTATATACTTGGAAGTTCGTAGTGAGAGAGCAGCTGCATGCTGGTACACAGCCCGTGCACAATATTGTACCCACAGAACCAACACCATGGTACTACAGACCTTCGAGTCCGCCGTGAAGCTTTGAAGCGTGACTCATGGCTACGGTGTTTCCAGGTCGAACCTACGGAATACAATTTGTGGAGGGAGAGTCAGACAATTTACGATCCTCATGAATGTACAATTTCGTCATGAAGCAGTAGCCGAGCAGGCACCACAGGCCTAGGAGTACGTTGTCTGTCCACTGTATGCCAGTCCTCGTACTATCAATACCTTGAAGAAGGCGGGCCACGTTGGTGGAGGAAAAGATCTCCCAGGAAACGCATTATTTATCATTCATGCCACAGGAGTACCGATCAGCGTCCACCGCCGTCTTCGATTTCGACGCGGCGTGGAACGACGATCGGTCCTCACCTCGTCACATCCAACTTCATCAGGAATAGCTTCTGGCAGACGGGACACTGCAGGTTCTCCGCGATCTCCTTGACGATACATCTATGCAAATATGACCTTCAGCGCATCATCGACAACCGCAGTGAGCCTAGACGCACTTATAGCAGAATATGTGCCCGCACTGCGTCGCCGTTGGTTCTTCGCACGGGTCCTTTCCGCAACTCCGGCAGTGCCAGGATGGTCCTGCAGCCTGAGATCGGACTCGTGACGTGCTACTTGCGGCCGCATCGAAAGGAGCGGCGACCGATTGGCCGGCGGTAGTGACTCTGGACGCCGTCACGGTCGACACTTCATGAACGCAGTTCAGTACAAAACATGCGAAGCACAAGTGAAGACGTTGAATTCTCACCTTCCCCGGCTGTCCTCGACCGAGCAGAGGACGAGCTGCGGCCTACGCGGACGGAGGGTGTATCCGACGCATCAGACTCAGACTCGATTGCGAGGCCGATCCCCCGCCGCCGGCGTAAGGCAGAGCGGAGAGCTGCCTCGGATTCACTACTGGAAAACTCAATGCTTGATGACCGGATACTTGACGGTCGAGTGGACAGGCCCTGCGTACAAGCGTCCGAGGCGGGAGCGCCCGAGTAAGACTCGGATAGCAAACGTGTTCCTCTATCAAGAAGCTCTGGTTTGACGATGCTTGTTGCGTCAGGCGGCGAGAGCGAGGGTGTGCTGGATGGAGCGGAGACTTGTGGAACACCGTGGTCCTCCAGAGCGGCTGGACAGGCGATAGAATGATCACGGTTCGAGTCCGAGTCGATCGCCTTGACGTAGCTGAGCACACTATCTGGCCGGCTCTGCATCGTCTGTTCACCACCATCGGGCGACCGCCCGGCGGCCGCACTGATGACAAGCAGTCAGCTCGCATGTTGTTGATTGAAGGTCAGAACTCACTTAACATGCACAAAGTCGTCGGAGAATGCGTCCTCCTCAACTTCCTCGGATGCCTCGCATCGCACCGCATTGTCGATAGCAGCTGGCCCGACCTCTTCTAGGTGTGGTTGGGAGTGAGCACCAGCACGAGATTGCTCAGTGGGTGAGATCTCTTCCTCTATACTCGTCGACGAAACCATATGCAAGGACCCCAGCGATATGGTCGAGTCAGTGTCATTTTCGACCTAGAAACCCTGCGTTCAGCAGACGCGCCATCGATTTCTGGAAAACTGGACTGACGTAAGCTTCAGATGCGTGGACCTGTAGTTCGTCGGCGACGGCAAATGACAAGCTTTGCACCTGGTGTTCTGACAATGTCGCTGAGATATGACTGGCCTGAGCAATACCGCGGATCACGGTTGATATGAATGCCTACGTTGCGCGACAGGAGCTCCTTTGTCGCCAGTCTTGACAGATGTGCTTTCACCTGAACCCGATGTGTCGTTCATTGCGTGATGAGCGGATACTGATGCCGGCATACCGTTGTTGGTCTCGGTGCTGTGGCCAGCCGCTTCGACTGGCTTCCCGGGAATGCCGCATGATTCCGACTGGGTGAGATCTTCCAGAGTCAATGTTCCGACAGTGTTCTTGTGTCCGAACGTACAGAAACATTCAATCAGTATATTGAGATGGGACCGGACGGATGGGGTGGCTGCTCACCGGCGGTAATGGACACGTAGGCGGACGAGGTATTGACGTAGCCAATGGATGTTTCTCTGACATGTGCTATCGACAAGCAGTGTCAGAAGACGGGATGCGACGACAACGAAGTCGACCAACACTCTTATACCCGTCATGATCGAGGAAATCATTGTCGCAGGTACAGCAATATAGGTGCAGAGGCGTGTCGACGTTGTGCTGCCTGAGATCGGCCTTGCTCAGGAATGTTACATCGCAGATGCCGCAATGGTGATACTTCGTCTTCTTTTGCTTGTCTTTCTGAACATGCTGGGTCTCGGCAATCTGGCATTTGATCAATGAATTAGTGCACATAGTCGATCAGGATTCTCAGAGGAATGCGTGCCTTTTTGGCTGCACTGGCTAGAAGGGGGTGCACCATAGCCATGTGCTGAATTCATATATATGAGATCGTTGACAGGACAATGGATGTGGCTATCGCAAACCTCGAGATATTCCGTGTACGTTGAAAAGCCAATTTGACATCCGAGGCAGTGATAATGTGCCGAGCTCATAAAGAAGTGCTGCTGCAAATCAGGTTTTGTCGGGAACCATTTCTCACAGCGACCACAATACTGATCAGCGTGGTTGAGCTCCTGATGCTGCGGAACAATCAGGATGGAATCCTCTGGGCACTGCACTTTCTGAATAGCTTACCGCTAGCACCGCACTGGCAGAGTCCTTGAAACCGATTCCACACTGGGCGCACTTAGGATGACAGACGGAAGCCTGATAATGAGTCGATAAGCCGTTGAGCTTGACAATGGCTCCGCAATCGCAGATGTCCTCCGCGTGCACCGTTTGAATATGCTAAATACCATGTCAGGAACTTGATCGAAGGAACGATGGTCACGTCGCGACTCACCAGAGAAAGTTTGGTCTTATCTTCGAAATACCTACCGCACGTTGTACACGATGGATGCACAGGAGACATCTTGTAGTGTATACCGATCTCCTTTTCCGACCCGAATGTCAACCCACAGGTTGCACACTTCACTGGTTTCTGAGGGGTCTTTGTAGTGGGCTTCGCAGTCGATGCTGACGATGTTGAGTTAGCAGCATCATATGTCGCCCACAAGGACCATGAAGGGGTTGCTGCCGAAGCAGCAGGGGTGCTGGAAGCAGGAACGAACACAGTACTTACTGCCGGTGCTTGTCGTTGGATTCAATCTGAACTGACCATGTCGCTTGGCCTTCATATGAGCTCGCAGGGCAGTCGCGTCCAAGAAGAGTTTAGCACAGTCGGGACAGCTGAAGACAGGCATGATCGGCGCAATAGGCACGGACGAACACGGCGAGGTCAGTGTGTTGTCTGAGGCTTATCAAGGAAACGATTATATGGGGCACCGTAGCGTGTGCTAGTAGTACGTGACGTCCTTGGATCTAGAAGTTCGACAACTTAAAGTTAGTATCCAGAACGGGCCACCACTGCTCGTGACGTCGACGTCCGCCGGGGCGTCTCTATATTACCGAGACCGCAGTAGAGTGGGCTGTGAGCGCTCTAGATATTGCAGAGCACCATCTCGACTCACCTCTTTGCACAGGAGGGGAAACAAGCACGCAAAGCTGTGAATATTGCACGAGGGAGGAATGAACTCGGTAGGTGGTGCCAGAAGCGCCCGGCGACGGACGCTCGAACTGCAGGCCTAGAGGCGCCGGCGCTCCGACTTCGAATGCCAAAGTGCTCAGTGGATCGCTCTCAGGGTCGAGCTCCTCATCATATACATTGACAACTAAACTTATCACTTGTATGCATACACGAAAACCTAGTACTGCATATGATCGCTACGACTCGTATTTGGCTCGTCAAACGCCAAGTATCTGAATTTGCAAGTACCAGTGCGTAGTGGCCTCAACAAACTGCATCCGCGCTACTGGCGGCCCTAACCTCGAGATACGCTACTCAGATCGTAGCGTGCAACCTCAGCAGAAACAGTCGACCGCAAACAGGACAATGCATTTTCTCCGATATCTCACGGATAATGCACCTGCGCAGAATCGATCGCACCGTCAGCGTCGCGCATCACAAGGACTCAAAATCAGGACAAACGCACTGATAACAGAATACATGCCCACAGATCGTCGCGGTAGGCTCATCACAGGGGTCCCGCGTGCAGATCCTGCAATGCCACGAGATGCTCTGTGGCGCGGGCGGGACGATGGGGTGCTCAACCACGGTCGCAGAACAAACCTCCGCGATGAGTGGCGGTGGCGACGTATGCGGTGCTCGGAGCTCGTAAGTCTTCTGTACTGTATGAAGTGCATGGAATGATTTCGGCTCACCTTCATCTTCGTGCTCAGATAGTCCATCGGCTTCGAGCCCGCCGTTGTCCGAGCCTCGTTCCTTGTGTACGTACGGTGCGTTCGACTGTTCCATCGATATGACACCATCTTGTCCTGCAGTCGAGTCGACGCCTACTTCTTGCACACGTTCGGAAACTGGGGAATACTGCCTGTCGAGGCTGTCTCCAGTTAGCGTGTATGCCTCTGACTGCTCCGCGGCAGGTTCCATTAGGGTCTGGGAGGCGAGGCCAAGGTCCTCCGAGGACTGACGGATACTGCCGGTCGCAAGCTCTGACTCAACTCTAGACGCGATATCGATAGAGGCGTGCGAGGGCACGGTTTCATGATGAATTCGCAGTTCCTCCGCTGAATTGAATATTTGGTAGCATCGTTTGCAACCAGTGTCACCATGGTCCGATGTTACATGCTAGCCAAAGATACCCTAGTCAGAAGAACAAAAATCATTGGGATGGTGAAACTCACCGATTCGAGCGATGGCCGATCCTTGAACCCGACCTTGCAAAAAGGGCATTTGGGGTGGCCCACGGACCCGAGTAGTGCAAGGGAAGGTCGCTTTCATAGACGACCCACGCCTTGCAGTGTTGACACTGAAAGCCGTATGTGTCGGTCCGCTCCTCCGTTGCATTCGAGGCGTTAGGAGGGATATCGGATGTCGTAATCGTGTTGAGGTGCTCCGCGACTACGTTGCAACTCGACCTCATGGACTGCTGTGCGAGTCCGTCGTGCCCTTTCGCCGACGCATGCGATTGATAGGCGTCGAACGTCTTGAACGCCTTTCCGCATTCGGCGCAGGATAATGGCTTCCCCTTCCGAGGCATTGAGTCTGGACGAAGACCTGACAGCTGGCAGCGAGCTAAGGGAAAGGACAGGGAGCCGTCAGTCCTGAACTTGGAGCTCGTGAGTAGCAACTGCACGTGTAGGCCAGGTGTGGGCGATACGGGATGGACGAGCTTCTGTGCACAGATGGATGTTGCTGAACCTTAAAGCGTGAGACATAGTAGAATGTGCAACTTGAGCTTCAATACCATTACTGTTGGCAGCGAGAGAGAACATTACCATGTATAAGTACTGATTCCGAGCTAGCAATCATATCCGTGTAACGAAGGCTTGCCTCCAGCTACCTCAGGCCATCAACACATGAGCGACGGTATCATACACAGTACCCAGTTATGCCGTACGTCACACCGACCGGAGCGCATAGGGAGTGGGTTCTGACCCCGTTCGATCCTTGTGATAGAATGCTGACGTTATCCATTCATCTTGTCGCGTGAAGCCTCAAGAGGAAATTCCGGTTGCACACAGGGCATTGCATCCTTTCCGATAACTCACGGACGATGCACCTGCGAGCGCGCGAGACCAGCCTCTCAAAGTCAGACACAACGCAGTCGCCCGGATTGGATGCACCATAGACGCACCTGTGACAGAAGATGTGTCCGCACATTGTTGCAGTAGGATCGTCGCATGGGTCTTTCAGGCAGCTCCTGCAGTACCAAGATAGGTTTTGCGGATGCGCTGTCGATGATACGTGGTTCGGGGCCGTTGGTAGTTCCGAAGATGTGGAACGAGCCGATCCTTTGCGGTAGCACAATAAGCAATTAGAACGTGAGATTGTACAGCCTTGATATGAATACTCTTGCTCACCTTCATGCTCGACACTCCGGACCTCTCCGTCGTCCGAGTCTGAGTCTGAACGCTCGAGCATGTGCTCTAGTCCATCCAGACCACGCGCGATGGGTACATCTCTACCCTCGTCGAGGATCTCTCGTTCCCCCGGCGTGCCCGAGTCGACGTGTCGATTGACAGGCGTAAGTTCTCTTTGATCCGAGCCAAGCGAGTTCAGTGATATGTGATCATCGACGGGCTCAAGTCGTAGTTCTTCAGCAAGCGTGTTTCGGACATCTACGGCCTGAGGAGTAAGAGCGGGAGCTTCCCGTGCGGCTAATGTTGATGGAGCTGCATAAGCAGTGCGAACAAGCATTGCAGCTGAGAGAGACCCACCTTCGACCTGTGCGTCGCCTTCGTGGTCTCCGTGTAACGACGACTCGGATGTGCCTGCCGCGCACTCGTCGACCAACTCATGTACACCCGCTGTTCCCATCTGTTGACTGGGTGCGGAGTCCAACGATCCATCATCCCTGGAGTTGGCGCGTCCGATAGAGTGGCGGGACCCATCTGAAAATTCAGGCTCTTCCGTGCTGACCGATGGTCCGCATGCGGTCTGATTTCAGTTCGGGGTAGTTAGAGACGGCACTCAACGGATGAGTAGACGCTGCACACTTACCGGCGGAATTGGCGAGCTCGACGAGGGCTGAGGTCTTAGCTGCACTTCAGTTTGATGTACGTTCTTCATATGCTAACGTGAGGTATGTCATAAGGTGAGTTTCAGCCTCAACAATAATCGTCATCGCACCTTTCTGTACCGTTTATCGTCATATAGACCTACGTTGCAAAGGGTGCAGCACAGATGCAAGGGTGTCACGAGGTGATGTTGCGCGAGCAAGCTCTTATTTGGATAGTTCATATCGCATATTCCACAATGCCAGAAGCTTGCAGCCCTTTGTGCGTCGATCGCCTGACGACGCTGTGTATCCGCAGCAACCTGTTGTGTTCTCGTGAGCATACCATACCGTTACTAGAACTGGACCTTATATCACACACCGCCTTTGACGGAATGGCAGGTATGACGGACGTCACGATCCAATTAAAGTTGGAGGATGACGGGGTCGACTCGAAGCCAATAGGGCCGGGCCGATCACTGCTGGTAGGGGTCATAGCTGTTTCCACAATAGCTGTTATGAAGACACGCGCATGTCAGCACTACCACTCAATACTGCATACAGAATGCTATGTGTACCATCGCTTGGCTTGGATACAGGCGGAACTGAGCGCGCCTCAGCATTTAGATACTCCGCAAGCCGCGAGTCGTTCCAAAGGAAAGTTGGCTGTCCCCAGTGATGACTCCTCAGTGTCGAGCTGCAGCTTGACTGATGATGATTGGATGCATACCGTGACAGTGGAGGTCTCTGTGCGCACGACGTTGACATGAGACTTCAAGGCGTTCTCGCGCCCATGATGAGTGCGTCCATCATCAGCGGAAATGTAATTCCTCGAGGGCCGAGCTTGAGATAATCGTCGTAGATGCTAACGAATGAAGGAGCCAAGGGCTTCTGGGTCAGTTAAAGCAAAGGGCCGAAAAGTGGCCCTGTTACGCACCTCACTGAGTGTCGTGTTGTCCAAGAGTATTAATCCGCAATGTGGGCATCGCGGATGGATCCTAGGATTTTCGTTATGCTCGGCGAGCCCCTTCGCGGTCGTGAAGAGCCGGTAGCATAGATTACAGCATCCTTTCGTTCCCTGCTTTCCAAGAGTGAGAGGCTGTGGATATTCTGGCTGTGCGTGATTCTCTGCATGAGCGTGCTGGAGGAGATGATGAGCAGTCTAGCCACTAGCTCTGATGCGACCGCACCTCTGAGAGTTCTTCAGGATATTCGTATGATTCGCCGCATATTGCGCATGAGGGGTGAAAGTTAGAGAGTGCAAGATGGTGCTTGAGGTAGCTGACATGAACCACCATCCTGCACGAGCACATTAGCCAACCGTTGTGAGTTGATTTCCTATCCTACGACCGCGGCCGAGTGTACATTGTCAGCCAGCGCGCTGTAATGTGCCCATATGAACCGCACCTTATCTGGTGCAATATTGTTCGTTGTAAAGCCATTGATAGTATGGTTCTTGCTCAGTGCGTGTGATTGGAATGCATGGAAAGTCGGGTTACGGTATCTCTTACCGCACGAACGGGAGGAAAACATTGTCGGCGGAGAATATGATCGTTAAACGAGAGACAGAGTACTCATTGTTGTCCAGCAATGTGCCGCAGTCGTCACGAACACGCGTGTTTGTGGCATGTTATGGACTCAGTACGTACATGAGTGGCAGGCGAGCTTGAATGAAAAAGTGAATGCCTCCTAGTCTCGTGGAACAAGCGCAGGATATCATAGTCGCGTGGGCACGGGTCTCGACGCCTCCCAAACCAATGATCATCGCACATGACTGAGACTGGTCCATACTATTACCAGGATCTATGACATTGGGTAGGGTCGACATTTGCAGAGGCCATACCAAGTCCTGACAACACATAAGAGTAAGCCGTCGTGACGCCGAGTATTAATGCATGTATGAATCTCGCACCACGGACCACGAGCATGCGTAACGTCCAATGGCAGCAGTAATTGAATAGCATCCACGTTCATATCTTAGTCGGTCCCAGGAAAGAAGATGCACGACTTCCGTGCGGCGGCGCAGAGCTGGAGTCGAGTGGCCGTTTCGAGATATACTTAGCGCCCATAGTGGCTTGTTACGGCGACTGAGCACGGCAGAAGCCGAGCGCCCATTTTTCCTCCTCCTACTTATATAGTATGAACCAAGCTAAGACTAGCTTCACATAACTAGGATTTGAACGACAAGTCCCTCGACGGCATCCCACAGTGGATCAAGATGTTCAAGTTTGATTTCGAGATTGAAGATGCAGAAGAACAAGCCGAGAGGACTCAGGACAGTACTATCCCTGGGCGAGACGAGGCAATTGACGCCCCGAGACCAGCCAGGGAAAGCACAGAACACTCTTTGCCGGATCTTGTGAGTGCAGCCAGTGACTGTTCTGGATTTTGCATGATGTTAGACACCTCGGGATAGTCGCACATACGCACGGTGCTTCAATATAACGTCTCGCTTGAAAGTTGGCTGTTGCAGAGTCCGGAACCTAGACCAACGGACTCCCGGTTTTGTGCACGATATACGAGGCCAAGAGGTGTCTACTATCATGCAAATAGCTATCACGTCTTGTTGGAAGGCGTCTCTGAATCAACAAAGCATTAGCTCTCAAACGGTCCCCCGTCCATCAGTTTCTCGCCACTAAACATCCGTACAAACGCCCACGACAGCCTCACTCTCGCAAGGCGGGACCTCTTTGATGCTCGCTTCCAGCTCATCGCATCGGAACCCGACGACATGGCGGATGACGGAACGCAGAGCTCTACTGAAAATGCCCTCGAATTTCTCGACGCACCGTCTGACCTGGTGCCAGGGATATACGAAGGTGGGCTGAAGACTTGGGAATGCTCGATCGATCTAGCAGAATGCCTGCACCAAACACTCGGCGATGCGCCTGGGAGCAGACTGCACGGAAAGAAAATTCTCGAGGTATGTGTCGCTACGCGGGCCTTGCCCATTTACATCACTGAGGGGAGACCCTCCGCATGTCGCACAGTCAAGATCGATGGGCTCTCCCTTGCCTGGCTTTATTTCTATTTCACTGTGCTCCTTCGCTGACTGAGACTATCACAGCTTGGCTGTGGAACGGCCGTTCCATCTCTGTATGCCATGCACCAACTTTTCTCTGTCACGCCTTCAGCAAATAGCATCCACGAAAACGTCGTTGTGCTGCAAGATTACAATGAGCTTGTCCTGCGGCTAGTGACACTCCCCAACGCCATACTCACTTGGTGTGAGTCTCCCTAGTTGTTTGTCTGTATTCAGAGTGTTTGCTCATTCACCGCAGACATGTCCCCCGCATCTCACCCCTTCCGCGCCTCCTACCAACCGTCCACCGACGACCCGGAAGTCGAAGAAGAACCCCTCCCGCCCGCAGACTCTACCCAACCAGGCACACTCCCATTCTCGCAGGCCCTCATCACTGCATTCCTCGCATCGCTCAAGGAGTACCGCATCGCCCTCCGCTTCTTCTCCGGCTCCTGGGAGGCCTTCGACATCGCGCGCGCCGGCGGGCCCTTCGACATCGTGCTCACCTCCGAGACGATTTACCGCCCGGAGAGCCTGCCCGCGCTGGTCCGTGTTATGCGCTCGGCGTGTGTCCCCGCAGACGGCCTTGCGGAGGGGACGGCGCGGATGACGATCCGTGACACGTTGGGCGAGGATGGGCGTGCTCCGTATTTGTGTTTGGTCGCCGCGAAGCGCGTGTATTTTGGTGTTGGCGGTGGCGTCGCGGAGTTCGTCAAGGCTGTCGAGGAGCACAGTGTCGAGGAGGGCGCGTCGGCGCCGAGCCCTCAGCAAAGCTCGCCAAGCTCGAAGGTCGAGACGGTTTGGGAGCGCACGGAAGGCGTGAAGAGGATCGTCATGCGCGTGTTTTGGGGACAGAGCTAGAGGCGTGTAGTGCATGTCGTGCACAAATGGAGGGCCGTTTGCATATTGTTCCGACCACTGATTGTATGTTCATCCTGAATGGCAGCGAGGGCCGCTCCGCAAGTGATTGCAGGTGTCCTACCTATAGGCACGCCCGTGAACCCGCTTCAAGCGCCGGACTTACTCAGATATTGCAGTCTTATGAACGTCCTCTTGCTCTGCGCCTTGATGTCACGCCGGAATCGCAAGCGCATCCTGTAACTGCGAGCGCGCCATGTCGCAATGAAGTGGCGTCGCCCGATCGTTACAAAGCAGTATCTACATAGAGTCGGAAGATTATAGACCACATACAATCGGAAACCCACAGAATCACCACTTAGATAACGTAGACCTAGGAAACAATCAAGTCGAGGCGCAACTGATTGACCACACGATACCAGCACGTCAGGCCTTCTTGTCCGCATCGAGATACCACTTGTACGCTTCACACCACGCTCTGTGTCCATCCTTCTCAATAACATCCTGGACAGGCGCACATAGGCGTCAGCAAGGTTCTCAGTACGCAGTGGTTCGTGAAATTTGCTTACGCCGTGGCACGGAATGATGCGGTCAAAGTCCCAACTTGCAACAGTCTTGACGTCGCGTTTCATATCCCTTGCGGCGGATGAGTGCCTGGTTGGCAGAGAATTGTTATTAACAGACGTACTCCTTGTCTACGCCTAGGTACCAGGCGAACCGCTTGTGTATCCCCATGTAGGGATTCAGAGATCCGAAGATGGGGAACTTGCCCGATGACGACGTCTTCGAGTACTACAGGAACAGCCAGTGAGCATACATGAGTGGGCGCGTAGCTCGTGGCGTCGTACCTGTTCTGTGGCTGGGAGGTTGAAGAGAAGGTCCGCCACTATCAGTGTCTTCGAGGCGGGATGGACGAAAGCCGTATCACGGTTCGCGAAGCCAGAGAAGAAGCTGTCCTTGTTCAGGATGGATTCGTCGTCAAAAGAAAAAACCGGTCACCAATGTTGGATCTATGCACATATAGGTCAGCTGGGCTGTCCAGTAGCTATAGGATTGGCACGACGTCAACGTACATCCTTTTCAAATCCATACTGAGCGTCTCTTGGATCCGTGCCCCAGACTACGGTTGTACATCACCATGTGAGTCAGTCGTCAGCAATACACGTAACCTGTCGCTTTACCTCCGTGGAATTCAAGGCCCTCTTTGGACTTCTTCTTGACTGCCTCGTCAACCGCGAGCAGCTTCGCCTCGGGATACTCCTTCTTAAACTCTCCTGTAGTATGGTGAGACTAGTGATCCGGCGCCCTTTACGTCTACTTACCGAGGAACATATGATGGACGGCGTCAGCTCCGACAATCCACCTAAAAGACATGTATAAGTCAGTCTGCGTGTCAAACGAGGCTACCGTTGAGAACAGACCTGACTGGCCCAAGTTCGTCCAGTTTGGCTTTCGTCTCGGTCGTCAGTGGGGTCGAAGCCATGACCCACACATCACCGTTAGACAATTTCACGGCGGTCGACCGACCCCCAACCGGCAGGATACCAAAGCGGGAGAATGGACTGTACAGGAAGGCCTATCAGCGAAGAAATGGGACGACAACCGCATCAATACATACCACGAAAACGTCCAAACGTCTTTCGCGACCTAGAGAAGTATGAGTAGTCGCTCATCTCAACATACGTACAGCGCGGAAAGCCAGGAATTGTGATTCTGAAGCAGTGAAACTGTACCTCACGAATTACACATGTACTGCTCATATTAGAGCTACCCACACCCATGATGGCGTCTTGAAAGATGCGCTACGCGTAAGAGGTGGTACGTAGTCGAGTTCAAGTTGTATACGCGCGTAAGTACTCCAGCTGTGTTACTTACGCCGTTGCGGAGAACGACGCAGTCGTGACGTCACATACCGACAACCACGTGCTAAATCATAGTGTGTCGAGCATCCGCCACCGTGCGGCAATAGCCTGCACCGAAGACGCTAAGTACCAACCTGTTCGAGTATCATAGACATTGTATGATGGTAACGTCCAAGCCGGCCTCAGGTAGCCCAAACGCCTGAGCTGAGGCGGTCAATATGCGTGCGAAACCGGTGCGGGCATTTTTGTACTGATAGCGTTGCACGGCCATTCAAGAAAAACAGCATAAAGATATACACCCAACAGAAAGCTAGAACCTGCATGACGAGATAGAGCACTGCATGTTCCATCACCGGTATCGGTCAGTCCAGTCTGTATCATGTTTCCTCATTGGTCGCCTTTTTGAGCATATCTTGCCAGTCCATGGCCAGTTTCGTGAGCGTCTTGCTGCGAGCTTGATAGGTTGTCAGCCAAGCACACCTACGGATTGAACTGAGACTCACCGAAGATCGCGAGTACATCTCTGAGAAGATCGCGCTTGGACATGCCGAGGGTTGTAGGCGACCACGCATCGTCGCGGCCCGGACGCCTGGCAAACAGGGTCAGCATTCATTTACATCGGAAGTCGCGCTATCACTCACCAGTATACGGGCCCGAAAAGCTCCTTTACCAATTCCTCTGCTTTTCCCCGGAACCCTTCGTCGGCGATCCGTTTCGCATACACGAGCAGCGTTTGCTTGTACTCTTGCGGACTCTCCAGCGCCTTCGCAGCATGCAGCTTCGTTTCCAGATGACCCAAGGTAAGGGCGGTATGCCACCATGACGGTCGTTGCTTATCCGCCCCCGCGCTGTCTCCCACGCGCTCGCTGATGCTACTCTCGAGCATAGCCACGACACCACGCGCTGCAGATTGGCCGGAACGCTGGCGGCCTTGCCAGGCTTCCGAGCCTTCTGCCCACCACGATTCGCTGAGCTTTGTCCATGCCGAGAGTGCAGCGTCCCAGGTATATGCGACGCCGGTCGACAACTGCATGACCGGTGCACCGTTTGGACGGACCACTGCGTGGACGATGGTCGTGTTGGGCGACGATCCGAGGATGGGTAGCACTGACGTTGCTGGGAAGGCGGCGGCTTGCTTCTTCGTGTTCCTAGACTGAGACTCAATACCTGAACTATGTGACAAACGAACTACACGCACCATACGTAGAGCATCCCTGACGCAGTGATAAGCATAAGGGAGTGCTTCGCACCGCTCAAGTATGCACACGGTGATCCCAGTGACAATGTTGGCATCAACCTATCGACGGACGTTAATGGGATTTTAGCATTCGTTAGCGCGAAACACTCACCGGCGACCCGTTGAGGAGTAAACATTGACCGAACCATCTTGCATTGCGGCAGCGCAGAAGTTGGCAGTCGCGGTAAGAGCGATGACAGGCGACGGGAGATAGTCGAGCCACTGCGTTTGCTTCCCGCTCACAAACGTCACCTCGGTAGGGCCTAAAAGCACAGTGAGTCCAGGAGCAACCAAGGGCGGACACCACGTACCACCATCCTCCGCGTTCCTTCCCTCAAGCACGTCTTCACTACCTTCGACTGTCGCCTTGACGTACGTCAAGACCGGCGGTGCCTGGAGCCTACCCATAACGCTACTCTGCTCGCTCCATAATCCCAGCGCTCCTCCTGCGCCAGCCGACCCAGAGATCTCCCGCACGGACACGTTCTCCCTCACGCGGTCCCCGCCCAGCGTCCGCGTCTTGGTCGCGACGCGATCATCGACGCCGTCCAGCGTCTTCCGCTTCGCCCTGCCCGTGTCCAGCGCGGCGATCTGCACGTCCGTGCTCAGGTCACCCGGGAACATGTCCACGTCGCGGTCGACGTCGTCACCCGTAAGGTCCGTGATCTCCGCGCCGAACGGGTTCGCGCCTCCGAGCCATGGCTGGTGCGACGCGGGTGGGCGGGGTGCAGACGAGGACGATGGTCCAGCGGCGGAGGGAGGGCGGCCAACGCCTGCAGAGGGAACGTTGGCCGCAGAGGGCACAGAGCCCGGCAACGCACCAACGAAGTTCGGCTGGATCCGCTTCTTCGCCTTCCGCTTCGCGACGAGCTGGTTGATCTGCTCGCCGCCGTTCGCGGATGCCCCGCCGAAGCCCGTCTGTGTCTGCGTCGGCTTGGCCTCTGCGCGCCCAGGTGATGGCGGCGGCGTCATGCGGGCGTTGCCTGGGGTCTGCCGCGCCTCGAGGGCCACCTCGTGCGAGTAGCCAGTGGGCAGCGGCGCCGCGACGAAGCCGAACTTCTTCAGGTATTGTTCCTGCGCGGACTGGGGGGCAATTCCTTCTAGTTCCTCCGCGTCGAAGCTGAAGACAGCCATAGTGCCGTCCGAAGACACGGCGTATAGCGTAAGCCCATCCTGCGACCTGCGGGGCTATTAGGACAACTGACGAAGACGTTGGGTCGAAGGTAGCGCACCAGCTCAAATCCATGATCTGCCTTTCGAAGACCTCTTTGGCGACGATCAGCGGCCGTGCCGACTTCGTCTGCCACACTGACACCGCGCGGTCGTCAGCCCCTAGGGCAACTACGGAGCAGATATTTGACGCGACTACAGGCAGCGACGGATCTCGGAGGAATATATGTGGGTTATACGCCTAGGGATAGAGATAAAGACACTGTCCGAGCTATACATAGTCGGAAGCACTCACAGCAACCTCAACGGTGTTCTCGTGTCCCACGAGACTAATCTCAGACGTCCAAGTGTTGCGGGCGATCACAGCAGCGATGAAAACATATCCATCGTTATTCGTCGCGTTCGAGGCGGTGATATGGGCACCATCGGGCGACCAACTAGAGGCAATGCATGAGATATGCTTCATCCACCGGAGCACGCAAGGACAAACCTCAATCGCCTGAAGAACGTCCCTGGAGAATGATCAAACGGCTTTCGGACCTCAGCTTCGAGCTGCCAGTCAGTTGTTCTCCATATCCGCACCGACCGATCGTCAGACCCCGTCGCGAGGAACTCCCCCACTGGATCCCAGCAGACGCCCTTGACGAAGCCTTGGTGCTGGTCTATCCTGCGCAGGCGTTCTGCAGTGATTGGTTTTGCGTTAGAAAAGTAGAAGACATGCGAGACGATGGTGAATGTACCGAGAGTATACCCACACCAGATCAGAACGCACGAGTCCAATCCGACTGTGGCAAGGTGGCGGTCTCCGGGTGACCAAGCCATGTCTGTGACATCTATGGCAACGTTTCAGGTTCAACGTTCACTCAACATAACATAGGACGTACCACTCTCGTGACCCGGGAGCCGTTTGAGCGGCTTCCAACCCTCGAAGTTGACTTCGTCGGAGCCCCACACCTTTCCTTTTGCAGAGCTGCAGTTCGAAACTTGGTTGAGTATTGGACATGGACGCTTAGTGCAACAGGGAAGATGGTTAAGGAATTTGTCCTCGCGGAGAAGGACGTGACGATCAAGGCATTGCTGCAATGCAGCATACGATTGCCACTGGATACTCAGGTCATTGCCATCCCCTGAGGAGCGATGACGGTCACTGTGTCCGCTGGTAATTACCGATTAATACATGATGATGGCCTCTGCTGTCTGACCTCAGGAGTCAGCACCCGCTGGAGGTTGGCAGGGACTGGCTTGTCCTCGGCGCTCGATCTCGCGGTAGAACGTTGGTGGAGACACCAGGAGAGACTGATCCACTATCGCGGCTTGCGAGCCTGGAACTATGCGGGGCCCCAAGTCCGGATAGGTGAGCCCACATAGCGAAGCGCCTGACTTCATCCAAACATAAGGGCCCAGCGTCACCCAGACAGCGTAGGGAGTTCCGCGCGACAGTGCTCGTCGAGTGTCTGCATGACACAAGGGAATCGTGTTCTTCCGAAACCGCAGATAGACAGCCAAGTCTTGGACTTCATGGAGAAGCACGTCCCTAGACGGATAAAGCGACTACTCACGGATCGAGGTCCCAAATCATTACAATCTCGTCGTCGCTGCCACTCGCGAGCCACCGCCCTGAATGCGCCCATCGTACGACGAGGACCGGTCCCGTATGCATCGTCAGCGTAGACAGACTCTTCGGAGGTCTCCCTGACGCCTCGGACGCTTCGTTGAGGATCGGCTTGGTGCTCCATATGCGGACCTTCGCGTCGAGGCCGCCCGTAGCTATCCGCGAGCCGTCTGGATGGACGTGTACGGAGAAGATGGTGACCCTCTTCTCTTGCTCGCCCTTCATGGCAGAATCTACGGCGCGACTTGTGAGCTACTGAACAGACATACGGGCGATGTACGACCGACCCTTGTGTGTGACCCATGCCGGCTTGGTGAACTTCATGATTAGAAGTGACTTTACAGAGGCGGTTTACAATACAACAGTGCAATAAATTAGACCAGTTCGGGCAATGGGCAGCAGTAGACACGAAGACGACTAGGTAGGGAGTAAGATCGCTCTGGCCAAAAGCTGTGGCTGAGAACGGTGCCGGGTGAGCAGCCTGACTGTCGCTAACTCACGTACTTATGATTCTGAAGAGGTGTATTTTATTTACACAGTGCTCTTAGTGACACTAAGTATTACTTAGGTACTTATCCTGCTTAACTCGGCTCCTCTCGGGGTCCTCTCCCTACGCCGGGCTCGAACTGAAGTATGTACAGACTCAAGGATCGCATTCGCTTTCTGTGTCCATGCAATATTTGAGCCTAGCAGTCAGTCACATAGAATTGATGGCGAGTTTGGTGAAGTAAGGGCTACAGGACCAAGATCTATGCCCAGGAGTGAAACAAACGAGGATACTTATCGCAATTGCCCGGAAACGGGACCCCGAGAGCACCCCTGCTGCGAGCGGCCTCAAGGCTACAGCCAGTTGTGCGAGGCAGCTCGGGCCAGTCTACAGACTCTTCCCTCGGAAATCAGGTCGCAGAGATGACAATGGCCGGCTGTATGGAGGACGCGGAGGTGGTCCGTGCGTCAGGGCGCGGCCCAGCGTATATAAGCAGCGTTATTCAAAGCGGACTTTGAAGCCTTGCATTGCAACCAGATAAAAGGCGTCACCTGCCGACACCCCACCGCACACCTGAACACTACCTGAACCCTATCTTCCACCCGCACTCTCACATCCCCCAACCATGTCTGACGAAGAAGGAGGCAAGAAGTCGGGATACCGATTGGAATATGCGAGCTCGTCTCGGGCGAAGTGCAATGGTCAGTGTTTTGTCGTGGATGTTCAACTTGGGCTCGAGTGCTGACCGACGCGTTTTCTGCCGTCCTGGCGCGTCGACAGGTACCAAGCCATGCAAAGGTGAGTATCGTGGTCTCCCTTTAATTTTCTCGACGCTAAGATCGCGCGTAATCGCTAGGAACTCCAATTGCCAAGGGCGAACTGCGTTTTGGCAGTCTAGTAGACTTCAGAGGAAACACTTCCTTGTGAGTAAACATCCGTTGTATACTGTAGAGATGTCTGTGGCTTGCGCGCGCTATGTTCGCTGTGTAGCGGTACCTTCGTTCTGAGTGGTCGTCCGACATGTGTTGGCGGCCGCCTGGCTAGGGCCACAAAACTAGAACCTGTTCCTGCGCGAACCAGTTTTCAGTACCGGCCTGAGCACGCCTGGAACGCCAGATCTCCAAGGGGACAGGGTCGCGAATGGCGGGCTCTTTTGGGCCGTCTCTGTCGCAATACTGTTCGGCGGCTTGCTGACCTATCGTCGCAGTTCATGGCGCCACTGGGGTTGTGTGACCCCCAAAATCATCTCCAACATGAAAAACTCGTTCGAAGAGGCAGATGAGCTTGACGGCTTTGACGACCTCACCGACGAGGATAAGGACAAAATCCGTGTGGCCTGGGAGGATGGCAAGGTCGCCGATGAAGACATCCCTGACACTGCGCAGAAGCCCGAGGGCGAGGAGGACGAGGATGAGGATGAGGAGAAGCCCAAGAAGAAGGCTCCCGGAAGGAAGAAGAAAACTGATGCTGACGAGAATGGTGAGCCGCAGAAGAGCGTATTCAAGTTGGAGTACGCGTCGTCTAGCCGAGCCAAGTGCAAGAGTGAGTTGGTCTCACCCTCTATCTACCGTGCGTTACTCATTCGTCCCTCGCGCAGCGTGTGGAGGTAGGAACACCGTATACCTAGGTTATGTGCTCTCTCTCATCAGTACTTCCGTCATTAGACAGTGTCGGCAAGGGCTTCTTCCGGCTCGGCCAGGAGGTAGACTTCCGCGGTCATAAGGCTGTGTATGTCCGCTCTCCATACTGTTTCATCCTGGCCACTGATGCGTTGACTTCAGGAACTGGCGACACTTCGGCTGTGCTGACGCCAAGATGATCGCATCTATGCAAGCCTCCTACAGCGAGTCCTCTGAGATCGACGGCTTCAACGACCTCAAACCAGCTGAACAAGAAAAGGTTCAGCGCGCGTGGGACGCGGGCGAGGTGCCGGAGGAAGACCAGGGTCCTGGAGAGGCCGTCGAAACTGCCAAAAAGGCTGCACCGAAGCGCAAGAAGAAGGACGAGGATGGCGAGGAGGAGAAGCCCAAGCGATCGAGGGCGAAGAAGGCTAAGGTTAGTTAGCTCTGACCTGAGTCGTCGTAAGCATATGTTGATTGAGTGCGGTAGGATGACGATGACGAGGAAGAAAAGCCGAAGCGTAAGCGTGCCCCCGCGGCGGAGAAGAAGACCAAGGCACCTGCCAAGAAGAGCAAGAAAAAGACTAGCGACGACGATTCCGGCGAGGATTTCGGTAACGAGATCGCAGCTGTGGGCGACGACGAGGAAGAGGAAGAGGAAGAAGAGCCTGCCCCCAAGAAGCGGAAGGTATGTTGGCTCTGAATATTCCTTGCGTGTATGTCTGACGCGTTGTTTCTTCAGACTGCCCCCGCCCCCAAGGGTAAGCCTGCGTCGAAGGCCAAGCCGGCTGCCTCTCGCGGGAGGAAAAAGGCCCAAGAGTCTGAAGTCGAGGATGATTACGAGTGAATGGTTTCCTCAGCTCGTCCCATCCCTGCGTGTCGTCGGACCCTCCGTTCTCGTCCGCTGTCGTTGTCACATCCGTAGTTGCTTTGCATCTCATCCTGCCAAGGTAATGTATGGACATCGTGTAATAGTATTCCTCTTCTGCCCGTCCTGGAATCTCGCGTCCACTCCCTTCTGTTCTGTTGTTGCGATCGCCGCTCCATAGACTTTACGACCGTGACGCTATATCTTACCTAACTTATGTGACTACTGCGCGTGTACCGATATAGAATACCCGCCGTGTCCTAGTGAATCGATACCGTGCTACTTTAGGCTACTTTGTGGCATGGCTATTAGGTCCGAAAGCCTGGCCTTGACGGACACCGGCAGCATCGTCGGTCATTGGGTAGTATAGGCGGATGGTAGGAATCGTATCCGACGACGTCGGATACAAATCCTACCATCGTCTATACTCCCCATGATCCGCCGACACTGGTTTGTGCAAAGCCGTTCCAGAGGCTGTTCCAGGCCGGGCGGATGAGTACGTTGTGAGCCTCCGTAGTCTTCCGCCGCCCCCTCCTAACTATGATTCGGTTGTCTTCAGAATCAACCCGACATCCGAATCCGAACCTAGTGACGCAAGCAGTGGTCAAAGGCTTAATAACCGTGAACAGCCATTGGGATGAAGGATCCCGTTGCGAACTTGACCAGACACCACATCCAAATACCCCACCGCAATGGCGAGACCACGGATGCCGGAGGGCCTCGCACAACGGACAAACATCCGTTCGCCGTGGAAGGCTCCACAGTGGACGGATGGCTCGTCTGTTTCCAAAGAGCACGCCCTCGCGTATATAAGGGCTGGTAGTTTGCCCGTCTGCCATCATCCGTTCCAAGTCCAGCAGACTGTAACTTCACACTACTAGCATCACTCGTGCACATGTCAGCTCAGTTCTTCATGTCTGACGCTGAATTGTCTACCTTGTACTGCGCGCTTTGCGACCAGTACTTCATCGACGAGGCTGCCTGTGCTGCGCATGTCCAGCACTCGTCGAACCACCCTTTGTGCGGACCCTGTGGCATCCGCTTCGCGAACGGCCATTGGCGCCGCCAGGTATGTGCCATTGCCGCATTGTCTCTAGCCTCCGTTAACCTTCGTGCTATACAGCATTGGTGCAACTCCCCTAGGCACCACTACTGTGCGGCCTGCGAGGTCGAATTCCAGACCGCCGCTGGTCTCCGAGTGGTCTGTCGCTCACCCATCCTTCAATGTCTGTGACTCTGCTGACACCCTATGGCCTTTGGTAGCATATCGAGTACGCGGCAGTCCACCGCGACGACTCCGATGACGATGACGACGATGACGATGACGACAACGATACCGTCTTCGCCGATAGTCCCGGATGGGAGGACGCCCTTGGCCAGCGGATGTTCCCCGAGGACGTCGAGCAGCTCGCGGACGATGATTTCGACGTCTCGGAGCCGCGCCCCTTCACCATGCCCACTCCGGAAGAGCTCTGGGCCGAGGACGACGAGCTCGACTTCGATGAGGAGTGCGAGTACCTTGGCTATACCAGTGCAGGCCCGCCTAACAGCGCAACGACGGATGCTAGCTATCCAGTAAGTCGATTTCCCCGGATGTAGAGGCAGATGTTGATGTGTTCTAGTCGACGGTACTGGTGAGCGGTACCCCGGCGCACGAGTGCGCGGCGGAGAGAGCTGCCCATGACGCGGAGGAAGCTAGGCGCATAGCAGAAGGCATCGAAGCTGAGGCAGCGCCCGCGCCTTCCGGCGTTGTCTTCAACTGTCCACTCTGCCTCGAAGCACCGGAAGAGGCCAGTGCGACCCGCTGTGGCCATGTATTCTGCTCGCCGTAAGTTTGTCATCGGGCTTGACCGACAGGAATACTGATGGACGGGGCGTGGCAGATGCATCCGGTCGGCGCTGAACGTAAAGAGCAGTTGCCCCGTCTGTCGTACGCCTTCCGTGCCTCTTCAGCTTAGGAAGCTGTACCTCTCTGCCAATTAGATAATATGATGTGTTTGCTGCGGGCAGCATAAATGAACACCATCTGTACTATCAGTGCTATATACTAAATGCATCGAACGTTAATAATAAATATGACTTTGAAGCGATCCGGACTCAGAGAAAATGACTACCTGAAAGGACTGTCGAGAGTTACAGCGCGTCGTCTTCCCACCTCAGCTTGTTGTACGGGAGGAGAGCGTCGATCCATCTGGACGCTCTCCTCCCGTACGACAAGCTGAGTCGATCGCGACAGTGACGACTGGGACTCCGGATCTGGCGTACGCGCGCGCCGCGCGTGGCTACGTGGCTCCAGCCACCGGCGTTGTGGCCACACGAATCGGAGATCCAGTGCGCCACATCCGAGAACCCGACCTCCACCACTGCGCCTCGCAGAGCTCGGGTCTGCTCAGATGCCACTTTAACCAAGTACATATTGAGTACACATGAACTTATAATAGTACTCTGAGGCACAAGCTCTTAGCTCAAGGCCTCACGCCCATGTGGTCACGTTACCGGGGCGTAGCGTGGCTCCGTGGCAGCGCAGCGTGGCCACCTCGCGCCTGTGGCTGCATCAATCGAAGATCTGAAGAACCTGCATTGTTCTCCCGGTTCGTTCAACGTCGCAAGTTGGTTGCAGCCCTTGACTCGAACCGCCGCCAGATCAGGAAGGCCTGTGCGCGACAAAGCACTGCGCTGCCTCGATTTGGGCAAATCCGTTCAGGACCCTAGTACCAATTAGGCAAGAATATCTAGCTCGGCTAGCAACGACAATGCTAACCCTGGCGGGCAACAATCGATACAGGCATTCCCCGTGCCCAACCAACGTTGTGGCTTCCTGATCTGCATATAAATTGCCCACGCCTGCAAGCTCTCTTTGTGAGTCGTCTCTCATCTCCTAAGCATGAATTCTCCTCCTGATACGATGTTCAGTCTATCGGAAGACCGCCGTGGCACCTCACCTCCGATTACATCTACCCAACCATCGTAAGTAACGCGTCGTACTCGCTACGGAACACCGGGTTGACGGCCATGCTAGGGTTCCGCCGAGTCCTACCAGCACTGTCACTGCAGACCTCTCGACAGAATTAACGTAAGTCGTGCCGTCACGTCGGCGAAGGTATTCTGAACCCACGGTCATCGAACATAGTGAAATCTCAGCTCTGTCAAGCACAGTAGGCGCGAGTGCGGAATCATCGTAAGTCTTATACGCCGCCTCATGATTGTGGCTTTCGCTCAGAGCGGCGAACCTACTAGAACGGGTCCTTCGCACCAAGCAGCAGCCACTCGCGAGACCACCCCGACCGGTACCATACCACCCACAGACACGCACGGCACCCCTGTCCGTGGCCAAGTGTCTAATCTAGCTACCAATTCGGTGTCCGCTGCGACAGGAAGAGACAAAGACGTGACGCGTTTCGCCAAAGAGATGTGGTCGAAGATGACAGAGATGGACTTCAATGAGTTCATGAAGGAATACATGCCGGGCCCTGATCTTCCGTCGGAGTCCACACTCAAGATCCCAGACTTCGACAAGGACAAACTAATGGCATTGGAAAACACAGTCTGTGTTGAGATAGTACGTGCGATCCTATGTTGCATTTCACGCCGCCGCTCATAGGAATATTGGGGAGCAGTGTAGAGTCGCTCAAGCCATCTTTGACGGCTGTCCCAACAAGGAGAAGCTCGTTGCGAGGAACACCCGAGATCACGCCGACTCTAGTGACCACCACGACTACGCGGAGCAGCTCAGAGTCGACGTCTCCGTCTACCCGACGCACCGCGATGCTCGGGCCGACTATGCTTCTACGGACGACGACTCGGAGAAGAAGGAGTTTCGAGCCTCGACACGCTGGGCCTGGATTTCGCTGCTAGTGGAGATCAAGACAGCTCTGGACAAGTGTGCCTTTACGTTTGACAACAAAGGCGGCTACAACTTGAAGAAGAGCGACAAGGCCAAGGGGGAGACAAACCGTGAGGATGGAAACGGGTCCGGAGGCGTGAGTGCCCAAAACCAAAGCCATGATGATCCCGTGAAGTCTGCAGCCGGGAACAAAGGGAAGGGGAAGGGCCGGGGGAGGGATAGTGGCAGCGTGAGGGCCAGAGGTAGGGGAGGAGGCAACGGAAGGAGCAAGGGGAAGGGCACGGCCAAGGGAAAGGGCAAAGGCAAGGTGGCCGACGTCGATGACGACGCTGAGGACCCCACGAAGCAGCCGGAGCAAGACGAGAACTCAGGCAAGACCGACACGAAAGGGAAAGCGCGACCGTTCATTCGATCGGGTACCGGGGCAAATGATTCACTTGGGCAGATGGCGGAGTACGTCTCGAAGCTGTTCAGGCGACAACATCGTCTGCACCTCTTCACGCTCTTCATCTTCAAGGGACAGGCTCGTGTCATTCGCTGGGACCGAGCCGGCGCGATCATCTCGACACCCATCGATTTCGAGAAGGATCCATCGCTGCTCCACCAAGTCCTTTGGCGATATGCCTGCATGAATGAAGTAGAGCGCGGCTTCGATCCGACGGTGGTCAGGGCGACGGTCGAGGAAATAGAAGCCATGAGGACTTGCCCGGCGCCGAACGGATGGGCTGACAAGTGCCGTCAAGATGCTCTGGGCCAACCAGGATGGCCGGTCTACAAGATCATGATGCGACCCGACGATCTCATCAACCAACAGGGCATCCAACCACTCACAAAGTTCATGAAACCGGATCCGGTCGACTCAATTGCGCCCGGCGGCGAGGTATCATATATTATTGGTAAACGATACTTCGCCACTAACTCACCAAGCGGGCGGGGAACAAGGGGCTACATTGCCTACGACGTATCTCGCAATCGTTTGGTTTTCCTCAAAGACTATTGGCGATCTCGGCTTGACAGCTCGATTCCCGAAGGCGAGGCGCTGAAGCGCTTGCGGGCCAGCGGCGTGCGCAATGTGCCAACTCCTCTGGCTGCTGGTGTCGTTCGGGACGATGCGGGTGTCACGCAGAAGACGTGCACGCAGGAATGGCTGAGGGATGAGAGGACCAAGTGTTACTCGCCGATCCAAGAACACTATCGTCTCGTCGTGAAGGAAATTGGCGAGCCACTCACCGAGGAGGTAAAATCTGTCTGGGAGCTTGTCAAAGTGATATGTGATGCGCTGTATGGTGCGTCTGATCAACTATTGGTTCCGCGAGCGTCTCCTCACCGTGCCCTTTGACGCAGTGCACAGACAAGCTTGGGAGGTGGAGAAAATTCTCCATCGAGACATAAGCTCAATGAACATTCTCGTATACCGGTACATCGACCACAAGGGTCAACCGCGAGTTGTAGGGCTCTTAATCGATTGGGATCTATGCAAACTCACGGAGTATCTTGGGATCGCGTCGCGTCCTGCTCGCTCAGTAAGTCAGATTGCTTCTCACACGCGGAGTTGAGCTCACCGTTTGTAGGGAACGTGGCAATCCATGTCTGCCAGGCTTCTACAGAGACCCGGAAAGAAACACGAGGTCGCAGACGACATTGAATCCTTCATTCACGTCTTTAACTGGACATGCCTCCGCTTTGTCGAACATAATCTCACTGGGAAACCCCGCCTTCTCCAAATGCACGTTGTGCATATGTACGAAGAGCAAGACATCATGGTGGACGGCGAAAAGAACGAAGAGGAGGTCGGGGGCGAAGCGAAAGGGATTCAAATGCTCAGTGGCAGGCCGGCGGTCAAACTCACAAAGCCGAGAACTCCACTAGGGAAACTCCTGAAGGAGCTTGCTTCGATTTGTCGTCAGCACTACTTAGCCGTCGAGCCCGAGTCCGAACTGGTGTCGCAGGCTGTCCCTTTGGATAGTGGGCCAGATGAAGACGAATCGCTGGATGAGATGGAGCTCTTCGAGGACCCCCTGGAGAGCGACTCCGAGGAAGAGCGCCCGGAGACGCCTTCAGACACGGCTTCCGAGACGCTTTCCAAACACAAGAAGGTCTACAACGCTTTCCGCCGTGCACTCGACAAGCCGAAGGTCGAGTGGAATTCGGTCGCTGCCACCCCGGATCAATTCAACGACCCCGTGTTCAAGAACTCCATCGTGTTCCAGCGCCGTACTGAGCGTTCAAGCCAGCGGTCGTCGGGGTCAAAGCGACGGCTGGATGGAGAATCAGCAGATATGACGAAGCTTGGCCCATCGAAGCGCATGCGGAGCGCGACTGTGACGGGCCTTGAGTCACTGGAGGAAGAAGGATTTGTGGCCCCACACGACGAAGCACAGGAGCAGTGATATTGTTGTTTATTGTAAATACATCTTCGCCTGGGTCTTTGTCAATTGAGTCTTGATGTAACGCGCGTGCATTGAAGGTGTGTGATTCGTGGGTTGCAGCCGTTCAATCATGGACCCTTCTGGTGGTGTCGTCGGGCGCACTTCATTGAAGTTCAAGGCTAAGGTCACCGGGGATAGCCTTCTTCAGCTCAGGAAGCTGTACCTCTCTGCCAATTAGACAATATGATGTGGTTGCTGCGGGCAGCATAAATTAACACCACCTGTACTATCACTGCTGTATAGTACTATAATGCATAGAACAGTACATATAACTGGCACATTGAAGCGATCCGGAAGATAATGACACGCATGTCATGATAAACCTGTTAGACTATGTACTGACTCAGAGCAACCCGAGCCAGCACTTCTACTGCCTGCACGCGGCAGCGAAGTCTGCGCTACCGACAAAGTGACTTCCTAAGAGGACTGTAGAGAGTAGTACCTGGGTGAGCCTTCGCCTTCCCGGGCCACATCTCGTCGTAGTACGGAACGATGAAGAGCGCCCAGATAGATCGTCGGCTTGTCTGGGGTCCCTCGACCTCATGGCTTTAGCCATGATGCTGAAGTCTGATAATGTACTTAGATACACACAATATTAGACTGTGAGGTGTACTCAGTCGGTCGCGACTGGCAGTGACGACTAGTAGTAGGCGCGCATGGTTGCGTGGCTTCAGCCACCCGCGCTGTGGCTACACGGATCGGAGATCCGGTGTGCCATGATGTTCAAGTCGAGGCTCTCAGCAGGTGCCACTTTCACCGAATACTACCCCGCCAATGTCCTTGGTCTGCGAGAACCAGTAGCATCGGGCCAGTAATCCTCGATGAGCGTGAGACACATTGTTCACTTCAACGCAAGTACTCAGCGAGAGCACGAAGCTTCTACTTCCTGGGCTGAAAGCAAGCCAGCAGCGCATGGCCATGGCCTCCGCGCTGTGCCGTTGCAGCACAACGCAACCCTAAGTTGGAAGTAGCAACCAAGTCCGTACTTATTTGGGAACAAGGTCGCACCCACCTGTTTCAGTGTTTGATCCGATCCGCCCTATGAACGCTGTGGCTACCTCGTGGCGGAGCCACATCAATCGGAGATCTTGTGAACCTGCATTGTTCTCGTCCCAACATCGCACGCCTTCACTCGAACCATTGCCACATTAGGTGAGCTCTGCGTGCGGCGAAACGGTTCCGGATCCAAAAGACACGAGGATACCTACAAATTAGGCAAGATATCCATCTCCATGAGCAAGGACAATGCTAACCCTAGGAAATCACGAAGCGAACATTCTCCGTTAAACATCGTGGCCCACTGACTTAAAAACCGAGGCAGACGCACCCTTCCTGTGTAAGTCGACTCATCCTCTTTCTCCGATGTGCTCTTCGCCTGAGCCTGCACCTAGCCTCGCGGGTGGCACCACCCCGCCCGCTTCCCAAGCTGAACATTCGTGAGTAGCCAGTTCTCCTTGTCCCTAGAGTTCTGAATTGAGTGTCGTGTCAGGAGGTCGCCGAGCCCATCCGGTACTGACGTTTCAGCGCGTCCAACGTAAGTCCAGCGGTGCTCTCCGTGATGGCCTTCTCGACTGACAACAGTGGCAGTGGTCCCGGAGCCTCGACGTCGGCTGAAGACGCAGACGGCGCTCCTCTCTCGTAAGTGTCCTACGGAGTGCTCGACTGCCTATGTGCTAACTGTGAGTGCAGTGAAGACGCCAGTCGCTCGCAGACTACAGCGTCCCCTCCGTGCTACGACGCCGCCTAACACCCAACCACCTGACCGAACGAAGATAGAGAGTACGCCCGTACACGCGTCGAGCTCCAACAAGACCCACACAGCCAAGGCCGTATACGGGAAGAATAGTTTGGCGATTCATCGCCCGCAGTACGCCAAAGGGATGCACCCTAAAATTAGCGAGATGGACTTTGATGGCTTTCTTGAGCGGTTCATGCCGGGTCCGGATATGCCAGCTGAGCTGGCGACCAAGATCCCTGTCATGGACAATACGGTCTTACTGGGGACGAAAGAGACCATTATCTGTGATGAACTAGTGCGTCTAGCTGTTCTGTGTACCAGGCTGTTTCTAACGACGTGCGTATGAGCAGTGCAAGGTTGCACAACCAATCCTCGATCACTGCCCTAGTGGAGACAAGCTGGTGGCAAAGAACACGAGCCACAATCCTGACAACAGCGATACAGGAGACTATGGCGAGAAGTTGAAGGTCGACGTTGCATTCTACCCCGTCGACGACGACGCTCAGCGTGACTACACCCGCCCTAAGTTGACAACCCCGCGTGCGGCCACTCGCTGGGCATGGATCTCATTGCTCGTAGAGATCAAGACAGCGCACAACAACTGCGCATTGTGGTTCGAGGACAAGAAAGTCGCGAAGAAGGACGGCGATCGTAAGAAGGCTGCGGACGGAGGCGAGGATGGCGGCGGCGATGCCGAAGATCGTGATGGCCCTCAGGAATCCGCTGCGGTAGACAAGGGCAAGGGGCGCTCTACCGACGACGGTGACCCGCCGAAACCGAAACCGAAACCAAAACCGAAGCCTTTCATTCGTACTGGCGACTCGGGGGGCAACGCACTCGGGCAAGTCGGGGAGTACGTCGCGAAGCTGTTCAGGCGGCAACACCGGCTGCACGTCTTCACGCTCTACGTCTTCAAGGGCCAGGCCCGTGTCATTCGCTCTGACCGCGCCGGTTTCATCGTGTCGACGGCTATCGACTTCGAGAAGGATCCATCGTTGCTGCACAAGATTATATGGCGATATGCCTGCCTGACGCAAGCCCAGCGCGGGTACGACCCGTCGGTGGTGCGAGCGACGCAGGAGGAGATCAACGCCATGAGATCGTGTCCAACTAGCAACGACGCGGTCAAGACCTACCGCAGTGCCGCACTGGATAAGCCTGGCTGGCTGGTGTACAAGATCAAGATGCGGCGCAAGGACTTGATCGACCAGCAGGAGATGCAACCGATCGCTGATGATTTCTACGAACCCGACGAACCGAACGCGCCGAACGATGCTGCGGCGACTTCGAATGAGTTATGCTTCATCGTCGGCAGGCACCTCTCTGCCACGGATTCCCCGACTGGGCGAGGTATGAGAGGCTACGTCGCCTATGACGTGTCGCATCGACGGCTGGTTTTCCTGAAGGACTATTGGCGACCGCGCATCGAGAGCTCGCCGTACGAAGGGAAGGTGTTGCATTCGCTGAGAAAAGGCGGGGTGCGATACGTCCCAACGCCTCTGGCTGCTGGGCTCGTGCAGGATGAGTTGGGCACCGGCGTCCAGGAGACATGTACGCAGGCGTTCTTGCCGAAGGATGAGAGGACGGGGTGTTCTTCGCCCATACAAGAGCACTACCGTCTCGTCATCAAGGAGATCGGTGAACCGCTTGACAATCACGAGACTCCCGAGCAGCTCGTCAAAGTGATGTGGTATGCGCTGTGGGGTATGTCTGTCTGTCTGTCATGTGTGCATTATTGACTCTGGTTCCCGAACAGCGCACCGACAGGCGTGGCTAGTTGAGAAGCTTCTTCATCGCGATATTAGCGCAGGAAACATCCTCATTTTCCGCTACATCGATAAGAATGGGAAGGTACAGGTCATAGGCCTCCTCATTGATTGGGATTTGTGCAAGTACCAGAAGTACCTCGAAACAGTATTACGGCCAGCTCGTTCGGTATGTGGATCGGTCATGAGCTGAGGACTACGAGCTGACTATCTGTTTCAGGGTACGTGGCAGTTCATGTCTGCCAGACAGCTGAGAAACCCCGGGAAGAGACATGAGGTCGCGGATGATCTGGAAGCCTTTATCCATGTCCTGACCTGGATGTGCTACCGCTTCATCCAGCACAGCCTGACCGACGAACCCGATGCGTTCAAGATGGAAATACTCCATTGGTATGAGGCGTACGGGGCAAAGGAGGGTGACGCAAACGGACAAGCCATTGGTGGCCAGCGAAAGGAAGTGGGTATGCTCAGCGGGATGCCAGCCGTTCGAGTCGACCCATACACCCCACTAGGCGAGCTTCTCAAGACCCTCGCCCTTCTTTGTCAACAACACTACCACGTGTTCGAGCCCAAGATCGCATCTACGTCCGCGCCGACAGGACATCTGCTGGTTCACGATAAATCGGCGGAGCTCAAGGACCCGTTCAACGATGATGAGCCAAGCAACCGGGTGCCGGCAGCGCCTGTAGTCGAGGCCTTCGAAACGCTTTCGCAGCACGCGCCGGTGTTCAAGGCTTTCAAGAACGCTCTCCTAAAGCCAGCGGACCAGTGGGCGAAGGTCGTCCACACGGCAGATCAGTTCGAGAAGGAGGTGTTCAAGAATTCCGCCGTTAATCAGCGCAGCGCAGCGCGGTCCAGCAAGCGGTCATCGGGCTCGAAGCGGTCTCTCGAGGGAGAATCGGTGGACTCGGAGCGGCCTGGGCCCGCCAAACGAGCGAGGAGTACGACCACGGAACTTCAGTCGTTGCAGGAAGAACGGGAGGGAGAGGAGTTGTGATGCCTTGCTGTGTTTGTTGCGTTTCTACCTTCCCTGTAACTGAGGACTGCGTCGTGTGCAGATACTATCCGGACGAGTATGTCTCTTATTGTTCTTGTTTGTAATATGCTCGTACGCTGTTCTCTCCTGATCATTCATCATTTCTTACTGCTCCTCTACGATCGCCCTGTATGCGCGTCGTTGCCACGACGACTAAGTCTTTAACGTGCGTGCAAAGCTGTATGGTTCGTGAGTTCCCGTCGAGGGCCCTTCAGTTGGTGTCCCCGGTCGCACTTTAAGGATCACCGGAGCACGCATTGTTTGCTCCTTAGCTCATGGCAGACAGGCACAGTGGGAGCAGGAATGCGTGATTCATAGGGATATCAGCGCGAACAACATGTTCATATACATCTTCTTTGACGATAGAACGGAGGGACTCCTACGTCATGGCATGCCACGCGGTTCGAGTCTGAGTATGCATTGGCTTCTGACGATCAGGCTTACTCCCTTGAGAAGGGAAGGTAATGCATGCCACACAGTGCATCACAAGGTGGCATGCCAGGTGGCACTGCGTGGTAGGGCATATCGTCATGGTTCGATGGTATTGAGTTGAGTCGGGACCCGTACATCGCTCCTGCGGTCGACGCTCTCCAAGTCAAAGGGATGGTTCTGAAAAAGGCACAGAAGACAGCAACGGGATGCTCCGGCTCCCAACAAGATATCTATGTAATGAGTAATTTTTAACGACGTCACATCTATATCTACATCTAATGACCTTGCGCCGGTTGATCTAATGCACAAATAGGTGTCCTTGAAACTCCATACCCAGGTCTACAGATAACGCATCAATCTCACTTCTTATCCCTCATACCCCAGTCCCCTCCCAAGCCCGTGTTATAGACTATTCTGATGTTGATGCGGAGCAGCAGCACAGCCGCGAGTAGCTCTGGGACGATATGCAGGCTGTAGAATAACGCCTTTTGTGTGTGGCTGTTGAGCGAGTCCGGGGCGTCGGGTTCCCAGGAGGTAGTCATGACCGACGAGATAGTGAGACGGTACACAATGGGGATCGTCTGCAGAGCGGAAAACAATCAGGTGGTTGAATGCGGAGAGTGCGTACGACATCACCCACGAGGATGCAGCAGATGAGGCAGAGATAGAGTATGCGATTGCGGCATACCCGCCTCGGGCGTGTTATCCAGGCGAAGAGCAAGAGGACGTTCATGGACTGCAACACGAGCAAAGGAATGACGGTTTCGATCATGCTTGATGATGTCCAATATTGTGTATGAGATTCGATAGACATTTCGAGTTGACGCGCTCGTACCTCGTTACCTGGGTAATCATCGCGTCGGATGCCAGGTTCAGCATTGACCCGTAGTATATTCCCCCAGAGACTGCCCACATGATGCTGCAGATGATGAGAAGCGTAGTGAAGATGATACATAGGATGCGGATGTAGCGTCGTCGTTTAGGTTCGTCTCGCAAGTTGGGTTCGTCTCGCAGGCTACTCATGTCACCAATGGTGACCTCCACCTCCACTTCCTTGATGTCGATCTTCTGTTTCGACGATGACTTGCTCGCCACATCTGGGAACCCGCGGTCCTCCAGATGTATTGAGTCGCCAAGCACCTGCTGGCCATCGCTCGCAGCTGGTACGGGGATTTCTAGGGCACTGTCATCGGCGGGATCCTCTGGTTCCCTGGCCCGGGTAGTCCCGACGAGGTATGCACGTCCGATGTGAATGACATCGTTTGCCAGGGCGATGAACGTCGCAGAGTACGATCCTTGGAGCCAGATCGTGATGGTAATCGACGCGCGTAGAGAGGGATCCTTGGACTGCGCCATGCGGAAGGCAAAGTTCAGCACGCTGCGCACTGGTTCAGCGGGGGAAAGCTGATGACCGTAGCCCAACCACGCACCGCACAATGGTCGTCAGAGCGACACCCATGATGACCATGGTGCGCGAAGACTTTGAAATGAAACGAAGGGCGATGAACGGGATCAGAAGCAAGTAGAGGATGCCGAATAGTAGAGAAGGCGCAAAATCCTCAGGTAAAAGAACGCCGCCAACGGGCGCGGGGAAAGGTGAAGTAGGGGCGTTAGCAGACATGTGTGAAGGGAGGACCGCTGGCTTGACCCCGTATACGCCATGTCTTATATCCCTGATCAGCAAGAACGAAGTATTTGCGTTCAAGGATACTGAGATGCATGACGTATCGACGGTCAGTTCATGTGTTTTCCACGATTGCGTGTATCTATGTCCACTCGTACCTGATCGTTAGCAGGTAAGGCAAAGATACAGGCTTCTCCAGACATGGGCCGTCTCACGATCTGCCCTTTGAGGCACAGAGATCACTAACTGTGCGGGAAGACTCCTTGAGCCGTCTACTAGCAGCGCGAACTGGTCTGATTGACGAATTGTGGATGCGACTCACCGTCAACTTGAAGGGGTCTTATCCAGATCGGCACCATACACTGGCGACGCAGGGCTACATAAGCGCGACCAAGACTCTAGTCGAGACATCGCATACAAAGCTTGGCGCAGTATTGTTGACTCTCCTGAGGATCCATGCAACCTGTCGGGAGGAGCGTCATCAAGTACTACATCGCCCTCAACACGCAGTGAAAATCGGGTTTACCTTGACCGACGGCTTGTACGGCGTCGCCTCTCTGGAGGATCTCTGTTGACTCAGACTTAGAGGGCCCCTTGTAGGATAGAAAGAAGAGCTACTATACGAGGTTTGTGGGGTACAAAGCTTGTTCAGCATCATCATTTTGTTTCGCGGCATCATCCTGCAGCTCTCGGTCTGAGGCCACTAGGCGGGTAGTAGTAAGCCTAGTTAAGTGAATCGAAGTGTACTTTGTCAGTCAGGCTCAAACTTATGCACCTGTCACTTGTCACTTACAGTGTCGGATACGAACGCATAGCGAGAGACGAGGCACTTCGAAGCCATTCCAATTTGAAAGCCTGCACGTTGATCCGCGAAGACTATACGTATGGTGCCAAGTTCCGATTCAGAATCAAGGTCACGATGCTAGTCTCCGTTGCTTACTTACCACAAACAAACGGAACAGATAGACGTTTAGCCCTGCAGCGTATTCAATAAACGGAAATGGTTTGTACTCCCGGGTAGCCTCTTGTAGCCGAGGGAATAATATCCTGCCAACGAACGATTCACTGGCAACATGAAGGTCGCGGACGGCGGCGACCTCGTAATCGTCGTGGCTTAATGTCGAAATGCTACATCTTATTTTCTTGCATCAGGGAGTCGCTGGTAACACTGAAGAAGAGCACATAGTCCAGTGCAAGTCGCCGACGTCAGCAAAGAGTCTAGGACAAGTTGCATTCAGCGCTAACCAGAGCTCAGAGCGCTCAGAGCGAGCGCCAGTTTGGAGTCACGTGGAGAGTTAAGGGTAGGGCGTGGCTGGTATGCCCAGATTGAGCGAGGCAGCACCAAGCCCATCGTCGTCGTCGGGTCCCACCACATCCACCTCAAGACACCCCGATTCAAGATGGTGAGTGTCTCCATATGCCAAAGCTCCGTCCCTTCGTGCAGCAAAATGTCCAAAGAATGCTGTAGAAAGGGATGGATGGCGGCTTCGCGGTTCAGATGACACTCGGGTGGCAGTACACGGAATGCTGACCGTGCTTGCGTTCACAGACTAAGAAGAGAAGAAACAACGGCCGCAACAAGAAGGGCCGCGGCCACGTAAACTTCGTTCGCTGCTCGAACTGCTCGCGATGCGTGGGCAAGGACAAGGCCATCAAGCGCTTCACGGTGCGCAACATGGTCGAGAGTGCGGCGGTGCGGGACATCAGCGATGCGAGCGTGTACTCTGGTGCGTTGCCAGCTTTTTCCCTCTTGAACGTGCTGTTCAACGGTCTTTCCACCAGAGTACGTTATCCCCAAGCTCTACATCAAAATCGCCTACTGCGTGTCGTGCGCAATTCACTCGCATGGTACGTGCCTCGAAAATAAGGTCGCTATGTGTTGTGCTTCATTGTCCCCGTAGTTGTTCGTGTCCGTTCCCGCGAGGGTCGCCGCAACCGTGCCCCCCCTCCCCGCGTACGGTGGAAGGATGGCAAAAAGGTCAACCCCGCTGTCGCCGCGGCCGAGGACGCCAAGGCGGCGCTGGCAGCGCAGGCTCGGGGTGCATAGGCTATGTATACGGAGACAATGTCATGTCTTTATGCTCGCTGCATGCCCGGCCCACTCGTCCCGCATCTACCTCACGCTATCACCAAACTCGACTCCGATTGGCACTCATAGCCTGTACCAGTACGCAGAGCGCGATGTATTGCCTTTTATCTTGTGAGAATGGATGCCCTCGGGTGTTACAGTCAACTGCGTGTGCAGCTCAGTCGCAGTTCAGTGGTAGGCGTATGGATTTGCAAAAGTCCCTAACCAGTGGTTTGTAGGCGCCTAAGTGTCCAGGTGGGGATTGGTCTGGATGGAGTTGGATGCTCCACTACGCCTGGTATGTGGTCGTCTAACTGTAAGTATGCGCAAGGACTGACGTCTGGGCTTGGAGACAAGCGCTTGGATTACATAGCAGTGAGTCATCTGCACTCGCGCCTCCCTACAGTCCCCACACTGTCCCGGATATAATGGGTCTATCGCCGTGGAGGCCGGCCATTCTATGCTCAGACGGTTTCTTTCTTTGTCTGCACCAACGAACAAAATGAGAGCCGTCGTCTGTCCTCGTGCGCCCATCGCCCCTGCCGAGCTCGTCTACACGACCGACCACCCGGAGCCCAAGCCGAAGGAGGGCCATGTCCTCATCCGCGTCAAGGCGTACGGCCTGAACCGCTCGGAGCTCTTCACAAGACAAGGACACTCGCCAGGCATACAGTTCCCCAGGGTGTTGGGGATCGAGTGCGTCGGTGTTGTGAAGGATGCTGGAGGCGGGGCGAAGTGGAAGGAGGGTGATGTGGTGGCTGCTTGCATGGGCGGCATGGGTCGTCAGTTCGATGGTGCGCTGTCTATAACCTGTGCGCAAGGACTAGTGCTGAACGTAGCGAACGGTAGGCGGCTATGCGGAGTATGCCTTGATCCCACACACGTCCGTATCCGCCCCGATCAAGCTTCCGGAGCAGATGGGCTGGGCAGAGTTCGCCGCCATCCCAGAGACGTACCTCACAGGTGAACATTCCCTTTCTCGCATCAGGTAGCGCACCGGCCATCGCTGACACTCTCCAGCATGGGGCACGTTGAGCGAGTCGCTCAAGCTCCAAAGCACCGACACGCTGCTCATCCGCGGAGGCACGACGAGCGTCGGGCTCGCCTGCGCCGCCCTCGCCAAGTCTTCGCTCTTCGCGCCCGACATCAAGCCGACCGTGCTCGCGACGACGCGGTCCGAGGCGAAGAAGCATGCGCTCAAGGCCGCCGGCGTCGACGTCGTGCTGCTCGACGAGAACGACAGCGTGCGCGAGCAGGTGAAGGCGGCTACGGCGGGGAGGGGCGCGACTAAGGTCGTCGAGCTCGTCGGCGGGACGACCCTCGCGGACTCGTGCCAGAGCGCTGCGGACGATGGGGTCATCTCGATGATCGGCTGCGTCTCGGGCGAGTGGACGATAAAGGACTTTGACCCGATGACAGCGCTGTCGCCGTGGAAGGTGCGTGTGCCGAGTTGTTCGTGATATGCACGGGGAGGTGGCTGAGTGCGTTCTCGTAGCATTTGACGGTATGCTCATCGCATTACCTCGATGTATCGAAGGCGCCGCTACAGTGGATCGTCGACGCGATCACGTATGGCGAGCTCAAGCCGAGCGTGGACAAGGTGTTCAAGATGGAGGAGACGGCGAAGGCGCATGAGTACATGGAGGCAAACAAGGCGGCAGGCAAGGTCGTCTGTCTCGTTGACTGAGCAGCTCAGTCAGCGCTGTTTGGGCATTCAACTTGTTGTGTTAGCAAGATGCAATCAATATACTTGTAAGTAATGTAGGACGCCAATGGCATCACAGAATGTATTGTAGGTATATGGTCTGCTCGAGTCCTGCAGCCAATCTCTCCTTCTATACCTCAGGCCTGTTTCCGACCGGTGCTGATCATACTTCAGTGACATTTCATGGCACCACATGCACTCGAAGCGTTTGTTCCCGCCTACCGTGCCTTGCCGTGTCCGCCGGGGCGGCAAGCCTGCTGGCCGTGCGTATCGAGCAATGCCTTGCGTAGCTCTCGCTTGGATGGGAGAGACTACAGCAAGGCAGCGCTGTCCCCGACGCCAATGCTAGTCTCCGACTCTCCGTTGCAGACGATAATGATAGACGATAATACTAGTCGTCAAGTGGTCACTTAGACGCATGCTATACGAACGAGCTAGTCCCACTAGTAAGTACGGTGCGCATTTTGAAGGTGCGTGGCCATGCCATATAGACTTGCTGGAATAGGCTGGTTGGAAAGCACAGTGATAGACAAACACTAGGTGACAATGATACATATCATAGTGAAAATACAGCACACTAGCAGAACATCGGCATCAACCTATCACTCCTGGGCGCCAGCCTCTTCCTCCAGCGACTGGAGTCCCCTAGTCGAGCTCCGAAGGCGCTTCGATGGGCCAGGCCTCGCCAAGTCCGCCGATTCTCCTTCCAACGATCGTTTGGAGCCCGATGACCACCGGCTCGACTGTTCAGTGCTGTGCTGGTACACGGGAGACTTCTTGAACTCAGGTAGCTGGAATCGGTCCGTCGTTCGTTTGATTTCATCCCACTGCTCCGAGGGCGCAGCGAGCACACAAGCAAAAGCGCCATACATCTTTTCGTGGTCTTTGAGCGTTTCGGCTCCCGTTTCCACAGGCGCCTCCTGGCTTCCGCCGGCGTTGGCTGACCTGTGCGCCGCCGCAATGCGTTGATACTTCTCGGACCGTGCATCACGACTCGCGTCACCCACTGCAACAGCGCCGCGAGGCTTAGGTTTGAGGGCAGGCCCGTCGACCGCCAGGTAGTGTTTGCGACACATCGAAGCGAGGTCCTTGAGAAGCTCGCTCAGTGGAGTGTCCAGGTTTTCCAATTCAACGGCTGGATTTCCGCTATAGAGCAGAGTCCTCTTGAGCTCGCCACCTATCTCTTCTTTATTCTCGTCACCATTCTGGACACCTTGTTCCTCGTATAGGGCCAGTATACGCGTCTTGAGAATATCGCATTTCTCCGACAAGCGGTGCAGGCAAAACCGGAAACACATCCAGTTGAGGACGTGTGTGAATGATTCTAGGTCGTCCGCGACCTCATGTCTCTTCCCGGGCTTGCTGAGGAGCCGAGCAGACATGAACTGCCACGTACCCTGGGATTGGCGGTCAGCGAACATCTTCTGCCACATGATGAACTCAACGTACCGATCGCGCAGGACGCGACACCGTCTCCAAGTAGCATTGGAACTTGCACAAATCCCAGTCGATTAGGAGACCGATTACACACAGCCTCCCGTTGATGTCGGTGAAGCGGTATATGAGGATATTGCCGGCGCTGATGTCTCGGTGGAGGAGTTTGGTCAACTCCCATGCTTGCTTGTGTGCTGAATGTAGAGCACAGATGTCAGCATCGTCCACATAACGAATGAGCTAATCTTACCGCTTAATGCATCGAACATCACTTCAACGAGTTCCTTCGGAGACTCGTGCTCGTCAAGCCTCTGACCTATCTCTTTCACGACGAGACGATAGTGTTCTTGGGTTGGCGAAGGACACTTCGTCCTCTGATCCGGGGGTAACTCCGCCTGTGTACGCGTCTCTTGCACAACGCCTGCGTCATCCTGCACAACGCCAGCAGCTATGGGCGTCGGAACATTCCGCACACCATTGCTCCTCATCAACCGCAACACCTCTCCTTCGGGCGTCGAACTTTTGATATGGGCCCGCCAGTAGTCCTTAAGAAAGACCAGACGTTTACGAGAGACATCATAGGCGATGTATCCTCTTGTTCCTCTCCCGGTTGGAGAGTCGGTGGCGAAGTGTCGCCTGCCGACAATGAAGTACTCTCCGTCCGTCGGCCTCTCTGATTCGTCGAGCGCATTCGAGTCATCACGTTCGGAGAAGAACTCGGAGAGCGGTTGTATGCCCTGTTGGTCTATGCGATCGTTGGTCCGCATTTTGATCTTGTAGACCGGCCATCCTGGTTGGCCAAGAGCATTATCGCGAGCTTGATTAACCCACGCAGCCGGTCCTTCACAGCGCCGCATGGCTGCGACCTCGTCGTCCGTCGCCCTGACCACGGTCGGGTCGAATCCGCGCCCCACTTGGTCCATGGATGCGTACCGCCAGATGACCTGGTGCAGCAGCGACGGCTCCTTCTTAAAGTCGATCGGCGTCGAGACGATGGCGCCGGCTCGGTCCCAGCGGATGACGCGAGCCTGGCCCTGAAAGACGAAGAGCGTGAACAGGTGCAGCCGATGCTGCCTCCTGAACAGCTTCGCGGCGTACTGTGCCATCTGTGCAAGCGCCTTAGTCGCCCCTTTACCAGGTCGGGTGAATGGCTTTGGTTTCGCGTCGTCCTCATTGCGTTGCTTGGTGTTGTCGGCCTGATTAGTGGGATCCTCAGGGTTGGTGGAGACGTCGGTCGCCTTGTCCTTGCCCTTGCCCCTGCTCTCGCTCCTTGCATTCCCTCCGCCCCTGCCTCGTCCTCGTCCTCGTCCCCGACCCCGTCCTCGTCCTCGTCCCCGACCCTTTCCCCTCGCCCTCCCATTGCTCGCGCCGTTGTCCTCGGTCGCTGACTCCTTGACGCCATCGGCGTTGCTCTTGTTCTCGAACTCGAAAGCGCACTGGTCGTGGACCGTCTTGATCTCCACTAGCAACGAGATCCAAGCCCAGCGCGTCGAAGCCCGGAACTGAGAGGCTTGTTTCGAGCTCTCATGCGGAAGCGCGTAGTCGGCTGTAGCATCGCCATGAGTCGGATAGAAAGACACGTCAACTCTGAGCTGCTCTGCGTAGTCGTGATAATCACTGGAATCCGGGTGGTCTCGCGTATTCTTTGCAACAAGTTTCTCCTCCCCGGGACAGCCATCTAGGATGACCTGCGCAATTCGGCACTGTTCACGCATGCCCATCAACAGAGATCTTGTCTGCAGACAAGTATCACACGTACCAACTCAACGCAGACATGGTTTTCCGACATCATGAGCTTATCTTCATCAAAGTCAGGGATATTGAGCACGGATTCAGGCGGGAGGTCAGGGCCCGGCATGTAACGCGACATGAACTGATCGAAGTTCATTTCAACCGTCTTCGACCTCATCTCCTTCGCAAGTCGTTTGAGCACTGTTTCGTCCTTGAAGTTTGTGGCAACAGATTGAGTATGAACGGAAGATGCCGTTCCGTGGACAGGAGTGCTGTGTATGTCTGTGGGTGGCTTGGTACCGGTTGGGGTAGAACCGCGAGCGGTCGCTTGGTGTGAAGAGCTTGCCGCTCTACTCTCGGCAGTCTGAGTGAAGGACTCCGTCATTCAGCAGAGAGGAGACTTACGATGTTTCGGCACTCGCGCCTACTGTGCTTGACAGAGCTGATTCTCCACTGTGTACACTGTGAGTTCAGATGATAACCTTCGTCGACACGACGGCACGGCTTACGTTAGCTCTGTCGGTAACCCTGCAAGGACGGTGCTGGAAGGACTCGACGGTGCCCTAGCACGACCATCAGTCTGATGTTCCATGACAAGAGCCACTTGCAACTTACGATGGTTGAGTAGCGGGAGGTGAGGTGCCACTGTGACGCCAGTCTTCAGAGGGACTGGTCACTGTCTCAGGAGGCGAATTCATGGTTGGAAGATGAGGGGGGACTCACCAAGAGCGCGCGGACGTGTGCGCTTTATATGTAAATAAGAGAGGCGCGACGTTCGTTGGCCACGGGAAATGCCTGCGTCGATATTTCCTAGGGTTAGCATTGTCGTTGCTAGCCGAAGCATATCCCCTTGCCTAATCGGTAGGTTACCTTGTGTCTATCGCACAAATCTAGGCCTAAAAGCGTGTTACCGCACTCAGGCCTACCTGATATGGCGGTTGTTTGAGTCAAGGCGTGCGACGTTGGCCCGCGAACAATGCAGGTTCCTCAGATCTCCGATTGATGCCGCCACAGGCGCGGAGGAGCCACACCTGAGCCACACTCGCGAGCCACAGATGCCACACGGCGTCACGTGGGGGCGAGCTTGTTTGTGGCATCAACTTGTTACTTGACAGGAACCCTCATGAACTTGGTTCGCACTTCGACATCCGTCTCATGTCTGGAATTTCGCCATTCAACTTGGGCTTCCTCGACTTAGAACGGTCTCAAGCGCAATTCTGGGTGGGTAGTGTGACTACAGGACTGCGGCAGCGTTCAGAACCATTCAACGATGTCATCTGGTGAGTTTCCGCAAAATGATACACTCTTTTGAAAATGCAGTGCAGCCTGACTCTACGCGTACGCGTGGACCTAGGTCTATGAACTTGCCGTGTGCATTGACCGGAGTTCTACGCCCTGTATTTGATCAAGCCCATCACCCAGTACAAATGACGAAGCGAGCTTCACGGATCATACACATTGGACGTTATGTTGCGTGCAACAAGCCTCAATACTGGCAGTTGATCAGCTCTGACAAACTACTTGCGTCTGAATGCCGGACGGACTATTAGTGTGCGGTCTTTGGCCGTCATCTCACACGCCGTCTCACACGCCGTCTCGTGTCTGGAGCCGATCGCTATGTAGATAGCATTCACGTATCGATGTTCGTTCTTCCAATATATACAGATACAACCGCAGGCCAATGTGGCCGGACACGGTGGTTAGGATAATGTACTGCGCGAGATAGACGTATCAGTATGCCATGCGTAGTCAGGTCAGAATAGTATCGTCCACGCACCAGCTATAAGCACATCCATAAAGAAGTCGCAGGAGGATAAACTAATGCTTAGCTGAAGTCGACACCGCCATCAACATTGTAGGATTGACCTGTTGACCATAACGAAGTGTCAAAAAAGCCAATGTGCTTGGTCGCAATCGCAAACTCACCCGTGATAAAGTACGCCTCCGACTTAACCAGATACGACACGAGGCTAGCCACGACCTCCGGGGGAGCATCCGGGCCGTCCGGCGGAAGCCCACACACCTTGACACACACATGCGTCATAAACTCGTGGCTGGGAAGGATCATCCTTATCACTCACCCACTTCGTGGCAGCACCGTGACCGCCACCCTTGGCTTCGTCCAGAGCGCCCATGTCAGCTGATAACACCGTTAGAAGCTCACCAGGGAACGCGGGCGGGTCTTTACATACTCATGGGGGTAAGGATTACGCCGGGAGCGTACGTGTTGGCCGTGATGTGGTGAGCCTTGAGTTCGATCGCTAGAAAGAAGTCCGTAAGATCAGAGCAGATCGAGAGTCATTCCGGGCTCACCGAGACACTGCGTGAGACCTCTGATTGCGAACTTCGGTGCGACGTATGCGGCAGCTGCAGGTCCACCTGCCCCATGGTTCGTGAGAAATGGCGTAACTACTGTTGTACGAAGGGCATACCGCGCTTTCCGAGGATCGACGCCGCTCCTGAGGGATACGATACCCTTCAGTAAGCGATATACGGACTGGGTTGTCGCGGACGTACCAAGGATCCGCCCACCGTTGCCTTGTTTGATCATCTGCCTTGCCGCATACTTATAGCAAAGCATGGCCCCTCTGACGTTTACGGCCAGTGCGCGGTCAAACTTCTCTACATCCACTACTCGCAGGATTAGATGAGCAAAAAAGGTTCATGAACGGGACGACTGACTGTCAACAATGGCGCTAATGTACGCTATAGCAGCATTGGCGACCATCTAGTTTCGCGCCTGCTTTCAGTCTCCTTCTTCTAGCCAAGAGGATGGTACTCACGACGTCTAGTCGACCGAGAACCTCTACCGTCTTCTCGACCATGCTTTTGACAGCTGCCTCTTCGGAGACATCGCCGAGAACGGCAAGGGCCTTGCGTCCCTTGGCTTCAACCTCCTTCGCCACGGAGTGCAAAGCATCTGCATTGCTCGGAATATCGTTGATGGCTACATGAAAGCCATCGTCCGCGAGCCTGAGGGCAATCTCCCGTCCTATTCCCTGCGCAGCTCCGGTAATGAGCGCGACTGTGAAGGGTGTTGTTTGTCCTGGGGCCATTGCGGCTGAAATTGGCAGACAGATAGAAGAGAGCGGGGACGGAAAAGTCCTGTTGACCTACACCAGCCTGATTCGCAGCGCCCCTCATATATCGTGGGTTCTATCACTGATTTACGTTGAGACCCTTACCGGGTATGAAACCCCGGTATCTGTCTGGTGGCCGTTCCTGGTTAGCTCCTCGCACAGCGAGCAGTCAGCTGAAGTCAGGAGTAGGGCAGTGGTGAACATACCATCAACCGATCCGCATGCTAGCGCAAGCGAGCAGTGAGAAAGTGCACAACGTGCTATGCTAAGTAACATGCTTCGACGGACAGCGCGACCGCTCTGACGTACACGACTGCCATATCGGGACGCAACCATGACCACGTGGCTGTGCACGTGTCGGCGTGAGGACAATCCCGTGCAATTGGCCGCGCCACAGCCAAGCCACAGCGCAAGCAATCTTGTTCATTCCGTCCATTACAATGCAGGCACCTGCTACAGCTGCATGCGCTACATGCTCGTCGGGGAGAAAAATGGCGAATTTCCGTTCAAACCGGTGCGTGCAATTTTTCTGCAGGTGACAATCGTTAGTTGTGCTTGATGAAGACGAGCCTAAGTCAGAAGACGCGACCTACTTCACCCGCTGTGCTACGTAGCTCCGAAGACTGGCCCCGCAAAACGGTATGACTTCAAATCTAGTCGCCTCGCCAGCTGCGCAAGACCATAGGACAAGTAAGTAGCACACTTCTGATGGGGCAGTGCTGGACGCCGAACAATCACCCGAAAAAGGCGTCGCGCGCAACCTCCTCTGTCAGGAAGATCCTTAAACGCATAATAATGACAGAAGGGTGATACCTGGTGCGACCGTTGCTATTGAGCTACAGTCCGATGGCTATTTCGCCGAGTCAACACCGTCGGTCAAGGTTCCCTAGCTCCAGTGGTACAACGCAGGATACCGTCTTGTTCAGCTTCGCGCGTTCGATCAGAGGTGGATATATACGCACCTGTCGTTTGACACCTCGTAGAAGATGGGAAACGCGACCGTCGAGCCCGAGGCGACCGCCACCAGAGGCAATACTGACATCCAAAATCATCCCTGGCATGTTGGATGACGGCATGCTTGCTGCCGGGCTATCAGTCTGCAGTAACGCCTATCTACAATCGAGAGCATGGATCCACCGACCAAATCTAGGCAGCGGTCCGCGCAATCTGGGTCGAGTCCGAAGAAATCTCACCTGTCGCTGGTCCCATGGATGCGGTCATCGACGTGGTCTCTAGAATCCTGCCCTGCACCCCGCGGCTATGAACGGGCCCGGGACCGAGGTAGCGAAGCTGTCGATACTCGCGGGTCGCGCTGTCTGGGGTGTGTCAACCCGTCCGTTGTACGTTTTGACAGTGACATGGTCAATGGGTGGCAGTCCGCAGCTGCATCCAGGTCATCACGGACAATCCGAGGCTTGAAGCTTCAACCGCTGGTGACCTACTAAGCAGGACATCTGACTTGCCTCCTCAGTCGACAACGGGCGTGACCTCTCTGTCATCCGTAATCCCACACGATCCACTCTGGTCACTGGATGGCTTCGACTCTTGCTGCGGAAGCCCCTGCATCTTGGCGTGTACTCGTTATGGAAGGGCGTCTGGCTTACCAGGAGCAGGTACTTACACGCCAAGGCGGTGGTAGTGGACCGTCCGTGGGATGCTCGATCCCTCACTCTTCGTACTTCTGCTTGCCGCCAACTTTCCTCGGGGTTACTTCACTCGGCGAACCACTGCACTGCCCACGATCACGCCGCTGCCCATGACGCAACGTGAAGATCAGCTTTGTACCTGCAATCACCTTTTCATGTTTTTCGCGCGCGCACACACCTCGATCGCAAACACCTACGGTATCAGATGCATTTGCGAGAGCTGTCAGAATGCTTCCGCAACACCGCTACTACCGTCTAATCCTATGCTGGCTCGTCAAAAACAGCAACGAAGACCTGTCATGCGGAACTTCTTGTGCCCTTCATTCTTCGTTCCCTTCCCAATATTGACAGGGCCCGCGCCACCGTGTCTCTTCAGCACATTGTGCTCATCCGCGTGCTTGCTGCGCAATCGGAGTGTCTGCCTGTGCAGATCTTTCGGCATCACCCCTCAGCTTCTACAGAACCTCGTCTTCCTCTGCTGGTGTCCGTGACACCGGAAGCTTCCTCCGGCCGCTCGTGGGTCCTGTGCTCCGTGCATGCCTATCCGACAGGTTCCATTCTTTGGTGCACTTCTGCGCCGAATCCGTGCACTGCCCTCGTGCGCCGGGAAAGTGCGGAACAGTCACCGCCACGTATGTACAAGGTTTCGTACGGACACTCTGCGACTCAGACTCTGGTCTGGACGCCTGTACCTCGGAGCGCTCGTACTGTGTCCCGCTCTGCAAGGCAACATACTTCCCCTCCTCCACCCGCTGCCCGTGCAATTCGTCTATGCTCTCTCTTTGGGTAGCATAAGCAGCGACGAGGCCACACTGCTATACGGCTCTCGTTGCGCGACCGACAGCTCTCCTGGATCCATTCTACTACCCTGGAGATTGTCCGCGATGCAAGCAGATTACCGGAACCGAGACGCTGTCCTGGCCACGACCTTCGCGGGTAAAGGAACAGTTTTGAGTTTCGCTCTGTCGCCGCAACGCGATTTCGAATTGCCTTTCAGTACCAGGCCCTTTGCAGGCCCTCGAGCTCAGTAGCTAGCTAGCCGTCCGGCATGTGCACCTCTATCGTGCTTTTCCGGGTCTGGTGGTCTAGATCATCGGTTTGTGGCACACGACTGCCACAACCTTTTCGCTGCTACCGGTCCCTCGGGGTGGTAGTGGCGAGCTTGTTCGTTGATGGCCTGACGTCGTCGTCCAGCCTGCCACGCGTTTGGAGAATGAGTCCAGTCTGGCGGCGCGTGTTTCACTCGCAAGATGCGTGCAGCCGCCACCAAGTCGCGCCGCGGCGACTCGGAGGACATTCGCATTGCCATCCTGCAGCCAAAAATCACTTCATTTGATGCAATCTGTGTCGTCGGGGACATATCCGCGGCGCGGGTCCTGTCACTGTCTGTCAAAGCCCTCCCCCGAGCCTCGCGTTATCCTCGCAAATACTCGCCTGCGGCCGCGCGATCGGAGGGCCGTGGTGGACACATCGATGGCGTATCTGCTGATCAAGAACACACTCTTCGTGTGTATTGTTGGCTATGTACTGCGCGCCGCTGCCTCCAGGAGAGTTCAGCATGGCTCGCGGCTCGAAGCGGAGCCTTCTCTCTTCGCGCGTGCAGCCTACGCGGTCACTTGATGCTGCTTGATAGTGGATGATCCCACCCAAAAATCCAGAAAGTGCTGCGAGTCCGCGATGCTGCCCTTCGGCGAACGCGCCGCCGTGGAGCGAGAACTTTGTGTTGGACCATGAGAACGAGACAGTCCCAGGCTGCGAGTCGGCGCCCCGGCGGCTGTCTGCAATTGGCCGGCGGCTGGGCCAAGCGCGACTTCGACGCACACCGTGACTACGAGCTCCTGTTGACAAAGCCATGACTCGCGGCGACTCACTCTGCTCAGGTTCTACGTTCCCAGTGTCGTGCAATAGCGGCCGTGCGACGGCCGAGTGACTGCTGAATGAGACGCATTCCGAAGCAAGGTGACCGTCTCTGTAATGGCCAGGCTGATGCTTTGACGCTTGGGCGCGCGAGCAGGTCCGATCTGGAAGCCCCTTGGGAAGCCCACGCACGGAGGCTTCTGCCTGGCTAGCACTTCGCGTAATTCCCCTCGTGGCCGCAATATGCCCCGCCGGACGGCTATAAAGCGTTCGCTTTGTCCGCCTCGTCAAAACCCTATACGGGCGGCCACACACCACTGCCACCCATCATCGGCGATCGGTCCTTGTTCTCGCGTGTCTTATATAAGGGCCCGCGTAGCTGTGTTCACGTCCACCAATTGCTCCTCACACTCTGCCATGACTGCCGTTGCCTCGTCGTCTCAGTCTCTCTACGCTACCCTGCCGTCTGCGGCCTCGGGGTTGCCTTCATCGTATAGCTCTGCAACGGCACCATCTCAGCCGAAGCGGTTTGCTTTTGCGCAAGTACAGGGAACAGTCTGCCTCATCCAAGGTACGTCGCACCGTCATCCCCATCCTTCTGTAGCTTACATCCGCCATCCAGTCCCGCATTCGCACCAGGGCACTATGTCCTCCGCGCTGGTCCCCTCGGACGTGCACATATTCCGGCACGAGTTCATCACCCAGTTCCGCTTCTCCCACTCCACCGCCCTGCATCCCGCAGACCTGCATATCCTCGAGCCGATCGACGAGGCGCACACGCTCTACGAGGAGGAAAAGGGCACCGTCTTCCTCGCACGCGAGCTCATGGCGCGCCTGCAGAAGCTCACCGTTGACTCGCAGCGGGCGTTCCGTCGACCACGTGTGGCGGGGCAAATATCGCGGTCGCATTGACGCTGGGCGTCGCAAGAGTGTCTTAGACGGATCGAGGAGGGCTTTTGGGCTTCGGGGACCCGAGTCGGAAGGCATGGCCTTAGCGAGGCTATGCGGCCTGCCTGCTGAGGCACCTGCGATCCCGAGCGGGGCGGAGTGAAAAGCTGACATGCTAGCGGATCGAAGAGGGCGTTCGCGAGGCACACCCACACCTTTACCATACATCGCCGCAACCCGTGCGGTCTGGCCCATACCGTAATCCCGCGTGTGTACTAATTTATTAGATATCCGGGTCTGTCATTGTTGCATTTGTAGTTTTAGTCAATCGTAGCATTAGTTGTGATCCACCTAAGTTGCTCTCTCCACCATCGGGTGCTCGTTTGCGATGTCTGTCAGTCCGATGCTGTTCGTGGTCAGTATGCGACCAGGTTCGTGACTGAGATGAGACCCGGCCATAACAAGGTTCGTCCGATAGTCTTGCATCTATCTATAGCCCGTCTTTAATAAGTAGGGGTCCTCCATATACAGGGAGACAACAAGTGGGGACACCAAGTAGCGCGAAGAACATCGGCCTGCAGGTGAGTAGGCGGCGCGCAGAGATACCAAAGTTGCTTGCTACTCTTACCATCCGGAGGTGTCTCGTCAAATCCAAACTAAAGCACGCCAACGCACGACCGCTACCGGAGCGCCCACGCCTCACTCTAGCGCGCACACGCGGACGCGAGAAGGAAAGCGCGAAGCCGCAGGCGAGAGCGTCGATGCGCTATCAATGATAGTAGAGAACGAGGAAGTTGCTTCGCAATACAGTACCGGTATAAATACACTAGTCTTTCAACTTCTCACTTCACTCTCCAGACCTCTTCAAATGATTTCTGACCGGCAGAGCGGGCAGCTGGAGGAATGACTTGAATTGAACCACTACAGAACACTCAGCGGGGCGCCACAAAGTTAAGTCAAGCAGGTGGACGCACCTTATACAGACACCCAGCATGGAAGCGGTTCTTGCACGTCCTGCATGGTTTGCGCGGCAAACTGCCGTCCATCGCACTGATGATCCTGCAGAGCCACAAAACACTCAGTCGCACAGAACAACATTCGACGCACAGGACACGTACGAGTAACAGATCGCACACTCGACGAGACCCTCGAAGTGGGACGAGACATTCTTCTTGAAGAAGCTGAGGCCGTCGGTGATACTCCCGCTCTGCATTGCGAGGGAATGAATATGAAAGGGCCTCACATCGCACAGAAGACGACGCACCCTGTATGAGATGATCTGCTGAATACCAAGCATCCAAGCTCGCCAGCGGTCCTCAGGGACACCGACTGGCTTGTTGTCCCGAATCTCGATTCCATGGAGCGGGTAGTCAGATGGCAACTTGACCGTCAGTCCCAGCAAGTACTCGTCCACCGCGTACGACGCCGTCACTTCATTGACCGCATTCGCGACCTTGATCGTGAGGTTCTCATCTGTGAACTCGGCCGCCGCGTCTGGATCCTTGACCTGGGCCAACTCGGTCCTTATGATAGCGGGCGAGAAGTGCGCCGCCGTGTAGGTCGATACTCGGTTGAGCAACTGACGATCGCGGCACTCGGAGAGCCAGTTGCGAATGAGAGACGGCACGATAAGAAGCGCGCGGTAGTACAGATGAGCCGCCAAGAGACCGACGCTCAATGCCGAATCCCCAGAGTACGCTGTCGTGAGGTCAATTGTGCGTGGCGAGTGCAGACGGATTGCGCAACGTACAGTCGAGGTACAGCTCCTCGATGAACCATATGTCGAGTTTGAATGGTTTTGCGATACCTCCATACAAGCCGAGCGTGGCGAATATATTCGGAAGTAGGTGTTCGCCCACAAGACCCAAGTCTCGAAGCTGCTCGATGTAAGCAGACTTGACTTTGAGCGACTGGAAGCAGGTGTTAGTTGAACGCGCGGTGGACGAAAGGGTCGACTCACGGCATTCGCGAAGTGGTCGAAGGCGAGCATCCATGCAAGAAAGTAGCCGGAAGAATGCTGCACCAGTATTAAAATCACGCGCGCGCCGCAACTCGAGCGACCCACCTGATATTCGAAACCTGTGTTCTCTTCCGCACTGAGGTCTCGTTGCAGAATCTGGACGAGCTCCAGAGGTAGCTCTATCTTCATAGGCTCCTCGGATTCAACTGCGGCTTCGATCACCATGTGCTCCGTGTACTTCCTCGCCGCCTCATGAAGCAGCCGATAGGCCATCTTCTGGACGCCGACTGCAATGTCCTCAATGATATGACACATCTATTCACAAGATCAGGTAAATTACCGCCCTGCACGACATAATATAACGTAATGCAAACCTTAGAGATCGTGGTCTGGTCTATGAGAGACTCCGGTAGATCTTGGACTATCTGCAGGGCAAGCTCACGGCACGCGGATAGCGGAGCAGAGATTTGCTCGGATTCTGTGCAACGTTTCAGCATTCGAGGTCTTCCAAGCTCTTTGTTATCACGCACCCAGCTTCACCGAGACTAGATCGCGAACCAACGTCAAACATGTATTCTCTCTATCCTGCCAAACTTCACGGAGGACCTTGTTCGTCGAGGCCAGATCCTGGATAGCAATGAACAATCGCAGAGTCCTGCTGAGGACAACAAGAGAGGTCTGTTCCGTGAGCGACGAACTCTGCAAAGCAAAAGTAATAAGAAACACATTCAGCTCTACGCATCAGACCCTCGCACCTCGAGGTTGTTCTCCATCACATCGAATATCAAGTCCCAGTGCGCGCCCGGTACGTTCTGCAAAATGGGAGCTAGATGCAGGAAAATCAGCGTCATCTCGCTCTCGACATCCTCGTCGATATCCTCGTCAGATGTAATCCACTGTTGGCAAGTCTTCATCAAGTTGACCGCACGTGGTTGCGGCATGAAGACGATATCAGAGTCAGGATCTGGCGCGATTGCTGCCAGTCTGCGAAGCAACCATAGGCCTTGCGTGTTTGCCTTCGACGGTGGGACACCGAAGAGTCCGGCCGCGAGCTCGTTCCGGTATCGGTCGAGGATGGGCGGCTCGGGGGCGTACTGGGTCACCGAGTAAACAATGGCGAGGGATGTATGCGGGGCTAGAAAAAACATCGGTACCTCAATCAATGATCTAAGTCGCGAGTTGTGATCTCACCTTGCCTCTCCAGTTTACGAGCGAGCTGTACCCATTGTTCTGCCTCAGTTTTCGAGATGCTGCCGAATATATGTTCCAGAATTGTATGCAAAATCCGAGATTCCCGGACGGTGTCGAATCGTTTTCCCCGGTTGACGAGGTCCCAGACAAGCTTGCCCACAGGTCCAAGGCTAATATCCTGTTTGTCTGCGATGATGGCGCCTACGACTGTCGTATGCCACCCTTCATCCTGTGACGACGATAAGACGTAAGTCGCAACTTGTCTCGCCTTGGTGATGTAGTCATGTAGTATTGATCTAGAGACGGCAGCGGAAAAGACAGGGCTCTTCGAGGCAGGGATTTGAATGAGTTCGTCCACATAGAGTGAGAGCGCCAGTAGATGTCGAAGCGCCCAGGCGTTTGCCTTTGCGGCCTGTCGGTCGTCGAGCAGGTGTAGCGCCAAACCCTCGACGACTCGGGCATATCGAGACAATCCTGAAGTGTCCGTATCCGGACTGGACAGAGCCGTCTCATCGCACAACGAAGCAGGCGGAACGAGCGGATCCACAACAGCAAGGCTTGCATCGCCCGGCACGGCTGACAGGTTATCGAGCATGTCGTCGAGCGATACCTCGGAAGGCACAATGTCCACAAGAGGTTCGACGTCGAACGAAGCGTCCGGGGTCTTTACCGCTTGCAAAATCTGCTCAGGGCTGTCACAAAGACGTGAGATGTTGGTACTGCGCATGACTCGATGAAGCACACCTGACAAGCGACGAACAGTCGAGCAGCATCTCGCGCAGTCGATCTTTTACTACAGCCGCTGTAGCTCTTCGGGTCTCCTCCGAGCCTTCAAGCATCCATGTTCGCCAGAGCTTCCGAGCTGTTCCCACTTGTTCCTCATCGGTCTTTCTCACAGACGGCAAAAGATTCGCGAAGAGAAAAACTTCGGCGAACAGGGCCGTCGAACCTTCTGTCGTCTGTAACAAAGGCAGATGATTAAAGGTCAGCACCTCTAGCAGACTCCAAGACACGCCGAAGACGAAGAACGATGTAGATGCGTCCGTCCAGACGACAGGGATGTGCATGTTCAATGCTGAACTTAGACTTTCCACCAGGCCTTTGAACGAGCCCTCCGAGACAAATGGCCCTGTGCCAGCTGTCAGTCAGCGTTGACGATTCTATTACTCATGTGCAGGACCCACCTGGTGAGCGCATGATGCTGCGAAGTACATTGACTTCACTCGTCTTCGCAGATCCAGCGAGTACTTGAGCGAGCAAGTCACCGACAACGTCGTCGAAGTCGCCTTCCTCGGCACGCAGGTACGCAGGAAGCGCACCTCTGTCCTGGGCATTCAGTAACGGTGAGACCGCATCCTCAATGCCCCCGGATGATCCTGCAAGTGTACGTAGGACGTCCTGCCACAACTGCAGACAGAGTGCCTCGTCCTGGCGATATGAGAGGTACACAAGCAAAAGTGAGGGGGCGACCGCGAGCACGCGTCGTAGATGCTGACGAACAGTCTCGTCGATGGCCTGGACTCCGATGGTCAGCACACGACACCGGAGACATTAACACAGAACACACTTTCTCCACGGCTAAATCACTGAACACGGAGCCTTCAAATTCACTGAGAACGTCTACGAGCGCATCGACTTGACCTTGAGCAGGAGGCTCCTCCGACTGTAGGATGGCCTCGCAACGCTTGATCGCGCACTGGACTACTTGAGCGACAAGCGCGTTCGAGGCCGCTGCCTGTGCACTTCCCTTGTCAAACTGCTGCTGAAAGGCCTTCAGGATAGTCGACGCAATCGGGGAGACGGTGCCATCTTGGCTCTCGAGGGCCTTCAAGATGCTGGACGACAGTGCGTCCCAGGCGGCGGAGAACAATTCTGTCAGAATGGCGAGTGTCAGAATGGAGCGATGGTCGATACAGTGTTGGGCTCACGGTCATTGAGCTGGTAGAGCCCCGTCAACGACTTGACTATCAAGTTCGCAGCCGTCTCTGCCTCCACCCTCAGTCGTCGCTTGCTGAGCGCCTCCCACGCCCTGACATACTGCTCTGCCACCAGATTCTGCGCCACTTTCCTCCGCTCTGCGTCATCACTAGCTGTCTCACCGGCAGAAGTGCCGTGCAGAAGATGTTTCGCATCTTCTGCAGAGCAGTTCAGCAACCGCCTGACGAGGAAGGTCAAACACTCCAGGAGCGCCGAGAAGAACGCGGCGCTCGTCGCCGCTCTGTCGAGCGCAGACAGCGCACGTCCGTCCACAGCCGCCCAGAACGATGTGAAGAAGTCGTTTAGGGGTGTCTCCGAACTGGCGCCCCAGATCTACACAGCGTCATATCAGCAAACATTGCGACGGTTGGGAGGAAGGACAGTGGGCGTACTGCAGGCGGTATCGTAGACACGATCACAATGATCGTGGGGTACCCCTGCAGAGGCGAGCCCGAACATCCAAGCTCGAGAAATTGGAGGAACTCTCGATATGCTTGGGGCGGCGCAGGTGCTACCGAGTTTGTCGACTGGTTCGCCTGAGCGTCTCTGGGACGCTCGTCTTCATCCGTGTCTGAGTCATCCTCGTCGACGGCGTCCTCCCCATCGTTGTCCTTCGGCGCACTCGCATCGAGCTCCCAGGCTTTCGGATGTTCTGCGGAACGCGTTAGCCGAGCATGCATAAGTATGGTGGGGCGTACCTCGGAGGAACGTCAAAAAAGGCCGCCACATCGCTGCCCTGACGTTAGGATCTGGCTCCACCCATGCCGAGCGCAGAATGGCTCGACTGAGTACCGGGATAAGCGGGTCGAGACGATCTACTGACGGCATGAGCAAAGAAAATCGTTGAAGATGCATTCTGTGACAGACCTTTGCACGTTTCAAGAACGGATTGTAGCAATGACCACGCGGCCCTGCGCACCCCCGGCTGAATCCAGCCAAAACTCTCGACTTCTACGAATGGCGGATTCTGTGCATGATACAACAACGTCCACAACGCGGGGTTTGCGAATGGCGCGAGGAATTCACTCGTCATGATCTCCGGTTTCCCTTCGACGATGGCACCTGGGAAGAACAAGGAAGGACGACGTTGAATTGCATCTCTCGGCATGTATGTACAGGCACAGTACGTACTAAGCATCCACACCGCCGACCCACATGCGCCCATGCGCAACCTAGCCCTCCGATCACCCTCGCTTTCCTCTTCCTCTTCCGGCTTTGCGCGGCCGGAGTCCTCGTCTTGTGTCCGTTTCGCAGGTGGCGACTTCGCGCCTTTCTTGCCCGGCGGCGGGTTTGGTGCTGCGGGTTGCGGGGGGTTCACGTACAGATATACACCACCAGGATCGAGTAAGGTGCGGTGTACAAAGTTCCAGAGTCGCTGCACTAGCTCGACGTCCAGAGTAAGCGGTCGCGAAGATGCAGCGAGAGAGACACAACGGATCCAAGACTCTCGAGCGAACGCAGAGACTTGGCGGTCCACATCATGCGCTGCGAGAAGCCACGAGCCGAGGATACACTCCGTTTGGTCGGCAGTTAGGACCTCACGCAGAGTGAAGAAGAGCCGCGTCGAGACTTCCGCAGGCAGTCGAAGTAGGGAAGCATGCAGACCAACGGCAAGGAGTCGGATGCGCCTGGATGGATGGAGGAAAAGAGGAGGAACGTGGTGTAGCTGTTCAAGGCCGTAAGTTACACATGTATATGTTCAGGAGAGCGCAAACACTCACCCAGACCGGAATGGTTTCTGCAATCACCTCCAACAATCCACTATTTGGCCCTTCGCTCCTGGCCTTCTCCACCCAGCCTGCCTGGAGGTCCTCTAGTGCACGTCTCTTCGTGATTGAGTCCTTCTTCGCCAATCTCCGAAGCACGACGAGCAGTTCTGGGGGCAACTTCTGGGCAATGCCTAGCGTGTCGAGCGGATCTGGCTGAACTGGTGCAGGCTTGACCGGTGGTATGTACACTTTCTTGCGAGGCTCCTTGCTCTTCTTCTCTTTCTTGCTCGCCTTCTTCTCCTTCGGGATCTGGGGTTCCTCGACTTGATCGGCTGCTGCCTTGCGGGCGTGTTTCTTGCGCGTCGCGGATGTCGCAGACGACTTACCCTTCGCCATGTCTACCCAGAATCTAGCGTAGATTAGTACAGATGTCAAAGAATGTACAGTTACAGTCCAGGAGAAGACAAGGAGATGGGTTAAGGAGGCGAAGGTGGACGACGCGGAAGACAGTTTGTCAGTAGGGGCAACGCGCCCAAGGGGACCGTCCGCACGTGAGCGATCTCGCATCGTCATCATGGGCAAGGAGATCCCTTATATTTAATCAGTACTTACCTATCTCAGCAGATTTCTGACCGTGAAGTATTGCATACATTTTATATACATGCATAGGGTATCTACGCAGATCATGGATGATGTAGAGCCAATGTAGAGCAAGCGTAACTCACGGACAGCCCTAACAAGTACAACGTATACCTACATCGCTCAAGCGCCCACGGCCTCGGCGGGGAACATCGATATCAGATTCAATAAGTAAGCAGAGGCCGCCAGCAAAAAAAATCAAGCCAACATTGGCCAAGTAATGACGAGGGATGGGATTTGTACGAATGAATTCTCAAGGCTGTACTCTTCAGAGTAAGTGCGGTAAGTACTCAAGTACTCACAGGCTGAGTTTGGTCGACGCTGTCACTGGGCCAGGCAGCCACAATGCGATCTGATTGTGGATCTGGTAGCGTAAGTATCGGCAATTGCCGTCCCCACAGCCCGAAGCATCCCCGGTCCTCGACCCTCCGTCACGACCACCACTCATTCAGGATCGTTAGTTGCTGAGCTGCAGTCCGAGTATTCTTGCGAGACAGTAACAATATCCCTCAGAACACGCATATGATGGCCGAGAAATGTACGTCGACACGCCTGCAGTCGTGTCTGGGCATACTGACTCGTACCAACTGCCGCAGCACAATTGCAGCATGCTGCTGCATCTCGTGTGCCTCTCATCAAATCACCTAGTCTGAGGGTTCCAAGAGCGGTCTGTTAATTATGATACGGCTACAAACATCGGTCTGATTCGCCATTAACGTAGGTGGAGCGTCCACCGGACATTCATCCTCTGCCCGACGATGTCTCTGCATACGTGCGCACGACCGAGCTTTCGCCAAAAATACTTCATCTGAATGTTGTTGTCTGGAACAGTTTGTATATCCTTTCACACTTGAACCGCACGTAATCCGCCTCGAAGACTCGCGCAGATCTACCCTTGCCGCTCACGCAGCTCGACGCGAGGCGTACCTCAAGTCGCGTGCGGAAGAGAAAGAGCGACGGAAGCGCGAAGCTCTTCGTCGGATAGCCCCTGGATTTGAGCCTCAGGGCACACTGCTGGTCCCTACGAAGCGACAGTCGATAGGTCCCGGATCGTCACCCGCTCCCCCGGATTCGCAGAGCGGCGGTACAGGGCATACACACACGAAGTCGGTCATGGAGGATCTTGTAGACCAGCTCGCTGCGCTGGATGCAGAGCATGAGCGAATCTGATCTTCCCATGCCCCACAGGCGATGGTTGTTGCGAGTACTTTGTCCGCTGTGTTGATGGACTCGATTTCCTGTCGCGTACGTGTGATGTAGACGTTCTGCGACATATGTCGAATTTCTCGCCTCGCCGGTATGCACGACAGGGCGTATCGGTATGTGGTAACAGTGTGACCTGAAAATGTATCACCAGCGAAGCTGAAGAGTCTTTGTAGGCAATCTCGGGTTTTGAGGGACATACAAGGATGTCTCACTGACTTGTCCCAAGGAATACATGCTCCAATTACCCACTGAAACACGTCCGACGACACGAGCTGAAAGGCCAATTGACGACTTCTCATATGAAGGTTCACGGTGTACACGGTGTGCCTCCGTTCAGATGACCTTCGTCGACGCGACAGCACGACTAACGTTAACCCTGTCGATACCGGACGCCTGCATGGACAATCTTGGCAGCACTCTAGTAATATGCCGGGCCCGCTGGTCATTCGACAGGTTGTAAACATATCTCCGGCGGCTACGTCGTTTACTCGCACCCCGCCGCAAGGGCACGTCGCTGTAGCAGAGGGAGATGTAGCAGTCGGCGAATATCAGGCTGGTCCACAGGAGCAGATCGTGCTTTGACTACGTTGTGGCGAGTATAGCGCCTGCCTCGGACGGTGATGATATGACTTCAATGATCTTGTTCGTCAAATGTCGCTGTCGTGCACCCGTAGCGCATACAGGGTGATCACAGAGGAGCAGTGATAGTTAATGATTGATCACAGGAGACAACAGCGTACGAGCATATTACAAACAAGGACGATAAGAAAATCTACGCAGACACACTCGTCCGGATAGTATCTGCACACGACGCAGTCCGACTCACTTAAATACAGGGAAGGTATGAAACGGAACAAACGCAGCAAGGCATCATTACTCCTCCCGTATTTCCTGCAACGACTGAAGGTCCGTCGTCGTACTCCTCGCTCGTTTGGCGGGCCCAGGTCGCTCCGAGTCCACCGATTCTTCCTCGAGAGACCGCTTCGAAGCCGACGACCGCTGGCTGGACTGCGCTGCACTGCGCTGAGTAACGGCGGAACACTCGAACTCAGGCTCCTTGAATTGATCGTTGGTTCGAGTGACTTTCGCCCACTCCTCGGCTGGCTCGCAGAGAGCATCCCAGAAAGCATCGAACACCTCCACGTGATTCGAAAGCGCTTCGTAGGCATCAACGTTAGGTGCTGCCACCGTCTTATTTCGCGCATTGTCCTTGAACGGGTTCGTCAAGTTGGGCAGTGCTTCATGGGCAACCGATCGGGCTCCTGCCAGGGCACTGCTCGACTCCGACTTGAGGTCAATGACAGGCTCGACCGCGTGGTAGTGTTGTTGGCAACTTGTAGCGAGGCGTCGAAGAAGTCTGCCCAGTGGAGTGTCCTGAGCGACTTCGACGGCTGGTCTGCCGCTACGTATGGACTCGAGCTTCTGTGCGCCACCAACCTCTGCCTTGTATTGGTCACCCTTCTCGACACCTTGCTCCTCGTATAAGACCAGCATGCGCGACAAGAGTAAACTTGGAATCGTCGTCAAGCTGTGCTTGATGAAGCGCAAAGACATCCAATTGAGGACATGAATGCATGCTTCCAGATCATCCGCGACCTCGTGTCTCTTCCCTGGATTGCGGAGTAGCCGCGCAGACATAAACTGCCACGTACCCTGAGAGTGGTAGTCAACATTGAATCCTCAACCTCATGTTCGACGCGACATACCGAGCGAGCTGGACGTAACACCGTCTCGAGATACTTCTTTTTCTTGCATAGGTCCCAATCGATGAGAATGCCTATAGACCGCATTTTACCGTTCTTGTCGAAGTAGCGGAGGATGAGAATGTTGCCGGCACTGATGTCTCGATGAAGAAGTTCCTTCAGCTCCCACGCCTGTCTGTGCCCTGCGCAAGTGATAAGTAATAGAGTCAGTATCGTACATTCGACAGGACAACACACGTACCGTAGAGCGCATGCCATATCACCTTGACGAGTTCGTATGGACTTTCATGTTCGTCAAGCGGTGCACCAATCTCCTTGATGGCGAGACGATAGTGCTCTTGTGCGGGGGCACTACACCCCGTCCTCTCATCTTTCGGCAAGAACGCCTGCGTACATGTCTTCTGGACGCCGGCCTCATCCTGCACGACCCCGGCAGCCAGAGGCGTTGGGACGTATCGCACCCCGCCTTTTCTCAGTGAATGCAACACCTCCCCTTCGTACAGCGAGCTCTCGATACATGGTCGCCAATAGTCCTTGAGAAACACCAACCGTCGATGCGACACGTCATAGGCGACGTAGCCTCTCATTCCTCGCCCAGTCGGGGAATCCGTGGCAGAGAGGTGCCTGCCGACGATGAAGCATAACTCATTCGAAGTCGCCGCAGCATCGTTCGGCGCCTTCGGTTCGTCGGGTTCGTAATATTCGTCGGCGATCGGTTGCATCTCCCGCTGGTTGATCAAGTCCGTGCGCCGCATCGTGATCTTGTACACCAGCCAGCCAGGCTTATCCAGAGCGGCACTGCGATAGGTCTTGGCCGCGTCATTGCTAGTTGGACACGATCTCATGGCGTTGATCTCCTCCTGCGTTGCTCGCACCACCGACGGATCGAACCCGCGCTGGGCTTGCGTCAGGCACGCATATCGCCATATGATCTTGTGCAGCAAAGAGGGATCCTTCTCGAAGTCAATAGCCGTCGACACGATTGAACCGGCGCGGTCAGAGCGAATGACACGGGCCTGGCCCTTGAAGACGTAGAGCGTGAAGACGTGCAGCCGGTGTTGCCGCCTGAACAGCTTCGCGACGTACTCCCCGACTTGCCCGAGTGCGTTGTCCCCCGAGTCGCCAGTACGAATGAAAGGCTTCGGTTTTGGTTTCGGTTTCGGTTTCGGCGGGTCACCGTCGTCGGTAGAGCGCCCCTTGCCCTTGTCTACCGCAGCGGATTCCTGAGGGCCATCAAGATCTTCGGCATCGCCGCCGCCATCCTCGCCGCCGTCCGCAGCCTTCTTGCGTCGGCGGTCCTTCTTCGTGACTCTCTTGTCCTCGAACCGCAGTGCGCAGTTGTTGTGCGCTGTCTTGATCTCTACGAACAATGAGATCCATGCCCAGCGAGTGGCCGCACGCGGGGTTGTCAACTCAGGGCGGATGTAGTCACGCTGAGCGTCGTCGTCGACGGGGTAGAATGAAACGTCGACCTTCAACTTCTCGCCATAGTCTCCTTTATCGCTGTTGTCAGGATTGTGGCTCGTGTTCTTTGCCACCAGCTTGTCTTCACTAGGGCAGTGATCGAGGATCGGTTGTGCAACCTTGCACTGCTCATACGCACGTCGTTAGAAATATCCTTGTAAACAGAACAGGTAGACGCACTAATTCATCACAGATAATGGTCTCTTTCGTCCCCAGTAGGACCGTATTGTCCATGACAGGGATCTTGTTCGCCAGCTCAGCTGGCATATCCGGACCCGGCATGAACAGCTCCAGAAAGCTATCAAAGTCTATTTCGCTAATTTTAGAGTGCATCCCTTTGGCGTATTGCGGGCGTTGAACCGCCAGACTATTCTTCCCGTGGACGGCCTTGGCTGTGTGGGTCTTGTTGGAACTCGACGCGTGTACGGGCGTACTCTCTATCTTCGTTCCGTCGGGTGGTTGGGTGTTAGGCGGCGTCGTAGCACGGAGGGACGCTGTAGTCTGCGAGCGACTGGCGTCTTCACTGCACTCACAGTTAGCACATAGGCAGTCGAGCACTCCGTAGGACACTTACGAGAGAGGAGCGCCGTCTGCGTCTTCAGCCGACGTCGAGGCTCCGGGACCACTGCCACTGTTGTCAGTCGAGAAGGCCGTCACGGAGAGCACCGCTGGACTTACGTTGGACGCGCTGAAACGTCAGTACCGGATGGGCTCGGCGACCTCCTGACACGACACTCAATTCAGAACTCTAGGGACAAGGAGAACTTGCTACTCACGAATGTTCAGCTTGGGAAGCGGGCGGGGTGGTGCCACCCGCGAGGCTAGGTGCAGGCTCAGGCGAAGAGCACATCGGAGAAAGAGGATGAGTCGACTTACACAGGAAGGGTGCGTCTGCCTCGGTTTTTAAGTCAGTGGGCCACGATGTTTAACGGAGAATGTTCGCTTCGTGATTTCCTAGGGTTAGCATTGTCCTTGCTCATGGAGATGGATAACTTGCCTAATTTGTAGGTATCCTCGTGTCTTTTAGATCCGGAACCGTTTCGCCGCACGCAGAGCTCACCTAATGTGGCAATGGTTCGAGTGAAGGCGTGCGATGTTGGGACGAGAACAATGCAGGTTCGCAAGATCTCCGATTGATGTGGCTCCGCCACGAGGTAGCCACAGCGTTCATAGGGCGGATCGGATCAAACACTGAAACAGGTGGGTGCGACCTTGTTCCCAAATAAGTACGGACTTGGTTGCTACTTCCAACTTAGGCTTGCGTTGTGCTGCAATGGCACAGCGCGGAGGCCGGGCCATGCATGGCCATGCACTGCTGGCTTCAACTCCCAGCCCAGGAAGTGCTCTCGAGTGCGTTGAACGTTGAAGTGGATAGTGTGTCTCACGCTCGTCGAAGACTACTGGCCTGATAGATTTCAATTTCCAGTGTCCACGTCGGGCAGGAGCAAAAAAGGCATCCCGCCCACGTGGTCACGTTACCGGGTCGTAACGTGGCTGCTGGCACCGGCGAGGCCGGGCGCTGCCGGGCAGCGCAGTGGCCACCTCCGACTCGCTCCGACCTCGCGCCTGTGGCTGCATCAATCGGAGATCTGAAGAACCTGCATTGTTGAGTCCCAGTTCATCGCAGGTGCTCTTGATCGATTGGGATCTTTGCAAACTCATGAAGTATCTCGGGATTGCATCACGTCCTGCCCGCTCAGTAAGTCAATTTGCTGTTCACATGTGAAGTTGAGCTCACCGTTTGTAGGGAACGTGGCAATTCATGTCTGCCAGGCTTCTACAGAACCCCGGAAAGAAACACGAAGTCGCAGACGACATCGAATCCTTCATTCACGTCTTCAACTGGATGTGTCTCCGCTTTGTCAAACATAACCTCACTTGGAAACCCCGCCTTCTCCAAATGCATGTTGTGCATATGTACGAAGAGCAAGAAACCATGGTGGACGGCGAAAAGAACAAAGAGGAGATCGGGGGCGAGGCGAAAGCGACTCAAATGCTCTATGGTGCCCTGGCAGTCGAGCTTACAGATCCGGAAACACCCCTGGGCGAACTGCTTGACGAGCTCGCTTCGCTCTGCCGCGAACACTATTTGACTTTCAAGCCCAAGCCCAAGCGCAAGGTCAAGCCTCTGGCTGCCCCTTCGGACGAGCGATTGAGACAGAAGATGCTGGACTGAAGAGCCCGTTTCGAGCGACTCTGAGGGAGAACACCCGATGGTGACGTCAGTAATGGGTTCTCAGACGCTTTCCACACACAGGAAGGTCTACAACGCTTTCCGCCGTGCACTCGACAAGCCAGAGGCCGAGTGGGACCTTGTCGCTGTCATTCCGGATTAATTCAATCACCCTGTCTTCAAGAATTCCGCCATGAATCTGCGCCGAATCGAGCGTTCAGGCCAGCTGTCGTCGGGCTCGAAGCGACGACTGGAGGGAGAATCGGCAGATATGACGAGGCCTGGCCCTTCGAAGCGCATGCGGAGCGCGACTATGGGCCTCGAGTCACTAGAGGAAGAAGGGTCTGTTGCCCTACACGCGGGTGGGCAGTAATGTTGTTGTGGTGTGTTGTTATGTATACTGCATATATGATTGTCTGCGTTCTTCAAGTTGTCACGGCAACCAAGTCTGAATGCGCGTGTAAAAGTGTGTGATGAGAGAGTTGCCGTCCATCTGTCAGACTGGTCGATTGCACTTGACTAGCTGTACATAGGGTCACCGGAGCACGAGTTGTTTGCTTCGGGGCAGCCACATCATCGACGTTCATGGGGCGCAAGCTGGGCTCACAAGACGGCAACAAGGAAGGAATCAACCACGAAAGCAAGTTCAAGGTAATGCACAAAGGCACCGTCCCGGCGCAACTCCTGCAGATCGACTCAGATACTCCCTCTGCGAGCTTCGTCTCGATCTCTCAGCATCAGTATACAGCGTCGAATCCACGCAGGCATCGCAGCCGAATGCCACCCGTAGTTGAATACAGGGGTGCCCAACGACATATCAGTACCGATATCCTTCACTCGCAACGCATACAAGGCGACCGTAGAGGAGCAGTAATGACGATCATTCATGAAGGGAGAACAACATACTCAAATGAGAACAGTGAGAACTTAGGCGACACAGAGATACTCGTCCGGGTGCCTAACTCTCAGTGATAGCGAAGGGATGAAACGCAACAATCACATGAAGGCCTCTCTCGTTCTTCTTCCAACGACTGAAAGTCCGTCTTCGTAGTCCTTGCTCGTTTGGGGGACTCAGGTCGCTCCGAGTCCATCGATTCTCCCTCGTGAGACCGCTTCAAACCCAAGGACTGCTGGCTAGAGCGCGATGCGCTGCACTGAGTCACAGTAGAACCCTGGAACGCAGGTTTCTTGAACTGATCCGTCGTGCGGACGACTTTCGCCCACTGCTGTGCTGGCTTGCGGAGAGCCTTCAAGAAAGCGTCGAAGACTTTCTTGTGCGTTGAGAGCGTTTCGGATGCCTTGGCTGCAGGTGTTATCGGGATCTCGCCCTCTGAGTCGCTTGAAGACTCATTGCCATCGCCGAATGGGTGGCTGAACTCCGACATGCCATCGTCAACCGGGAGATCACCTGTCAAGGCACTGCTCGACGCGGAAGTGGATTTGGTCATGGGCTCGACCGCGTAGTAGTGTCTTTGACACAGTACGGCGAGGGTCTTGAGAAGCTCGCTTAGTGGAGTGTATGGGTCGACACCAACGGCTGGCATCCCGCTGCGTATGTTCGCTTCCTTCTGATGGCCACCAATTGCTTGTCCATTTGGGTCATCGTCCTTGAATCCGTACGCCTCATAGGTATGGAGTATTTCCATCTTGAGTGCCGCAGACTTGTTGGTCAGTGTGTGCTTGATGAAGCGGAAGCAGATCCATTCCAGGACATGGACAAATGCTTCCAGGTCATCCGCGACCTCGTGTCTCCTCCCGGGGTAGCGCAAAAGCCTGGCGGACATGAACTCCCAGGTACCCTGAGACAGAGAGTCAGCTCCTAATCCTCGACTCATGACCGACACCACGTACAGAACGACCTGGCCGTGACATTGTTTCGAGGTAGATCTGGTATCTGCACATTTCCCAATCAATGAGGAGGCCTATAGCCTGCTCTTTCCCTCTCCTATCGAGGTAGCGGAGGATGAGGATGTTGCCTGCGCTGATATCGCAATGAAGAAGCTTCTGGTCCTGCCATGCCTGTCGGTGCGCTGTGGGAGGACCACACGTCAATAACAGATGCACGTCAGACTGACAAACATACCGTGCAGTGCGTGCCACATAACCTTGACGAGCTCCTTGGGAGTCTTGTGCTTGTCAAGCGGTTCACCTATCTCCTTCACGACGAGACGATAGTGCTCTTGCCTCGGCGCATAAAACCCCGTCCTCTCATCCACCGGCAAGAAATCCTGTGTACACGTCTCCTGGACGCCCATCTCATCCTGCACGATCCCGGCAGCCAGAGGCGTTGGGACGTATCGCACTCCCACGCTCCTCAGCGAATGCAACACCTCCCCCTCGAACAGTGAGCTCTTGATACACGGTCGCCAATAGTCTTTCAAGAAGACCAGCCGTCGACGCGACACGTCGTAGGCGATGTAGCCTCTCATACCTCGCCCGGCCGGGGAATTCGTGGCAGAACGATGCTTACCGACGATGAAGCACACCTCGTCCGAAGTCCCCACACGATCCTCCGGTATGCTCAGTTTTTCGGGTTCGTAGAATTCATCAGCGATCGGTTGCATGCTCCGCTGGTCGATCAAGTCTCCGCGTCGCATCGTTATCTTGTAGACTGGCCATCCGGGCTGATCCAGAGCGGCGTCGCGGTAGGCCCCGGCCGCATCGTTCATTGCTGGACAGGATCTCATGGCTTCTATCTCCTCGACCGTCGCCCTGGTCACTGTTGGATCGAAGCCGCGCTCTACTTGATTCATGCAAGCATATCGCCACAGGACCTTGTGCAGCAACGATGGATCCGCCTCGAAGTTGACCGGCGTCGAGACGATAGTACCGGCTCGGTCCGAGCGAAGAACACGAACCTGTCCCTTGAAGACATAGAGGGTGAAGATGTGCAGCCGGTGCTGCCGCCTGAACAGCTTCGCGATGTACTTGCCCATGCACCCGAGTGCTCTTTCTGCCGCTTCGCCAGTACGAACAAAAGGCCTCGGGGTCGGCGGGTCACCGTCGTCTGTAGCGTGCCCCTGGCCCTTGCCTACCGCAGCAGATTCCTGAGGGCCATCATGGTGTTCAGTATCGCCGCCGCCGTCCTCGCCTCCGTCCGCCGCCTTCTTGCGTCCGACATCCTTCTTCTCGACTTTCTCGTCCTCAAACTCGAATGCGCAGTGCTTGTGATCCGTCTTGACCTCCACGAGCAATGAGATCCACGCCCAGCGCGTGGCCGCAAGCGAGCCGATCAACCCAGGGCGGGTGTAGTCACCCTTCGCGTCGTCGTCTACGGGGTAGAATGAAACATCAACCTCCAAATTCTCGCTATAGTCTTCACAATCGCTGTCGTCAGGATTGTGGCCCGTGTTCTTTGCCACCAACCTGTCTTCGTTAGAGCAGTGCTCGAAGATCGGTTGTGCGACCTTGCACTACTCGAAGGCACGTCATTAGGAACAGCATGGTAAGAATAACAACTACACGCACCAGTTCATCACAGATATTGTTATCTTCTGTCCCCAGTAGCACCGCCTTGCTCATGCCCGGGATCTCCTTCGTCAACATAGTTGGCATATCCGGGCCCGGCATGAACCGGTCCAGAAAATCATCAAAACCCAACTCGCTAAACATACGGCGCATGTCGTTCGTACTGCAGGCGATGACTCGCCAGGCGATTCTGCTCGTGGACGGCGTTGGGTGTGACTCGGAAGGTCTTGACGGAGGCAGACGACGCCTGTACGGGCCAAGTACGGGCGCACTCCGAGTCTGTGTAAGCTATTCAAGTTGGTCGTTGGAATGTGGCAGGTTCCCAAGATCTCAGATTGATGTGGCTCCGCCACTACGAGGCTGGCACTGACACGTGTTTGGGGTTCCAAGTAAGTAGCGGCCCACTGGTCACAACCACCACTCGGCCTTAGCCTCCTGTATCTGAGGGGGCTGCAGAACTGCAATTCTGCGAGCAAGCAACAAAACTGAAAAAAAACCATGACCGGGAAACGTACCTCGACACCCCCGCAGTTGTGTCTGCTCATACTGCCTGACTGGCGCAGCGCAATCGCAGTATGCCGCGCGCTGCCTCTCGTGTGCCTCTTCTCAAATCACCCAGTCTGAGCATTCCAAGGCCGATCTGTCAATTGTGATACAGCTACAAACAGCAGCCTGATTGCCTTTGACGTAGGTGGAGAGCGTCCACCGGACTCTAGCCGATGATGTCTCTGCATACAGTACGTGCGTACGACTGAATATCCACCAACAATACATCGTCTAAATGTCGTTGCGATTTGTTCCTCGATCCCACCGCTGAGCCTACAGAAGCACCCGTTACGCCCCCTCTCCACAGGCGTCGGCCTCACCTGCCTCGTGTCTATCCTTAACACGCTAATTCGGTTGTCGCTAGGGCCGTCGCGTAGACCCACGCGCCGCGCCGCGCAGAAGGTACGCGCGTATGCGGAGCAAGTCGCGGATGTCGTGCAGGCGCATGAGAATGTCCATGCGATGTGCTTCACGTCGAACCCGGCAGCGGAAGATGTACGTGGCGAGCAGTAGCACCAGGCGGGGCGCATGGACCCCGCAAAGCTTGATGGAGAGTATGACCTGTTCTTGGGGACAAGCACACGCAGTACTTGACTACGTCCGCGGTCCGATGTCGTTCATGGTGGACATGGAGAGGACGCTGAAGGGGTACGGCATCGAGGACGAGAGGGTGCATCTGGAGCTGTTCGGGACGGATGGCGTTCCGAAGGCGCAGAGTCAGCAACGTAGATCTGGGCGGGACGAATGGACGTAACGAGATCGCATATATCAGTAGATACCTCAAGCACATGTATCATTACAACACCGCAATGAGGTACTTCCCCGCTCTCAGCCAGCTGGCCCCTGCAACGCTGGCCGACCACTTTACGTGAATCCCGACTTTCAGTTGTTCGCCTTGCCGGCCATCGCGTCTTCCAGCAAGCTGACTGCCATGTCCGCCGATCCCCATGAGCTCTCATATCCGCTGCTTCCGTGCCTACACCACCTCGCAGTCAATTAATATTGCCACACCAAATCACCGTCATACGCACCCATAGTCGAACACCATCGGCACCTGTCTGCCGTCCTTCTTATCCGTAAGCCACTCGACGTCCAGCCTCAGGCCTCCGTCTCGTGCTGGCCTCAGCCCGCAGCCCACTTCGACGATCAGGGGCCGGATATCATCAGCTGTCGGGGCTCGCTGCGCTCGCACCTCCGGCGGCGCGAGTTCCGGGCAGAGCGCCAGGCAGCGGTTGAGGATGTCCTCCGTCGTCTCCGGCCTCACAATGGGGTACCTGTTCACAGAATCAGCACACCATGCACGCGTGCCGCGTGCGTACTGTGACTTACCAGTCGTCCACGTCGCGTGTACCGCCCAAAATAACCTGATGCCCGCAAAGATAGCAAGTCAGATACCCAACTTCAGACGGCGTGTACCGAGCTACTTACATTCCCGTTCCTCCTCGGGATGAGATACGTGTCTTTCTCCTGGCTCTCCTCAAGCCCCATAGCCTTCTCGATCCACGGTGCATGTACGAGGACGCGCTGCCCTCTGACACTGTGCACTGCCTTGTCCTCTACACCGCCCAGTGTACGCGCACCCAGTCCGGTGCAGACAACAAGTGCGTCTACGGGTCGCTGAGCAGCTTTTCCGAGAGAGAACGCGTCTACACCGCCCTCGATGATCTGGTTGACGTGCTGGACGGATCCACGTACGACGACTCCGCCCCGACTGATGAAGCGTGCGAGGAGGTAGTTCAGATACGGCGTCGTGTCGATCGTGTACGTGTCGAATATGTAACCCGACTTTGCCTTGGAATGCAAGGACTCTTGTGGGATACGTTTTGGCTGCAATTTCCAACCTCTGAGTCAGCACTCCAACGTCATTCAAAGGGTCACTGTGACCTACCTGGAGGAGACTTTCGTAGTTTGTGGGGTCGATGTCCTCGAGGAAGTACTCGACAGACGACAGGCGGCGGAAGCAACCTTCCGCGGCACCGCCAGGAGCAGACAACTCCAGCATGACCTTGAGGGTTTCCTCACGAATGGCTGCATAGCCGTAGGTCAGTGCCACCTGAAGAGAACCGGAAGCTGGTTTCGCGCACATTTCTGCCGAGGGTCATCTCCCATGTACATCACATGGTATGCACCCTGATGTGTCGTTGAGCATCTCTAACCAGTGCTTTATGGGTTAGAACTCACCGCCCATGGACTGGTGTACTTGATGGATCTCGGGTCTGTAGGGAGCGACTCAGCGATTATAGATACGTCGTGGCCCTTTTCGAGAAGCCTGATAGCGGTACTAAGACCGACAACCCCTGGTACAGTAGCGTATCAGCGTTGACTACAGCTCTGTCGATAGTCCTAATATCCGTACCTGCACCCAACACGACCACGTTCTTGACAGTTTGTGTAGTAGACATACCTAGGCTATTACTGGAACCAGCTGTCACAGCGGATTGCCTGTTTGCCCAATCCACTTGCAACTTGTACGCTTGTTTATATACGAACATATGCCTCCGCTCGTTATCTTATCCACGCGTCGACTCAGTGCTTATCACGGCGGAACAAGTTTTTGGAAGTCATGAACGTTGAGCAGCCTCCGCCGCAGAAGGCGGCCAGGCAATGTCGCGACCCGTGAAAGGCCAAAGAATCATTCATAACGCCCGGGAAGTCGCGGCGTAGAAGCATGGTGCTGCGTCTAAATACGCTAGTAGCGTACCATGATCCTATAGTAGCTACGCACCTAACAAGAACCCCTGCACGAGTCACAAAGACAGACCTAGTCAGGGGCTAGACGCCCGAAGGCCCGCATCAGTCCTTCATGAGAGCGGCTTCGAGCATATCGATTACGGCTGCAGCACAGGCCCAGGACGTCACGTAGCCCTTTCCAGCATGTCTGCTCAACATGAGTGAGTGTTCGAACCGTACGGAGACACGGATCATACCCATAATTGTATACAACAAGCTTCTTGTCGTCGGTACCACGGGACTGAACCCACTCTGACTTGAGCCGGATGCCGCCCTGTCTCGCAGGGCGGAAACCACAGCCAGCTTCGACGATTAGCGGGCGCAAGTCCTCGATGGTGCCGGAGCGCTCTGCGCGGATCTGTAGTGGTACAAGCTCCGGGCACAGCGCGAGGCAACGTTGTAGAATATCGTCCGTGGTTTCTGGACGAGCGATGGGAAACCTATGACAGTAAAGAAAGAATGTGAGTGGAACTGCCAGCAGGTTCTAGCAATATCAACGGACCAGTCATTTGGGGATTTTGTACTTCCCATGGATACCTGTACTTTGATCGGTCATCATGCGAAGCCGTTCCATTGTGGACCACTTACCACCCCGTTTTGCCGTGGGATAACGTATGTCTGATCGCCCCCAGTCGAATCACTGATCCGACACGCCTCAGTGATCCATGGAGCCTTCAACAAGATGACTTGTCCCCTGTTCGGATAGACCGCCTCATCTTCGACGCCCCCGAGAGTCCTCGCACCGAGGCCCGCACATACTATCAGAGCGTCGACCGGCGTCGTAGACGCACGCCCGCGGTTGAAGACGTCGATGCCGCCTTCGAGCACTTGACTGACGTGCTGTACCTTCCCGCGCACGACGGTCCCACCCCGCGCCAGGAAGCGAGAAAGTAGGTAGTTGAGGTATAGAGGAGGATCGACGGTGTAGGTGCTGTAAGCGTAGCCCCGTTGGGCGTTTGACACGAGCGAGTCCGAAGGGATCTGCCGAAACTGCAAGACGCACTCAGCACACTACCTCTGTACCGAGTTGTAAATATAGCGCTCACGTCAGGCATCCAGTGGGTCTGAAAGTCCAACTCGTCCCTGAAGTATTCGCGCTCGGTGATGCGACGTAGGCAATGTTCTGCAGGACTACCTTGTCCCGCGAGCTCCCACATGATACTGAATGTATCTTGTTCAAGCCCTGAAGTACACGCGGTGAGACTGTGATAGATCAAACCGAGTATGGAAGCTAGCTCACGCCGATCTCTCTCATCCTGGCCAGTGTGTAATGCTTGATGCGCTCCCTGAAACTTGCATGAGTGCCCCGTCAAACATGAGACACGGTGCAGCATACCGCCCAAGGACTCGTGTATTCCGGTCGTTTCGGGTCACTCGGGAGTGTCTCCGCGATCACGGAGACCTCATAACCACCTTTCTCTTGTATAGCGAGCGCGGTTGTCAGACCGGTCACTCCTGGGATACCATGGATTACATCTCGTTAGATATATCTCGCGCGTTGGCAGTAGGTCAAGAGGACGCACCTGCGCCAAGAACGACGACACTTCTTTCTTCGCGTTGATATTTGGACATCCTCTGATCTGACTCGGAAGCGCCGCTTTGCCGTGCGCAAACTTGCTACGACCACCGCCAGCAGGAACCAGCGTAGAGCTAGGGTACAAGGTGCTGAAGCCACTTCTCGAGACATGCATCGGACTCGGGGGCCCGGATAAGCATGTCCGCTCCGCCGCGATACAAGCCGTTGGGCAGTGTCTGTGATAGAGATTCAGAACTCCAAATCCATACCACAAGGACTCCCAGCTGACTACTAGTACGGGCGCTGTCCCATAGCATACGCTGAGAGAAGTAGCATATACCCAAGCTTATCAGACTTCTTCTGGCTTCGCACCTCCGTGAACCGCGGGAAGACGGCGCGGCGACTGCCAGAATCAGACCGCGAGTGGACGTTGAGGCCTGAGGCTGAAGAGTGACGGGAGAGGTCGAGATGCGACTGCGAGCTCGAGATGGCTGCTGGGCCGGCAAAGGCCAGTCGTGAGTCCGCCACAAGTCTGCCACAGGGTCAGACAAGGATATCCTGAGGCACGAAGGTTGAAGGAATTGTCTACGTCTGCGTGGGGAGACTAGCCACAGGGCGACCTCGGCCGCGAGGCCGCAGGCATGTTGCACCATTTCAATCCCACTCTGACCAGCAGCTCTGAGCGCAGGAACATCGAAACGACGAAGCAAGAACCATGCGCCTATTCAATATTCAAGTCTCAGGCTACCAATGGGCGTTACAATGTCAAAATGGCCTACAGTAATCCAAGCATAAATACCTACAACCAACATAGCATCTATGCAAGAGCCTAAGGTAGGACAGTGGAAAGTCACAAAGCAAGCGTACTACTACTACTTGATTACTCGCGATCGCATACTCATACAAAGGGACTCGACTTAAAATCTCGCGCCCCTCCTACATGACTTCTCCAGCTCCACGAGCATGTCGCAGACACGGTCACGCGAGTCCTCCAGGGCGACAGCGAGCTCCTCGTCCTCGAGGCGCCCGCCGCTAGCGAACTCAAATGCTCGCGAACCCAGCGCTGTCCGCAACGCCATATGCAGCGTCGCGTTGCGCTGCGACGGGGATGGTGGAGGGGAGAGGATGAACGAAACAGACGTAGAGCAGGCGGGGAACGAAGAAGGGAAGATACGTCGGTAGATGATTGTTGCGCTGAGCAGAGAGCGAATCTCAGCCTCGTCCTTGCTTGCCAGGTCATGCGCGTCCTCGCAGTCCGCATCCTCGTCGTCCTGCTGCCTGGGCAGGACGTCCTCATGAGTGCAGAAGCCGGTATCCCAAATCCGCTCCAACAGCACAGCAAGCTCAGCAGTCCGCCCGCCGATCGACTTGCCCGCTTGAACGGTCTCAGTGCGTTCGTGCTCCTCGCGGAAGTCCTTGTCCGCATCGTACTCGAAGCCGTCGCCCTTGCAGCACTCATCCGCGCCCGCGCGGGCGTCGTCCCGCACGACGGTGCGGACGAACAGCGCCGCGGCGTGCTTCCGGAGGCGCGCGCGAATGAGGATCGCAGCGAGGACGCCGAGCGGTGTACGCTTCTCGCACGCGGCGCAGCGGCCCGTGCGCTCCGTCTCGTGCCAGCGCTGCCACTTCGCCAGCCACTCAGCCGCGTCGTCCACGCTCATGTTGTCCAGGACGATCTTCTCGTGCGGACGCAGGACCTCGCGCTTACGCGCGGCGTCCCAGAGCGCGGTGGCCTTCGAAGAGGAGACGGGGCGGATGATCAGAGCCAGGGCTGAGAGATCCGTAGTGGAGGTGGAGAAGGTCGAGACATGCCAGGCCATGCACCAGTAGGTCTGAATGCGAGTAGCCTTGCCGACTTGGTCTACAGCAGGATTAGCGCCGAGTGCACGCCACGAGCGCTAGGAAACTCACCGTTGAAGGCAACGAGCTCGCCCAAGCGCACCCAAGCGCGTTGTTCAAGTTGGTTCAGCTCAAGACCCCGGTCGCGTCTGCTAGCCTTGATGACACCTTGCATCAATCCGAGGACACCGGCCGATATGCCCAGAGCACGGCGAAGGAGCGCGGCCTCGTCGGGAGAACCACGGCGCATAGGGTGCAGAGCGTCGTGGAGGATGTCCATAAGCGCGTTGTCCTGAGGACTACGGGACTTTGTGACACGAACGGTCTCGACAGTCGTCTCCGGGGTCGGTTCTTCTGTGTGCGTGTGTGCGGCGCGGACGCGCGAGGCAAGCGCAGACAAGACAGAGAGGCCACGAGTATGCCGGAGCGCGCCTGACAACCAAGGTACAAGGACATAGACGAACACCAAAGTAGACACGAGCAGGTGGATGCCCTGGACGACTTCGCTCATGCCGAAGCCGCTCACAACGGGCATAGATGGGGTTGGGAACGCCGGCTGCGAGTACGCGGGTTGGTGTGGAGTCAGGACGGTTCCTTGGTGCGCATGCTCGGCGTGACTATGCGTGTACGTATGTGTCCGAGTAGCAAGAGGGTTGTTGAAGACCGAGAAGAACGCGAAGGCTGCAAGGAGGTACTGCTGCGCGGGCGCCTGCTGCGCGCTCTGCTCCGCAGACTGAGCCATGCTGTCCTCCATCTTGACATCCACGGGGAACACGGGAGGCACAGTGAGCGCGACGGGAGCAGATGCAGCTTGAATAGCAGCTGGGACAGGGGGTAGCGGGTTCTTGCGCGGGCGGCCGCGCTTCCGCTTCTCCGGGACTGCGCCGGGGATGCCTGGCGCAGCGGGGACGACCTGCACAAGCGCAGGTGGAGGACGAGGAGGCTTCTCTTTCTTCACCGGCTTCGCGATCTTCGGCTTCTTCTTCGCGCGGCCGTCCTCGTCATCACTGTCTTCGCCATCGCCGTCCTCGTCGTCGCTGCCGCCTCCTCCGCCGTCTTCCTCGATCTCGTCCTTCTCCTCGCCGCCGAATCGCTCCCGCCACTCGCGCTCCCACTCCTTGAGGAGTGCCGGGCCGCCGACGAGACCAGCGATGAGGGTTTTAAGCCCGTCATGTTCCCGTTTCATGCGCGCCTCGCGCTTCTTGAGTACCCTGGAAGGTGTTAGAACAACAGAAAATAATTGTAGCGCTGACAATACGTACTTGATGTACTCAGCAGCCTTGCCGAGAACGTTCGCTTTGCTCATCTTACGCGCGACCTTCACACCGTCCACGAAGCCGCGCGAATCCACAACATCGTTGAACAGGTTCTCCGCGTTGTTCACCTTGGCCTCCAGCACGCGCAGCGCAGGCACCGCCTGTTTCAGGCCGGTGATCCGCGCGTTGAGATTAGTCCGGTACCGTCGCTCGATCGTGGTGTGGCTCGTCTTGGGCCGCCCGATCACGGACTGCACGGGCGGTGGCGGCGGCGCTTCGATGGGCGAGTCGCTCTTCGGCGAGCTAAGCGACGAGGATGTTGAATCCGGGCTCGGGACACTCTTCGGTGGGCTTTGCCTGCTCGGGGCGGCGGAGAGGGCCGGGCGTGGGAGGCGGGGGATAGGCAGCTTCGCTTGGCCGCCTGCAGTGACACCAACGTCAGTAGGTGATCACGAGCAGAGAGGATAGAAAATATAGATGACTTCAGATTCGTCAACGAACGAAGACACGGTGGGCATGCCTTGTTGCCAACGGCCGCGCTTGCGCACGGCCAGTCTATGACGCGGCCTGCCGTATTGGCTCATATCAGAGTGTGGGATTCTCCGCCTATCGCTCTCCGCTGCTTCCTGGGAAGGAATAGGCCATAGCCACAAGAGGTAGGTCGTTGCGGGAGGTACAGTAGCCGGGGATTCGCGAAGAGTTGTGCCTCTGACCGTTCATGCCTAAGCCTTACGGCAGCCTACTGAATGCAGACCATTCGGGTGTAGGCCGTCCAAAAGGCTTCCTGTGCGGCGCCACCGAAACTCCAAAAGTGCACTTGGCGCCAGTCGACCCGACCAAAGCAAGCCTACATGTGTGCAATTGCAGGTTGCGTTGACAGGTGTCCGTTACAACGGCGAGCTAGTTTGCACCGGACATATGCAGCCCACTGCGCGCTACACGCTTAGGGAGCACGCGACGTCGGCGGACACCTCCTATCGTCAAAGGGAGACACCATACGACGATAGGCCGCACCCGGAGGACACTGAAATCACCCCACTGCGCATTTTTAGAATCGCCACACTCGTGATGAGCGCATTGATGGGGGCCGAATAGGCGGAAAATCCAGCAATGGGCCAACCAAACACGGAGGATCTGAGAAATGCAGCTCGTACGATGTACTCACCTGCTGCGACCATCTGCTGCACCTGTGCGCTGACGGGGACAGCCAGTGTCACGCCCGCCATCTGACGGACCTTGTGCGCGAGCTCCTGTGCCGGGTCGCTGAAGTAGCTCTCGCTTGGCGGCGAGCTGCTGGCGGATGCGCTGCTGCTGACAGATGAATTCTCCATCACGGGCGAGAGGGACGCGCCAGACGAAGAAGAAGAGGAGGTTATGCTGAGTCGCCTGCCAGTCTCGGGTTGCATATGCTGCTGGTTGAGCCAGTTCATGTCCTCCGGTGAAGGGTAGACGAGGCTCTGGGTCTGGCTGGTCGCCTGAGCTGCGTACACAGCTTCCGAGGGCATAGCGAGACTCTGCTCGAATATAGAGCCAAAGTGCAGCGCGCTGGGGTCGATTGCCATGTTCGGGTCGAAGTCCAGGTCCATGGGAAGCGAGAAGTTGAAATCGCTGAAGTCTGGGATCTTGTTGTTGCTTTCATTCCGCGCCCACGCAGCGAGTTGCTCCCAGTCCGGAGGCGTGTCTGCGGGAGACTCGTCTGAGACCGTGCCCGAGTTTGCATTCTGGGAGATCGTCTGCAGGAGGAGGTCGAGGGACTCTTCCGAGCTGAGCTGGGAGAAGTCGATAGTCGGGGACGAGGAGCCGGTCGACGACGCGCTCGACGAAGCGGACGCCGACCCAGAGAGCGGCGGCGTCGACATGGTGGTTGCCTGGCAGGATGGGGATTGGGGCGCAGGCCGTCGCAGAGACGGGCATCGGCCCACTTTCGATTTCCTAATGAATGCCTGCCGGAGCGCCCAATTCAAACTCCACAACGCGTCCATCTCAATCTCAGATCTCCCCCTAGGGCCCTACATTGCTCGCCAACACGTGCTACTGAACATGTCTCTCCAGCATGAAACCCTGACGCCAATCGGCCCCAGTAATGGTCCGTACACAGAAGACTGCATAAAACAGCGACAATGTCTCCTCGAAATGCAGAAAATCTTAGACATTAGACACAAGAAAAGACCGGACACGAGAGGCTGTGGTGGCGCCTGCTTTTTCTAAGCCCAGCTCCGTGGGTGGGAAGCCATGAGGAGGAGAACAGCCGAGGCTCGTTACAGACGCACCTTCCCCGCAAGTTAGATACGCAGTAGAACCGCTCAGGAACATCCAGCGTCACCCTCACTGCGGAGGCCTCGCACGTAGTCAATCATTCCGTGACGCTCAAAGGCACCAATGACGTTTGAGCCCAAGGTGGGCAACCTGCGGTTGTAGAGAGTCTTGGGTCGTACTTACCTATCATAAGGATCTATCGCGACGGAAGCCCTATTACTCTTCATTTGAGGAATCTAAAGACCGCATGGTGTCCTGCCGACCAATCCTATTGACCAATTGCTGTTGGTCAGAACACGGACACGGACGTAAGGGACAAGGCCAGACGTATCTCACACTGCAGTCTCAGCTGGGGGCAGACGTTGTAAACGCGTCATCCCAATATAGTATCGAAATGTATGTGAGAGTCGGAGTGAAAGCCTTTCTGCAAGGACACCCGGCGCGGTACTCGAGAAGACTTGAAGTCCAGCAATTCATTGGGAACTACATCTGCCGGTATACTGTAGCCTAGGTGGCTCAGTTTTGAGCTTGCAGATACGCCACAACTGAGAAACGCACCTTGTCAGAAGCTATCCCTGATTGTCCTTGTGGAGATACCACCACTAGCGCTTCCACCAACACATCAAACGCCTTTCGGACACCTAGCACGCAATAACGAGTTCAAACTGACCATGGTCGATAGCTTAACGCGACAGACACGGCTTCTCTAGGCGAACGATCGTGTATGATCGCCGAGAAAATGTTACCTGGCGAACATGCCAATCAAGCTCATGTTCGAAGAACAACGAGCACGTCACATTTTGAGTGCTCAAACGTTCAAGATCCGCACCATACGATCGAGAAACGCGGGCGGGCGAGCCTATCAGCTCATGGACTGGAGACATGATGAATGAAGGTAAGTAGTACGGACTTACGGCAGGTCGATAGCAGCGCTGGCGATGATTCCGCGTCTGGAGGGTAGCTTCTATCAACGCCACTGCCGAGGTACAATGATATGGTGCTCACCACTTTTAGTGCAGCATTAGCTCAAGCTCATATTTGGCTCATGCGCTAAGTCACTTAAACATGCACCATTTCAGGGGAGCACAGTCAGCCAGCCCACAAGCTCATATTCTCCGGCGAAAAACATCTGGCGGCGACGGTGCCCCTAAGTGCTTGTGCATCTTCAATGAACCGACGTACTCACTGTGTAAATTCCAGGTCCTGTGACGATAGCATGCAGAATCTTTGGTGCACAGTCGTGAGGATGATTACATTCGACAGCGGCGCTGACAGAGATACTACAACCATATTACAGTGTAACAATACAGCAATCTAGGAGCAATACAGCTAATCAGTCAAAATGCACAAAAGTGTCCGTCACACACTGCACTGCCCGTTCCATTCACACAACCTCCACGAAGTTCGCGGGGAAGATGCCCTCCCGCCCATCGAGCTTCCCCGTCCACCACGTATTCACATCGACGCTTTTCTTCGTCACCGTGATCACCTGTCCCTTGGAGAACGACAGATCGCCAGGCTGGGACCAAGACCAGTCAGATACGCACTACCCGCGCCGGAGCTCCGACGACTCACCTGCACCGCATTGAAATTGTACAGGGCAATAGCGCGGGCGACGCCCTCGTGTGGTTGAAGCGGCCGTGTGAGCTCGACCTTGGGCGTAAGCTTCGGCGGCGCGAGGGTGGAGCTGATCTTCGCAGGGGGCTTCCCGCCGTAGCTCAGGTCGTCCAGGTCGTCGCGTGACCCGAACGGATCGCGCTGGGAGTGTGACTCGCCGCCCGAGAGCGAGGACGGCGCATACGCGCTGTACGCACGCCGGTGGCTCGTCGTATCGCCGCCGTTGGGACGTGAAGTGCTGAACGGGTTCCTCTCGCGTGGGTCATCATCGTCGTCCAATGTCCGCGTCGGAGTCTTGCCGGATAGACTTAGGGTTGGATGCCGTCGAAGCTGTTCATCCGTTGCATAATCCGATTCGAATCTCGTATCGAAGTAACCCGTCGTCGGCTTGGGCACACGGTTCAGTCGCGGGGACGGAGATTCCTCCTCCCAGGCGCGCCGCCCCACCGGCGAACTGCTCTGCGCCCCCAGGTCCGATGGCCCCGGCGCACGACTCGGATCGTGGAAGTCGTTCTCGAAGTAGGCGCCAGACGTCTTGCGCTTTCCCCAGCTCGCTGGTGGGAACCCGAAGCTGCTGTTCCGTGAGCGGCTCATCTTTGCACTTGGCCGTGAGCCCACGCCGAACTCTGTTTGAGGCGAGCTCGCGCCGGATAGCGCGTCTGGACCGAGGTCGAGCGGGGTTGGGTGCTCATTACGCGGGCTCTGGATGCCTTCGAACGCATACGGGGTTTCGTGTTGAGAGCGGAATTCCTCGATCCATGGCCTGCCGCCAGGCATGCCAGTGCACGCCTCGAGCGTCCGAACGAGTGGCATTGCCCATTCTGGGGGAGGAATCGCGCCGCTGAGCAGTGACTTCGCCGAAACATTCGAGTGGTATGCCTGTGCATTCGCATCTTGACGCTCAACGATGACCGAACCCTCGATCGAGACGCCACCGAATAGACCCCTTGTTTTTGAGTAGCTGTACCTGTAGTGGATGTCAGATATGCATCATACAGTGAGATGAATGCACTTACATCGCGGCCATCTTCCCACTGGAATTCACGGATCCGATCGCTTCGCCATTCCGCCCCAGCGGACCCACTGCGATGCTCATGTTACCGCCTAACGTGAGCGATCCGGCAGACATGAATGACCGCTAGAGACATCCGTTAGCAAGGAGTTGAAGATGCGGCTGTCTCACATGGCAGAATTAATAGTATCATATCTGGAGAACACGCGTTTCAACGTATGCCCGGTGCAGGAGCACAATGGAACGAGCGCAACGCGTGTTTGCCTGGCCACGCAGTTGGATTCCGTAAGTGAGACGAATGAGCCTCCGTCTCGTGGAATTTCTCTGCGAAGCCGCGTCTGGATAAGGCTGAGAAGCTTCACAAGGCCGCAGCATAGCGCTCCAGAGCTCGAACTTCCAAAGCCACTGCTAGGCTATATACTAGGGGCATACAAGGCTTGTCACGCGCCGCCTTCATTTCGCTGGACTCGCGTGCGTAGACTTCGGACAGCCTTCGGCGCGGCGCCTCGCAGAATGGAAAAGGCCGAAATGACAATGACTCGAGCAGCGCGGCCAAGGAAGCTTGATCCGCGAACGAACCGGAGTGAGGACCATAGCGTAAACTTCGACTTACCACTGCCTATGGCACTGGTTAGGGTGTCCGCAGCGCAACGCAGTAGGCATGAGCACTCACACCTCGGGAGTTAAGCACGACCAGGAAGTCTGTCATCTCCGCGCCCGCCTGCCCTCCAACACCCAGACCAGCGGAGCCTATCGCACTAGGCGCTGACCATGCTGCGGAGAACGGTGAGCGTGCGAGTGAGATGGTACGACCACGGCGACTCACATCCGTCCTCAAGTCTCGCGATGACAACGCCTGACCCTGCGCGGGCGGAGAACAGGAAACCAGCCTTGAAAATAGTGAAGATGGCGAATCCTTTTGCGTGCTGGAGCACACTCCTCGGAATAACCTAAAGCTTGCTCAATTCAGCGCTGCCTTGTCTTTGCGCTAAAGACGACGCACCCCATCGAGTCCATTATTTCCGCTATCAACGAACGACTTGACTGCGAACACGCATGGTTTAGCATGGCACACATGACGAGGGTATAGGCACGTACATATCTTCGCTGCCTTGGCGCATTCCTTCGGGAGAGGTTGAGGTAACGGCGTGTTCAACTTCATGGTGGTACGAGTGAAAGGAGTAATTTGTCTTTTAGTCAATCTCGGGGTAATAAGCAGAGTGGCATTCCATCCAGAACCATAGTCACATGCGACGGAAACGGATGTTCGGGAGAGGAGTAAGTAGGACGCGGATTGCATCAGGCTTCACAGCCACCGCTGCGCCACTCGGCCGAGGCCATCTCCGTCTCCGTCACAATCTCGCCCCCCGCGCTGCGGTCGGCGGGCATCTGCCGAACGGCGGAGTCCAGTGCTCTTGACTCCGACAGTGTCAACCAGCTGCACGCGCGCCACCAACGCTTTCTTCCTGCGCCGACACCTTATCACCTCTTTCCACATCCTGCTCACCGGGAAGGGGCCATTTGTCGATTGGCGCAGATGGACGGCTCCGCCTTCGCTAGCAGCTCTAGGTTCGCTCTGCCGAATGCAATGATGGACTTCTAGATAGTAGTGAGAGCTACATTCAATGAAAATTTGTCTGTTGATGTCGTTTTTAACCCATACATCCCGTCTCCGTCGTGTTATTGGCTGGCTGAGAGGTGTTGACGAAGCGGCGCTGTCGACAGACAGGCCTGATACAGGTACACACCGCGTCGTCTCGCGGACAAGGTGCGTTGTTCTCCACCTACATTGTTCAGGGTCAAGCCATGATGATTGACTCTGATCAACCAAGGCTCTGTGGGACGGCTACAATTGTGCATTAGCTGTACTCCTTGAGACAGCAAGTTGGGATAGCTTGTGTAGACAATCATGCTCGAAGATGGTGCAGAACGAGTAGAAACTGTACGGGAGTACTGTAATAAGTGTGAGAGGCAACTGACCGCAATGAAGAACATGACCTAGCACAATCTAACAGGTCCCTGAACCGCGCGCATTATGGCATAGACAGGTATAGAGATTCCCAGAGATACGGAGAGCAGCGGCTGCTATCGCGGGCGATCCTTGGATCTGGAGCCTCGAGTCAGCCTGCAGTATATATACATATACCCTGCAAAAAGTGCGACCAGTTGGCCACTTTCCTCGCTCCCCAGCACAACCCCAGCAGAGTATGTCGTCGGACACTGATGCGAACAAGAATGTGGTTGTCCTGGGCGCAGGTATGTACTCTTCAAAGAGCCTGTTCTCTTCGGTGTCAGCTCTGATAGCATTGTAGGAGTCGTCGGTCTTACCACCGCCGTCATGATCCAAGAGAAGGGCCGCTATGACGTGACCATAATAGCAGAACGGTTTCCTACCGATCCCAAGTCCATCGACTATTGCAGTGCATGGGCCGTAAGCCCGGTATTACTCTTGTATTCGAGTACTTCCCGCTCACTCGTGCGCGACAGGGCGGCCATCATGTCAGCTTTGCTAATGGCGACGAAAGGATGCAGAGTACGAGTATATGCGCGATGAGTTCACTTGATGCTGATAGGCTTTACCCAGAAATCGACTCGGCAACATTTGACAAGATGTGGGAGCTCTCAGAGCCCGGTGCGGACGCTGAACATTGCTTCCTACGCATAAAGGAAACTCAGTTCTTTTACGACGGCCGAGATGGCCACTACAATTGGTATCCTGATGTACGTCCCTGCCTCGCCCCGAATGCAGCACTTCTTAATTCATGTCGGTCTAGTACGAGGTCCTGCCGCAGGGCTCCCTCGTCGGCGTACCTGGCGCTGAGACTGGCTGCACGTTCAAGACACTCACCTTCGACGCACCGAAGTACGTCGCGTACTTACTGGCACGTTTCCTCTCCCGCGGAGGCACCATCGTCCGCGGCAGGGTGTCGCATGTCAGCCAGATTGCGGAAGGCGGAGTGGACTTGTTCTCGCGAGGTGTAGCATCGACGAGGCCGGTCGATGCGATCGTCGTCTGCACGGGCCTGGGAGCATCCACGCTCGGAGGAGTTGAAGACAAAGCTGTGTACCCTGTCCGAGGGCAGGTCTTGCTGATTAAAGCCCCCTGGATACGTTTCGGGAAGACCGCGAGTCACAATGAAGACGGCCTCTGGACATACGTGATCCCGAGGCGGAATGGCGAGGTAAGACGCGCCCACATCAAATGTAGAATTGACCAATCATGGACTGATGTCGTCGTCTCTCCAGGTGATCATTGGAGGAACGAAGCTAGAGAATGACTGGTAAGGCCTCTCATTGTTGGGTTCGCATGGCTACGCACATATCGCAGGTACCCGGCTGGGCGCCCGGACACTACTGAAGACATCTTGCAACGCTGTCTGGCCTTCTGTCCTGAGCTTGCACTACCCGAGATCCGCGCTCAGCGCGCACCGACCGTGGACGATCTCCGCGCGCAGATTCTTGAGGTTGGGGTCGGGCTCAGACCGGCTCGTAAGGGAGGCCTACGCTTGGAAACGGAGTGGTTGAACACTCCTAAACCCGACGTCAAGATACCTTTGGTCTTCAACTACGGGTGAGCTTGTTTCTAAAACCACATCTGCGCTGTTGAGTCTCAAGTATATGCCGCCTTATAGCCACAGCGGATCCGGCTTCCAATCGTCGTGGGGGTCAGCGGCGATTGCAGTGGAGTTGATGGAGGATACTTGGCAGTCAGCATGAACTGAGTTGGCTATGTACGACCATTATTATATTCATATCAGTACTTGACCCAAATTCGACCTGGAAGGCATGTGCATGTACTATAACCAACCTCGAATACGAGGCCGTTTGATAGCTCGACGACCATGCTTAATATTGACATCGACGGCGGGCGCCGATATGCCGGTACGCGCTGTTCCGCGCGATCCGCGATCACACGTACCACACCAGCGACGGGTCGATCCACGATGTAACTTATTATAATTACACCAGAATTACACCGCTTACTACTCACGCCCTCTGAGTCTCACCACCGCGCGTATGCAGAGATCATTCTAGTCACTTCTGTTGACCCGAGTAGTAGCACATTGCAGTCATGAGAACACTAATGGTGTCATCATCTCACGCACGCAGCTGACTCCTGGAACATAGCTATAAGCTACCAGAAGCTTGAAAGCTAGAAGCCTCCTTATCTCTCGTCCTCCTTTATATGGTCTCGCCCCCTTGCCTCCATACTTATAAGTATGTTCGACATCGATATGCGCGATGCCGAACTTTGCGCCGGTGACTGGGGGCAACAATGATAAGTCTGGGAGTCGCCGTCGACCGCTGACACGCCTCTTCCTCCCGACCCCGCTACCATGAAGACCAAGGAAGTCGTGGTTATAGGTGCTGGTACGTGCATGTCGTATGTTCATGTACTGGCTCAGGATGAACCATGCGCGTTCTTCTAGGTGTCGTCGGTCTGACGACGGCAATTACGATCCAGGAGCAGGGAGGCTACAACGTGACGATCGTCGCTGAAACGTGGCCCAGCGACCCGAAGACGGTGAAGTATACGAGCTTCTGGGCGGTACGTGGATTTTGCACTCGAAGTAGCCCCATTTGACTGGTGACGGCAGGGTGCGTCCCATGGCGTATACAGAGGTCCCGATGAGAACTTGAGAAGTGCGTCACTCAGTTGCTTATCTATTCCCTATGGCTGAATGTGCCGCTCCGTTGCAGAGGTTCGCCAGGACACCTTCAAGGTGATGTGGGAACTGTCAGCACCAGGAGGCCCAGCGGAAGCCTGCTTCCATCGCACAACGGAACACGCCTTTTATTATGACGGCTTAGGCCAATATGCAGACGATATGCCGAACGTACGTCCCCACTCAACCTCTTCAGTCCGTCATGACTGAGTCCCGTCCAGCTCAAGCGTATCCCGGAATCCGAACTGCGCCTCGGGGCCAAGGCCGGCTACAGCTTCAGCTCCTACGTGATCGACCCGCCCGTGTATCTCAACTACCTCCTCTCGCGCTTCATCGCGCGTGGCGGGCACATCGTCCGGGGGACGGTGCAGCACATCAGCCAGGTCATTGAGGGCGGCACCGGCATATGGGTGAACGGCAAGCCGTCGGCGGCCCCGGACGCGCTCGTTGTATGCAATGGCTTGGGCGCGAAGACACTAGGTGGGGTGGAGGACGCAGAGGTGTATCCGAACAGGGGCCAGAATGTCATTGTGCATGCGCCCTGGGTCAGAGACGCGATGAGCCTGAGCTCGCCTGAGCCGACGATCGATACCTATGTCTTCCCGCGACGGAATGGTGACGTGAGTAGTCTCTATCCGACAATTTCTTAAGCTGACCGGGGAATCGTGTAGGTCGTTCTTGGTACTGTGCGCGTGCCTCATGACTGGTGCGTTTGACAGTGCAGGATATGATTGGCGAAAATGGCCGTTGACTCCATCGACGCTCTCCAGGTACCCAGTCGCCCGCCCCGAAACGACCACGCAGATTCTCGAGCGCTGCCTAGCACTCTGCCCCGAACTCGCCCCGCCCGAGATCCGCGCACAGCGGGCACCTACCATCGACGACCTCCGTCCACTCATTGTGGAGGAGACGTGTGGCTTGCGACCAATGCATGTCGGCGGCATCAGGATGGAGGTGAACTGGATTGATGGACGGGAGCGCGAGAGCAAGATCCCCATGCTCCTCAACTATGGATACGGTCCGAGCGGCTACGAGCCCAGCTGGGGAAGCGCGAAAGCGGCTTTGGAGATGTTGGAGGGAGCGTTGGCTAATGTGGTGGCATGATATTGAATCTCTGGATCTTGGTATTGCGTCAACAATGATGGGTCAAAAACAGTCAGAGAAGTCTCGGGCGAACGCAGTGACGAGGTAGGCGGATCAGGACACATCACGACGCCAGCGCGAACCACGACTTCTGCAGATGACCGTCTATCCCAAAATCTGCGCGACCGATGAAGCGATGACCTGATAGAAACGCGGGCAACCACAGCGCGTCATCCTCCCACATCTCGTCGTACGGGATGAAGCGCAGCCCAGACGCATCGTCTACTTGTTTGGGGTTCTGGATGACGTCTTTATGTCGGGCTTCCGTGTCCGGGATGGCGAACCATTCCGGTCGCATCTCTTCTGACCTATCCCGTGCCGATGCCATTGTGAGCAAGAAGATTGTAAGACATCGCTGCCATCGCTCACTCAGTAACCGTGCCTTCGAACTTCTCAGCGTAGTAGACTTCGATATGAGCAGCCTCGGTGATCTCGGGGCTCATGAACAGCAACGTGGCCCTGTGTTCTAGCTGAGCTGTTATTCCCGCTTCCTCCTGCGAAGTGCGTAACAGCATAAGCATGGAGTTCTGAGTGGTCAAGCAGACGAACAGAGACGTCCCTCGAGCTCCCGCGCTGCTGCCTCGGCGGGCGTTTCACCCTTGTCAACCTTGCCTCCGAAGCCATTGTACCTTCAACATGGGCCTTGGTGATGAGTTGTTGATGGGCTACGAGTGAAAGGACCTACAATCCCTTTCCAAAACCTCTCTTCTTGTAGCCAAGGAGCAGCTGTCGGGGAGACGCGGATCGCATGCAACATGAGAACGACCAGTGACGATCAAACATTCAATATCCGCTGTCTGCATGGGCCGATCATGTAGTATTGCACTGACCTTACCGTCTTGCCTCACGAATGCGTTCGTGTACAGCTTCGCCTTAGCAACTGGTAACCAATCCATGGAGCCCGACTGGCACAGCAAAGAAAGCGCTTCCAGGCCATCATGTTGCAGTCCGGGTGGTATCTTTGCTGGATTCGCAGACATGCTGATACAGTAGATGACAAGCAATGGACTGTTGTGAGTCGCCCGCGACAGTGACGACGCTAGATCTGGCGCGGCCGGCGCGTGCCAGCAGCCACCGTTGTGGCCACACAGATCGGAGATCCAGCGTCCCACGTTCAAGTTCAACTCAACCCAAACTCAACCCTCTTCGGAGTCTCGCGCCATCTCCACCAACTACCACGTCCTCACTCCTGACCTACGACGTCCGAGAACTCCGCAACACAGACTACGAGAGAGATCAATGGTGTGGAAGGCTGAGTATGCCGCAGAGCTGTGGCCATATATCTCCCAATTTCCTTTCGACGAGTTTATGGAGAGATTCATGCCGGGTCCCGACCTCCCTGTGGCGTTGACGCGTGATGCCGTCGACACGCTCGAGGCCAAAGCGAAGGAAAGGAAGTCCTGGTGGTTAGTATGCCAGAAAATTGTACGTGTTGCACCTGTACGAGATCCGTCATTATTGCTCATGCGTATTAGTGCGAAATGGCCCAGCCTATCTTTGACAACTGCCCGGAAGGCGAGAGACTAGTCGCGAAGCATACTGGCAATTTTCGTGACAACACGGACGACGAAGATCCCAGTGGCTACCTCAAAGTCGACGTTTCTGTCTACCTCGCACACGAGGACGCCGTGAATGATTGCACAGACCCTGACGACGATGACTCCGACTCATACACGGACAACACGGACTGGGGTGCATATGAAGAAGACATACCCGTACTGGATACACCTGAAGCGCGTACCCGCTGGGCGTGGATATCGCTCGCAATCATAGTCAAAATGCGCCACAAAGCCTCGCCATTCGAGTTTATGAACGACATGACCGAGTCATTCCTTCGTTACAACCCACGCGGAAATGGTAAGGCCGATCGCTCTCTCGGATACCTCGCCGAGTGTGTCTCCAAGGTTTTCCGAAGGCAACATCGCCTCCATTGCTTCACGATATACGTCTGCAAAGGCAAGGCGCGCGTGGTGCGCTGGGATAGGGCGGGCGCTGTTGTCTCGACGCCAATCGACTTCGTAGAGGACCCACGGCCGCTACAAATGGTCTTCTGGAGGTACGCGTGCATGACACAGGTTCAACGCGGATTCGACCCAACTGTGTCTCTTGCTACAAAAGCGGAGATCGACGCGATGCGGGCCTCTCAAGCGCCGAATGAGTACCGTTACCCGCTAGTCCGTGGATAAAGGTCTCGCGCCACACGCCTCAGCCACCGTGACCCTATCCCTGGCTCGCGGACCACGCGGCGATGCTAGTTGTTTTTGCAGGCGCACTTTCGGCTCCAGCACACAGATGGGCTGTCGTTTTCAAGACCGCTGACCATTTGTTCAACGTCGACCCGACCCGAGAAAGCGAGTGGGAGTACTGGGAGGGAGAGCCGGACTACGAATGCATCGATTCAAGTCAGTCTTCTGATTCAGATGGCCTGGCAAGTGAGGACGATAATGAAGCATGACGCTGAGCGTTACTGGAGCTGCGCGCAGGAGGGAAGTATGTTGACGGTGAAGATGAGCAACCTCGATACTGCAGAGGTGCGTTATCGAGGACAGCGGATAGGGGTAGCATAGCTTGGCAAACATTGTCAATGCTATTTGGTTGTACTACGTGTGAAGTCAATTGAGCGGTCGAGGCTATCCATGCACATAATACCTATTGCTGAGTGCTGGCCGGATCAGGCCGGTTCATGAAAGGACATCCGGCCTCCTGTTCGTTGTATTCGTACGTCTCCCGTAGGCAGACCACTGGGATGACCTTCCTGAGGGGGGAGGGCGGTCAAATAAGGGTAGCGTATCAAGACAGAGCCTCACCATGTACCGCTAGAATAGACTTGTGTGATGTAGCCTTCTCTCCATCTCCCGAGCCTCGCCGCCAAAGCCTCCGGTGGCATATTCAGCCCCCGGACTCTAACATCGGCAGGCTCCTCCTACAGTGACTGTGCGATGATATGTCCCAGGCTCGAACAATATCCGGGTCTGAGAGTTAAAGGGGATATAGGCTCGATACTTAACGCGAGTCCGAGTCTCACACTGAGTCACTAAGTATACTCAAGTAGTGTCACCATGGCAGCGTGCCCACACATGAGCCGCCGGCAGTGGTGCAGCCACATCAATCGGAGATCTGACGCGCGCAGAGAGGATCGAACACGGCCGCGTTTTGTTCTCGTCACATTGCGCTCATGCAGGTCTCCCAACCCGCCATCTGTATACAATACCCCCGCACAAGCTAAATCTACCGACACACTCATCAATTCCGTCCACCGGAAGGACAGTGCGGCCTGCAGTCCGCCAAAGAAATGTTGTCTAAACTTTGCGAGTTGGACTTCGATGAGTTCCTGGAGCGATTTATGCCGGGTCCAGATATGCCACCCGAGTTGGTGGTCGAGGTGCCTGTTGTGAACAGTGTGGTACTCTTGGGGACGAACGAATCCGACATCTGTGACGAACTGGTGCGTATGACTGTTGTGTTCACTAGCTTGGCTCTCACGCCGTGCCTACGAGCAGTGCAAGGTTGCCCAACCCGTTTTTGATCGTTTCCCTCATGGAGACAAACTGGTGGCAAAGAACATGAACCACAATCCTGATGACAGCGATTGCGATGACTATGGCGAGCAGTTGAAGGTCGACGTTTCATTCTACCCAGTTGACGACGATGCGAAGTGTGACTACACATGCCCTGGGTTGAAACGCTCGCGTGCGGCCACGCGCTGGGCCTGGATATCATTGCTCGTGGAGATCAAGACGACTCACAAGTACTGTGCATTCGAGTTCGAGGAAAAGAAACTCGAGAAGAAGGACAACGGACGCAATGCCGAACATCGTGATGGCCTTCAGGAATCTGCTGCGGTAGACAAGGACCAGGGGCGCGCTGCCGACGACGGTGGCCCGCCGACGCCGAAGCCTTTTGTTCGTACTGGCGAAGCGGCAGAAAGAGCGCTCGGGCGGATGGGCAAGTACATCGCGAAGCTGTTCAGGCGGCAGCACCGGCTGCACATCTCCACCCTATATGTCTTCAAGGGACAGGTTCGTGTTCTTCGCTCGGACCGAGCCGGTACTATCGTCTCGACGCCAGTCAACTTCCAGGCGGATCCATCGTTGCTGCACAAGGTCCTGTGGCGATATGCTTGCATGAATCAAGTAGAGCGTGGCTTCGATCCGACAGTGACCAGGGCGACGGTCGACGAGATAGAAGCCATGAGATCCTGTCCAGCGATGAACAATGCGGCCGGGGCCTACCGCGACGCCGCTCTGGATCAGCCCGGATGGCCAGTCTACAAGATAACGATGCGACACGGAGACTTGATCGACCAGCAGAGCATGCAACCGATCGCTGATGAATTCTACGAACCCGAAAAACTGAGCATACCGGAGGATCGTGTGGGGACTTCGGACGAGGTGTGCTTCATCGTCGGTAAGCGTCGTTCTGCCACGAATTCCCCGGCCGGGCGAGGTATGAGAGGCTACATCGCCTACGACGTGTCGCGTCGACGGCTGGTCTTTTTGAAAGACCACTGGCGACCGTGTATCAAGAGCTCGCTGTTCGAGGGAGAGGTGTTGCAGTCGATGAGAAGCACCGGTGTGCAATACGTTCCAACGCCTCTGGCTGCCGGGATCGTGCAGGATGAGATGGGCGTCCAGGAGACGTGTACACAGGATTTCTTGCCGGTGGATGAGAGGACGGGGTGTTATGCGCCGAGGCAAGAGCACTATCGTCTCGTCGTGAAGGAGATTGGTGAACCACTTGAAGAACACAAAAGTCCATACGAACTCGTCAAGACGATCTGGCATGCACTCTACGGTACGTTTGGTATTTTATTGATAACACAGTACTGACTCCGGCATCACTTGTGCAGGGCACAGACAGGCATGGGAGCTGAATGAACTTCTTCATAGAGACATCAGTGCCGGCAACATTCTCATCTTCCGATACATCGACAAGAACGGTGGAAAGCAGTCTATAGGCATCCTCATTGACTGGGACCTATGCAAGGATAAGAAGTATCTTGAGTCGGTGTTACGTCCATCTCGCGCGGTATGTCGCGTCGAAAATGAGGTTGAAGATCCAATGTTGACTACGAGTCTTAGGGTACATGGCAGTTCATGTCTGCCCGGCTACTCCGCAACCCGGGGGAGAAACACGAGATCGCCGATGATCTAGAATCATCCATTCATGTTCTCCATTGGATGCTATTCCGCTTCGTCGAGCACAGCTTGACGGACTCACCGGATCTTCTCTTGTCGCGTATACTGAGCGTATACGAGGAGAAGGGTGTTGCAAAGGGTGACGAGAGAAAAAGTGACCTCGGTGGAGCGACCAAGCGAACTGTATTGCGCAGCGGGAATCCGATCATCGAATTGAAGAATCCAAACACTTCACTGGGCAGACTTCTCCAACGCCTCGCTACACTTTGCCAACAACACTACTACGCGGTTGAGCCTGTCATCAGCTCCAAGTCCAAGTCGAGCAGTGCCCTGGCAGGAGCCCGACCGGTTTCCCATGAAGCACTGCCCAACTTGAGGAACCGTTTCAACAACGACATTGTGCGAAATAGGACGCTGGCGAAACCTGAAGTCGATGCATACGAAGCGCTTTCGAATCACGTGGAGGTGTTCGGAGCTTTGTGGGATGCTCTCTGCGAGCCATCGGAGGAGTGGGCGAAAGTCACTCGAACCGACGATCAATTCAAGGAGCCTGAGTTCGAGTGTTCCGCCGTTACTCAGCGCAGCGCAGCGCAGTCCAGCCAGCGGTCGTCGGCTTCGAAGCGGTCTCTCGAGGGAAAATCGGTCGACTCGGAACGACCTGGGCCCGCCAAACGAGCGAGGAGTACGACGACGGACCTTCAGTCGTTGCAGGAAATACGGGAGGAGTAATGATGTCTTGCTGTGTTTGTTGCGTTTCGCACTTTCCCTGTATTTCACTGAGGACTGCATCGTGTGCAGACACTCCGGACGAGTGTGTCTGCGTAGATTTCCTTATCGTTCTTGTTTGTAATATGCTCATACGCTGTTCTCTCCTGCCAATCAATCATCACTTGTTACTGCTCCTCTACAATCGCGCTGTAGGCTTCGTGGGTGCATGACGACGACGTTTGACGCACCAGGTCATCGAATTCACATCGCCGTCCGAGGCAGGCGCCGCTATACTCGCCACAGCGCACGATCTGCACCCTCTGCAGACCTCGAGAGGCTCTCATTTGCGCACTATTCTGAGTCTTTATCTCGTGCAATCCAGGCTCAGAGGCACCGTCTCTGAACCTTTTCTAGCTGGATAATACGGAGCTGGACATATCGCTGCAGCTGGTTCAAAAGCGCGTTGATGGTCTGAGTCTTGAGACGCTACCGTCTACTAGGATGATGATTCCTTTGCAACATCCAGCACAGTGCACTTGGCGGAGAGTGAACGTATGTATGGCCTGGTTCATCACAACGGTGTGTGGACCCCACCGCCAACGAGCATGCACAACGAGTACGTCCTCTGGCCCATGAGTAAAAATGCATTACACGCCCAGAGACCCAATTTGTACAGTGAGATGGTACTAGGAGATCGGTTTGGGGTTAGCAGGGGACACACTGCTTTCCGGATAGAAGAAAAAGTCCTCCACGCTCCATTGTGGAACCAGGTCGGTACTGTAAGGGTCAGTGTCTCCCGTGAGGAAACGATCTATTGATGCCCAGGCAATCATGGCAGCATTATCTGAGGGCATCTCAGCTTCGGCGACTTGCGCGACAGTGAGCAGACTCACCAGTGCACATCTCGACCGGAGGATAGATCAGCTCGATCGGATAGTACTCATCCTGCTCCTCCAAAAACTCGGACAACCTGCATGATCGTCAGTTTAGGGATTGTCAGGAAGCTGGGTACAGAATGTACTCGCCTTTGCCGCAGGTACATGTTGCAGGCAACACCACCACTGACGACCAGATGCCTGATGGGTACGCGGTTCTGTTTGCACGCCCGCAAAGCCAACTTGAGCTTGTCCTCGAGCTGACGCACAGTCGCCTTTTGGAACGCGTACGCTGTAGCGTATCTGGTGCACTCATCGATATTTCCTTCGCGCTCACGCAAGAACATTTCCGTAGCCGAGTGGACACCCGCGAAGGAGAACTCCAGGCGGCGGTGCATGGGGGTCGAGTAAAGTGGGATCTCGTAGCCTTTCTCTATGTCGAATCCCTCAGGTGGCCCTTTCTTGACGTATTCCTCGAGCGACGCGCCTAACCCACGCTCGCCCCACGGCAGCTTGAGTAATCGGGCGACCTTGTCGATGGCGCGTCCTATAGCCTCGTCTGTTGTTGTTGCGAGGATCTTAAAGTCCCGTGGAGACTCCACAAGAAGCAGAAGCGTGTGCCCACCGGTGACGAGCAGGCTGAGGAAGGGAAACGTCGGGAGCATGTCAGCGGGCTCGGTCAGGAACGGTGTCAGGGCGTGGGCTTGCTGGCAATTAAGATCTGCATCAGAGTAGAGCGAATGGAGCGTAAGGAGCGTACCATATGATTCACACCGACCAATGGCTTCTTGAGGGAGGCAGCCAGTGACTTCACTGCATTGGACCCTACGGCCAGACAGCCTGTCATACCGGGTCCGCGGGTGTAGGCAATGCCGTCCACGTCTTGGACAGACATGCCCGCGTCGTCTAACGCCTTCTGCACTGCACCTGGCTTGGATTCAGGTCGCGCCAGGTCTGTAGGTCGAGGAACTGAGAGACTCACCAGGTTCCGCTGATGTGCCTCTATGGCCACCAGCGTGTGTATGCCTCCGGTTGGCGCATGACTGTACGGACCACGTCAGTGACCATCAGCACCAAGAGACGCAGCGACTAACTATTCATCCTGCCGAATGACTACGTTTGAAAGAATTCGGCGGTCCGAAGTGACGACTGCCGCACAGCTGTCGTCCGCAGAGGTTTCCACACCCAGTACAGTGAACACCTTCTGCGGTCTTTGAGGGTAAGTCGGTATCGACTTAACAGCATTCTTGACGGCCCTGGCTGCTCCAGATTTGATCCCGAACATCCGGGCAAAGGCAAGAGATTCTTAGAGAAGAGTGGAAGTGAGACTCGATGCTCCTCAGCCACCGCAGGCCTCTGAATACTTACATACTGCACGGAAAAATTCGGACTTCCTACAAAGGAAGTCCTTTACTAACAACACTGACTTATTCCAATTGCCCATACTTAGTATCCACCAGCTTCGTCGGGACCGCGATTCCAACGCGATTCTGCTTCTCGCGTCGTCGCTTTCGTCCGCTTCGTCGTGCCGCGCATTGGCCGCGCACAATCTGAAAGTTTCTGGCATTCACCGGTGACCGCGGCGCTCAGCCTCTACGCTGGCCGTCTACATACCTTGTGACCGTGGGGCGCGCTCTCCAAACTCGGACATGGCATTGGCAAGGCGACATGGTCGGCGACCAATAACTTCAAGTATATAGACTCGGAGTGCGCCCGTACAGGCTCGTGACGCTCGTCTGCCTCCGTCAAGACCTTCACAGCCAACACCGTCCACGAGCAGAATACCCTGGTCATCGCCCGGGGCCGCAGTACGTCAAAGAGATGCACCCTAAAATCAGCGAGATTGCCTTTGATGACTTTCTGGAGCGGTTCATGCCCGGTCCGGATATGCCAGCTAAGTGGGCGAAGGAGATCCCTGGTATGAGTACTACGGTGCTAATGGAGACAAAAGAGACCAATATCTGTGATGAACTGGTGCGTACAGCTGTCATGTGTACCATGCTGTTTCTAATGACGTGCCTACGAGTAGTGCAAGGTCGCACAGCCAATCTTCGATCATTGTCCTCACGGAGACAAGTTGGCGGCAAAGAACACGAGCCACACTCCTGACGACAGCCATTGTGAAGACTATAGCGAGAAGTTGAAGGTTGATGTTTCATTCTACCCCGTAGACGACGACGCGAAGGGTGACTACACCCGCCCCGAGTTGACAGGCTCGCATGCGGCCACTCGCTGGGCGTGGATCTCATTGCTGGTGGAGGTCAAGACAGCTCAAAAGCACTGCGCATTCGACTTTGAGGATGAGAAAGTCGAGAAGAAGGATGTCGGACGCAAGAAGGCGGTGGACGGAGGCGAGGATGGCGGCGGCGATGCTGAACACCGTGATGGCCCTCAGGAATCTGCTGCGGTAGGTAGGGGCCAGGGGCACGCTACAGACGACGGTGACCCGCCGACCCCGAGGCCTTTTGTTCGTACTGGCGAAGCGGCAGAAAGAGCACTCGGGTGCATGGGCAAGTACATCGCGAAGCTGCTCAGGCGGCAGCACCGGCTGCACATCTTCACCCTCTATGTCTTCAAGGGACAGGTTCGTGTTCTTCGCTCGGACCGAGCCGGTACTATCGTCTCGACGCCGGTCAACTTCGAGGCGGATCCATCGTTGCTGCACAAGGTCCTGTGGCGATATGCTTGCATGAATCAAGTAGAGCGTGGCTTCGATCCGACAGTGACCAGGGCGACGGTCGAGGAGATAGAAGCCATGAGATCCTGTCCAGCGATGAACAATGCGGCCGGGGCCTACCGCGACGCCGCACTGGATCAGCCCGGATGGCCAGTCTACAAGATAACGATGCGACGCGGAGACTTGATCGACCAGCGGAGCATGCAACCGATCGCTGATGAATTCTACGAACCCGAAGAACTGAGCATACCGGAGGATCGTGTGGGGACTTCGGACGAGGTGTGCTTCATCGTCGGTAAGCATCGTTCTGCCACGAATTCCCCGGCCGGGCGAGGTATGAGAGGCTACATCGCCTACGACGTGTCGCGTCGACGGCTGGTCTTCTTGAAAGACTATTGGCGACCATGTATCAAGAGCTCACTGTTCGAGGGGGAGGTGTTGCATTCGCTGAGGAGTGTGGGAGTGCGATACGTCCCAACGCCTCTGGCTGCCGGGATCGTGCAGGATGAGATGGGCGTCCAGGAGACGTGTACACAGGATTTCTTGCCGGTGGATGAGAGGACGGGGTGTTATGCGCCGAGGCAAGAGCACTATCGTCTCGTCGTGAAGGAGATTGGTGAACCACTTGAAGAACACAAAAGTCCATACGAACTCGTCAAGGTGATATGGCATGCGCTCTACGGTATGTTTGTTGTCCTGTCGAATGTACGATACTGACTCTGTCATCATTTGTGCAGGGCACAGACAGGCATGGGAGCTGAAGGAACTTCTTCATAGAGACATCAGTGCCGGCAACATTCTCATCCTCCGCTACATCGACAAGAACGGTAAGATGCAGTCTATCGGCATCCTTATCGATTGGGACCTATGCAAGGATAAGAAGTATCTCGAGACGGTGTTACGTCCATCTCGCGCGGTATGTCGCGTCGAACATGTGGTTGAAGATTCAGTGTTGACTACGTCTCTTAGGGTACATGGCAGTTCATGTCTGCCCGGCTACTCCGCAATCCGGGGAAGAGACACGAGGTCGCGGATGATCTAGAATCATCCATTCATGTCCTCCACTGGATATTATTCCGCTTCGTCGAGCACAGCTTGACGGGTATTGCAAATATACTCAAATCGCGCATACTATGCGTTTACGAGGAGCAAGGTTTCCAGAAGGATGACCAATACAAGGCAGAGATCGGCGGCGCACAGAAGCTCGAGTCCATACGTAGCGGCAGACCAGCCATCGAAGTCGACCGGGGCACTCCACTGGGCAGACTTCTCCAACGCCTCGCTACACTTTGCCAACAACACTACTACGCGGTTGAGCCTGTCATCAGCTCCAAGTCCAAGTCGAGCAGTGCCCTGGCAGGAGCCCGACCGGTTTCCCATGAAGCACTGCCCAACTTGAGGAACCGTTTTAACAACGACATTGTGCGAAACAGGACGCTGGCAGCACCTAAAGTCGATGCCTACGAAGCGCTGTCGAATCACGTGGAGGTGTTCGGAGCTTTCTGGGATGCTCTCTGCGAGCCATTGGAGGAGTGGGCGAAAGTCACTCGAACCGACGATCAATTCGACGAGCCTGAGTTCCGGAGTTCTGACGTTTCTCAGTACAGCGACGCGTGCTCCAGCCAGCGGTCGTCGAGATCGAGGCGGTCGCTCGAAAGCGAATCGGTGGACACGGAGCGGGCTGGGCGTTTCAAACGAGCGAGGACTACGACCACGGGGCTTCAGTCATCGACAGAGGAATCTGTAGTCGCGCGCGACGAAGCTTAGGACTAGTGATATCTCGCTTCATGCTATGTACTCATGTGCTTGGTATCCTCGTTCTTACTGTGCCACGGCGTCCCGCTGTACTTATACACGTTTTTGTTATGCATATGTATCCCTCAATCTTAGAGAAGTTTCCGTATGACCTGGAGGGCGGCCGGATGATCGTATGGCTAACGAACAATATACGGAAGACAGGATCGCTGTTGACCAAGGTACCGAGTCACTACAACTTAACAACTTGACGTAGACCATGAACGCGCGAAAAATTATAAGGATTCCGTAGTGCAGATATTCGGGGGATGAGAACGCTTGCGAGGTACATATCTACGATTCGGTACGATAGGCGGCGCGGGTGTCAATGGTAGGCGGCGGCGGAGAGGCGATGTACTAAGTTACTACTACACGATACAAGTCAGGTGCGAGAGGTTGCGAGCAAGACAGCAAGAAAATGTCCAAAACTTTGAAAGCGACGTGAAAGACGATTCTCTTGGTATCACACGGAGTTGTGGTTTTGCGTAGTGTTCGGACAGTCGAGTCGGGACAGCGATCGCACTGCGGTCACCAACGATATGGGGATTTTCGGGGGCTGGAACGGATCACGCGAGGAGCACGTCTTGCGCTTGGAAGGCCTGTGTTGGTTGGCCGCAGGGTATCCTCAAGGTGAGCACGCCGTCTTCCATGCTCGTGCGCACATCGTGGGGCTGGCAGGCAAAGGTCTGAACACTGACAGCTGTCTACGATTGAGGTCGTACCACGCACCTGAGTCTGGGGAGGTATGCTGATGCTCTTGGCGAACTCTCCGACCTTGCGCTCTCGGATTGAGTGCCCTCGCTCCGTAGCGAGCGCGCTACGAGCGGTGCCGGACACGGTGAGCTGCTTGACGCGACTGAACGGGCAGGTTGCAATGGCGATGCGGACGTCGGTCTTCTTCACACCAGGAAGCTCAAACATGGCAACGAGGACATTGTCGACAGTGTCGAACTGGATGTCGGTGCAGACGTTGTAGCGGCGCAGTGCTCCCTGTGGACTCGTGCTTCGGACGGCGCGTGCAAGGAATAAGTGCATGGGTGAGCCCCGAGTCGGAGCGTACGCACCTGGCACCCGCACCGCCCGCTGTGCTCTGTCTCAATACGCGATCCCGCCACAAACTCACTGCGGGACAAGTCACAGACATGGATGCCGCGGCCATCGCGGACGACGCGAGCGTGCTCGCGCCTGCATGAGTCGGGCGCGTCTGCTGTAGCTGCTGCGCCTGCGCGTGCATCTGCGGGACCGAAGCCATCTCAGGCTCGCGGCCCTCCGAAACTGGGTGCAACCGCGCGACCGTCGCGGAGTCGGAGGGCGCGGAAGCCACCCTCGACGCACCTCTCCCGCCCGCCGCCGAGTGCGGGCGGCGATACGGGTGAGTGCTGTGCGGGGCACGCGAGTGCCGGGCAGGGCCGACACCGCTGCTCGGGCCTGCGCCGGGCGTAGAAGATGCACCGGGGCTCTCGCTCGCTCGAGACGTCGTGGAGATGTGCAATGGCGGCTTACTCGAAGCGCGCCGGCTACCTGACGTCCCGACGCTACGTTCATCACTCGCGGGTGCTGTCTGTTGCTGGCGGAACTCTTCCTGGGTGATATTGTCGAATCTATATTGGGCGGTGTACACCGGACGCTCTTGCAGCTGTATGGTGGTCGGCTGCTGGTACGTTGGTTGTGGTTGAGGCTGAGGTTGGAGCTGAGGCTGTAGCGGCGGCTGCTGGTGCTGTTGCTGCAGGAACTGTTCAAACTGGACTTGTTGTTCTTGCTCCTCGGGCGTCGAGTAATGGGTGACAAGCGGGGTCATGGGCTGCGGGGGCGTGTCATGCTCACTGGTCGCGATGTCCCAGGGAAAGACCTGGGGTGTAGACGGGGTCGAGTTGCTGTACCGGTAGTATGCCATTGGGTGGGCGGATAGCGACGCGGCGAGCGGGGGCGTCGGTATATATTACCACAGGCCCTGCAACGAGGCGTCGTGATGGGGCGCAAATGGTGCGGCACCGCCTGACTCGCTCGCTCGGGACGGTCCCGGGCGGCAGTCCATATCAGGCAACCGCGGCGGCGGGGCGCTGTTCGCCGTTGCCTTATATGGTATACGTCGGGGATACCCGTCCGCGCTGGCGGCCTAGTGCGGCCGGGAGAACGTGCAGCGCACACGTTTCTTCCCACCGCGCCATTGCCGCGCCATGAGTCCGCTCCTTATCGGCGATAGCACCAGGGTCCATCTGGAACAATGGCCATTCCGCTCATTGTGGCACGTGTGCGCGACACTGGGACGCCGCGATCCGCGATTACCAGCAAGGAAATACAGTAGTGGAAACGGTGGTCGCGGTCTGTGCGCACGAGTGGTATGCACTACTCAAGTGAACAACAGAGAGATAACTAAACGATCACAGAACGGAGTCGGAAGGTGGGGGTAAGGAGGATACACAGTCTAGGCCAGACTACACTTAATATCTATGCTCGAAGCTCGTACTTGAGTATCTCTGTCCGTGCAGGAAGATAAGAGGAGCTGTCACAGCGGACAAATCAGTGTTTGAAAAGCTCGAACATTGATCTTAAATAGAAAGGGTCAGTAGTTTTCTAAGAGGCCATGTACGGTTCCGTAACATGGTGCTTAAAAATGAAATGTTCACCGAATGTAAGACTTTTCGTACATAGCGGCTGACAAATGTTATGTTCGGCTACAGTACATTGTCCAAACGTTCTCCTCATGTTAGCAGCACGTACATTGCGACTAAACTCTGTATGGTCAGACAATGGTAGCCGTTCTAGCATCACTAGTAAATTTAGAATGTTAGAGTGTCGTGCATTGTGGGAACAAAGGGCGCACATTTGGAATGTAATCACAATGTAAGAAGGCTCCTCTAACATTGCGCTTACATTGTCATTACATTTGATATGTATGTCTTACATTATCATTACATTTGAAATGTGCGCAGCCCCTCTTACATTGTGATTACATTCCAAATGTGCGCCCTTTGTTCCCACAATGCACGACACTCTAACATTCTAAATTTACTAGTGATGCTAGAACGGCTACCATTGTCTGACCATACAGAGTTTAGTCGCAATGTACGCGCTGCTAACATGAGGAGAACGTTTGGACAATGTACTGTAGCTGAACATAACATTTGTCAGCCGCTATGTACGAAAAGTCTTACATTCGGTGAACATTTCATTTTTAAGCACCATGTTACGGAACCGTACATGGCCTCTTAGAAAACTACTGACCCTTTCTATTTAAGATCAATGTTCGAGCTTTTCAAATACCGATTTGTCCGCTGTGTGTCGCGTTTTCTCATCACAGAAGTTCACCGCCAATATTATTGGAAATGCCCTTGCTCTATTAAGAAAGTGAAGATATGTAGGCCGTCCTATGCATGCAATTATTGCGATATTGTATTGACCGGAAGTGTAGCATCACATAACTTCCTCCGGGCTAGCTAGTCCATGACATGAACAGCTATTCATCAATAGCACGCTAGCCACCGTGGCGTCGGTCCATTCAGGGAGGCCAGTGCCACAGCGTGTTTGCTTGTGTTAGGATCCAAAGGCTTTGGACAACACGTACAAACACCTCACTGTTTCCGGCGGCTTTGGCGCGTCCCGCTCCTCTTCCTCGTACATGGACAATGTCGACCAATGGCTTGTTAATAGCCCTTGGATACCTGGGACTCTCATCTACCTTGTTCTACCCTGCAGTGGTGTCTACCTCGTGTCACCTGGCGGTATGCGGAGAAATGTCCTCATTTCGAGTATTCTACAGGAATGACACGCAATTGGCGACACCGTGACGATGCCTGATTTCGACCCACCCGTCCCCGTGTACCCATGCTCATGCCGTCGCCTCTCAATTACTACTTCGCGCATCCTATTGCTCGTGCACCTCGACGTTGATCAACCGAAATTCTCCCGAGCCGCCGGCGAGCGTTTATCCAAGGGGGAGTTTGCGTTCTACGTGAACGTCTTCTGTGGGCTGGTCAATCATGTCAGTGAACGCCAGTATCGTTGTACCACCTGTTTCATCTCCAACATTCTTATCACCGCTTAATGCGTGTGCTGTGATACACGACCGCTGCAAGTATGCCTTCGTTCCAAATGGCATTTCATCCGGAAGGTCCTCATGTTCCCAGATTCTTTTAGGTCAGCTCGCACGAGAACGGCTCGATGCGGCAGCCAACGCTTCCCTGTCCATATCGGACGCTAATCATGCCTCTCTTACACGGAGCCTAATTAAAGCCAAAAAAACGGGTCACCGACGGCGGCAGAGACCTCGCGCCAGCCCCAGTTCCCTCCACACGTGGTTCCTACTCGCCTTCTCACAACGAGTAGTGGCATGCGAAGGGTCAGATCGCCATTCTCTCGCTTCGGGGGGCCGCGACGGCTTGCAGCACGGACGCACTCTGGCGGTGCCCGTCGCGGTATATAAAGCCCTCCCTCGACGTCCCCGGAAAGTGAGCTCCCCGCAAACCCATTGGCGTTACGATGCCTTCGACGGCACTCTCTCTGCTGACTGTCGCCCTCGCGCTCGTCTCTCCAATCCTCGGAGATGTACTGCCGCGCGCCGACAGTAGTGCTTTCTTGCCCACCCTCTCGAACAACTCGGCTGCAGCATGGCCTCCACGTATGTGACTCTTTTTAACTTGATCAGCGAGAAGGCTCATATTTATGTGTGCAGCGTATGCGAATGGAGGTTATGCATGGACGAGTGCGTTCACGCGTGCGCAGTCCCTCGTCTCGCAAATGACTCTCGAGGAGAAGGTCACCCTCATCACGGGCCAACCGGGGCGCTGCGTCGGTATGACGGGCGCGGTCCCGCGCCTCGGTATACCGGCACTCTGTCTGGAGGATGGGCCCGCCGGCGTGCGTCCCGTTCAGGGAGTATCCCAGTTCCCCGCCGGACAAGCGGCCGCGGCGACCTGGGACAGGGAGCTGATCTACAAGCGCGGATACGCGATGGGGAAGGAGTTCTATGACCAGTAAGTGCGATCATAACGGAATTATCTGGATGCTGACAGGATTAAAGGGGAGTCAACGTAGCTCTGGGTCCTGTAACTGGTGGGCCCCTCGGGCGGAGCCCGCGCGGTGGAAGGTGAGTCAGAGCTCGTGCACGCTGAGACCGCAGGATCGATGGGATTCCTCGTTCGCAGGAACTTCGAGGGCTTCTTCGATGATGCTTACGCCACGGGAGAAGCCGCGTACATGACCGTGAGGGGCATGCAAGACTCTGGCGTCCTTGCCACGGCGAAGCACTACATCGGCTACGAGCAGGAGACATACAGGTAAGGTAGAAGTAGTTGTCACTTTGACAGACTTGACGCGAGTTGTACAGGGACCCGTTCAACCAGTCTGAATCCTACGATGTCTTCCCTGTGAATGAGCAGACGCCCATTTCGTCCAATATTGACAACAAGGCGCTGCACGAGGTAAGCATGATTGTTCTATCTATTGAGTTTATCTGATTGGTCCGTGGAGCTTTACATGTGGGGCTTCGCTGAAGCTGTCCGCGCAGGAGTAGGCTATGTGATGTGGTACGTACAAACAACGCGACACGCCTGGCTCTGTGACTGATCTCTGCTGGTGCAGTTCGTACAACGAAGTCAACCAAACGCACTCATGCGCGAATGCATATACGCTGAACAACCTTCTCAAGGGCGAGGTGAGTCACGATATCGTTATACCCGCGCATATACCCACCCTTCTCTGTGATAGCTCAACTTCCAAGGAGGGGTGATGTCAGATTGGGTATGTATCCTTGATGTGCCCTCATCAGTTGCATGCTGACACGCTCCTTCATAGGGTGGTGACTGGGGTGATGCCGAGTTCATCAACGGCGGGCTCGACATGAGCATGCCAGGCGTAGGATTCGGAGGCATCTTCGGTCCATTCTGGGGACAAAACCTCCTTCCGTACATCGCCAATGGCACAGTCACTGAGGGTCGCGTGGACGACGCTGTATGCCCCCCTCCCTTCCTATTGTCGTTGTCCCTCTCGCTTACCTGTGTGCTCCTCAGGCCATTCGCACGCTGACTCCCTGGATCTTCTCCAACCAGCCAGCATACCCGCCTCCAGCAGTGACGTGGAACGCTGACCCGCAATACTACGAGACAGAAGACGCGTACTGGCGCGACGTCCGCCAGGTGGAGACGATGACGCTCATCAGGCAGATCGGCGAGGACTCCGCGACGCTGCTCAAGAACACCAACAACGCGCTGCCCCTCGGTGCGCCGAAGGTGATCGCGATCGTCGGGAGCGACGCAGGCCCGAACGAACTCGGTGAGCTCGACGGCGGAGGCTCGAACGCGTACCCCGGGTGGAACCTCAACGGCACGCTCACGCTCGGTGGTGGTTCGGGCTGGGCGATCCCACCTTACGTCGTGACGCCGTACGAGGCTATCAACTACCGCGGGCGCGCGTTGAACTCCCAGGTGTACGCGATCTTCAACGATACGGCGTATGATGCTGTCAATGTGACGGTCCCGAGTGCGAACGTGGCTATCGTGTTCGTCAGCGCATTCACTAGGGAAGGCGAGGACCGTGCGACCTTGTACCTGTATGTTGGCTATGCTACCTGAGTGTTGCGGGTGCTGATGCGCGGCGACAGCGACAATGATGCCGACACACTGATCAACATCGTTGCTGCGAATAACAACAACACTATTGTCGTGATGAAGTAAGTACCAACCAATTTTGTTGTAGTCGTTCAGCTGGGCTGACTGAATACTGCAATAGCGCTGGTGGACCCATCCTCGTCGAGGCTTGGATTGATAACCCGAATGTAACTGCGGTCATCGCCGCTCACTTCCCCGGACAAGAGGCTGGCGCTGCTATCACGAATGTGCTCTTCGGCGACGTCTCCCCAAGCGGCAAGCTCCCCTACACAATCGGCTACTCCCTGGACGACTACGCGCCTGACACGATCGTCGCCACCCCAGTCCTCCAGCCGCAGGCGTACTTCAATGAGTCCACGCTGGTTGACTACCGCTGGTTTAGCGCGAACAACATCACGCCGCGCTTCGAATTCGGCTACGGCTTGTCGTACTCGACGTTTGCATACAGCAACATTTCCGTCGAGAGCGTGTTCTGGCCGGATACCACCTCGGTCCAGCAGACGCACGAGCCGTTTGAGGCATGGGACGGCACAAACAGTATCTACGACATCGTTGCGCAGGTGATGGCACAAGTACAGAACACCGGGGACGTTCGAGCGTCCGAGACCGCGCAGTTGGTGAGCATCGGATGCTATCATCCCCTCGGGGGTTCTGTACTGACTAGTAGATCAATTCATAGTACGCTACATTCCCCGGCAGCCCCGGGATCTGGTTGCGGGGCTTCGACAAGCTCAAGGGTATGGCACCCGGAGAGACCCGGGCAGCATCGTTCCCACTTCGCCGCAAGGATCTGTCGCTTTGGAGCACGGAGCGCCAGCTGTGGTACGTTCCCGAGGGCGAGATTCAGCTGCAAGTAGGTGCTAGTTCGACAAAGCTGTACTTGGTATGTCCTGCCACTTTCATAATCGTTCCTGTGTCTTCTCACCCATGAACATCTTCTAGGCGACGTCGTTGTCCCACTGAGCCGAAGTATCATTGAACCTAGCAGGATACTTGAGACAAAACCCAAGGATCATCTTCTGCTGTTTATTCCATGGAGTTGCAAATTGCACGAAACGCTTCGTTGAGAGAGACACCCTTGTGCACCTTGAACGGAGTTGGAGTTTCACCCGCACCGACAGCATGGTTGCCCATTAACAGGTTTCGGACACGGCATGTAAGTGGCGATGCGTGTCTTGAGCTACCCGCACGTTGGTTCGCGTCATAGTTGCTACTGAGTTTTGATGAGCACTTTGGTGGCGGACATGGTGCCTGCCACGGTTCTGGTGGTCAGTACTTGTTGCAGTGACTTTGTGTACGAGGTAAGTGTGTTGCTTGTCACTGTTCGCCGTAATAGCTACTGCAGGTACCTCATGACTCACCTGCAAGTCGTTGCGAGCATCGTCATCACCGGTGAGTTGGTCTTCGATCTTTAGATGCATGAAGTCCTGCCTACTTCATACTGGATAGATCAAGCCATCAGTGTCCAAGGTGGCATGCTGCCTCAGTGATTATGTCAGTGGGGTCCGGTCGAGCACTCGGACGTTGAACATTGAACACGAGGTAGTAGCACGCTGTCAGGGACAGATGGGCTTGAATTTGTGTCAGAGGAGATATGCTACACCGCCTTGTGTCAAAATGTAGACTGAGAGGGCAGCGCTGAAGTCAAAGCCGGCGAATTTCTATCTCGCAATCTCTATCTTCCCGTTCTTCCCATTGGATCCGGTGCTACGTCGGAGAGGAATCGGATATGTCAGTAGCATTCCCAGATGACGCATGAGCCTACGTAGCTACAGTCTACTGTGTAGGACCAAATTAAAGATACATAAACCCTGAGTAGGGAGTGTTTGTCGCAGAGTCAAATGCAGGCATATGCAACGAAGCTACAACTGTATGACTCGAATAGTAATACTAAGCGAGGAGGAGTAACTCAGTAAGTACTCGGAGCGTGCCGGCGAACTACTGGCACATTCCTTTTCTGGAACTGTAGCGACGCGGTGTAAAATGCGGGGGTGGCGCCGACGCTCATGCCTCTCGCCCAACATGTCCGTCTCCCCACCCATTCGTCGCTACTCGTCGACGAGCTCTAGCAGTCGCGAAGACCTCATCAACCAGTATGAGGCCGAGGAAGAGCGTATAATCAACGTGCTCTCGCGGAAACTCGAGCGGGTATGTTAGTTTCAGCGGCGGGCCGGAGGACATGACTCGTTGACCTCTTCGCAGCTTCGGGAGGAGAAGATTGCCCTCGAGAACACGCTCGAGGCCGAGTCGGAGAACCATGTCAACAGGCTCTCCAGGGAGATATCTGCTCTGCGACTAGCCCAGCAGCAGCAAGCACAGGTCAATGGCAACGGCAGCGGCAGCATCTCCCCAGTCGACACCCGGCTGGGCATGCAGACATTTCTGGGCTATCGGAACCCCGCTCAACCGACCACAGAGACGATGCTTGAGGCGATGCGCAGGGAGAACGAGCAGCTGAGGACGAGACTTGTCGAAACCGAGCGCGACTACATTCGCGTTACACGGTTGAACGAGATCTATCGTGAGGAGCTAATTGAGCACAGGAGGCGGGTGAGTTTCGACGTTGCGCGTTCTCTCTTGCTATTTCTCTCTTATTCAGAGGCGGAGGGCGTCAGCTCTTCCGTGCCACTACGTCGGCATCGCGGTTGTACCGACCGCGTACCGACCGTGAAAGACGCATGCCGAGAGGCAACGATGAAAGGCTGTCCGAGAGGCAACTTATCAGGATTAGTCTGCATATATCAGAGTACAGCTTCTTCGGACAGCCCATGTGTTACGTTTGTGCATTTCTGTCTTCGCCCAGAGCACCTCAGAACCCTTCGCCCAAACGTCGCTTCAGTCCCGGACATCCACTAGTAGCTCCTTGATGATCCGTTTGCGTTCTTGCCATCACCTTGTTCTCTATACAGTCGACATTTTTACTGAATAGACCGTTCCGTGTAGTTGGGCCTACCGGTTGACAATCTCATAGGCCTCGCATCCCCCGATCCCTACTCCCAACCCACCCACCGCCGAACTCCCTCATCTACCTCTTCTCCATCCACCTCTATCCTGATCATCCCAAGTCCTCAACACTCGCAGAGTTCACGCCCGACGCCAGTACCGATCCCGCGTCCGCCATCGCAGATACACCGCCCAGTCAACGCCATGTCCGAAGCCAATACGCCATTATCGCACTCGCCATCCTCTGTGTCCTCCTCTTCGCCCTTCCCGCTCTCCCCGCCTTCCGCCTCTCCTATGCCCACCAGTTACGCTAGTGCCACTACGAACCTTACAACGCCTCCCTCCTCGGCATCTCTCACATCAAACCCGCCCGGTCCCTATCCAGGCGCCGCCACAACCCTCTCTTATCCATCGGTACCGCCACCGTCACTCTCGTCATCCTTCGGCTCCCCGTCTACGACATACCACATCAATGCTATGTATTCCAGGCGAGAGAGCGTGGACAGACGGCCTGCGGAATCTGGGAGCTTCAGCCGCAGTCAGAGCCAGGGGCACAGTCGACGTGCCAGCGTCGAGCGGGGCGCGCGAGTTGCAGAGACCGGATCCCTTCTGCCACGAGGACGCGCGGCGCGACAGGAGAGCGTGCAAGAGTCGCCCGAGGAGGCGGGCGCAGAGGCGAGCTTGTCCTTGAATGGCGGAACGGCTCATCTGCCCAACGGGGACGGACCGAGCTGACTATCTGCTCGGTTCTGGAGATGACGAGGAGGTGCGGGTGGTGATTGGAACGACGATCGGCGCGATCGGCCACGAAGATTCAAGCTTCAGGACTTGCGTCCGCGTTCATGTATGAATAGCCGCTGTAACCAAGCTGTAACTTTCCTCCGCCAAGATTCTGCAAAAAGGCTCTGACCCGGACAAGAACTTGTATTTGTATACGACGCATCATCGCCGAGCCCCGTTAGCGTAGCCCAATAATAATGTCCGTTCACCAGTACCTCCCGAGGAAGGTTGCTCAGTTGTCTCTGCGTTGTGGGCTGACGTACACAACGTCGCCTTCTGTCGATGCTGAATTGACCTACCCGATCAGTGAGTGGCCTACTCTCGTTGAATGAGACACTGACTCTTAGGCAGGTTTCCAGTATGGCGAAGGACGACACGGTGCTTGCGATCATCATCGCTTGAGGCCTACGCTCCGCGACCAGTCAACATTACATGACGGAAGTCAGCGATATCCACTGCATATTGCACTGGCGGCCTTCGTAAAATCTCTGTGAGTTCCGCCGCGAATTGTGTGTCCACAGGATCGCCTCAGATTGCATATTGGTCAGGAGTACTATATAGGTAAGTGCCAACGAAGACTCACATCCGGATGGTATGTCGTGCACCAAAACGCTCCTGCGCTGTTGAACATCCGTGAGTGTCTCCTTTACTTATTGCTCACGGTGGCGCCATCGAGCTCATCAAAACACTGGGTCAAGCCTCCCGGTCCGCGCGGTAGGAGAGGCGACAAGATGATGATGCCAGTGTTTCATGACTGCAACGTGCTACTAAGTACTCGGCGACTCAACAGGAATGACCAGAGGTCCCTCTGCATATGAGTGGGGTGAGTAGTAGAAGCTCATTCATGTTTGGCTTGGTCATAGGCGAAGATTCATGGCACTGTGACTCCCCAATTGGAGATAGCATTGTTACAGGGACCAGGAAGTAGTGACCAGGGTAAACCATTCAGCGTTCATTCAACACTCGGCGTATATCTTGGCAATCACGGAACTCGTAGCGTCCTCTGCACCGAGCTTCGACCCGGTGCGTGCCAGTCCCGTGTAACGGTACAGTTCGTCGGTACTTATAGGTTTCTCAAATCTGGGCGCCGACCTCATGTAAGCTTATGGTCGACTGACCGACAAAAGCCCGGGCCGCCGGGACGCGTCGGTGGCTCAACCCGGGTGGGTCTGGCCTAAGTCCGTCCGGCAAGCTTTGCTCCAGGAAAGTCTCAAGCTCGGTCCCAGTCGGTCCCGCATTCCGACACAACCTGGGGCCCCGGAAGCGGGCTTGTGCCAGGTTGTGCCTCGCGAAGCATTCCACGGACCACTACTTACATACTGCGCGGGTCATGATCGCTCTTCCGCGTCAAAATCTAGGGCATACTCAATATCATATATCGGACACCTCGACACTCCGTCTTCGCCGCACGCACGTCAAACACGTGCATTGTCACAACAACCCGCTCTTCCCCAAGGTTCACCTGCTCCGCCACGTCCCCCATCCTAACCGCGGTTTGTAAACAGCCTGGGAGCACTGCGCATTGCGATCAACGCAAATTCCGGCCTTCAGCACACAAGAAAAGCTGTTGGACCGGTGTGCGTACGGACCATAGTTCACGGCAGAATGTTTATTCAATGGTCTACCTGTCCGCATGACCTCCTGCGCCTGGTCGCCAACCTGCACGTCATGGGCTTCGATGTTCGACCCTTGGCTTGGGCTCTACCCAGGCTGCTATCAGCGGCTGCCGCATAGCAGATATGCCCTCGCATGCATAATATAAAGCGATCGTCGCTGTAACTCGCTTGGACCCATTAAAGCGCCGTTCACGCTGTTGCGATGCATTCGACGGCACTTTCCTTGCTCACTATTGCTCTTGCACTCTTCACCACTTCATCTCGGGGAAAGATATCACGGCGCGACGACGCGGGCTTGACCACGCTCTCCGACAATTCGCCCCAGGCATGGCCGGCGCGTACGCATCACTTTATGACACTGTGTGTACTAACTGAGCTGCTCACCTAGCCAACGCGACGGGCGGGAACGCGTGGACGGACGCGTTCTCCAGCGCGCAAGCCCTCGTCGCGCAAATGACACTTGAGGAGAAGATCACCGTCATCACGGGTCAGTCCGGTCGCTGCGTCGGCAACACGGGTGCCGTCGAGCGACTCGGCGTCCACGCGCTCTGCCTGGAGGATGGGCCCGCGGGAGTGCGCCCGGTCCAGGGTGTATCCCAGTTTCCAGCTGGACAGGCGGTGGCTGCGACATGGGACAGGAATCTGATCTACCAGCGCGGGTACGCGATGGGCCAGGAGTTCTTCGACCAGTGAGTTCCGCCGGTAGAGATGTGTCAGCGGACGTTCACGCCTGGCGAAGGGGGGTCAACATCGCACTTTCCTCCGTGACAGGTGGTCCGCTCGGACGCAGCCCGCGCGGCGGTCGGTGAGTTTCAATTGTCTCTCACAGGTGCTATGTTCGGGCTTAATATCATTGCCATCAGCAACTTTGAGGGTTTCTTCGACGATGCGTACGGTACCGGTGAAGCTGCCTATCTGACCGTCAAGGGCATGCAAGATGCCGGTGTTCTCACTACAGCCAAACACTACGTCGGCTATGAGCAAGAGACATTCAGGTCAGGAACTCGCTAGTTGTTTCTGAGCCATTCTGACACGAGACGCAGGAACGCCTTCAATAACTTGGAGTCATACTCAGTTTTCCCTGTGAACGTGCAGTCGCCCATCTCGTCGAACATCGATAACAAGGCACTGCATGAGGTGAGCGTGGCAGAGGCATTGTTCCTCGCCTTCGTGGCTAATGCACCGTATAGGTGTACTTGTGGGGCTTTGCCGAAGCCGTTCGCGCTGGTACGGGTTATGTGATGTGGTAAGCACAATGCTGCGCGTCAGTCTGCGTTGCATCGCTCACCAATTGTAGCTCGTACAATGAGGTCAACCAGACTCACTCGTGCGCCAATGCGTACACCCAGAACAATATTCTAAAGGGCGAGGTGTGTCGACTTCCCAAATCAGACGAGCCAGCCTGATCGCTCCCCCGTATAGCTCAACTTCCAGGGCGGTATCATGTCTGATTGGGTATGTACGTCACTGATCAAATCCTGAATCATGGACACTGATTATGGTCTCTAGGGAGGCGTGTGGAGCGACGCAGAGTTCATAAACGGCGGCCTCGATATTTGCATGCCCGGTGTCGGTTTCGGTGGCGTGCTCGGTACAATGTGGGGCGACAGTCTATTTCCCTACGTCGAGAACGGGACAGTCGCTGAGTCCCGAGTGGACGACGCGGTACGTCGAGGTCCTCACCGTGCTGGCCCCTTGCTGATCTCGGGCTCTCGTAGGTCGTCCGTCTGCTGACTCCCTGGATCTTCCCAGGCCAATCCGTGAACCCTCCTCCAGCAGTGACGTGGAACGCCGATCCGACTTTCTATCAAACGGACGATGCCTATTGGCGGGACGTGCGGAAGGTCGAGACGATGGCGCTCATCAGGCAGATTGGCGAGGACTCCTCGACGCTGCTTAAGAACGTGAATGGCACGCTCCCTCTGGGAACGCCAGGAGTCATCGCTGTCATCGGAAGCGACGCAGGTTCCAATGAGCTGAGCACGTTGGAAGGCCAGGGCGTCGCCCAATTCCCGCTCTGGAACATCAACGGCACTTTGAGCCTGGGTGGTGGTTCTGGCTGGGCAATCCCGCCATACCTCGTTACGCCGTTCGAGGCGATCAACTATCGTGGGCGCAAGTCGAACTCGCAGTATACGCGGTATTCAACGGCACGGCGTACGACGCGATCAACGCTACGGTCGAGAGCGCGGACGTCACGATTGTATTCGTGAGTGCGTTCACAAGGGAAGGTGAAGATCGTGCTACTTTGTACCTGTGAGTTGCCCCGTATCACGTCCGGTACCATGGTTGATCTCCTGCGACAGTGATCATGAAGGCGAGACATTGATCCAGACGGTGGCGGCGAACTGCAGTAACACCATCGTCGTGATACAGTAGGTCTTACTGCTGCTGTCACAAGAGAACATGTTCACCAAGCCCAACTTCAGCGCCGGGGGCCCGATCCTCGTGGAGGAATGGATCGATAACCCCAATGTCACCGCTGTCATCGCTGCACATTTCCCTGGTCAGGAATCCGGCGACGCCATCGCGAGCGTACTCTTCGGCGACGTCTCCCCGAGCGGCAAGCTCCCCTACACGATCGGTCACGCCCTCGACGAGTACCCGCCCGACACCATTGTGGACGACCCGGTTCTCGAGCCGCAAGCGTACTTCAACGAGTCGACGCTGATCGATTACAGGTGGTTCAGTGCATATAACATCACGCCGCGCTTCGAGTTTGGCTATGGTCTTTCCTACTCGACGTTTTCGTACAGCAACATCTACGTGCAGGACGTGTACGAGGCGGACAACAGCACGATCCAGCAGAAAAATGAGCCGTTCGAAGGGTATGACGGGAGCAACAGCTTGTACGATATCATTACGGAGGTGACAGCTCAAGTGACCAACACTGGGGACGTGGTCGCGTGCGAAGTTGCTCAGCTGGTGGGTGCAGTCCATACGTCGTGCCCAATCTTCGTCTGTCCTAATGCTTGATCCTTAGTACGCCACCTTCCCGGATAGTCCCGGCATCTGGTTGCGCGGCTTCGACAAGCTGAAGACCCTTGCTCCCGGGGAAACACGCACTGCCACGTTCTCCCTTCGCCGAAAGGACCTTTCTCTGTGGAGCACGGAGCGGCAGTTGTGGTACATCCCAGACGGAGCGATTCAATTGCAAGTCGGCGCGAGTTCGACGAAGCTGTATTTGGTACGTTTGTCTTGCACTTCGTGATGCCGGTTCAAGCTGACTCGAATACCACACAAAAGACGGCTTCATGGTCTCAATGACATCACGACGGATGACGCGGACAAGCTAGCTGTAGGAGGCTGTATATTGATTGTGTAACGAGCACGAGCACACGCTTGTGTATCACTTTGGGGGCCTTCGTATCCTCTGTCCCACGTGCCCACTGGCACCTAATAACATGTAGTAATTATTGCTGCAAAACCAATGAGTCGACGAGTTGCAAACGAGTTGAACTGACATAGCTCATGATGGTTCGAGACATGTGGGTTCGTGGCAGAGTGTACTAGTACTGCCTCAGTACATCCGTCGCCATCTACCACTGAGTACTGACCTCTACCCCCCTCCCGTACCGCATTGTAGATATGTACCTCAACAGCGGTATCGTTGGATGCTCGCATTACAGAATCTATGTATATACTTAGCTGTTCGCGTGTACAGCGTCTGCGTTGTAGTGAAGCACATCGCAGCGGTACACACCGCGGGCAAACCAAATTGTTCGAACTCCGAAAACGCTACGAACATTGGTCCCTCATGGGAACCTTTTCTGGGGGCATTTGGGCTCCGAACATCCTCAGAACATGATGTATTTTAGCCAAATTTCAGCATGTTCGGAGCATGTTCGTAGCATGTTCGACGAAAACACGCATGTTCGGAGCATTTTCGGAGCATGTTCTGGGTCCGTCAAAATTCGCAAAAGGTTCCCATGAGGGACCAATGTTCGTAGGGTTTTCGGAGTTCGAAAGACCTGGTTTGCCCGCGGTGACAGTAGTCATGGTAAGGTACTGTCTTAGAACGCCGCGCATCAACCTGAGGAGGCCGGATCTCCTTTCATGGACCGGCGAGCAACGTGACTGAGAGATACTTAGATGCTCAATGTGTCATTTGAACCTGTCAGTTGACTTCTGTAGTAGTGGTAACGTCTGTCAAGCTATGGATATGCTCCCATGTAACGGTACAGCATCGAGGTTGTTTATCGCCCGTAACACCCCGCATCATGCTCCATTATCGTCCTCACTTGCCGCGCTTTCTGAACCAGACGAGTGAATTGATTCTGAATCGCATTCGTAGTCCGGCCGCCTTCCCTCGTAGAACTCCCAGTCGCTCTCTTGGGTCGGGTCGACCTTGTGTAAAGTGTCACCGGTCTTGACGACGGCAGCCCATTCGCGCGCTGGGGCCGACAATGCGCAAGCAAAAGCATCAAGCATCGCGGCGTGGTCCGCGAGCCAGGGAAAGGGTACGAGCTCCGGCTGCTTCCAAGCTGAAAGCGAACTCGAAGGCGATGAACCCTTCCGACGTCGAGGTGGGCGGCATGGTCGGGCCATTGCATATATAGGGCCGCGATCATACTCCACGTGTCCTTCGTCAACCCTCTCCCTATGCTCCACGTAAGCGTAATGGTCGCGGCAAATCGAATTCAGCTCATCGAGCAGCCCGTCCAGAGGGGTACCGGTGTCAGAACGAAAGCGACCCATGACGCCGGTTCCTCCATTAGACATCAAGCTGGATTTCCAGCCACCGCCGACAGGCTCCTGCTTGTGTGTGTCATGCCAACTGTCGTACGTTGTCGCTATATAGCGCAATAATGGGCGGAGGTGGAGTTCCGGGGTGTAGAAACGGTGGCACATCCACCAAAGCACGTAGACGAAGGATTCCAGGTCGTCTTCGACTTCATGCTTTTTGGCGGGCTTCGACAGAAGCCTGGCAGACATAAATTGCCATGTACCCTTACGGCAAAACGTCAGTACAATGGAGGGGAGGGGTCGCTGAGAAAAGCACTCACTGCGCGACCAGGACGCGATGCTGTCACAGCGTTGATGAATTCTTCCGTTTGACAGACATCCCAACCATCCAGGATGCTGATCGTTATACACCCTCCAGGCGTGTCGACATCGTAGATGATCATATTGCGAGGGTTGATATCTCGGTGGAGAATGCGCACCTCCCATGCCTGTCTGTGTGCTGTGGAGATCGCATTCAGCACGAGTTACGTACATCGTATGACTCGAGCGATCCTCACCGTCTATAGCCTCGTAGAGATGGCTGGTGAGGAACTCTGCACTTTGGTGTGACTCCAGCGGGCAGCCAATCTCCTCTATGACAAGACGATAATGCCTCTGGACAGGCGGCTTACTCTTCGCCCCCCGATAGGCCGGCCAATAGTCCTGCGCGTACGTCGTTTGAACGTCGCCAGAGTCAGAGATCACACAGCCAGCAGCGATCGGCGTCGGTGCTTTCTGTACGCCGTTCCTTCTCAGCGTTGCCAGTGCCTCGCCTTCGGGGATCAGGCCAGGTGTATCGGGTCTCCAATAGTCCTTCACGACGACCAAGCGGTCCAGAGCCACCTCATAGGTGACGTAGCTTCTGTATCCTCGCCCGATAGGCCACTCGCTGGCATGAAAGGGTTTGCCGACGAGGAAACACGGTTCCTCTCCAGTCGGCATTCGGTCGTCAATAGTGTTGCGCGTCTTAATGATCATGTCGTCGAGGAGCGGTTTGAAGTCACGCTGGTCGACAAAGCTCTCGGCGGGCATCTTGACCTTGTACACAGGCCAACCAGGTTGACTGAGAGCGTCCTGGCGACACTTGTCGGCCCACTCATTCGGCGCTTGACAGGCCCGCATCGCGTCGATCTCCGCTTTTGTAGCAAGAGACACAGTTGGGTCGAATCCGCGTTGAACCTGTGTCATGCACGCGTACCTCCAGAAGACCATTTGTAGCGGCCGTGGGTCCTCTACAAAGTCGATTGGCGTCGAGACAACAGCGCCCGCCCTATCCCAGCGCACCACGCGCGCCTTGCCTTTGCAGACGTATATCGTGAAGCAATGGAGGCGATGTTGCCTTCGGAAAACCTTGGAGACACACTCGGCGAGGTATCCGAGAGAGCGATCGGCCTTACCATTTCCGCGTGGGTTGTAACGAAGGAATGACTCGGTCATGTCGTTCATAAACTCGAATGGCGAGGCTTTGTGGCGCATCTTGACTATGATTGCGAGCGATATCCACGCCCAGCGGGTACGCGCTTCAGGTGTATCCAGTACGGGTATGTCTTCTTCATATGCACCCCAGTCCGTGTTGTCCGTGTATGAGTCGGAGTCATCGTCGTCAGGGTCTGTGCAATCATTCACGGCGTCCTCGTGTGCGGGGTAGACAGAAACGTCGACTTTGAGGTAGCCACTGGGATCTTCGTCGTCCGTGTTGTCACGAAAATTGCCAGTATGCTTCGCGACTAGTCTCTCGCCTTCCGGGCAGTTGTCAAAGATAGGCTGGGCCATCTCGCACTAATACGCATGAGCAATAATGACGGATCTCGTACAGGTGCAACACGTACAATTTTCTGGCATACTAACCACCAGGACTTCCTTTCCTTCGTTTTGGCCTCGAGCGTGTCGACGGCATCACGCGCCAACGCCACAGGGAGGTCGGGACCCGGCATGAATCTCTCCATAAACTCGTCGAAAGGAAGTTGGGAGATATATGGCCGCAGCTCTGCGGCATACTCAGCCTTCCACACCATTGCGCCCTCTCGTAGTCTGTGTTGCAGAGTTATCAAACGTCGTAGGTCAGGAGTGAGGACGTGGTAGTTGGTGGATGGCGCGGGAGGGGTGACTCAGTTGAACTTGACCGTGGGACGCTGGATCTCCGATCTGTGTGGCCACAACGGTGGCTGCTGGCACGCGCCGGCCGCGCCAGATCTAGCGTCGCGGCCGACTCACAACAGTCCATTGCTTGTCATCTACTGTATCAGCATGTCTGTGAATCCAACAAGGATACCACCTGGACTGCAACATGATGGCCTGGAAGCGCTTTCTTTGCTGTGCCAGTCGGGTACCATGGATTGGTTGCCATTTGCTAAAGCGAAGCTGTACACGAATGCATTCGTGAGGCAAGACGGTAAGGTCAGTACAACACTACGTGCTCGGGCCATGCAGATAGCGGACGTTGAATGTATGATCCTCACTGGTCGTTCTCATTTTGCATGCGACCCGGCAGCTGCTCCTTGGCTACAAGAAGAGACGTTTTGGAAAGGGATTGTAGGTCCTTTCACACGTAGCCCATCAACAACTCATCGCCCAAGGCCCATCTTGAAGGTACAATGGCTTCGGAGGCAAGGTTGACAAGGGTGAAACGCCCGCCGAGGCAGCAGCGCGGGAGCTCGAGGGACGTCTCTGTTCGTCTGCTTGACCACTCAGAACTCCATGCTTATGCTGCTACACACTTCGCAGGAGGAAGCGGGAATAACAGCTCAGCTAGAACACAGGGCCACGTTGCTGTTCATGAGCCCCGAGATCACCGAGGCTGCTCATATCGAAGTCTACTACGCTGAGAAGTTCGAAGGCACGGTTACTGAGTGAGCGATGGCAGCGATGTCTTACAATCTTCTTGCTCACAATGGCATCGGCACGGCATAGGTCAGAAGAGATGCGACCGGAATGGTTCGCCATCCCGGACACGGAAGCCCGACATAAAGACGTCATCCAGAACCCCAAACAAGTAGACGATGCGTCTGGGCTGCGCTTCATCCCGTACGACAAAATGTGGGAGGATGACGCGCTATGGTTGCCCGCGTTTCTATCAGGTCATCGCTTCATCGGTCGCGCAGATGTTGGTACAGACGGTCATCTGCAGAAGTCGTGGTTCGCGTTGAAGTCGTGATATCATGTTCTCCGCCTACCTCGTCACTGTGTTCGCCCGAGAGTTCTCTCGCTGCTTTCTACTCATCATCGTTGACACATCAATACCAAGATCCATAGACTCAATACCATGCCCCAACGCTAGCCAATGCTTCCTCCAACGTCCCCAAAGCCGCCTTCTAGCTCTTGTCCGTCAACCCAGCTCGCCTCTACCATGATGCCGCCGGCATGCATTGGCCAGTGCGCGGACCACGGGCGGGGTGAGTGATAGGCATCGCTCGAATACTATCGCGTGGACTGTGTACTTGTAGGAGAGTGGTGAAGTGAGCGAACATTTTCGCAACTTGGGCTCACGGTCATGAGCGCGCGTTCAGCACCAAAACCGACCAACACAAAAAGCAGTCAGTCACCCGGCGACGCCGACTTGTCGACGACTGAGTCACGACTCGGAGGCTCAGTCCATGACGTCATGGCCATGATCGCCGCTCTGATGCGGCCGCGGATGTTGATCAGGGCATCAATTGCACTGGGCATTCGGACTTGGGATCTGCTCAGTGCTCTTGGACCGATGCACGGCAGAACAGTATCATGTATGTTTGAGGGTCAACCCGCCCGCTGGGGCTCTGGGGACGGCCGCCGCGCATCGCTTCGTAGGCCGGACGCGCTCAAACGCGGTCACGGTCTACCGTGACCATCCATATAAAGCGTCCCTCGAGCGGACAGCTTCTGAAGTTCGTTTGGACCCGTTCTACCGCGGCCGGTCAAGTGGGCACCATGCGTTCAGCGACACTCCCTTTGCTTACTGTCGCTCTTCTACTCTTCGTCATCCCCTCGTCGGCCAAAGCATCACGGCGCGACGACGCGGGCTTGACCACGCTCTCCGACAACTCGCCCGGGACATGGCCAGCGCGTACGCATCACATATCATGCCATTGCGCGTGTATACTGACCGAGCCGCGCACCCAGCCAACGCGACGGGCGGGAACGCGTGGACGGACGCGTTCTCCAGCGCGCAAGCCCTCGTCGCGCAAATGACACTTGAGGAGAAGATCACCGTCATCACCGGTCAGTCGGGTCGCTGCGTCGGTAACACGGGTGCAGTCGAGCGACTTGGTGTCCCCGCGCTCTGCCTGGAGGATGGGCCCGCGGGAGTGCGCCTCATCCAGGGTGCATCCCAGTTCCCAGCTGGACAGGCGGTGGCCGCGACATGGGATAGGGATTTGATCTACCAGCGTGGGCGCGCGATGGGCCAAGAGTTCTTCGACCAGTGAGTTTTGACTGGTGGAGATTTGGCAGCGGACGTTCACGCCTAGTGAAGGGGAGTAAACATCGCGCTTTCCCCTGTGACAGGCGGTCCGCTCGGACGCAGCCCGCGCGGCGGTCGGTGAGTTTCACTTGTCTCCACGGATATGCCATATGGTCTTAATACCTCTGTTATTAGCAACTTCGAGGGTTTCTTCGACGATCCCTATGGTACCGGTGAAGCTGCCTACCTGACAGTCAAGGGCGTGCAAGATGCCGGCGTTCTCGCTACATCCAAGCACTACATCGGCTATGAGCAAGAGACATTCAGGTCAGACTCGCTAGTCATTTCGCTAATCGTTTGTGAGCCATTCTGACATGAGATGCGCAGGAACTCCTTCAACCAACTGGAGTCGTACTCAGTCTTCCCTGTGAACGTGCAGGCTCCCATCTCGTCGAACATCGATGACAAGGCACTGCATGAGGTGAGTGAGCGTAGCAGAATCACTTTCCCACAATATATAACTAATATACGGGATAGTTGTACTTGTGGGGTTTTGCCGAAGCCGTTCGCGCTGGTACGGCCTATGTGATGTGGTAAGCACAACGTTGCGTGCAAGTCTGCTACATCGCTTACCACCAGTATCTTTCATAGCTCGTACAATGAGGTCAATCAAACTCATTCGTGCGCCAATGCCTACACCCAGAACAACATCCTGAAGGGCGAGGTGTGTAGACTTCCTAAATCGTATAATGCGAGCCAGTCTGACAACCCCATGTGTAGCTTAACTTCCAGGGCGGTATCATGTCTGATTGGGTACGTACATTACCGATCAAGTTTTGTCCACTGGACGCTAACCAGTGTTTCTAGGGAGGAGTGTGGGGTGATGCTGAGTTCATCAACGGCGGACTCGACATCTCTATGCCGGGTGTCGGTATTGGCGGCGTACTTGGCGCATGGTGGGGTGACGGCCTTATTCCCTACGTCCTGGACGGGACAGTTGCCGAGTCTCGAGTGGACGACGCGGTACGTCGAGGTCCTCAACGTGCTGGCCCCTTGCTGATCTCGGGCACTCGCAGGTCATCCGCCTCCTGACTCCCTGGATCTTCTCAGGTCAATCCGCGAACCCTCCTCCAGCAGTGACGTGGAACGTCGATCAGATTTTTTATCCAACGGAAGACGCCTACTGGCATGACGTGCGGAAGATCGAGACGATGGCGCTCATCAGGCAGATCGGCGAGGACTCTGCGACGCTACTCAAGAACGTGGACGGCGTGCTGCCATTGGGCACCCCCGGCGTCATCGCTATAATCGGAAGCGACGCAGGCTCCAACGAGCTGAGCGCCCTGAACGGCGAGGGCAACGCTCAGTTCCCGCGCTGGAACATCAACGGCACGTTGACTCTAGGCGGCGGCTCTGGCTGGGCGACCCCGCCGTACGTTGTTACACCGTATGAGGCGATCAACTATCGTGCGCGCAAGATGAACTCGCAGGCGTACGCGGTGTTCAACGACTCGGACTACGATGCGATCAGCACTACGGTCCAGAGCGCGGACGTTGCGATCGTATTCGTGAGTGCGTTCACGAGGGAGGGCGAAGATCGCGCTACCCTATACCTGTGAGTTGCCCCGTATCACGTCCGGTACTATGGCTGATCTCCAGTGACAGTGATCATGACGGCGAGACACTGATTCAGACGGTGGCGGCGAACTGCAACAATACCATTGTCGTGATGCAGTAGGTCCAACCATCAGCGCCGGTCGGAACATGCTGACGGGATCTAACCTCTAGTGCTGGTGGCCCAGTTCTGGTGGAAGAATGGATCGACAACCCGAACGTCAAAGCTGTTATCGCTGCTCATTTCCCTGGTCAAGAGTCTGGGGATGCCATCGCGAGCGTGCTCTTCGGCGACGTCTCACCGAGCGGCAAGCTCCCCTACACGATCGGTCACTCCCTCGACGAGTATCCACCTGACACCATTGTGGACGACCCGGTTCTCGCACCGCAAGCGTACTTCAGCGAGTCGACGCTGATCGACTACCGCTGGTTCAGTGCCCTGAGCATCACGCCGCGCTTCGAGTTCGGCTACGGTCTTTCCTACTCGACGTTCTTGTACAGCAATATCTACGTGCAGAGCGTTTTCGAGGCGGACAACAGTACTATCCAAAAGACAAACGAGCCATTCGAAGGGCATGACGGAAGCAATAGTTTGTATGATATCATCGCAGCGGTGACGGCGCAAGTCACGAACACTGGGGGTGTGGTCGCAAACGAAGTTGCTCAGCTGGTGAGTGCAGTGCACGTCATACATAATCCTGGCCAATTCCGGTGCTTGTTCTCCAGTATGCTACCTTCCCCGATAGTCTCGGCATCTGGTTGCGCGGCTTTGACAAGCTCAAGGGCCTTGCGCCCGGGGAGACACGCACTGTCACGTTCTCTCTTCGCCGAAAGGACCTTTCGTTGTGGAGCACGGAGAGGCAGCTGTGGTACATCCCAGAGGGAGATATTCAATTGCAGGTCGGCGCGAGTTCGACGAAGCTGTATCTGGTATGTCTACTTCGCCGTTCATTGTGCTTTTCTGGGCTGATGCGGGATACCACTCAATAGACGACTTCGTGGTCTTAATAATATCGCGATGCATCACACGACTCGACATTTGAGGTGTAGATACTAGAAGGGCCGTGGACTTTGTGTAATTCGTACGCGCGCACGCTTGTGCAAAACTAGTTTAAGTACTTATTAATCGCTACTTATTGGGTTTTAATATCAATCAGACCTGGTTGAAGAGATGTTGAGATCTTTCGTGCAGGAGCTCTGGAAGGTGCGGAGGCAAACCGACGGAGACTTGGCGCCTCCTGTGGCTCAATCTGTTTGTATGTATTAGGATTGCAAGCCTTTAGACAACATGCACAAATAAGGATTGGAATCCATTTAGCCACCGGCCAATAGCGCATGCGCGTCTCGGCATCTTGGCGGCGCTCACTAGGTAACTTACAACATCGCAACCCATAGGACTACGTACTAGACTACTAGCCCGAATGCTACTGTATTAAACGACCGCGAGAGTCGAGTGGCCGAGTACTACTGACGCCGGCCAGGATCTCGGCCACCCTAGGTAGTCGGTCACCGTCCTCTTTGTCTATTGAAACATATTCTGTAGTCACGGAATAATTACTAGGGTCTAACTAATTATCCTGTCTATCCATGTATCATATATGAAGTCCATATACCGAGAAGTGCAAGCTGGAAAAATCAATCCGTGTGGTGATGCCCATATTTGGCAATTCCCGGCTGCATATCCTGTACACCTTGACTGCATCCAGTCACTGTGCTCACAGCTCAGGCCCAGTGGCTGTTGAAGTATTGTGATAATGTCTGTGAGCGTCGTAGACACTCAACAGCCTCGTATAGGCTCATGTGCAACTACGTGGCCGACTTCATAGTTAACTCAGCCGCCAGTACTCTCGTCACAAAATCCCCTCCCATTGCCATCTCAATGACCCACAAATTCTTTGAATATTTTTACCGTATACCTAGGATGTTCTATCAAAGTTATAGACACTCACCCGGGCACTCAATGCACACATAGGCTCAGGGGGATGCATCAACTGCTTAGGTGGCCGAGATCCCGGCCGGCGTCAGTACTTATGTTAACCCTGCCCCGGTTAGATAAACCATGTAAAATAATAAGTAGTCATGGTAAATTTGCCGGTTAAAAACCATGGCCGCCTGGCGAAATGGCATCGCGTCTGACTACGACTGAGTAGATGACAAATCAGGAGATTGCAGGTTCGACCCCTGCGGTGGTCATATCGTTTTTTTGGTACTTGTTTGCCTATTCTTCGCCCTACAGACGTGCTGGAAACCGCTTGATGTTTCGGTGACCCCTAGATGGTAGACCTTCCTAAATTGGATAACATACCATAAATGGAAACTGCGACCATGCAAGATGGGTCCACGTGCGTCAAAACTTTGCTGGGAGTACCCAGTCCCGACTGTACCAGTACCACCTACGTGCTACTTTACGCCGTCCCACGATTCAGGCTGGCGCTGTTGCGCAGTGACATATGTCACCCATCTACTGTCTCAATCACTCTGGTCATTGAGAAGCGTTTGTTTCAGTAAGGTAGGCTTATCCTAAGGTGCGCACATAGCCTAATTGTGGTTGCGTACTATGTAACTATCAGATCATAGGTTGCGTGACTGCACAGTCGCAGCATCGTGTTCCAGTCACCGATGAGCAGGGCTTAAACGGAGGAGCGGCTATATAACATAAGTCATTCATGGCATCCTGTTGGCGGCTTCATCGGTACATATGTCAGTGAGATCAACGCATGGCTACAGTGCGCATCCCTTACTACCTACGAAGACAACCTTCATGTACAGCGATCAGAGTGCCATAGGAGCAGCCCACCGCGCATCATGAGTGAGGTTGGTCCCGGATCCACGGTCAGCGCCCACCGCCGACGTACACACGCAATGAGACCGACCACTCCATCAACATCCATAATTAAGTTAAGTAGATACACAAGATCCTCCAATATATGATGGTATGACAACTAAAAGTGACTTGAGCCTGGACAATGCGAGAGATCCGGGTCATATGCGCGTACACTATGTACAGAGCCAGCCGTCCTTCGGTACTTCGATTCCCGACCAAGCGTCGGGAAAGCGCTAGCATGAGTTGGGTGGCAGGAGACTATGCAGGGGAATCATGGTGGGATTGGGATCGAGACTACATGATGCACGGGGGTTCCGGGGTAAACGGGCAACAGACAGTGTGGGTCGTCAAGGGCTGCATGAGCATGTCGTAGAGTGGGGCGGGACGGTGAGGCGGGGCGTCGAGGCTCGGTATATGCTATGCGCACGATACACCGACCGGCCCTCGGAGTGGGCACACGGCCCCGTTGCGGCTACCACACCAGATCGCACGGGTAGCTGGAAGCGTGCAGCAACGCTACTGAGGCATCATAGCCTATGCAAGAAAACCGGGGTTCAGAGCTCCGGGGAGAGATCTGACATGGCAGTCGGCGGATCCGGAGAGCGACTGGCCGGCCGGTGGGGCCGCGAGCCGCCGCAGTGAAGAAGTTCTGTTGAAGCGGGAAGGGGGGAGGGGCAAACAAGGGATCGGCGGTTGGGTCACAGCAGTTTTGATCGACGCAGGTGTTCTCGGACGACCATATCTCGCACTGACAGATTCGTGAGTCCCAGCGCACTGCGGATACCAAGCTCGTCTACATACCACTGGCGATGATGCCCCCTGTCGTAGTCGTGTCCTACATATTACCGTCAGCACGCCTCATGCGGCATACTCTGCGCTACTCACAGTCACAGAGGTGCAGAAGCCATAGTACTTCCGCGGGATCGGCGAATACTCCCTATGTATTGCGTTGAACTTGCTCTTGAAGTCTACCGCGCCGAATCAGTACTTCCGTCGCACGACGCCCCAAGAGGCTCTCACATTTTTCCACAGCCTCAGACTCATTCGGCCGCTCGCCGAAACTCTTCACGTACTTCGCGAGCCGTATGCCCGAGCCGAGCTTCGACGCGAGGATGTCGCATTTGTTCAGGAAGAGCACGAGATCTACCCGGGCGAGCAGCTTGTTCGAGCAGACGGCCTTCCACAGCAGGACGCTGTCTTCCTGCATAGGACCGTCAAAGGGATGGAGCAACAAACGGCGCAGGCGACTCACTAGCCGGTTCACGCTCCGGTCTTCTGCGAGCGTCTGGTCGAAGCATGATATGGGCGCAAGGAAGATGATAGCATCGACTACCGGAGCAAGCTCAGTACCTCATCGAACAGCAAGGGCGCAGTTAACCGTACTGTCATCAAAGAAGGGAACCCAGGTTTCTGCCAATCTCAACTGTCAGTGCACACGTCCGGCGATCATATCGTGCGGAGGACTCACGCCGCTGCAAGAGGGATGAGATCGGGGCCGCAGGGGCATAAGCGTGGATCGCGTACCTGACTTCGAGACCCGCCGACGTCGATGATCCGCCACTGCGTGCCGCTCTCGGAGCCAGCCTCCATTTCGAACCGGTATTCGGACACGCCGACCGTTTTGAGACGCGCTTTCAGCACATCATCTACATAGCTAAATTTAATAACTCAGATACAGTACTGCAGAGGGGTACGCTCACCGTCAGAAGGTTGATAGCTCGGTGCCGTGACCCGCGGCAACTCATTCAAAAAGCTACGCCGTCGATCAATAGCCGCGCACAGATAACCGTACGCGACTCACAACCCAGGGCTTTCTTCCAGCCGGATCTTCCGCTTCTTCAATATCGATCGCACCGTCGGGTCGTGCCAGAGCGTCATCAAATCCGAGCTACACCGCCAGAGCACGCCCTGCACCTCCTCCGCGAGCTCCCGCTCCTCCCCGCCGACCGGCCCATGCCCGCCGCCGCCGAACGGGCCGATCCGCCAACCGCGCTTCCACGACCCGGGGCGCACGAAGACCTCGCCGGTGGTGTCCACGCGCGGCCGCTCCGGGAGGAACGGCGCGTCCTCGCTGGGCGGCACGAGCCGCGAGACAAGCAGCGCCTCGACGTGGTGCAGCGGCGCGAGGCGCGCGCGGATCTGGCTGAGGTGCGCGGGGAGCGTGGGCGCGGAGGGCGTCTCGGCCGAGTCGGTGTCTGATGCGGACGCGGAGTCGCCGTAGACGTTGTTGCGCGCGGAGTACATGCTGGGCGCGAGTCGCCGCGAGCCGAGCGGCGGCGAGGAGGTGGGCGAGGGTGGCGCGGACGGGAGCTCGTGCGGCCGGACGTCCGCGAGGGCGTCGAGGATGATGTGGATGGAGCGGATGAGATTGAGTTGGATGATCGAGTGCCAGTGGATGCGTTCCTCGCGGAAGGCAGACGGCGTGTAGAGCCGCTGGAACTCTGGAGCACCACATCAGCGCCTAGGCGCGGTAGAGAGACAAGGGAACTCACGTCGGAGCGTCGTGGACTTGCCTGCACGAGATGAGCAGGCGGAGAGGCAGCAGAAAACGCGTTCACGCACCTGACTCGCTCTGGCCGAGCAGAAGTAGCCTCACGACCTTCATCTTCTTCCTTGCGACACGCTCCTGCCGAATGCTCTCGTCAATCGCCAGACTGACTCGGCGCGCCTCCTCCTCCTGCGCAACCCGGCACGCCTTCTCCTCGGGAGTCTCGTCCAGCGGGGGCCGCAAGATGGCGTCGAGCGGGTCGTGGTCTGCAGGCTCGCGTGCAGGCATGGCTGGGAGGTGAGCTCGCGAGGCTGCGGGCGGAGGAGATGATGGGAGGAGGAAAGAGAGGGACGCCATCACAGCTTGGATTCATCACACATAAGTATGCACCCGGCGCCTGGATCAGACGCCCGCCATCAATCCATTCCTCGTTGGCACTCCGCCGGCCTCCGCACCCACCAGACACAGTGATGGGCCGCCGCAGGCCCCGGATGTCGTCCGGAGCGTGCCCGCCGCTGCTCGGGGCGGTCGCGCTGCCCGCCGGCCGACGCGCGCCGCGGCGGAGCCTTCTGGTCGCCGGATCTGCGCGCCATGAGGCCGGCCTCTGCGCCCGAGTGCTCCGCGACTCGGCGGCTTGTGCCTGATCACGATTGGAATCCGCCGGGAAGCTCAAGCCAGGCACCGAAGTCGTCCGCGTCCTCGTCTTCGACTTGTGCGCCGCCAGCAGCTCTGTAGTCGAAGCTCCGTGCATCAGGTATACCGTATAAAGCAGGAAAGGCAGGTTCCAGAGCCCGTGTACCAGCTGTAAAGGGGACAACTGCTGTCACGGCATGTGCACGTGCGAGACCATTGGGAGTAGTGGCCCTGACTATCGCGGAAGCAAATGGTCATACGAGAGCGTCAGACCGAGTCACTGGTTACAGCGATAGCATGTACGCACTAGTGCCGTTCCATCCAGCCACACTAATTAGTCTAGCGGCGTCGGACAAAACCACAGAGCGTGGGGCTCGGTATCGGCTGAGGTAACCGTTGTGCGCCTCCGATCGCATGGGCTTTGTAAACAATGTATCGGGCGCAGCGTCTCGTTGGGACGGCCTGTGGTTGACCGCGCTTTTCTGTGGTGCTATGCATGCAAGTCGGGCGCATTGTGTTGACGTACGAAATCCAACTGCGTCAAAGTGCAGCGAATCTACGCGCCGGGCCCGCCGCACACCCAACCTCAGGACGATGTGGCTCGAGATCAAAGAGGACAGAACATTCGCTCGGGCAAGAACGCATCTCATACGTGAGCATGCAGGTACTCAAGTCTTGTATTCTAGAACTGAGATACTCCACTATTGGACTATTTCCGGATGAGTCTCGTACATCAGCGTTTCCTAAACGGGATAGTGATCGTGAACCGAAACAACGGACGCTCATCTGGATAACGGGGTTGACGTCATCCTTTCAGCTGGTCTTCGGGAATCCGCCCACAGGCCGTGCAACATATCTGTACATTGGAGGGCAGTCAATACCTCATGTATGATATGTGCATCTCATTCTCTGCCTTGAGAATGCTGCAGATCCTCCCGAGTTCAATGCGGGATAGCTTGGCATAAAACACGTGCCACTGGGATTTGCACACAATATTACTCTGCGTCCCAGGTTTGCCACTTGACTCCAGCCTCTAGGACTGGACAAGTACTTACTGGCACTGGAATTGTCACGACTCACCGCGGAACAAAGTCGCTCACATACCAGTAAACCGCGGAGGTCTCTCCAAATGCATGCGTTTGTATACCATAAAACGCGGCCAGGGACCCGGAGTGCGATGCGCAGCAACCAAGCTAAGTAGTGGTAGGAGCTTATCCACGCCTGTGCGGCCAGAGTGCGGTGGTCCAGGGTGGTCCTTGACGGCGACAGCGTGCGTGCGACGCGCCTGACATTGCGAAATCCGAGGCTCTGTGGGTTTCTGGACTGGGGGAAATATGTCCGCGGCCATGCCACCGAATACCCGCTGGTGCTCTATACACAATACACGCATTCCGATGTCGATACGTGACCCGGAGACGTCTGCCACACCGTCTCTGTCTGCAGAATCAAGAAGGTGTGTGCCATGTACGCCGCCGTAGAGATACACATTACCTGGTCTACTACTATACTTTACGTAGCTGATACGGAGTCGGTTGGCGGGGATAGCAGACACAGAGACTCCTCCCCCAATCTTGCAGCCACTCTGCAGGCTCATCGGCGGGAGCAGCACTCACTCAATCATGCGGGCACCTGCCCTGTGCTTTGTGACGCTTGTAGCTGTCCCGCCTGGAGAACACCCCGTCGCAGTCCTCACACCTAACCTGGAAGAGCTTGAGGTGCAGTGTGGCGACGTGCTTCGCAAGGTTGCTAACAGGCTGCCCGCACCGACCGCCCCCGTCGTCCCACTGACATTTCACTTTTCCAGTACTGCCCCTCGCGAGGACGGAGGCCGGATCGTGATATTCTTCGAGGTGTTTCCGCACGGCCGGAATACTCGCCCGCAGAGAGTCTGGCGTGAGATGGGCACACGGACCACCGAAGAAGCAGATGGTGTCCACAGCATTGCGCTGCACGGCATCCCGCGTCACAGTAGGTCCCCTGCGCAGCATCAGCGTCTTATCTGATGAGGTTGCAGTGAAGGCAACATTCATAGGTACTCACTGTACAGCCAACGGGCACCCATAGGCCGGTTGATGGCACTCATCCGTTGCATTCGCGTAGTATGCCTCGATTGGAGGGTATTGTGCCGTTGCACTGACTTGCGGTCTACGAAGCGATCGACAATCAGCCACGGTACGATGAATGATGTGGACGCCCTACGTACTGGGCTCCTTCAGCAGGAGAGTCACAGGCGTCGTATGGGTAGCAGGGGAACTCCCAGGAATCCGGTGCATAACCCTTAGCTTCTGAGTACATCGTTCTGCTAGGCCACATAAATGGAACTCACCCATATAGTATCAGTCAATAGGCTACTCACCTTTCTCCCCCCAATACATAGCCAGCCGGACCCCCGGGCGTAGCGGGGTCGATCCATTGAGGCGGGGGCGCACAAGGACAGTCGAGGGCGCCGTCCTGGAGCCACTCGTCGAAGCTGGTATGATAGGCACAAGACATGTCGACGACGCAAGCGGAAGAGAGGTACGGTATGTGTAAATGGCTCCAGAGACGGTTATGTACCTGCGGAACGCTCACCTCCACTAGCGCTGCTGTCACTGGCCGACTCCGCCTCTATATCTGTTGCCGCCTCGTGGGCTCCGAGTCGAGGGGTACAGGACCATCACACGGAACCCTCGCGATGTCAAAGAACACTTGCTTCTTGACCAGTACCTATATCCAACTGACAGCGAGGCGCAGCAACCCTGTCTTCGCAGAAGTGCATGCATGCCTTGGACTTGGATGCCTTGCGCTCGGGCTGTGCGAACCTTGTATGCACGTCCTCGTGTGTATAGGTTAGGTTGTGCCGGACAATTCGGCGGTTTTGTCGAACCTTCCCTGGATACCGATGTCGACAGAGTCGATGTCTTCCATGCGAATATCTCAACACAGAACGTCATCTTCATACGAATGGAGCCTCTCGATTGCCTTCACCGGCGAAACGGTTCCCCTTGAGGCAGTGCTGTTCCTAGGCGCCAGCGCGTCACTGCTCGAAGCGTAAGTACTCTATTAGTATCACCGCGTTGAATCGCGGACGCCTTCATCCATATAATCCTGTGCGATACGGGAGGCCTTCTACCTGCGATGACCACTGAGTATAAGGTTTGCATCGCATAGTCTGACTGTTTACATTACCAAAACGCTTTGCATGGAATGCACTGGCTATAAGAAAACGCGCGACCCGCGTCCTGCAATGTCCAACCGCGGATGAATAAATCTGCATAGCATCAGGGTATTAGTTCCTCACAGTGATTGCATGTCACTGCGGGGCCCATGGAGAGACTCAACAAAAAGGGAACTTAAATAACGAGCACCGGCTATGTACAACCTGCCATACTGGAGCGATTAGAAGTCATACCCCTCCACCTTGAAGACTTTGCCGTAGTTCAGGTACCCCTCCATGATCTTCGCGATCCCCTCGGGTAGGCCCATACTCAACAAGGTGTACGAGATTTTGGCGTGCCCGTGTATTTGCCCGAGCCTGAAGACGCAGCGCGCTATTTGGGTTGGATACTGATACCGAACCATCAGTGATCAATGAAAGGTAGAAGAGTTGCCGTCCTCGGGCTCACCGTCATTTCGGTATATTCGCCCCACTGATACGCGGCAACGCGGATGGCGACCTGCAGTGTCCGCTGGATGTCGCCCTCCTCGGCATACATGTCGAGCAGCTTCGACCACGGCTTGTACGAGTACCGAGGAGAGTCAAGACAACGCGTGTACGCCTCCTTAGCTTCCTCCTTGTGGAACAGACGGGCGCCTAGATCGCCGAGGATCTCCCACTCAAGGGCCGTCTTCCGGTACGCAACATGCTGCGTTTTGAAGTGCGCGACCTCCGCACGGAAGATCGTCCAGATACGCAGGTCCTAGGAACACAGCCGTCAGACGGAGCGCTCGCGTCAGCATAGCATGAAGAGAGTATACCTCGTAAAGAACCATGAAGAGGTTATCCAGCCAGCGCTCGCAGAGACGCTTGTTGCTGAAGGAGAACGGCTCCTGGCCTGGGCCCCCGGATGAGTCTCCGTCCTGTGCACCGTCCCCCGAGCCAGCAGCAGCCTGCACAGGCCTCTCCAACACGTCAGCAGCAGCCTGGCCCATCCCATTCTCTATTGCCTCCCCATTCCCGTTCACCGCCTTTTCAGAGTCTGCCCCCTCCGCCTGCTCTACTTCGGCCTCAACCTCAGCCTCGGCTTCCGCCTGGGCCTGGGCCCGCTCGCGGTCGCTCTCCGTCGAGATCCGGATAAGTGGGATCCCATTCGGGCTCGCTTCCGCTGCAAGCCCTTCAGACTCGCCTACCGCAGACGCGTTCTGTGAGTGCCCCGGGGACACCATCCCGCGCGTCGACGCGTCGTCGTCGGCCTGCGCCTTCGACACGAGCGTCGCGCTGTCGGGGAGGGACGCCTCGCGCTTCGGGAGGCCGTTCGCGGTCGTGGGGGTGGCAGCAGGCGTGTACGTGCGTACGTCGGCTTGCGCCTTCTGCATCCGGTACTCTTCCTCCATGACGAAGACGGAGCTCCGCGTCTTGAGCAGTTCGTCCCACCCGATTTGTGAGACGAGGCGAGTAAGGAGCGCGTACGCGCGTGACCAGGTGCCGCGCAGGCCCGGTGCGGGCAGGCGGAGGAGAGCGGGGTCGGCCTAGAGGCAATGTGAGTGGGGGTCTAGCAACGAGAGTATCGATGTACTGACCTCGTCGTCTTCTGTTTTGATCCGCTCAGGGAGGATCTCGACGATCTGGCCTTTCGGCGGAAGGTGAACGCGGGCGGCGGTCAGATTACGATGTGCGTCTCGGCCGTTGTAGGTGAACATAGGACATGAGTTCAGCGTCAGAAGCGCCTGTGCACACATGAGTCTAATTACTGTCGCGAGTTAATGGCCACCTACGGAGTCAAATTGTCCGAGGTCAATGTACAACTCGGTCAGCTTCTCCCATGTCACGAACTCGCTGGGTGCGCAGTTGACGGCTTGCTTCGCCAGCTTGAGCGCCCATTCGTAGTTACCTTTTGAGCGGAGGAATTCACATTGCGCGTGCAGGAGAGTGTAGGACTGCGGTGTTTGTTTGATCGCGGCTGCCATGATCTGTACTGCTTTGACTTCCTCGTCTGTGACCAACCACATTAGACGCGCGGGACAGAGAAGGAGAGGTACACGCACTCATGCCGATGTAGCTCCGCGCAAGTAAAGACGAGAGTTCGGGCTCCTTCGCGCTCAGCTTCTCGAACAGGTTCGCGGAGTGCTGATACCGCCCGCTGTCACCGAAGTACTTCATGATAGCAGATGTAAGGTGGTTCGAGACAATGGTCGCGACCTGGATCTCGGGCTCCGAGCCAACCTGCCAGCCTGTCCCACCATCCTTAGCGGCACTCTTTACATTGTCTAGACTCCGACCCACCTTTGCTGAAGAGGGTCTCGGCGGCCTGGAGGAAGCGCAGCTCACCCTCAGGTGTGGTAATCGGGTCGAGCTTGCGGTAAGCATCCAGCCAATACGCGGAGTCATCAGAGTATAGGATCGCTCGTAGGATAGCGGATAGGTAAACCTCTTGCCACATGTCTTGCGTGTCTTGGTTGAGATCGTGTCTACACCGTGCACGTTAGCGGGGAGGCCATGATACGCCATGTTATCGTTCACGGAGGCAAGATGAAGGACACTGTCGAAGGTAGACATAGCCTATAGAGATGGCGTCCGGCAGCCGAGGCTGGATGACTCACTGCTGCTCCCGGAAGAGCACCACTTCGCCATCCTACTCAACGAAGTCAGAAACAATACAGCTTTGTGGGTCCTCGCAAGGTGTGAAACGTGTGCACCGGGGTTCCCTGGACCCAAAGCCAAGCTCGGACTACAATCGCACTCGGGCATGTTTTTGACCCCTTTCTGCACAAACATGCCTGTCATGACACCGGTTCACAAGGGTCGCTCATCATCGGGGCAAGGCTCGTCCAGAACGCAGCGGCCCGAGAGCTCTAGCGCTCTGTGGCACAACCTACGAGACCCAACCGCCTAGGAAACTCGGCGTGGCTTCACGGACGACTCCTGTTCAGTCGACCGTCATGTGTTCATATGCAAACTACAGTTCCGCCTGGGAGAGAGCAAACCAGTACGAGAACGCAGACAAGTACTCACCTCTCGCCACGCAGATCGACAATATACGCGTTTACGCCACCGGGTATCTTGACGTCGACGCGTACGTCGACGCGCGAGAACGCATTGAAGCAACTGGAGCACACTAAGTGTGATGGATGAAGGACTCAGAGACAGTACCACGCACCAATAGCACCCATTCCGGACCTTCCAAGCCGAGCCCTTCGAGAACCAACCCGAGTCGTCTTCAATAGCGTATGTTAGGGAGTTGATGTAGGCAGCAAGAGAGGCTGAGGACGATGCATCGACACCGGACACATAATGATAAGATCCGAGCTGTAGTTCATCGTCGCGGGTCAATATGATTGAGGACGGCTACGAACGCGGTACGGTATGACACCGGAGCACTCACGTCGCGCTGCCCATTCCGCCCAGTGCTCTTCATGACATGGCACAAGTCTGGGGGTCCAAGCTCTCTCCACGTAGCTGTTGATGCTGGTCAACCTCCGAACATATCGCCAAAAACGCGGTTGTTACTGACATAAAGCTTCAGTACGCGCGGATAGTGCTTCGCCAACATCGACCTGTGCCGCGCCCTCGCAATTGAGTCTCGCGTAGACCCTCTAGCCCGTGACATTCCAACACACCTCAAATATCTCCGGAACGTCTTTGAAGGCCGCATCCGCCATTGCGGCGTAGTGTTAGGAGGTATGAGCTCAGCGTGGTCGTGGTCGTGCTGCGTCCAGCCAGCGTGGTGGCGCGTCCGGGCGCGACGGCGGCGGCCAAACAAACACACCACCACCTACACCACCACGCTCATTCAAACTGCCATTATCGCTCGAAGCTCGACGCTGCCCGCTTCCCCTTGCGCTCGTCGTACCCCCACCTTCAAAGCGTCTTTCGGGTCTACTTAGTTACGATTGCTGAGAGCGGTGGACATCGGCCTGCATGTCACGCAGCTGCTTGGGCATGGGAGTGAACTCGGACTTGTTCTGGATGCTTCATGTTGATTATCTGCAGACCTAGCAGCTGCGTGACAGACCGCGCTGCGCAGAAACACTCATGGGACATTGTCTGGTATGTGTGGCTTCTACTCTACATATCTGGTTATGCACTTGTGTTGTACCGCGTTCGCGGGGTTGCGGTGCTCGTCTGTTTCGACAAGCACATATGCATGTACACGCATGTGCGTTCGAGGCCTACTTTAAGTGATGCATGGGCTGTCTGGTGACTTATCGAACCGTTATAGGTGCTCCTGTTGACTCAGGCGGTGTATGTCAGAGTCGGGACGATGAGCGTAATGTCCTCATTCAAGTTACAGTGGCCGGTTACTCTGAACCTAGTGCCCCAACCAACGTCACAGAATGTGCGTGTCCAGTCATCAACATCATCGGAAGCAATATGCACACAATGCCGGCGAATCCACCGTCCGATTCCAGGTCATGGTATGATCGAACATGTTGCGATGCGTGTTCGAGGTTCTGGAGCTCTGGTCTGACGCTATTGGTTGACTTCCAGTGGAGGTGGTTCTCCTTGTCGTCTCTCGCCTGATCACCCATTGGCTCCCACAGTGGCATCGCATTCAAATGGTACTCAGAGCAGTCTGGGCTTGTCCACTGGGACCCTTGAATCTAGACAAACTCGAAGCCTCTTTCCTATCGCACTTTCCGGAGGACTCCTGGCATGCGTCGCTGTGCGAAGATTGGTTGACTGTCGCGCACCCATCGGAGCGCGCACCCTCTGTACACCAGGTGGGTCTAGGCAAGCTATATCTACGATCCTCCTTAACAAGCACTGCGGGCAGGTCTGACTGTTGATTTCCATTGGCTAAAGTAACACTTAGATCCGTCCCCGGCCTGTTGTCTATTAGTTTCGACAGTTGCATCGCTCAAGACTAGCACCGAGAGCAGCCTAGATCTGTCCACCGAAAGCCCTGTGTTCCAGTTGTGAGAGCCTCGAAACCCTTTGCGCTACTAGCCTAAAGGACCCATGTTCTGTTGAGTAATGATTGGTGACTTCCCTTGCGAACTCGTTGGATGATGTATGATGCAGGCGTGGTACGGATCACGTCCACCGTCCGAGTCTATCCACAACTGACTCGGTGGATTCCTCACCAGGCTCGTCTGTCAGGCCCTTTCGTCCACCGGTACCCACTACCACCAAGATCGATTCCGTTCGCAGCCTCCCACCCTCTCTAGCGAGACAATTCAGTATGCACTCGAGACACCAAGAGGTGGACGAGTCAGGATTGTGCTCGAGGTACTTAACGCACCGTCAACGCTTGGCTTCTCACCCCGCCTACCATCTATGATACCGCAGCGACATGTACAACTTCACTACACCCTCCCAGCTCTACATCCCGCTTGATCACACTCGACAAGCGACGCGGAACGCTGCAGCTTCCCGTCCTCACAATCCTCCCGTCGTACAGTGGCCTAGCATGCCTCCGGGTCTGTCCACCGCTGTGACACAGGACTTCATCGCGCCCTTTGGGCACATGCCCGCAGGCCCCGCTGCGTGAGTAATGCATGGCTTCTCCTTGCTATGTACGCTGAGACCCAAGGTCTACCCGCAGTGCGACGTCTATGTCAGCCAGTAATGGGGGCAACGTCAACTATCAAGGACTCGGAGGAGTCTGGATGAGTCCCACAGCGCAGTACAACGGCGACCCGCAAGCGCTAGCGCCGTAAGTTGTTTGAGAGGGTTGGCACCTTAAGTGGGTCATTGATCGTCATGCAGATGGTCGCCTGCAGTGCAAGCACCGCCATACGATCCAGTACAAGAGCGTGCAACGGGTCTGTACACGACCTTTATGTATCCGTGGGTCACGTTTAGTACCCAGGCACCACATGTGCTGCCCGCCGATGGCTACGCTGTAGATCCCGCACTTGAAGCTGCAGTCGCGGCGGCACTGTGCTTCTACGGCGGTCCCTGCTTCCACCTCTCTCAGGATGACGTAGACAAGAAGATGAGGGGCTTGCGCCATCACCTCAAGCAGTGCCACGCGCACCAGTTCAATGTTGGCCGCCGCGCCGGTGGCACGCGGATCATCTGTCAATGGGCCGCCGATGGACAGCCGCCATGCAAGGTGGATGTTCAAGACATGTATTACCTCGCCAAGCACATTTGGACGAAGCATCTCAAGGGCATGCAGGTTAAGTGCGACGTTTGCGGTGACGTGCTTTCGCAGAAATTCGCGCTCAACCGGCACAAGAACCGGCATCACAGCAAGTAAGATAGAGTAGACGTCCGAATCTTGAGAGTTCCTGTACCTACTACATATATGCCTAGATCTCTACAAAAGCCTGTAGTCTCACAATATGTATATCTTTTGCAGCTCAGTTGCGTCTGAATGGCAGTCATTCGTAGTCTATTTAGATCTATTGTCTCTTGCGCGTGACAACAAGCAACAGTCGATGAACACCGGAGGTACACAGCAGGTGTTTCGGTCCATGTGTAACTTGGCTCTTATGTGAGTTTAGTTTAGATGCCTACGGAGCCGGTCATGTTGTACCAAGAAAGGATACCTACAACACAGTATGCTACAGCAACACTTGAGATAGCACTGAAAATGACAAGCCCAAACACGTCACATCATAGATCATGTCGTAAATCATACCGTCACCCCTTCATGGCAGCCTCTCTGGCACACAGCAGCGAGTGCCTACGCCTTCTCATCGACGCTGTCGTCCTCCTTACCAGCGCTGATCTTCTCGGCGAGCGCCTCCTCATCGCCCTCGTCACCGACCTCGCCGTTCCACCCGTTCTCCGCGAGGTAGCGGAGCCACTTCACATCCTCGTCCGCAAGGTCGGCGCCGGTCAAGTCCGGCACGAAGAAATAGGTAACGAGCACGCCGGCGACGCCGCAGATCGCCGCAATGATGAATGTCCACCTGTGCGGGCATGAGCGGATGGTCGCAGAAGACGGATCAAGAGATGGCTCAGACGCACCGTTTGCCGAGGTTGTTCTCGATTGGTGTGAACGCCTGCGTGCCGATGGCCGCGCCTGTCTTCCCAATAGCGGCCGACAGACCATAGCACGTCCCCCGAATCGCAGTTGGGTACGATCTACGACAAATCCGGAGGCGCACTTCGTCAAGCTTGTCCTGAACATTCAGTGATCATACGTACTCAGCGCTAATGAGCCCAAGCATATTTCCGGGGCCCATGTTCCCCGAGGACTGCATCAAGCCATAGCTACAGGACGTATGCACCGTGAGATGGATGGCTCCGGCGTACTCAGATAGAACGAGGATCCACGTACAAAATGATGAACAAGGGAACGATCTTGGTGATCTTGTCGTATGACAATCCAATGATCAGCCCTGCCGATGGCGATTCGATGGACCGACATGCAGAGATCAACACAGATCGTCATCGAAGGGTGTATTCAGCGAGGGCAATTGACACCGGGAAAGAGGCGCAGTCAGATACATCAACGCCCACAACGCAGATCCGCTGGAGAAGATACCCACCGAAAACGAGGTACCCACTGAACCCAAGGATCATCTACATGCACCCACCACGACCCACCCGCTTAGCACCCTCGGCGAAATCGAGCGGCGATAGGAACGCACCGTATTCCGCCTGCCGAACGGATTGCACAACGCCGCGCCCACGAACACGCCTACGCCGCATGGATCAGTAGCTCGTTTGCACATACTGATGGACGAAGTCCTCCATGATGTGGACCACGCAGGGACCACGAGATAATGAATTGAGGAAGGGAGACGTACCCGGCAAGGCGATTGCCCCAAGGAGGAGCTGCCACTCTGCTGTCGACCTGATGCTGCCATCATGAATGACGCTCGAGATAATTGTACCCGAGAACACGCCATTTGGGAAGGTCACCTACAGACCACGGCTCAGCATAAGTACAGATTCCGATTATGGTGAGCCGGAATAGGGGGGGAAATGAATAGAAAGGGGGGACAATAGACGTACAAAGTCGTAGAGGAACCACGCGCCGCACGTCCCGATGAGTGGGCGCCAATAGCGCTTGATGGCGAGCCAGTAGGGCACGCGGTCTGAATGCGATGGGGTCGTCAGTACGGATATTGAAACATTTATGGAGCCTACGCACGCTTGATCGCAGACTCGCGGAATCTGTAGACCGAGGGTCAGTGACGTATGGTACGAGAAGTGAGGGACGTGACTTACAGCTTAGGCGAAAGCATGCGCATCCGAAAGTAGAACACGGTGAGCGGGAGGAGGACGCCGATCCCGAAGCATACTCGCCAGACGGTCTCGAGGTGGTCCTCGCCTGCCGCGCTGAGCACAATCAGGAAGACGCACACCGCGAGCGGTCCGCCGAACTGCAGGCCGGACTGAGGTCAGAGAGCGGCAGCTAGCCGGGTTGCTGGTTGGAGACTTACGCTGAGCACGAAGTTTGTGACCATGATGAAGACTGTAGGTGGACGGGTTGCCAGTGAGAACGAGAGCCGAGGAGGGGGTGATGTGTAGTACCTGGTCCACGGTTCTTGGCCATCTTCTCGTTCGCGGCCTCGCTTGCGCTTGTTGAGCTCGCGGGATACTCTCCGCCGACACCCTAGCACACGAGCCCATGATCATTAACTCGAACCGCAGCGAGAGAAACCTGGATGCGAGAGATAACGCACCACGCCAGTAATACCGCGCGCAATGGCGACGAACCACAGCAAACCACTGACGCTCCCGTGTGCGCCGTGTGCAGCCGTGGCGAGTATCGCACCGATGACGATGAGGAGCGTCGTGATGACCAGAGCGGCTTTCCGCCCGATACGGTCGCAGATCAAGCCAACGAAAACCTGACCGATGATCTCGCCTGTATGATACTCGTCAGCCGTGGCAACCCGTGAACAGATACCGAAGATGAGATCTTCGCTCGCTGGGAGGAGGATGATAATACTCACCGACTAGAAGCGCGTTCGAGACGCGGGTGGACACGGTGGACGTGTATTCCGCTGCGTATAGCTTCTTGTACACGACCTACAACAGACGCACATATCCGAACCGTTAGCTGCCGTCAATTTCCCGCCGTAGATCCCTTGGAACATAGGGCTCGACCCTCAGTGACAATAAAGGAACGAAACAAACGAACAAATGGCAAGATCCCCCGGATCCCCATCTAGCGACGTACTCACATTCGTCATCGTCATAAGGTTGTTTTGATCTTCATTACAATGGCAGGAGTCATGAGTTGATCAGCCAACAAATCCAGATATGAGAACAATGTCAGAAAACCCGACTGGCCGCCATAAATACCGGCCGTAGGACGTCGACCTTGGGATCAACCAAGCATCATCGTCCACCGCTTCGCCAGTGTGAAGGGCTAGTGACCAGCACCACTATGGAGTAGGGCGCGCCGGGTTTTCGACAGTCGAGGACAGTCGAGCCTGGACACTCACAACCATCGGATATGAGCCCAAACGCGGCAGCGGCAATGGTGAAGTACGCGCTGAGCCTGGCCTTCTTGCTCATCTTGCTGTCCTCCGGATCTCTCGTAGCTCTTGTATCCAACGCGGGCACCGCGCTGATGGCCTCCCTCGTGGTCTGCTTCTCTGCGTCGTCCGACATCTGGCACGCTTGGAGTTGAGGTAGTCCGTGGGGCAAAAGGCTGCAACACCAGTCCTGCAGTGCAGTTGAGCAAGGACTGAACAAAGACCGAGCGACTTGAAACGCACTGATGGGTTCGGTGAGGCTTTATACCCGCACGCGTGAAACAGAAGGCCCCAAGACGGTGGTGCTCGGATGCCGGAGAGAGGGCCAGGTCGCGCGACTCGGAGAGAGTTGCGCCTCTTATCCACAGCAGGACAGGGACGGCCCAGGGACAGAGGCAGACCCGTGCGCTGCTTGTCGTATGGCTGCACAACACACGTGCACCGCCCGCCCCAATCCCAGTCGGGCGCCTGTGCGGGGTCGGCGCTCGGGATCTCGATGTCGATCATGATCGCAGGAAGACCCACGTGCAAGGAACCTCGGAGCCGGAATGGGACGGCAATGGGCGCCTGGATGGCGGGCGTCGTTCACGCCAACGTTGCTCGCCCGACTGGCTCAGCCAGGGCAGCCCCTGTCAGTACATCGCAGCAAATAGCACGCAAAATGCGGAAGAGGTCCGGCAGAGATTGCGAGCTAGCGCCGCATATCCATTTCTAGCATTCAGTAGACTCGGGCGTGGTCGAGACCTCTGAAAAGCACGCCAGTAGAGTACTATTTCGATGATGCCCGGCGCTGTGTGGTAGCGAGGGTTAGTCGGAGCTTGTCAGGGCCTAGGGGTACATGTTGAGGGCAGGAGCGCTCGTAGGGCAACACAAGGAGTGTGGGTGATCCTGCACGAGAGGAGAGGTAGGATTCACCGGTACTGAGGTCCACGGACTGGCAAGGCGGAGGAAGTGCAGTTATTCGGCCTCTTCGGCCTGGTCCATAGGCTGGAGGGTACGCCGTTCAAAGGAGGATCGTGCAGCATTGGCTGGTTAGCGGGTGGAGTACGCGGCTGTATCTCGGAATTCATAGAGTCCTCGTACCTTAAAATGACTGATATTCGATCGTTGCATGTATGTCGCGGTGTGATGCCGACGGGTCTGAATGAACTGAAGTGTCAATGATCGCAATTGTCCGCGTTGTAGCCAGCTACAGAATGACAAGCGAAGATGCAAGTGGACCTATCGAGTATCTGCAAGATGATTAGTATAGACACCGCCATATGCCCCGAACGTAGAATATAGCCAGAGTGGATGGAAAGGAGGTGGTCTGAGGTATGGAAGTGCATTTGACGAGCGTGAGAAGGGCCGCGAAAGAAGGAAGTGAGATGGGAGTGCGCGACAGATCTTATACATGCCTTGGGAAATCGTGTTTGATTCCTCATAATGGATAGTAATCAACGACTCTCCCGTGGTCACTCACAACTCCAAAGTCTTCACGACCATAGGCGGAGTGAGCGTCGAGGCACTGGGAGGCATGTGAGACAATTAGCGAGGACCTGAAGAGATTGAGTTTTGGATTGTGCACGCGCATTGTCTGCCAGAGAGGCCAAACGACGCTGAGCTTCTCTCGGACTGCGACATCGCTCAGCGGGCGGCTCGACTATCCATCTCCCCACACTACTCCCACAGAAGAAGCATGGGGACACTGACTCGGAATCTCAGCGGACTTGTCATTCGTCTTCACCATTGTACACATATGTAGCTGCGGCGGTCGACTTGCCGATACTGTGAGAGAGAACGATGTCCGAGAAGCCGCATAGCAGATGCCGTTGTCCTTGATATCGCTGGACATACTAGTAGTACATCGCATGACACTCGTAAGCCTTCCCCAGCTGATCATGAAGGGCGACGTGCCAACTGAGGATGACGATGCATGAGCTGAAAGACAGATGAAGCGGTCATGAAACTCTTGATACTGCGATTGTGGCATTGTCTGTTTAAGCCCAGAGTTTGTGTGAAACTGAGGGCAGTAAAAACTCGCTATGCCGCGCTTCGTCCAAGCCAAGGACACTGGCTTGTAAGTGCAAGAGCAGCTCACGGGCGCAGTGGGTCCATTGTAGTCATTCGGTAGTCAATGACATGGACCAGATAGCCGGGGGCGACACAAGTCCACGCAAGAAGAGTCCATGACAATTGAAGGAACGGCCGCGACGCAACAACCAAGCGTGTATCTGCATGCGACATACTTCCGCCGCACTCGCAGAGAAGCCACTGTATGGTCACCTATGGGCAAAAGAGATCACTGTGCCGAACATTGAGGTTGCACGGTATGGCACATACCATTCAAGGAACAGCCGTGTAGACATGTGCAGCGTTCCGTCACACGGCTTGTGAGCCGTAAACCTTCGACTGGCTCGCATGGCTTCCGAGAACCTTGGTGAGGTGCTGTGAGGTGCTATGGCCTGCCCGCTGCCCGCCCAGCGCTCAGGCATTCCTGTCATGTTCAATGGCGCCGTGTGTAGTAAACGAAGCTGAGACCTGGCGAGCAACACTGTTATGACATTGCTGCAAGCAGGAACAGTCTCATGATTGTCTATTCACGGACCGAGTGCTATATAAAAGCGGAGGCCGTGACAGACTAAGTACAGTACATTGAACCTCATATTTGAACGAAGCTGAGACGCTTACATAATCACCCAACCATAGTCAGCCCATATATGGCAACTAAGTGTGGCTTGAGACACCGTGCTGCCCTCTTTCTCCTCCCTCCACGACCACACCGACTCCCATGTACTCGACGCCTTCGAAACGTGCAGCTTCGGGATCTCCGGAGAATGGAAGGCCAAATAAACGGCACGAACCGTCCTCGCCAGAGGAAGGAGAAGTAGACGATTCTCCGCCACCTCCGCCACGACAGGCGTCCCCACCTCCAAAACCCAAAGTCCCATTCCCCTTCAAGCGGAAGGCGCCTGCACGGGAGGATCCAGAACCATATTCTAATGCAGACAGATACGAACGGGGTCGGGAGGATGACCGGTACAGGTACGAGGACCGCCGATGGACAGTAGCCGAGCCCATGCGGCACGAAACTCGTGCAGCTCCTTCTCGCGGTGCAGACCGCTGGGAGCCTCCTGCAGGGAGGTACAATAGCTGGGCAGGAAGGGACCACTATGGTACCCAATATCATGACCGCGAGCGGGACAGGTCGCGAGAACGGGACCATGGACGAGACCGTGAACGGGAACGAGAACAGGAACGCGCGCGGTACGACCTCCCACCGCGCCCCGTCTCTCCTCGCAGCGTCTCTCCACGCAGGCCGTCGCCTCGCAGGCGGCAGTCCACCCCTTCGCGCTCACGCACACGCACTCCGGCACGCTCCAGATCCACCTCCACCCCGCGGTCACCCTCACCGGCGTCTGCAAGGAAGCAAACACATCGTTTGCCTACGCGGCGAGAAGCCGACACTTCGAACGCCCTTGCCGGATACTACCGCGACAGAGGTAGCAGCTTTGGTGCACGCAGCCGAAGCCGCAGTAGGAGCCGAAGCCGCAGTAGGGAAAGGCGGAAGCTGGCCAGGGACGACGACTACGACCGGAGAGACCGGAGGCACGATGGATATGACCGCGATGACTACAAACGGAAAGAGCAGAACCACAGTCTTGCGTCGCCTGGTGGGTATAGACCTGTGTCGCCCCCTGCAGCGGGCCCGTCGCGACCTCGTTCACCACACACGCCGCCACGTTCACCTCACGCATCGCAATCTCGGCCCACGTACCACCAGGATTACCAACCCACCACGACAGAGGCCACGAGAAAGGATGCGACGTTCCCCAGCACTCACACTGCGGTCAAGTTTACATTGCATGCTGTGAACAAGGGTCTGACACCTCTGCACGTGCTGTCACCTCCGCCCCTCGAAGTTGCCGCAAGAACGGACGTTGTGCGGAAGCCGAAGTCGCCTGAGCCCAAGGTAGAGGAGGGGCAAGTGGAGGAGAAGAAGCCCATACCGCCTCCACCAGTGCAACATAGAACGAAGCGGAAGCCGGTAGTGCGCTCGCGCGAAGAGGAAGCAGCTGTCTATGGCCGAATATTCGTCGGATGTGGTCGGCAGGATGACTATAACGTTCTCACCAAGCTTGGTGAAGGAACGTTCGGGTACGTGTCTGTTCAAGGCGTGCTCGCCAAAGTGCTCACCCGCTTACAGTGAGGTGCACAAGGCCGTGCATCGTGAAAAGGGCAACTGTGTTGCACTCAAGCGAATCCTCATGCACAATGAGAAGGAGGGCATGCCTGTCACGGCGTTGCGCGAGATCAAGATTTTGAAATCGCTCCACCACCAGAATATTATTGACATCCAGGACATGTTCCTCGTCAAGAGTGCGTGATCCTTCTCGTCAGCCTAATGCGTTGGTGACTGACGATGTGCAGGCAATGGCAAGGAGCCGCTCTCTGTCTACATGGTTTTCCCATACATGGACCATGATCTCGCGGGTCTCCTCGAGAACGAGCGTGTCAAGTTCACACCCAGCCAGATCAAGCTGTACATGAAGCAGCTGATCGAGGGCACGGAATACATGCACCGGGTATGCAGATACTGTCCTACCGTATGGGCAACTTGTTAAACCCTCACAGAACCACATCCTGCACCGTGACATGAAGGCGGCGAACCTGCTCATCTCGAACGACGGCTGCCTGAAGATCGCAGATTTCGGTCTCGCGCGCGCATTCGACCCGCGGATTACACAGGTCAAGGAGGATGTGCGCGGGAAGGAGCGCAAGTACACGAACTGCGTCGTGACGCGGTGGTACCGTCCGCCGGAGCTCCTGCTTGGTGTGCGCCAGTACGGCGGAGAGGTTGATATGTGGGGCATCGGGTATGTACATTCTCGTGTCTGATATGCGGCGATGGTCTTGACATCGTCGTAAGGTGTGTGCTGGGTGAAATGTTTTGGAGAAGGCCCATTCTTCCCGGCGGATCGGACATCGACCAGCTCGAGAAGATATGGCAGCTGTGTGGCACGCCGAACGACCAAACTTGGCCTGGCTGGGACTTATTGCCTGGCTGTGAGGGTGTTCGATCATGGACCCACTATACTCGGCGACTCAGGACGGTCTACGAACAGTGAGCATTACCGTTCTTGTGTAACCGCGTGGGATTCACCGCGTTTGTAGGCTCGGTCCGGAGACGATCGATCTTATGGACAAGCTCCTGACGTGCAACCCGAGGGAGCGTCTGACGGCGGAGCAAGCCCTGGACCACGATTACTTCTGGACAGACCCTCTGCCTGCTGATCCCAAAAGGTACGTGCACTTCTCATTTAGGCAATTCTGCATGCTTATCTTCCGCTCGTTCAGCCTGCCCAAGTACGAAGCTTCGCATGAATTCGACAAGCGTGGCAGGCGGGAGGGTGCCGGCGCTCCAGGTGGCATGGTCCCCTACATGGGTGCCTTCAACAACCCACGACCGCTCCCACCACCCATGGCTCAAGGCCCGCCTCAGCCAATGCACCGGCGCCCGCCTCCGACCCGCGACCAGTTCCGTTTCGGTCCAACTAACCACGGCCTACCCCCACCCACCACTCATGGTCTTCCCCAACCACCGTTTACTCACGCGCAGGTCTTCGGCCCGCCGCAGAGATCCTACGCGCCTCAGCCCACCACGCTTCCCCCCATCGTTCTCCGCCCGGGCCAACCGCCCCCGGGCATTGGTCCGTGGCCGCCTGCTGGCCCAACCTCAAGCATGAACATGCCGCCGTACCCACCTCCATCGTCTATGGCCCCGAGGCGCGCCCATCCCAATCCAATGCGACCCGACTACGGCGGGGGCGCCCCACTGAACTATGGCTGAGTCTCGCATTGACTTCCCAGTCTGCTAGACCTGGACACGCTTGCAAATCGAGACATCATCTACACAGCTTTCTCATCAATTTGATTTCATACCTCGCATCACGCAGTGTTACCGTCGCATAAGTACTCTCATCGCAAGTTACATGTTGGACAGGTAGTGTAAGTCACTGGATGAAACTTTCGATCCTTCAAATGAAAGATCGATAAAATTGACAAAATCTTTTTCACGATATTTCGTATGAAAGATTGTCAATAAATGTCAGAAACAATCAGTTAATCATTCAGACTCGAAGTATCAGGAACAGATCACAGAAGGATTCATTGACAAGTGTCTTTGATCTGTTTGTGATCCTCTAGGCAAATGATTGAGAACATGGTTTTGAATATTGTGTGGCTCAATTGTTCTGAAAGGATTGCTAATGGATTGTCACATGGGGTGTTACATTCTGTTCTCAATCTTTCAGGCTGTTACAATCTGTTTTCCAATCCTTCCAGCTGTTGATATCTTGGTGAGATTGGAAACAGTATGTATCCCAGGGATTCAAAACAAATTGCCCAAAAAGATTGACAAGGGATTGTGACTCTAGCTGTGACACTGTGACACTTCCCTATGACAGAGCAGTGAAGGCAATCATGCCAAATCTATGATGAGCTGCCTTCTGCTGGTATGCTCAGTCATTGTTGGTCCCTCATTCATTGTCTGCCATCACATAAGTCTCATTAGATGCACTCAATGTACAGGGTTGTACTTGTGATTGTACATTCCTAGAGATGTGCATCTCATTGTATGACTATTGAACACTTGTACAACCCCTAGACTTGTACATCTCATTGTACATCTACTTGTACAACCTCTAGACTTGTACATGTCCAATGTAGAGAGTTGTACATCTACATGTACATATCTCAAGGTTGTACATCTACTTGTACAACCCCTAGACTTGTACATCTCATTGTACATCTACTTGTACAACCTCTGGACTTGTACATGTCCAATGTAGAGAGATGTACATCTACATGTACATATCTTAAGGTTGTACATCTCATTGTACATCTACTTGTACAACCTCTGGACTTGTACATGTCCAACACACGAAGATGTACATGTCCTTGTACATGTCCAAGACTTGTACATCTCCATATACATCTCCAATGTAGCCTCCCCTTGTTCTCCTCGAGCGATATAATTGCGTCGATCTAGAGCAGCCCAAGTCAGCGCCGTATGCAATGTCAAGGTCATGGTGCGACGTACCATCTCGATCACCACCGAGGCGCGGCCGATCGCTGTGGTGCCTGGATGCGATGATTGTCGACGAGAACTGACAGGTGGGTTACTGGGAAGGGGTGTGACGGGGAACCGCTCGCGCGTCAGGTCAATGAGCGGGAAGATATCGAGCCCGTTCGCGCGCACAATGAGACCGCGTCCGAACTCCTGCACGCGCCCGACGTCGCTGGGCGCGAACCGCCCAAAAGCAATGTCACTCTTGACGAGACGTGGTGCGGCAGCGGCGAGACCGAGCCCGCCCCCTGCCCTTGTCACGAGACGGGATATCTTCTTGGCGGTCGCAGAGAAGTCGGAGCCAGAGGGAGAAAGCTTGAAGATGGAGCGATGTTCGCGAATCGCAGACTCGAGTACTAGTTCTAGTGAGCGCGCGAGAGCACTCGCATACTGTGCGATGATCGTACTTGCGAAGATAGTCGCGCTCGCCAGAATACAAAGGCTGGCATGAAGGACGAGGGGAAGGACGACTACCTTGCCGATGGTGTAGTATGGGTAGGGGAAGAGGACTGCGGTGACGAAGGATATGTCAATGGTGATAGTACCGAAGACAGAAGGAAAGGCGTAGGGACCGGGTCCCTTCTTGGCCTTGATGAACAGGAAGAAGGCCATGCCGAGGAAGGGCCAAGACCCAGACGGCGCAGATGACGGTTGGTCCGGTCTCGATGTACTGGCCGGAGAGGACCTCGGTTAGTGTGACGTTGTAGTCGGTGTGATGGCGGGCGAGATGGGCGAAGAATATGCCAAAGGCAGACCATCTGTGGACATGTTAGAATTAGACGCAATGCTTGTGACGACAATCGACGTACGCCCAACCGATGGTCATGAAGAGAGCGAAGATGAGCTCGCGTTGTAGGACGGAGATGAACGGATCGGCGGGTGGATCAAAAAGGGCAGCTGAAGAGAACGGGAGCTGGAGAAGAGGAGGAACGTGGCTGGGACGCACAGACAACAAGCAGGAATTTAGCCTGCAATGAAAATCAAGACATGAATCGCTACATGGATGCGGAGGCACTCACCTGGCCAGTAGGGCGCTGCTCTGTGTCGCTGGGCGAAGAGCGACCTTGGGAAACCCCGGGGCCCCAGGAGGGTCTCGATGCGGACATGGCGGAGATGCGGGGCATCGCGGGGCCCGTGGTAGGAGCCGTATGGGGGCTCGTCGCCGTCGTCGTCGCCGAGACGGGCGTCGTAGCGGAGGTTGGCGTGCCAGCTGATGTCGAGGACGTCCAGATATTGAGAATGGAGAGGGAGAGACAGCGGAGGCATGGCAGGAGAGGGAGGTACTCGCGTGCGGGAGAGGGGCACGCCTTCCGAGTCGCCAGACGCAGCAGAGGAGGGCTCTGCGAAGCGGACGCGCTCCGACTGGGGGCGGTCGGGGTCGGCGCGCGGGCGATCGTCGTCGTCCTGGGCGGCGTCGGGCGAGGGGGCGTGCTCGTGCATAGGGCGGCCTGGGGCGGCCGGGGCTGTTACATGAGCGTCGGACATGATGTAGCGGGGAGCGCGCAGAGACCGGGGTGCGCTGTACTCTGCGACGTGCAGGAGCGGAGAATGGCACCAGCGACGCGCGGCGCGCGCCTCCCGTCGATCAGTCGATCAACACGCCGCACGTGCCTCCCTCTTCCTCTCCCCGCCGGCCATGGACGACCCGTCACCCAAGCCGCCTGCCCCTGCCTCTGCAAAGCCCTCCCCGCTGTCCTCGCGATCAGCCGCGTCTGGTTCGCCCACACACTGCTTAAGCGCGTTGTCGTTTGTCTGACCTCCGGCGTCGACTCCCACGGTGTGTCTTGTCTGATCTTCATCCGCCACCCCATGTCGCTCACCTCCGGACAGGCGTACTTTCGTGCCCTCGAGCAGACCGAGGGGTGCGTCGGCGGCACGCTCACGAATCGCTGCGGCGACGCATTCATCCGCGGCAACAACGGCTACATGCTCCTTGGACCTTCTCCCACTCGCTAGTACGCCCACTTAATACTTATGAACAATCCCCTATTGATGTCCGTTAGGATACGTTCGAGCACGTGCTCGACGCATCGCGCGAGGGACGGCGCGTTAGAGCGACGTTATGAGCGCCCTCGCAGGCACAGCGGTGGCGGCAGGGGGCGGCCCTTTATTTCCTGGCGAACCTTTATGGGCCGTCGAACAAGGACTTGTTCCTGCTCGTCTGGATGTTCAAAAAGGTGCGTAACCCCTCGTCCTCTTGTTTGCATTCTGCTGACCGCCTCTCTAGCCAATATAATGTGTCAAGACTGTTCCTGAGCCTCCGCCCGGCCAGCTCGTAGGACATCAGGTTTTTGCGCCGTACGCCTCGATCTCCTTGCACTCCGTTCTTACCCTCCTCCGGCGATCCCGCCACGCAGGCCTACTATATCGCGTGGTTCAGCAATCTCCTCGACACGCTCATTTGCCCGACTCTTATCTGTCCGCCCTCCCGCAAGTGGCTCTTCCCGTCCGTCCCACTCGCCGCCCGCAGTGCTACCGATAGCAACCTTCAGGTGCCCCCGTGGCAGGCACGATCGGCAGCAAGGAGAACAAGACAACGCCGCATCGGAGATGTATATGGAGATGTACAACTCTTGGACATGTACAAGGACATGTACATCTTCGTGTGTTGGACATGTACAAGTCCAGAGGTTGTACATGTACATGTACAATGAGATGTACATGGCGCTGACTTAGGCTGTTCTAGATTGATGTGATCATGTCGCTCGAGGAGAACAAGAGGAGGAGGTGTATATGGAGATGTACAAGTCCGGAGGTTGTACATCTCGTCGAACATGTACATCTCGTCGAACATGTACATCTCGTCGTACATGTACATCTCGTCATACATGTACATCTCTTTGCATTGGATATGTACAAATCCAGAGGTTGTACATGTGCATGTATAATGGGATGTACAACCTTAAGATATGTACATGTAGATGTACATCTCTCTACATTGGACATGTACAAGTCCAGAGGTTGTACAAGTAGATGTACAATGAGATGTACAAGTCTAGGGGTTGTACAAGTGTTCAATAGTCATACAATGAGATGCACATCTCTAGGAATGTACAATCACAAGTACAACCCTGTACATTGAGTGCATCTAATGAGACTTATGTGATGGCAGACAATGAATGAGGGACCAACAATGACTGAGCATACCAGCAGAAGGCAGCTCATCATAGATTTGGCATGATTGCCTTCACTGCTCTGTCATAGGGAAGTGTCACAGTGTCACAGCTAGAGTCACAATCCCTTGTCAATCTTTTTGGGCAATTTGTTTTGAATCCCTGGGATACATACTGTTTCCAATCTCACCAAGATATCAACAGCTGGAAGGATTGGAAAACAGATTGTAACAGCCTGAAAGATTGAGAACAGAATGTAACACCCCATGTGACAATCCATTAGCAATCCTTTCAGAACAATTGAGCCACACAATATTCAAAACCATGTTCTCAATCATTTGCCTAGAGGATCACAAACAGATCAAAGACACTTGTCAATGAATCCTTCTGTGATCTGTTCCTGATACTTCGAGTCTGAATGATTAACTGATTGTTTCTGACATTTATTGACAATCTTTCATACGAAATATCGTGAAAAAGATTTTGTCAATTTTATCGATCTTTCACTTGAAGGATTGAAAGTTTCATCCAGTGAGTAGTGTACTATTGTTGCTTACCAGCAATCTGATTCGTTGTCTTCGCTCCGGGAGTTCTGCGGAGGCGTGTATCATGTTCAAAGATTCGGCACTCGAGTACTCAGGCCTCAGAGCCCTACTACCACAAATCGGCCAGCAAGGCGCACAGGTAGCGTTGACATTGATCCCAGGTGATGATATGACCGTGAGAGGTGCCCCTTGGTGTGCAGCATTCCACCATGGTTCCATGCGTTGTGGGCGAGCCCACCCTTAGTGTACAGTGTTTTGCGAATGGCATATGCATGGTAGGAGTGCATGTCACATGGAGCTCAGTATAGCGTATACGACGGCAGCAACAACATAGACGCAGGCAAGGAAAGACAGAAGAGGGAAGACGATTACTGGAACGCCAGTTAGCACCAGGAGACGCGGAACACAGGATGATACGCACGAAAGTGAGGGCAGCACCCTTCGTCTTCTTCTCACCACCGAGCTCGAAGCTGAGGTAAACATTAGAACGCAATGCCCAGAGTTCCATATCGATGTTAACGTACTGCTTGCAGCGCTTGAGCGACATCTGCATCTTGTACTTGCACACGGTGCACTCTAGCCGGAGAACGACCTTCTTGGTCGTCTTCGCCTATTGTACCCACAGCCGGCTCAGCGACCGGTTCGCAAGGAAACCAGATGGTACCTACCTTCTTGTGGAAGACGGGCTTGGTCTGACCACCATAACCAGACTGCTTACGGTCGTAACGACGCTTTCCCTGCGCGGCCAACGAATCCTTGCCCTTCTTGTATTGCGTAACTTTGTGAGGCCTGCAGCATATCGTCTGAGCATCTGGATACATCGTACAATGTCCTCAACTTACGTGTGCTTCCTGCACTGCTTGCCCTTGCAGTCTTCGCGCGCGTGCCAATGTCAGTGTTAGGTCTCCCTATCCTTGTAGCAAAGCTACTCACAGGTGCGTCGTGTCCTATGATGAATTAAACGGTCAAACAGCAGCTGAACACCGATAACGACGAGCACTTACTTCGGAACGTTGACCATCTTGAGGGCGTCGGCGGCGTTGAGTAACTTTTGGGCGGGCGATGGTGCTCGGCTTACTGGCACTAGCGGCAGTCCCCGAAGTGGCAACCAGTTCCAGGTTAGAGTTCAAACTCCGACGCTCTGTGGCTGGACGTCCATCAGCCACCGATTCCCATATCTGTGAATTCTACTGAACGCCCTTGAACGCCACGCTTTGTGAAAGGGCAGTGTCCGACACGACGGTGCAGGAGACATACCTCCTTGCGCATTATGATCGTCTCTCAACTTTTGCCTCGCTGTTCCAATTTCCAAGCTTCTACGCTCGCGTCAGCGAGCGATCCGCCGTTGCTTAACGTAAGGCAACAACACATTCAGTCCTGAATTATGGGCAAACACCAAGGGGAAAACCTGAGATACAAAACACGCCGATTGCTTTCAGTAAGATAGGGGTACGATATATAGCGCATAGACAGCGAGAGACAGCAACGCTACAGCAAATGAAGCAGACAGATCATTACGGCATCCATAGACAGGGAAGGAGCCCTCGTAACAAGTCGTGAGACATCCAAAGGAGCAAGGCAAATCATTCGGAGGAATGGCCCCTCGCCTTCCGTTTTGTAGGCTTCTTGGCCTGCTGCTTGATCTTGGCCTGAACATAGCCAGTGAGACTTTTAGACATCGCGGAGCGGTAAGTCGGACGTACCTTAGCTCGTGTCCTCGCCCCTCGCCCAAGTTTCTCTTCTTTCTCTTCAGCTTCGTGGCCATTTGCTTCACTATCTGAGTCGGAGGGTGCTGTCGCACGCCCAACCTCTTCCTCATCCTCGTCGTCCTCATCTGATGGTGACGACGAAGGCTCATCTTCATCAGAATCATCCGCCTTCCGGCGCTTTGCACTGGTTCGCGTTCGTCTACATTCGTAGTATAAGTTAATTGAAACGTGACAGGGAATCTGCTGCACTGACTTGGCTGTCCCGTTTGTTTTGGTGGTAGGGGCTTTCCGCTTGCCAGTTGTCTTACGTTCCACGCGAGGCTTCTCAGGCTATGGTACGACAAATCAGCACATAATAGACTTCAAAAGTAGCTAAAGGCTACCTTCGGCTCTTGGACAGCCTTCGGGTGAGCCTTGTGGTGCTCCTTGAGCCAACCCAGTGTTTCCTCAGGAAGATACACTGTCTTGATGATCTGTGTACCACGCCATACATCAGTTCAATGCCAGAGATACTGAATACAATGTCATGTAGACGAACCTCGCTGGCCGCCTCCGCGTTGGGTAGTGGCCGGAGGATGTCGCCTGGCAACCGAACCTTGCCCGGATAACTCTCGAGACTCCACGAGTGCTGCTTCGCACGAGCCTTGATGAGGTGCTGTGCCAGCTCACTGATAGCGTAGAGATTCTGGAGGAAAATCAGAAGATGGGGCAAGCCCGGTCTTGAGGACACTCACCTCGCTATACTTGTGGGAGACAGCGTCCCGCACCGTCTTCGCTTTCATAGCGAGGTGGTAAAGCAACGATATGTTCTCTGCGGTAGCGACATGCTCCAGGTAGAACTCGACGTATCTTAGATCGATATTCAGTCCAGAAGTCAAGAACACTAGAGGAGTGCACGAACTTAGCAAGATCTGGTAGGGCCTCCGCATTGACAGCGAAGTCCGGATGATGGGCGACGAGGTGCAGCAAGCGGATGAAAACGACTTCAAATTGTTGGAGGCGGAAAACTATCAAAAGTGTCAACCAAATGACACGCCCTCGGCTGATTAGGCAAAACATACCTTTAGGTATGCTGCGCAACGCAGTCATCACGTACGCTTTTGCCTGTATGCAGCCTACAGTCAAGACGTTGTAGGCCACGTTGACATGCACCACTCACCCTATTGATGACATCGGCTTCCGGGTCATGCACAGCCAAGAATGGAATGACGTTATAATTCGGTCCCAGCTTCCGCGCAGTCAACAAACCAACTAGCTTGTCCATGAACGTAATCCGGACTTGATAGCAAGGATCCTGCGAAGGCATTCAGCTCGCGCTCAGAAGATAAGACTAGCCACTCTGACCTGGATCGTTATAGCGACAAGAATACAGTTCTCAGTAATCTCATTCGAGAACGCTTCTACAGTGGCAAGATGGAGCATGGAGATGCCAGCCTGCAACCGGAGCCGTGCCTTTGTCTTCACACTTAAAGGATGCATGTCAATACACGCGCTTGACATTGAAAGGCCTTCGTACTCATCGTGTGCATCCGCCGTAAGCGACCCAGCGTTCTGCAGTAGCGCGATGAACATCTTTAGGACTGGCCGCGCGATCTCGACAGCAGTCTCGGACCGTGCATGCGCGAGACATCGATTGCGACAGAGTTTCAGCGCGTACAACTTCGCTCTGAGTAGTGGTGTCATCGCGGAGTCTTCCACCCACTCTTCCTCCGTGTCCATCTCATCCTGCCCTCCGTCAGCTAGCTGGACAGTATGGTTCAGAGCGACTCACATTTTCCTCTTGACGTTTCATGAGAACTTTCTTGATCAGGAAGCTTGTGACCACGTCGCTCTTATGCTCGAAGGCGTCCGGCGCCTTCAGAGCCAATTGAGCCAACACAGCCATATGTGCAGCGAGGTGATCAGAATCGACTTGCGGAAGGGCATCGGCAATAGACTGCGCACAAGGCGTGAGGAAACTCAATGGCGTGGACGAAAAGTCGATCGCACCTCGACTAGTGTCCCACATGCCTCTTCCGAGTCCTTGCAATGCGCAAGTATACGTGCTGCAAACTTGGCATGGCGCACATTTGGACTCATGACGGATTTCATCACTCGGTCCAACGTCCTCCTAGCAGAATCTATCAGTATCCAGCCTGACAACAACACGCATCCGCGTAACGCACTTATCATTGGGGGCAAGTTTCTTGTCGAGGTTAGACACTGCAGCCAGAGCCTGCAAGCACACCTCCACGAGCCTCGTGTTCTTCTCGTCCGCGATGGCTTTCGACAGTTCGCCCACGTGGGACTTGTACACTGGTGCACCATGCTTAGCAATGTGGTTCATCCATATCTGCGCATTGCGCGCCAGCGCGTCTGCTTGGCTTGAGCCTACTCCGTCTCCGGAGTCGCCCTTCTGCACACGCTTGATGAGCGTCGGTACCGAAGACTGGTTCACCAGTCGCAAGCTCGCGCGGCGGAGGAAGATTGTCATCGTCGGCACTAGAGACGATGATGACTGCTCCATTCGGCGTATGAACTCGGTCTACGCCACGGCCAAGTCAGCATTCGTGGTAGGCAGCGGTGGATGACGCAAACTTACTGTGGATTTGACGAGGCTCTTGAGGTCTACTTGGGTGTCCATGCATGTCTTGAGCAACTTGTACAGACGGCTTTCGTTAAGCTTCGCAAACGCGTGCAGGTCTTCCATTGCTCTCTGGGGATCCGGGAAGGTGGCTGGGCAGGCACGGATCGCGGTATGAGGCGAACGTCACATGGTGGGTTGTTGAGCATACCTGCGATTCGTCTAGTGGAGAGCTTGAGGTGCTCGGTGACCTTCTCCTCGTCTGCGTCTATGATGCCTCCCTGAAGACAACGTGAGTCAACAGAGCTCAAGGCAAGCAAGTCTGCACGTACGTTGTAGTCGATACAGGCTTGTACGAACCGCTCGGTCGATGGGCGCGTCCTGTGTCCCGTCGCCTAGAATCAAGAATTACTTAACAGAAACCACCACACTCACAGGCCTTTCAGTCCGGAGAAGCTCAAAAGAGCATTCGTAGCTTGCTCATCCAGAAATGTCATGATGTAGAGCAGGCGATCTGTCCAAGCGGCTTCGTCGACTTCACCAGTATTCTTTGATGATGAGCTTGATGGTGGCGAAGGGAGTGGAAATATGAAGTCAGCAAGTATCTGCTCTGCGATGGATCTGGACAAATATAGTCAATGTAAGCATGACGAAGTGTGCCAACAGTCCGTTAACTGACTTCACTTCTATCGTGGTCCCAGCCATGTGCAAGATCGCCTCCGGTATCCATGAGAACTGAGTAATTGCCGCCGGGTCGTTGTTCTCACTGCGATGCATGAGGCATGGTACGAATGCACCAAATGAAGCGCGCACATTTCAGGGTATGCCAGGCTGTACAGCCGGCCAACTGCGTTGAGAGCCTCTACGCGTACGACATGCTAGTGATGGATGAGACACAAACCTACACAAGACGTGAAAGTGGAATTGTCGCACCTTCTTGTCAAGGCCACGTCCAGAAACAGCGCGCAACATGGCAGGAGACACATGGTGCAGCGCTGTCTCATAGTCGAGCTGAGAGTACAGCTTGCAAACTGCCGCACGCACTTTCTCATCAGGGTCAAAGAGCTTCTGCTGCATTACGTCCTCAATGGCCTCCTGCTGGTCGGGAAGGTTGCCCAGCACGCCCTTGACCGCTTCGACGAACGTCAGCCGAACTGAGGCCATTTTGTCATTCTTCCGCATGAGCCATACGTTCCATGTCGTCGGGTACTTCCGTACGAAGTCCGCGCCGCCTTTGTCTGCGAACATCTCACCTAGGACTTCTGTCGCCATGGTTCGTAGCCGACCTTCTGCCACCCGGAGCTCTTCCTCCAACTGTGGTACGACGTTGTGCAGCAGGGCTGGGCATGACCTGTTCAGCCGCTTGACCAGGCTGTGTGCTTTGGCCACCTCGTCGAATTGCTCCGCGCGAGACTGCTCCACGACCACCTCCGTGAAGTACTGGCATATATGTCGCTGCAGCTTGTCGGCGGTCGCGCTACAAATTTGTACGGCAAGGCGATACTCAGGGTTCTCCATACGCTGTGGCCGCATCAGAACGCGAGAGAGAACGAGCGGAGGGACGGGCACGCACCAAGTCCTCTACCATGAACTTCGACAGGAGACACTCCAATACACCATTCGGCAAGCTCTGGCACTCGTCAATGAGCGCTGTGAGGATGTCGGCCACGAAGAGTTCGATCTTCTTGGGCGGGTTGTGGCACACGATCGCGAACAGCTTGCGGAACGCCTCGTTCATGAGCTTGTCCGCGTCCGGCAGGTCGCACACAAGTACAACACTCTTGACAGTCGACAGACTTTCCAGGAGGTCAAAGTACTCTTCGTAGTATGGAGAGTCGCCGCCTTTGAGGTATAGAGCGAGTTGTTGGAAGAAGAACGAGAAGATGCGCTCGAGCTCGCGCTGGGTATAAGGCGCGTCCGGAGCATAGAGTCGTAAGAGGTCTGCGATACAGCATGCCGCGTATGCCTTGACTCCAGTGTCCTTGTGCATGAGAATGGTGTCCTCGATGAGCTCCTTGCGCACTCCGGACAATGTGTTCACGTCGACGTGCTCCTGGTCCATCTCCCTGAGCTCGCTGTGCAGCGTCTTGAGTTTCTTTTGGAGAGCATCTGTCGTCTGGCCGCGCCCGCCGAGCTTCTGCTGGAATTTGAGCTTGTGAGGGGAGTTCTGGCCGCGGGTTTGGGCCACCATGATGGCGGCGTGAGGAGAGGCGCGTTCGCGTTATTTGGCCATATTTTCCCAATATCCGCGTGTACGCGCCCAGCGCTGAGCGCTGAGCGCGTAAGTCCTCGAGCTCGATCTCTAACAGCGACCGTCATGCCTCCCGCAGTCAACCGTGCGCTCCCCGCGAAGGAGGCCAAACTCTTCAGGGAGGTGCTCAACTTCTACGAGAATCGCCAGCTCAAGAATGGCCTCAAGGCGGCGGACCAGATCCTCAAAAAGGTCCCCGAGCACGGAGGTACGCAGACGTCATTTCGGAGGCCGTTCAGTCTCAGATATATGTTCCTATGCGTTTACAGAAACACTCTGCATGAAGGGTCTCATTCTGACGCACATGGGGCGGCGAGAGGAGGGCATAGAGCTGGTCAAGAAGGGCATGCGGATGGACCTAACATCGCACATCTGCTGGCACGTCTTCGGTCTGATCCAGAAGGGAGAGAAAAACTACGAGGAGGCCCTCAAGTCCTATACCCAGGCACTCCGGTTCGACAAGGTGCGCCTTGGATGCTCCGATGCTTCGATGGACGCGGGATGTCAACGCGTGTACAATGTAGGAGAACCTGAACATCTTGAGGGACTCTGCGCATCTGCAGACACAACTCCGACTCTATGATGGTCTTGTGGACACGCGGCATACTCTTCTTCGGCTTCGGCCCACCCTACGGCAGAATTGGATCGGCCTGGCGGTTGCGTACCATCTGAGCGGCAACCTCTCCGAGGCACGGAAGGTATTGGAGCAATACGAGGCGGTCCTCAAGGTGTGTAACGATCTGTCTAGGATACGTGCGCAGTTCCCCATGCATACGCAGAATGTTCCAGACTACGACGTAGAGCACTCGGAGGTCCTACTCTACCATGTCCGTCTCTTGGAAGAAATGGGCGACACAAGCGAGGCTCTCGCGTTCCTGGACCTCAATGCAAAATCCAGAGCAATCGTCGACAGAGTGGCGATCATAGAATACAGAGGTGTGTTGGTAGCGTGCAAACACTCCTGGGCATCAAGTGTGACCACTTCCCAGCCCGCCTCATGTCGAAACTCAAGATGCCCGAGGCTAACAGTACATGGCGAAACCTCATCGAACAAAACCCTGATTCTTATACATATTATAAGGGTTACCTTCTGAACAACGACGTAGACCTCGGTATAGTCTCCTCTAGAAGGAATGACTAGCCAATGATACTGAACACGCCCACAGATGCGATCACTCCCGACACCCGCGACAAAGCGTTGCAGACATTGCAGGAGTTTGCAGCGGCCATTCCTCGCGCTGCCGCTCCCAAAAGACTGGCGCTGAACATCGCTGACGGTTTGTCGGATTATCGCTTTTCATGTCACTGTCGTTCTTACTGGTGATGAAGGCGACCAATTCAAGGAGCTTGCCACAGCGTATCTCACAGCAGGACTGGAGAAGGGTATACCATCTCTGTTCGCGGACGTAAAGGCCTTGTACCGGGACCCCGCAAAGCGACAAGCAATCCAAGATATAGTGGAGGGCATCCGGGAAGAGCTCGCTGTGACATCAGAACCGCCCAAAAGCTCCGAACCGACTACATACCTGTGGACGCTCTACTTCCTCGCACAGCACTACTCATCGTTTTCTGACCACGCCCGCGCGGTCGAGCTCCTGGAACTGGGTGCCACACACACACCGACACTGCCGGAGCTGTACACCTTCAGAGGCAGGGTGCTGAAGCGCTGCGGAGATCCGTTCGGTGCAGCGCTCTGCCTGGACGAGGCGCGCGTGTTGGACCTCCAAGATCGCTTCCTGAACACGAAGTGTGCGAAGTACCGACTGCGCGCGGGGCTCACTGACGAGGCCAGCGAGATTCTCGGGCTGTTCACCAAGGTGAGGTCAAAGGCCTGCAGCTTGCCTTCGCTGACCGATCTACTATATCGGCTGTATCGGGCTCACTAACCCTTGCGCATAGAAAGACGCCTCAAGTCCTGGCGCAGACTTGGAGGACATGCAGTCCCTCCTCTATCTCACTGAGGAGGCCGACGCACACCTGCGGAAGGGTAATCTCGGCTTGGCGTTGAAGAAGTACTCGACTATCCAAAAGGTGCGTGGGGAATCTCGTGTTTTTGCAGCCGTTGACGTGATACGCGCAATCTCAGGTTTTCAACGAGTTCGAGGACGACCAGTTCGACTTCCACGGTTACTCACTACGAAGATTCACCATCAACATATACCTCGAGTCAGTACGGTTCGCTTCAGTCAAGGTCCGAGATTCGCTCATTCGATCATGCTTATCAGCATGATCTCATGGGAGGATCGGCTGAGATCGCATCCCGCGTACATCCATACGGCAATCAATGCATCTAAGGTTCGTTGGCTCTCAATTGCCTCACGTCCGTCGTAGGTTTGATAGTGTCATATCAAGATATGGGTGCAATTGCACGACGATCCGTCAATAGCGAAGTCGAATTCGCCGGGAGGTATGGGATCTCGATCATCAAGGCGTACCAATGTTCATGACGAGCACAGCTGGCTTCAGCGATACGGAGAAGAAGGCCAAGAAGAAGGCCAAGAAGGCAGCGAAGAAGGTGCAGGAGGAAGTCAAGAAGGGTACGCAGCAATATGCCTACTTGGTTTATTCCTGTGCTAATTCCTATGCTAATCACTTGGATAAAGCCACGACAACATCAACTTCGAGTGAAGACAAGGGTTTGGAGCCGCAGGCAGCGAAGGATGACGACCCGAACGGCGACAAAATCTTGCAGGCACCAGATCCTCTTGAGCGGGCTGCCAAGTTAGTAGCGCCGCTACGTACAGTTGCTGCAGACAACATCGACGCGTGGATAGTGATCTACGATGTAGCTGTTCGGCGCAGTGAGTTCGCTACACGCTATAATGCAGCGATGATGACTGAGCGCTGTCCGTCAGAAAAGTACCTACAAGCAGTCAAGGCTCTCAACAGCGCGCGTGCCCTTGACGCAGACCACCCAGAGCTGCATCTTCGTGTAGCGCACTTCAGACATACACGTAAGTCATGCGAATCTTTACGCTGTACCGCATGATTGAACGTGGTGCATCTAGTCTCTTCTGCTACTCAACTATCACCGGAACCCATGGCTCCGGTAGTGAAGGATGCATTGGCAAACTTGCTTCCGGATGAGTTGTCTCTGGAACACTTCAACGCACAGTATTCGCAGAAGCACTCCTCAGACGGCAAGGCGATACTCGCATCCGCCAAGGTTTCGCGATTGCTGAACGCGCCCTTGGACCAAATCGAAGGCTCAGTCTTTAGCGTATTCAACCCGGATGTGTCGCTTGACCTCAAGGTCAGGTTCACCAGTATCATGTCAACCGCGTGTGATACTCATATCCGCCTTTTGTGATTGCAGACCGCTCTCGACACGCTCACGTTCTTGCACGAGATCAAATCGTCACGAGTGGAAGAGTTCAAGGCAGCATGCGACAGCAGGTTCGAGCGGTCCACCGTGTTCAAGTCGCCGACCGAGCAAGCTGCGCTTCGGTGGAATGCTGCGGAGACAGAAGCCGTCAACGGAGAGGTGGAAAAGCCCGAGGTCATCGGCTGATAGTCTGTTGTATCCTCATATGTATCGTGCTGGCACGACTGCTTCGGCAGTATATGTTCCCAAAACATGCAACGCAGCCCACAATCGTGCTCGTGGGTGGGCAACTGATGCGCATGATACGTCCACTGAACGGGTGCCGATTCCACGTTGATCCAGCCGTGGGGGGCCTTGATACCGAGTCTTTCGGGGAGGTGGCCAGACGTCAGTTGCGCAACTGTCACAGCGCATGCTCACACGGCATAATTCAGCGACAGCTCGAGGTCTGCCGTCTATTCCGGCAGCAGTGATATGTGTGGTAGCGCAAGGCGTGTTGTGTTGTAGCACATGGGGAACAGTAGTTGGGTGCCCAACGCGGTATCTCTCCACTACTTGTGTCGTCTCATTGAACGCGCACCCTCAGGGCCATTCCGATACGTATCCCCTGCTTCCACCCTACAATCCACCAGACTGCGTGCGCCCGCGCCCAAAATCTAGTGACAAATGAACTAACGGGGGCCGCGTGCAGACCGCATTCCCCTTGCTGCAGCTGTCACGGGAATCGCGCATTTGAGACCACCCTTCGTTGTAACGGCGAATGAGCGATGACAGAGCTCCCACCTGCACACCGTGATGGTGGATGTTATAGATGCGCCGCGGCATTGCGGCCATGTCCTAACCATCTACCTTCAGCTTCAGGCTTCAACGTTTCAACATCCACGTTCAGAGCCAGGGCGCGCCCGGCCGGACGCTTTCCACTTGGCATGATCACAATTTGAGGTGTTGGCGTGGTTTTCGGAGGCTTACTTATGTGACCAAATGAGCAAGGTGGGTTCATTTCGTGATACTGAGAAGTTGTTGCCATTATTCGAGCCACCGCTGGCATAATCAGGTGTCTGATAATTGATTGATCGTGACTTGGCCGTCCTGGACGGCTTGAGCAGGGAAACCTCGACGGTCCACGGACGCTATGAAAGTCAATCTGAGCGGATCGCGGGTGTTCAATGCTCCTCCGCGCGATAGCCGAACTTGAACCAAGCAATGCATGATGGCAATGAGCATCATCGGCATTACATACATGCGCATTGCGCTCCGCGGCCCATCGTGGAAGATCCGCGGGGGTGCACGCGCTTGCACGCGGCGAGCACCAGGACCAACTTGAACATGTCCTCGAGGTCAACGCGAGGCTACCCACCGCCATCGCTTAGGTAAGAACAGCGCCCTCGGAAGTGCAGATCCAATTACTCAAACTGATTGCCGTGCAACCAACTATCCAAGAGGCACGATGCAAAGTAGTAAGCCTCACATACCGTACGTTGTGCCAGCGGTTCACTGCTGGTGGCTGCGCCGATCGTGTAGTCGATTTCTAGTCGTACTATAGTACGTCGCACCGTGACTACAAGGCGCATTGAGTGGTGCGAGGAGGAGGTCGCCAAAACGTGAAGATATTTGTGTTGTTGTTGTCGCAGAATCCTCGCCTGACCGCGTCGCTCGCAAAGCGCAATGCTCACGCCCTCAGGCTGTGCCAGCGGCATGTGACACCTGTGAATTCGAGGTTCGCGTCTCTTGCGTTTCGTGCTATCCAATGGCACTGCCTGCCTCACTTGTCCGCTCCGCTCCATCGATTCGACAGGGTCGCTTTCTGGGCGACCTGTGCTGGAGTCACACGGCTAGCTATGATCCACCCTACGTTCTCTCTCAACAACCAGCACTGGCAGCTGACATCACCTCAAATTTCACGGCTGATTTTCCACCGCAAGGGCAGACTCGATTTCCTATCGCTCGCTCGCGATAGGACACAATTGCAAGGAACAACGCGCTTGGGCCCTAGGCTGTGTCACCATGAGTCGACAAGGGGACCCACAATTGCCATATCCGGCCGCTTGTATTGTCCCCTCCTTCGTGGAGCTGCGTGTGTGCGGTGCATCACTCACCAGGTAAGGCAGGTGCTCCTTCTCCGCTTAGCGGGGAAGGCAGCGTGTTCAGAACCCCAGCCTCGAGGCCAATCGGAGGCCATTGTGGTGGAAATCGCACCTCCGCCTCGCGCTCTGGACTTGGAATCCCCACCCTCAAGCATGTTTCCTCACTGCGGCGCATCTGCCAGGTACCACCACAAAGTTGCCTGCAGGCAATGCCATTATTCCCGTACTAGCCCTGTTGGGCCATGCCACCAAGCCACGCCCGCAACTTCTTCGGCTCTAGTGTCTGTCCGTCTCCACCACTACTCGGCCAACCGATCGCGCAGGATCGAAAACCGCGATCGTCGATTCGTGACGTGGGTGGGATGGTCCACCTGCCAGTGCCTGATACCGTTGAATAACGACTCCGTCAGGCGCCTCGTTTCGCTATACTCTCTGCGGCGTATTTGAACACTTCCGCTACACTTAAGTTGTGACTGCAAGAGTAGCCTCTTGATCTCCACAGCATGTCCGGTTTTTTCTACGACGAGGAGTCGTACGGCTTTGACTCGGACTGGGACCATGCGCTCGACACGAGTCTGCCTCTCACAACTGAGGTCCCTTCAAATCCCCCCTTTCTCTGGTATGGTGCCGATGACTACGCTGTTTCTCCCGTGGACGACTTTTCGTTTGTTCAATACGACTGGCCGGCACCTGGTCCCGATTTGTCTCCGTAAGCCTGTCCTGGGCACCACTTCCACTGCTAATTTAATGGAGTCGGTAGGAGGACAGTAGCGGCGCATGCCTACGATACGTCGGTTACCTTGGCTGACGATTCGTATGCCAACATTCCGTCATACGTGTCTCAGTAAGTTGAAAAAATGCAAAAGACGGAAGCAGCCTCGCTGATTAGTCTCCAGGCAAGATCAAACGGTGCGAAGCCTCGATTGGCAGCACACGCCAGGAACGCATGATCCATCGGCCTATACATTGGACGTGCTTCAACGACCAACCGCTCACGGTCATTCCTCCCAAGTTACTCCGCAGTGAGTGCTCACTCACGAGTCGAACTCAGTCGCGACCCTGTTGACCCCTTCGTTGGAAGTGGATCATCGCACGTGTATCTAGAAAATGCTACCGCTGCACCTCCCCTATGCTGCATCGGTGGGCGATGTCATCGCTTGGCTGACCTACTAGCACGCGACACGCAACAGCGACCGGTCACGACAATAAAGAAACACCTCGAGGATGATCATAAGCCAGTCATCGAATCCCACAAAGACCGCGGTGGCAAAATTATTTGTCCGTGGCTACTAGGAACACGAACATGCGAAACGGCAGTCGCGGACATGCAGCAATTGGCGAAGCATGTTGCCACCGTGCACCTTGGACTCTTCCGGATCCGATGTGATGCCTGTCATGGATCTTTCTCCAGGAAAGATGCGTTGAAACGCCACAAAGATGAGGGACGGTGTCCCTACGGTTGAGTGCCCGTGAGTTCCTGTGAGTTCCTACGTTCGCGATCAATTATTGGGTGGCTTACAGATCGATGTTACTATTCTAGATGTTGCAATTCTAGTCATCGCGTCTACTAGACAGGAGCTAGATGACGCGTTCGCTGGAGATATTACCAGTGTTGGAGCAGGTCCTCCTTTACTTTGACTCGATGTCGTGAGCCTTTCTCGTACTTGCCGAGTATTTGAGTCGACAATGTTACTTTGGCCCGCTGCTGTGCAAGGATTGTAATTTGAGTTATTCGCAGGGCTTGATACTAATGTGCAATGTGATTACATGAACGTCTCACGGAGCGTACCAGTACTAATGCAACGGCCATGGCCTTGACGTTGCCAGCGTGTACGGTGAGTATTCGCTATCGCGGTTATGACATCGTGTGTCGCCGCTCTCGTCGTAGGCTGCATCTCAGCCAGGGAAAGGCTGAATTGGGCTTTCGGCTGCGATATCGTCGACCTCTCGTCTTGTCAGAAATGTTCGTCGCACGCCGCGCCTCACCACTCACTAGTATGTTACGAATCAAACCAACACACCCTCTCTGGAAATTCGTCGTAAATTTGTGCAAGGCTGGACAATGACATGGACTCGGACTGACCGATAGGCTCCCTCGCAGACCGGAACTTGCCACTTGGCAGCTACGCCGGCGGAGAGTGGTCTGTTTCGACTCGGATGCTATATCAGATGACCGTGCCAGTGACGCCTGCGAGCATTACACGGAGGATCTCGTCCGTCGGTCGCATACTTCTGAGCGGCGCAGTCGACGTCCACCGACGGACGTACAGACTTAAGTTAGTGATGCCACTGGCACTGGCAGCCACCGGCAGGGCTGGCATGCAGCGTAAGCAAGCGCAGTCATCCGACCACCAAACGATGTCGGATATCTGGTTTCCGCCCGCCTCTTCCTCCCACGCTAATGGCCCGATCATCATGATGAGCGTTTGTCGAGCCCAACGACTCGGCGCTCTCCCCTCTAATGGCATGCAGATCCACCTCTTCCGCTCTGGGGGTCACCGATCCACCTCCGTAGCCACCGTCGATGTTATGGACAATTGTCTGCTCACACGAACGGAGTCGCGGCCGTGGACACGACGATGATAAGACCGTGCGAGCCCCCGGTATCGTGCGCGAGCCTGTCCACAACTTGGGGTCGGTGCTCCGAGCTCGGACATGTTCATGTCGTACCTTCTGATCGAACCTCCTCCGAGTCTTGAATCTAAGGTGGACACATACTGATACTACCCTACCCACATCTCACAGATCGAGGCTATTGTGCCGGACGCATTCACCATCATGGGCGGCACGTCTGTTCGCTGCGCCTCCACCTGGGACTCCGCATGGGTCTCCTCCGCGCAACGCGTGGCAGACCAATCGATAGTTTATGTCAAGATTCGTGCGTGCCGAGGGAACAGGGTCGTGTGAATGTCCACAGTGACCCTCCGCGATCGAAAGTTTTCGCTCGGAATGAACGTGAGGACCCACCTTGCTGATCGAGGAGCGTGAACTTGGGCTGGAGTCTGGACAAGCTAGATCCACGATGGCTTGATGTCCACCACTGTCCACATCCTCCGGGACTGAGGATGTGGATGGTGACCGGTGAACATCAAGCCAGGGTCTGTCGCCGTTGTCACAGCCGACCATGTTTGGGTCGAAGCCCACTGCGCCCTTTCTCGTTGTGGAGGGTGGACCTATCTCGTAGGACGTCCAACAGGCGGACTTATCCCACCTGGTGAGTGCTCAGGAAGATAAAAAGGGACCTCGCTCACAAGTCACCGTTCATGACACGTCTGTTCAACCGTCGCCGACATGTACTGCCCATACCATCGTAGTGTCGAGGACTGGTTCCAGGACTTCCAGCGCGGTTCGAGCGTCGCTTCCGAATGCCCTTGCATCGTTCTGTCTAAGGAGGACAGTGACGCCGCCTTCCTCGGGAACACGCCGCAGGCTTCACCCACTGCCTATGCGCCGGATGCAGATATGTGAGCAGTCCATTGGCCGTTATCTGAGTGACTGGCGCTGATTTGACTTATCAGTGCGCTTTACCTAAACCTCAATGAGCATCTACTGGATGCCAACTCATCAAGCATCCACCCCAACCTCGCTATCAACCCTCTCGCGGCGCCGATTGCTCAGTACGTACATGCCTACATGGTTAGTGACGGTGTTGTTTATCGTTCCTCGACATACAGTCAAGCAATTGGCACGCAATACGCCCCAGAAGGAGCTGATCCGGCGAACACAACAAATGCGCTTCAGCACCACACCTATGGTGGACTTCTTGCCAGCACGTGAGTACGTCCGCTGCAACAGCATTGAGAGAATCACTGACCATTGTTTAGGCCCCCTTTTGCCCAAGCTCCGGCCATCACGGTAGGCGGCGCGGCGGAGACGGTCTGCTTCTTCGGCGGCCCATGCGACCATCTCACGCTGGACATGCTGCCGATTCAGAGCAAGATCTCAGTGATCCAGAAGCACCTTAAGGAACACCACGAGCCCACCTCCGGGTTCACGAAGGACCGATGTGGTAACGTCATCTGCGAGTGGAAGGATGCCGCGGGACCGTGCGCCAAGGCGGTTGGGGATGGTCTACAACTCGCGAAGCACGTCGCCACGGTGCACTTGAAACTCTTTCAAATCAAGTGCGGAGGTTGCGGACAGATGTTCTCCAGGAAAGATAGCCTTGACCGTCACCTACTGATGGGCCGGTGCTTCCACGTTTGAGTGAGTATCATCTGTACGCGCTCATCGTGTCAATGCAGAGGCGCTGACTGGACGGATATCTTTCAGACCATCGCACGATTCAACATTATCTCTATACTCATCTACGCCACCTCAATCTCTTGATCAACGAGTCGAAACCACATAACATGTCGACGCACTCACATCCTCTTCACCACCCTCATGACCAGCATGGTCTGGTCGTCACTAGTTCCCGAGCGATGTATATTAGATTGAAGTTGTATTTTACGCACGCACATCTGTATCATTGACCCTATGAGCCGAACCCCCTGCGGACGCGTTCCCCATGGTGTCCGACCACACTATCTAGACGGGTCTGACTCGGAGGCGGTGTCCCCAGACCTGTTGTTTCCCACCCGTGGTGCGCTCGCCGTTAGGCAAAGTCAATCTGTCATCGATTCATCACCCTGTCAATAGCCTCTCAGACAGGGCAGAGTTCTCCGGTGAGCATGAGCGTGCGACTTAGGTGTTCCGGGCAACGACTCTTTAGCGGAGCTACACCGTCTTGACTCTTTCCATCTTGACGTCCACCTCTCGTTGCGCATCCGGTTCCGCATGCTTAGATCGGATACACTTGTAGTATGTTGTGGATCGTCTTTCGTGATATGACCGTACGGCTCACCATGTTCTAGGTCCACCTTGTCGGCACTGTGACGAGCACAACATCATGCCGCCTCGTCTCCGTGGTCGGCGACGTTGCATCCTTCGTCAGGCCATTCAAACCCATCCAGTGACCCTGAGTTGCCTGTATGTCGCGCCTGAGTGCCAATCAGCTATCATAACTTACCTGATGTAGCGACTACGACCAACCGTTCATACGTCACGACCTCGTGCATCCGGCCTGGTTTCCCGAGCTGCTGGGGCAAATGCAGCTGTCAATGTGAGTGAGGGCTATCCGCGCTCTGTCCTGAGATTGACATGGCATTTCTTCAGAGGCCAGTCCTCGGATATCACGTATTTCGTCGTCGACCCTTGGGGCAAACACATCTGCAAGAGCGCGAAGGGCAATGGAATATTGTGCAACAAAGTTCTTCCTGACAGCACCACCTTCGTGAAACACGTCCGTCGGATACATTCGCGGTCGGCGTTTCCGGGCCTCGCAAAGGTCATGCGCAGGTTGGTGACTTTCAAACGATGACGCCATGGTGGTGGCTGCGGCTTGAATGCGCAGTCTACCTCGAGTTGCTTCTTGGTGCATATATGGACAGCGGAGGTGATGCTTGAGCGGCCCTGATTGAGCGTCGGAAGCAGTTGTATAGAGAAGAAAGGACTCACTGTAGTTTACTTTATAGGAGTCGAGTCCGCTTTCCCATTTTCGAGGTTGCATCTCCAGTTGCTATCTAAGAGCTGCTGTAGCTTGTGTCCGCAGGTGGCCGGCGGAACAGCTACACAATTTTCAGTTACCAGAATTAGTTCGACGTACCACACTGAAGAGTACGACTCTCTTGAGATTGAAGCAGAGTGACAGTGTATGGCACACCGGATATCATTGACACTCGACGACACATCGATGTCACAGAGCATCTACTCCTTCCCCTCGTCCGAATCGCTCTCCTTCCCACTAGCCTGCTTTGCGGCGTCCCCCTTTGCAGCCCTCTGCGCAGTGAGCTTCTCCCGGAAGTCGCTTGGCCGCTTGACGCGCGCGAAGATGCCAACCTCCGGATCGCGGATGAAGTTGACGATGACCATCGGCCAGGACGGGTGCGACGGGATCGTGTCATAGAACTCGGGTGCGAGCTTCCGCAGCGCCGGCAGGCGCGTCCAGGGCACCGAGGGGAAGTCGTGGTGCTCGTTGTGGTAGCCGACCTGTGAGAGGCGAGTGAGTCGAGAAGAGGAGTCTGTGATGGACGCGGACTCACGTTGTAAGCGAACCAGTTGAGCGGCCCGTAGTACGAGTATGTCTCTTGGTGGAGCCCGTCCCATACGTAGTGCTCCGCGATGAAGTGGCCTGCTAGGGGATGCAGGCTGCCCGCGAAGAAGCTAGAGCCCAGCAAGTATATCAAGGGGCGGACACCACAGGTCTTGACAAGGAGGTAGTCGAAGGTGAGCTGGGTGAGCAAGTTCCACAGATGCCATTGCGTGAGTTGCTGCGTCCGGACGAAGCCCGGCCGCAGAGCATAGAAGAGGATCTGGAAGGTCCTGCAGGGAGCCGTCAGACCGGGAACGTATCCTGCCTACCGTGAAACATACTCACGCGAAGAACACTTTCCCCAGAACGTTATTGAGACAGATCAGTTCAAAGTGCGTGGGGAGGTCGGTGTCTATGCCGTCTTCTCCGAGGTATTTGTGATGCTCTAGATGATATCTCTGTATATGACGGGAGTTCGGGCGTGTCTATGGCATAGCGCGACATGGGTAATAGCCACGTACCTTGAACGCAGCCGAGTAAGGAACGCCTATGGGCAAGTTCGCAAACACCGCTAGTGCCTTGTTCGCCTTGATGCCCTTGAATGCCAGGTTGTGCGTGATCTCATGGATGGCTAGGAACAGGTTATGGTTCGCTGTGCCACCGATGATGTAGACACACAGGAAGAACAGGGGAGACAGTGGTTTGGTGTTCCGCAGCAAGTAGGCCGTGATGAGCTGGAGTGAGACCACGCCGAACACAACGTACTTCGTCATAGGCTCATAGCCCATGAGCTTTGTAACCTTCAGTGCTGTGTCAGAGTATGTACGAATCGTATCTCTCAGTGCACGTACCTCGGGATGAGCCTTCATTATTGCCATACGCCGGCTACGATGGGGTTCCTCCGTCATGATCCACAGAAAGTCGTTAGGGTTCTGAGGGGGAGCAACGTGCGAGACGCCATTATCTTTCTCTGCGGAAGACACCACTGTCGTTCTGCGGGGAGACCTGCCCTCGGACAGCGACTCGGCGCCGCCGAAGTAGCTGAAGTCTATATCAGGTAAGCTCCGGGTGTAACAACCTACGCCGGCGTGCGCACCTACACCCGCTGCGCCTGCTGTTGCTGCATCTTTTGCGGTCATCACTCGGCTGCTCTCAGCTCGAGCTCTTCCCCAAACGTCCCGTAGCAAGTCGTGGGTGGTATTGCGGAAAGCGTGGGCGCTGCATTGCTGACGCTTCGGCGGTGAGGGCGCCGCTGATGATGTTTGGTGCTGTTGTCCAAAGCCTTCTGATCCTAACAACGCCAAACAGCGTCCAGGCTCCATTGGGCACCGCCTGGTCTCCTATCCGAGCTCGAAGCCCCCAGCCACATGCACTATCACGAGCCCAAATATGTTTCGGCGCAAGCGGTTCGAAAATTTAGTCCCCAGTAGCGCGGGGCCGGGAGTGACGCACCTTCAACTCAGTATACTAAGTAAAAGTAGTACAAGGTCTTCGGATGTCAGATTAACTCTTTTACCTTTACCTTCGACGCGTGTCATGCTGCTATCCTTAGGACACCTAACTCTGAGCTTGCGACCTGTCAATTGCACGTGATGCAGTGCGAATATAGAAACCGCCTTGTCGCCCAGCAGAATCGATAACTCTCCCTGCCTGCGAACCACGACCAGTTCACACTTCCTCATCGGTGGCGTGGACAGCATACTACATGGAAAATAAATAGCATTATCTATGCACAAATCACCGCTATGCTATGCCACACGGGGTACATGTATACTGCGTAGAACAAGTGCGAGGAGAACTAGTATGTATGCAAGCACTCTTTGCTTATGCAGTCCTGCGCTTGATGCCGACCCTGCACTGAACAGGCTTCCGCAGGAACCCCTCCTTTGTGTCAAGCTAGGAAGGCGGCAGATATCAACATCCCGTCACCCACTGAGGATACACGCCAACACACCTTCATATCCGGGTCCTCCAGGACGAAGTGGTACCGGCGCAAGATGGACGAGATTATGATAAGCAACTCCATGCTGGCCAGGTTACGTCCGACGCAGCTCCTACATCCCATGCGTGAGCATCGTGATGTACCGGCGAACGGCGCATATAGCCACCCACCTTGGTCCGAAAGAGAACGGGTTGAAAGTCTTTTGGATCGCCTTCTCGTCGCGCTCAAACCAGCGCTCGGGACGGAACGCCTCGACATCCTCACCCCACACGGCCTGATCGCGGTGGATCGTGTACGTCGGGACAGACAGAACAACTCCTTCCGGGAAGTACCGGCCCAATACCGTCAAGCCACCCTCAGGAACAACCCGCGGGAGACCGATACCAGAGGTCGAGTGGATACGGAGGGTCTCGTTGATGACCGCCTCGAGGTACGGCAGACGCTTGACCTGTTCAAACGTCGACACGGAGTCGTCATCGTTGCCGAGCGTCTCATCAAGCTCACGCTGGAGCTTCTGTTGCACAAGCGGGTTCGCGGCAAGGTGGTACGTGATTGCGCAGGACGAGCTGGCCAGGGCGTGTCAGCATCGGATGGGGCACAGAAAGCGTAGGTGTGTGCTTACTTGGAGGTGGTGTCGGAACCGGCGATGAGCTGCGTGAGCGCCTCGGCGGTGAGCTCCTCCCGACTCATCGGGTTGCCCTCATCATCCTTGCCCTCCTGAAGCTTGCCAAGCAGGTCCGCCCGGTCAGTGGGTACCGTCAGCCGCTTAGCCACCTGCGCAATCGCGATGCCTGCCAGACGCTGCACGGCCTCATTGCCCTTGCGGTACCACGGGATGAGCTTGACGAGGGGGCGCCAGTGCGGGGGGAGCACGCCGAGCGACGCGGAGTATTCGCCACGGTCGTTGAGAATCTGCACGGCAGGAAAGTACGTGATCTCAGGCGAGTTGTCGTCGCCGTAGGACGCCATTGCCTTCTCTTGCGAGATGGCGACGGGCGCGGCGTCGGCGCAGGCGTCTAGCATACCAAAGGGTGCACCGAATGCGAGGTCACCTGCATCGGAGTTGATGTCAGAGGCGTAACAGCGCATGGAGACGGAGACATACCGATGATGTCAAACGCGAGGTAGTTGTACCACGGAAGACTGTCGAGCCAGAGGCGGCCGTCATAGCCCTTCCAGCCTTCACCCTCCTCGCCCGAGCCGCCCTTCACGGCAAGATCGTAAAGGCGGTCCCATTGCCTGAGCAGCTTCTGGACGTGCATGCGCGTGTAGGGCTCAAACTCGAGCACGCTCTTCTGCGAGAAGATGTGCGAGACGATCTTGCGCTTGCGCGCGTGCTCAGGGCGGGACCGGGTGTTGAAGAGACCGCGCTGGATGGAAACAAACGCATCGTAGAAGACGGACTTGAGCGTGCCGTTGCCGTGCGCGTAGACGACCTGGAGCGCGTCGGGGTCGCTGATCGAGACGTGGTTGGGTGCGATCCGCACGAACTTGCCTACCGAAGTGGTCAGCTGCTGTACCGGCAATCGACAATAGGCTCTCGGTGCGTCATCGCCAGCATTTTACGTGCGCATCAGAACACCCTCATGTCCGCTGCTGCCGGAGAACAGGGCATGTAGATGGTGTATCGATGATGCAAAAGCGCTGACAAAGCCACCGAAAGTGGAAAGGGGGCGGCTTCTAGGGCGATAGGGGCATCCTCGACGAAGGCACTACTTACCGTGTTTCTGGTGCAGCTCATGAACGACTTCCGAGCGATGGCCCTGTGCCGCCACCCAACCCAGCCATGCGTCGGAGATCTTCGCGAGGAAAGGCCCAGGATACGAGCGAACCCCGAATGGGTCGGCAATGAACGGCACGAAGTGCACAAGGAGGACAGCAGCGACTACGACACCAGCCCAAGCCGCGATGGGCAGGCCGGACAGTCCGTCCAGCACGGATGACATGAGCAGTAAGGAAGACGTGGCAGGCGTGGCAGGGAACAAGTACAACCGGTGAGGGGGAACGAAGTGGGGAAATGATGCGGAGGCAGCGAGCTCATATACACCCGCGGTAGGTCAAGCACGCAGATCGGGCACGAGACGCGACCTGTACGAGCTCCGAGATTCAGGGAGGAGGGGCGCCCGAGAAGTCGGCATCGCAGGCGACCCAAACACAAAACGGGAAACGCGCACTCGGGCGTCCCACCCGCTGCCATCGCCACGCCTCGCATGACCCGTCAATTTGTCCTAGCCGGATTGGCCCACGGCACCCTGTTTTAGAACCACCCGGGATGGGACAGCCCACCGATCGCGGTCGCTTGGACAGCTATGACTGCAAATCTGTGAGGTTGTCGCAGTGACATCTGTGATCAGTGCTGCGCTGTCGGCAATACCTATTCGCCATAATCGAAAGCAACAGGTCCGTGGTCGGTCGCTCTGACGCAGTTGAAGCAAGTGCACTGTGTGGGTGAAGACTGAATGTGCACTCCCAGCCACGAGAACCAATTTGGTCGGTGGCCAATCACGATTTTCTGAAAGCATTCTGATGACTTTGCAGCGCGCGAGGTGACGCCACTAGACTCACACCGGCGGCATTGACACGCTCAATTGAGGCTCGAAAGATCACCACGCGTTGGTGGATATACGATAGACCCACCAAAGGATCCCGTTGCAGAGCCATGCGGCTTAGATGGCTACCAAAATGGAGTAGATTTGCAGGAAGCAGACCGCGGAGGGACGGGAGAGAACCGACGCAGCCTTCGCCCTCAGGGAGCCTCAGCCTCTCTTGCTCGCTGCCTTTGATCGATCTCCGAGGCTGTCCCACGGATCGAGATGGCTCAGCGCCGCGGCAGCATTTCTAGTGCCTGGGCGGGGCTCGCTCCGGACATGACGGAACAGCAGTGCGATGGACAAAGGACAAAGCGAGACAACAGTTCATTTGCTTCACCCCCCGGTCTGACATCGCAGCTATGCACGAGCACGAACACCAAGACGACGACAAGAAGGCCTTGACGCAGCCGACGTTGTCAAGGCTGCGATGGAGTCGTTGTCGGTCTCGACTACAGAAGGTCTTCGTGCTTGTCCTATTCGCTATTCCTTGCGCCTTCCGAACGGACGGACTGCAGATCCGACGGAAAAGTACGTCAGTACTGGTTCCAGCAGATAAAGAATGTCATTGTATGGTCGAACCCTTGCTCGGGGTGCGGGCCAACGCGGAAAGAAGACTTTAAGAAGGGAAACCAGCTGCGGAGAGGATAAGCTCAGGGTTCGGTTACCTCACAGAGTCTTCGGCCATTAAGTCCTCGGTCAGAAGTGCGTAGCGCGCGTTCATCAAGATGAAGCTGAAGTGTCAGAGAGAGCGTCTTGTGGGAACACCTGCGTGGATCAGGTGTCGAGGCCGCGTATCTGAGTCAGACCTCAATCTGTGTAAGGCGGGAAGAGCACGACGGGTGGGTGAGCAGCATCAGCGGGCGGAAGAACGAGAGTACGCTGCGATTCATGAAACGTGTAGCGGAAGCTTACCGGCATAGGTATGAACTACAGCTGTAGTACGACGCGCAAAGGACGCGTGTAGTGGGGCAGCGGTGCGTTGGTTCCTGCGGAATAACGACGTCCCGGAGTGCGGTCACAGCCGAACAGAAGTACATAGAACGCGGGGACACTTGTCGCGTCGAGAGTGAGTCGTGTAATAGGAGCATCACATAACGTACAGTTGGCTTCTCAGTCTTTCTTTCCTTCCAACGCCTCCTTCTCTCGCAGTTCCCTTCTCCGCTTCACGTCCCAGTTGTATACGCGCGCTGTGTTTACCTCCATGATCGTTATTTGCTCGCGGAGGAACTCAAGATCTTCGACGACCGTCTGTAGCGATGCTTCTGCGGCCTCGAGTTTCGAGCGGAGCAGCGCGATGGCCGCGGGTAGCTTGTACGACAACATGACATTCGCCTTACACACGAGGTTAATCCAATAAGTGGTCCCGAAGAGAAGGAGAAGGGTGGACACACCCCAAGCCAGAGGTACACTGTGTCGGTGTCCTCAATTTCGGCCTCGGCGTAGAGGGTATCGTTCAGCTCGAACGTCGTCCGCAAGGACTTCTTTTGGTCATTGGCAGCGTCATCGTCGAGGTCGTCGTCTAGATCGTCTTCGTCGCTCTCCGAAGCCTTGCTCTTGCCTTCCTGTGGGGCACACTCGCGTTAGCAGGTGAAATACGGTTGCGCGAGTAGGCAACTCACTCACTCGCCTCTCCTGCAGGAATTCGACCATGGACAGTGTCTTCTTGATGTCCGGGATCTTGTCCTCGAGACCTTTCCGCCGTTGCGCGAGGTTATGGTCCATGTAGCGGTATTTCCTGTGAGCAGCGGCATCGCGATGTAAGATGGACCATCAGCACACGACAACAAAGTACACACGCAAGGGCGGTCTGAATCTCCTTCAATGCTGTCTCTACGTCCTTATTATTCCCTAGATACTCCTCCACGTCTGCCTGTGACCCCACTTCAGTCTCGCTCGACCAAACCAGACGTGATACTCACGATGAAGGGAGCTTGAGGAATGCCACGCGGATTTTTCTCCTGCGTCTGTGGCTTCTTTCCCTCCGCAACGGACATGTTTTCTAGCTCTCTAGATATGAAGCAGGAGTTCGAGCTGGAAGAGGAGATGGAGCCCGAGGTCCTGGTCAAGCTGAGGTCGACTCTCGCGCGTTAGCGCTCGGTGTATAGGCGCTCGGCAAATGCCGACACGTATTTGAACTGCGCATTTTCTCGCTGCTCTAATTTCGAACTTCTCCCTTTTCGCCCTCGAGACAATGTCTCGCCTCATTGTCAAGAATTTGCCCTCATACCTCACACAGGATAGGTTTCGAAAGCATTTCGAAGCGGCGGATGGTCCTGGGGGTACCCTCACAGATGTGAAGCTCCTTCTAAATGCAGATGGAACTTCACGCCGGTTTGGCTTCATCGGCTACAAGACGCCTGCTGAGGCAGAACGCGCGAAGAAGTGGTTCGATAGGACGTTCTTGAACTCCTCGCGCATAAGCGTTGATGCTGTCGATGTGAGTATCTTAGTTCTATGCCTCAGACTGTCGGCAGACTGACGCAAGTCGTGAAGGGAGCCAAGGATGCCCCGCCGCCCCGTCCCAACAAACGACCTCGGCTTGGCCCGTCGCCAGCCGAAGCGTCGCCTGCTGAGGCAAGTAAGAAGGGGAGTACGTCAGCGGCCAAGGGCAGCACGAAGGATGCCAAGGCGTCGAAAGGCAAGGCTGGCAAGGCGTCTCACCTCGAAGAGTTCTTGCAGGTCATGCAGCCGCGCACGAAGAAAGGTCCTTCATGGGCTGACAATGATGCGCTTCCGCAGCCGACCAGCTCCAAAGGGCCTCGGTCTGCAGGGACTGGTGATGATGTGGTCGCGGACGAAAAGAAGGGAAAGAAGGGGACTGACAAGCAACGCCATGCTGACACCATGGACGGCGACGCACCGTTGGAAAATCCCCAGCCTGATGTGACCGAGGCAGTGTCGGATATGGATTGGTTTAAGCAGCGGACGAAGGCGGTCCTGGATGAACCTGATGTATCAGACAGGGCATTTGAGCAGTCGGATGAGGAGGCGGAAGAGGGTGACAACGATGAAGAGGTAAGCTCGTCCGGCTCATGCATCTAAGCATTCAGACTCATGTTGTCCTTGTATCAGTTTCAGGAGGAAGAGCCGCCACCAGACCCCGTCAAGACTACGATCCTGCAGACGTCTCGGCTATTCCTGCGCAATCTCCCGTTCTCGTGTACAGAAGACGAGTTGCGAGAGCTATTTGAATCGCATGGGGTTGTCTCTCAGGTGAGCGTCGCGATTCAGTTACATTACGCTGTCCCGGAGGCGGGTCTTCGTGATGACAAATTAGTTAGGGACAACAGACTCGCTTGCGAGGGTGTTGATTTAACTGGGAAATTCGTAGTAGAATTTTATGCTCTGACTTACGCCCGCCTTCTGGACTTCACGCTGTTGAATCATGCTGACCCTCCGCTTCAGGTCCATGCACCGTTGGATCCCACGACCAAGCAGTCGAAGGGCCTTGCGTATGTGACATTTGCCGAGCCGGCTAAAGCCCTTGCCGCATACGAGGCGTTGGACAAGACGTCTTTTCAGGGGCGTCTGTTGCATATCCTACCTGCGGTAGACCGCAAGGGCAAGTCGGAGGTGGAAGAGGGCGGGAGGAAAAAGACGGTGAAGGAGGAACGTGAGGCTAAGAAGAAGGCGGGAGCTGGAAGGGAGTTCAATTGGGCGATGTTGTATATGAATGTACGTACTAGACAATATATCTTGGTATCAGCAGCAGCTCAACTTGTATGACGTGCAGGCGGATGCCGTCGCATCATCCATAGCAGATCGGATGAGCATACCCAAGTCCGATATATTGAACCCTGACTCGGACAATGCGGCAGTCAAGCTGGCTCTTGCGGAGACGCACATTATCAACGAGACGAAGTCCTTCCTCGAGCAGCACGGCGTCGTCCTCGAATCCCTCGCTTCAACCCGATCACAGCGCTCCGATTCAGTCATTCTTGTCAAGAACATTCCGTACGGCACCTCCGCGGAAACTCTACGTACGATGTTCAGCTCTCACGGGGAACTGAGGCGCGTGTTGGTCCCGCCTGCTGGGACGCTCGCGGTGGTCGAGTATGAGCACGCCACGGATGCGAAGACCGCATTCCGTGCGCTCGCTTACCGCAGGCTCGGGAACTCGATCATGTATCTCGAGAAGGCTCCACTCGGAATGTTCGCCGAGGGCGCAGACTCACAGGGCACATCCGAACCCATCGTCTCAGCCGCAGTCAAGCCCGTCATGGCCCCGGTCAGCATGGATGCTGTCGCAGACACCTCGGATGCCGCGGCAGCTGAGCTGCCGCTCTCCGCGGGGACGACGCTGTTCGTCAAGAACCTCGCGTTCAGCACCACCACGGATGGGCTTGTGAACGCGCTGCGGCACCTGCCCGGCTTCGCTTTTGCGCGCGTCCAAATGAAGCTGGACCCTGCACGCCCGGCCGCGCGGCTCAGCATGGGCTACGGCTTCGTCGGTTTCAAGACGAAGGACGAGGCGAAGCGGGGGCTGAAGAGCTTAGAGGGCTTCGTGCTAGACGGGCACGTGCTCAGCGTGAAGTGGGCGGGACGTGGGGCGGACGAGGTGGAGGGTGAGGAGACAAAGGGCAAGCCGCGGGGCGCGAAGATGATCGTGAAGAACGTCCCGTTCGAGGCGACGAAGAAGGACATCCAGCAGCTCTTCGGCGCGCACGCGCAGCTCAAGTCCGTGCGTCTCCCGCGCAAGTTTGACCACCGCACACGGGGATTCGCCTTCTTGGAGTTTGTATCGCCGCACGAGGCCGCGCGCGCACACGCGGCGCTGCGGCATACGCACTTGCTTGGACGCCATCTCGTCCTGGAATGGGCGGAGGATGGCGCGGCGGACATTGATGAGTTGCGGAAGAAAGCTGGCGTGGGCTTTGGCGCTGGGAAGGAGATGCCAGGCCAGAAACGCAAAGTCCGGATGGAGGACAAGGAGGGTGAGGATGTGGATGATGCATGAGTGCGGAAATTTACTGCAAGCTGGGACTGTCATTTCACGCGCTATATCTTTGTTTACATCCCGAGGCTCCCAAACATGTCAGAGGGGACTGATATCTAGTATCAGTCCGTACTTGTGCAAACTGGGCATCGTTGCACAATGTCGGTCGACAGTTTTTTCTCTCACAGACCAACGTCGAGGCATAAATTATGGACGCCTGAACAGGGGGATTTGACTCGACTTGTCAGTGTGTTGGGCAATGGGCCCATACTTACTGGGCTTTACTTGACCGTACTGTGGCTGACCCAGCTTTGCAAAACGGCCCAGCTATGCAAAAAGCGAAATTCCTCCCCTTCTACAAGGGCAAACCTCTCCGGGAAAATGGCATCGGAATCGCTTCGTATTTTACATTGTCGTGTCAGATGCTCAGACGGCGGCACGCAATACATGTTGCAGAAAAATTGCAAAGGTCTGTTTCCGGGCGTCCCAATACAGGTGTAACGAGAAGTCGATGTACCGTAGATTGGCATCCTCATTTCGTTATGTGCGTTCTGACCTACATATGGACTCGATACCTATCCAGTATGTTTGTCAAAATTTCCTGTGCCAGAGAAGCGACAGGAACATGCTCCTTTGCACCGTGCAATGACAGGGAGTCGCAACATACAGACAATATGCGGACTCTTCCGGTGCCGAAACAAACTCCGCCACAATGAGCGGTGGCGAGTGGCAATTGGCGCGTACCCGGCATTGCCGGCGCGCGAGCGGGCTTTCAATATTTGAGGGCGCTAGACAAGCGCTAAATAACTGCACTCGATCTTTTGGCGGGAGGACGAGTCTCTCGTTTGCACGGCTGCCGAAAGCATGTTGCTGCCTTCGGAGACCCCCATAAATATTCATGCACACACTCAATAAGTATAAGAACGGTACTACGAGGCAAAAACCGCGGACCCTCCGATTTAGAGGGCGTGGGACAGCTTTGCAAACGCGTTTGCAAAGCTGGGTCAGCCACAGTATACTCAGTCCCGCGGTCATCGTCTGGGGTCTCCGTTTGTTCTGAGTTAAGTCCGTTGTAACGCGTTCTTTCGTCGCAGAACGAGTTCATAGGGCAATATTGCTATTACTAAGCGTGGCCTTGTGGTCTAGTCGTATGATTCCTTCTTAGGGCGACATCAATGTTGCATCAATGTCTCATATAAACATAGCATTTGCATGGAGGAGGCCCCGGGTTCAATTCCCGGCAAGGCCCTTTTTACGCCATTCATGAGAGAGTTACTTAGCTTGTATTCCAGTACACGTCAGCGCAAAGATCAGTGCGAATTCACGGCTCAATATCGAGTCGTCCCTTGCTGCCGATTTCTCGCACCTTGAAGCCATTCTGTTTCATTTAAGTATCATCGCATAATCGCCGTGTGCACATGCGTTTGTTTGCAATTATCAAAGATGAGTCCGCTCCGTTGCAACGTCTTTTTATCCGTAGGAGGAGATATACCCTGATTAGGAGAGCGTTGTGGAGCTACGCCGCAGATTTGTTTGGCGCTGTTGTCCAAAGCCTTGCGATCCTAACAAGTCCAAATACCCACTGTGGCTGAACAACTAGTGAAATTTGGTGCAGTAGTGAAAACAGGTAGGATTCCGAGCCCATATACGTTCAGTTGGCCCTGCGAAAACAGCATATGATTTCTAGATAGTATCTCAGTCTTTTATACGATGTACTTACAAACAATGGGAGCCATTAGGCAGCTTGACGCTTTGGTGGGCAAAAGGGTCTCTCGCGTTCAAGGCTGCCGAGAGCACTTGCCCGGGGTACTCTCGCCCTGGCGCTCCGCCCCCTCCTGGGCCCACCGGGTCTTCTGCTCTCGTCACCCGCCCCGGACAACCCGCGGCAGGGACGCCTTCCTCTAAGAAGCCGGCTCCGCCCGCTCCCGCTAAGAAGCCCCCGCCGATCCATGTGAAGCAGGGCAACCCGGTCGAGAACTCGCGCTCTGTGCTAGTGCGGATTTTCCCCCATACCTTCACCGACATTGACTGTTCGTTGGAGCTCCTCACGTCGTACATCAACGACGCTTGCCGAGGTTCGGGTTCGATGATGCAGGCTTCCTCGTCTGTACTCAAGAACTCGGGGCGCGATGTCATCGTCAAGTTTGCCGAAAGGCCGACTGATGAGCTGTTCGCCGTCCTTCGCGAGAAGGTGACTGCGCTCCTTATCGCCCTCGCCGCTGAAAAGCGCCCGGGGGATCTTTTCCAGGCGAACGTCGAGCACATCCACGAGCTCACGTGCGTCAGTATCAAAACGCTTGTCACTGCTCGGGCCGTCCCGGGTCAGAGAAAGCTCGCCGACGTCACCATGGAAGAGTTCTGGCACGAGCTCGTCCGGTGTGCGGAAATCGACAAGAATACGAAGGCGCTCTTCGACGTCGTCGTCCCCTTCTCCAACTCTCCTCGCGCTACCGTTGAGAGACAAGGCAGTACCGGACAGCTGAAATGCTTCGTCCGGGACTATCACAGCGGGGCTATCGCCCATAAGCTGGCTTCCAGAGACGTGCTCCTCTTTGGGACGCGTCATAACGTCCAGGTCTACAACGCACGCAACGCGATGAAGCCCTGCACCAAATGCTGGCGCTGGGGTCACGGTAGTGACCGATGCACTCAACAGAAGCTTTGCTGCCCCCTGTGCGGCGAGCATCACACCGAGGAAGCGCATGCGGCGGAGGCCTCGTGCTGCACCGAAGCGCGGTTCTGGACGGATGACCTCCCGGTCTGTCCCTCTGACCACCACTACTGCCCGAACTGCCTCCGGGCAGGTCACGGCCCAGCCAACCGGACCAGTTGCACGGTCTGGAAGCACAATAACGACAAAGCCCTGGTCTCACGTAAGATCGAGGCGGCGGAGTCACCTAGGCAGCAGGACGACCGAGTGAAGAAGGAAGTCCAGAAGCTAATCACATCCCTGCGCAAGCAGCGCGATGAGCGCATGCGCGAGGCCGACGCGAGAATAGCCGAAATGGCTGACGCAGCGATGGCAGACGCCCAGGGGGAAACCTCGGGGCCGTCTGCGTAATCTCACCAGTACGTTGCCTTATGGAATCACAACCGAACGTGAATGCTGATGCTGGAGGATCAGCTAACCCTATCCCTCCACGTGTTGAGCGGCGGCCCACCCCGACGCACTTTGACGACGAGCCTATCAATGCCGAGCAGCTCGAGTTCCTTGACCGGTGGCTTCAACAGCCTCCCGGAGCACCTGTAATCGTACCTGTACCACCACCAGTACCGAATGATAACGTCCTTGACAACGAAGCTGAGCATGAGCCGGCCTTTAACGTCAAATTTGTTTCTGCCAATGTGCAGAAATCTGCTGAGAATACGACTCAGCTTCTTGAGCGCTACAGAGACGCTGACGTCATCTGTGTGCAAGAGATCTTCTGGGGGCATATTAAGAACGTGCCGTCCAGTAAGAAAAAGGACGGGGACTCGTATGACAATACAACTGCTCACCGAAATTTCACGTGCTTCGGCGCGTCCTCCAAGTCCCGGGTTGCCACATATGTGCATCGCCGCTGGCGCGGGGCTAGTCCCCACATCATTACCGGATCAGCACCTCACGGTGACTGTCTCCTGGTTTCCTTCGGTACACCACAGGGCGCCTGCAATGTGCTCAACGTGTACAATGATAACGGGCCGAACAATGTGATCTCTCACTTGCTCGAACACGTGGACTCCCTCCCGCCTATCACTTTGATGGCGGGAGACTTTAACCTGCACCACGTCGCATGGGACAAGGTGACACGCAACTGCAATGAAAATCCTCCTCACGGAGGTACAATTTCAGACTTATGGGACTTAACCACGGAGCTTCAATTGCTCCTAGGAAATGACCCTGCAGCGCCGGCCACCTGGAAATCCAATAACCCTAGGTTGGCCGCAAGAACTCTTGATCTGGTTTGGCACAGACCGGACATCCAAATATTGAACTTTAAGGTCAATACCCACGCACGTCACCGGAGTGACCATGCTCCGCTGACGTGGGAATGGAATGCCGGTGATTCACCGGAGCCCGAACCGATAATTGCACGCGTAGGACCCGCATCCAACGAGTTCTGCCTAGCAGTTGCCAAGCTCATTGCTGATCTCCCCACTCGGTGGGAGACAGCTGATGAGCTACAGCGAACTGGAGATAAGCTGTATGCTTACATCCAGCGGACATGGAAGGGAAATGCGGTGAAACCCCAGCGCACAGCCCGTTCAAAATCCTGGTGGAATGCCGATTGCAGTACCGCTCGCAAGCGCCAGATTCTCACATCTAAACAATGTGACAAAGTGCGAGGCCTTATCGGCCTTGCTCTACGTACAGTAGGCAGAAACGCCGACCAGTACAAAATTTATCATGAGCTCTACGAAGGGGCTAATAACCGACGCCGTAAAGCGAACAACTCTCTCCGCCGCGCTTCTAAAGGCGCCAAGCGGGAATTCTTCGACAAAATGTTGTCGAATTGCCATCCCCAGCTTATCTCCAACTTTGTTAGTTGGGCTAAGCCGAGGAAACTGGATGCCAGCGTGCAGATCAAGCGCGCTGATGGATCCGTTATCCAATCGCAGGACGAACTCCAAACAGAGTTTAGAGAGCAATTCACTCCTTCCATCCCGAAGGAAGTCGATGAGACAATTCTCGAAGAGTTCAAACAATTCGAGAAGCGTCCCTTTAATGAAATCTCCATGGAAGAGATTGCGGAACATTTGGCTGACACGTCTAACACGTCAGTCGGAGGTGAAGATCACGTCAATTGGGAATGGTGCAAACGCATATTCCACATGATTGAAGAATTAAAAGATAAACAGGGGAACGTGATTAACACGATCAACTGGGGATCTAAAGTCTATTCCTTTTTCAAGGCATACTACAACGCGTGCATCCGACTGCACAAATTCCCTGACGTCTTTAAGAGGTCCATCACGGTTGTTATACCCAAGCCTAATAAGCCAGATTATAGCAAAGCCAAAGCATATCGACCAATATGCCTCCTCAGCGTGTTCGGGAAGTTATTTGAAAAGCTTCTTGCAATGCGTATGCAGTTCGATGGCCAGAAGTACGGCATCTTACACCCATGCCAATTCGGCGGTACTGTTGAACACAGTACGGTTGATGCGGGCATGCAAGTCGTGCACTTCGTGCACGAGGCCTGGGCCAGAAACATGACACCGTCCATGCTTCTGCTGGACGTGTCACAGTTCTACCCTTCCATCAATCACAAAATGATGGTGGAAATATTCAGAAAGCAAGGCTTTGCAGATGACCTCTGTGACTTCTTTGCCGACTACTTCGTGGGAAGGTTTACTAAATACCTATTCAACGGCAAAGTCACGGAGGCAACCGCTGTTCCACTGGGAATGGGACAAGGCTCGTCACTGTCACCGGTTGCATCGGGATTCTATATTGCCCCGGTGTTACATAAGCAATACCCGGTCGGGAAACCGATGCCGGGTAACTCTTCCATCCAATTCTTTGTGGACGACGGAGGGATCTTGGCTGCAGTTCCTCGGAACCTATCCAACCTTACCCAAGTAGAATTGAACTGTGTCACAATACAGGTCATATTCCACGCCCTAATGCTCGACCTTATCAGGCTTGGGCTATCTGCGGAAGCGGACAAACTCGAGTGTATCCATTTCTGGAAACACCGAGACCCATGGCGACCAGACCGGCCCTTCGGGCCTGATGTGGTGGTATCACTTGGGAACCAAACCGTCAGGGTGGTCCCCTCAGCGTCTATGAGATACCTCGGGTTCTACTTCGACCCGAAGTTGTCATTCAAATCGCATGTTCGCTTCTATGCATGCAAAGCGGCTAGCACGGTATCATCGATATCAATGCTGGGTAATTCTCTCCGCGGATTCACTCCGGCTCAAAAGAGACAACTATACATAGCACATGTGCTTCCGCTCATTTGCTATGGTGCGCAGCTCTGGTGGAAGCCGGGCTGGAAAGGAATTGGGTGGATTCTTCGTGAATTTCACACCGCCCAAGCTCGCGCTTGCAGATGGATCACGGGGTGTTTCCGCACCACGCCTATTGGAGCAATGGAATCACTGGCGGGCCTAGTCCCCCTAAAGGAAAATATCACCCGATACATGGAGCGCTACGCGCTTCGTCTTCGAACATTAGGCGAGGGCCACCCCACAAAGGCGATCCTTGGCAAGGAATGGGTTACTTCCCAACTCAACGTCGTTATGCCCTTTATCGAGGGCAGCCGCAAGGCATCTCGCACGCCGCTAAGGGCGTTTGCAAAAATTGCTGAACGAAGTAATGAGGAGTTCTCCCACTACAGCGACGCTTGTCGACCTGGAGACCGGCTCATCGATCTAGATGACAACCGAATCCAGAAGATGTTCTTCAGCCGAGACAAACGAGACCGGCACAAGAAGCATGACGACCCTCCTCCGAAAAAGAAGGAGGGAAAAATCAGCAAGCAGTTCAGAGCGTGGATCAAAGACACCTGGACTCCCCGCACCTTCGATCTTATCTTCGATAAGAACACTTTAGTGATGTGGACCGACGGATCCGCACTCATTGACCGGGACAACCCGGACAACACGCGATGTGCTTCTGCGTGGATTATCACAAAGGAACTTCGTAAGGTTGCAGAAGGCGCATTTAGCGCCGGACGCGCTACTAGCTACGACGCCGAGGTTCTTGCCTCTGCGAAGGCAGCCAACAAAGTCTGGGAGCATGTCGAAGGCAGCACAGAAACACTCATCTTCGCAAGTGACAACATTGGTAACTTGCAGAAGATCATGAAGCCGGGTAAGGGTCCAAGCCAGCTGGCCGCCCTCATGGCAAACCAGGAAGCTGCACGCTTCCTGGAAGGAAGGCGTGATCGAAAGGTCATCTTCTTATGGAGCCCATCACACGTGGGCATTCTTTGGAATGAAGCAGTCGACAAACTCGCTTCAGACCTTGTTAACGATCGGGATGTTCCGATTGCTGATATAGTTTCCTTTTCTTTTGCCCAGCAAGGCATCCGAAGGGAGATGTTACGCGCGTGGGCCCGGGAATACAAACACCCGGACCATGTACAGAAAGCCAACGTTAGAGGGGTCCCCGACCCCTCTATCCTATCTCGCCCTAATAAATACTTGGGCAACAAGATGTGGTGGCATAAGCAGCTGAAGCCATCCAATGTCCGTAACCAATCGTTCTTATTTAAGACGAAAGGTCTCAAGTTTAGTAATCAGAAAACGGCGAAAATTGCACGTTTACTGACTAATCACTTCCCCTGCGGGGAATACCGAGAACGGTTCAAGAAAAATGGACCAATCAAATGTTTGTGTGGACGCGGCGGACATAAAGAAACCCGCGATCACATACTCTTCAAATGCCCGTTTTGGATACGGGTTAAAAAGCACAAGCGCTCTCCATTCATCGGCCCGTTTGGGTGGAAGCAGCGACATGTGGACACCTATTACAGCAGGACCCAGCGTGGCTGGGCCCCCAGTGACATCGTGGATTTCGCCTATATGAATCCATTAGCAGCCACCTTCGAGTGGGCAGAGATCCTGTCCAAATGTAAGGATGACGAAACTCGCGGCGACATGCTTACCCTTAATTGGGCGCGATTACATGCCCACACAGTTTGGCGCCAAACACAATGGCTCAATCTGAAGGGGCGTATTGAGAAGGGAGGCATCCACGATAAGCCTTTCTCTAAGGATCACGATGACGTCATCAAATTCTTTGATGAAATCAACGACAAAGCTGAGATATTTGCTCAGCATCTTTCATCACAGTGGGAGCACGACAAAGAAGTGCTTGCCCGGTTTGATGCTATGCCACGTCATGTGGTAGACGCCGGTGATGTTCCCGACGAGGAGGTGGATGAGATGTTGCGTGTCCTAGACCGACATCCTCTGCCTCGTATTGATTCGCTTCTAGACTCGGCGGCTGGCCTCACGGCTGACGCCAGTCAGTTGTCAGACGAATTCGTACCTAACCGGTCTCCTGTTGGACAGCCGGGCGATGCCCTCTGGTTCACCCCGTCACCAGGCGGGTGAATGCGTCGAGGGACTCTCTATTATTATACTCTACATGTGCCTATGTTGTACGGAGTCTAAACCCGGTGAATAAAAAAAAAAAAAAAAAAAAAAAAGAGAGCACTTGCCCGGACTCCACAATCCTAGATAATATCCGGTGCGTTCTTATGATTTAAAATGAATATGCTATGACTTTGAATCCGCGAATCTTTCACATGTGATGGCTGGAGACAATAGTGAGAACGCGTTTCCACTACCGGTTCAGCCACAGCACCGACTTCCAGTTGCTACGGGTGGCCGCCTCATTTGAGTAGCCCGAATCGCATTTGAGGCACAAGCCAACGAATCCATAAACAAGACACAAAAGCCATCTAACGATACAGCACTGATCACGACAAATCAAGCCCCTCGACCCTCCACACCTTGATCGCCCCCGAGCGATCGCCGCTCACAATGCCCCCTCGGAAGGGCGAGTCGATGCACGCAAGCGCCGTCACGGTGTCCTGGTGCCCCTTAAGCAAATTATGCTGGTTATGGCTGATCAGCGAGAGTCGTTGTGGAGGCCGGTTAACGCTATGGCTGGCTGATAGTGAGGATACCCAGGTCTCAAGGAGCCGTGATGGCGCAGAGTCAGCGGAAGCAGGCACGCTACCGGAGGAAATATTAGCTTACGCAGCTCACACAAAGAACAAATGGTGACTCACCTATATGTTGGTTTATCGGTATCCGCGTCCATGCCCGTCAGTACCGCAGACCGTTCCACATGCGCCAGGTCCCAATATCGTATCCTCCGATCTTCCGAGGCGCTCAACAAGAATCCTCGCCCGCCCGCAGTACGGCTCGTCCGGACGTCCTGGTCCGCCATGGTGGCGCGCGCCGGGGCATGCCCACCGAACTCAGTCCCCACCACGATCGCACGGACGTTCGGGGACACGGCGTCCAGGGAGTCGGGCAAACCGGTCACGCCGGACAGGCCGCGGTGCGCAAAGGACTCGAGCGAGCCGCCGCTCTCCTGACGAGCACGCACCAGAGCCGCTATCGCTGCTGCCGGACTCGTCTCCGCCTCTTCTGAGTCGACTGCCGGGGGATCTTGCAGTTCTTCCGCTGCGTTTGAGACTGTCCTGGTAACAAAGGATTCCACGAGAGACGACTTCTCAATATCCCAGACCTCCAGGATGACATGGCTCTTCGGGGTTTTCGGCGCCTCCACCGCCACTATGATCCACTTGCCCTTGCCTTTCGTCGGGTGGACGACGCATTGGTATATCCGCGCTTGCCTGCTCTTCCACGCCGTGCAGACTTTCCAGCTCTTGATGAGGATGCCGAACCGGATGTCCCAGAGCGACAGGACCCCAGTGGACGTGCCACAGACAAGCCACGCACGCTTGCGATCCAAGCATAGACACAGAATTGGGCCGTGATGTCGCGGGTTCTCCATCTTCTGTAGCTGCCGCATCGTGCGGAGGTCGAGGATGGAGATGGTGCAGTGTGTTGTCGCGTAGACCAGACTTGACGATGTATCTGCATTGGTAAGGTTCAGACAACCATTCGCTCGTAAGATGTGAGGAAGACTCACCAGTCATGAAGTGTGCCATGCACGTAATGTACTCTCCGGGTTGATCGAGTCGATGCTCGCGGATGAGCTGCAGCTTGTGGTACTTCGGCAGGCTGCCACTCTGGGTAACATGTATTCGCACGACATGAAGACTGCCGTCGTCGGCAGCGCTCGCGAAGCAATGCAGGCTTTCCAACACGCACACACACTTCACCTTCGCATGGTGTTGACTATAGGTCTGCCGCGGCTTGCTAGTAACGTTCCTCTCTAAACGAGCAGTGTCCCAGACCTTGAGCGTCTTGTCGTCCGACGCGGAGACGAAGAACATGTGGTCTGGCGATACCGCAATGCCTGTGATAACATCGTTGTGTGAGCTCATGTGCGCGATGAGAGTCGTTTCGGGTCGACGAGAGCCGCCTTCTCGAGACATGAAACTGTGCCTAGCAGCGTTACGGCGCCTGACCGCGCCCTCATGAACATGAGGTCCGAAGTCATTTTGAAGCTCTCGCGTGTTGTCCATGTAGATCTGTTCAAGCAGGTTGTTCAGGCCGAATTCCTGACCATCTACAGATATCTAAATCAGCATAGATCCGAAAATCGTCAGATCCAGCTCACCATAAGTCGAGATCGGCGTCAGTGAAGGAGGACGGAGCTTGTCGTTTTGAGGTCGTATCGTCAGGGCTGGCGACAGAGGTGACGTCCTTCCCGACCGCTCGGGCGATGCTTCCGATCGGGCATAGGCATGCGCATCCAGCAATCCTGTGGCGTTGGCTCTGGATGACCCTATTGCCGGCGCTGCTTTCTGGCCGTCGACGCTACCGATGCGCATCGGCCGCGAAGCAGACGGGTTGGTGATAGAGATGATGGATTCTGTAGGACTGCCTGGTCGCACTGGGGAGCGCGGCATGTCGCTGGATGCGGACGAGGGCAGGATGGCGTGTTCCAATGAAGGCATGGTCGGGCTGCGTGCCTCGCGGGGGCTCGTGGCATTGACCGAGGTAGCTGAGCCGTTGATGATGGCGAGTCGTCGCCGCAAGTCCTCAAACGGCGCCCCTGCTGCAGCTGCAGCTGTGTGATCCATGCTGAAGGTGCGCCCAGAGCGCGGGGTCCCAAGAATCGGCGACTTCGCAGAAAGTTCCGAATATGAGCGGTGTTTGGATACCGAGCGTGGGCCTCTGAGAAATACGGTCTGAGGCACGACTCCTAGCTTCTGGAGTTCGACACCGACGGTCGTCTTGAGCTGTTCAGCGTCGCCCTCGGCACTCACGCGGGAAGCAAAGCTAGCCCATAGTCAACTTAAATTAGAGTCAACGGCGGTGAGTGAGACATACCTCGCCATGTTACGCGCGAGCTTGAGGATGTAATCACGCATGGACGTCAACTTCGCTTCTTCACCAGGCGTCATGCCCATATGCTGCAACTTGGTAATTTGTGTTTCGTCCCTGACCAAAAAGTGTCAACGTTGCGCAACGCATTTTCAACTTGGTCACTCACTCTTCAGTCCGACCTCGGGTCCCGACCGTACCCGAACCCCGCACAGTGGCAAGACTATCCTTCGGAGATTCGGGCTTGGAGCCACGATGGGTCCGCCAGAATAGCGACTTCTCCGATTTCATGGCCCACTGCACCGCTGCGTCGAACACTTGTCGGGACAGCTGTGTTTGATAAGTCCTATGACTCATGATATATGATATTGAACATACCGGAAGCTTCAAAGAAAGCAGCAAACTGTGTTCATCAACGTCTCGTACGTCTGAGCGCAGGAAGTGCTTGAGAGATGGGTAAAGAATACACCAGACGTCGCTTGGAGGTAGATGCTTTGCAGCGGAAGCGATGAAGGCCGCAGCCCCTGTGGTTCGGTCGTGTGAGACAGTCGTCCTTGTGAGCACAGATCAAGCAAGCCGCGCACCTTGCCGTATCCAGGTATTCGGATGATACAGGAACCCCAGAGTCGCACTCATCAACTCCCAAATGCGCATTTTCTGGAACAGGCCAAGTTCACACAAGCTGGTTGACGCGGCCAGAACCTTGGCAACGACAGCGCCCTCTACATCTTCACGCGAAGTCAGTGAAACTCGTAGTGCATACAGTCAGCGCACATACCTGACAGCGACTGAACCATCAACGGCAAGATGTACTCTTCCAAGCTCCGGCCTTCGCCACACGCAGCTACATCAACAATGCAGTCGAAGAACGCGTACCTCAGTAACCAATCACGGTCATTCAAGTACGTGATCATATGGCTGAGCAGCACGTCGTTCGTCTTCTGTCGCCCAAGGAAGATGCACAGGGAAGAGATATTATGCAGCACCGCCCGCTTCACGACGCTCGACGGATCGACGAGGAGCGCAGAGAGGTGCTCCTGGATGCTGTTCTGGAGCTCTTGTATGCTCGCGTCGTACGACACCTGCACCGCACTGTCAATTAGTGGTTCAATGCATAAAGTGTGTCGCATACCTCAAAATGTGCCTCGTCATACTCTTGCGTGTCAGGCGAGAGCTTGTATGACCCGTGTGCCTTCAACGCTTGTCCCATCTCGAGATACCGCACCGCCGTATCCGCGAGCGAGACGATGCACTGTGCATAGATACATCGCACAGATACCTCGGGATCACGAACGAGATGGGCGACCGCAGGGATAATGTACTCCGGGAAAATCGCTGCGTTTGAGGGTGTGATGACAGTAACGAGCATAAGCTATACGAAGTAGCTTCAGTCAACAATTCGGACTCGGGCATAGGAGATAGCTTACTATTTGCATGAGCGTGCGCATGGCCGCAGCACGCACTATGGCCGCGTCGTCGTGAAGGAGGTCAACCACGTAGGGGACCATCCTATCCAGCTTCGCTTCGTCGGTGAGGTACGGCGAGAGCGCCAGGAGGACGTCTAGTCCGCGCAGCTTAGAACTAGGCAGGGTGCAGTTGCGGATGTTCGCCGAAACGAGGGCCAGGACAATGAGGGCCGGACCATCTGTGCACATAAAAATAAACATCAGATATCCGAAGAGGATAGACTGAGACTGTACCTTCTGCGGCGGCGGTACGCCTTCCCGCACTCAAGGGGTGACCAGCTCCGCTCTCTCGATTGGGAATGTACAGCTCCACTGGCAAAATGTCCTGCACGTATGTCGGCATAATGAACCTGGGTTCGCACTTCGTGACTCACCTGGAATGGCTTCGACGAACCCATTGACGGCATGTAGTCTACCTTGACATCCATGACGGTCTGTTCTTGCGCGGAGTCGACCGCCAAGAAGGGCTCGACGCTCTCAAAATCGCTCCATATCCTCTCCATGCGCCGATCGGAGTCGCTGGGCAGGGATTCGTTCAAGACATCTCCGGTAGATGTCCCGGGGATGGTCTGCGGCGTGACGGCCTGGGGACTCTTGACCGTGGCGCCTGCAGGCGTGGGCGGTACAGTAGGCGCGGCATTTGACGCGAATGGAGAAGGTCCGGAGAGCTCGTTGATGGACGAGACGTAGTTGTGGAAGAACGAGTAGAAAGACTCGGGGAACACGGATCCGCGGGACGTGTGTAGCAGCGTGTCGAAAGACGGCCTGACCGCGGGGTCAACCGCAATCATCTGCTTGATGAGATTCTACAGCCGTATTACTTAGTAGATACGTCCCGGATGTGATCAGTCCTCGCACCTTCACGGGGTCGTCCCCTATGGCGCTCAGCTGAGACTCTACACTCAACTCTCCCTCGCGGTACTTGAACAGCTGACTGAGCGTGAACAACGGCGAACCTTCAAGGAAGAGTTCCGCAATGACACATCCAGCGCTGAAGCAGTCCATTGCCTCTGTGACCCTGCCATCCCTCCTGCCCTCGCCGTCCTCCATGGCCAGTCTGCTTTTCTTCGCGCTGATCGCCGGATTCTCCGCCGCCGTGTAGAACCGCTCGGGCGCGACGTAACATGTCCGCCGGCCGCTCGTGTCGAAGAAGAAGGAGAAGTCGGACGGGTCGTCCAGCGGCAGGTAGGTCGGCTTGTAAGACGCGAAGTCGGTGAGTTGAACCCAGTTCCAGGAGGTCACGAGGATGTTCTCGGACTTGATGTCGCCGTGAGGGATCTTGCGATTCCGTGCGTCGCGAAGGGCGTGTAGCAGCTGAAAGGCGATCCACTTCTTGTCGACCAGGCTGAGGAAGGGACGTGTGCTTCAAAAGCATGAGCATGCAGACTTCGTCTCATTTGAGGTTACCCGCACCTGATGCGGTCGTAGAGGCTGCTCGCAATCCACTGTCGGATGATATATCCCGCCTTGTCTGTCTCCACGAACGCCTGGTAGTTGTAGACGTTGACAAGGTCCGCTAGCGCTTCGCGCTCAACTGTAACATCGTTCACACTTCAGTGGAGGGCCAATGTTCGCGTATCTAACGCACCCTTCAGTCGTCTGTGGTACTTTCGGAGACTCAGCCCAGGATCCGGCTTGACGAAGATCTTGACGACCAAGTAGCCATTTCTGTGTCGGCACTTCACCGTCTTGAGGAAACGGGCAGAGCCCATACTGCCACATAAGGATTCACTTACAGTCTACGCGTACGGATGCAAGGAGCACTACCTCCGCTCATAGATGATGTCTCCTCCGAGCTCGGCCACAAACGAGTCGAGTGCGCCGGTGGTGCGCGTCAGAGACTGAACGTTGCCCATGTCTCCAATACGCACGACAGCAGAGTATAGTGTTCTATTGCTGTGTCAAGACTTGGTCAAGACTCAGAAGCTAGTCGACTCAGCAGAGAGTCAGGCCTAGTCAGGACTTGGTTGGGACGAAGAGGCCCTGCCGCCCAGAAACTTAAAGTCGGAACCACGGGGACGTCCCGGCGACGAGGGAGGCGGCCCCGGCCCGGGAAAGGCCCGGGGCTGCTACAATTAGGCGCCCTTTTGGGGCGTCCCGATTTGGTACCCTGTGTGCAACGGGACTTAACTCCTCCATCCACCTCCGAGTCCACCGCCTTTGTACCAGAGAAGTCGCGCGCATCTCACCTGGCCCCTGGCTCGCCCTCGAGCTCCTACATTCACTATGTCATGCAGGACGTCCATACGTTTGTCCTCGAAGAGCCGTTTGAGACAGTGTATGCTCAACTCACTGCCAGTGTCCGGGAACGTTTGGCACGGGCGCCCGGGCGGCGATGATAGTGACACTGGCAGTGATGGCACAACCTAGTTTCCAACCGGATGAACGGATCTGTAAACTTACAAGTTACATAGTCCGAGTGTAGCCTCAGGTAGGGCTCAGCTAGCGTCAGAACGACGAGCCCGCCCGAGCCCGCCCGTGCGCGTCCTAGCGTCGTGGTGCAACACATTGGTCATAGTCGGGACCCAGACACATGGCCCCTGGCCGTCACTGTCGTATATGACACGATTGAGGTATGTGCCAAACATCCTATACATCCTCAATCGCCACTCATTCCGAGCAACGCGCAGTTCTTGCCGCCCCTCCATGACTCGGACTAGCAATGCATACCAAGACCATGCTGGACGGCTTCTTAGACTCCTGGTCTAGCGGCGCACTCGCGCATCCATCATAACGCGGTTTCGTTTGGAGATCATGATTGATCCGACAGCATCGTGCAGGTGGCCCCTTTAAAAGACATAGTACGCCCTCTGCATCTGCTCGTCCTCACCATCCTAGTACAGCACTGCTCAACCCACAAGATGTCCCTCGTTAAGATTCCCTTCCTCGTCGCTGGCGCAGTGGGTGGCTATGTGGTCATGACAGCGCCGAATGCGAAGGTCCCTGTTGAGCAAAGGGCTAAGGGAGTCAGCGCGTTTGAACGTTTCTTCTCTGCGACAGCGAGACTCTACACGCTTGGCTTTAAGGTGCGTCAGCCTTCACTCATCTCTTCAGAGTTGCTGACGACTTCGCGGTTTGTAGGCCTTGATCTTGTCCGGTAGCATCCTGGAGGTGCTCGTCATCGGTGCTAGCCACTTCCCCGCGCACCCCCTGTCTCAGAAAATCCTCGACGCCCTCGTTGTGGGCCCCTACTCCCTCACCCGCCGCATTACCATCAGCCCGCTGTTCGTCGCAGGTGCCGCCATTGGCTACTTCGGCGCATATTTCCGCTGGCAGTGCTATCGCACGCTGGGCCGCCTCTTCACCTTCGAGGTTTCCATCAGAGAGGGTCACAAGCTCATCACGGCGGGGCCCTACCAGTATACTCGCCACCCTGCCTACACTGGATCCATCCTCAGCACAATCGGCCTTGGGCTTATGTACATTGCGCCTGGGTCGTGGATCCGCGAGTGCGGAATCCTGGCGACGCGCGGAGGGAAGATTGCGGCGTGGACATACGTCGCGGCATTCTTGTACGGGTCGGCGAGCTTATTCCAGCGAGCACCTCAGGAGGATGTGGTGTTGAAGAAGCATTTCGGCGAGGAGTGGGAGGCGTATGCAAAGCGGGTGCCGTACCGTATCTTCCCCTTCATCTACTAATTGGCGAGGCCTTCTGCTAGTGTTACAAATAATACAGATAAATACGACAAGCGATTTATATCACTGCGATGCGTTAGACCACCCGACATCCATTTACGTTTGCATGTCCGAGTTCCGCGATGCTGATTAACGAGCGCAGACGATCCCGACTTCACAGTCTGATGGCCCTGTGCATTCAGTGGAGTTTGCTGTTGTCCAGCAGGTGTAGCCGTCCTAAATCCAATATCAGGCGCTGGAAGTAGGCAAAAGGGACGAGTCTCGTACATTACAGCTGATTGGCATGTGTAGGTCCCAGGCATCTTTGCTACACTGGATGTCTGCTGATCCGAAGGAATTGCTGGGGCGCGTGTTCAGGACCGGATGAGTTCCAGCCACGCAAGAGCTGCCCTACCTCAGCATGTCGGTTGCGAAGGTGTCCTGCTTGTGCGCAGAGAAGAGCATATTATTCATGAACGTGAAGGCGACGGCGAGATTGAGCGGTAACAGAATCATGACGTCGTGTCGTACGAAGGTTAAGTTAAACAGCAGTGTGAAGTGCGGATTGCGGACAGTCAGGCTGCTGAGCGACTCGCTCTTTCTCACCGGTTAAAAGCCTCTGACCGCGCATTCTGATTGACCGGATGTCTGAGCTTGAGTCTAGCCTGTGCTGAATGCCCTCTGGCAGTCACAGTGTGAACCGAAACCATCATATACTAGTTTTGTTGCCTGCTTCCCCCACCCGAGACAGGGTGGCCAACTCTGAGGAACTGTATGTGAGACGTCACGAGGCACCTTTAGTGCCAATCGCATCATTGTCACGGCAAGACACCAATTGCGGACTGAGTCCGTCGCGTCGCCTCTGGCACGTCGACGTGCGCGCCCCCAATTCAGCTGTCATGTCCTTAGGCTGCATATAGTAGAATCACAGTACAATGTCCCGACCCTCGCCGGTGAGCCCTGAGATTGAGCTTCGGCGTGGTTACAGTAAGAGTCAATATCTGTACATTCTGTTCAGTCATTACAGGTGACCGGTGACATTTGAGTGACATGATCGTGTTGCATCTGGTGAGACTCTGTGAGACTGCGCAGTGATCGACGTCGATCGTTCGATACGGTACGATGTCACCTCCTGCGATGCAGTGCGCTTCGGCAACGACATAAGTAAGTTGGACTGATACATCGCCGTGTTCCTAAGGAGCCTTCAATTCCCACACCCGACTCCGTGTTCGTTGTGCTTCACATTATCGCTAAGCTACCTCCTCGTCATCGTATCCCTTCGAGCTACCTGACTTGACCTCTTCTGTACCCAATGGACCAGTGTCTCCTGCGATACCAACATCTCCGTCCCAGCCATTCTCAGCAAGATACCGTAGGAACCTCGTGTCCTCCAGTGCGAGGTCAATACCAGTCATATCTGGCACGAACAGGTAGGTGACCAGTATACCGAGTGCGCCAAAAATCGCGGCGACGATGAACGTCCATCTGCGGGTCAACGACGAGTCCATGAGAATTCGCATTGCGAAGGTATGTGTGAACATCTCGCACCGCTTTCCAAGATTGTCTTGGATCGGCGTGAACACCTCGGTGCCAACTGCCGCTCCCGCCTTGCCTAGTGCAGCAGAAAGCCCGAAGAATGTACCCCTGGTCAAACGTGGAAAAAGGTTGGTCCGTATGCAGCAATGGCTAGAGCCGAGCTTACCTAATGGGAGTCGGGTATGATCTATGTCGTCTGAGCTGCTAAGTTTTGAATATTCGAAGCGAACGCGACTCACTCTGCGCTCGTGAGCAGCGTCATGTTACCAGGGCCCTGATCTCAGTGAATCAGACACAGCCAAGCAGGATGGATGCGACCCCTTACCAGGTTGCTCATGGACGTCATCAACCCGTACCTACATCAGCAAGTCAGTGCGACAGATATGACAGGAATCACGTAGGTATGCTCACAGCACTATGAAAAGAGGCACGATTCTTGTGACTTTGTCATAGCCAATGCCGATGATCAACCCTAGAACAGAGCACTTGACGACATTGTGATCAGGACAGATAACTATGACCTACCGAAGATGACGTAGCCACTGAATCCTAGTATCATCTTATCACAGACATATCAGCTGGACATGCTTTACTGAGGCCACGGAGCAGTCCACTCACTGTGTTACGCCTGCCTAGAGGATTGCATAGCAAAGCTCCCACAAAGACTCCTACATGTTCCCAGGATTCTAAGAGACTCACATTCCACATCATCAATCTTGCACGCACCAGGGATAGCGATAGCACCCAGTAACAACTGCCACTCAGCTGTTGCTTTCACGTCACCATCCTTGATGACACTTGATATGATAGACGCAGAAAATATGCCGTTCGGATAGAATATCTGGGGAACGGATGACTCGGAGTTGATGCATTAGCCGTTCTCCACTACTCACAAAATCAAAGAGGAACCTTATGCTGAGGCGTTAGCATGCAGTCTGAGGTAATCCACCAGGAGAGCTTACCACGACCCGCCTGTGCCTATCAGCGCCTTCCAATACCTCTTGAGTGAGAGCCAGTACGGGACGCGTCCTAGAACAGACCGCGATAATCAGCAACCCGCGTCCCTGAACATTGGTACAAGGACAACACACGTCGAATAGCGCCCTCACGATAGCTACAAACCTGTTGTCAGAGTAGGCCATCATGATGAATGTCCATATCGCGTACAGTTTCGAATTCAGCATGCGCATCCGGAAGTAGAACACTGTCATTGGGAGCGCGATCCCAACACCAAAACAAACGCGCCAGATAGTCTCGAGGTGCGCTTGTCCTGCAGCGGACAAGACAATCAAGAAGACGGAGACGGCTAGCGGGCCGCCACACTACGGAATCCGAAGAGTCAACGCTGCCGTGGAGAGCTGACGAGCACGAGTACACCTACGACTAGAGGCAAGTCGGTCACCATGATAAATACTACGAGTAGACTGTCAGGACAAACGTCATAGCCGACCATTGCCACGAACGTACCAGGCCCACGCTTCTCAATCGATGTCTCGTTGGCCCCTTCGCTCGCGCTTGTCGACGATGCAGGGTACTCTCCTCCAGCGCCCTACGACGGTTTCACGACATACCCTCAGACGGATATGGATCATGAGGCGTATTCTATACGTACCACACCGGTCACTCCCCTAGCAATAGTCATGAACCAGAAGAGGCTTTGAGCACCACCATGCGCCCCATGCGCAACGGTGCAGAGGATTGCCCCGACGATGATGAGCAACGTTGTCATCACAAGCCCGCTTTTACGACCATGCCTATCGCACAAGATGCCGACGAAGACCTGGCCGATGACTTCTCCTACAATACCAATCGTCTCGGTGATCAATTGAAAGGACGAGACGGTCGCATCCTGTCCATGACTGACCGACTAACATGGCATTCGAGACACGGGTTGATACGTTGGAGGTGTATTCAGTTGGGTACAGTTTTTTGAAGACAACCTGAGGAAGTGTGGCGACCGGAATGTAAAGCATTGTGAACATGAGACGTGCAAACACTCACGTTTGTCATCGTCATCAGGTTGTTATGATCTATGAGTGTTAGTTGTGACGAGTAGAAATATACGGCTCGAGCCTTTGGCGATATTCCTACTCACAGCCGTCTGAGATCAGGCCAAAGGCTGAGGCAGCAATCGCCATGTACGCGCCAAGCGTGACTTTCCTTGCAACGCGATCGCTCCGCCGAGTTGAGACGAGATCCTGGAGTGCTGGAGTCCCCTGCATGTCATCCATGGTCTTGTCATCTTCAACCTGTACGGCGGCATCGCTGTCGCCCGAGTTCGCAAAGCGCGCCATAGTGTGATACCGTTGAGCGATTCACCTGTAAGATGTATCGCGCGCATCCCAGTTATAAAACCCGCCTCGTGTAAACGTTAGAGTTCCTGCCACCGACTCAAGGCACGTACAGTAAGGTTTCAAAGTTTCAGGAACAGGTTTCGAAGCATCGTCGTGGCGTCTCCAGCGAAGATCACCGTTCTCTGGTCGGACGAACGTGCGCGCATTTGACGATAGAAGAAAAAGACTGAAGTCCACACTGTACTTCATTGCTTGCTAGCGAACTCCGTGTCAGTGAGCAAGATATGTGCGAGTACTACAGCGTGGCGTCACTCACTTTGTTAGCGTTGGGAAAGCGCCCGGCATGCACGCTGGATATATGCTCAAGTGCCCCTGCTTCAGACTGTCAGCGGAGAGCCGTGCGGGACTGTCAATCCGAAATAGTAACGACGCACTACAACCTTATGCTTTGGCCGACCTGTCGGGACAAGATACGAGGATGTTTCGCAATCGTCGTACGTCTTTCTGGGATAAAGTTGCGATGTAAGGGCAGGAGGGAAGCTAGTGAAGCACGCGCGAAAACACAGCGGTATGGAGAATCAAGGCAAGGACCCGAGTTGGATCGTGGTCCTCTTTTTGATTTTTGGCGCGGTTGGACGGGCGTCACGGTATACAACTCTAGGCTACAGTGAAGGATACATAGCTTACAACAAACTCCCGGCATTAGACAACTTTTCAGAACAACCATGGACCCACTGCAATAGACAAGTGCGGAGTCAATAATCTGAACACGCGAAGACACTTGATGGAATGGCACTCACTGCGTCCTCTGGCGCCGTCTGGTCTGATCTGCAAACAGCTTTGGTGGATGAGGTTGAGCGCCTTGACCGCGTCGCGCGCGTCGATGACACACGAGATGTTGATCTCGTTCGCACCCTGGCTGATCATCTCGATATTAACCTTCCCGTCTCCCAGCGTCGTGAACATGCGCCCCGCGATGCCAACCATGTTCCGCATCCTCTTGCCCACCAGAGACAGGATAGCCATGTCTCTGCTCACCGTCACCTAAAGTCAGAGGATCATTAGTCCTATGGAGCAGAGCGAGCACCGATAGCACCTTACCGTTCCGCTCTTTTTGAGTTCGCGCACGACCCGGTCAAGGAGCTTCTTATCAAGGTTGTCCTCGATGGCCATGCTGACGTACACCTCACTCGTACTGATCAGGTCGACGACGACGCCGTAGCGGTCGAGCGTGCCGAACACGCCCGCGAGGAAGCCATGCGACACGCTCTTACGGTTCGAGTTCACGTTCAGCACGACGATGCGCTCCTTAATCGTGACCGCCGTCGGGAGCTTCCTTTCATCTCTCGCCACGTGCAGGTCGCCCAGCGGGCGGAAGACAGTGTTCGTGCCGGGGATCGGGATGCCCGCCTCCTCCGCGTATGGCGCGGCGTCGATGTCGGGGTCGGGGTGGATGACGGTGCCCCCGCCCTGCGGGTTCTCGACGTTCTTGATGCGGATGGGGATGCGCCGCCGGATGACCTGCTCCATCGTGAACGGGTGCACGACCTCGCTCCCGTAGTACGTCAGCTCCGCCGCCTCCTCGGGCGAGATGATCGGGATGAGCCGCGCCGTGGGCACCTTGCGCGGGTCCGCCGTAAAGATCCCGTCGACCTCCTTCCAGATCTGCAGCTCGGACGCACCGAGCCCGGCGGCGAGTAGTGCGGCGAGGAGGTCGGTGTATCCGCGACCGACTTGCCGTAGGAGAGAGCCCGGGACGGGGCCGAAGTAGCCTGCAAGGTGTGAGCAGCGTGGATGGGTAGCTTCAAGAGGGCATACCAGTGACCACAGGCACGCGAGGCTCGCATTGTCGGATGCGCTCGCTCACAGCCTCAGCAACTCGGTCATAAAACTCTTGGCCGAGTGTCTCTGTGCCCGCATAGGACTCTTCCTCGGAGAGCGGGACAATGTTCTCGAGGCTGACATACTCGGCATCGATTCCCTAGACCAGACGTGAGACAGGACGATCATTTGACACGTGGAAAGTACGTACTCGATCCCTGAGGATAGCAGTCATAACCTTGCACGATAATCGTTCCCCAAAGCCAATAATGGTATCGCGTGACCTCGGCGAGATCTCGTCGATGACCTGGACAAGACTCAGTGACGTGTGTTCCGTATTCGATGCAAGGATACTGACCTGGGTTGCAAACAAGAACGAACGTAATGAGTCACAGTCCCGCTCGATCTCCATCTCGAGCTCGCGCAAGAGCTCAGCGTTCCGGACTGACGAGCGAGCAGCTGTGATGTGCTCTGAACGGATGAGACCGACCGTCTCGCTGAAAGGACTTGACTTTGAGCTCGTGGAGGACATGTTCAGGGCACCCCCAGGAGAGACGGGATCCATGCGGGGCGAGGACGTGCTCCGTCCTCGTGGGCTGTCCACAGGTGACTGTGCCTGCGATGTTCTTGAGAAGAGGGCGGGTGTCATATGTCCCGGTGTCTCTGACGGGCTGTTTGTGCGCTGAAGGGCTTCCTTCGCTGCACGCAAAAGGAGGTTCGTGGTGCCCAGCGCCTTGGTAGAACCAGATCGTGCCGAGCAGACGATGGCGACCTTGTGCTGGTCGATGTACTCTCTGCGATTTCAGTCAGCAAAGGGGAAACATGAAATAGCTATGCACCGCGCACGCAACGATGTCATCCGCGATCTTTGCCGCAAACTTTCCTACACTCGTCCCTCCAAACTTCTGCACGAGCCATTTCGCTTCCGGGTCGATGGTGTTTTGGTGGAGGTTGGGTGGTGTTCGCGGCGGGCTGGACGACGCTGCTGACGCCGAGCGAGATGATGACGGTGATGGGGAAGAGCTAGGAGGGCAAGAACTAGGCGGAGTAGACATGATGAAAGCTTGCAAGTCAGGCTGCATCATCAGCCCGGGTATTTGAAGCTTCCTGAGTGACTCACCTCAGGTGCGACCAGGCCCAGCCTCCGGGTATCGTTCGGCTTTGCTAATGCTACAGTAATCGGAATTAGGAATGGGTGTGGTATGATTGTCGAGGTTGAGCATCTTGTGGCATGTCCACATTGCGGGGGTCAGCGGCAGGGAGGTGACTCTTAAGAGTTTTCCGGATAAAGAAATGCCGGCGGCACACCCGCCTCCGTCAGTAAACTTACTCGTCTTTCACGACGTACTGATCCAGCTTCAGAGTTGTAGAACGTAACTGAGGAAAATGTGTATGCTTTCCTCTGCAATGTGCTTATCCATGAATGACAATTGGCCTTACGACTCAGCTGGAGTACATACATGTCCGACGGTCGGATTGTGGCGGAATTTCCTCGTATGGATAAACTATGTACTGTACTCCTCCCACGTGATCGTTCAACATCAATCCTCCGCCACAGGTTAAGCCAGGGCTAAGCACCGCGGGCTGCGCTCCACGAACATGTCGACTGGCAATCGCTCTTTCATTTGTGATGAGCCCTTGCCACTGAGCAACGCCATAAAGCGCTTCAAGGCGGTGAGAACATAGATTTTGCACGTGCAAAGCGACCGTATACCTGACAGCAACCGTTTGAACAGCTGCGTCCGAGAGTGGATTCGGACATGCCGTATCAGAAACTCTTTTGATACTCAGTTTTATGATTCTATGAACATGTAACATCGTGCGCTGTCCTTATCACCACCTTTGGACTCCTCTCATTGTCAGTTGACCTCTCTGACACGGCCGAGCGCCATCGAGTGAGATGACAGTCAACGTTGGTGCAGGTGCGATATCGATGCTGGCGATCTGACCGTCAGCTACACATCTAATCACGTCACGACTCACTAGGCTCGCGGCATTTCCAACTTCAGGTTGCCCCTAAGTTACTCAAGAATCGTTGTTCAAATGTTCAGCGCTTGGCAGCGCTCAGCACTACTTGCATCGGCTCGATTGTCCGAGAGTGACCCGGCCTCGCTCACTTCCAACCTGCTCGATCAAACCTTCGACGACAGAGGCCTCCAGCGCGTGTTGTCAAGCCGCAGATGCGGCACTATGTAAACCTTTCTAGTAATGGCACGTATACAAAAGTACTTGTCACTGACCAAGTCAGCTGCGAGAAGGCGGAGTACCCGGCACAGAAGTCCTTTGACAGAACCTACCCCATACTCCCTCCCCCATGTGCAAGCATTGGCTCGAAAGGTTTGCCGTCTGACAGCTATGCTGATCGGCCTTCTTCTTCCGCACAGGGCCATCACAAGCATTGGTTTGTATGGAGGGAACTTCTTGAAGTCTCTTCGGCTGCTGAAGGGTCGAGGCTCCATCTGAGATCAATTATGGATACGGAAGAACAAGCATATAGGAAGCGTTTGATACGCACTTCTCGTACGTCCACCTACTGCTCGCCGGCATGCCTCACACTAAGGAGAAAATTCAGGATTCAGTCGAGCCTGCTGACGAACATGTCGTCGTCGCTGGTTCTAGTGTGGACGCTACTTCCGTTGTTGCTCCTCGAAGAGCGCGCACTCATGGAAAGGCTACAATCAGCGCGTACATGGCCATCGCTGCCTCCGCCTTTGGGCTAATCTCAGATGGCTGTAAGTATTGCTATGTGTCCATCAGTTGAACAATATGAACGTTTCTAGATCATAACAATCTCATGACTATGACGAATGTGAGTGAGCATTTCGCTCGACTGTGCGACGACACCAATGAACGATGAGATAGATCGTCTTCAAGAAGTTATATCCCTCTGACTACACGTCGAACATTTCTACGCGCGTTACCAACGCACTGCTGGTCGGTAAGTGTCATGCGTTCGCGTCTGTTTACTGACATCAACAAGTTCCACAGGCGAGATCATTGGGCAGATCACCGTCGGGATTCTTTGCGACAGAATTGGACGGAAGGCAGGCCTCGTAATGACAACTCTATTGATTACGATTGGTGCTATTCTGTGTACTGTTGCACATGGCGCACATGGAAGTGCACAAGGGTTATTCTGGTTCATGACGATCGCCAGAGGTATCACAGGCGTTGTAAGCTACTATGTACACAGGCCTCTGTTGCAAATGGCTAATGATACTCTCAGGGAGCCGGCGGAGAGTACCCTGCATCTTCGACGAGTGCGAGGGAAGGAGCTGATGAGGTAGCCGTGCATCAGAGAGGCGCAGGTCCGTTCTACATCATCGATGATCCCTCATTCATTCAAGAGCCTGACCTGACAGTGTTCATTATGGTTACCGACTTCCCCATCTCTGTAGGTCGTTTCCTAGTGAGTTGTTATCCAGAGTACTGACGGCCATAGGCTGGAGGCCCGCTGGCCGTTACAATATTCTTGATTGTTTTGTCCGCCGCCGGGGAAGATCACCTCAACACTGTCTGGAGAGTATGCTTTGGTATTGGCATCGTCTTCCCATTGGCCGTGTTCTACTTTCGTATGCGTATGGTTACATCAAAATTGTGCGTCTGTGTCTTCCCAGGTTCCCTGATACTATTAATAGAAGTCATAGGTATCGAGAAGGCGCGATCAGACGTACGTCGATGTTGTATGACATGGCGTGTCGGTACTCACTGTTATCGTCGAAGCACAGACCACGTTCCTTATAAGCTCGCGATTAAGCGATATTGGAAGACCCTCATTGGCACGGCGGGGACTTAGTACGCCATGCCTCTCTTCTCCGATGAGCTACTGACATGCAACATACTCAGTTTCCTGTATGCCTTCGTACGCAATGCAGTCCAATTCCACGCATGATCTCAGACAGATTGACAGATCGACTATCCGAATGGCATCTTCTCTGCGAGCATCATCAGCAGTGTCATCAAGGACGGAGACATAAAAAAGACGGCGGAGTGGCAACTGCTCTTGGGCGCCATTGCTCTTCCAGGTTTGCTTTCCTCCTCTCTGTATATGTGTCCCATTTTACGATCCCTGTCGATGTTTATATCAAGGCGTAATAGTTGGTGCACTCCTCTGCAATCCTCTTGGACGCCGCTACACGGTTAGTCGCCGGACTGTCGGATCGATGAGTGTCGAAATGCCAGAACGTTGAACAGATGATGCTCGGCTTCGGTGGATATGTTATTTTCGGTACGTTCTCAACCACTCTTCATTTCGAGGACATTTACTGAAAGACGGGGAGTAGGCCTCATTATAGGGTGCGGGTATGACCGGATCATCAATATCGTGCCTCTTCTCATCGTCCTGTAAGTCCTCATGCATTTCTCTGCACAATAACGCTTAACACTGGCTACAGCTATGGGCTCATGGTGTTCATGAGCAATATGGTAAGCTGGGATTGCTTTGTCAAGAGACTTGGCACATATGAATACCGATGTGCAGGGTCCTGGCAACATAACCCTGCTCGCTAGCGCGGAGTATGCTTCAACATTTCAATGATTTGATTCGTCCTCATCCAACTGCATAGGTCTTATCCAACCCCAATACGGTAGGTCATGACCTCAGCCGCAGGTATGACATATATGAAAACGAACTGTAGAGGCACATTTTTCGGCATCTCAGCGGCCATGGGCAAAGTCGGGGCCGCCGTTGGTATCCAAGTATTCATACCAATCCAGGACAATATCGGAAAGAGGTATCATCCACATTCCGAGAGTGATCTTAGCTGTAACCTCACCCATGGATTCAGGTGGACGTTCATAGTTGCGGCAATCTTCGGAGCCGTCGGCATATTGATAACCTATGTCTTCATTCCGGAGATGACGGGCGTAGATCTGGCGCTTCAAGACGAGAAGTTCCTCAAATATCTGGTGGAGAATGGTTGGGAGGGTCAGATTGGTGACGCAGAGACGAAATCCCATCACATCGATCCCGAAGAGACAGAGAAAGGGTGTGGGAAGGACGTAGCAACTGTGTTGTAGATGTACATCTCCGGATACTTTCCCTAGGACCGCGCTCAACCTGTCCGACGTGCTCTTCACGGTTCCACTCTCCCTACTTGAAAGCAAGGGTAGTGCAGGACATGGACATTGGCATCAGCACATGCGGTACATAAGCATCAGCGGACAGATGTGCAGGCAGTCTGCCTCAACAGGCGATCCCAAATCAGTTTTTATGCAGAGTCCATGGCCACAAACGGGTCACCGCAGTACTAAGTATACGGGTACTATACTTAGTACGGAACAAGGAGATTGCGCGAATTTTGACATTCATTAGGCAATGGTCAATTGATGGCAACCATACTATGTATTTCCGGCATCGTCTCAGCAAGATGGAAACAAGAAGCAGATCGAACGGCCTTGCAATACTTGAACTACTCGACTTCGCGCCATGGACGATCGACGTTCACATCGATGTCTTCATCGTCAGCCGAGTCAGACGTGACACCATTGAGAGTCATCATTTCCATGCGCCTGGTGAACTCGTTCATATCCGCCAAGGCAGACCCCTTCAGGCGTTGGTCATACCCGCCTGTGTGGTCCACGGTCGCACCGGTATCCCAAGAAGGCGGAGGCCCTTTCCACCCCCCTCTGCCATGAGCATAATTGAGGAATGAGCGCCATAGCGGATCCAGTGAGAGCACATCCGGGTCGCCAATGACGATCAGCAATGCTTGAGCACGAGTGACCGCGACTGTACCAATGGGCCGTCATATCAGGAGAAGTCTCTCACTAGATGGGAACACGCACCATTGAACCGACGAGGGTTCGCCACGAAGCCAAGAGTGTGCTTCAGGTCGTACTCCACAAACTCACGGCTGCTTCGTACAGTAGAGACGATGATTACTTTGCGTTCCTGCAATGTGGAAGCATTAGCAATATTTGCAGCGTGTATCCGAAGATATGCTCTCACTTGGCCTTGGAATTCTTCGACGCTTCCCACTTTGATCCCATCCGCGACGGGCCGTAGAATCGAGCGGAGCCTGAGGCATTGCGCGTGGTATGGGGTGATGATACCTATGTCAGCATCGCCTTCACCACCATCAATGCTCCACTACATCAACAGACAACTCAGTTCAGCCACTCACTCGTACGGAAGCGTCTGTCGGCCTTGAGCGCTAGAACATATGCCTTGACCTGCGAAGCTTCATCGATATTGAAGAATGACGGCGAAGACGCCTCGCGATCGTCCTTGCCCGAAATCGAGTGAATGAGGACAGGGAAGTCTGGATTGGCAAGGATTGTGCAACCGATATACGCGTGCGTGACTTTGGTCTCTGCGCAAGCTTGCAGCTCGCCCCTGTAGAAGCGTTCGTTCGGGAACTTAAGGATCGATTCGTGGGACCGGAAGTTCTTCACGAGTTTCACTACCCTACGTATGTATATGAGCTTTCTGTCTTGCTGAAGATGACGAGTACTCACGAGACACCGTAGCCTGCCGTCTCATCGTACTCAGGACGCGCCATCAGCCTCTCGATGTAGCTCTTCTCCAGCCCTAGATCACGCGCAACCGCAGAGCGAATAATTGGCCCAAGTTGCTTTGGATCACCCGACAGCACGACGTTCGTGTCGTTGTCCGCCATCGTCTTGATGGCAATCATCACCTCCGGTTCAGTCGCCTGCCCAGCCTCATCGACGAAGACATGCGTGAAGTGTCCACGGGGCATGCCGATCCCGTGCGCAAACGATGCAGACACACATGTGGATACAATGACCCTGTATCGCTTGACAATGGCCATGGGAGGCACAGAGAAGTGGCCCGTCTCGGTGCGGTAGGTGAAGGGTAATATCGAGTCCGGCACGAGGTCTTTGTTTCGGAAGGGAGCGTAAAACCTGAAGAGCTGCGAGTTCCCGAGAATCGAGAGGCGCGAGACGACGAGGTCGGCGGCGCTGTTGCTAGGGGCGCACACGAGGATACAGGCCCGCGGGTTGAGGCGGAGGACCTGCCGAATGCTCTCGACCATCGTGATCGTCTTGCCGGTGCCGGGCCTATATGTGAGTGTGTATCAGCAGTACGCTCCGAATGCAGAGATGACATGACATACGGGCCAAATATGACGAACGGCGCGGATCCCGGCCTGAGACTAGCAATGGATGCCACCGCCTGCAACTGCGCTTCGTTTCCCGCGATGAGTCTGTTGTAGATATGCGGCTGGACAGTTGACCTCGACGGGCGAGTCCCTTGGATGATAGTCTGAGTAGGGAACAGGAGGCGATCTGGGTGGAAGGCCGCATCGAGTGCCTGATGCTGACGACGCAGCGGAATACGGTTGAGTTTGAAGCGCACCGTGTACAAGTCGCCTGCGGACTGCTGCCTGAAGGAGGTATGGAAGCAGAGTCCGACTTCGTCCCTGCGTACGAAGTGGACGTGGCCCTCGAACCAGCGTCCTGGGGCGGAACCGCTTGGCTGGACGAGGATGATATCACCTATGTAAGACCATAAGTCGTGACGCGTGACGTGCCGCACAAGGTCGAACGACGTTACATACCGACGAGGACACTGGGGCGATTCTCGGCCAAGCCAGGAACCGCGAGACTGAAAGCTAGTTGTGAGGCATGGTCGAGATATCAAAACCTTGTGTACGCACTAGTAGTACTGATTGTGCCGCGTAAGCTTCGTGTCGGTGATATCATACATCTGCAAGTCATTCCTGCAACGCGGTTCTTAGTAAAGGCTAGCTCGTGACGCTTGACAGCACGTACTCCATCCTATGCTCCTCCACCCACAGAAGCGTCTTGTAGTAGCGCGCGTGCGTCTCGCTGTTCAGCTGCGATGGCAAGATCGAGTTCCGGAAGTAGCTCGTCGCACGGACCGCCTGGCCCCTCGACAAAGCCCCCGCGATGTTGGGTGGGATGCGAGCGTGCGGGAGCTGCCCGACGTACGGGACCGCCTTCACTGAGGGCGGCGCCACTCCGGGTACGACGTCGGTCTCGGGTGTCCGCGGCGTGCGCTTGCGCGGCACGTACGGGGACTTAGGTTTCAGGGCCTCGTAGTCTGCGCGGCTGCCGACTATCGCCTTGACCGGGCGGATGATGACGAAGCGCTGCTTGAGCGACGTGTCTTCGAAAACCATCTCGAGACGGTCATCGTAGTGTCCGCGGTACTGCTGTCGGAGCACAACAGAGATGTTGATGCTTCTGCTGCATGAGAGCAGCGGGACGGAAGTGTCATACGATACAGAGAACCTACGGAGGGCGTCAACAAGAGTACACGTGCAGGTGAGTGTAGTTTACTCACCTCGGCGATTGCGAGGAAAACTTGGCATCAACGAGACTCACTCTCGACGTAGGAACTGTGTTCCTAACGGTCAGTGTCATAGTGGCGCCTTGCAGAGCATCTTCGACGTCGACGATCCCGAAGTCCAACCCATCGTCCTCATGTGAGACGTCAATACCATGTTTGTTCTTGCCAGCTTCCTCGAAGGCGGCCTCGTACGATGCGACCAGACTCTTTCTTCCATGCGACCGCGAATTGACATGCGAATTCCAATGTTGCTGCGGAATGCCGACGCTGCACACGTTGCAGAAGACGTGGCCCGGGAGCGTGCTGGCCTCTTCCGGCGGGACATCTGGGTCAACGCCTTGCTGTCGAGCAAGAGTATTGTGTTTCTTGCCCCGGACGTGGATAGCCCACCCGTCGACCGTGGAGACGTTGGTCTGGCAAACAGAGCAGTGAAAAGTGTCGAGGAGCCCATTGACGCGTTTGTGATGCCGCTGACTAGCGCAGTGGGTCTGATAGAAAGTCGCGTTGTAACATATGGCTCCACAGGGCCTGCAAATCTGAACATCGTGTCTGTAGCCGCAGGCGCCGTCTGCACAGGCGCCGTTCAACAAGAGTTGTGGGCAAACGACGACCATGAGGACAAGCCCAAGCGGAGGCAACGCAGAAAGTTGGTCAGGATGCTTGAATCGCGGAGCGCCCTTTAAGCTTGCTTTGAGCAGTGAAAAAAAAGGCACGCTGCACGCGCGTGTCGATCTAAAGAAGAAGTCCTCCACATAAGACAACGTGTTCGGATTCGCACAGAACAGTTATGTCGTAGGATTTGCACAGACGCGATAAGCAACTCTCCGGTACTTCCGCAAGCGAGTTGAGGCAACAACCGTCTAAGAACTAGCATGCCGCGGTATGCGCTGGTTCAAAGGCGGGAAAAGACATGCATCGTATGTGCGTTTCTAATAAAAGATCCGATGCTGGACGTAAGTCAACACCCTGCACAGTCATGACGCACAGGCTCACAGGAGTCTAGACAAGATTAGCACTACCACAACCGGATGATCCCCTGGGCGTGCACAGCGGCTCCCGGGATACAGTCTCGACAACATTACGGTGAAGCCATGCGATGACGGGGGCGCTTGAGTTAAGATTCGCTCGTAAGGACGGCCCAAGGATTCGGAATCGAGACGCGTGAAGACCGCGATCCGGGTTGTGTGGAGAGCTCGAGTGCAGCGAGACGAACAGCGTGTCGCGGCGTGTCTTCCATTTGCTATCCTCGTCGAAGCCGAACTGGACGCACAACGTCAACTCCATGCTGCGATACCGTCATGACCGACGTATACTCACCCAGACGAGAGCGTGAACATTGAGTTCATTCTCCCAGGCAGCGACCACGGTATCATCGCTGTGGTCTAGGTCAGTCCTCCTGATCAGACCTGACCGATGGTTCGGAACGTCATTAGAGACCAGGATATCGCAGGCTACGTGGGGCGGGCGTATCGTTCGTTGAAGTTCTCACAGCTGAAACAGCTTGAAGGGCGGGAACGCCATAGTGCCGGGACGACGCAAACAATGTTCAAAGGTCGATTACACCGATGCCGTCGAAGACGTCAGGAGGTGCGATGCTAGAGGTGTCATAGAAGAACAGTTCAAGTTTGCTAGGAGACCCGGCCCTGGGGTAGTGTGAAGTTCAGCTCTGAGGCTACCCGAGAGCTCGGCCTGCGCGCGGGCCAGTTCGGCGGTTCATCGTGTCCTGAGTGAGCAAGCTTCCTGATATCTCCTGTAAGTAGGCACAGTAAAAGCATGCGTTCCCTCAGCCGAGATGGTGTACCAGGCACTAGGGTGTGCCGTGTAGACTCGCTCACCAGAAGGAGGAGGTCCAGGAGCGTCAGCTCACTGGCGCTCGAGCTCCCCGCTGCCGGCTTTGATGCGTCACGTGCCAACGACCCGACGCCCACGAGCAGGCTGGTAACTTGAACGTTGTTCGAGTTCGCGGTGGTCGAGTTCCGAACTTCCGATGGCCCTTGGATCAATGGATGGCCCCCAAAAGATGCTAAGTCACGTAGACCACGTTGGCATCTTAAGCTCAATGGCGTACCATGATTGCGGCAAGAACTTGAATCGTCAAGCCCTGGCCGGGAGTCCGATTGGGTCCTCGCCGTCGCACCGCCGTGGCTCACATCTACTTACCAGGCTGAGGATTCGTTCAAGAACCATTGCTCAAACGTTCATCCCCAGGCCGGCATTTGAAGCTCTGCGAATAACCAGTGCATTAAATTTGCAACGTGCGTATCCGGCCAGAGTACGTGTTCATCGGACTGACGGGCCACTATTCGTGTCCAAAGGATGCGTCCAGCATCGCGCCCAGGAACGGCGACGTTCGGGTTCCAGACGTTGACGAAATTGCCTGCGCGCTGAGCGTACTGCATGATGAGGTTCTGTTCCCGAACCACAGGTTAGATGCTGCGCTTTCGCAACTCGGTATAGCATCGTTGTGGCCCCGTGCTTCTGTGAGTTCAAGTTGCTTTGTAAGGGACATAATCACGTCCAACAATTTCTAGCTTTGCAACCCAGCTTCATAATCATACTAGACAGAAGCTTTGACGGCCGTCTTGCACTCAACACGAGGTAACCAAATCCGGACCTGACGGCGAACGACGTTGCCCTACGTATATGCACTACTCAATAGCAAAGAGGCAACCCCGCTACAGACTGATCACACGGGCTTGTTGTGAGCTCCGTTGCATATTGTACTACAGTCGCTGACCTTCTCTATAGGATGCACTAGACTCTGCTCACGTAAATCCCGACAGTGAAACGGGCCGCCTGGGCTGTTCATTCGCGATGAGGACCGTCAGGCTGGCGGCTACATCTGACTTTTAAGTATCATGGGTTGACTGCTAATGTAATAGCCTCTTTCTGTTCTCGCTGGAGCCTGAGGAGGAACGAATGAGTCTGGAGTTTGTGGGTCAGAACCCAGCGACAGTGACTGCGCGACGGTGTCCGGGCCCGGGAACACAGTAGGTCATAGGCTCACTGGCCGAGCTCGCCTAACCATACTCCTGACGGAATGGCAGGGAATAGAACCAGTTCGTGTGCTACATGCATGGGTTTAAGGTTCAAGTGCGAAATCGAAACTGAACGTTGCGCCTAAACATCCGTTCGAACACTGTCTGTTCAGTTCAGCAACATGTAAGTCTGTATAACGTTCGCGTCAAAGATGACTCACCAATGTCGCCGACTCGTTTTTCTAGGACTCGTTCGCACGAGTTGCTAGATCTGCACAAAGCTAGCAGTCAGTCGATGCAACAATCATTCGCAAACGGGCTTTTGCACACCTTCATCGACTGCAATATCGTAGACGGCGACGATGTTACAGCGTTTATCGAGGACAGAGTCCGCTCTTGCATTGCAGCGTTTGTCGAGCCCAGCAAACGCATCGATTGGGGCTGACAAGTCAACAAGCCTCAGTACGCTAGGTCATTCGAAGTGACGTGGCAGAATAAGGACGACCCTCCGCTCTCATGAAATCGGCAAGAGACTCAGTACGTAGTGACGATACGCACCGTCTTCTGCTATAAACTTGAACCCTTTCTCGACTTGAACGGACTCGGATTCCACCGGGGCGCCGATGACAATTCCAAGTGAGGCGCAAGCAAAGACGATGAAGGCGGGGGCGAGCTTCATGCTTACAACAGGCAACAGCGAGGCAACCTACAGGTTGCGATGGCCAGGAAAGTGAGAACTCCTTTTGAGCATATTTTGAGCCGCCCGCGAAGGAGTTTCAATGAGCGCAGTGCGAACTTTTACGCCCCAAGACCCAAGAGCAATGTGAACCGTCCCTTAGGGGAGGCATCTTTGGTAGACGCGTTCTGATGTGATACGGAGGAGCAACACATTGTTCACATCAGACGTTATGCTGGCAGTCATGTCCATCAGCATCTGTCCAATGACGTGAGCGTCGTGGCTGTCTCCCGGTCGTCGTGAGATAGGTCTGCCATGATCCAAGCGAGGAGACTGGGAGTAAGTGTCAACTGCTATGCATGATGATGTATCTGGAAGCCTGAGGCCTGAGGATGGCATCTTATCACTGTGGTCTCCACGCCGTTCAAGATTCCGAAGCTTACTTTGATGACACGTAATTTTGATTCACATAGCTTCGAGACGTTGATTAAACACGCATTCGATACTGAAAACCACACGTAGAGGTCAAGGCGACACTGGAACGGATACGAACTGATGGTACTCTCCTTCCCAAAGTTCCCCGACATGTTCGGCTTGCCAGGAGTGCCGACGTCGAATGCCACAGCGAGCAGATACGTGGAGTGGATCGTTCAGCAGGAATTGCCAGCCCGCTCGCCCATAACTCACGCCGCCCAACCGCGGAACCTGGTGTAGTAATTTCTGAGCGAAAACACCCAATGCCATCGAGAAGACTGACTCACCTCTCTCCATAGCGATGTCTGAATAGATCCGCCGCACGAGAGGCGCACTCTGGGAGGACATGCTTGATCCGCAGCCCGTCTATCGAGTCATCCTGCTGCTGCGGATAGTCATGAAAGAACTGATCAAGACCTGAAAAGATGATGACGAGCGACGTCCCGATCTCCCTCGGGTCTCCCATAAGTCTGCACCTGTCGAGGGCAAGGTGGCTGCCAGCGGCGCAGCTCTCGGAGGGCGCTTCACGAACAACACTGTATGTACTTGGCACGTGCGCTACGTACCCATCGGCGCTCCTGTCTCTCGAGTCTCGACGACGGACGTTCAACGAGTCAATATTGAGCGACTATCTGTATTCCATTGTGTATGTATATGTATACCCAAAATGAAGCTTCAGTATCAATATAGCATGTATTCGTTCATCGTCGTTGGCGCGCGCGACTCCCTGCGCATGCCGCTCATGCGATAGGAACGAAGATACTGATACTCAACGACATACAGCGTGTATTTCATACAGCATTGCTCGATAGTCACAGCCGAACCGCCCCTAGCTCGGGTTAACCGCCCTACCCTTCCCCTTTCTGTCCGGCTGGGATCGACTTCCACCCCCACCCCCACGGCCACGGCCACTCCCACTCCCACGAGCACTTCCTCGTCCACGTCCGCCTCTACCTCGCTTAGCTCTCTTCGCGCCACCACCCTGCTCGCTCCCTTCACCCGCAACACTAGCATCGTCTGCCCCCTCACGGCCGCGTTTCTTGGACTTCGTCTGCACGGGAGCATTGGTCTGGCTCGTCTCCGATGGCGGGGGAGACTGTGCCGCGGACACGGTGGGAGCTACTGACACGCGGCTCATCGATTGCATAGACACCCCAGTCGACGGGAGAGCTCGCGACGCTCTGGTAGACGGCCCGGGCGCCATAGCGTCTTGAATGAGCTTCCGTTCGGCGCGGCTTGTCTTCGCATTTGAGGGAGGCAGAGGCGTCGGGGACTCCTCGCGTTCATCGGAGTGGGGGTCAGCGGCTGCAGGCCCGGCTTCGTTCGCGCGACGAGTTCGCTCGTCGGCGGCAACTGGCTTGTCAACGCCCCGCCTTGCCAGTTTTCTTGGTGAACGCTTCCAGTTCATGAGGTCCTCCTCGCGACGGCGTTTCTCCGCTTGGAAGGCACGCTCTTGGTCCTCGTTTAGTTGCTCAGGTTTGTCGCCGAGGCTTGTTTCCGCATCCTTGAAAGCCTTCAAGAAAGCAGCGTAGGCCTCACTGTCGTCGAAGTGCCGTGCCTGATATCCCTTGCGGAGAATACCCCAGAGGCAACGAAGAAGGGGCACGAGCGGCTGGTAGTAATCAGCCACAACTTCGAGACAGTCGTCGAAAATTTCCTCGTTCTTGATGAGATAACGCTTGTTTTGACCGAGCTGCTTCTGTCCCGGCGCTGTGAAGAGCAAGTTGTGCTGTGATAAGGCAGCGTAGTCGTTAGCCTTCCCTACTGAGCGGAAGCGCCGCAATGCCGGGCCAGCTCTGCAGATGCAAATCCAGAGAAGGATCCAGAAAAGACTCTCCAGGTCGTGATAAAATGCGTGGAGAGGCCTACTAGTAGTGTTGCTTGTGCTGCCTTGTTTCTGGACAGTTGCAGCACGGTAGTAGTGTTGTTCCTCCAGGATCTCGCCCGACATGAATGGGCGTGTCCCCTGTTGTGAGATCGTTAATCAAAAGACATTTGGTTGTGATGCAGATTTGGCGTACCGATATCGGATCGTCAGCAAGTGTGGCATCCGACATAAACTTCGCGTAGTCGAAGTCGATCACCATTCCTCGATCACCTACGCCGTTCTTTCCGCGAGCCGTAATGAGGATATTACCCTCGCTAAGATCTTTATGCTGAATGCCCTTCTTGTACGCAGCCCAATGACCTACACGATGAATGAGAACAATGCAATGCTGTCATCGTTTCTAAACTCACCAGCAAGGGCATCGTGCATGGCTTGCACCAGCTCCAAGAGTGAAAGCGCGTACTTGATTGGCCATCCGTACGACTCCATGATGAGCCTTGAGTGGGTTTTCCCTCGAGGCTCACGTTCGGGTATGTCAAGGTAAGGCAAATAATCGGCGAAAATGCCATAATCGGTCGTGTTCCCTCGAGTCCTGTCAGGCGTCGCTGAGGGTATCGTTTCCGGTATAATGTCCCTTTGCGACAGATCGATGCAACGGGGTTTGGCGCGGACTCGCAGGTCGTGGCGTATTCTTGTCATGACCGTGTCTTTTTTGCCATCAACGTATACGACTCCGTAGGAACGCATCGTCGCAACCCCGTCGTGTCGTCCGATATGTTTGTAGAACTCGCCCTCTAGACGTCGCTCGTCGTCTCGCCACGTATCCTTCATGATGAATAACTTCAGGCGCGTCAGCCTGGAGTGCGAGAGGAATGCAGCAATGTGAGACGCACCTGGCGGTCTTCCGGCGGTAATGTCAACTCGTCGAAGAGCCATGCTTTCCATATGCGCGTTGCGCGCCCACGTATCACCTCGCCACGCTGGACATTGAGCGCCTGGTACAGGACAAACTTTTCGGTATCCTTCTCGTCCATGACACCGTATTCAGCGTCTTCTTTGGGCTTAGGCATGTGAATCACCCAATAGTAGTCCTCCTTCTCCACGTTCCAGGGTACTTGGTAGGAGAATTGGGGGTTCTTTTTCGACAGTCGGAACTGGCTTTGGGTGTATTTATTCCTCTCGCGAATGACCGTCATCGAGGTGTCCCACCCAAGATCAGCGAGCGACGACGTGCATATGCCAGCGATGACGCGGATAAATGATCGTGGTTCCTATGCGTGTCTTAGACGCGATGCGCAGAAAGGGAGCGAAGCCACACACCTTGTGGATATTGAAAACTACAGACCCTAGGACACCGGTCCGGTCCGCCAGGTACACCGACATGTCCGCGCACGCAACGACGATGCCGAAGACAAAGCAACGGTCAACCGCCTCACGGAAGACCATGAGCATGTACCTCAGCAGCTGAAGCAGTGCCGAGCCTTCCCGTTGTCGTTTCTTGACTTCGACCGGGACCAGAATGCGACTCCACGGGACGGACTTGTTGTCTGCTACTCCAATCGTCGCGATGATGTCGGGTCTAACGTCCGGAGCGCCAGGGTCCCGAGAGAGGGGCGGCACACTGTGGTAATCCCTCCATCGTACGTCGTTCGTTGACATGCGGCGGCCAGCCTTAGACTTGGAGATGCAGCTGGAAATGGACTGCACGAGTGTTACGAACGGCGCGTACAAATCCTGTTCATTGGCCGGTGTTGCAGTGGGATAATTCGACCATTGCTTGCGCGAAGATTTGTAGTATCCAGTAGACTGTGACGCCTGGGCGAAGACCGTCTCGACGAGGTTGTCGGAGACAGGAAACATGGTCTTCAGAAAGCCGTCGACCTCACAGAAAACGTCTTGCGAAAGCTCGTGAGCGATCTGAGCTTCTAGTGCACCTGTCGTCTGAGCGCGTTCGTACGCCGGCACGTAATGCGGGTGACTAGAGATGGTATGTGAGATTTTCATGACAGCTAGTGGGGTATTGACGGGGGCAGAGAGAGGAGGGATATGATTTGGAACTGGCACCCGTGCCTTGCCACGGACGTGTGGTAGTGCAGACATACCTCGAGGAGTCGGAGGGCGATGAGTCCCGGTAATTTAGGTACATTATATATGTCGGCAAGTGTGGCAACACGGAGGCGGAGTACTAGTAGAACAAAGGTGGCCGTGGCTCACAGCGCTAGCGTTCGAACTTGAACAACACGAGGGCACGAGACGCCCGCATGTGGGGCACAGCCGATCCCCATCAGGGTGTATTCCAAATCAGGCAGTTGTTGTGCTTTGCCATCAGCCGCCGCCCTCTGCCATTCCGGGCCCGCGCAGCGCATCCATCCCAGTGCCAAACAGCCCATGGAGTCTTAATAAGCCCTCTGTTACCTTCTACCGCCGCCCCCCGTCCGAATTTGGTCCGGATACGTGAACTTGAAGGCCTGAGGAGGCATCACCGCCTCGCTTATGGGCTATGGGGGAATTTTCGGGAAGCCCAGCCGCACTCAGACTAGCCATATTTGGGAACTAACTTGTGGATCCCAAAGCAGCAGACAATGGCCCTTTGTGCCTGGCAGTGACTCACCGTGAGTGCACACATCCAAATCTGTCGTGGTTACCACTGCCTATAGCCAGAGAGGCACGATCTGCATGTTTGGGAAGAACACTTGTATCTCCACACCATGTGGACTCATATGCCCTCAACTTGGCTCCTTCCCAAGCCCGGCTTCCGCAACTTGCCGACACGCGTGGATATTCAGAGATGATGCCTCACCAGAAATAGAATAGTTATCGCCGTCTTTCCTTCGGGTGTTCTGTTCAGCGGACAGCCACCCTGCTTCAAGTCGGCCGTTATTATATCTCCAAGCGTTGCCTTGTTTGTCGGTTGTCCGTCGCCGAGCGGCAGGATCATAGCCCTACTGCGTGAGCATGTACGTTTACCATTTGCGCCAGCCAATGTTCGTTTATGATCGCACCTACGCACAGTTCAACTCAAAGCCACACTGTACTGATCGCCCTGCCGCTCAAATCCAAAGTCGGGCATTCTCTTCATGCCACAACATCCCATGGTTCTGAGCATGTACAGGCTTGGCATGCACAGCCGGAGATGGCTCGCGCCAAGGGAAAGCCCACTCTTGCCATGTTCTGCGACTCGTACGGTCCGGGTATGCGGGGAATCATCCCGAGTGCGTAGGGCACAACGTCGCCGCGTCGCCGATATCTAGGCCGAGAGGCCCGTAACCGTGTTCAGCACGCATATCGCACCTCGAATATCGCATTAAAATCTATCGCGCCGCCGTAAGATATCGGTACACGCGTGGCGGAGGATATCGATGAGACTGGTACGGGCCACTGCTGAGGTGACCATCACCAACTAGCAGCAGCTGTATACCGCAGTATATTGCCTGTGTGCGGCAGTGTATCTGTAGACGACCTACTCAATGAGTTCACCGTACCTGCCGCGTCGCACGGACATCATGCAACCAACCTGCCACCATCGCGACTCGGATGCCGCAGTGCTCCAGAGAGCGAGAGCGACGTGAGTCGTGACTCACGTTAATTCTGACCAGTCTGGAGTGCCCTTTCTCATGAGCCTTGCGTGCAGATCCAGAGGATAATCGTCGCATTCCAGTTCAGTGTCGCCTTGGGAGAAGGTCTAATGAGCAGGTGCAACTTGGTTGACTGTGGCATCGGTGAAGTGGCTCGCGATCACGTGAATGTGGCTACCGCGTTTGACGCGTCCACGCGGCGACCAGATTCCTGTAGCGGCGCAAGCGCCGTCCCCGACTCCATGTGGGTGCCTGAACCGTATTACACTGCGGACAAAGTAGGTTGCACGGAGCGCTTACATCGTCAGAACATTGTCAGAACGTGTATATCATCTCGAAATCCGAATATTATCTATTTTCCTGGACCGAACATTGAAAGGCAGCCAATGAGGAGCCGTGCCTTTCAATGTTCGGTCACCGATAATAATTCATGTTCGGATTTCGAGATGATATACTCATTCTAACGATGATCTGAGACTTATCCGACGCCAAACAAAGGGGTTTGTCCGCAGTGTTATGAATGAACATCGATTGAGCGGTGAGGGTGGTGTAGATAAGATGATACAATAATCTACATAGATTTTAAACTCCGCTGTTCGTGGTACAACATAGACCTAAAGCAGAACATAAGTATCAGCATCACTACTGTATACTAATGCTGTCTCCTTCTGGGTCAGATACACCTGTGTGTTCCAGCAGTACAGTTGGTTGATCATCTGCATGTTTAGAGTTGTCATGCATAAAAGCCTCTGCAGGATGTTCTGTAAAACCTGCTGTTTCTTCTTGGAAGATTTCATCACTTTTTGGTGAATGTCTTGGATGAATTGAGCATCAACACCAGGAAGAACACCATCATCTGGAAATCGATCTATGTTACTCTGATCCAACAGGATCTGCTCATATAGTTTGTTATGGTGCTTCAACCAAAGAAGAAAATGCCATATTTTGGCTTTTCGCACTCTGAATGTATTGCCCAGGTCACTGGCTTTGATTTTATGAGGTCCAGTAAATACAACTGAGAGATACCCAGTGATGTCTGCAGGAGTTCTAGGAAGCACTGTTGTTGTTGATATGACATTCATATCATGTGTTATGGTGTTTCCATGAAAAATCTTTGGCTGTCCAGGTTCTGAAGATCCATACAAACGGGTTACATGGGCAGTGATATGATAAATAGCACATGCCATCTGTTCAACCCATGTAAGGTCACAGAATTCAGTAGGAAGATGACCTCTATATAGATTATTTGCCAGTGCATATCTGGGCATAGCTGGTTTCTTTAGGGAATTGTAGCAGTCTGAACATAGTGCTATTCTGTGATTGATAGGATCACTGCATAGCAGCCCTTTTTTATCCAACATGAAGCCATCCAATTCATTTCCATACAAGAACTCATTGGAATTTTGCTGTACAATGCATCTCGGAATAATCCATGGGTCATGTACCTGCAAAACAGACATGTTATGCACTATGTTGGGGATTTGATTCATATCATAGATCTTTGTTTTCAATCTATGGGCACTGCTAGAGCACACAGAGCAGATGAGAGGAGAATGCCATTGTGTTGCTTTCCAATAATTGTATGCACATTGTAGCTCAGTCTCAGTGCTAGGTATGGTAGGCCAATTCATTTCTTCACTGAGGTATGATTGCTTTAGTTGTATGCTCTTGTCTTGTCTTTTCAACCTTCTATAGTCTCTTTGATACTGAACTTGCTGCTGTTTCCTTATTTCTGGGAGTGTGTTATGGAATATTGCATTTATCACAGCATCACCATAGTATGCAATCAAGATACTTTCAACAATATTGCATGGCTTTGGCACATTAGATAACATGTTGCCACTGTATGTCACAGCTGTGAAGTATTGTTGGTACACTTCAGCAATACTCAAGTCACTGATATATTGCTTAATGGCCAATATCTTGGAAACCAGTATTTGCATTGCTCTTGTTTTGCTCTTCATGTAGTCAGTCTGAAATATGGTGTAACAATGATCTAAAATGTCCTTGTCTAAATGTTTCAGTTGGCTGAGAATATGAGGGTCCAGGAACTGTACTTGAATGAGCAACATCATGTGCTATACTGGAAAGCATAGGAGATTGGCATAGACATTTCAGAATCTTGCAGCCATATAATTGTATATAGTAATGCTTCAAAATTATATATCTACAGTGGAATGGTGAACTGAGCAGCAGAGAGCAGTTGCATGTTTGGCACAGGAGAACATCTGACATATTTGCCAATAACACTTTAGATGAGTTGAAATGCTGCAGTAGTTGCTTAGCCAAAGATACTTTGGATTGCCTGATACCTTGTGTCTGATCAACACATGTACAAACAGCAGCCCATAATTCAGCTCTGGTAAGGGATTGTAATTGCTGCAGGTAATAATCATCAGTATAATAGAACCATGAAGGATTGCTATTCATGATGCCTTGGACTGTGTCATTAGGGACACTTGCAATTGTATGTGGTATGCTGTCTGATGATGAGACTGGTATATAGTCTGCAGAATCATCTGGTAAAACTGGTAGTGGGCCTGAGACACTAGGGCTGCTCAATGCTCGCCGCCCGTTCGTCGGTTCGTCGGGCACCTGCCCCGTAAGGCAGGTAGCATCAGATCCGGATCAAGCCCGACAGATTCCCGATTGATCCAGCCACCGCCTACCCAAAGCGGCAGGACCAACGAGAGAACGAGCTCACATCCCGACTGTACATTACTTACGAGGTGTCGGATGTGTACGATACCCACAGAATATTTGAATCTTGCCAATTGCTATGGGATGCATGCACACAGTGTCGAGGGCTCGCTATCAGTGGGCTTACATAATCACATAGGTAGTCAGCAGTAACTTTCCGTTAACGCGCGCGTTCACTGCTGTCAGTTCACAGTCTTGAGTCTCGTTTCTAATCGGGCTATTCATCGCGTTTTTCTTCCCCTGCCGCTCTCTCATCTGTCCCGACAATAACCTACATTGACTGCTTCAAATGTTATGTGATGCATCTTACATTTACATTCTTTAACTTCGAAATCGCCGTTCACAGCTCTGCGACGGTAAACCAACCAGGACGTGAGCGCTTGAGCTCCGAGTCACCCTAGGCTCGTCCTCTGGCTGGTGCAAGGTCGTATCAGTCAGTGCTAAGTATCGACGAGTCGTTAAGCGTCATTGTCGGTAGGCGGTGGCTGGATTAGTCGGGAATCTGCCGGGCTTGATCCGGATCTGATGCTACCTGCCTTACGGGGCAGGTGCCCGACGAACCGACGAACGGGCGGCGAGAATTGAGCAGCCCTACTGTCTGGTAAAACTAGTATTGAGCCCAAGGCCCTATCTGGTAGTTGGGAAGTAGGGGCAATACTAGTTAGTTGTTGTGACATGGAAATGGCAGCTTCAGGGGGGAAGACAAGATGTGTTGAAGTGAATGTCTCGATAATAGTGGCAGGAGGCATGTTATATATGCTCGGAAAAAAACGGAGGAAGATCCGGCCGCACGAGCGGAACACAGAGCCAGGCAGAGCCTCGGTCAGACGCGAGCGCACGGCTTGCATGTGGACAGTTTCCCTATGCGGTATCGCGCGTACCGTATATGGACGAAAATTTCCCACGGCGACACGGCATCCCCGGCGCAATATCGTTTCTACTTGACAGAGCCCTCCCTCCCTTCGGGAGGAGTCGGGGATGGTAATCCTTCATAGACGTTCTCCAAGTTTCACGAGCCTGAGCTTTGCGCACCACGTGCTTAGGAAATGATATAATGCAAGCCACGCAACACATTCAGGACACACGAAGAACTCTAGTCCGCAAGTAACAGTAGAGATCCGGTCCGGTATAGCCAGAAGCTACCAACAACGTCCCTCTTCCCGAATCGACTCCCGGTGCGCACACCACAAAAGTTTCTAAAAAGAGTTTCAGCTCTGCTTTAATTAGAGGTCAGAACATTTCATACACTCAACATCTGTCGCACATGATCGTAGAAGACGTTAGTTTCCAACGAACATAATCGCCCAGCAAGCCGCGTCACACCTTCTTCCAAGGCATAAAGACCATCGACGTGGTGTTCTGAGTGAATGGAAACAAAAAGGTCAGCCTAACTTCTAAGAGCCGTGAAGTATAAGGATACATACCGCGCGTCTCAACGTCTACACATAACCATCAGCTCAGTACACTAGGTGTAGTATCGCGGACTGGGGACATACTATATCTCACCTTTCTCGGCATCGACCTCGCCGACGTGAGGTGCTAGTAGGCAGAGCACTGTTAGTGCTTTGCATACGAGCCAGTACCATGCATCTGACCGGTTTCGCTCCACGAATGGAAACCGCGGTCATCAAGGACTACGCAGGACAATCAGGCTATTAGGCAGATGACACGGCTGAACAGACAACAACCGACCTTCGTTGGGGCCACCGTAGAGGGCGCCGCCGAGCAGCGCAGGCCCAGCGGTGGCGACCTCGAACAGGGCGCAGGCGAGGAAAACCAAGGCAGTAGAGAGCTTCATGTCGATGAGGAGTGGCGACGCTGAGACCTAGAGCAGTACGATGGTCGAATACGAGTCACTACTGCGACTTCGCCTTTTATGCTGTACGCAGAACTGCCTAGGACGTGCGTCGTCCGGCGAGCACCCCCGTGTGTTGAGCGCTCAACGCCCCGGCATCACTGCGGCCGCCTCACCCAAGTGGGACCGTAAAACCTTTGGACCTTGGCACAAGCATCCGCTCACCGATCATTATTCTGGCTGCAGTGTGATCCGCAGGTGATCCGTTGACGATCAAACGATCGGCCACACGACGCACATGAATCTAGCAAATGCAGTGAGTCTAGTAGCAGAGCTTTGGATAGCAAAGCCCGCAAAATGACCGGCCTACCTCAGTGCGATCACACAACAGGTCATCCCGCTGTTCGACGCACAACATTCAAAGAACGTACCCGTCTTTACACAGACGATCTCGAGCTTCGACTACTCGAGCTCCATGTTTTCCTTGAATTATGTCTGTGGAGTGTCTGCCGAGCTTGTTGCCACTGCACATGTGTACTCCAAAATAGAAACCACATACCTGCACGCATATAACTTAAGTTTCTCTGGTTGGGTATGGGCGCAACACTACGCAAGGCGCCTGGCAAGGCGTTCCCCTAAAACACGGAGCGGTGGCAATCCCGAGTTTTATTCCCTCTTGCGCCTTGGCATGACGGGAATGGATTCTGAAAGAAAGCAGGTTTGCGATGCGCCTGATGCGGCTTGTCGGTCTCGTGTTGACAATTCTGAGCGCCGTGTCCGTAGCAGTTGATCTTCGGCCTCCGACTAACAGCATTCAGAGTAGCACGATGAGTGATTATCCAGTTGTCGAAGCCATCCGACAGCGGCAGATCCTAACCCCTACCTGTATCAAGGCGGATTGGCGCATGTGTGTTAGCACAGCTTGAAGGGCAATCGATCCTGACGTTGAGGCGTACCTCGGCCGTGTGCATAACAGTCCCCCGCAGACACGCTGCTTCATGGCGGGTGTGGCTATGATACAGTACACCCTGTTCTGTATCGCGACCTTCGAATCCGCAATACAGCTGGCAAGACGAGCAGAAGAATGACACCGTACAAGGTTTTCTCGGAGTATCGGATACACGTACAAGCTCTGGCTGTCATGCAGCGCCCACGTCTTTCTGACGTTGACATGCCGATCACAGTGTTGTCAATCGGCCGCGGAGAGCTTGAGATTCAGAATGCGGTCCAGCTATCACCGCGGGCAAACCAGGTTGTTCGAACTCCGAAAACCCCTATGAACATCGGTCCCGCCTGGGAACCTTTACGGACTCCGAATATTGTCAGAACATGCTGCGAACATGATGCGTTTCAGCCGATTTCAGCATGTTCGGAGGCCAAACATGCGTGTTTTCGGCGAACATGCTACGAACATGAGAAATGTAGGAGCATTTTCGGAGTCAGTCAAGCTCTCCGAAAAGGTTCCCATGGAGGACCGATGTTATTAGCATTTTCGGAGCCCGAAAAACCTGGTTTGCCCGCGGTGTATGATCTGATTGATCCGTTACCGATACTGTGGTAAATTAGCTGGCGGCAGAGCATACCTGTTCAGCGGACGCCTCACAGGCAGGAAACTTGGCGACACAGCTGTCACCTATCAAGCTGGGCGGTGTTGTAGATGCAGTTTGCAGAAGCGCCAGAACAGCGCTCGTCGTTGATCAACCGACATGCAGCTGCAGGTAGCGCGGCCTTGCCAAAGCCTTGCCGCGCCGTGACGCCGCCGGCCACAACTTGAGAGCGACAGGGAGGCCAAACTGTATGAGAGTAAGGGAGTGTCAAAGTCGCCCACGAACGTACATAACGTCGAGGTGAAAAGCACGACTTGGCTGGCCTCGACTGTTGAGATGGAGACGGGTGTTGTCGTGATTTGTTGTAGGTAGTGTTGGCATCTCGCGCGGGGACTAGTGGCAGAGCAGAAGACCAGGAACTTGAAGGTCATATGCAGCGCCGAGGGCGTAGTGCAAGCGCAGAGACCGCCTGAGACCACCGCGTGTTTTGGTGTTGATTCCCCTAGGTAGCTGCCAGTACGTATGTACGTTGAATCTGAGATGGCGGGTTCGTTCGATTGAAAAGTACCGGCCTCGTGATGCAGTACTTGATACTGTATCGGGCCTGGATCTCTACCGCATACCCTGCCAGACTGCCAGGTCGGTCCACCCGATGCATTCCTCAGGCCTCAACATTGACAACAACGGCTGCACCATGTTCGATGGGATCCACGGCGGCGTACGCCGTATATTGATGAGTGTACCATAAGAAATGGATCAAGTACGGAATCAACTCCTAAGAAGTTGACCGAGTACTTACTCTAAGCCGGCCGAGTAGGCAGTGCTATACTGCTGGCAGTCCTCGAATATGACCCGATGCTGTTCACGGATGTAAGGTCGATGCCAGTTACTTACAGTAAACTGAAAGTTATCTGGCGAGAAGTTGCGTTTGACGGAGCCGGGCCTCCGCTGCGTTCATCGGCGTGAGCTTGCGGCACATGACCGAGCCACACGCTCGAAACGGCCCGGGCTCATGCAAGTACTTATATGTGACCGTAACACTCACAACCCACTGTGTTCAGAGCCTTCATGTCCTCAGCCGCTCTGTCGTTGGCTCGCCGTATAACTTCTATCACTGCGCACCTACAGTCCGGCATGGCCCGCCCGAAAGTCGTCGTAACGAGGAACTTGGGCGCCGAGGCCATGCGCCTACTCGATCGCTCGGATCTCGATGTGCGCGTTCGTTCTTACGGAGTTGAAGTACAGATATTAAAGCCGTGTTCACACCAGGTCGTCGCATGGCACTCCGAGACACAGCCATGCGATAAGAAATGGTTATATGACAACATCCCTGGCGCGACAGGCATACTGCTTCTGTTCTCTGAGAAGGTCAGACATGGCAAGATCACAGTGGTGACTGACTCGTATGAACGATGTCTATCAGGTTGACCAAGAGTTTCTTGACGCTGGTATGTCGAGGATACTCTGACTGATATTCAAAGACTGACTTGCCATACAGCCGGCCCTACTCTAAAGGTTGTCTCAACGATGTCCGTTGGCTATGGTCAGCATCAGCGATGGGAGCGTTTACACCATGGAGCGTAGCCTACTGAGAATCATATCATAGAGCACATCGACGTCAAAGCACTCGCACAGCGAGGAATCAAGCTTGGGTATACCCCAGATGTCCTCACGGAAGCAGGTGATGCCCCCCTTCCTCCTCAGGGCCACATGCTCACCTTATCACAGTCGCTGACATTACTGTCATGCTCGCCCTGATGGCCGGCCGCAACGTCAAAGAGACAACGACGATCGTCCAGAACGGGCAGGCGCGTCCATATCTCACATTCTCACGACCATTTGTTCACCGGAGTCATACAGTGGTCCGCCTACCCATGGGCACCGTACCTGTTCTGTGGCTCCCAGCTAAGCGCAAATTGGCTTCAACCAACCCGCACAGCAGGGTTCCTCGGTTTCGGCCGCATTGCCCAGTCGACACTCGCACGGCTTCTTCCCTTCGGCTTCACCCGCGCGCTCTACACCGGTAACCCCTCCTCGCAGCCCAAACCCGCGCGCGACGCAGAAATGCACGCGAAGTACGCGTCGCAAGGCCTCGCGGAGTTCCGCCGAGTTGACATCGCTGAGCTAGCGCGCGAGAGCGACGTCGTGTTCGTGCTCGCGCCCGGAGAGCCGAGCACGTATCATGTGGTGAACGAGGAGTTCTTGAGGGCCATGAAGAAAACAGCGGTGTTGGTCAATACGAGCCGCGGAAGCCTGGTTGACTCGGAGGCCCTCGCGAAGGCATGCAGGGAGGGGTGGATCTCCGGCGCCGGCGTGGATGTCGTGGAGGGTGAGCCCCATGTCCCGGCGGATCACCCGCTTGTGAAGGAACCGAGGTAGGTGTTGTTCCCGCAGTAACGCAGTCTCGTCTGATTTAACGACGAATTCAGATGCGTAGTTTTGCCTCATATCGGAAGCGCCACCAATGAGACGAGGCTAGGAATGGGTACAATGGCAATCAACAACGTAATCGCGGGCGTGCTTGGAGGAAACATGCCCGCCGAGCTAAACATGTCTCGGTAGAGCTGTACTTTGATCCTGTCTGTTGTATAAGTAGTAGAGTACGCAGACGCAGACGCGGTGCACTGTCTTGCACAGCTAAGGACATATGCTACCTTGGCAGGATCAACGACGCTTGAGATTACTTCAGAAGGGTGATTCTCAGCTCATCAGATACTAGGCCAGGTCACAACATGGATGCGCGTGTATTTTACAGATAGACGTAAGGACAAAGATATGATTATGGTGATACACAGCAGTCATTCTTACAGGCCACTCCGTTCCAACACATGAATCATTGGGCTATCGTACACGCCACCTCCACAACGAACGGTTTACCAGCGGTCCTCCGGGGTGTGGCCAGGCTTGCCTGCGAGGACGTCGTGGTGGTACGTCGCGTCGCCCAGACGAGGAATCTCGTAAGGCGAGTCCTGGGAGACTTGGCGCGAGAACGGAGCCACCTTGAGCGACGGCAGGTCGCGCGAAATGTCGGCGGGGGTACCGTCGGGCTACAGAGAACAGTGCGTGAACATGGCGTGAACTCGTAGCACGGAGAGGTCACTCTTACCTTCCTGGTCTTGAGTCCCAGACTGAGGTTCTCGGTCAAGTACGGCTTCACGACGTCCGGCGAGAGCGTGTGCAGCTTCTGCAGGATGACCTCGTTCAGGTGCACGAAGCCCTCGAGCTCGATGTCCACGTTGTTGCGGCAGTTCTCGCACTGCTGAGCGGCGCCGGCGGTGGTCGCGAACGCGGACACACAGCCGACGTACGTATCAGCCAGGTAGACCTGGACCGCGAAGCTCTTCCCGAACTCGTACTTCTTGAAGCGAATGTGCACCGTCCACTCGTGCGTCGTGCTGTTGTACCCGACGCTCGCGGAGTCGCCGGGGTTGGACGAGGTCGCAGGCTTCTCGGGACCTCCGGGCTGGACGGAGCCGGAGCCTGCAATAAGCTTCTCCGGGCCGCCGGGCTGGATCGTCGGCCCGTAGAGCTCGGTGACATGCTTGAGGATGGCAGCGCTAACCTGAGCAGGAGTCTTGCCCTCAAGGCCGTTGAAGTCGGGGTATGAGTAGTGCAGGTTGCCCACATAGTCGCGCACATCCTTGGAGTTCCAGTAAGTAGACTGAGTCAGCCAGAAGGGCGTCAGATCTGATATAGGCGTATTAGTGTATGTCTGAGAAAGACTGGAGCTCGCAACTGACCAGACTGAACATTGACAGGGGCGTTATCCTTGATGGTGTACGTCCCATTAGGCTGGTCTCCGGGAATGACCCAAACATCGTAGTGGATAGCCTGCCAGAGTGCCAACATGCGATCGACATTCGCGTGGTGCAAGAAGAATGCGGCGTCGAATCCTACCAAGTATGATTTAGCTATGGCTAGTCTTTCGATCTGATCACGCCTACTCACCAGCAATGGGGATTTCGGACATGTGTCCCTCGTAGTCGATGTTACCGCCGATCAGCAGATGCATGGTATCATGGATGGTCTCGATACTGTTGGCAATCGGCGGGTTCTGCTTCGTGGTGTGGTTGCTGAAGTAGTTCCAGGTCAACAGCCGCGTAAGCATCTGGTAGGATTGCGTGCGGATCTGGCTGCTGTTCTGGGAGAACGTACTGAAGTAATCCGTGTTAAAAGCGATATGCATAATAAAGAGCTTTCTGCGTACGTGTTGAAGAGATCCATCTGGCTCTTCGCATCCGGGGCGTTGCTAGTGGGGTACCTGAGGGTGGTCTGCCAAGCATCCCACGGAGAACCGAACGTCGTGTACGGGTACTTCGAGGTGAAGGTGAACGAGTGCACGGGGTTCTTCACCGTCTTCGCTCCTTGCGGAGTGATGATGGTGACGGTCTCGCTGATCATCTCCTCTGGAACGGCCTGCTCCTTGCCAGTGAGGGGGCGCGCCCAGTCCCAGTAGGGCACACGGAAGTCCTCCGCTGCCTTAAGCCACCCGAGCTGGTCTGTCGAGTACTCGGCTGCGATCTTCTTCGCGGTATTGTGCATGGATTGCTATCCGGAGGTATGCATATGAGTGGATGTAATCACGAGGGTCACTCAAAGGGCTAACCTCGAAGAGCACGACGTAAGGCCGGTGCCAAGTCGGGAACAACACCGAGCCATGGGTGCAGTACCCGCCGAACGTGTCGCCGCCGGGCGCATCTGCGGGACCGGAATCACCCCATCGCACGTTCGGGGAGCCATGGATGCCACCAATGGCGGGCCAGGAGAAGTCATTGTCGAAGGGCTCTTTGAAGATGACATCTGCGAAGACATGAATTACGATTGAGACAAGGGGCGTGAAGAAAGACGACTGACCGAGAGCTTGCACGTAGAGAGCGAACCCCTTCTTGTCTTTGACGAAGTCGCGCAACTCAAGGCGGTTGGGAGCCAACCCGCCAGGAGCTCCGGTGATGATGGGACGGTAGTCGGGTGCGCTCATAGTCGATGTGGTGTGTGTGTAAGATGCAGTTGTAGAGTGCTGGGAGACAGTTCGAAAGCCCTCTCCTTTATACGAGGCAGTTTCGCGGTCTCGTGAGCGTGCCGCCCGTGTTGGAGGCGATGTGCTATAATGACATGTCAGGGAGGCCCCAGTGATAGTCCACCCGGTGTCGGATCACAAACACGGATTAGGGTCAATGCGAGCGGTGACAGGGCGAAGAGCGGCTACCGACCACATAAACCTATTTCCATGCTGAACTTGAGCTTCGTTTGGACCAGAGGTATCGGCAACGGTTGTAGAGAGGCTTCCATTCGGAATGTTCACCCTTGTAGACACCTTCGCGTCAGTCCCAGCGTAAAACGCGCGAGGACGACGAGCAGTAGATGATTTCCAACATGGCCGTATTGATTGTAAACGCGCGTACGGCTGTACGCCCTTGACAGTGGCGACTGTCTGACAGCGCTTCCATGGGCGCAGTGGTGAGCGGCAGCGGACGCATGCCACTGCTTCGAGGATGTCACATTGCGCCAATTATGCCGCTTCTCTCCACTTCTGTCAGCGCACACCGATGAGAGCCTCGGAGAAGACTCACTGTGGATAGCGAGCCGCCGTAGCTTGACATCTGCATGTAGCTACGAAGGACGTCAAAGCCGTGCGGTATGTCAGGCGTCACACCTTTTACCGACGTTGCGGAGGCCGCCGCGGCAATAATACAGTACAATATGAAAGCACTCACTGCGTGCCTCAGGAGAGCAGTATCATGATGCACATTCACGCTCTTCGAATACGCGCCGTCGGTCTTGCGATGCATCGGACACTCGGAGCGCTCAGACTTTCCTGTCTGAAAAGGCTAGTGACGCCGCTGACTCTATCAAACCTTGCTTAGGATGAACTATCCCGATATGTGATATGCGAACGATGATGCATAGCAATGATCCCTGCGCCCGCTGAGCAACCGCGGAAGCAAACACGTTTCCTGTATTTGCTATTCTGCAGGTCTAGTCCCTAATCCATGACAGAGGTCCGTGGAGTGTGGCGATCAGGTAATGCGAAACAGTCCCCAAGAAAGGTCCGCTCACCCGTGGCCCTGGGGCGTGCACAGCTGACGCTCAAGGTTGTCGATAATATCTAGCAGTAGGGCAGTCAAGCTAGCAGTCAACGTTTCGTACGAGCTCAAGGGTACCATTGCAGCCGGGGAGTTTTCCTATGCAAGGATATGCGAGTCACACACAATTGACGATTTTGTCGTTCTCCAGGGAGAGGGTATCGCGATCATATCGAGCATGGAAATCGGCAAATGCTGTCGCTACAAGGGCGTCCCAGTGATTTGCAATAGGGTGTTCAGCAGCCCGATAGCACTGATCAGCGAAGGGAGTACTTACCAATGCGGTGCCTCAGGTTCCACAGGCGTTTGCAGGTTGTCGAATATCAGCATGTATTCTCGACTCCTCGAGGTGTCTCGCACCATATATGCCCCACAATAATGGGTATGCGTCCGGCTACGTAAGGCCCTAGGTGGTAGGCATCCGTCAGCGCTACAGTACCAGATCAACTTCAAGTATGGAATGGGTCACTTGCACGGTTGAGAGTTCCCCGCTCGAAGTCGAGCGGTAGTCATTACGTTGACAGACAGCAGTACCTGGTCATTCAGGGCCGTGTCCAGCGGTCGCAAATGAATATGTACTCCCTATCAAACAGATGTGTTCCGTTTAGCTGTCAGTAGGGTGCCGAATAAGACATTTGCGGTCGGCACGAATGAATAGCGGAATCCTCGGTCGCATCAATCCAATTCAGTCTCGGTATTCTAAGTACGAGGGAAGCTTACCTATTGCACATATATCGAGTAGACCGAGTCTCCTCGGACCGATGCGATCCTACGTGTCCGTGCATCTCTTAGAAGATCACCATGCCTGGAAATGTGTCATTGCATCATCCTTGTTCCTACCCCAGTGTCGGTCGGCCGGACTTTGCCTTCCATGTGCCCCGTGCCTCGGGCTTATAGTTATAGCATTCGTAACGCTCAACCGAGTGCGTTCCCCAGTGCAGTCATGGTCTGCCGCAAAACAATCCCAATCAGCGCAAACCTCGAGCATTGCACAATCGCATACCCGCGTATACGCTCAATGCACGCATTGCCATTACAGACGGAGTTCTCCTTTAGTTGAACCAGATGCGACGCTTCGTTGAGGAGCTTGCGCTCGCAGATCGCATGGGCATCGTCCCGAGAGCCTTGATTGGGCCTAGACTGTCCTGGAGAGTTTTCAAAAAGTGAATGTGTAGCTCTTCTAAGACACGCACGCATATGTCCTCTCAATCCGCGGCCGCGAGGGCATCTGACCGATTATCAATAGCCTGAACAAACAGATATCTGAGGGCTCACCGTATGCGTCGGCGCGACGTGTTCTGAGTCAACGTCTGTGAGGACGATGGTTCCAGTCAACCTTAAGCTTGAAGTCGGATTCTCATGTCACGGTATTTGAGTGGCATATTTCCACGCCGGGTGTTCCGAAGCATCTTTCAGTTTCAGCTAAGTACTGAGACAGCAATCGACCAGCACAGCCAGATCAGGTCGAGCATGAGATACTGGCCTATCGCTGCTAGGTTCGTTTGAATGTTACCACTGTCAAAAGCAAGAGCAAGCAAGGAGGGTGTTCACAACATGCGAGTGCATGCGGTACACACGTTGCCAGGGCTATCGACAGGCGTCGAGGTCCAGGCGCGGCCAGCGGCATTCATTCCCGCGAAGTCACGGCGACACCGCGGAAAGTGCGGCTTGTACAGCACCAACTAAGGATGTCTCAACCCGCGAGGTTCGCTGGTACTACTTCGGACCAGTGACGGCCTGGGAAGCATGAATGACCATTTGCAGAGCGGAAGAGGTGCGGAGAAGACAACCGCAGGGTGTGCGATAGGAACGCGGATGCTCCTGAAGAGCTGCGAGGGTGACTTCTATGAACCTCTATAAAGTGATCAACGGATGGTTCTTGAGGCGAGTCGAGACACCTTGGTGGAGCCGCTGGCAGTGGTAAGACCGGTAATGGATGGTCCATCTCACGTCTGCATTCGTGATATATTAGTAGCAGGCCGTGTGGCGTCGCTAAGGATAAAGTCGACCACTTAACACCGCGCAGGATCAGTTGCAAACGGGCATGTCAAGGGAGAGCAGCGCCGCAGCCGCAACCAAGAAGTCATCTGTGATACACAACGTATCAGCAATGGTCAATGAAATGTAGGAGATAGAGTGCACTGAGTCCCACGACCCACTAGTACTAGGCCATTGAGCCGTCCATAATCACCAGAGCAATCGATGGAATAGACACTATCGCAGATCGAGAGCTGGCGAATGGTTCGGGATGTGTACATCCTGGGGATAGGAGACACCCCGCCGGTCAGGAGCTCGGAAGTGTGTGTGACGGCGAGTGTGAGTCCGATCCGGATGCGGTAAGCGCAACATGGACACAATAGGCGGCGTCATATGTATACGCCAGGAGATCCTGTTTGGTGTGAAGCTCCAGTTGCTCAACAATAAGTGTACTCGCACTTGACCGCGGCGGCGAGATGAGGAACAAGACAGACAAAAAACCGCGACGAGCACGAGAATGCCCAAATCTGGCAATAAAGCGGGGATGACTGACGTAATCTGGGTTCAGCTCGGTTGTATGGGCGCTTAGAAAGTGGGCCCACCGGACATTAAATTAGGCCAATTACCGGCTCGTCGTCGTCGTCGTCGTCCTCTGCTCCTCTTCATTTCCCCACCGCGGCTTGCCTTCCTCCATTCCGTCGTCGCGAGTAGCAGCGAGCACGGGTCCTGGCAGCTCCGACCGACTGGTGAGTACCATTCCTGCAGCGCCTCACGCGCGCGTGTCCGTGTCTCGTACGATTGGAGTCGGCTAATCCGTGCTTTGCACGTACCTATTTATCTCCACTCCCCAGAACCTCGTCGCGGGAGCCCACTTTTCACCTCTTCTCGGCCACGTCGCTCAACCGACCCGCCATCATGCGCGCCCTCGTCAGGCCCTTCGCGACACACAACGTCTACTTCCCCATAGAGTCCATCGTCTTCGTCTTCGTTCTTGCCACCCTCGCCTACTTTCACATCCTCTCGGGCATCAAACATTCGTCCTTCTTTGCGCCCACGTATCCGACTAATGTCAGGCCGGCCCACGCTCGGCTGAGCGGCGGCGAATGGCTCGGAGTGACGCAGCGGGACTGGCTGGACGCGGTCAAGCATCCGAAGGATGGCGTCAAGGCGTTGGAGTTGCAGCAGATTGTGTTCAGGCTGGACGACAAGGAGAAGACGGTGAGTAGTGCGCACAGCCTCAGAACTTACCGTCTGACATGGTTCGCGCAGGCCTTCCCCACCACGACCCCGGCAGTGCTCTCTGAAATCGTCGAACACCTGCCCTCCCAGCTCACCGGCCTCAAAGGCGACTCATACTCGTCAGTCTGCTATTACCCCGGCTTGAATGTCACGGCTATTCCGTGTTTTGTGACCCGTTCATCCGACTCGTCGGCTTCCGTGTTGACGCTGTCATTTGTATCCGGCGCCACGGAGGACTGGCTCGCATCACTGCAGCAGGTAAAGTCCGTGACGGTGGACAACGTCGAATATGACCTCGTTGGCGCCAAGCGCGAGGAGACCATTGGCGAGATGAAGAGCAGCAAGTGGGTCGCCTATGCTGTCCATGCCACGATCCTGCGCTTCTGGGAGTTGACCAAGGTACGGTGCACGCATTGCCCCTGTGACGTATAGTCTGACAGCCGTTGCAGAAAGCGGACTCACTCGATATCGTCGTTGTCCTCCTCGGCTATGTGCTCATGCACGCGACATTCATCCGGCTCTGGCTCTCCTCGCGTGCGCTGGGCTCGAACTTCTGGCTGAGCACGGGCATTTTTTCCTCCAGCCTGATCTCCTTTCTCTTCACGCTCCCGCTCTGCCGTTATCTCAACATCCCGCTCGACCTGATCGCGCTCACTGAAGCACTCCCCTTCCTCGTTTGTACCGTGGGCTTCGACAAGCCTCTCCGTCTCGCAAAGGCAGTATTGGCCCACCCGCAGGCCCTCAAGCCGCAGGAAGACGGACGGATGAAGCCTGCGGGCGAGGTCGTGCTTGACGCGCTCGACCGGGTCGGCAACCTCATTCTCCGGGACTACGCGCTTGAGATCGCTGTTCTGTTGGTCGGCGTGAACAGCGGCGTTGGCGGTTTGAAGGAGTTTTGCTCTGTGGCGGCTGTTGCGTTGGGCATGGATTGTTTGATGCTCTGCACATTCTATATAGCGGTGCTGACAGTCATGGTGGAGGTGAGTGTCCTGCTCCCGTACTTCTCCATCTCCCTTGGTCGCTCCAGAGAACGCCCGCTGGTCATGGGTACTAACCTACACGTGCTGCGTCACGCTTGTGACTTCCGTCGGCAGTTCCCGGCGCATGCGTCTCTGGAGGCGGGCCTGTGAAATCCACAATTGTTTGTCGAGTTGTCCCGTATCAGTGACTGACTGGCTGTGCTTGCTTATAGATGCGCCGCGTGAAGCGGGTCCGCCAAATGAACCGCTCGAGCTCGAGCTCTGCTGCGCAAACCGGTAGTGGAATCCGCCCTGCGCTCTCGAAGCGTCCAGCAACGAACGGGCCAACTCCGAAGACGGCTGGTGAGAGGCTGTCCGCTGCTGTGTTGGGAGTGAAGGGTTCCTTGCTCCCGGAGACTCATGGCGGCAAAGCGCACCCGGCGGATGAGAACCCTATGTACCGGTTGAAGCTGCTTCTGGTGAGTTGTTATTGTCCATCTTTGGCTTCTCACTCACTATTGTTGTTATAGATTGCCTCGTTTTTGACTTTGCACATCCTCAACTTCATTACTCCCCTGACGTCCGCCAGCAGCAGCACGCGCCACCACAAGCACTCCGTCCGCACTGCTGCTGACGCTCTCCCTCCTACCCCTCTCGTCGACATCACTAGCCCTGCGATTTCGCGCATCCTTGCGAGCCTTGTTAGCGCTGAGAAGGCAGGCGTTCAGGCTAGCGGCGCAGAGTCGGAGTCCGAGCTTTTCGTCAAAGTCGCTGCTCCTGTCTACCTGCGAGTCGTGCCCACCGCTAGACGTTCCGGCTCCAAGGCCGAGGCCATCGAGAACTTCATGTCGAGCTGGTCTGACCTCGTTGGCGATCCGGTGCTTTCGAAGTGGATTGTCGTCCTTCTTGGCCTGAGCGTCGCGCTGAATGGCTACCTGCTTCGTGGCATTGCCGCAGGCTCCGGATTGGCTGCCATGAAGGCCGTACGGGACAAGGACGTGCGCTTCCGTTCGCGTGTACGTTCCAGGGTGCGTCTGGAGAGGGAGGAAGAGCCTGAGCCGACTGAGCAAGCTCCTGAGCCTACGATTTCTCATGCGCCTGTGGCTCCTACGATTGTCACGATGGCCGCTACCGTCCCGCCTGCGCATGTCGAGCGGCCGAAGCATTCGGCTGCTGTTGTCATCCCTCCGCTGAACCTCGACCGCATTGACATGAAGCTCCGCGAAGCGGCGATCCGTGCACCTCCTACCCCCGCTGAGACGTCTTCGCCCTCTAGCGATCCCGAGAACTTGCCATTCCGGAAGCAGTCAAGCCGCCTGGCAATGCGTACGCTCGAGGAGTGCATTGAGATCTTCGACAATGGTCCCAAGCCGGTTTCTGTCGCCCTCTCGATGTTGAACGACGAGGAGGTCATCTTGCTCGCGCAGAACGGCAAGATCGCGCCGTATGCCCTGGAGAAGGTACTCGGTGATTTGGAGCGTGCCGTTCTCGTCCGTCGGGCTTTGATCTGTGAGTTCAATCGCGTTTACTGACGATCCGTGACTGATCTCCCTCATTCCAGCGCGTGCCTCCAAGACGAAGTCGCTCGAGTACTCCGATGTCCCCATGTCCAACTACGACTACTCTCGCGTCATGGGTGCTTGCTGCGAGAACGTCATTGGATACATACCCATCCCTCTCGGTGTCGCTGGTCCTCTGAAGGTTGACGGCGAGCTATTCCCGATCCCTATGGCTACCGCGGAAGGCACTCTTGTTGCGTCGACCTCGCGGGGTTGCAAAGCTCTCAACGCCGGCGGAGGTGTCACCACGGTGCTCACCTACGATGGCATGACTCGCGGCCCGGCTATCGACTTCCCTTCGATCACGATGGCGGCCCAGGCCCGTGCGTGGGTTGAGTCAGAGGAGGGTTACGGCATGGTCAAGGAGGCCTTCGAGTCGACGTCGCGCTTCGCCAAGCTGCAGAACATCAAGTGCGCGATGGCGGGACGGACGCTCTTCGTCCGCTTCGCGACGCGCACGGGTGATGCGATGGGCATGAACATGATCTCGAAGGCCACAGAGAAGGCATTGGACAGGATGACGAAGGAGTTCCCCGAGATGGTTGTCCTCGCGCTCTCCGGAAACTACTGCACAGACAAGAAGTCGGCTGCGATCAACTGGATCGAGGGCCGTGGCAAGAGCATCGTCGCTGAGGCGGTCATCCCCGGCAAAGTTGTGAAGTCCGTTCTGAAGACGACGGTCGACGCATTGTGCAACTTGAACACGAAGAAGAACCTGGTCGGTAGTGCCATGGCTGGCTCGATTGGTGGATTCAACGCGCACGCCGCGAACATCCTTACTGCAATCTTCTTGGCGACTGGTCAGGACCCAGCACAGAACGTCGAGAGTTCGCAGTGCATGACGCTTATGGAACCGTGAGTTTGTCTGGTAGCTTTACATACACATCCGCTTACTGATCACTCCATCTCCAGGACGAACGGCGGCGAGGATTTGCTCATGACGGTTACCATGCCTTGCATTGAGGTCGGCACTGTCGGTGGCGGCACTGTCCTTGCACCCCAGCAGGCCGTCCTCGAGCTGCTCGGCGTCAAGGGCGCGCATCAAACGAACCCCGGCCAGAACGCGCAACAGCTTGCACGCATCATTGCGTCCGCTGTCATGGCTGGTGAACTGTCCCTCATCAGTGCCCTTGCCGCTGGCCACCTAGTCCGTGCGCACATGGCGCATAACCGGTCACAGGCGAACACCCAGGCAAACACACCCGCGGTCTCCCGCCCCGACACTCCCGCTATCCCGTCACCTAACACCTCCAACTTCTGGAATAACGTCTCTAAAGGCGTCATGACCCCGATGACGCCTGGAGCCCACACACCCGCGCCTGTACAGGCGAGCGGTTACAGCATTGACGCGAAGACGACATGATCCGAGCGCCGCAGTCCTGTCGTTGCATGTCTTCGTTCTTGGATTACTCTTATAGCCTTATCAATCTTACCTGTCCCTAGTGCATTTGGGGCCGTTAGCGGCCCATTCACCCTGTACTTGCTTACCATCGAACGAATACTTACTAGACGGACGGCTGCGGAGTTGTAGTAGTAACTTATCACGATTTGCGCAATAAACGAATATATACCAATGTGGACTGACTCTGGTGGCATCTCCGCGCGTTGAGGCTCGAGACGTTCGGATTCAATCCATCAGAATGCCGCCGTTGACTAAAATCGTTTGACCTGAGTGAAGAAAGTGTGAGCATACTCGGTGCGAGCGACTGCTTGTTGGTCAGACCTGTGACGAAGTGCGATTCTGGACTAGCAAGGTAAGACACCATGCTTGCCACCGTCTCGGGTCCTGCTTCAGGCGAGTCGAGTGGCAATCCGAACAGCTGTGACAATGGGTTGATGAACCACGCATTGATGAACCACCGTCCCGAGAGCGAACTCGAAGTATTACCTTCTTGACCGTCGAACCGGGTTTTCCTCCGTTCTTCGTATCATCGGGATGATAAGCTAGAATCGACTGTGAGGGAACGGCCAAACTTGCTTTGTTTAGTTGAGGGATCGTACCTAAGTCGGTTATGATGAATCCTGGGGCGTAGGCATTCACAGTGATCCTGTGCGGCGCCAACTCCAGGGCTAACATAATAAGTACAATATTGACATCATGACAGATTGGCTCTGCCCCGCTTACCGACAGTCTGCGTCAGTCCACGGACGGCGAACTTCGTCGCGCTGTATGCGGCTAAACTAGTAGTACCTGACAATGGGGTGAACGTCAAGTAAGCGAGTAGATTCAATTCGTCATGCCAGTGCTTGTGCCTTACCGATTCTTCCTGCTTGAGAACTCGCGCCTATAAACCTACTTGATGAGTTCATCACGCCTCACCCACGGCCGAGCCACCTGACCGATGATTCTGCCGCCGCGTCCTTGTTTGATCATCTGTGTGGCAGCACATCTATAACACAACATGACGCCTCGCAAGTTGATCGCCACGACGCGCTCCCATTCTTCCGTGGTCGCTATGCGCGTGAACATCAGCACGAAGGAACGTCGCCAGATAACTGAGGATCGTACTCTCGAGGAACGGCTTGTGCAACGCAATGCCCGCGTTGGCTACCATCTGGCCCAGGATGCGAGTCAGACACTTATATGCTGTGCACATGTAGTTGCGTACCACATCGATACTACCGAGCTCCTCGACCACTCTGGCAACCATCGCCTTGACTTCTTCCTCATTGGACACATCGCCGGGTAGAGCCAGAGATCGCCTGCCTTTCGCGCGGATCTGCGACACGACTTCTTCCAATTTGCTGCTCTTTGGGGCAATGTCGTTGACGGCAACATCCAATCCATCGTCTGCAAATCTGAGAGCAATGCTCAGGCCAATACCTTGCGCTGCTCCGGTGACAATCGCCACACGAGTCGAAGGGGCTGTCATGGTGTCAGTGCAGTAGATGTTTGAAAAGGCGCGACCAGAGGCTCATATGAGCTCCCGGCCCCAGGATTCCCAGGGAGATCGAGGTATCAAGCAGATGACCATTCTTTGGTGAACCTGCGATAGCCTGCGATCCACGCTCAGAAAAACGTCCGAGGACAATCATATGCCTACTGCCGCAATCAGCCGAGGTCTGCAGTGCCGATGCTACTGAGTGCTTCGGACTTGCAGAAGCTTGTAAGTAAACTCAGTATGACTACCCGTAAAACATCACGCACAATATGACATACCTACATACATAGGGAAATCCACGTTGGAGTCGAGTAAGGTATCGATGGGCCGTGATGCCTGCAGGCCTTCTAGGGTTCAACACGTTAAGGCTAGCGTGTCACATAACTAGAAAAGGACCTCCGAAACGGATTCAGCAGCCAAGAATTTGGTAGTCGCAGAGACTGAGTCAACTCTCAAAGCGCAGAAATGATCGCACATCGCCCTCACGAGGCAATCAAAACCAGACGGTTGAACCAAGGATGGTCACTTGATGGACATTTCCCAAAGTGCGGCAGGTATTCCACGGAGTATCGGAAGCAAGACTCCCCGGAGTTATTCCAATGGTGGCTCAATTTGATAGAGACAATGGAGAAGGAAACCGCGTGTTTACAGTAAGACCAGCGATTGACCACGCACCTTTGCTGATACTACATTTTCGTCATACTATCTCCCACGTCTTATGACCACCAGTCGCCGCATGTTCAGGTAGAGTACATCGCTTGCTAGTGAAGAGTGTGTCATAGCGGGGTCGTTCATGATGGGCGTAACAGCATAAGAGTGTCTTGAAAAATGCACAATGCAGAGAGGAACCAGGATCGACGCGTCTAGTTCACGTCGAGGAGGTCGCGTGATCGCGTCAATGTGACTGCCGTCAGGCTTCGTGACAACGAATCAACGGCTGTTGTGTCTGTCTTCAAGTTCTTGAAGTTGGCCTTGCTCGGGGACTCGACGGAGTCCGGAGCTGCTATTGGGACGCTTTTAACGTTGGTGCACACCATGAGCAGTCTGTTGGTTCGTCTGGCGTCGCTAAGTGCACGTCAGTGCCGACTCCTCCTCCGGGAACCCCATCGAGTGTCCATGGAAGCTGAGGTGTGTTTGATGATTGTCAGCGTTCGTGAGCACTAGACTGATGGACCACAGTACGAGCGGGATTTCGTCTGAATGAGCAGAGCTATTGAATATGTAGGGAGTATACTACCCTTAGTTTTACAGCGGCTAGCGATCTTTCAAGTTGAACTGTCGGAAGATGTTACTCAGTACTGGCCTCAGTCATACGTGGACCCTACAGTGACGTGTGTCCTGCCCACTGAGTCCTGAGAGGTGTCGCTGATGTCCCCCTTCGATGCAGGAAGGGCTCTCTCGGCAATGAATATCCTCTCTTAGTATTCCTTGTTGTACATGGTACGTTCCTGTCATGATCATGGACTCTGTGAACCTCGTTGACGCCCATCCGGAAGCCTGCCCATGAAAACGGGGAGTTACTGGACCCAGTAGAGGCGTAACATATCCGACCGGTCGGCATCAAAGTTACCGCTACCCTGGACGTCAGAAAGTCAATGGCCAGACTTATCACACAAGACTATGGAAGTCTTCCCCGAAAACAACTTGGCTCGTATGTGGCTCGTGTGTGAAGGGTGCCATCTGCACTGAGGTACTGTAGAATTTCGACATCAAGTTCAGTCACAGGTCACGGGCCTCTCTGAACTGGGCTTTCAGTTCAGAAGTCACAGGTCGCAGGGGGTCCTGAACTGAGGTTTTGCCGATGGTCACAGTGACGGTTTGTGAACATACGTAGGCCCCAGCGCGGACAGACCCTCTGGACTGAACTAGCCCTATGGTCACAGGTCCCAGCCGGTCCTGAACTGGGGCGCCTACCTAGTTCAGCGTCACAGGTCACACCCACTGAACATGATGTCGAAATTCTACAGTATGCGCAGCCGGTGAGTAAACCCCGGCGCGTACATGCCCATGTCAGAGCTACGTGACCATCAATCGATCATGTAGAATGGAATTTACACCTCACATCTTGCCTCACATTGCTGGTTCTAGTTCGCCGTACGCGGGCAGAAAAGTCCGCCTCTATGGTTGGGATCATCAGAAGAGCTGTCAAGAACTTGAACGGTAGTAGTTCGAGTTCATATAGCTGCGCCACTGATGAACGGCTGACCAAGGCTGTGCTGCCGGCATCTGTCCACAGATGGACTCATTGCGTACAAATCAGGTAAATAGTCGTGTGTTAGCAGCCGCAGAATGACAGGCTAGGCCTTGGGCTGAGCTTCAGAAGGAATTCTGGACCGGGAGCTTATGAAGAGCTACATCTCTACGACTAACCAGGAGCAGTTTAGCCCAAGGAGCACAAGATTCACGAGCAGTTCGAACATGGGGAGTGCTGCATGATCCTTGACATCATTGTACGACGCCTCGCGATGACGAAGGAGAATTCGTTTTCGCTTGCGTCTTTTGTGACTTTCACAACGATCCTCCGAACATTGCTTGGTGTTTATATGTGCTTCACCTGGTGAGCGTTTTTTGTGCCCTCGTCATCTGCTACTTAGTAGCGTAACTCATGCACCATGATGGACAGCCGGATCTGCTGAGGCGGGTCAGGAAGCGCGCAATCAACGTTGTCCCTCTCTCTCCTATCGATATCGCAGGCTTGAGGAGCCAGGACCGTCGCTCTTTTGGCCTTTGGCTCACGCTCTGTCGCTCATGTCTTCCGTAGACACTCTGATGAATGCCACGGGTACCTATGGACTACGATGCGAGCTCGCCTAAGAGTGTCTTGGCTCTCCGTCCCGGACGAATTAGCCCTAGAGACGGGACAATCCTTAGCTGTGATCAGGCATCACGTCAACGACCGGCCTAACGTCCTCGGAGTCGCCTTGATGTCGCTAGATCACTTCATCCCCGTAGCTCGACCAGAATAAAAGGCCGTCTTGTACATGATAGTGTAAGTGGGAATCGCATTCCTGCATACCCAATACTGCGTCATCGTCACTCGCCCAGCATGAAGCTCATCTCTGCCTTCGTTCTGGCTGCTTGCGTCTTCCTCGAGGCGACCGTCGCCATGCCGGTCGTTCAGGTTGAAAAGCGCCTTGTAGCCCTGAACAGTGAGCGTCGTCTCGGAGTCGGGATATCTTAGCCTTGCTGATTATCTCGGATAATATCGGTGACGTAGATGGTACGTGTTCTACAGCATTTTTTCATCCTGCTGTGTCACTGACTACACGCTGCTAGACCTCGAGATTCGCGGTATGTAGTATCTGAAGAATTTACGGATTGCGAGAATTGACGTATTGGGATATGAATAAGCCCCTGGGCATGTCTCGACCTACATCCCGCCCGATGGTCAGTCTAGGATTTGTCTTGTACTGTTCTCAGGAAATCCACGTTGACTGACCTGCTCTTCCAGACATCGCCAAACGCGGTATGTATTCATTCAGATAGCGGATCGCACGAGTATGACATACCGGGACGTCCGCAACAGCGCCGGGGCATGTCTCAACCTACATCCCACCCGAGGGTCAGACATTATCTAGTTTTATGTACCGGAGATGTCATGCTCACTGAGTTGTCTTCTTCATTTAGACATTGAAACGCGTGGTATGTCCCCGCTTCATACCATATGCACCAAGCGCATGATGACCTCACCGTGATGCAGACATCGCGGACGGGAGCTTCGCCCTCGAGGAGTGATGGTTTTGCTTGCCAACGCTGGGGTCGATACAGGTCAGCCGAGTCTTGCTGGAAGAGATTTCAATGAATCCTACTGACTTCCGGATAGGACCGTATAGGAGAGCGTGATGACGAATGTGGGCATCGGCGCTGTAGCGGCGGCTGTACTTTGGTGAACAACCCGTGAACCATATATCGGGAGGAAGGGGCAAGCACTGAAAACTGTGTGGAAATAAATCTTATCGTGTTTGATAAGTATGACAGTCACTTGAGATTGATACTGTTCGAGTTGAAGTGCGGTTTCCGGGTTGAAGAGGACGACGTTCCTTCCGCCTCTCATGAGGTGACGTGACTATGGTTGTATGTACCGTTTAAGGAGAAATCTTCCGTTGATTTGATGAAAATCAGCGCGGGATTACACGATACGAAACAAAAAGACGGGTTCTGCGAGCGACGCGTTATCACAGTGCTATCACGTAGTATGTTACAGTACACAGCAGGGGTCCGAGTCACTGACTCCTGAGTGGCGCCACTGGCGCGTCGAACGCGGGGGTCACACTCACGTGATCGTGAGCCCTTCAACGCCACTGTGCCTCCTCCGATTATGGCGCACAGCAAGACTGATGTCTATTTGACTTTCACAGGTACGCTCTTGTCCACGGCCTCCTTTTTCTACTACACCTCGCTGCTGTAACACTCGTCGACGTATATAAGTAATGTGTCAACATTACCGGGATTCATCGCACTACGACTCCTCGAGGTATGTCCACTGGAGTCTGGCAGTGCAGTCAGAATCCTCGGCCCTCCGGGTTTCATCCCAGTCCCATAACACTCCGATCAGAGGCTTACATAGCGGTCAATTCACTTTCAGCACTGCGTATCTAGACAAAGGAGGGTTTTCTCCAAGGATTTCGAATACGAGGCTGTCCAGGCACTAGACGGGCACCTCTTCTGCGAGGTTCCTAACTTCCTGGGGACTATCTTTCCTGTCGACGAAGCCTTTATCAACTCTGTTCACAGCATCATCGACGTCGCCGAGACCAAGGTGAGTGGCAGCACACGCCTCGCCCTGCTACCAAGTCTGGTCACGCTCCTGCGCAGTCGGCAATCCCGGAGACCCCAGACGAGGTGATACTCCGGGGGATGACGAGCATGAAGATTCCCTGACGCCTGGGCGAAACGCGGAGAAGGACCGCAAGAAACTCTTCCTGATTCCCGACCAGAGCCGCCTGCGCCATCTGTGCCGCGAGCACTAGCGCCGGTTGGCGGTGTGCAAACGCGATTGATGAACAGTGCTTCCGCTGCTCAGGGCTCGTCGAACGTGTAGAACTCCCCCGCCGTCTGAGGCAGGAGGTTCTTCGCAGACAGCGCCCAAGAAGCGTGGCAGGAGAGGCGGCCTTCAAGCAACCAGCGCATGGAGGAACGTAGTAGTGCGGGTAAAAGTGGAAGCGGACTCGGGGACGAGGCGATGGTGGCCGTGGAGGGGGGAGGAGCAGGTTGATCGCAGCCGGACAGAAAGGAGAACAAAAGCGGGATAACCGAGGCAGAGATAGTCGGCTTTGCTACGACCGTTAAACGATGTTGGACGTTTATGCATACTGTACATTACCGGACTTTCACTGTGTCCTCAACCCTCCTGGTCGAGCCGCGGAACGCAGAGACGGTCTCTCAGTAGGCTAACAACGACGCATCGCTGCGTACGACATAGGCAGTAAATATTGGGTCTGCATAGATGCACACAAATCAACCAACTCCGGTGGCCGAGATTGCATCATGCATGTTATGTGCAATGCGTTTTTACGCCGGGTGTCGTGCAGTGCGTTCGCTGATGAGACCTACCCAATTGGGAATATCATACCGTCGCCGCACATGAACGTCTCGTCACGGCGTTGTTCAAGTGCAGGTTGAGATAATAAGATTGAACGTCATAACAGCCTACAAGCAAGGCAGCACTTGGAGATCTAACAACGGCCGACTCGGAGCATTCGTGCTGGGCAAGGTTGGCTGTCCGCTGAACAGAACACCCGAAGGAAAGACGGCAATAACTATTCTATTCCTGGTGAGGCATCATCTCTGAATATCCACGCGCATCGAAAATGGACGCCGTGCTTGGGAAAAAGCCAAATTGAGGGTATACGAGTCCTCATGGTGTGGAGATACAAGCGTTCTTCCGAGACATGCGGATCGTGCCTCTCTGGCTACAGGCAGTGGTAACCACGACAGATTTGGATGTGTGCACTCACGGTGAGTCACTGCCAGGCACAAAGGGCCATTTTCTGCTGCTTTGGGATCCACAAGTTAGTTCCCAAATATGGTGAGTCTGAGTGCGGTTGGGCTTCCCGAAAATTTCCCCATAGCCCAGAAGCGAGGCGATGATGCCTCCTCAGGCCTCAGGCCTTCAAGTTCACGTATCCGGACCAAATCCGGACGGGGGCCGGCGGTAGAAGGCGACGGAGGGATTTTTAAGACTCCATGGGCTGTTTGGCACTGGGATCGATGCGCTGCGCTGACCCGGAATGGCAGAGGGCGGCGGCTGATGGCAAAGCACAACAACTGCCTGATTTGGAATACACCCTGATGGGGATCGGCTGTGCCCCACATGCGGGCGTCTCGTGCCCTCGTGTTGTTCAAGTTCGAACGCTAGTGCTGTGAGCCACGGCCTCCTTTGTTCTACTCCGCCTCCGTGCTGCCACACTAGCCGACATATATAATGTACCTAAATTACCGGGATTCGTCGCCCTCTGACTCCTCGAGGTATGTCTACGCTACGGCTTGTCGGTGGCAACGCACACCCGCTCCATCCCCTTGTCAATATCCCAGTGGCCGAGTTCAAGGGCTCACAAATCTTCTCTAGTCACGCGCACTCAGCGGCGGCGTACGAGCGCGTGTGGAAGGCCAATCAACTAGAAAACGACATCGTCAACGAGCTTGCGGAGGATGTTTTCTGTGATGTCGACGGCTTTCTGAAGGCCCTGTTTCCTGTCTCCAACACGCTTGTTGAGAAGGTGTTTACCAGGGCGTCGAAACCTGGCGGGTGCTACGACTCGTTCAGTAAACAGTGGATGGAATATCCCATCAACTCACCGGCGCAAGAATTGGAACTATACGCGCCGTTCGTGGCACTCGTGCAATCCATCACCAACTACACTTCGAGAATGGCTGGCGCGCAGATGAACGGCGTGCGATGGAGGGATTACCACAGCATCATGCCCCTCTCTCGAGATCCAGGCGCTCCGGAAATCAGACCCGACATCATCGCAACGATTGGAGTAGCAAACAACGAGTCCGTCCCGTGGAGCCGCATTCTGGTCCCGGTCGAAGTCAAGAAACAAAAACGGGAAGGCCCGGCGCTGCTGCAGCTGTTAAAGTACATGCACATGGTATTCCACGAGGCGGTTGACCGTTGCTTTGTGTTCGGCATCATCATTGCGTGTGCGAACATGTCGGTGTACCTAGCTGACCGGACGGGCGTCCTAGGGTCGTCAGTGTTCAACATTCACAAGGTGTGTGGCCCCGCTCCCTTGCTGTGCATCGCTTCTAAGACACGCATAGGAACCACGATTGTTTATCCGCGTCATCGCTGGCATATGCACGTCGTCGCTCGCTAATCTTGGGTGGGACACCTCGATGACGGTCATTCGCGAGAGGAAAAAATACACTCTAAGCCAGCTACGACTGTCGAAAAAGCCCCAGTTCTCCTACCAAGTACCCTGGACCGTGGAGAGGGAGGACTACTATTGGGTGATTGACATGCCCAAGCCTAAAGAAGGCGCTGAATACGGTGTCATGGACGAGAAGGATACCGAGAAGTTCGTCCTATACAAGGCGTTCAATGTCCAGCGTGGCGAGGTGATACGTGGGCGCGCAACGCGCATATGGAAAGCATGGCTCTTCGACGAGTTGACATTATCGCCGGAGGACCGCCAGGTGCGTCTCACGTTGCTGCATTCCTCTCGCACTCCAGGCTGACGCGCCTGAAGTTATTCATCATGAAGGATACGTGGCGAGACGACGAGCGACGTCTAGAGGGCGAGTTCTACAAACATATCGGACGACACGACGGGGTTGCGACGATGCGTTCCTACGGAGTCGTATCCGTCGATGACAAAGAAGACAAGGTCGTGACAAGAATCCGCCGCGACTTGCAGGTCTGCGCTAAACCCCGTTGCATCAACATTTCGCAGAAGGATATCCTACTGGAGACGATACCCTTGTCGACGCCCGATAGAACTCGAGACAACACGACTGACTACGGCATTCTCATCGACTACCTGCCTCGCATCGAGGTACCCGAGCGCTCGCCTCGAGGGAGGACCCACTCGAGGCTGATCATGGGGTCGTATGGATGGCCGATCAAGTACGCGCTTTCGCTCTTGGAGATGGTGCAAGCCATGCACGATGCTCTTGCCGGTAAGTAGAAAGACTACGACGATATATGTATTAGTCTCATTCGCTGCGCAGGTCACTGGGCTGCGTACGAGAAGGGTGTTACACATCGAGATCTCAGCGACACTAATATCCTCATTACGGGAAGCAAGGAAGTGGGCCGTCGGGGAATGGTGATCGACTTTGACTACGCGAAAATCCTAGGGGATGCCACGCTTGCTGAGGATCCGATATCGGTACGCCAAACTTACTTCGTGACCGAATGACATATGACCAACGCACTTGTGACAGGGCACACGGCCGTTTATGTCAGGCGAAATCCTGACGGGGCAGCGCTACTCCCTCAGTGCGAATGCCGAGCTCTCCGATGATGACCAACACGACGACGCAAACAACGTTAGGCCCGTGCACACCTTTTATCATGACCTGGAGAGCCTTTTCTGGATCCTGCTATGGATCTGCATTTGCAGAGCCGGACCTGCACTGCGGCGTCTCGACGGATGGGAGGCTGACGACGGGGTGGCCGGAGATCAATACAAACGGTACTTCAAGGCCCCGGGATTGAAACAGCTTGGCTACAACAAGTATGATCTCTTCGCTCTCCCGAAATATTTCGGAGACTGTCTCAGCGCCGTGACCACCTACCATCGGCCGCTTGTGCCTCTCCTCCGTAGCCTCCGGAAGATACTCCGCAATGGATATGGAGGACATTTCAATGAGGTCGAGGCCTACCGTGCTTTCCTACAGGCTTTCAAGGACACGGAACAAAGTCTCAGTGATCAGGATGAAGAGCTCAACGAGGACCAACAGCGTGCCTTTCAAGCAGAGGAGCGCCGTCGCGAGGTGGATCTCATGGATTGGGAGCGTACGCCCAGGAAAATGGCAAGGCAGGAGGCAGCTCCCGATGTCGGTAAGGTAGGGAATCAAAGTGCCGCCGAACAGCGAACTGGCCGCGTGAACGAAGCCGAACCAGCCGACACCGACTCCGACGGACGCGAGGAGTCCCCGACGCCTCTGCCTCCTCCGACTGCGACGACAAGCCGCGCCGAACGGAAGCTCATTCAAGACGCTATGGCGTCCGGGCCATCTACCAGAGCGTCGCAAGCCCTCCCGCCGACTGGGGTGTCTATGCAATCGATGAGCCGCGTGTCAGTAGCTCCCACCGCGTCCGAGGCTCAGTCTCCTCCGCCATCCGAGACGAGCCAGACGAGTGCTCCCGTGCAGACGAAGTCCAAGAAACGCGGTCGTGAGGGGGCAGACGACGCTAGTGTTGCTGGTGAAGGGAGCGAGCAGGGTGGTGGCGCGAAGAGAGCTAAGCGAGGTAGCGGCGGACGCGGACGAGGAAGTGCTCGTGGGAGTGGGAATGGCCGTGGTCGTGGTGGGGGTGGGGGTGGAAGTCGATCCCAGCCAGACAGAAAGGGGAAGGGTAGGGCGGTTGACCCGAGCTAGGGGTGGTTCAACTGTGACTATCGAGCAATGCGATATGAAATGCACGCTGTTGAATATTTGTATCCTCGGTCCCATCGCACGAGCGGCATGCGCAGACCATGACTGAGTAGGCAGTCCCGCGCGCCAATGACAATGAACGTGTACATGCTATATTGAGAATGAAGCTTCGTTTTGGGTATACACATACATACACATGAGCCTATGTCAATGGAATACAGATAGTATGATTCATATACAGCGCCTCTCCAGACTCGGAGGCGTCGCATGCATTGCTCAGTCGAAGACCGCTCCGCCGTTTGGCGAGATAGATTGCCCTACGAAGTGAGGCTCTTCGGTCAAAGAAGCTGCGCGAAGTAGCGGGGTCGCTTACCGGTGACGAACGATGCCTCGGGCTTGGCGAGATAGGACACGATGCTCGCAACGCTCTCGGGCTCGCCCACAGGGATCTCTGCGGGCATGCCGACCCTCTATAAAGAAACGTTGAGGTACGCTGACTGAAGACGGAGGGAAGAGACGTACAGCGAGGCCAGCGCCCAGGTCCTGCGCTGCAAGGCACGGTGGGTTTTAGAATCGTGGAGACAGTAGACGCGAACTCACCCATCTGGGTCATAACGATGCCGGGAGCGTAGCAGTTGACTGTGATGTTGTGCTTCGACAGTTCGAGTGCTGTGGCACCATTGGGTATTTTATGTGCGAGGATGGAACAGAGTAGACGTACAGAGACATTGCGTCAGACCTCGGACAGCGAACTTGCTCGCCGAGTACGCGGAGAGGCCGCCCCAGCCTGTCACGTACACAATCACATACATGACACTGCATTCGTAGATGAGGACGAGTTTACCCTACCTCTCTTGCCAGCAACGGACGAGGCACCTAGCAAGGACACCCGTAAGCCATGAATGCGCCATCGAGAGGAGGGACTTCATACCTAATATTCTCCCACCCCGGCCCTGCTTGATCATCTGCTTGGTCGCATACTTGTATTGGAGCATCGTGCCTCTGATGTTCACGGCCATGACACGGTCCCATTCCTCGGCATCCACTGCGTCATACTCGGTCAGGCGGTAGTAGATTCGATGGTCAGCAGGCATACGCACTGTCTTGAACGGGCGCTACAAGCAGCAGGCCGGCGTTCGCAACGAGCTACCCATTTGTCATTGAGCATCGGAACCTTAAGTTGACTGCATGCAGCGGACGAAGCACAACACAAAATACGTACGACATCCAATCCGCCGAGGTCAGCCACAACCTTGTCGATTATGTCGCGGACCTCCCCTTCCACGGACACGTCTCCCGGGACGGCAATCGCGCGTCTCCCCTTCGACTTGATCTGGGAGACGACTTCCTCCAACTGGCCCTTTTTCGATGCTATGTCATTGACCGCCACATCGAGGCCGTCATCCGCGAGCCGCAGGGCGATCACGAGCCCGATGCCCTGTGCGGCCCCGGAGACGAACGCAACGCGAGCAGAGCCAGACATGTCTTAGCTGATTAGGTGCAGTGGCAGGGACAGTTGTCGCAGGGACGGCCATGTAGGAACCCATTCTTTATAGAGAGATGTCAGCATGTCGTATATCAATCTCACGGCCCTAGAAGCTGAACGCGCGTTTGATAATCATCATCACTGGACCCAGACTATACCAGCCGGCCCTGCGCAAGCCCTGCGTGTCGGGTATTCAGACGACTGGAATCCGAAGGGAAAGAGAGTCGCTGGCATCGAAGTGCGACGGAGTGCGTCTGCTGCGGCTATAGGAATAGCAGATTTGCTTCCGCGTTCGTGTAGATGCCCGCGGATCTCACCAAGCCTCAAAACCCGCTAGTGATCAGGATGAGTCGGCAGTGAGTCGGCTGGGTCTGACGTGCGAGTGTGTTAGCACAGGACTTCCGGATTAGTCCAGGGGGCTCCTAATCGAGGGCATATCAGTCACTATATATGATATCGAAGAGCGATAAGTATCGATTTTCGTACTTGTCTCGGTGACTATTGGGTGACTACAGGCACTTCCAAGGCTCTTCAGCACTTGAACGGCAATTCGCGCGCGAGGCTAGGCTTAAAGCACGCTAGTACAGCATGGCCTCGCGTAAAGCCAGACAAACCCAAGACAAACCGGGGCCCCATGCCTCCCCCTGCCTCCCCAGTGCATGCGCTGCTGAGACGGAGGATACCTGAGGAAGATTCTTTTGCCATGGGACACATGTAGACAAACCGCCTTCCGCTTCTATACAGACATGTGGCCCTGGTTCGGAGGTTCTTGTCAAGCAAGATAACCATCAAGATATGATGACTGAACGACCTAACTTACTATTACAAGTCTCCACTGCGCTCGTGTTTCGTTCGCGTCTTCATTGTCGTAGACTCATCGAATTCGAAGCTGCCACATTCTTAGTAGTAGTACACCGGGTATGTGCGGTGGTACGTGTACTGGATGGTCAATTGCTTCGACGGCAGTCGCCTACAGTCACTACCATCAGAAAATTGTACATGTTGCCGCGCCCACATACGAAGCAGTTGCAAATTTTGGAGGTCCCGTCAGATAGGCTGTCGTAAGGCAGGGAACTCACCTTTCATGCCGCCCTGACGTGTCGGCGCTGATGTGTTCGAATCGCATGCGACAGAGTATGCAGTTTGTAGTACATTGTACTGCTGCTAGTGCGAGCCGTCCATGTGCATGAGGTCCTGAGTCCAGTATGTGTCTCGTGGCTGTGTCTGAACGGGTGTCTTCATTGTAACAAGCCGATACCAGTTTTCGGTCGGCCCATCGACACATGATGCGCACTATGGCATATCCTCATGGAGGCAAGAGACCAAAGCTGAGCGTCCTTCGTATCGAACGTGCAATTGAGTCCTCGAGGGCATTTGCCGGTCACCATTCGCCGGTCACGCGTCACGACTCACCGCAGCTGTTGAGGTATGACAGAGCTTGTGTGACAGACCACATGATATGTGACAGTGAACCGGTCGGCGCCGGGAAAGGCAGGTCGTGCTCTACGCCAGCTTGTCGTTCGCCACAATCCTTCGTGAGTGTCCTGCGCTTTGCCTTCCACTCCGACTCCTTGTATTGAAACCAGGAACTGAACCTTCTTCTGCAGTGATGCTCTCTGGCCTGCGGCAAAGTGCCCTCAGGGTGCGCCTCACCCCAAGACGAGGCTTCACTACCTCGCGGGTTGCAGAAAACGTAACCGGCGCGACAAGCAGCCAGGCATCCAATGACAATGGCATCGTAGACCGGGAGACCCTCGTGCCAGCCGCGGAACCTCTACCAGTAGCACCAAGTCCCGCAGCTCCGCGGAAGACCCTCCACCCAACCCCGGAAACGCCTATATACATACCGCCGCAGTACGACCCACTGCTGGAACTGATCGCGGGCTGCATCAACTGGAAAGGGGAGAAGCAACGTGCACGGAAGATCGTGTCCGAGACGCTCATCAACATCCACATGCTCACGCGCGCGCCGCCCCTGCCCATCCTCCGGAAGGCGGTCGAGTACGTCTCCCCGATCATGCGCAACATCACGATCAAGCTGCCGTCGAAGAACGCCGTCTACCCAGAACCAGCCCCCGAGAAGCAGCGCATGCTCAAAGCTATCAGGTGGATCCTTGAGGCGAGCAAGACAAGGCCGGGGTTCAAGTTGCAGGACCGCCTGGCGCGGGAGATGATTGCGATTGTGGAGGGCGCTGGGAAGGAGAATATGAAGGAACTGAGTCCTGCGTACAGAATGAAGGAGGAAGTGCACAAGTTGGCTATCTTGAACAGGTGCGTGTGATAGTTGCTTTGTCCTGGCGCCGATCTGACTGATGACGTTGCAGAGGAAATGTCCTCAAGTCCCGGCGCCATAAAATGCCAGATAGAGGAGGAAGGTAGAAATGGTTTCATTTTGCTCTGGCAACAATTTCATCCGTCGCACCCTCCGTTGCGTGCCACATGCAGTCCTTTACTTAGGTGTTGTACCAGCAGCAACGACGTTGTCTGGCCCCGGCTGATCCGCCTCGAGTTACCGCCAGCGCCATCCGTCGTACGGCGCAGAAGCACGATGTCTGGGCCATCTCACCTTATCGCAGGCTCTCGGGCTGATCGCCTCACCCTCAGTGTTGGTCCTTTGGTGAGGCTTTGATTCTACATCTCTCCCTTGATGTCCTATCAGCCCTCGTTTGCACCGTACTGACGCGTCCGTGTGAATGACGTCTGAGTGCGCTAGCACTTCGTCTCGGCGTTCGAAATATGTGCCGCGAGCCCCGCACTTCTCAGTGAGGCGGTGGCAGGGATGCCGCAGGCCTGCGTTCCACTTCGCGTCCGGGGCGGAGCGACCTCGGCAGTGCATGCTAGACACCGCCGTCTCAGACTCTGTGGACGGTCGGACAATCCGTGTCTATGCCTGTGCGCTGAGGGGTCTCGCCTTCTGGATGTGCACAGATACAGAGTTCGAACAGGCTGTATAGTTGGCGCTGAGCGATGTTTAGCTAGATGAGTTCGAAATTTTGAATGCAACTGGCAGGGCTTCGAACAGATGGGCCCACGGTAGCGTAGGCCGGGCGTAGGTCAGTACGCGTACTCGCCTATGTGTACTGCGAGCATGACTCCCGTGCACGGGTGTAGTAATGCCTTGTCACGTACGAGCGTACGAGGCCGACTGGGAGTCGCCTCGACAGATATGTTCTGTTTCGAGATGCTACATGGAGGATCTTCAGCTCACAGTGCGAACAATCCAGACGCAGTCTTCTCCTTCCCAACAGCTCACTACTGACAGTAGAAAGACAACGCATACCGGTAGGGACGCAACAAGAGTCCGAAATTTGGGATGTTTGGGGTGGCAGGCGGACGTCCGAGTCTCTTGAGTCTCTGCAGAGGAATCGACGAAAGGTTGACGTGCCACATTCGCGCCCGTATCCGCGCATCTGAGGTTTTGTCAAGGTCTTGTATGAAACGTTCACTATGCCGCGGCTGTACCACAGTGCGAACAATCACTAAGGAGGAGGAGGAGGGTCCATTTAAACGAAGTGGTATTGGGACAATCGTTCGGGCCATGCCGTCCGCCCACTGCTTCAAGCCTGCCCTGATTTGATTCCCTGTAGTGGAGAACCACCTTGATAGACCTCATCCAGTTATCGAAGTAAGGGCGGGCCAAGAAGTCGTATAGGGCCTAGGCTGCGCGACTTCAGGTTCCCAGTGCAGTGAGGTGAACTCCTGTAGAATCGGTGGCTCACAGTCGAGCATGATCAGGGTCTCGACTGCAAAATGGCCAAGCTAGGAGCATCGGAACGTGGTCAGTATGGCACGCAGCTCGGCTGTCTCTGCTAGCCAGTTCTCTTTCAATTGCCTTGGCTCGATCTTCAGCTTGAAGCTTGAAGCTTAAAGTCCGAGGGGTCTTCCGTTACCAGTAAGCAGGTCCGCCAGTGCTCTGCGCATGCTTCCCTGACCAAGGTCCGTTGCTCCACAGGGCAGGCAATCTATTCGCGGAACGGCAGCGGGGTCTTCGACTAAGTGCCAGTGACGCGGGCGACGCCTCTGGAGAAGCGGTATATACGAATCATTCTCAATATCTGCATTCCAATGGCATGGGATTACGTGTACGTATGTATACACAACACGAAGCTTCAACGTATATGTAGAACGCAGCCGTTCATCGTCATTGGCACGCAGGACTACCTAGCCAGTGATGGTCAGTGCAGGCCGCTCGGGCGGTAGGAAGCCAGACACGAAAATCCAATAACGTACAGTGTGCGTGTTCCATCACACAGCATCACACCCGACTCAGTTACCCCTCGCTCGGTGAACGCGCCCTGCCCTTCTCCTTTCTGCCCTGTTTCGATCGACCTCCACGACGGCCACCCCCACGACCACGACCATCGTTACCTCGCTTAGCTCTCTTCGCGCTACAGCCCTGCTCGCTCGCTCCAACCCCAACGCAAACGTCGTCTATCCGCTCACGGCCGCGTTTCTTGGATCTCGTTTGCATGGGAGCACTGGTCTGGCTCATCCCAGGTGGCAGGGGAGGCTGCGCCTTCAATCCCGTGGACATTCCGCCAGTCCGCGGCGGTTCTAGCAATGCTCTGGTAGATGGCCCAGGTGCCATAATACCATGAACGAGCTTCCGTTGGGCGCGGCTCGGCGTCGCAGATGGGCGAAGCAGAGGGGTCGGGGACTCTTCGCGTTCGTCAGTGTCGGTGTCGACGGCTGCTGGCCCGGCTTCGTTCGCGCGACGAGTTTGCTCGTCGGCGGCAACTGGCTTGTCAACGGCCTGCCTTGCCAGTTTTCTTGGTGAACGCTTCCAGTTCATGAGGTCCTCTTTGCGACGGCGCTGCTCCGCTTGGAAGGCACGCTCTTGGTCCTCACTGAGTTCTACAGGTTTGTCGCTGAGGCTTATTTCCATGTCCTGGAAAGCCTGCAAGAAAGTGTTGTAAGCCTCGTCCTCATTGAAGCGTCGCGCTTTGTATCCGATGTGAAGAATCTTCCAGAGGCGACGGATAAGAGGTAAGAGGGGCCGGCAGTAAGGGGACACGACATCGAAACACCGTTTGCGATCTTCCAGGCTCTTGATGAGTAGACGTTTGTTGGATCCGAGCTGTTTCAATTCCGAAGTCGCAAAATACCTCCTGTATTGTTCTCCGGCCATGCTGTCGTGAGTCTGCCATTCGTTAAGGGGCCGCCGCAGTGCAGGCCCGGCTCTCCAAATGCAGTACCAGAGCAGGATCCAGAAAATGCTCTCCAGGTCGTGATGAAACGTGTGGACAGGCGTAGCGTCAGCCGGTGGTATGGCTTCTTCATCATCTGAGGGCTCGTCACTGTCGGATGACTGACCAGCGGGAGTACGCAGGTAGTATGGTACTCCCTCCAGGAGTTCACCTGACATAAACGGCAGTGTGCCCTGGAACAACTGCGTTGGTCATATGTCATTTGGTCCCATATGCAAGCTCGGCTCACCGAGATCGGATCCTCAGCAAGCGTGGCATCCGACATAAACTTCGCGTAGTCGAAGTCGATCACCATTCCTCGATGACCTTCGCCTTTCTTTCCGTGAGCCGTGATGAGGATATTACCCTCGCTGAGATCTTTATGCTGAACGCCCTTCTTGTACGCAGCCCAATAACCTATATGATGAATGAGCACAATGCAATGCTGTCATCGTTTCCCACTCACCAGCAAGTGCATCGTGCATGGCTTGCACCAGCTCCAAGAGTGAAAGCGCGTACTTGATCGGCCATCCATACGACTCCATGATCAACCTCGAGTGGGTCTTTCCTCCAGGCGGGCGTTCGGGCACGTCCACGAAAGGTAAGTAATCGATGAGCACACCGTAATCAGTCGTGTTTCCTCGAGTTCTGTCAGGCATGGATGAGGGAATCATCTCCCGTTTGATGTTCTTCTGCGACGCATTAATGTAGCGAGGTTTGGCACAAACCTGCACGCCGCGCCGAATTCTCGACATGACCGTGTCCTCTTTGCCATCAACGTACACGACTCCGTATGAACGCATCGTCGCGACTCCCGGTACGCATCCAATGTGCTCATAAAACTCACCCTCTGGGCATCGCTCGTCGTCCCGCCACATATCCTTCAGAATGAACAACTTCAGGTGCGTCGTCAGTCAGTTAGTCAGAAAGCATGCAACACAGCAATATGAGACGCACCCGACGCTCTTCCGGCGGTAATGTCAATTCATCGAATAGCCATGCTTTCCATACACGCGTTGCGCGCCCGCGGATTACCTCGCCACGCTGGACATTGAGCGCCTTGTACAGGACAAACTTCTCGGTCATGCGCTCGTCCATGACACCATAATCGGCGCCGTCTTTTGGCTGAGGCATGTCAATCACCCAGTATTGGTCCTCTTGCTCCCGACTCCAGGGCACCTCGTAGGACAGCCTGGGCTTCCATCGTCGTACCTGGCTTCGAGTGTATTTCTTCTGCTGGCCGATGATTGCCATCGAGGTGTCCCACCCGAGGTCAGCGAGAGACAACGAGCTTATGCCGACTATGATGCGGATAAACAATCGTGGTTCCTATGCAAATCTTAGAAGCGATCCACAGAAAGGGAGCGGGGCCACACACCTCGTGAATATTGATTACCACAGACCCGAGGACGCCGGCCCGGTCCGCTAGGTACACCGACATGTTCGCACATGCAATGACGACGCCGAACACGAAGCAGCGATCCATCGCCTCGTGAAATACCATGCGCATGCACTTCAACAGTTGCAACAATGCCGGGCTGTTTTGTTCTTGCTTCTTGACTTGCAATGGGACCAGAATGCGACTCCACGGCACGGGCTTGTCATCTGCTACTCCAATCGTCGCGACGATGTCGGGTCTAACTTCCGGAGTGCAGGGGTTTCGCGAGAGGGGTATGTGATCGTGGTGGTCCCGCCATCGGAGACCGTTCGTCCGCGTATCAGCCTCAGGAATGCAGCTAGTAACAGATTGCACGAGGGCCACGAACGACGCGTACAGAGCCGTTTCGCTTGCAGGTGGCTTGATAGGGTAACCCGACCATCGCCTACGCAAGGGTTTGTAGCACCCGCCAGACTTTGAAGCCTTGGCGAAGACCTTTTCAATGAGATCGCCGGAGACAGGAAAGAGGGCGTCCAGAAAACCGGAGATATCACAATAAACGTCCTGCGCAAGTTCGTTGATGATGTCGTGTTCTAGGTCTCTGGCCAGAAAGGCGCGTTTCCATGCCGGCGCAGAGTATGTGTGACTGTGTGTAAATTTCTATTTCAGCTACTACTAAGAGTATTGACAGGCCGAGGACAGGGACAGGGATATGAATTAACCTGCCACTGCGCCACTGCGCCTTGCCACCAACAAGGCGTAAAGCAGACATACCTCGAAGATTCTGAGGGCGATGAACTCGAGCACCAGCGACACATTGTACACGTCGCGAGTGTTGCAGCAGGTTGCAGCACGAAGAGGGTGAAGACAAAGGAGGCCGTGCTCTTGACCTTCGACTTAAACAACACGAGCGCACGCCGAGACGCCCATGTGTGGCCACGCTATATTCCCAATTAGGCAGGTGTTGTGTTAGCCACAGCCCGCTGGCTCCTCCCGTGATTCCGCAGGTTAATTTCGATCCGAGCTCATCAGCGGCACGGACGCTTACACAGTGCTCGCCATTTGCTAATAATTTTTGTCGGGCATCGCGCATCGTGCGGACAAGGAGACGCGTTACTTACCGCTGTTGACGTATATACACTGACAGTAAGATATACTGTGTATGGACGCGCCGATGAGAGCCATATCATGGCCGACTCTGGCCAGCTCTGACCTTGTATTTGTATTCAGGCTTTCTGTCCTTCTTCGAGTCGTCCTGCCTCGCGAGCACTTTACGACCTCCTTCTGACTCTTCGTGATGGTCAATAATGTCTACTTACATCTTACAAGGATCCGCTGCCAGGTGGCGAAAATGTTCTATTGTAGGATGCGCGAGGTCAGTATATCTCGGGGCTCGTAGTCCAAGAAAGCCTTCTCATCAGAGAGGCGAGCATTCGCGTTGCAGCCAAGCAAGTGCCCTTTGGTCTGCGTGAAGCAAAGGCGAGAGCTTCTCCAACACCTCCGCATGATATGAATCCAGCCACGATCCCTCCTTCGGACTCAACAGAGAGGCATCGACGAGACTCTTCTGGATCGGGCACTAGGTATCGTTTGCGTGAGGCTCGATGAATGAAGGGCATCCGTAGAAACACTCGCCATGGTGACGTGCTCGAACTTGAGATATCCTTTCTCTCCGAAGTTGTTTGGCGTCTTCGCTTCGCGGACTATAATCACGTTCTCGATGCGGATGCCGAATCGCCCGTCGGCGTAGTAGCCAGGCTCTGCCCAGAGATTAGTCGGAGCGCCCTGACTGTCACAAGTTCCGCACTGACCATCGGACACAGTCATACCCGACTTCAAAGGTGTACTGTTATACGCTATTGCAATCATGAGCTATCCTCCATCAGGAGCAAGCTGTCGTCGTCTCTGGCGCACCTATGCGAACGCCGATCCCGTGCGGGCCTGATATGCATGTTTAAATATCGAAGATTATAGTGATCGCACAAGAGGCTGGGAGTTTACCTTCATGGACGTTCAGAAAATGACCTGGAAATCGGTACGTTGAATACGATACATATTGGAAGAAGTGGTCCGCAACACACCAACTCCGTGACCTGTGCCATGTCTGCAATCACGAATCAACATGCCAGCTTTCGAGCCCAGACATGTAGAAAATATACCGGAAATCTACCGCACTGTGAGTGGAGCAGAATCAGGCGACTACAGGAGACGACGTACCGAGTCCGTCTTCCCAAAGGGGTCTTCGTGCGAACGAGTCACTGAAGAATAGTCAGTCGACCATTGTATCATATTCTTCTAGGATTGAAGTCAACACGTACATGACGTATCCTGGTGCACCGGAGCATCAATTCGACAGGTCAGCGGCTCATACACCAGCATAAACGCACCCGTTGTCCCGTTCGGGAACACCGCCGCGTCAATGGCGATGTGTCCTTGGAGCACGCGCGTAAAAGCGCGGCGCTCCTCGGGCGTCGCAGTACCGAAGTGCTGAACTGGGTGTGAGCCAAATGTAGGGTATACACGGAACGAATTCGTGCTGACCCAAGTTCGCGTAACGTCCGTCGTCCCGTCGAGGAATTGTGCTATATTGTACGATTGGATTCATCAAGATGTTCGCGACGGTGAGGAATTGGGCAGCCCACCCCCTGAGTCGCAAAGGTAGATCTACGTTACACCCCATTAGCAGCTGTAGAGCGAGTCTGGACTCAGCAGATCAACCTGCCTGGTCTCTGCGAACAATGGCACAATCATTCGGTTCCGGTTGGTAGTGTATGATCGCTCCGTTTGGTCCCGTCGCCGAGATGGTAGGGAAGGACAGTCCGCGGAAGAAATCGAGCTCTCTGGATCACATTGAGATTCAGCCTGCACATAACCTCGATAGTCTCGGTACGCACGCCCGATAGTGCTCCAGCTGGTCCGCTACTTGACACTCGTTGAGCTCGACCCCATTGTTGAGCTGCTCCTCCAGCCACGCGAAGTATCGAACGAGAGCGACGCCGTCGCGGATATGGCTCTGCCTGAACCCTACATCCACAGTCCGTCAGGACGAGTCACGCAGATTGCCTGTCGCGTACCTTCGACCTCCGTCTCGTTCTTCACGGCCTTGAAGTCTGCGACAGGCGAGCGTGCTACGACGACGTTGTCCTTAATAATGTCGCATGAAATCTAGCGTCAGCAAAGACTGCCCAAGTGACTTCGCAGTGCGGTGGGACGCGGAGGGATAACGCACTGCTCCCATTGCCTCCACTATGGCTAAGCTTGCTTTGTCCCCAACAAGGGCCCTCTGCGAGGAGGTTAGGTTTCAGCGGTTTGGATTTATGAGGCGGATGTGACGCTCACTGATTTCTTGTGTAGTCCGATCTCTGCACCCAGTTCTCGGAGATAGGAGAAGAACGAGTCGTATGGATGGATGTCAACGTGGCCGCCGAGGTGTTCGCGGAGCGTGTCGTCGATTTGTGCGGGGTTCAGGAAGAGATGTGCCTTTTCTGGGGTCAGAACGGCATACGCGAAGAACACTTCGAGATTGCATCATTAGTCATGGCTTGAATCTATGTTTGCTGGAACCGAGAGTATCGGGCCCTACCTGGGTTGTAGTCGATGTCCGATCCACGCAGGTTGAACAGCCAAGCGACTTCGTCAAGCATGTTCACGACTACGGCATGCATTTCCTTCTTACGCATCTCTTCTCGCAGTCGTGTAATCTTCTGCACGTGCGACTCGCCTATGAGTATCATCAGGACATAGAGTGGAAGCTAAGGATCAGACACTCATACCAGCGTACTTCAGGTCCAGCGGGTAAATGCCGTTCGTCGGCCTGGGAGGTCGATTGGTCCACACAAGGTCTACAAGATTGTGCTTGAGTGACACTAGCTGTGACTCGAGCGGCTCGAGGTTTTTCTGGATGGTGTCGGCATCCGCTGGTAAACTGTCACCGTCTGCAACCTGACCGCGGGGTAATGGGAACATACACGCAGTAACGATTGTCGGATCAACTCCGATGCGCGTGCACTTGGGCAGTTTCTTCGACAGTGTCAACACAGCTCCACGCGCATTAGGTGAGATGTATACCTTCCACAGAAATTCCTGCCAGGTAGGCACATCTGCGGGCGGTTAGCGAAGCGGATTGACAGGAGCACGGCCTATGGCTACCTGGAAGACCCTGTTTCATCAATGTCCAATTCCTGTGGGATGCAAACGTGAGATTGCTATTGCTTGGTCCGCGTATCGAGCATGAATCCCTACCTGTCTAGCTGCTTCTCTGCTTGTAGGAAATAGCGACCGTCCGTAAATAGAAAAGCGTCGGTCGGAGTGATGATAGCGCATCCTGAGCGTATCGACGGATCGAGCATAAGCTTCCGACGGGTCTTCACTCATACCAATCAAAGAGGTGGTATGCACCTGCAGACCCAGTAAAGCCAGAGATGAACGCGCGCCTTTCGTCGCACGTCGCTGGGTATTCACTATAATCTATATGCATCGCTCAATATGGCACGCATCTGGTGTACATCAAGAAGGTGCTTGCGTTGGTCTTCGCTGGGCACAACGACGGCGGCGACATTGTAATCAGGCTTCGACATGAGCTTTCGCAGCGCCTGCAACCGCTCGGAAGTATTGACGGCTTGAGTTGCCGGTGCCATCGTGGCAAGAAATCGCGTCCTGAGAGTCGCCTGCTGCCTAGCTGAGCAAGAGAGGGATTGAGTGACGCGAGAACATACGCGTAGTCCTGCGAAGAGCATCCAGCTGAATAACTGAATGGATGAGCGAAGTCCGGGCACCGCGTTCCGACAGTCGGTAAGGTCACGTGAGCCTAACACGTCTAAGTAGCTGAAATTGGCGCTATTCTAGCTAGAGCTTTGGAGCATTGTGGGATTTGTACCAAGGCAGCGTGGTCTGCGCTTCATGAGCGGTGTTTTGCGAGGGCAACACAGGCCCTGTGAGGACAGGTGCGAGAGTTCATCTGCACCGCCGGTCTGGTACTATTGTGACCGTCACGTCGTTCACAACTGGGTGGCAGTGACAATAGCGTCACGCAGACGCTCGCTGCGGGAGCGATGCTCATGCGCTTTCCCAGCTCGCCCACCTCCAACGTTTCACAGCCGACACACCTGTCCGAGGACGCTGCAGACGACCCTGGCGCGACAAACGATACCCAACTGTATTCTCACGACTCCGACTTGGTCGCTAGACACTCCTGCCAGGCGGCACACCACTCCTTAACACGCGCCTAGACTCTCCCTCAAGTTGACATGGTGGACGACAAGTATATAGGGCTGACACTCGCAGTATCAAGCTCACTCGCTATTGGAACCAGCTTCATCATCACGAAAAAGGTCGGATCCTGCGTGTCGTGCGGGAGACAGCGTGCTGAAACGGGTGCTAGGGCTTGAACGATGCAAGCAACCGGTCCACGTATTCGCAAGTTTCGGACAACTACGCGTACCTCAGAAATCCTATTTGGTGGGCGGGGATATCAACATGTGAGTCTCGCTCTGGCGGTGGCGAGGGCGGCATTCTGGGGATATCTGAGTTTCTGACGGTGGATCGCACGGGCTGCAGTAATTCTAGGAGAAAGTGAGTGCTGTCCTGCGTATTCCTCTGCATATACAGACGAGTCCTCTCCAGTCGCCAATTTTGCTGCATACACATTTGCCCCGCCAATATTGGTTACACCATTAGGCGCACTCAGTGTCATCATTGGGTCCGTTCGCCTCCCTTATGCTCTACAATCGACCGTTGACCATCTCGCAGCGCCATCCTAGCGTCTTTCTTGCTAGATGAAGAACTTGGACACCTTGGGCGTGTCGGTTGCGCACTATGTCTGCTTGGGTCGCTCATCATCGTGCTCCACGCTCCAGAAGACAAGGAGATCAAGACAGTGGACGAGATCTTACACTACGCTTTGCAGCCCGGTGAGCTTGACATGTTTCTCTGCAAACTACGCTGGTGTCCTGAGTGTCTTCTGGAGGCTTCCTGATGTACTGCTTCACTGTGCTGGTGTTCAGTGTAGTGATGATCTATGCCGTTGTCCCCAAGTACGGTCGGTCCAACCCGCTGGTGTACATCTCGATATGCTCGGTAGTCGGTTCTGTGTCCGTAATGGCTATCAAGGGATTCGGCGTCGCGGTCAAGCTCACGTTCGCGGGGAACAATCAATTTACGCACGTGAGCACATACGTGTTCGGCATCACCGTAGCAGGCTGTATTCTCGTGCAAATGAACTACTTCAACAAGGCACTGGATACGTTTTCGACAAACGTGTACGTCCATTCACTAGCGCCGCGGAAAGTGCTAACCTCCCCTCAGCGTGAACCCCATGTACTATGTCGGCTTCTCGACAGCCACTATCGTCGCCTCCGTCATTCTGTTCCAGGGGTTCAACACGGATGACCCCGCGAACTCTATCTCTCTTCTCGCCGGCTTCATCACTACCTTCCTCGGCGTCCATCTCCTCGAAATTTCTCGGAAACCCGAGTCATTACCTACCGTCGCCAACGGCCACGGCCACTCCGCACTCGAAAGCGGGATCATGAACCCCCGCCTGAGCCTCCAAGGCCGCGTATCGATCGACGGCTGGGGCGGCGCGGCGGGCACACCGGCCGGAGGCGTCAACGCGCCGCATAGCGCGCGACACGGGCGACAGAACTCCGCGGGGCTGCGCTCCGCGACGCTGTTCAACGCGCTCGACGAGGAAGACGAGATCACGGACAACGTCGGGCTCGCGCGGCTGCCGCAGGCAGTCGGCGACGAAGACGACGACGACGACGAGCTGGAGCATGCGGACGAACGGACTCGTTTGCGCTACTACCCGGACGAGCGGCGGCATGGCTCGCGGAGCCCCGGCAGCCGACACGCGTCGCCGCGGTGACGTGGGCGAGTGTCTGTCTAACTCTCTGTGTCTCTTGTTGTATAGCTCTTCGACCGCGGACTAAAACTTACGATATACAACACTACTATTCGTGTGTACTTTGGGGACTATCTATGAGTTTTGATGGTTCATGCTTGCGCTCGAGCGTGGGGAATGTCCGGGCGCTCTTGCAACCACCGTGTTGACTCTTGAGTAGCTTCAACTTGAGTACGTATGTCGTGTTCAGCTGTCGGTTGTCTTTCGCTCACATTGCTTTTAATATAGGCACATTTTCCAGCAATCCGCGCACTTCGCATGAGCTGTTCACAGATATTGCATTGATGGATCACCTAGCGCGTCCGGACCATTGACAGGTTGGGTCGTTCCTGTAGTCTTTGGCTCGCCTCACTGCCGATATTTGACCTGGCGGTGGAATTGAAGCACCAACGTGAGTACTGAAGTACTTCGACATCGTTCACGAGGGATGATTGCGTTCCTCTCAGGGCTGCATTCTTCTGACTCGAGGCTTGCGGCACCCATTCACTCAATGCCGTCAAGTTACTATTTCCACGTCGCCGAACCGCGCGGGGTCATGACAAGAACAGCAGACAAGATCCCAAGTTACTCCAAGTTATATGGCGACAGTGCTGACGTGTGACCATGTCAGCTTCTCGGAGTTGGCAACTAACTCTCCATCTCGGTAAGGCCCCGCACCTTCTATTCTCAAGTTCCAACTCCGTCTACTGAAGGCCTGTGTGTCGTTGAACAGCCGTATGTGACGATTGTGTTGACAAAATGGCACTCTGTGGGCATGGCCCCGTGTAGCATTGTAGCGGCGGCCTCGGGCAGGTCCAGCACGAACGCATGCTAGAGGCATGTGATGGGCATTCTGGGGCAGTGTCTCTGACAGGACCGCTTCCAACAGATCGTACATGTGGGGTCAGAGTATCAGAGCAGTTGCCCAAGAAATATGGAAGAAATTTCAACTCGAACTACAGGGTTATTTCCACCAATGACCATGTGCCAACCTCCGTCGGGAAATACACTCGCTTCAAAAATCAAATATTCATTGGTGTTGTAAACAATATTTCATACCGTCGGAGCGTTCTGTTGACCCTGTCAAGACTTGTAGCAGACTGATCCGACGTCGGCCTTGTCCGACCTGAGTCGCACGGAAAGAATGATGAGCGTGTGCTCCCTCTGGCCTGTAGAAGGCAAGGAACTAACTGATCTGGAATTGTCTCTGTAGTAGGCTGACGTGCCGCATGCTGCATACATCGTGTCGACGCCGGCAGTGCACTCTCAAGATTCTCATCTCATCGAGGCACTCAGGATGCCGAGGGCGACTACATATGGTTCGAGGATAAAAGCTGGCTAGACAGCGTGTCCAGTACCGCATTCTTTTGCGCTGCCGCATCACCAGTCACCAGCCATGAAGTTCACCTCTACGGTTGTTCTTTTTGCCTGCGTCCTCCTCCAATTCGTCACTGCCATGCCGGCGATTCAACATGAGAACCGTCTTGCGGCTGCGAACAGTAAGTCAGCTCTTTGCAGTGCATGATATATATGTGACCCACCGGGACGTCTCACTGCTGCACGTTTCACATAACGTCGTGGAGTCTGAGGATTAGATATTGCCTACTTCCTGGCAACGTTCTACCGGCTGATCACTTCTGTCTAGACCCTGGGAAGCGCATCTCAGACGAAGCTTTGGGTTACGGTCTCCCAGAAGGTAAGTCATTATAGGTATATCGGCCTTATTGTGTTTGCCAATCCGTCTTATAGACCTCAAAAAGCGTGTCTCCGACGAGGCTGTGGGTTACGGTGTCCCTTACGAAGAAGGTTGCTATATTATGCATATCTACATGATGTGCTATCCAACGGAGCCTGTGCAGACCTGAAGAAACGCGTATCAGATGAAGCTGTGGGGTACGGTATCCCGTACGAGGAAGGTCAATCTTTATCTGCGTATCGTCAATGTCGTAACTCACTACTTGAGATACCCTATGAAGACATGAAGAAACGCGTATCTGACGAGGCTGTGGGATACGGTGTCCCGTACGAGGATGGTAAGTTGACATTTGCGTACCAGCAATGCCGCGGGCGCTGACCTGTTCTATTGAGACCTTGACACTCGCGGTATGTGCCCTATTAGATATGCACCTGGATAATGCATGTTCCTAAACCACACAGATATCACGAACATTGCCCTCGACAAGTGATGGCCTGATCGAGGACTCTTCATTGATGATGGTCAGCCCTTGTCTTCGTTGAATGGAGCGTGCTTACATGCGGGTGTACAGTAACGGAGCATACCGGTGAGCGTGTTTCAGTGGAAACGCAGTCCATGCATTGTTGCATTATGCGTAGTTGGACCTCTGGGCAAGTGTTTCTCGCTCGAAATGTAACGTGGTTCGTGATTAGCATTATGATCTCTCCCTCTGACGGAACTGTATCGGGACGCCTCGAGCGATACCTTCTGCGTTTTCACACAATACGCTCTGCACAGTACGTCTGCACGGTACGCCACTGCGTTCGTGGGTCAACCGTACGACGTGGGTAGCCTTGTCGCTTAGGTCTCGTCTGACGGCTCAGGCATTGAAGACCATTCAGGGACAGTCTCGCTGACCTGCCGTGCTGCGATTGCACATCAGCATTGTACTTGTCCTTGGGAACAGAAACGCCATACGCGCTATGATGATGAACGATCTGTTGTATGTTTTCAGGCGGCGGCCGGCTTCGAGATCAAATATCGGTACTGGCGGATCCTGTCGGCTTATGGCATGCGCGTTCGTCTATGGTGGACACTCGCTAATGCTCCCAGTCGACGATATCTTTTCAAACCCTTACAAATCGAAGACCAATACTCTTGGGTTGCAATCACTCGCGACTATACGACTGCATGAGGATTTGAGCAAGAATTGCCGGCGGATTGTGCATAGGATCGGAGGCGCGGTCACAGACATTTCTCGTCCCAAGCAGCGCTGTCCTTTCAGACGACCCGCATCAGCTCGAATCGGAATACCGCCCGGTGAGTCAGACCTGTCTCGTCCCTGACAGGAATGGTGGGAGAGTTGATGCGCGTAAATCTACTAGAGCATATGTCAAGGTGGCTATATCATTGCACCGGAGTTGAGTGCATTAACGGCCGCATGCCCTACGCCAGCTGCTCACTGAGAGGCAGGCCCAGTCAGCGATACAACTTGGTTGTATGCACTGGTGAGCAGTGTTCTTTTGCAGTACCAACTGAGCGCGGGGAGTCCTAATAAGCCCAACGCTTACCTTGGATATAGTGACTCGCGTCTTCCCATCGGCCCCGGGCGCAACCCATACTCTTTGATCGGCGCGCCTGCTGGCCACACACCCATGAGCAGACATTCGTCATTGAGATGAGCCGCCACAAGCCGTCTCCAAACGGTTTCTGGATCATTGATGCCAGGGCATTGTTCAACTAGCCGTCAAGTGCGGAAAGGCGCTGCGATGGCGTATAAATAATGGGCAGGCCACTGGGTATCTGTTCCCGCACGTTCTTCAGGATCAATTCGCCGTCTCAAAAATGAAGTTGACGTCTGCTTTCCTCTTCAGTGCTGCTGCTCTATCCCATGTTGCTTGCGCAGTACCCGCTGTAGCGGCGAACCTTGACGGTGAGCAACGACGAGATAGTCCATGAACACGTCTTGGATCTGATACATACTGCGACAGCGCTACCTCGACGGACGGGTGGAGAGGCTTATATCGTGTCGGGCGGTGCGTGTCTTGCATATACATCTCTGGCGATCGAACTGTAACTGTCCGTCAGATGTCGTCGAGCGTACAGGTGGTGAAGCCTGCATTGTCTCTAGTGGTAAGTCATCGTGATACAATGCCAGCGTGGTATTTGATCGCAAATGAATGAAGACGTGGTCAAGCGCACCGGCGGTGAGGCCTACATTACGCCTGACCGTCAGTTATTTAGAGCATGTGCGAGACGCTCGTATTGATCAGCTCTGGTAGAGCTTGACAAGCGCACGGGCGGGGAAGCGTACATCACACCAGATGGTGAGAGATGGTGAGACACTCAACTAAATAATGTGGCAAACTTGCTCACAACCGCTCCTAGATCTCGACAAGCGCACCGGGGGCGAAGCTTATATCGTGTCAGACGGTAGCACTGTCCACGATTGCCCGTCAAACGAAGTCTGACAGATAAGAACTTTTTGCTGAATAGACGTCGTGAAGCGCACGGGCGGCGAAGCTTACATTACACCGGACGGTGAGTTGATGCGCAGCTGACACGATACTCGTATCTCACTGTTCATTTCAATTGCTTAGCACTCGATAGGCGCACGGGAGGTGAGGCTTACATCACTCCGGATGGTGCGTTGACTCTGATATTGTCATCTCAGTGCTGACCGTAGGCGTCAGAACTTGACTGAACATAGCCGAATGAGATCAGTGGAATAGTCCAACAATAGCCTCAGAAGAATCATGTAGTATGCTGAGCTCTGCATACGCGCTTCCATATGAATAGCAATGCAGCACTGTATGATTGTGACTGCATGGCGATGTCTGAATGGAATATGTAATCGATGCAAATCAATTGATTCCTGCTGGGTGTTGTTGGGATGCATGAACGTGCTGACCTTCGTACAGAACAGAGCGTGAGGACCAGCTTGAACATAGACAGTCGTGCTATGCTCTAGCGAACAACTCATGGGCCGTATGTAGTCAGACGAGCTTGAGGGGGCTAACACGCACCACTGTGGGTGAAGATATCCCGACATTCTGCAGAGAAGCGCGCCGATTCTTTGGCCTGCAAACCCGTTCAGACTAAGCATAACTTTCGGATCGCGAAGGACACAGTTTCTTCCGCCTCTGTCATGTGCAACAGTAGAAGTAGTCAATACGTGGTCAATCGAACCAATATGATTCACCGACGCGCGACGATCCAGCACGAGCACCAATGATGATGATGATGAATTCAGCACTTATATACCGCAACAAGAAGACAAAGTCGTGCTAAGACGCGGTCCTACTATACTAAGTACAGTAGGCAGTCGATGGTGGGGGGTCGGGGTAACGACATGAGGCTTATGTAGTAATGGGCAGGCAACGGTATATGGCAGCATAGGGAGTGTCAAAGCAGGGCAACGGGTCCGGAGTAACGATGCCAACAAACGGTCCATTTCCTTATCCTCCTCTCAGTACCTTCTCCGGCGGTCTACTTGTCTTAAAGTCCTGGGACCGGCCGCTTATCGGGCTCGTCGTGTCAGCCCCGACGAGGGAATTCCGGTTTTTGCGATCAAGCATCCTCGAGGCCTGTGGTAATGGTGGGTGATTGGTAACGGTAGGTATAGGCCCGGAGTAAGCCTGGCTTTGGGTCTCGAGGTGCTGCTCCGCAAACAGCGAGCGCAGCGGCTGGGCATAGCTGAAGACCAGTCGATGGAAAGCCTCGGATGGCGGTTGAGTGGCGGGAATGTCATCGCGACTAGGTCGGGTATACCCATGGTGACGGGGTCCAGCGTTCAGTGTTCTTGTCGACTCGACTCGACATTGCGAGAAGATGGACTATTGGCTGCGACGGGGAGCTCTCGACTTTAGGATCCTAGGCGAAGGAGACTCACGGAGTCTCTCTGTACGTTGCCTGGTGTCCTCCCTTGGCACAGCAAAAAGCGTGAGAAACACTCGACCAGGTCGTGGTACGAGTCCAAGGAGCTCTCTAGCACGAGCACCAAGAAACTTAGAAAGCGCGCTCTTGCGCGACGCGTCATCCGCGGTGGCCACACTCACGTGATCGCGAGCTCTTGAACCGTCATGTTGACATTCAGGACTCGAGTTCAACCCCGCGCTTGGCTTGGAGCTCTTTCTCGGCGGGTGACCCTTGGACTCGGACAGAAGTGAAGAATAGTCTGGATATGCTCCCGAAGGAAGAGGCACTCAAAACAGGCCGGTCAAGTCGCTCTCCAACTCTGTGGCGCAGTGGCACAACTTTGCCACATACGAGTTACATGTCTATTTAACTCATACAGGTACCAACGAACTCATTGGCTTGGTACGTCGTCTACAGTTATCTACAGATATACGACCCCATTTCGACAGTATGTTTTGGTACACAGTACTTAGCTGCTAGTTGGTGATAGTCACCTTAGCATCCACGTGGCTCGTATCATCATCCTCCCCCACACATGTAAGTAACAGTACTTACAGTGGCGCAAGGCGGCGCACCAGATGAGAGATTTCTTTGAAGTACGATACGAACTGCGCTCAACATGCTTACGGATTTCGAAACCTAGTTCTGGACAAGACCACAACGTCTCGCCGTTCCCTACGCAGCAAGTACTTAAGTGTGGACCCTCCCTTCGGGCGGGTCATCTTCGGCTTGCATATTAAGCCTACTATATGCTCAGAAGCATTAGACATCGTGACATCGAAGGCCGTGTCGCTTTTCGAGTCTGAGAGGCAGGATAATCAGGAGGTAGCATGGCTGTGATTCGACCTGTGCGTATTACGTAAGTGCGTGCATGAACGGACATTTGCTGATGCACGCGATATACTTACACGCATTTTCGTACAAGCTACCGCCGTGTTGTTTGGCTACGGATGGACCGACAGGACAGGCTTCGCCTAGAGACTTAACAACGGACTGGCATTTGTGCTGAATTTCCGCTGATCAGAGAACGATGAACCTACGCAAAAGACAAGGTTACAAACGGTTTGTTCTGTCACCGGCGAGGCATCGTCTCCGAATAACCGTGTGCATTATGGTCGCGGACCGTGCTTGTGAAGAAGCCGTGATTGCTGTCACTGGTCGGACGAAGCCACATCGAAGGTATATAGGTCCTCATGGTGTGTGGCGATGCAAACGTTCTTCCGGAACACGCGAAGTACTTCTCTGTGGCTGCAGGCTGTGGCAACTACAACGGATTTGGATGTGTCTACTCACAATGAGTCAATGGGCACAAGAGCGCATTGTCTGCTGCTTTGGGATCCCCAATCAATACACCAAATACGGTTAGTCTGAGTGCGGTTGGACTTCCGAAAAACTTCCGCATAGCCCAGAAGCGAGGCGATGATGCCTCCTCAGGCCTGCATGTATGATGTATCCGGAAGAGCGCTAGGTTCGAAGGCGACAAAGACCTTTTCAAGACTCCAGGACAGCATAATTATTCACAAGTCGATATTCAAGGTTGTATCGCCCATGCTGTAGGGTTTCTTGAGGCAGGGAGCGGTGCGCAGCGCGAAACGGCAGCGGGCGGTGGCTGATGGCAAAGCACAACAACTGCCTAATTTGGAATGCATCCTTGATGGAGATCGGCTGTGCCCCACACGCGGGCGTCTCGTGCCCTCGTGTTGTTCAAGTTCGAACGCGGCTAGCGCTCTTGTCCACGGCCTCCATTGTTCACTCCGCCTCCGCGCTGCCACCTCGCCGACGTATATAATGTGCCAGTATCACCGGGATTCATCGCCCTCTGACTCCTCGAGGTATGTCTACAGTCAGAATTCTCGGCTATCCCGCACTCCGGGTTTCATCCCAGCCCCATAACACTCCGATCAAAGGCTCACAGAGCGGTCAAATTCCTTCCAGCACTGCGTACTCTGATCAGGCGTACAAGAGAAAGGTTTTCTCCAAGGATCTCGAATACGAGGTCGTACAAGAGCTAGACGGGCACGTCTTCTGCGAGGTTCCTGACTTCCTGGAGACTATCTTTCCTGTCGACGAAGCCTTGATCAACTCTGTGTACGGCATCCTCTGCAGAACAAAGCACAGCGCCTACGATACCAAAACCAAACGATGGTCACATTACTCTTTCTCTCCCCCTACCCTCGAGAAGACGCTCTACCCCCAGTTCGTCAAGTTAGCCGGAACGGTCAGCAACGCTGTATCGCAGGCAATGGAGGTGCCGGCCTGGGAGACGCGGGCGCCGACACAGACAAATGGTCTTCGTTGGTACGACTGCCATGATGCTACTCCTCTGTCGCGAGACCCCTACATATCAGAGGTTCGACCGGATATCGTCGCGGCGCTCGGAGTGTCTGCAGCCAAGCAGCCACAAATACCGTGGAGCCGTATTCTAGTCCCCGTCGAAGTCAAGAAGAAAGAGACGGATGGTCCCGCCCTCCTGCAGTTGTTGAAGTACGTCCGGCTTGTCTTTCGCGAGTCCGCGGACCGCTGCTTTGTTCTCGGCCTTGTCGTCGCGTGCGCCAACGTGTCCGTCTACCTGGCCGACCGGACTGGTGTCATAGGGTCAACGGTGTTCAATATCCACGACGTACGTCTTTTCTTGCTGCCTCAATATCGCATTCTGAACAGACTTGCAGGAGCCCAAGGTGTTCATTCGCGTCATCGCCGGGCTTGCGAGCTTCTCGCTTGACCGTCTAGGCTGGGACACCTCGATGACAACAATTCACCAGCAGCGGATATTTTCGCGCTCCGACTTGTCCAGCCTAACGCCAAAGTACTCGTACCAAGAGTCGTGGAAGCAACAACAAGAGACGACGTACTGGGTCATCACGATGCCGAAACCGAAGCCGAACGGCGGTTATGGAGTTATGGACGAGACTGCTACGGAAACGTTCGTGCTGTACAAGGGCGTCAGCATGAGCAGAGGCGGTGTGATCCGTGGGCGCGCGACGCGCGTGTGGAAGGCGTGGCTTTGGGACGAGTTGCATCTGCCACAGGAACGGCGTAGGGTGCGTGAGCTGTTGTTGTCTCTTGCCCCGCCTATATTCAGACACCATTCACAGGTCTTCGTTGTGAAAGACTCATGGCGCGACGACGAAAGACACTTGGAGGGCGAATTCTACAAGAAGATAGGCCCTGCCAGGGGGGTTGCCCGGATGAGATCCTACTCTGTCGTCAAGATCAATGGGCACGATGACATGACATCGTCCCGAACCCGCAGTGATCTCAACGTCCAGGGCAAACCTCGATGTATTGACGTTTCACAGCGTGACATCGCACATGCCAAGATTTCTGCGTCCTCGCCTGACAGAGACCGTATCAACACTACGAGATACCTCTATGCGTTGGACTATCTGCCGTCCTTCGACTTACCTGAAACGTCGCCTCGAGGCCGAACTCATTCAAGAATAGTGATCGAGACGTATGGTTGGTCCATCAAGTATGCGGCATCACTCGTGGAGCTTGTTCACGCAGTGAACGACGTCTTGCACGGTGAGCCCACGGGTCTTGCGCACATTGATCCTTTACTCATCTCTTTACCAGGTTACAAAACTGCGTATGAAGAGGAGGTTATCCATCGCGACATGAGCGTTGAGAACCTTCTGGTCACCGGGAATACTGAAGGCGGCAGTGAAGGTTTTGTCATTGACTTCGACTACGCCAAGTTCCTCAACGACCTCGCAATACTTGATGATCCAATGTCGGTAAGTGACACAATTGGCTGTGTGAGTTGCTTTGGGTAATCTTCTCGCTGTAGGGCACACGACCATTCATGTCCGGAGAGTTACTCCTCGGTCAACCTTACTACAAGTCCGCTGGAACTGATGTCCGCCACCGTTTCTACCATGACCTTGAGAGCGTGCTGTGGATTCTACTGTGGATCTGTCTCTGCAAACGGGGCGCAGGTCTACGACGAGAAGCCTTGCATCAGGGAACAGATAAGGCTCTTACCCGGAGGTTCCGGCTGCTCTTCGAGGTCACGGATATCGCCGTCCTGGGGACCAACAAACAAACTGCCATCAGGGACGAGGAGTCATTCACCAGTGATCTCGAACTCATTGACGACTTCTACACGCCGTTGAAACCACTGCTCGAGCGTTTGTGGAGAATCCTCCGCACGGGCTACAAGACAGGGCACTTCGACTTCGCGGAGACCTTTTCAGCCTTCATGCAAGCATTTGACGACGCTGAGAAGACGCTTACCGAGGATCCTCCAGTTCTGACGGCTGAACAGGAGGAAAGTGTCAACTTAGAACGGGAACGACGTCGCCGCGACCAATGCGACTGGCAGCACACGCCCCGCCCTGCTACCAAGTCCGGTCGTGCTCCCGCGCAGTCGGCGATCCCGGAGACTCCAGACGAGGACGATGCTCCGGAGGATGACGAGCGTGAAGATTCCCCGACGCCTGCGCCGCGTGGGCGGAACGCAGAGACGGACCGCAAGAAGCTCATCCTGGTTCCCGACCCAGAGCCGCCTGCGCCATCTGCGCCGCAAGCACCGGCGCCGGCTGGCGGTGTGCAAACGCGATCGATGAGCCGTGCTTCCGCGGCTCAGGGCTCGTCGAACGTGCAGACTCACCCGCCGTCTAAGGCAGGAGGCTCTTCGCATACAGCGCCCAAGAAGCGTGGCAGGAGAGGCGGCCTTAGCAACCAGCGCACGGAGGAACGTAGCAGTGCGGGTGAAAGTGGCGGACAGACCAGGGGTACGAAGCGGACTCGGGGACGAGGCGACGGTGGCCGTGGAGGGGCAGGAGCAGGTCGATCGCAGCCGGACAGAAAGGGGAAAAATAAAGCGGGATAACCGAGACAGAGGTAGTCGACTTTGCTACGACCGTTGAACGATGTTGGACGTTTATATGCACGCTGTACATGATCGTATTTTCATTATGTCCTCCCAGTCAATTCTCCTAATCGAGCGGCACGCAGAGACGGATTCTTACGCCAATAACGAGGGATGAGGCGTTGAGAAACATCCCAAGCACAATACGACATGGAAGTAACTTGTTTCCGAGAGCCATGTCGGACAAAGCACGACATGCCATGCGTCTACTGCCGGGCAATGATGGTACTCAGTCTCAGCAGCATGTTGATTTTGAGTATCATATTATATTATACCATCCACAAGCCAGCGACACGTCTGAGCCATCGGGAATCTGACTGTGATATAGCGCAACCTTCGTAAGTAATGTTAGACTACCACCCGGCGAAGCGCATGACACGGGATAAGTCAACCATTGTCGCCGGGGGAGTTTCGAGTCCGTGCGTCGGTGGACGAAGATACCAACACAACCTCATTGTGATACGAACCCGCAAACCGAGTTGGTCTCGCCTAGGCATACCCTAAAGATCTCTTGGACGGAGGGGAGGGCGGGCTGAAACTGAGTCAAGGTGCTCGTATCGTAGTGGTATCGATGTGTCTGCCGCAAATTGATCACTTGATATGCATCGGGGAGCAATGGGGTGCTTCAAGTTGCTCCTATTCCTGTGCGCAGAGCTTGACGATGAGCCGCCAGTCATCATATGAGTAGTCGCACTTATGCAAGCCCAGTAAGGTTTGAGTGCGACTGCGAGCGAACAACCACGCCAGAGAAGGTGACCAGGTTCGCGGAGGTCAGGATGGAGAATAACGGGAAGCCCAAGTGTACATCGGCCCGCCCCTCGGTGAACTTCAGGGTCTCCGAGCCTGGTGAGTTCGTTTGTCACGCGCGTGCATAAAATGACTAGCACAGTTACCACACACGTTAGCGAATACAACCAATGGGTACAACGTTCATTCTCCCAGGGAAAATAGCGACGACATCCGGGCCACCCAGAGACACTCTGCACTCAAGAACCTCCCAGGCGGCTCCCCGATCCCCAACTATGCTCACCCGGCCGGCCCTCTTCCCTCACCTGCCTCGGGGGGACACCCTCCACGCCGCCCCTCTTCCACGCTCCGTGTGCCGACGGCCCAGAGTTCTGCCCGAGCAACTTTTTGAGCCACGCAGGCGCGGCCCCGAAGCGCTCGATAATTCTGCTCTCCCAGACGCCCCACCACCAGAGGTGCCCGATGATTGCGCCGGAGATGGCCTTCGCGGCGCCGGCGCGACCGTCCCCGAGGAGGTCGATAGCGATGAAGACGTACGGCATGTAGAAGACGGGGATCGTGACAAGCCCGAAGAGCGACGTCTGCGCGTCAGGTGGAGCAAGCCGCGAGGTGAGATAGACAAGCGCGATGAGCATCGGGCGGTGGTGGGCCATGCTTTGCAGCGGGAGGTTGATGATCTGTGGAAGGGTGTCGATGCGAAGTTGTGTAGTGAGTAGCTCAGAGTACGTACCAGTATGCTGATGCAAACTTGCAACAGCTGCCATGCGTAATCCGCTGAACGCTCTCGGTAATATGATTTCTCCACCTCCGAGGAGTATTGGCTGTGGAAGACGGTGCATCAGTCTTGACGTGGTCAGTCGGAGTCAGCTAAGACTCAACTAGAGCATTGCAAAGTGAAAGATGTAGCCTATGCCGAACGCTAACGTGTGTAAGTCTGTTTAGCACGAGTACCACAAGACGAGAATGTGGCGCTCACGTCCTATAAAGAAAGTTGTGAAGACACGCCATACCTGAAGCCCAAGATAAGTCCACGGTGACTATATATTAGAAAATCATACACACTTCAAACTTCTCCGTCACAAGCGACCTTGTGAAAAGGTAGATATAAGGAGCGACACTTTCGAGCAAGACTGGCACGGTGATTGCCAGAGAGGACCCGCATAGGAACTTGGTGACTGGCGGAACCTTTTGTATCTCCGACCAGAGCGACATGGCCTAGACCAGTAAGCCTAGTAAGACGAGTAGTGGTATGAGAAGCCCCGAAATACAATCCAAGGATGGAGGAGAAGGAAAAGGACACCTTGGGTCTTGGCCGCGACGACGTGTCCTGCCGAGCTGATGCCATCACGTGAGACGTGTCAATCGCGATCTCGAGAGCTTGATGCTCCGGCCCGGACCGGCCGCGACACCCCGGCGGCACTCAGCACTGCGGACAAACCCCTTTGTTTGGCGTCGGATAAGTCTCAGATCATCGTTAGAATGAGTATATCATCTCGAAATCCGAACATGAATTATTATCGGTGACCGGCTCCTCATTGGCTGCCTTTCAATGTTCGGTCCAGGAAAATAGATAATAATTGGATTTCGAGATGATATACACGTTCTGACAATGTTCTGACGATGTAAGCGCTCCGTGCAACCTGCTTTGTCCGCAGTGCAGGGTCCGTACTTACTTGGTCCGTACTACACCGTGACGGTACTACTCGTCCTTAGAAGACCGCCCCCCCTGTCCGTCCAAGAGGTCTTCTTTAAGGTCTGCCTAGGGGAGACTAACTACTCGTAGTCGAACACCCAGGTGGTGGCAACAAACTCTATACTGGATAACATGCATTCAAGGCATACTTGGAGTATACGACGGTAAGCAGTATCATTACATGCATCGGTCCGCTTGAAGGTGTTGATACACTGGATGCCTTCCCGCAGCGTTTGGGAATATTAGATGCTGCACGTACGTCAACTGAGACAACTGAAGGGGTGCTGGACCATACCCTCACGTTGTGACGTGCGATATCTGGCCTCTATGCAACGTCAGAGGAAGGCGAAGTGTATGGAAGGGTTGTAACTTAAGAGCCAACGACAGCGCGCAAATTCGAATACCGACGGTACGTACATTTCAACCTCGAAGGGCATTCCGACCCCTTCTACATCAAGGTCTCGAAGACCCGAACGGGGTCGACATAGTTCGAGAGGGTGGAAAAGAGATCAGCCGGTATCCCGTAGAGGTTTGCAGCGCAGACCCAGGATAGAACGCGGTGCGAACCTCTGCGGGAAGGCATCCACTGACAGCAGACGATGCGCGCGCGGTGTCGCTTAGTTATGAGTGACGGTTTCGCGGTAAAATATTTACTGGCAGGTCGTAGTTCCGCGGCGATTGACTTACTCTGAAGACTTACTTTCGCGCGACTTAGACTTAGTGCGATTGGCGCCCGCCCGACGTGTCCGAGGCGGCCTTGCCAAATCGGGATGAACATCGCATTTGCCAGGACCACTGCGCCAGACGGCTTTCCCTTTATTCTCTGCGACGCATGACATTTCTGTATTGAATTTATATGCTCTTAATTCATATCACAATATCTGTCCCTTTCGACACTATGAGAACCGCGGGCTCAAGGTCATGGCTCTCCAAAGGCTGAAGCATCCCGGGCCATTCGTCTCGTCAATAGTGGGGGCTATGGAGTGTTAAAAGGCATTTCACAGCTCCGAATCTATAATGTCATGATCGGGCTTCCGGGGTTCGTTTTCTCCATGTCATGCAATGGACAGTCGCAGTGCGCGTAGACAGAGTTGCCACAATTGGCTAATGATTCCGCATTAGGCAATTGATCAGCCGCCGAAGTGGACTTGGGCATTCTAGGTGAGCAGACAACGGGTGTGTCTTACTGCAAATTATATACAGCAGTAGTGACTAGACAAGAAATATGCATGATTGTAGACACCAAGTGCACGAAACGGCATGAATCTATGTCCAAAGTGTACGGCTCACGTGTCAACTAAGTAGTAAGTCTTACGCGACAACTAAGTTTTCACTGTAAGTATTTTTCCGCGATAACGACCGTCATAGTCTCTGCTCTTCATGTTAATTTACCGTCTCCCACAAATACGCGGTATTGCTTCCTTGCTACAATTAGCCCTACATCTATTTCAGCAGGCGTTCTTGGGTCAGTCTTCACTGCAAGATCTCTGGAGTTATATAACCCGAACCGCACTAATTGCAGCCATGATCTACTCATGAAGCGCTAGTCACGATGGCACGCGAATTTGTCAAGCGCCAGCCAGACGTTCGAAACATTGTCCGGCAAGGTATGGTACAGTGATCTGATAAAGAATGTAGATCGAGCTCATTGGTGATAGCTTTATTCCTAGGTTCACTTCCATACGTCTCGAACCGCCGGTTTCCGTCCCGAAGAAGGCGCATCCGTGGTATTGCATTCATTATGGACCAGGTGCGAAGGCGTCTCTCACTGACATCGCACCTCTTCCTCTTTCTAGACGACATGCCAATTGGCACCTGCGTCGACTTCTCTGCCTCTCGCATGTCGACCGAAGAGCTTGGAGGTCAGGCCCATGTTCGGCTTGAAAGTGGCTGACCGAAACATATCACCGAATAGTTTGTAACAGTGACTGACGAACATGTGGTGAACTCTGGGCGTTGATACCTTGGATCAATGCATCCGCTGCTCCACCTAGACTAATTTTCTAGTGACATCGCATGTGCCTGGGTGCCCGCTCCCTTTGCGCGGTATACGCGAGGGCGATCAAGTGCCATCTGTCCTATGATCGTCCCCAACTCCAAGTTCAGAAGCATCTGGGGCGGTCTGTCGAGAATCTATCTCCGAAAAAGACAGAAGCGCATCAAACTGCTCAGATCAATCGACATCCGGACTCTGGCCATCCTCTTTTCGTCAACGCTAGGCTCCCGCAGGTGCGTGTGTGCCCTTCTTTCGAGGCACCACGCGTCCATCGACGAGCACGTCATCTGGGGTAAGCCTCTTTTGGAGACGCAACATCTCGCGACAGGCTGTACAGCTGTACGATGCAGAGCCCACCAGGCCGTCAGCAGCAATGAGTGCCTGGAGCCCAAATCCAGGACGATCATTTTCAGCTAGTAAGTCGCCTAGTGAACGCAGAACACAGACGCACCAAGTTTATATAAAAGGGGCTGAGAGCGAAGGCGTCGACCTAGCCTACTTATTCCTACTGACAGACATGAAGTTCGCAGCTGCCGTTTTCCTGAGCGTCGCTCTGTTACACGCTGCCTTCGCAGCCCCGGTCGCCGAGGCTAACGGTCCGTCGTCACCCCTGTATACGCACTGCTCTGCCTGATGCTAACTCCCAGCAGAGCTCGCCCGTCGTACCAGCCCCGGTAGCGGGAGCTACTCGTCATGGCGCGGTGCGTTGCTGCTGTCAGGATCAGAATTCATGGATTTAGTGCGATTATATTCCCAGACATCGTCGACGGCGCCGATGAGGTCATAGATCTCACTCGCCGCACCAGCCCGGGTGGCAGCAATTACATTGGCTACCATGGTAAGTACCATGATCCTCCTTTACTGCAGACCGTAGTCAATGACTAAGCTACATTCTAGACATTGTCAATGATGCTTCCAGTGAGGACTAGCTACTTTTCGTGGTGGGTTGTATAGGAATACCATCGATATGGGCTGACGTTGGATGCCTTCAGTGTCCGTCGCAGCGGATGGCAGTAGGGATTCCGTGTAGTATTGGATGATGTTTGTCATGAAGACGACTGAGGAGTTATGTCCCTGCCTACTGGTGATCACTATCGCCGCGATGCTCAATAACCCACGTTGCTGGAATGCTAATACTCTTGTTGCCGTATCTCTTGGAGCTGGTCTGTATGCCACGAGCTCTTACTACGTCGAATGTCCAAGTTCTTGTTCATATACGCCCGCGCGCGTAAGGGTCATTCCTGTCTGGAGTTTCCCTAGGGGAGACTAAATGACTTCGTGACTAAAACCCTGTCATAACTGTGTATGCCAGTGTAGAGCGACCATTGCATTCGTGCTCATCAAGAGAGTTCAAGGCGTCTTCATTGAAGTTAGGTCTTCACGTGACGCCGCGGGATGGGCCCGAAGCTTCCGATCGCGACATGAGGTTACACCAAGGTTGTACACGACTGTGCGGTCCTACAGTGTAGTAGGTATTTTGGCGTCGTACCATTCATCAGCATCATAGAACAGGACCTACGATTCTTTGGTCTGACTCTGTCTATAGATCCACTACTACTTCTCTGGTCGACTCGCCCATCAGTGCAGTACTAGCCTGAGTTGATCGGGCGGACGTAGTGTCGAGAGCATAGACAAAGTCACAGGCGAGCCTTTCTCTACATCTTATGTGAAGTACATTCGCTAACGACGTCCCATAGATGGCGCACGTTACTGACCCGGTTGATCGACGGCCAGCACGAACTTCAAGTTCGCATCTGCCACCCGAATTATGGGACCATGTTATCGACGAGTTATCATCCAACTGTCCAGCCCTCCGAGCATGCGGCCTCACACACCGAGCATGGGTGGCATCGACCCGTCGACATCTCTTCAGAGCGGTCAAGCTGAATACCATCGCAGGCTGTGAACAATTCCGAGAGCTCGTCCTCGCGTCCTCGTCCGTCGGCACAGGCATAGCGCAGTACGTGTGCGATGTCACGCTCACCAAGGTCCGCCTGCGCCTCGATCGCCCCGATGATCCGATGGTATCCAACGTACCGCCCCTGGAGCGAACGCTCTCGATGCTGCCCAATGTGAGCTGCCTGTGGCTAGACGACGTTGACGTCAAGTGGTGGCCGGAGCTACCAGGCACAGATCCTTTGGACAACGGGTACCCCGACCGGCCACTACGGTCGCTGTTCACCTTGCCACGGCTGCGGACGCTGCACGTTCTGTCGGTCGTCTTCGACTCGATCTCTGACATCGTGTTGCTCCTCGCCGCATTCCCGCAGGCGTCGTCCTTCCAGCTACGTTACCTGCTCCCCATACACTCGGGCCCGGGGTATTGGCCCCCGCAGCTGCCAGAGAACATGCGGACGGATGCGCAGCCAGTCATATGCATTCGGGATCTCACTGTCGCTGCGTTGACGGAGACGGCGCGCTTGCTGAGCGCGCTCAAGCGCCCGCCTTTCGAATGTGCACTGCAGAAGTTGCACTGGGGACTCATGCCTCACATCTTCACACGAAGGGCCGATGAGGAGTCTCTATTCATGACCATCGTGCGAGAGGCGTCAAGTACCTTAAAAGAACTCGAAGTCCACTGCATGGCGAATTCAATTGGTACGCACGTCTCATGCTTAGGCCGTCGTGCACGTCTGACAGGCAGATATCCTCGACAGTGTTCGCCGAGATGGATCTATCCCTGCATTCACACCTCAGGATGCTCCGCGTGGCTCTCCTCAGCACAACGGATGTTGAATCGAATACCTTTCCTCCGACGTTCTCGACGTTGCTCTCTCGCACCCCCGACACTCTGCGGGCCTTGCACCTGCCCATCCAACTGTCGGTGTCCTCTGATGGAATCCCGCTGTGGTCGTTTATGGATTGGCCGAGCGTCGACGAGACACTGGCACTCCTGCACAAGAGAAACCCCTTGTTGGTGGTGTATCTGCGTCTCTTCTGCGGTCTACGACTGAATGCGCGCTTGCCGGAGGTGGTGCAGCCCCTGATGTCGCGGTTGTCCACTGCGCTGCGCGCAGGGCTGCGTGTCCGTGTGTCACTAGGCGGTTATACTCCTGGACCTGCAGGAGAGTCTGTCCCGGATGAGTACTACTGGCTTGCGTGAATTTCTCTTTTAGGACTGATATAGAGCCCCGGAGGCAATATGTCGATTCGTCGTGGACGACAGGAGTATTCGTACACAGAAATAGCTGCTGCCTGTAAAATCGTTGCAAGCCTACTGCAGCTGATCGAATGTACAGAACGCGACTTCTACTGTCATATACATCTCTATCGCTATATGAAACTGAGAGCAGTTAGGTTGATGTGGCAGGTGAGAAGTGCGGAACAACGAACCCTTTTTTCTTTCCCGTAAATTCAACCCGTACAAACCACTTGCTATTTCTCCACGGTGTTCTATTTACTAAGCCTCGACTCCGATTCTAGCTTGAGTCCTTGACGCCATACTGCTCCCAGTACTCTTGCATACTCTTGAGCTCCTCAGTGCGCCCATGCTGTTCTAGCCAGGTCATGAGGTGCCGCATCTTCAGGATCGTCGGTACGCTGCCCTTGCCGCTCAAGATGCCCTCAACCTCCTCGATCATGCTCTTGCCCTCCCTGCCAACCTCCTCCCTATCCAGGAGTAACACCGCACCTACGACGTTCCCACCCTCGCGCTTCACGACGTCTATTGCACCGCGTATCGCGGTTCCGGCGGTGGCGACGTCGTCCAGGACGAGCACTCGCTTGCCTTTCACCGGAGCGCCAACCATGACCCCGCCCTCGCCGTGATCCTTCGCCTCCTTGCGATCGTACGCGTATCCGACATCGATCCCATGATCGCGGTGGAGGAGAAGCGCAGTGCACGCGGCGAAGGGGATGCCCTTGTAGGCTGGTCCGAAGAGGATGTCGAATTGCGGTAGGCCGGCTTTGAGAGAGTCGGCGATCGTCTTAGCGTAGGCCGTGCAGAGCGTGTCGAGTACGGGTCCGTCTGCGAGGAGTCCTGCGTTGAAGAAGTACGGTGATAGGCTATAATGACCATCAGTTTCCGTGAGTTTGGTACAGTGGCGAAAGTGACATGCCGTCCAGACTTGAGGGTGAAGGATCCGAATTTGAGGGCTCCGACCGCCATCGAATGTTCGATGAGGTCGTTTTGATACTTGTCTAACGAGGACATGCTTGTTGCGTGAGAGTACGGGAGCACGAACTATCAAACACAGAGCGCAGGTGGAAGGATAAAGAGTATAAATTAATGCAAAGACACCAGACCTCAGCGCAGGGAGGAGGCGATCGCCCCGGCGCCAGATTGCACGGTCACCTGACATGTCAATGTACAGGCGTTCTCCGTCAGTAGGCGCCGGGGCGGCTACACAGTTCACGGTGCATTCAACTGGCTAAATGTGGCCTTCCCAACTTAGCTCTGTCCACTTCGGTCCTGCTGCGTCTTTCTGACTTCGAGAGGAAATATACAAGGGTACCTCATGGTTTACGGTGTGTCTACCTAATTATACGGCTCTGAGACCTCCTGACGAAGTACATACAGGGTGACGGTCGCATAGGGACACGCAGTGACGATCATGTACCACTCTTCCGCGTAGTAGATCACACCACACCAAATCCGCTCTACACCATGGGATTCAGCTTGCTGATAAATATAGCCTTGCTTCTGACAAGGAATAGCAGGGAAGAAGCCCCCCGAGACGTCGAGAAACAGGACCTTCCACCAGCTCGAGATCGTAGGCCAGCCGAGGCGTCGTCGGACGATGAAGCAAGCCATCACACTCCGCATTCGACCTCAAGCTCTCGTCCATTACGAAACACTGAGGATCATAGCAACGTCCCTTCGATTACGGGCTCAAAGCTGGACCCCAGTCGTACCTTGACTTGGTCCAGCTCGTCGGACCCACTGAAGCCGACTTTGCTTTCTCGTGCGAGGACTCTCTTCTTCCCCAAAGCGAAGCCTGGAGAGACGGAACGCTATGTTCCCCAATATCGATACTCACCTATCATCTCTGGCATCATCATACCGTTTTCTATCCTGCTCGAGATACCTGGTCTCACCGAGCGTTGGTACATCCGGACAGAGGCCAATCAGACGGTGGACGTTCGAAAAAATCCTCCGCTTTTAGACGTGGGCCTGGCTCTCTCAATGGCATGCGCTGTCTTCGCGAACATCTGTCTCATACTGAGGTTCGCAGAGAAGCGGATCAGAGCTACCACCCTCTGTTGTATCTTGTTCCTAACAATCCACGGTTCGTTGCCGGATCTGCTTTTGTGTCCTGGTCTCATTCACGTACCTGTAGACGCTATTAACATTGCCGTTGTGACTGCGTTCGGCGTCATCCACCGAGTCGATGACGGCTTCACGTACGGACAGTCGTTCTGGATGACGCTGTGCTCGACCATAGTCTCCACTATCACGAATCTGAGTCTCATCGCCGACTATGTTCGCACCAAAGATTTCGCCAGCAGCGGTGCGCCCATTATTCGTCGTATAGTGATCTTCTGCTCACTGTATGCGCAATTTAGGCAGCGGCTTGACACGCAAGCAACGATCGCTAGTCATTCTGGTTATCATCCTCCTAATGTACATCGCTCTTGGGGCGTTGATCAACTCGGTTATGATCTCGCTCTCCTACATCAACGGCCTCTATTTTACCGTCGTCTCCATCGAGACCATCGGCTTTGGTGACATCCTTCCCCGCAATACAGGCAGCCGTGTCTGGGTATGTGTCTACAACGTATTTGGGATTGTCATCCTCGGAATCGTCATCTCGCTCTGCCGCGACACCGTCCTGGAGGGGCTCGAAATCGGGTACCGCAAGCGTCTCCGCGAGGTGCGTGCACGCCGGCGGGAGGCACGGCGGTTCCGGCGCTGGCAGACGCGCTGGCGCCGCGCGATCGAGTGGCGCCTCCGCCAACAGGGAAGCCCCGTGTGGGTGTTGGACGCGCAGTGGCGCGAGGAGCAGGGCGTACGCTTTGTTGGGCTCGGCGGGGGCATGGCGGGGGCAGGCGAGGAGTCGTGGGTGATACGCCTCCTCAAGTTCCCGAGGCTGCGTAGCCCGCCGGAGGACCCCGCCGATCGCGAGACGAAGCACGTCGTGGGCCACCCGTTCGGGAAGCACATGAACATCAACGCGCTGTCGGACGAGCAGCTGCACGCCGCGGCGCTCGAGGCGGGCGTGCCGCTGAATATGTTCGTGGACTTCAGTCCCGCGCACAGGGTCGTGCATGGCGAATCGATCGGCGCTTTGGCGAGCGACGGGTGGCCCACGCACGTCGGCACTCCGACGGACGCGCAACTCGGGCGGATGGCTTCGATGCTCACGAAGATGGCTTTGGTCATAAGCGGGCGCGAGATACACGTGCCGGGGCCCTCAGTTCAGCACCGCGAGGAGGTCATCAATACAATCGTCGAGGCCCAGGATGACGAACACGAGGCAGCTCAGGAGCAGAGAGAGACGATGCGAGCCAACAGCCGTCGCAGGGCCAAGGAACGGTCCGGTTCTTCGCCTGGCAAGTACATTGCGGCGCCGAAGTGGCTGAGGCAATACGCGGCGGACGCTCTTCCGACAAAGCCCTATGCGAAGTTCAAGAAAGAGATGGCAGACGAGGAGAGAAATGCGAATTTCGTCAAGGTGATTACTTCCCCGTGAGATTCGTGCAAGCGAGTATGGCTAACATTTTGTTCAGCTCATTATAGCGTGGACTTTCTTTTTCGTATTCTGGTTTGTCGGCTCCGCTGTATTCAGTGCAACCGAGGGGTGGTCGTATGGGATCGCCATGTACTTCTGTAAGTGCCTATTTGCGAAGCCAAGGAAACATTGACTCATCAGCACGTAGGCTTCATTTGCTTCTTGACGACAGGTTATGGTGATTATGCACCAGCCACTCCAGCTGGTCGTTCTACCTTCGTCGTCTGGGCTCTGTTTGGCGTTGCGACCATGACCATTCTTGTTGCCGGTAAGTACCGATCTGTCTTTCCATATTGCAGACGTTGACGTGTATACTCTCAGTCATCGAAGACGCATGCTCTGCCAAGTATCAAAGCGCGATGCACTCGCAGGTGTTTGAAATTGCCGTACGCAAGTATCGCAAGAGCACTGCGGACGAAGCCATCGAGGTTCCCCACGCAGAGTACCAGCTACAACGTACAGGGGCCGATCGCATGCGCAATGTCAATGCCATCCGTAAAGGCGAAGTTTCCGTGGAGCCGGAGGAGCAGTCCATGACAACCGTCCAGGCGCAACTGGAAGAGGCACACCAGAAAGCGCACAAAGAGCTAGAGGCGCTGCCACACGAAATCATACAGCAGGCGCAGACGTTCCATGACTATATGCAGTTCTTCGCTAAGGGCGGTGGCCATGATCAAGAAGACCACGACGCGAGGAACGTGCCAAGGGCGCTGAGAGAGCTCTTGGACGAGATCGTGACCAATGAAGACGTCGATGAGAGAGTCAAGCAGGAGATTCTGGCAGACGACGACGCCAAACATGTGCGTTCCCATGGATATTAGCTTCAGAACTGCCCACTGATTTTCCCGCTACCCTGCTAGACGCTCTTCATCTTGAGTATAGAGCGTGAGTGCAGCCTCGTGGAACTTAGCATTCCCTTTCGACTGACACATCACATATTAGGCGCATTGAAGACGATGATACATTCCGCCGACAGCGCTTTGCAGGCCATCGCGGATCGTGACACGCTCGTAGCCATACAGACTGAGCAGCGTGTCAAAGCTCCGGGCGGCAGCCAGGAACATGAAGCCGAGGTAGCAGAGCATATAGGTGAAGACTCAACAGCCGAGGATAGTCAGAACTCTCCGAGCAGCCCGAGTTCTTCGACACACGACTCCACAGCTGCCTCTCGCCAGGAACGCCAGGAAGAGCCCTCGACAACCTCATCTCCATCATCAACCCCCTCAGACTCTGGTCCTCGCTCATCTGACACATCACCTGGTGGCAAACCTATGAACGACAACCGCCGTTCCGGACAAAGAATTGTTGCGATTGATTTTGCTCACGCATCGTCATGATGATTCACGACTTAGTTACGCTCACACACCCACTCATCATATCCACAGCACTGTATCTGCTACTAGCATCTCAAGCTTGATACCACGTCGGACTCATCTCTCGCATTGACCCACAACAATTGTACCATCTTATACGCAGACGCCAATCATGACATACATATTCACGACCGGTACCGGTGGTACCTCTTCATGAGTAGCAAGTCCTGGACCAGCATCGCTGACATCTTGGTCATCTGTTACGCTGATTACTAGTACTTCGATGTACCCTGAACTCCGTAAGGCTGCTGCCAGCTCAAAGACATCGATGCCGGTGATATGTTTCCAGTTCTGTGACGAGGTCACGGCTGCACGATGCGCACCGCAAAACGGCAAGTCTACTCACGGAAGCCATGTACACTACAACCCCGAAGTACGTGCAAGAACAAACTATTAAATAATTCCACCACACGAAAGCAACGGGCGATGTAAAGGCCTCCAGTAATAGGATGTCACAAGGGATATCAATTCAGCGAGATCTCTTCGGTCTCTCCGAGGTCGTCGTCGCCCTCCGGGATACGCGGCGCGATCTCCTTGTCTACAGGTGGCGGTGGCGGGACCTCAACGACAGACGGTGTGATGACCGGGACGGGCGATAATCTCGCCTCCTCAGTCGACGCTCTACGCCCAGCCGACACAGGCGGCGCGCTATCCGGCGGGGCCGCCGCCTCCTTGCGAGGCTTCGGCTCTGACTCATGCCGCGGCGACGTTGACTGCTGGTGGGGTGGGGACGTCGGTGCAGGCTCCGTCGGCATGGGCGGGACGGGCGGCGGGGGCGACGGTGGGGGGAACTTAAAGTTCTTCGTCATCGTGCCTTTGCGGATGTGTCCCGAATGGCTCGCGCTCACCTCGTCGCCTTCGTCTTCCTGCTCCTCCGGCATGGGTTCGAAGCGGTGCGCTGCGGCGGCGGGCGGCGAGGCGGACGAGACGCGCTGCGGGGGCATGGACTGCCGGTTTGCGGCACGGTTGGGGTGCTGTTGTTGCGAGGGCGAGGCGCTCTGGGCGCGCTGGAGGCTCGCTTGAGACATGGACTGTGGCCGGGTGAACTGCGCGGCTGCGGGTGGTGTCGCGCCGAGGTAGTAAGGGTGGATGGGCACCATTCTGCGAGGACCACTGTCAGCTGAGTCGAGTAGGGCGCTGAAGGGAAGACGCACTTCTTCGTGGAATGACATGCGAGGATCCAGTGTGGCTGCACGACGGGGATGCTGAGTTGCAGGGCCTTCTGGTACTCCACACCGGGAGCGGTGGTGAGGCCGCCCGACGCGGCCGCGCCGCTGGGCGTAGCAGCAGGGGTCGTGCACACGAAGTGCGTCGTGTCGATCTCGATCTTGTCGCTCCACTTCGCACCCATCTCCTGCAACGCCATCTTCGAGTTCTCGAGCTGGACGGGGTCCTGCACGTTCCCGAAGCACACGCAGATGCCGGAGGTGTCCGTCATTGTGTGCGTGCGTACGCGAAGGAGGTTGGACGGGAACACGCCCGCGGTGGTGCGCAGAACGAGCTGGAAAGTATACTCGGTGTCGATCTGCAGGCCAGAGAGCTTCGTGGAGGTGTTGGTGAGTGGGGACGGGATTGATGCGAGGCGCTGCCGGTTGCGGTAGATATCAAGGGAGCGGAGCTTTGCCGTGGCAAGTTTGAGCGCAGGCCATTCTAGCGTTACGGACGTCTGGGTGACGTTCCGGACCTACCAGCACAGGCCGTTTGTCTCCCGGCGCAGCATGAGATGTCTGGAGCCTGCTCACCTCTAGCTTCGGGTTCTCGGGGGACTTCGTTCCATATGTCAGTAGAATGTCGTTCTGTAGGCTCCAGAAGTCGGTATCGCGTTTCTTCTCTTCGACAACATTGCGTTGTACGGAGATGTTGACTATGGAGCCTGTGGTCGCCCCGGGCGGTAGTAGCAAGGATGGGAACTCGATTAGGTGCGCCCGCTCCCCCAGCAGGATCTAAACAGACATGGTTCTTATTGAATCATGGCTCAGAGTAGTCTATGAAGACCTACAGCCATCCCGGCGTCTGATTCACATGTTTCAGCACTCGTAACGACCTGCTGTGCTGAGTCGGGACTCACCCAACTTCCCGACCGTAAACATGAAGCTCTCCTGTGACTGCACCATAGTGATCTGCTTGTAGAAACCCTTGCGCAGAAACGCGTTTCCTGAGACTGATTGACGTGCTAAGAGGGTAAAGGACTCCGAGTCGGGCCCGCCGTGGGCTGAGCTTGGGCTGAGCAATGGCAGTGGGTGGCAATTGACGCGACGCCACAGCGGCATGGTCACGTGATGCACACGTCTCCGTACCGTCCATATTTAAATTAGGCAACCAACTCTGAGCTAACTTATCCGATTCACTGACAGAGCCAGTACACTGAGTAGTGCTCTCTCGACATCAAGGATATTCCTGTGTATATCTGTTGAGAACAGGGGGAGGAGGTGGGACTCTCCATTCAGCCGCGTAACACGCGTGTGGCACATTGTAACCTCTGTAGTGGGCCGTAGGATCCACCTCGAGGGCGTTTTCCCCGAGTCTCCAATTGCGGTAAGTTATCCTGTTGCGATACTACGACGCATTGGCGTACGTAGCGTTGGTACGGTAGCAGTTGTTCTCGCACAAGGCATTTCTACCGTGCATCCGGCCACAGGTGACAGCAAAAGTACTGGAAAATTGAAGACATTAAAGCCAGTACAGCTTGTCCTGTAATACCGAGTGTCCACGCCCACAAGTGTAACCGCCCACCACCAAGCGCACCCGCAGTCCCACACGCAGAGCAGAGGATATTTGGGATCTCAATGGCTGCGCTGCCTCCGGCAGCCGGCCATTCTGCCGCAGCAGACCGTAGTCAAAACGCATATACACGACCAGCGAAGGATTCTTCTTGTGCAGAAGCGTGAGCGTGTCGTCGAGGCTTGACCAGTCCAATGGTGGCAATGTTGTGTTATCAGGTGAAGTTGATAATTGTATGTCCAAGTGAAGGGCTCGCAGGCTGGTAGGGGTGCGAGAGAGGCACACCGGGAACGACATTTGATAGGGATTGGATGTAGCTTCCATGGCGTAGAGCAGATGGACACGGAGTATTCTCAGGCGTGATTGTAGGGACAGATCCATCCTCGTGGACAATGCGGGAAATACTGCTGCCTGAATTAGGTATACACAGAAATCCCAGTTTATGAGAGTTGCGTACCGTCGAAGTTGGACTGTGCAATGCAGATTATTTTGAGCTCCTCCAAGGTGCTCTCCGCGTCGCGAAGCACGTCCATGAGGGTATCAACGTCTTCCTCAGGCTCAACAAAGTGAATAGGTCTGAAAGTCCACGACAACTTCTGCAAGGCACATCGGAAAGGCGGCTGCCTGAGTGCGCTTCGCAAGCGTGCCATCTCTCTGAACGTAGTAACACACAGATTCCTGATACAAATCAGTGATTCGTGGTCAACGTTCCTGTTCCATGGCAGAAGCGGGGGCCAGCGCGCAGGTCCCGGATGTTTAACGGACAAGTCGTGCAGCTGGAGTGAAGATGCCTGTGGAAATGCCGCGAGAAGCAGCACGAGATCGGAGAGCGAGTCGAATGCAACACACGGCGAGACGTACAGTGTCTGCAGCCGTGGCAAGGTGAATAGTGACTGGAGCGGTAGGTCGGGGTACCCGCCGTCCAGTGCATCCCCGGTCCTTGCTGTCAGCACCTCCCACCATTGGACGTCGACGTCCCAAAGACACAGACAGTCAACGTTAGGCAACAACGAGAGCGTCTTCTCCAGGAGTGGCACGTCGGACGTGTTGGGGTATTCGAGGCGAGAGACGTGGACATGCAAGCAGACGTCCTTGAGCATGACGTCGCACACGTACCGCGCTATGCCAGTGCCAGTTGACGAGGAAGCAATTATGAGCTCCCGGAACTGTTCACAGCGGGCAGTGCCTTTCAGTATTATATCGTGGAATAGATGCCTTCGAGTAGATGCCACCCATGCGCGCTGTGTCAGGCCGCATGCTCCGAGGGATGGACGATCGGACGATAGATTGTCGACGACGTGGTCCCATAGTTCGGGTGGAAGTACCAAGCGTAAAGTTCGTGCCTCCATCCAGCTACGTAGGTGGGTAGTAATGCAGGGTAGTACGCAATCTAACGTATACCCGTTAGCGAAGTGGAAATGTGGTAGAAGGCGGGGCTCACTTGACAGCCTACGTCGCGATCTACGCGTACGGCACGTCTGCGGTCTCAAGCTCTACTGGCGTCCAGTGCGTTGTAATGTTAGAGCAATATTGGGCCAGTGGCAGTAAGTAGTAAGTACGAGTAAGTACGTACCGGTACGAGCGAGAGTGAGTACTTGGGCGTCTGATATGAGGAAACCGGCTCGTCGGCCCGTCGGCGCGGGTGAGCGTAAGTAAGTAGCGTCGGCGCAGTCACGATAGTCGGACGGGACGGTGAGTAGGCAAGGTCCTCCTATCGAAGCTTGGGCCTACATCCCGGGTATGAACAGTATATACCCTGCCGTACAGTGTGCCACTCCGAGAGTCGTAAACGAAATGTAAGCGCGATTAGTAAACGAACAATGGGGTGAGTCAACTGTGCGCGTGAGGGCTGAGTGGCCCGGGCGGTGGCACAGGTAACCACTCCGACGCCACTCCGAGCGTAGCATAAACGAAACGAGAACAAGTCTACAGCGAGTCACAAAAGAGAACGGAAAATAAAAGCAAAGGAAGAGAAATAATCTATTTGTACGAGCGTCGGGCGCTCATGCGATGTATCCCGGCGCCCATGCCACCCTTAGTACTACATCTAATAATCCGACGTTGGACGAACACCAAACGAGCATGCAACCGCCACGGAGAATATTGCTGTCAAGGTGTACCGTGTATATCTACACATACTGCAAGAATTTATGATATAGATGGGGCACACTGAATTCGAGCTTGACTTAGCATCACTCGCGCACGCAGCCTGAGAGGACTCAAAAGCCTGTTGCAGGAGACTACGGACGTATGTTTATCGTAAACGACGCGCTATTGAGTAAATCGATTGTATGATAGTGGCTACACGCCTCCAAGTCCCCGGTCGCAGAACAAGGATAATTTGAAGCGCTTCGTAGATTCGTCGTGTGCCTCTGCCAGTCACGGTGGAAGCCGTCTCTAGGTCGTTCATCCGAGTCTTCGATAGCAGTGTCATGCGACGACAGTCCATCCCATCTGGAATAGTCTCGGAAGCGTTACTTCCTCCACCAGTACCGCTCAACGACTCTGAAGCAGGGGTACAGAACGCATATCACGCAGCTCCCCACAATGATGCCTATATCACCGCTCCCTGCCTTCGCTATGGGGCCGACGTACCAAGCCTGGTCCATGCATGGTACGATGATCCCAAATGCACACAAAAACGCCATTGTGGCTGCCACGCCGAGGGGCAGTCGACGGGGCTGATTCCATGCGCTGAGGTCGTACGCGGCGAAGTCGTTCTTGCGGAAGACAAAGTGTTCGATAAGGATCATCACACCGTGAACGACACTCCAGTACCCGATGAGGCCTGATCGATGATCAATGAGCCGGTGCGCGAGAACGAATACCAGGATGATACGCACTCATGATATCCGTGAATGTGGTATAAAACCGTGTTGCGCATACGATGCCCACACCTATCAAGCTGCCAAGGAATGGAATGTAAGCGACCGTAGATCTTTAAAACAGATTGACAAACACTCACATAGCCGCGGATACCGTCGCGTATACATATCTAGGTACCCTTGCGAAGTAGTAGCTGATCGTCATCAGACTCGAGGAGAAGGTGTACATCGTCGGTGCGCATGCGCTTGGGATCGTCAGAGCACACAGAGCAGTCATGAACTTGCCGAAGCCTCCGGCGGGCGACAGGATGGCCTCGAATAGCCCGCCGACGTTGTTGCCATCGTCGAATCCAGCTTGCCAAGTTGGGTTGGTGCCGGAGAGCGCCACTGCAGCAAATGCTGCGCCCAACATGTGACCCGTGATCTACAAAACAGGATTTCAGTGCGTGCATGACGTGGTCTTTGACACACGTACACTCGCGACCAGGAAACCGGCGTATGCATACAGGAACACTCGAACTCTGTCAATCCGACATGAGTATCGAGCCAATCTAATCTCGGACGACGTACGACGATGCGTTTGCGGAGTGGTATACCCCGTAGTCTGGGGTCATCGGACACCAGCTGATCACGCTGGACGCTGTGATGGTAGCGAATGTAATGACTGCGGATGCTGAGATTGGCTCAGAAGCAGGAGCGTCGTGGAGATGTTTTCCTCCGATGCCCAACATGATAATGAACGCAACTACGTTTGGTATCCACGCGACGCTCTCGTACCTGAGCCGTGGATCAATTATTCAGTAGTGATGCAGGAATCTTTGATACTTCGTGTATATACTGACCAGTGAATGACCCTGTACCCACAGAACGACACCTGGCGAACGTGAGCCCTTCAGTAACGTGGCAATGTGATGTCGGCTCACCAGCAGTGATACGATGGCGATCACCACGATGCCTAGGGTGTCGTTCAGATGTCCGTTGGATACGCTTGCAAGCATCTGCCCGCCAATGATGGTGTTCAGGATGAGGAAGCCTTCCATCGAGAAGACGTTCAGTGCGCTTGGGAGCATAGCACCGTAATACCTGCGGCAATTTCAGAGCGTCATCGACATGTACCAATATCCATAACAGGATTCCATACCCCCAGGTGTAGTGTGCTTGGACCATTGAACGCATGCCGAGCTTTGGCCCGAACACGGTGCTGAGGCGCAATGTCAGTAACGTGCAGCACGCTACCTTCGGACTGATCGACGTACAAGTATGCCGGGATGATGCATGATCTGAGAAGGATGCGATTTAGCAGTGATGCTATGCGGAACGTTGGTACTAGGCACATACATGATATCAACTATCAAGAGGATGATGAGCGACTCCCGGAGACCCAGTCCATAGAATGCCGGTCCTACGGAACCGGTACCGAAGCTGACATGAAACCAAATTCGTGATTTGAGAGATATCATGAATAAGACTGCATACGCAAGGACGTTCATATTCGCCGTGAACCAGACGAAGAACAACTGGTACAGTCTGCGGTCCGTCCTGTCAGAAGGAGGGATAGGATCGATGCTAGAACGATGCGATCATGAATGTCAGTCCTCGCAAGATGCAGTGGCGATGCCTACCCATTCGTCTCAACAGCCCAGCGAGTCAACGCATGAGTGACTCTCTCGAACACCCCGCGATACCTGGGGTGCGGGGACGGCGTCCTCTCACTAGCGCTGAGCTCTTGAACGCCGAGGTCGCTCTTCCTCTCGTCCACGAGAGTATCCATCTACATATACGATGCCCGAAATGTCACCAGTATCAGCATCTGAGGAGAACAAGCAAGGCGTACCGTTGACGGTCGACTGGTGGTGTTGAAGACGAAGAAGCGAAGCAGACGGCGCTTCCTGATGGAAGGTCAATAGCGTTTGATGCGGGACAGGGTCCATCGCGGAGGGTGCACATGGCCCTGCGCGGCTCCGGGGATGTCAGGCGAATCCAAGGTCAAAGTGGTCGTTCAGATAAGAGTATCTGAGTAGACAGCGTGAAACATAAATACAACAATGCTACCTCCGGAGTGGAGATCGGAAGGGACAGACAGGCGGAGAACGTGTGAAACGTCCAAGTTCCATTGAACTGGCTATGCATTGACCTGTTCTCCTCCAGATGCAGACGTAGATACGTTTACCTGAGCTTTCTCTTCTGCAGAGGAATTCTGGAACTCCTCGGCAAGCTGTTCATGGAGTTTGCCTGGTCAATATTGCTTCATCAAGCGCCGTCCGACGGTCTGCGCACCTTCCTGAACCGTTGTTGGTCCCAGTGCATCTCCACTTTGTCGATGCTTCCGCGAGGTATCCACCATTCCAAGAAGGCAAAGAACAGGCAGTCGACCAAGAGGATAATCGCGAAGATGGGTCCCGCAAACCTCCCCAGCTCCAACGTCCTGTGTAATCGAGATGGGTGAGGGGTTGCGACGGATGGGTAAAGTGCTGCCTACCGTTGCAATCTGACCCAGAACGGCCGGGGACGTGTGCGCAGTACGTTCGCGTATACACGTTCCGTGCGTTCCGTGACTTGCATCCAGTCGTAGAATTGTTTGACGCGCTCGTGGGCTCGGGCGGGATCGTGTTGGCCTTTGGAGACGATGTCGATGGCCTCGGACATGGCTCGTATCACATCTGAGAGCTCGCTGCATCAGATGGGCCTCGTTTGCCTCACGATTGATTGGATTCTGGAGCCTACCATCTTCGTCTGGACTGGCAAACGAGATCATGTCTTCCGGGAGAATCTCGGGAACTCCGCCGACGCGGGTCGCGACGACGTAGAGCCCCGCGCAAGCCGCCTCAAGGATGGCAATGCCAAAGGACTCCGTGAGTGACGTGTTCAGGAAGATTGTTCCACGGGTTAACACCTTGTATAACGAGTGTCGACAGGTCAGTCGAATGGGTTGATCTATGCAGCGAGCGACTTACATCGCGGACATCGCTATGGCGGACAGGACCCAACATCTCTATCCGGTCTTGGAGCATATATTTCTCTCGCATTTGTAGAAGATCGATCATCTTTGGCCCGTCTCCTCCTGTGATATTTCTAGTGATGATGCCATACAAAGAGAGGACGAGGATACTGACCTACGATGAATTTGACGTTCGGGAACAACATGCATATGCGGGGCGCCGTAGCGACGAGAAGGTCGATGCCTTTCCGATATGCCAAACGAGATATGACAACTATCGTCACTGCTCACGATCATGGACGTCAGTTTCTCGTCACAAGCGAATACAAAACAATCATCGACCTTCACGGGCGTCCTTGGGGGTTAAGTCAGGCTTGAATTGCTCTGCGACTAAGGCATTTGGGATGACATAGACACATTCTGGCGGAATTCTTGCGCGCAATACAGTGTTCTCGCGGCTACAAGATATGGCTTAGCATTCGTCGGGCCGAATCACGTCGTGCGCACCCTGTATGCGAGACGCAGATAGCTGCGTCGACATTTCGGAGGGCAGCCTCTAGTAGCTTGTTCGTCAAGATGCTCGCGGCGTCGTCAAACCCGAAGAGGCTGTGGTCAGTGAAGACGGTGCGCACGCCCATCAAGTGCGCGTGGAGAATCCCCTCGTGCGCTAAGGATGAAAGGCTAGCATGAGCATGTATGAGTTCTACTCCTTCCCGTAGGACAATATAACGTAGGTAAGGCAGAAATGCAAGAAAGTCCGGTAGCGTGGCAGATGAGGCGATGGTCGGGAAGGGCAAGTAGTATACTTTCAGCCCAGGGAGTAGCCATCGGATGCCGACACGATCCGGGGGGTGACTATGTGTTATGACTATGACCTGTCGCCCGTGTTGGTTGATACACCCCACGTAGAGTAGAAGCACCCTCACCCTATGCCCTCGTTTGATGAGGTTAGCACTGAGCATGTAGATATGGTTTTCGACACCGCCAACATTGGGGTGGAAGAAGTCGCAGACCATTCTGGCAGTAACATCGGTAAAATGACCACTGACGGGACTGATTGTGACTCACGCTACCACACACAAATGCATACCGCGCGTGTCCATTATGATGTTCTTCACTATCCATGTTCATGTGGCCATGAGTACCGTTACCCGCTACACGCCCGTTTTGGGACAAGGTCTGGCTCGGCCGAGCGCCATCAGCTGCCACCGGATGCATCTGGTCCTGGGAGAGCGCCCGTGAGAGCGCTGCATCAGGTGAAGGGTGCTATCAGGAGAGAGCCTCCTCAGCCGCCTATACGACGGACCTGACAAGCTCGGGTCATCAAAGTATGCTGTGGTACATCCACTACATGCCATATGATTAGGGTACGACAGATCACAGGTGATTCAGGCAAGATCCGTATGATCCTCACCTACGGAGGATGACTATGTTAGGCTCGCCGAGTCACCAGGGTAGCAAGTACGTCGGGCGAACTTGAAGAGATGTGATGAGCATTGTGCTGGTGAATCACGATTATTGTAATCTAAATCACGTAGCACTGGGATGCACGGTGGTACCGGTGACATTGACTATTATTGCCTGAAGCGTCGAACTACTATGACGGCCATGGCGGCGTGATGTAAATAGACCGTAACGAACGTTATGTATCATGAAAAGACAATTAGACGGAAATACGAGTGTATAGCATGCGAATAGTCAGCGCGAGAGTGGTGGAGAGCATCAGAGTAGCAAGAGCAACGAAAGCATGAAGACGAGCAACGAGGTAAGCAACAACCATTACCAAAACACAGAATACTAGGCTAGTCCTCACGAATATCTTCAGCGAATCCACCGGCAGCGTTGTCGGCAAGAGCTTGGATCTGGGAAGGAACTGTTGACGGGTCTTTCCCTCGGGCTGAGGGTAGTAGCGTCGATGGTTCACCAAGTTCCTGTTTGTCGGCATCAAGTATGTTCATGAAAAGTCTTGAGAGCCAGGCCCGTCAGAAACGGAGCTGCATAATATTATGAAATCGACGTACTTAGTAACCTTGCGAGGCTCGTTAGGGTACATGCCGCGGATGTGCTCAAGGCGATCGTCAACCCGGTCCCAGTAATCCTTCACATTCAGTGTGGGCTCCGTCAGGACCTCTATCAACACACGACGCTGCGAAGGATCATCAAGCTAATGTGAGATGGATAACCACGTTGAACTAGCGATCATACTACATACCAGCAATGCGAGCCGCGCGCACAATTCGAGCGTTGGTTTGAACATGACAGCAGAGTGCTTGTCCGCGATGTTCTCACACAACGTCAGAATATCAATCCGCAATGCAGCAGCGCGGGTCTTTTTGCTAGCAGTTGACGACTGCATCTGCGGACCTAGGCTCAGCCACAGCTGACGTGTGAGACACGAGTAAGTCAACAGAGATGATGTCGAAGATGCTGTACCAACCAGCTGCTTGATCTCCGCACGCCGGTCAGTAAAGCGCTCCTGTATCCTCTTCATGACGATCTCATTCTTGTATGAGTCGCCGCGGACCTCGGCCGTATATCCCCATTGTGGATGCTGCTCTAGAAGGGTCTGCATATGATATCGTGTCACGTTAGGCAAATCGACACCATGCTAACGAAGTACACGCCTACCTTCATTCGTTTGACAGGCACCGCATTCTTGAGGTAAGCTGGGAGCTCCGGCGACAGAAGGATCAGAAACGTGTAGAGATCAATCTTATCCTTCACAAGCAGTCAGTGAATGAGTCGAAGTTGTACAGATCGTGAGCCGCAAATCATACCTTCAATCCCTTTGGCAAGAGCCATTGAGCGTCCGCGGGCTGGATGACTTCCAAGTGCTGCTCGTTCTTCAAGAGACGTGCAGCCAACCAGACTGACCGTTCATCAGGAGAGAGCTAGCATTTGTTAGCACATTAAGATCCGGAACTGGGCCATACGAGCCACAGAAAACGTACCCGAGCAACATCCTGGAGCTCCTGCTGACCTGCTGGCCTGAGACGGACCCGACGCGCAGTTCGCTCTGCATATTGAACAAGTTCGTCTTCTGCACGTCGCTTCTGCCCAGCAGAAAGAGTGCTCAAAGCGGAGTTGGCAGCCTGAGACGGTGCCTCCTCCCTTGTCGCAGCATCCTCCGTTGCAGCAGAATTTGCGGGAGTCGTCGGGAGGTCGGTGGTTGCAGGTTGCGGACTGGAAGGAGCAGATGAAGGAGGAAGTTCCAGCAGGGAGTCAAACAAGTCTGACATCGAGTTTTGGAGGAGGCAAAGAACGACAAATCGAGAAATGGGAAAGAATGTGAATGGAGAGCTGTTGGCAGCGGAGGGTGAGGGAGTTATACCGTTCACAACGACGAGATCACGTGCATCCGCGGCGCTGTCCTCGCGATGCGCAGAGTCCCCGGTTGGCGGCCATTAACTTCGCTTGCAGTGCTAAACACGACGCTTGAGCACGCGACGAACACATGCCGGCGGACAAGACAGAGCTTCACAACGGAGGTGAGTCCAATTACGTTGAGTTCGAACCATGAACTCACCATGGTTCTCAGGGTACTTTGTTGCCGTAAAAGATGATCCGACTGTCTGGAAGTGCGTGCCTTGCAGTCAGAACTCGTCTTCAGGAAAGGATAGTACTTTCCTACGCAATAAACCCGGGCGACACACCAAAACGGTCAAGCACCAAAATGCCGTTGAGGCATATCTTGCAAAACCCCGGCACGGAAGTAATTCCAATGACTCGCCAGGACCAGCGGCCACGATGTCGCTACCAGAGACATTCAGCGCGCACGAGGTTCACGGAGGATCAGACAGCAATGATGGCTCACCTCGGTACAATCCGTTGGATCACGTACACGACAACAGTGATCATGGATTTGTGGACGACGCTGGCCATGAAATTCACTTGTCTGCGGGTGCAACACCGGAGGAAGACACCCGTGCACGCATCCGCAGGGAGGTCGGGAACCTTCTGGGCAATGCCTTTGTTGAACACGGCGATTGGGGTGCGAGAGTGGCTGGGATCACTGAGTCCGAGTCAGTCATGGATGAAGAGGAAGCGAGGCCGACAATCGCAGATGCTGTAGCCGAGTTACACCTTGCAGGTTCGTACGTTTTGTTCCAGCCATGAGGAAAGCTCACCTTCACTCCGTCATCACCAGGCCTTGCCGATAACCCAGAGGATGACGAGAACACGTTCGAGATGCCGCTGCCAGGCTACGAACATGTGCACAATGACCCGCAATGGCACCCATATACGTCAAAGACAGTGAGTCTCCGAGTAGTATTCACACGATCTGAAGCTGACAACACATGTCATGGCAAATCAGATGTTTATACTCGATTTACTCGATAACTTACCACGGCTGAGGCTTTCTGACGACCACATGAAGGTTTTCATATGGGCGTTGAAGGAATGTGGCGCGTTGAATGTCCCGACATTTGCACACCTGCGTGCACAGCAGGCTCGCTTGACAAAGGAAATGAACATTCAGACTACGCACCACGTATCAGCCCAAAACAACCACTTCTACGCGAATTGCCCATCTGAGACAACTCGTCTTGTAAGTCGAATCTTCAAACAGCAAATAATGCGGGTCTGTGGATCGGAACTGATAACCCTGTAGGATTTTGCTAACCCATTGGTGCGGCCGCACATGTCATTTCTCCCACGAGTTGGCATACCGATCTCGGAGTTCTACGATGGCGAGAAATGTCTGGAGTTGGATGAGAAGGCATTAGATCGCGGTCAACTGATGTGGATGGACAAGGAGAACGCACCACGTCGTCATTTCTACATCAGAGAGCTTGCACGCCTGCGCGATGGACGCTTTGTCATACCCGTTCGGTTCGTTCAGGACAGAGATGTTGACTGTCTTGATGGTTATCTTGTAGTGCACTATGCTGCAGTAAGCCCTCTGATGCTACATTTCCGGATCTGGAATCACTGAAACGACCATCACAGACTGGTATTTTCGTTGTTCGCGATCATGTGCTAATCCGGGTCGAAGCGAAGGAGCTGCAGGACAACGTTATTGATATAGAAAGGGAGACTGAGATCAGAATTAACGGTGAGAGTGTGCATGAACATCGACGCACTTTGATGCTAACAGACCGTCTTTGAATCCACACCCAGACTCTGCACCATCATGGGTGGCAAAGAACCAGCACCCAGTCCGGGCAATTGCAGCGCAGCGCCCGGCTTATACCGTACGGCTGATGAGCTGGAGCGATGATGTGTCAGGCAACAAGTCTAAGCAATACAACGCGCATACGAACGTCTACATGGCAAACATCAACTTACCGCATGACAAGCTCAAGCAAGAGTATTTTGTTCGATTCTGTTCGACCTCACAACACGCTTCGTCCTCTGAGCAGCTAGAAATACTTGCAAAGGACACGTGAGCACTCAGTGCATGTAGACGGCACACGTACTGAGTGGGAAGTTGATTCCACAGAGGTCCCGACCAATGGCACACGGCATATGATTGCGCGCTCCATGAAGAAGTCTTGTTCCGGCTCATTCCTCACGTCTTCCCGGCCGATAACCCTCAGCAGTCAGAGCATACTTCACACATTGGTGGGAACGGGAACAAACCTTGTCGCGCCTGCAGAATCGGAGGTACCGCCGAAGAGCGAGAACAAGAGGAGCAATATGAGACGTTCTTCCAGGTAAGTCCGAATTCCTATATTGACGGCAGCATTATTGACTCAGTTGCTTATTTTGTCTTGCCTCGGTGCTGAAGCCGGGACGCCTACGCTCAGCAGAATACACTGTCAACGAGATCAAGTCGCAACTCTGGATAGCAGGCCTCGGTGTTCAAGACACGATCGATCTCATGCAATCGCACACCGGCGTCAAAGACAAGACCGCACAATACTGGATTGACATCTTGATCAAGAAGGCGCGTGCAATGCAGCAAGAACGTATCACGTCCAAGACGACGATGGATCCCCGACTGAAAGACCGGCGCGTCAGCCGTGATCCGCAGGCGAAGCAGGATATGAAGGCGACAATCATGAATGAGATCCAACACGAGCTGCACGAATGGCTGGTCCAGCAACCCTCACACCATTATGACAGCCTTCCACTGGATTCGCGTACGTTCCCTCCCATTCCTTGGTACTGATGAGTATTACTCACCGCCATATCTTGTTTCATGCTTTTGAAGCGGATCGACATGCTCTGCGACCCGGCGACCACTATAATATCCTCCTCGGTCTCCCTGGTGTCGAGATTCATCTAGATACCCCATGTGAGATCTTGCATACCTTTCTGCTTGGTCAAGACAAGTATCTCTGGCACACGACGAGCTCGCCCTGGGACAAACGAAATGACGAACTCTTTGCTACCCGGCTACGCGGATCTTCGGTGGACGGCTTATCGTTACCGCCCATTCGAGCCGATTATCTACTCAAATACAAGAATTCTCTTGTCGGGAAACATTTCAAAGCGTTACAGCAGGTTGGCGCTTTCCATCTGTATGGTGGCCTATGCCCCGACATCATACGCGACCTCTGGAAGGCTACCGGTGAACTTGGTGCGGCGTTGTGGTTCAGTAAGATCCGTGATATGGACCAATACACTGTGAGCACCTGATATGATTTCACACGGTGTTCTAAGTCTCAGGCTGACCCACAATTGCCTTCTATGTCGCGTTCAATAAGGCTGACCTGGAGATTCTCATTGCAAATGTGCTCGACATCTGGGCAATCATTGACCCAAACCGGATCTTGACGAAGAACAAACTACACGTTCTGACTCATCTCATTGCGAACATCAGACGCTTCGGCCCCGCTATCCTCTACTCTACGGAGATCTTCGAGTGCTGGAACGCTATCTTCCGCTTCTGTAGCATTCTTTCCAACCATCAAGCCCCAAGCCGTGACATTGCAGTCACTCTCGCTGACATGGAACGTTTCAAGCATCAGGTTAGCGGTGGCTGGTGGCGCAACTCCACAGGAGAGTACATACGTGCTGGTGACAGTGTCCGGGCATTCTTTAAAGAGAACGTCACCCTTCAGCATCGTCTCGGATGGGTCGAACACGTATCTCTCCCAGAAGGTGAGCCAGATATGGATATGATCTAGATTTCGTTACTTAATCGATTCCGCAGGTTCAGTTAGGCTTGAGGCGCAAGCGAAGCGGTGTCCTTCGAGTTGGGCAGATGCAACACAATCATTGGGCGAAGTTCAGCCACCACCATCCAGCATTTCTCATGCCCCGCCGGCCTCAGCTGCTGCCACAAATTCAGGGACACAGTGGCAGCACTGTAAGTACCTCATATCACAATCCACAGACGTATGCAAGCCGGAATCGTGGGTTTTCTTCAAAGCCAGTCAGGATAGGGCGGCCGCGGTGGGACGTGACGCTCAGGCTATGACCGTAAGTTGAGCCGACCTTATCAGTACGGCTGCCACAGCCTGAGACGCTGAAAACTCGCGTTGCGTTACAGCATTCCAGCGTCATGGCTGGTCGTATTTCCAAGATTTTATCTCCCATTGACGGCGGAGAAGCAGTCGCCATCATTAAGCCTTTCGACATCGCTGATAAATGTGATGAATATCTCAATATGCCAGTTCTCACTCCGCATGACGGGCCGGTTTGCTTAGTCGCACCGAAGGTGAGTTCCTCAACACTCCAGAACTGCATAAGGCCGTTCATATATTATGTTAGGATGTCTTGTTCATATTCAATGCGCAACACGACTGCCGCGTGTGCGGCTGTTCCGCAACAGCACCAGAGGCGATTATCCAGGAACGACTTGTCACTGCCCGTACTCGCTCCGCTGTGAAGCACACGGATAAGCCACGCTACTTACTCAACATGCACGCGTTGCACAATGGCGACCTTATTCGTGAGACGTTGCCGCGAAACCTCACCGAACCGAAGTACTACATCGCTCGCGCGTACCGTCAGGCTAAGCACAGCCAAATTGCCCGTGGCCTACACCTAACCGGCACACTTCGGCGTAAACAAGCGGCAGCAAAAGCTGCTGAAACCCGGGCACGTAACAAGGAGGCTCGTGCTCGCGCTGACGCTGCGACCGCGCATTGTGCACCCGAAAAGGAAGGGCCAAGAGTTACAGGTTCGTAGTTGTCCCAATTCGTGTACCTCGTTGTCCCTGCATCATCGTGACTGACAGGACATACAGCTGATAGTAACGGCGAGCCCGTTGATCGCCTGGTCAATGATAACGACTCGGATGTAGATATGGAGGAAGCATCGTAGTATCAAAATGATCAATGAAGTACAAATTGCTGCTTGTTCCTACTCACTGTCTGCTACCGCTGCCCAGATCCTGTGGTGCTATGAAGACCCGAAACAGATATCCATTATACCTCTACATTTTCAGGTCTGCCCATGCTGCCGTGGGCATACGTCAGATGTTCTCTCCCGTGACATGGTCAGGCAATGCGTCGGAGCATGACGACGTGAGCAGGGCCTGCGGAAGACCTCATTCTTGGAGCGCGATGAGATGAGTGCGCTGACCCGACACCGATGCGATGGAAATGTGAGCTACCTCTGAACAATCGGCTCGGCGTCGCCCGAAATTCCCGGGGCATTGCCACATCCGAGAAAAATGGCGGTGTAGTCCGAGGATGAAGGTCTCGCGCCACGCGCCTCAGCCACATCGCGTCTCCGGATATTCCACGGCGCTGTCTAGCTCAATTCTTGCGCAATTGGTTCATAAGGCCCCTTTATCCGTTCCAGGCATCAACACCAGCATAGTGAAGATGTCACCGAGGCGATACACACACAAGAACGCGCGCGAGGCCAATTACGGAGTCGGAGGCCGTAAGCGCTCGTGCCAGCTGGCGGCGCGGCACACAGCGTTCGATGCTTCCAACAGAGTACATTTCATGGACACGGTTTGGCAATGTGCTCTCAAATTTTGGGGACTCTTGTCGTGGGTACAGTACTCAGTACAGTAGGCAGCCCGTGCTTCTATAACATTTTATTAGTAGGATATGGAATATATTTTGTTCGGTGACAACACCCGCAGCCAAAGTGGTATTAGTACTAGTAGTGGACAGAAGAGAAGGCACGCATCGAGCTAAATTGAGGCCACACTTTTCATTGTGTACATACCCTACTACGGATGCCCTACTGGTAAGTACCACCTCTTCCAACTTCCCTAGGTCCGGTAGCTTCTGTGATGATCTACAAAGGCACATGCAGTACAGTCTCGTAGGCCAAGCCCAATCTTGATATCACCCCGCTCACCTCTACCACCACCGCAGCAGACCACAGCTCGTAACATCCGAATGTTCCACCAGGATCGCCTCAAACTCCCAATACACGTCTCGTTCGAACGCCGTGTGCCGCGCCACCAGCTGGCACGAGCGCTTACGGCCTCCGACTCTGGAATTGGCCTCGCGCGCGTTCTTGTGTGTGTATCGCCTCGGTGACATCTTCACTATGCTGATGTTGATGCCTGGAACAAATAAAGGGGCCTTATGAACCAATTGCGCAAGAATTGAGCTAGACAGCGCCGTGGAATATCCGGAGACGCGATGTGGCTGAGCGTGTGGCGCGAGACCTTCATCCTCGGACTAGCGGGTAACGGTACATGAGGCTCATTGACAAGTGTCTAGAACAGTGAAATTCAAACGTTGCCTCCGTTGCCGATAAGTAGAAGACGACAAGTGCTGTTACGGCAGCCTGAGTGACATTTAGAAAAGCAACACTGTGATGATTTGTTGTGCCATTAACACTTCTATCGGTTCAGTGGTGTAGTTGGTTATCACATCTGTCTCACATTGGTGTTCACAGGAGGTCCCCGGTTCGAGCCCGGACTGAACCATATTTTTGTGAATTAACGTGAACTGAACGTCTTGAAATGGTCGAAGTTGAGCGCTGAGCCGCCGACGCCGACCGCGGTGACTTGCAGACAGAACCCCATTGCTGGATTGCAACGGAGAATACGTTAGAAGCGCACTGTACAGCGTACTTACTGTGTACAGCTCCTGAGAATTGGCTCGCTTCCAATTAAGTTCGGGGCCGGAACGTACATAGATCTTGTTTCAAGATATCCGTGTTCTTGCTGTGTCGGACCTTCTGTAGATGTGTGATTACTCCGCGCAAGTTGCTGTCAACTGTGACGCTTCCCCCCTCCCTTTTGCTCGTCGATATTTCACCTGTATTCTGACTATGCTGCTGGCCAGTTGTGACTGCTTGTTCGACGCTGAAGGACCCAATCGCCAAGACCATCGCTGAGTTTAGGGGCTTGGAGGCAGAGACGTGGAAGAGCAGCCGCAGCAAGTCGACCCCAAAAGACCTGCCAACGACCATTGCCATAACTACTGTTCACCTGGATCCTCGCTGCCGTTTGACGATCGACACCGTTACATCGCCGTAAGTCTCTGAGAATTCCCACCACACCACCAATCCTAATTCTGCCGGTGTATTTTTTCCAATGGCTTGCTTCCGCGCCACAAGACAACATTGGTCAGCGGATATATGAGAGGCGGCCTTACCATCCACGAGAACATCTGTGGTCAGCATGTCGTTTACAGAGCTGCGATACCACACCCTCGACGAGATCAGTGAGGTAAGCGTTGCTCAACACGCCGGCGAAGTTGCGGACTCGAAGTTGACTGTAGCGCAGGTCTACGAAAGGTTGCAGAAGACCTTCCGCGCTGGGAAGACTCGACCATTTGACTACCGTCGAAGGCAGCTCCACCAGCTCGGGAGGCTTGTGCAGGAGAACCTATCCGCCCTCGAGGCGGCGGTGGGCGAGGACCTCGGCAAGCCGAAGCTGGAGACGGTCGGCGAGCTGAACGGCGTGATCGCCGGAGTTAGGTACGCCATTGACAACGTCGAGCAGTGGGCGCGCCCGGAGAAGGTGGAGGTCGTGGAGGACTTCAAGAAGGGCTGGGATGCGACGGTGTATAAGGTTCCGCACGGAGTGGTCTTGGTGATCGGGTGAGTGTTGGGTGTCTCCGTCTAGCGCTGCATTGCCAATCTCCGTGCCTGTTAGACCATGGAATTATCCGTACATCCTCAATCTCGGACCCCTCTTAGGCGCCATAGCCGCCGGATGCACCTGTGTAGTCAAACCCTCAGAGCTGGCGCCCGCCTCCTCGAAGCTCATGGAGGAGCTTTGCGCGCGGTACCTTGACCCCGACTCGTATTCAATCCTGAACGGCGCCGTGCCCGAGACCACGCATCTCCTCGAACTCCGGTGGGACCATATCCTCTTCACGGGCAGTGGTAGAACGGGACGCATCGTTGCGGCCTCGGCGGCAAAACACGCCACGCCTGTGACGCTCGAGCTCGGCGGCAAGTCGCCCGTCGTGATTGCGGACGACGCGGACCTGGACCTGGCGGCCAAGCGCGTGCTGCACGGCAAGGGGCAGAACAGCGGGCAGGTACGTCTCCATTGCTGTTTCCAACGCAATGAAGCGGAAAGAATCCGGACTTAACCCTACCCTCTAGCTCTGCGTGTCCCCCGACCACGTCTATGTCCCTCGCTCAAAGCAAGACGCGTTCATCGCCGCGCTGCTCAAGCACTACGACGCCTTCTGGCCAGACGGACCCTTTCACGAGTCCGCGCGCTGGGGTAAGATCGTGAACCCGTCGCACCACGCCCGCCTGCGCGCGCTGCTCAGTCGCACGAAGGGCGAGATTGTCAGGGGTGGCAGATATGACGGCGAAGCGCGAATCGCGCCGACGATCGTGAAGAACGTGGTGCCGGACGATGCGTTGATGGAAGAGTGAGTGACCGTAGTGATTTGCATGGAATACGGCGGCGGTGCCGCATTTGGTCACGAAACTGATGCGCGGCGCGCAGGGAGCTGTTCGGGCCGATCTTGCCTCTGGTGCCTGTGGACGACATGGAACAGACGATTAGGTTGCTGAATGCACAGTGCGTATTCGCAATTGATGTGCGAGGTGGCAGCTAACGGTGCAGCAAATCAGGACGGTCCCGCTGGTCCTCTATCTATTCACGAATAGCGAAAACGTGAAGCAGCAGTGTACGTGCCTTTTCTTTCTTGTTGTATTGACTGAGTATTGACGCGCCGGCAGTTCTAGAACGCACAAACAGCGGCACACTCGTTATTAACGACACGACGAGTCAGTTAGCGGGTCAGTATTGTCGTCAAACCTTCGCAAATCGTCAAGAGAACTGACGTTTTGCAGTATACGAGATGCCGTTTGGTGGCCAGCGAGACTCAGGCTGTACGTCTCTATTGCAACGAGACTACTACGATACTGACCTCGCCCGGGACCTCACCAGACGGCAGATGGAACGGCAAGTACACGTTCGATACATTCACGCATCTACGGAGTTACATCCACGTCCCGCTTGCGTACGTGGCCCCTTGACATTCTAGCTCTGAGTGCCGATGCTCATTGAACGTTTATCAGCGCGGAGCCGTTCATGGACGGCCGGTACATGCCCTACACGGACGGGAAGTACGAGGCCATGGCAGCTATTGTCAAAGCACCATTGCCGAAACTGTGACACCACTATCATTCTGGACGTTCGTTCGGTGCCCTTGGACATTTGTGATGTAGCATACAGCTGGATGCACAAGAGTTTGTGGTGTATTTCTATCTGGCTGAATGAGCACGGTGACACTGATCTGCAAAGTCAAATAATTACAAGTGCACAATGCACGTCTCGACGCTCTCCTGGCCCACAACGGGCGGGAATAGGGGCCTCCGATTGGCTAGCCAGAGGATAAGCGGGCATCCGATCTCGCGCCTAAGCCTCTAAGCCAGCTCACCATTGGCAGCTTTCAGCTGCTGACAGTCGCTACCAGTGTTTCGAGAAGGTGGGTAGTCTTGGTCGGGTTCACCGGTTGCAACCTGAGCAAGATGTGGGGTGAAGATGTGCTTGAAAAGTCGGAGCGCATGCTCTCCCCCTTCCCGCGACAGTCGCCGACTCTTGATAGCTTGAATATCGGGAGGTTACTCGAACATGTGCGTGTGCCACTCTCAAGCACTCAACGCAACTTTGCTGACTTGCCGCAGAATGACGAGGCAAGCGCTCCTGCATGCAACATTCGTCATACATGTGACACTGACATTCCACTGGTACAGTGGCTTCAAATTCTCCAAGATAGAGATTAGTGCGTTCTTGAGTACTTGATATCGCCTCCATAATGCTCACGAAACGTTTGCAAGGGTCACGTTGGGCGTACTCGTGTCAAAGTGCACCTTCGAGCTGATCAACAAGCCGATCGTGTGGGACACCGCCTCGGTTTGGTACCCCACGGTCGGCAGAGAGAGTAAACAAGCCCGAGCTGCCGCTGAAGCGCTGATGATTGGTCTGTACAAACCGTCGGTGAACTAATCAAAAGCATCCTATGTGCGCTCAGCCAGTAGCTCTGTAGCTCCTCCTGGTGACATCAAGTTGTACGATCAACGGACTCGCCCAGCTCTACACGCGGGGTCAAAGCGGCGTAGGAGGTAAAGTAGCCTTCGGGTCTGTTGTATTTATCAATATGGAGCGGTGTAGCCAAGTGGTTCGAGTCGAAGCTGGCGTGCGGTGGCACACGGATGGGTACGAGACCAGCGTGCGCAGATCACCGACTATTGCCATGGTCCGCAATAAGTCCACCACACTTTTAGCAGACTAGCAATGATCAGCGGATGGTCCTAAATATTGCAACATTCGTGGAATACATATGCCATAAGTCCAGCGCTGGCTATGTATTGTCCGCGATTGATTGCGTGTTGGTCGGATTATCAGACGCCCATCGGTCGAGCCCGTACGTACGCAGCTCACAGAGCCCGACAAGGCTACGTTACAACTTGGTTAGAACGTCCATGCTACTCCTTAGCTAGTTCTGTTCACGTTCTCACGTTCCAACAGCTCATGAGGTACGTGTAGTGAATCCGTCACTCACCATCAGCATCATTTCATGCTTTGACTCTTGGGTAGTGTTACAGTCGCCCAACCGCTTCAAGCTTGCGTCGCTAATCGCTCTCTCTGAACGCCAGTTGAGCTTGAGACTGCAGACGTGCCGTGGTGTCGAGACTGTAATCGAGGGTATTAACTTGAAGTGAGCCCCGCTTTTTATCACATCTCCACTTCACTCACGAGCAGTTCGTAGATTGCATTAGTGCCCTATATTACTACTCACCTACGTAGTCGGATGGACGCACGGCCTTTACGATTGACACTCCCACCCGAACTGTGGGACCACGTCGTCGACAATCTATCGTCCGATCGTCCATCCCTCGGAGCATGCGGCCTGACACAGCGCGCATGGGTGGCATCTACTCGAAGGCATCTATTCCACGCTATAATGCTGAAAGGCACTGCCCGCTGTGAACAGTTCCGGGAGCTCATACTTGCTTCCTCGTCAACTGGCACTGGCATAGCGCGGTACGTGTGCGAGGTCTCGCTCAAGGACGTCTGCTTGCATGTCCACGTCTCTCGCCTCGAATACCCCAACACGTCCGACGTGCCACTCCTGGAGAAGACGCTCTCGTTGTTGCCTAACGTTGACTGTCTGTGTCTTTGGGACGTCGACGTCCAATGGTGGGAGGTGCTGACAGCAAGGACCGGGGATGCACTGGACGGCGGGTACCCCGACCTACCGCTCCAGTCACTATTCACCTTGCCACGGCTGCAGACACTGTACGTCTCGTCGTGTGTTGCATTCGACTCGCTCTCCGATCTCGTGCTGCTTCTCGCGGCATTTCCACAGGCATCTTCACTCCAGCTACACGACTTGTCCGTTAAACATCCGGGACCTGCGCGCTGGCCCCCGCTTCTGCCATGGAACAGGAACGTTGACCACGAATCACTGATTTGTATCAGGAATCTGTGTGTTACTACGTTCAGAGAGATGGCACGCTTGCGAAGCGCACTCAGGCAGCCGCCTTTCCGATGTGCCTTGCAGAAGTTGTCGTGGACTTTCTGGCATGAGGAAGACGTTGATACCCTCATGGACATGCTCCGCGACGCGGAGAGCACCTTGGAGGAGCTCGAAATACGCTGCATTGCACCAAAGAGCTCTGACGGTACGCACCTCTTATAAACTGCTATTTCTGTGTATACCTAATTCAGGCAGCAGAATTTCCCGCATTGTCCACGAGGATGGATCTGTCCCTGCAATCACGCCTGAGAGTACTCCGTGTCCATCTGTTCTACGACATGGACATGGAAGCTACATCCAATCCCTATCCAACGTCGTTCCCGGTGTGCCTCTCTCGCACCCCTAGCAGCCTGCGAGCCCTTCACTTGGACATACAATTATCAACTTCACCTGATAACACAACATTGCCAGCATTGGATTGGTCAAACCTTGACAAGACGCTCACACTTTTACACAACAAGAATCCTTCGCTGGTCGTGTATATGCGTTTTGACTACGGTCTGCTGCGGCAGAATGGCCGGCTGCCGGAGGCAGCGCAGCCATTGAGATCCCAAATATCCTCTACTCTGCGTGTGGGACTGCGGGTGCGCTTGGTGGTGGGTGGCTACATGGTACCGGACAAGCTGTACTGGCTTTAATGTGTTCAATCTTGGATCGTCCAATACACTGGTGTATTTTTTGTGGCCGGATTCGCCATGGAAATACCTTGTGCGACTCGCAGAGCAACCGGCACCGTACCAACTCACTACGCACGCCAATGCGTTGGATGAACGTCGACCTTGAGTCTGTGGATAGGGGTTACAGACCGGCAAGCGGTAGATGGTCCCATACTGGTCCCATTGCAACGCTCACGACATGCAGTCATGATATCTCCGATCAGGAATCTCGACGTTTCGCTCGGATGAGTTCCTACTGAAAGTATCCTCTGGAATTTGACACAAGAGACTCGGAGGGCAAAAAGTTGACTCAAGCCGGGATCGAACCGGCGGCCACCTGTGTCCATTGTGTAAGACAGGTGTGATAACCACTACACCATTGAGCCTTCAATACCTTTCCGGCTGGTTAGTTTAGAATGACAAGGCTGAGTTCGATGCCCGTCTGGCTTATCAGCCGTCCCCCATTGCAAGAATTATCGCAGGCTGCCTTTCGCGTTCTCTCGGAGGGATTGTTCACGACTTCTGGCCCGCCGTTATAGCGGCACTCCATCGTTTCAGTCTTCCTGCTAGACTCCTCAGAAAATACCCTGCGGCTCGGTCGTACTCACCATTGAACTTTGTCATCTTGTACCACCAAGGCTAAACAGAGGTCATGAACCCGGACAACGTAAAAGTGGTCCTCATCCTGGTCGGGCTTATTGGGTCGGGGAAGGTACACTGTATGACACTGTCGGTTCATGTGAGCTCTCATGGAATCCCTTGTCTTTGGGTAGTCCACTTTCGCCCAAGCGTTGGAAAAACACGTCCCTCGCTTCAGACGATGCAACCAGGACGACCTCGGCAACAGACAACGCGTAGAGGCACTCGCCCGGGAGAGCCTGGACGAGGGCCTCTCGGTGTGCATTGACCGGTCGAACTTCGACGCTCGGTGAGTCGCTCTGCTGCTGCGAGAAGAGTCGGATGCAGGGTAAGTACAGTGCTACGTTGCTCATGCTAGGTAATAGACAGCGGGCGACGTGGATCAGCATCGCGCGCGAGTTCCCAGGGACGGAGGCGTGGGTCCTCGTCCTTGACACGCCGTACGAGGTGAGCTGCGCTGCATACCCTTGCTTCGGGACTCACATGCTGCGCGACATACAGGTATGCGCGCAACGGCTCCAAGAACGTGAGCTCCTCTCTCTGCTCCTCTCGCCGCCTAGACCTCAGTCTCCCCTTGCAGGCACAGACCACCCGACAATCAAGTCACCCTCCGAAGCGCTCCCCATCCTCTCCCGCTTCTCTTCCCAATACCGCCCGCCCTCGGCGCACGAGGGCTACACCCGCTTCCTCAGCCTCCCACCCAGCGAGCAGCCGCTTGAGTACACGCGCGAGGACGTTCTCGCCATTCTTGACCGCCTGCGCGACGCGCAGCCCCCGCCGGAGCCGCAGTCCCGGATCGACGCGTTCTTCCCGGCTGCGGGCAGAGGTTACGGAGTGCGAGGAGGATGGCGTGGAGGCGGTGGGGGCGGTGGGTATCGAGGATATGGAGGCGACGGGTATCGAGGATATGGAGGCGACGGGTATCGAGGATATGGAGGCGGCGGGTATCGTGGGGCTGGTAGCAGCGGATCTCGAGGGGCGTCGGGTTCGACGCGGGGACATGGGTACATGCCTTATGAGAGACGAGGTTGGTCTGCAGAAGGTAGTTCTCAGCCGCAACAGAGGCCAGGACCATGAGGGGTCCCATTCAGACTCCCGGGGACGAGGATGCGGATGCGTCGAGTCGGACTCGTGGAGACGCGACGAAATGCGGCCTGACGTTGGGATATGTGAGTTCCTACATCTTCTTAGCACTGTCTTGTGACCCTGTCTACCACGCCAATACATGTAAATTGCCCACCTTCCGTCCCGTGAGTACATTCGCTGAACATCAAGACGGCTCTGCTTGCGCTGCGACAAGCCCTGCCCTGAAACTCGCCACCGCCTCCCTTGTGATCTTCCGTATCCTCCCTTCTCCCTCTACACCTGTCTCGTCGAAGCCCTTCCCTAGCCTATCCGCGACCCTCCGCACGGTCTCGTCCTCCCTCGCCCACTCGCCCTCCACTCGTTGGCGCTCCCACCAATCGCCCGCGGCCGCGCGCATCCTCGGGTCGCGCATGACCGCACCGCGGGTGTAACGCAGAGTTACGAGGCGCCTGGACGCCTGCTCGAGCGCGAGCTGCGCGGCGTGTGCGGGCGCGGTGGGGTTGGAGGCGTACGAGGGTGTGGAGGGGAGGAGGAAGTGCGTGAGGAGGGGCGTCACGAGGAAGACGAGCTGCCGGAGGGCCCAAAGCATGTCGTGCCACTGCAAGCAATATGAATGGGGAGCGAGGGAAGGATGGCCGAGGTGTACGTACCATGAATACGTCCAGACCGTTTTCGGGCACGTCGATTGCGGCGGTAGCGATCCAGTAGGCCTCCGCCACTGCGGCGCAAATCAGCGCGCCGACGACGTACGTCCGCCAGCGCTCTCGTCCGGTCTCCCGGATGGTGAGCATCCCAATGATAGCCACTTCGCGCACGTACTCCAAGAACGCGCGTGGCAATGCGAAGAGCGCGTAGTCGTTGAAGGTCTTGCAGTGCTCACATTCCTGCAGAACGGCTTGCCCGAATCTACGTACATTCGTCAGTCAGCATTGAAGCCTGAGCGTGAGTAGGAGTGGAACAAGAACCTGACATAGAGCGTACGCATCTCGAACGCCGAGAGGCGGGTCAAGAGCTCCTCCAAAGACCTCGGAAGTGGTGCATCCACATCCAGCCCAGCCCGTCTCACGAGCGTGCTCCGTATTGTGTCTGGAGATGCATTGAGCGGTATATGGAGTCGGCTGAAGAGGTTGAAGGGCCAGCAGAGAATCAAGGTGTACAAGATGTACAGGGTGTGTAGGGCCACAAGGATGATGAGGTATGGTTCGTATGGCGCTTCTGGTCGCGAGCCGCTGTTTCTCTGGCGTAGGTAGAAGAGAACAGGAAGAGTGACCGCGATGGCGGTAAAGAGGTAGACGTCGACGGACGCGCTCACGAAGACCATGGCGAGTGGCTCGGCATAGATTTTAGCAATCGAGGGTTCCGTCGGGAACTACAGAGTCGCGGTCAGTTGCAGTGAGTCCACAGAGGTGCAAGAGCTTCAGCACGGGCCAGGAAAGTGGACGTCGAGAACGAGGTGAAGGATCAGGGACTCGGGAGGAGGAGGGGGAGGAGGGCGCGTCGCGGCGCGCTGTGATTGGGATCACGTGTCAGACACACGAGGATGTGAACAGTCTGAGTCTTATGTGTACGTAGCTGCCTCTCCATCGTGACCGTATAACCCACAACATGTCCTTCGCCCTACGGACAGCAGCGAAGGGCTGCACGAGAAACGTTGGAGCCGTCCGGGCATACTCATCTCTGACCCAAAGGTCTGCTACGCACGCAGCCCGCACGAACGCGAATGCAAGCAGCACGCAGGCAAGCAAAAAGCACGCGGCAACTCGGTGGGCGTGCGCTCAGAGGCGTACGTACAACCTACATCCGCCTGTAGCGTACTGCTAAAGCTGTGGCGTGTGCAGGATGGGCGACTTCAACGACGGAGCAGTCAACAACCGTAGACCCGGGAGAGGTAGAGGCTCTGCAGTGCCTGGAGGAGGGCACACAAAAGCTCGAGGAGGGTGACGTCCAGGCTGCCAAGGTGCGCCCGTAGTACTACCCTGTCTGAAGTTTTCGCTCAGTTCTCCACATCCGACCAGGCCCTCTACCAGCGCAGCGTCGACATCAAGCGCACCGCCAGCTCGCTCTTTAACCTCGGCGTCACGCACTACCACCTCAGTACGTCCCTCATCCGCCCCTCCAATGTCTATCACAGCTGACTGTCCAAGAGGAATACGATGAGGCCATCGCCGCGTGGAAAGAGTCGATAACCCTCCAACCCTCCAGCGCCGACGCACACACCAGTACGTCCTGGTCCTTCCTTGCCTGACCAGAGCCAGCTGAGGGAGCCTCGCCCTAGACCTCGCGAGCGCATACATCATCTCTCCCGTGAGCCGGCCCGACCTCGCCTTGCACCACCTCCAGTACGTTCTTCCTACTCCCCATCCGTCCCCGTTCACCGCTCACCGTCCCTACCCACCCAGCGTCGCCGCCTCCCTCCAACCTGAAGACCCCGAGATCGCCTTCAACCTCGCCGCAGTCCTCGAAGCCTGTGAGTCGCTCCTGCACCCGACAGCTATCTCACCTCACCGCATACAACCCGCCTACAGGCGGCCAGCTCGAAGAGGCCCTCGTGTACTACAAGCGGAGCAAGGAGTACGGCGTCGACCGCGCAGCGATGCACATCCGCAACGTCCGTCCCAGTCACCTCTCTGCCGTTCTCTGTCCGTGGTGTGCTGACCGCTTGTCACGCAATGCAGGTCAGCGCGAAGATCCTGGGCCAGAAGATGAAGGCGGCGCAGGAGGAGCAACAGCAGGCGCAGCCGCAGGGCGAGCCCTCCAGGAGCGATGCATGATGCCTAGACCTTCCCCGTAGAATATTTCACATCTATAGACATGATATAATATGCTCTCAGCTGTGCGCATAGTCGCAGTAGAACGGTCAGTAGAACGCGTTTGGCTCTAGGTTCTGATACATGCGCCCGTAGCGTGTGCGCTATCGACGTAGCTCCGCGCCCTCGCGCTGACATCTGCAGCAGAAGTTGAGTGATTAGCAGGGAGAAGCAGCGGATCTACCTGGCATGACATGCGCCCTACGACGGCATCTGTCTGAGCGAGCTGCGAATGACGTATGTCATTCACCTGAATACACTTCCACCAATGTGGGCGCGCCCCGCGCCCATACACAGTACTGCGCGTCTGCGGTCGAAGTGGGTAGGTGATTCGTATGTCATTACAACAAGTCGTAAGGCGTGAAGAAGCAACTACATCAGCAACTAGATGCTGTAGATGGGTACATGCATAGATAGCCGTAGGACGGCAGGGGCAAGGGCTGGGGGTGACGGGGGAGGCGTAGGCATCTAGCGGCACGAAAAGGGTGATCAGCGTCGGTACCTACGTACGACGACAGCAAGGGCTGATGGCCACCGAAGGCCACAGCGAGAATTAGGCGAAGAGGTGTTCCTAAACCGTCCTGGCAACGAAAACAAAGCAAGCTGCGAAATTCGAAGGATAACGATAAAAGCAAGCGCGACAACCTACACTGCTGCGCACGATCAGTCCACCGGTCCATCACCAGCACACTCGGCAAGACGCACCACACTGCTACTGGTACATTTTACACCGGCCCTCACTTGCGCGCGGAGGGAGGGAGGTCCGGCACGAGATAGTGTACAGGGCGGGCGTCGCCGAAGCTCGACTTGTGGTTCAAGTCCGGGGCGGTGAACCGGCGGCCGTCCAGGTCCTCGCGCGAGTGCGCGGGCGTGAGGCTCTGCGCGGGCGTGCTCGAGGTGGACTGCCGTTTCTCCGTGGACGCGGCGGAGGCGCTGGAATGGTACGACGGGACGGGCTTGCGCGTCGGGTTCCGGCGCACCGCGCCGACGTTCGTCGACGTGCTCCGACTCATCGGTTCGGCCGCGTACGGGCTGACCGGGCTCGTCGGGCTGCTGGGCGTACCCCGGGTGTGCGTGTGCGACACCGCGGTCGGCGTGGACGGAATACTGCTGCCCGCCCCCGCGTACGCACTCCGATCCATCGAGCGCTGCCGAGAGTGTCTTGACGACGCCGTGGCAGTGGTCGACGTACTGTTGTTCGCGGTGCTGGTGTTCAGCTTCGCGAGGGCGACAGCCCGCGTGCTCGATCCGTTCGATGGCTTGCGTGCACGGCGCGGCGAGGTCTCGGTAGCCTGCGGTGCGTAATCGAGCGGCGGGACGGTCTCGATGTACTCTGATCGGCGGCGTCCAGCACGGGGCTTCTGTCCCTCCTTGACAACCGCCTCATCGAATGGCGATGTATCGTGCCCTGCGCTGCTGGTCGTCGGGGTGACGATCATGCCCAACGAGTCGGCCTGGGGATACGAACGCGAGCCCGACCGCTGATGCGATCGAGGGGGGACGGCGACGGCTTCAAAGGTGCCGTTCCGCGAGGACAGACCAGCGTATTGGCCTGCCGGTCGCCCCGAGTCGAATTCGCCCATAGAGCGGCGGCGCGAGCGACCGGGTATCTGGCGCCGAATACGCAAGTAGAGGAGCAGCCCTGCGATGACCAGGAGCACGAAGACAACTCCACCAATCACACCGCCGATGACGGCACCCGTCTTGACATGTGAGCCGACCAGGACAACGCTGGTGGGGGAGGTGCTCGCGCTGGAAGAGGTCTCGGATGTGGATGACATGACGTTGCTGGTCGTGGGAACCGAGGACGCAGGGTACGAGGACGTAGAAGATCCAGGAAGGGACGAGGAGGCAGAGGAAGCGGGGGGCGTAGACGTCGATGAGCCTGGGGGCGACGAGGGCGTAGAGGAGGAAGATGGGATGGGAATGGGCGGCGACGTCGTGGGACGACCAAACGATGCAGATGGAACAGATGAAGACGTGCCTGACACACCAGACGAAGAGGACGCACCGCTGCCGGTCGAGATCAACGACGTACTCAAGGGCAAGGTTGGCGACCCCGAGTCGGTGTTCGTGTTTGTCGGGTCGGGCCTGGTTATGGACAGCACAGACCCTGGGAGCGCACTGGAGGGCACGAGCGAGAGCGTCTGCCGCGCGATGAGACGCTCACCGTGCTGTAATGCTGCTAGCATGGCGGGCACGGGTCAGCTTGGGAATCAGCGATGAGGATGGCGGTGCATCGGTCAGAGCGGGGGGAGGGTGGCCGCAGTGACTGACCTGCACAGCGCCCAGATGGGCTGCGATATGTATGGCGGCAAACTGCTCGTGGACTCCGATAACCAACGCTCGCAGGCCTTGTGGCGGTCACCAGGGAAATCCTTCGCTGTCGAATCACTGACGCATGAACGCCCTTCGAGGAACCGCCCGTCTCACACGTGTGAGACGCTGCGAGACGCCGGGCCGCACACTCCGACAATGTTACCAACTCCGGACTCTCATGCTGAGATTTGACGGACCCAGAAAACGCGCCCAAAACCAAAGGGGACTGATCTTCGTGGCGGTTTCGGGGTTCCAAAACGCTGTTGTGCCCGCTCAAACGCTCGGGCGCGAAACGACCTGCCCTGAACCTACATGTGGCCATGCAAAACGCGTCGCGTCCCGCGTCTCAGGAGGATCGACGGGGCGGTCCATATAGTCGCGCTTGGATTTGGGTACGGCGGGGTCGAGTGCCTCAAAGGCGGCGACAATATCTTCTTGGAGGGTCGAGATGCACTCTTCGACCTGCTGGCGCATGAGTTTGTCGGATTGGAGGGTGGCCATGTTGTTGTCAACAACCCAGCGAATTAATACAGGTATTGAGATGGTCTCGGCCAACAGGTGACTGCGGCAGGAAAGGTTGGAGCCGGGACGCAGCCTGCGCAGCTAGTCCTGTCAATGCCTGTGGGTCGCTATCCGGACTGGTGGAACCAGGTTGGAACATTGCTTATAAGATACGATATGCTTCGCGGCTCTGATGGCCTGCAGCAAGCAGTGGGTTCGTGATGGAGCAAGTCGGGAGCAAGAGGCAACATCCTTTCTGAGGGTGGGGGGTCCTTTTATATGCGAGGTGTGATCGATCGACAGTATCTGCGGAAGCGTCGTTGTGCGATGTGAAACACAAAAGTGAACGCCAACACACCCTATTTGGAAGGTGACGGCGCATACCAAGCGCAGTCTGCTATCCCAGATCTCGAGGTTATAAGAGCATCTTCGCTTTGTTTAGCAAAAAATACATAGTCTATGGACGTCGAGGGTACCAGTCACTGATCCCACACACCCTTGGTGGTAGTAAGTATTTCAATACGTCTTGGACGGGAATGGAGCAAGCGTGCTATACACGTCGCTTGAGCACAAGACCTCGACCGTGAAAAAAGTGTTTACCTGATTGTTTTCGATGCAGAAGGACACTGATATGCTATAGATGCACAGACAAATGGAGACGTGCGAGAGTAGAAACAAAAGCTTGGGTGTCATAAGGCTCTGAGCGCCACAAACGCGTCGCGCATTGTGCACGTGCCCGCAGCTCTGCCTCCGCTGGATCCGCTCCCAACCCTCTTTGCCATTCAGACCACACTCTCGATGTCTCATTGATATCAGGCATACCGTCTGCTCACCTATTTTCCTTCGCTTTTTGATGGGCTCCGTGTGCAAACTTGTGCGGACATCAGTTTGCCCATGCAAGCGCTAATTTTGGCCCAGCTATGGGAAAATTCTGGCGAGCCTGGGTAGCCTGTAGCGGATTCAACATCCAGAACGGCCGACAGGCTACAAAATCGCGATACGTTTCCTTATCGCGGTCTCCAACCGGGTACACGTACGCTGAGTCAAGGTTATGCTACGCGACGCAGGAAGTCCGGGGCATCACTGTTGGATCTGGGGGTGGCGTTGTCATTCCATGTTTGGTGTTGTGGGTGTAGGTCCTTGACAGTGGCTGTGGCGACCTCATCTTCAAGTTGAAGCACCTACCAGCGGGCCGCCACCTGACCAAACTATCACCTGCATCTTTATCTAAACCTATTGTTCTGACTAGTATGGAAGGCATTCAGTTCGTCCTGTTCGACATCTCGGAGGACCTCGTGAAAGCGTGGCAGCGCGCGTTCGCACAGCATGTCCCCGATGCGGCGCGGGGGCGATTCACGATCACTCTTTCCACAAACGAGGACCTGTCCTTCCCGGCGGAGCAGTTCGACTGCATCGTCTCGCCCGCAAACTCGTACGGCCGTCTCGACGGGAGGTACGCATCCTCAGGCTCCGCTGCAGCCCAACGCACGATCTCCACGATCTGATCGCATCTCAGCTTCGACTACTACCTCGCGAAAGAGCTCGCTCCCCCAGCGCGTTTCGAGGCACCCACGGAGATCGCACAGGCCGTGCTCTACCGGCAATGGCGGGGCTACGCGCCGCCGGGGACGTGCACGCTCGTCCCGCTGAAGGGCACCGTCTGCGCGGACAACAAGTACGGCTGCGGCTACATTGCGCTCTGTCCCACGATGCGCATCCCCGAGACCGTCACCTGGAACCGCGAGGTCGTATACAATTGCATGTGGTCGCTGCTGGTCGCGCTCGACCAGCACAATGCCTCTGTGGGGGCGAGTGGTTCTGCTACAGAGGGTGAGGCGGCTACTAGGATCAAGAAGGTCCTGATGGCTGGGCTGGCGACGGGGGTGGGCAGAGTGTCTGCGGAGCGGTGCGCGCAGCAAATGGCGCTCGCGGTCAAGCACTACGTCGACGCCTGCGAAAACCCGCAGAAGTGGAGTTCCTTGTCGTGGAACGATGCGCTCGACTACGCGCAGGAGGCGAACGATACCCACTCGCTGTGAAGCGCGGAACCCTTCACCCTGCCAACTGCTCGTGTATGCAGAACGGACTTGTCTGTCAGCTGTTGATCAGGAAATATCACGCGTACGTAGTTCCGCTAGCCGGACAGCCTGAAGCAAGTGAACGGTCAAACGGGCGCTCCGCCGGGGCGCAAGAAACAGCTCTGTCGCGCAAGCGCTGACCACATCCGTCGCGTGATGATGAGTGGGACCGAGATGCATTGAAGGGGGAGCAATATAACTTAATGCCTTCTATCTACTATGGGATTGTGGATCAATGCAATGACGGAACGGTATCGCAGCTACGCGTAGAGCAGCACATCGTGGTGATCATCACCAGCCTTCACCCCCTTTCGAACGTAAGTACTCTCGGAGCAAGAACTGCTCGGACACCTTGCGGTTCTTCGAGCCGAGCCCGACCTTGCGGATTTTCGCGAGTCTGAGACAGAACGTGCCGTGAGCGTGTGTCACTCACGACGCGCAGCAGAGATACGTACCGACGTAGGCCGTTCCACGAGAACAGGCAGGCTATGAGAAGTGAGGCGATCGACAAGATGCCGAACGCGTATTCGTTTTCCTCGAGAGTGCTCTTGAGCTATAGTGTGACGAGATCGTTAGTACCTTCACGAGTATAAATGCAGGAAAATCCGTACGTTCATGCCGAACAGACCGGCTACTAGTGTTCCCATTCCAATTCCCATAGTCCATATTGAGATCTAGCGTAGTATTGGTAACAGGCCCATGACGAAGCACACCAGTCCTTACCTTGAGATCCAGTGCGAGTAGTTCATTACGATTAGAGTCTAATACTAATTCAACAATTTCTTGCGTAGATTGCACATTGCTCTGATGAAGGAAATGAGCCCTCCTGCCGTGGCAATGACGACAGCAAGCGCCATGACGAACCTGTATGTTTTCCGCTTCGTTCACAATCTCCTCCACTTGCTTAGAGAACGATTCGAGCAGTACCTCAAGATCTTCATGATCGCTCAGCCTCCGCTGTATGCCGTTCTTTTTGTCCGTGAGGTACATCGCGGCTAAGTCCTCGTCTGGGGGTTTCAGGATGGCAAATCACTCGCAGAACGTAAATGATATGCGCGTATGGACAAACCTTGTTCCAGCACTTCCTCGAGAGCCTCTTGCACCTAATCGCACGTGGGCCCTCGTCAGTTGACCTCGCAAGCTAGCCGGACATCACGGCACGGAAGGCACATGCCGGAGGTCCGACTGCGCTCTAGACATCATGCGCCAGGGTGTACGCTTGCGAGTCCGAGACAGACGTCCAAACCATCGGGCGAAAGCAGGTGGTCCGAGATTCCCGTTCATGACCGACACCCGGAGCCAAACCCGCCAACGGCGCGGAACTCTAAAGCCAAACGCAGCACCACCGGAGCATGGTCCGAGCACGCTGGATCCTGGCCCTGCCGTCCGCACACGGAGAACCATGGGAAAGAAGACTCACCAGTTTCGCGCGGTTTTGGAAGCTGGCGAGGCGCCGAGAGTAATGAAGTAACCGCTTGAAGCGATCATGATCAATGTCGTCCTCTAACTCCGCTAGCAAACCGCCGATGAGGTTGCGAATGAAGACCATTTCAGCCTCCAGGGCGCTCAGCACGGAGAGAAGGATAGAATCGAGTGCTCTGGGAATCCGAAGACGCCACTAGACCTGGTAAGAAGCTGCCATTCATCGGGCCGCAAAGCGCGGCGGTGCCCACCTAAACTCATAAGGCAATCCCGGACTCTTGGTCTTGAGATTGTGCTAGAGAACAAACACACACAATTCTATGAATGAAGGCGCGAACGTGCGACGGTCCTACGCACCTCGAGGTGATAGAGGAACACGGAGTGAAGCCTGGAGTCTGCCGAACCATAGGTATCGAAGAGAACGACGGTGTCTGCCTTGACAAGGGCACGAATGTGCAGGATGTTGACCTTGGGGAAATCGATGAGACACGTGCAAAGGTGATCTATTCAGCGAAACAGTGAAGACGTACAAGGATAACCTCTTTTCGCACCAATATTGTGGGCACAAGGTTAGGTATTCGCGAGTCAATTTTTCTCAGATCACGGGGCTGCCTCCTGACAGCTTAGCGGCATATGCAAGTCTGACACGGAGATGTCGCTTACGTTCAAACGATGCTCCGAACAGAGGTCGGCTCTTCTGAATTGACCCGAAATGGTCTTGACATTGCCTGCCACGTAAGACCCATATAAAACATATCAATTGGCCAGGCCATGAAGGACGCGCACCATCAGCGTCCAGGATAGTGCCTAGTAGGAAGGTGAGCCGGCAAGGAGAAGCTAGGGCAGCGGGCGGACTCACATCTCAGCATGAGGTCGGTCGGCTGTCGTCCTTTCATAGCCTTCTCCAAGATCGCCACCTTCGCAGCCTCCTCCAGACCGTCTGAGGGTTCACTGTCCGGTTCGGTTGGGCGGCGGCTGAGTCTGGGCAGCCATGCCAAACTCCTACGCACAGGCTGACACCACAGCGTTTTGCGAGCATTATGGGACGCTAAGGACGCACAGCGAGTATATTGCTGAGATGCAGCAACTGACATCCATCCGATACCGGTGCGGCAAGAATATAGTCTTCGCGCAGGAGGCGCTTTCGATAGATGCAACGAGCCGTGCCCTGCTACGTTGCGAATGAGGCTTGTTACATGGTTATTCACTGACGTCCACTGCAGCATATGCATGCGCGGAAAGCGTGGGCCGCCCGAGGGAGCGAGAGACAGCAGGAGGTGGTCGAGGTCGGCAAACAAGCTCAGCGGCGGGTCTGTCGACGCGACGAGGATCGCGTCGGTCTGACGTAAGCAATGCCGCGCCGCAAAAGGCAAGCCTTGCCTCCGAGAACCGCACGGCGTCCCCACCTTGCCTTCCCCACACTCCGTGCGGGTCCTCGCAGAGCGAACTCCCGTCCCCTGCGAGACCGCTACTACGGGGGAACAATGCTTCCGGGTTGGGCTCGCTTCCTCGTACCGCTCAGGTCCTCAAGCTTGCGAATCCGATCCCGACCATTCGGCCAGTGCTGTCCACACCAGACATGACGCTAGTACTTGCGCGCACCGCCGGTCAATGGTGAGTTCGAGCAGCTGTCGCGGCTGCAATTTTGCAGCCCTTAATTTAAAGCTCGGAGTAGTACACCTAAGGCGTATTGGGGGCCGCCCCTTGTCAATCACGCGCGTGGTAGGGGCATGTGATGTAGGCTGCACCGCGGTACAGGGGAAAGGCAAGCGCATGTTACGCAAGATCGTGTGCGCGATCCTAGATATGCAATGGTGTTGGAGAACCGTGACTAGGCCGAGTCGAACGTCGTCCTTGATCAGACGCTTGCCACGCACCGGCAGCATTTCTGTCGGCAACGATATTAGTACCGGACGCCAACCCCTCCCCACCCCAGCTGGTTCTTATACTTCTCGATTGATTCCTTGCGACACAGTACATGAATGTCTTGGATGCATCTGGACTCGCTCTTCCACTTTCTCCTCCCCTCTCGCCACCGTATGATGCACGAAACGAGCAGATTGCTCGACGCTGCGGCCGCTCTCTCGCGACTTCTGCATGCCGCTGAGGTACCTCATGCATTTTACGGCAACGTCTTCACCGCGATGCTGGACAACGCACCACATGCCGATGTAAGTCATCGCTGTTATCCATGGACAGACGCGTTGACCTGCCGCAGGAAATCTTCTGTATAGTTGAAGGGGGTGCTTCTCACCCTTTCCGTCGAGTCCGACATGCCTGTGCCGGAAGCGCAGACTTTACGACTGTGGTCTCACCCTGGAGCAGCAGGTAAATCCGTGGATCTCGTTCATGCGGGTCAGATCATAGACCTTGTTGCAGGTTGCATGCCACGTACCATCGGTACATTCCTTCCATCGATGTTCGTATATCGCCCTTTATTCACGGGGCTGTGACCTTACCTTTCATTCTTACAGATTGAAATACTACCTGCCGGAGAGCAGGGTCCACGACGCCTCGATTCTTCAAAAGTGCAGATCATCCGTCATATCCCCTTCCTAACAATGTCCGAATTCATACGGGCAAAACTGAAAGCTTGGGCGCTGTGAGTCCTCTTCGCTTCTCTGGGCCGTCCTCCGATTTCCCTCCAACAGCACGCACACAGTCGGGGCGCCGAGAACGACGCTAGCGATATCATCTTCACCATGTCCCGCTACTGGAACAGAGTCGACATCAATCGGATACCAGAGCAAGAGATGAACGACTTCGTCCGCCAACACAGGGAGGCGGCCGCAGGGTGGATGGAGCTCAACCGAAAATACCGGGAGTGAGTCATCGCATCGGCTTACTAGCATTTAGAGTTGGCGTCTTCTTGACTTATCATCAGTTTAGGTCACGATGATTCATGAACCCTTCCGAAGAGAAGGAACCCTCGTTCTCAAAAACTCAATAGCGTTCATGTAGGGTCCCCCTGCCTACCCTGCACGGTGCGTGCCTGCGCTTCGCTATCTTTAGACCTGGCCTGAAGTGCCCTACGCCGGTGCATAGGATGCGGTAATTCTTATGGATCATGTATGGCGGTCAGAGTCGATAGTAGTTCTGCAATTCTGATTGCACCCTCATTCGCGGGATCGCCCTCCTCGGCCTGAGCCAGAAACTCATGCTGACCGTTCCGCTAGGGGATATGAAGCGCGGAGAGGGCACGCCCAGTGCGTTCCAGAGTGGTCTGCAGCCCTAGCAGCGATCACGCGATGTCCGTCTTTACCACAGAGCCATTCCCAAATGAAGTAGGACATTACCAGTAGGCCGCCAACCTCAGAGAGTCCGCGATACTGGCGTCAAACCGCTAGTCGAAATGATCCGCAGACGCTGCATGGGGAGATTTGTGTCGTCCAGTGACTGGCAATGATTCCACGAGGACCGACTAGGATACTGTCGGCATCGTATGTTCAGTTGCAGCCTATCTCTCGGGGCGGCATGATTGGAACTGTCGCGCCCCATGCAGTCTGCAAGACCTCGACACCGTCGCGAAGATCAGATAAGAGGGCAGGGTGTATGATTGGACATGCCGTTATACGTCCCAGAGCCTTCGCACATGATCTACACGGTCAGAGAACGCCTTTGGCTCGAGACGGATGGGGCTGCGCGGGATAATCGTTTACAGCCAATGACAGTTCATTGGGCGAGTAGTGAATTGCGAAGTGCAGGTAATTACTGCAGGCCCTCGAACATCAGTCCACACGTTGACTCGGCGGTATCCTGAAGGTCCAGACCAAGCCGCAATCCTGGCACCGTATACCAACTTGAGGGTGTCGTATAGTTGCCTCCGGCCCGGGCCATCATCGTCACGGTACTGTTTCGAAGTTCCTTGGGAAGAGTCTGAGGATAAGTACATGCATACTACTCCATCCGATTAACATTTTCGGGCACATGTCTTCCTGAGAAGCTCAAATATAACTTGAAATTGCTTTGATCTGGGTAGTGTCTTAATGTGATACTCGACATCGCGCGGCGAACGACTGACGAACTGAAAGAGTCAAATGTGGCTCGTCAACAGATGTAAGATCTGGATCTGATGAATTGCTGTTTGCGGGGGGGGACTTGTCACGTGAAACCCGACGCGTAAGTGACGCGTCGCCGCCCTCTGAGCGTGCATCTCATTCTCTCCGCCGACAGTCCTCCTCCTCCTCCTCCCTCCTTACATCTCCCTCGCAATGGCACGCACTGCCTTAACACCTGTACCTATGGGCGGCATCAAGTCGTACTACCAAGCGAAGATTGAGGCAGCAGAGCTCGATATTAACCAGAAGACTCAGAACCTGCGACGTCTAGAGGCACAGCGAAATGCGCTGAACGCGAGAGGTATGCCTTATCATTACTGGGGTAGAATGCTACTAACATGAAGCGAAGTACGACTTCTGCGAGAGGAGCTACAGTTGTTACACGAACCTGGTAGCTATGTGGGCGAGGTAGTGAAGGTAATGGGCAAGAACAAGGTTCTTGTGAAGGTGCAGCCTGAGGGGAAATACAGTACGTGATGCACTGCTAGAGAAACGTCGTTTTTGTTGATTGCTCGAGTTAAGTCGTCGACTTCGACGCGGACATCGACGTCGCCTCTCTGAAGCCCACGCTCCGAGTCGCGCTCCGCTCAGACTCGTACACAATACACAAGATTCTTCCCAACAAGGTGGACCCGCTCGTCTCTCTCATGATGGTCGAGAAGGTCCCCGACAGCACATACGAGATGGTCGGCGGCCTCGACAAGCAGATTAAGGAGATCAAGGAGGTCATCGAACTACCTGTCAAGCACCCAGAGCTCTTCGAGTCTCTCGGTATTGCCCAACCGAAGGGTGTCCTCCTGTACGGCCCTCCCGGTACAGGAAAGACGCTGCTCGCGCGAGCGGTTGCGCACCACACAGACTGCAGGTTCATCCGAGTCTCGGGCTCGGAGCTTGTGCAGAAGTACATTGGCGAGGGTAGTCGGATGGTGCGGGAGCTGTTCGTCATGGCTCGGGAGCACGCGCCGAGTATCATCTTCATGGACGAGATCGACTCCATTGGTAGCTCGCGAGGCGAGAGCGGGTCTGGAGGCGGTGATTCTGAGGTGCAGCGGACGATGTTAGAGCTGCTGAACCAGCTCGATGGGTTTGAGGCGACGAAGAACATCAAGGTTATTATGGCTACTAACCGGATAGGTAAGTTGGCCGGTCAAGTGGTGTTATGTTTGCGCTCACACCGGGGAAGATATCCTGGACGCGGCCTTGCTCCGGCCGGGCCGTATCGACCGGAAGATCGAGTTCCCTCCACCGGGTCCGGAAGCTAGGGTGGCTATCTTGCGTATTCACTCGCGCAAGGTACGAACTATCCGACGACCCTCTTTTGACATACGTGCTTATGTATGATAACTGCAGATGTCTCTCCAACGAGGGATTAACCTGCGTGCGTTGGCTGAGAAGATGGGACAATGTTCAGGTGCTGAGGTCCGAGGTATCTGTACCGAAGCTGGTGAGTGCGTTTCTATTTCATAAGGGTCGGATTTTCATCACTGTTGTATGTAGGAATGTATGCCCTACGGGAACGGAGGCAACATGTCACACAGGAAGACTTCGAATTTGCTGTGGCGAAGGTATGAGTCTCCCATCAGTCTGATCTCGCCGACCAATGATTGCTTACTGTGATTGCGCAGGTGTTGAAGAAGAACCAGGAGGGCAACACCTCCGTCAGCAAGCTCTTCTCGTAGTTTGTAGTTCACACACTTGTATTTGATGCTTTCTATCGCATGGACACCTTCATGACCTCGTGCGTATCCCGGTGTACATGAGACAGAACGCATCAGACTACTCAGCGGATGAGTCCCGATGTTATGTTTCCCGCTATTAGTATCGTTCCTCGCTGGTCTGTAACTGCATGCATTCGCACCGTCGTGGATGAGGCACGAAGGTGATGGACTCCTTGCTCTGGCCTGATGAGTTTGGTGCAATAGTTGGTCACTCACAGTGCAATGAAGGTATCGTACGATCTCCAGGTGCTAACCATCTCGTAGGACATCGTGCCTTCCGGACCTCCGACCTTCGACCAACCCACGCCACCGGAACAAGTCCAAACCTTGCTCTCCTGCACGTCGTCCATCTACTTGTCAGTGAATTCCGTTATGGAGTCGGTACGCTTGTACGCTGACACGGGCAGTATGCTACGTAGCAGTTGACACGATTGGCGGGGTTGTACTTGCTCGAAGGGATGGCAGCAACCCGGAACCATGTTCTCCTCGCTTGCGACGGTGCTAGATGAGCGCTTTGGCGCCGGCCTCGAGGCTGCACGGGCCATCTTCTGGTATTCGCACCAAATTTGTGCATCCTCATTAGGGCTTGACACAGCCGACGCACGTACCTGTCGCGTACACGAGGTGTCCGCCTGGCTCAGACATCTCTTCGCTCTGTCTCACAGCGTCCCTCCTCTCTGGCTACACCATGGCTGCCTACCTCGCGTCCTACTGCCCTGCGACTCTGTACGCCGGAGAATGCACCACGCAAGGTTGCAAACTCCAGCACGATGTCAAGCTCTGCGAGACCTGTGGTGTCATCTGTGCTCCTCGGGGAATCTACAGAAGCCACATTCGAGGCAGACGGCACCGCGAACTCACCGCGAACGCAGACAACATCGTCACGTACCCATTTTGTCTCATATGCGAGAGGAATCTCGACAACAATAACAATTGGAAAGCGCACATATCCAGTGCTAGCCATCGAAAGGCAGCGTCCCGCCAAGGTCTCTCTGCGAATGTAGAGCTACCGACCGCTGCACAGCTCGCTCATCGCGCCCAGCATTGTCCGCTGTGCAATGTGACTGTGCTCAAGGACCGTTGGCCTCAGCACCTCGGCAACGCGGAACACAAGAAGCGAGAAGCCATCGCGGCTCACAAAGGCGCTTTCGAGCAAGCAGAGCAAGACAAGGAAGGCGTCGCGGTCGTTCCCGACGGCGACATTGATTTCGGAGTTATCAAGCCAGACGAGTCGAGACAAGGTGTCCACAAAGTCGTAGTCATTCATCTGTCTGCTGGCTCGCCCAGCGCCATTGTGGAGAAAGTGACTGTCTTCGATCGAGCAAATCGAGTATCATCATCGTGAGTTATAGCCTAGTAGTATCATGTTCCTGGACTGACTACGTAGCCTCTAGGTTTCAAGCGCAGCTTGCAGGCGACGGCCGTCTCGTTGATGGTCAGGATGTCCAGCTCAGACTGTCGCTCGTTCAGGCGAACTATGGGCAGTACGATAGTCATCTCGAGCTGCGTTTCCGCAGACACAGCTCCAATCGACAATTCGTCATCGTTCGATCTGTCCACGCCGTCGTAGGCGACCACGGTGACCGCGAGCTCCTGAAGGCGGCTACACCATACGTAGCCAAAAAGCGCGTCCCGTGGAGGAACGGCCAGAGCTACTATCCGGGACGTCGTCCACCAGCGTTGGATGCGGTCCCTTGGGTTCGTAAGTTGAAGATGTACCCTATCCCACCAGCGCTCGCAGCAGCGTTCCGGGATACATCGGCAGATGATCTCACTCAAATCATCCGGACGAGATTCTTGCCGAAAGCATTCAACACCTCTACGCACGTTATCCACTTCAGGACACTTCTGTGGACAGAAGAGTGGCGTATGGAGTATGTCATATGTATTCTTCGTGGCGACATATGTAGACTGACAATTTGTAGGAATGATTTACGTCGTTACGACATAGAGGGCGTGACATTCGTGAAGGATGGGGCGTTCTACTAGTGAGTGACTCTGTGCTTGGCCGTGGACTCATAGTCAATCTCACCTTAGTCTCTCCGTACCCGGACTCGCTGAGAAACGGCCGAGCGTCGTGATCGGTGAGTGATGTCGTCGTCGTCCCCATAAACATGTCTGTTGACTCAGTGTGCAAGGTGACACGATCGAAGTGCAATCTTCGGGAGCAGGCCCTGAGGGTCGATGCTTCCAAGGGTTCGTGCATGACGTACGTCTCAGCGATGTCGGCATCGACTTTCACGCGTCCTTCAAGCCAGCACAAGGGGCACGTTTTAACGTCCGATTCAAGCTTAATCGCATACCGTTGCGACGGCAGCATGAGGCTCTAGGGGTGTTGCCGCTTCCAAGTGATCGTGTCTTGTTTCCGACAACTGCTCACATAGGGACAAGATTGGAGACCCATACTACCCTGTCTCTGTACAATCCGTCAATCGCAAACAACGCTCCGCAACTTCAAGCACTCCGTTTGATTCTGCAGCGGTCAACGGAGCTCGCACCCTTCATCATCTTTGGCCCGTACGTGACTCACTTTGTAGGGTTGATGAGAATGGCATCTGACTCCTGAGTCTATAGACCAGGAACCGGAAAGACAGTGACTGTCGTCGAGGCAATACGTCAACTGCTCCGCAATCCGAATGCCCGTATTCTTGCGTGCGCGCCTAGTAATAGCGCTGCTGACATCCTAGCCGAGCGATTGCTGGCCCTCGGCCCCGATCAACTCTTCAGACACTACGCAGCGTCGCGCAAAAAGAACACAGTGCCGGAGCAGCTGCTTGCGTTCACCTATAGCACCCCACAAGGATACTTTGCTGTCCCTTCGTTGACCAATTTGGCCAAGTTCCGAGTTATCGTCTCAACTTGCGGTTCCGCGTCATTCGCGCACGGCGTCGGCCTACCTCGAGGACACTTCAGCCACATCTTTGTCGACGAGGCTGGCCAAGCAACCGAGGCCGAGGTCATGACAGCGGTCCGACCCATGGCGGCTTCTACGACGGGCATCGTACTCTCAGGCGATCCCAAACAACTCGGACCGATTATTAGGTCGAGCGCTGCTCGCGATCTCGGTCTGGGTGAGTCATACCTGGAAAGACTCATGGACCGTGACGCATACAATGACCAGTCTGGCAGAGGAATGGGGTACGTTCCGTCGCTACTTCGTGTACACAAAGGCTGACAGTATCTCAGATTTGTGAAGCTCGTCAAGAATTTCCGGTCCCATAGTGCAATTCTGAACTTCCCAAACGAGATGTTCTACGCAAACGAGCTGGAAGTGTGCGGTACTCCGTCTGTCATCAACTCGTTCATTGGGTGGCAGCATCTCGTCAATCGCAAGTTTCCTGTCGTCTTTCATGCGATATCTGGGCAGGATGAAAGGGAGGCGTCATCGCCGTCGTACTTCAACATTGATGAGGTCACGGTCGTCAAGGATTACATCCAGAAGTTGAAGGCTGATGCCCGCTTCAAAATATGTGAGCGTATTCTATGTCCGTATCTAGGTGAACTGTTCTGAATGTTTGCTACGTCTCTAGCGGACGAAGAAATCGGAGTCATAGCTCCCTACCGTGCGCAAGTCAGGAAACTGCGTCAAGCACTGTCGGGCTTCGCTCCACATGTTAAGATAGCCAGCGTGGAAGAGTTCCAGGGACAGGTGTGCCTTTTTTGACGTTTACCGTTGCGACACTGACCAAAGGCCATCAGGAATACCGAGTGATCATCCTCACCACTGTACGGAGCACGCGAGACCTTTTGCAATACGACCAGCGCTACACGCTTGGCTTCGTAGCGAATCCTCGCAGGTTCAACGGTTCGTGGATCATCACCAAATGATACAAGTTGGGTCTCACTGAGCTCTTCTGTAGTGGCTATTACCCGCGCGAAAGCGCTCCTTGTTGTCGTTGGCAACGCCTCGGTTCTCTCCACAGACCCACTATGGAGACGTTTCCTCAATTACGTCCACTTGAAGAATGGATGGCATGGAGAACCGATTTCTTGGAACCCAGCGGAACCTGTGCTTGATGACGGCGAGTATGCAAGCCAGTTGCGCGAGCAAGGTGTTGCAGATGTGGCTGCCTTCATGCAGCGCATGCACATGTACTCGGACGGATCGGGACCGACGGCGGAGGATCTCGAGAGCGGCGCAAATATGGAGGTAGCGTTCGTTGAGCCGGACTGATTCGAGGTTGTATACGTTTCGCTCAAAGCGAAGTATGATCTGCTACGTTGTTGTCGAGTTCGAGTCGGGTCACATCAGTCCCAGTCTGTACGCAAGATGCTGCACATCATGTCTATCAATCCCCCTTAGCTATGTGTATAGGTTTAAAAACATCGAGCATAGCACGATCAATTTCCCCCGTGCGCAAGTAGGTCGCGAAATGCGGGTACAAGTGCTTGGACGATGTCGGAGCCCGTGGCTTCCGCGTTCCGTCTCCGGCACAGATGATAGTCGATATACAGGTAGCTGTTGATCGTCATGCGATCGTGATTGGCAAGTGCATGCTCAGAAGAGGCTGTGGTACATGGCTCACCCATAGGCATGGCCGGTCCCGACCCCGCCTCTGCGAACTATCTTGCGTCACGCGTGCGCGATTTCGATGTTCTTGGATAACCCTGAGGATTCTGTCGAGCAAGCACGGTCACTGGAACAAGCCCCGGCGCTTAGCATGTAAGACCATGTATCGACTACTAACGAATGTGCGTACATGGACCTTCAAGAGGCAGCGAGACCGTGGCAGAATAATACAAGGGTGTGTTCAGTCGTAAGGTCATGATGAGTGTCCATGTGTCAGCCTCCGCAAGCTCAGGCTTCCAACGGGTATAGCGCCTCCTCCTTGAGCTCCTCTTCTAGTGCCTGACGGCCAGCTTCAGTTAGCTTGGGTATGCCGGAATCTACGTCGCTCTCGAAGTAATTCGGTACAAACCTGGCACAGCATTCGTGAGCGACAACAAGCAGCCTCAGCAGTATGACCAGTACGTACTGCACGCCCTTCCGTTTCCGCTCCGCGGCATCATCACGCTGGCGCTGCTCGATAGAGAGTTTGTGCTTCGTAGCCTCGCTATACTCCTTCGCCAGCAGATTGTTCGTCACGTTCTCCCACAACTTCCTACTCTCGTTCGGATGTTGTTTCTCCAGCGGCCTGACCGACTTCGGTATCGCACACAGCATAGACAAATCGATCAGAGTTGCATATTCCGAGCTCGGAGCGTTGACACGCTTCCACCGGATGCGGTGTTTCCACGAACCGTCGAGCGTTGCGAGCACACGGTCCCGCGGGACATGCCTCACCCGCGTCCACTCTTGGTGCTCTGTGCTCCCGGGCTTGTACGTGTGGATCACGCCCTCGACCAAGAAGTGCGCCTTCCCCAGCCACGACTCCTCCTTGTACTCGATCACCGCCCGCAGCTTCTCCTCATCCGTTCCGCCACTGCACTCGATGATCGTCGCCTCGCACATCGTGATGTAGAAGCTCCCGCGCAAGATACCGTTCACGGAGCCCACCGGGTGGGTGATCTGGTACGTCTCGCCCTCCCCCGGCCCGCCAGTGAGGCGCACGAAAATGCCCTTGTTGTACGAGCCCGGCACGATGCGGATTGTCGTCCCAGAGACCTTCGCCGAGATCTGGTCTACGCCCATAAGCTCCGTCTTCCGGCTCGGACACGACGCGTAGAAGGCTGACACGGGCGGGTGGTGCGAGACCTGCTCCGTCAGGAATACGACGCGCACGCGCCGCTTACCCTCCACTTCTGGCGCATCGTCCGCCTCCAGCAACTCCGTGCTCCCGTCGTTGAGGTTCAGGCTTGACACGCCCGCCTCCAGGTTCGTCTCGACCAAGTCTGGAGATGTCGCTGGGGTGCTCTTTCCTGGAGTGGATGTGCCGCGCGACAGCGTGCTAAGCCCGCTGACGACGCTCTTGCCGCTCTTGATGCTGCGACCGCTCAGGCTCGCCGTCTCAGACACCGGTATACGCGGCGTCTGCGCCGGAGTCGGCGCCAGAGAAGAGTATGTCGATTCAGGTGCGGGCGAGGTGAGGTAGAGATGCTGGATTGGCGGCTCCGTGGGGTCGGACGGGTACTCGACCGGGATCACATCCCAATGCGATCGGAAGTGCTCTCCGAGAACAGAGTTGTAGGGTTTGCAAACTTTGCCGCGCTACAATGGTACAGTCAGTATGCGTGAACCCATGTATAACTGCGTCAACCACTTTGACTCCGGATACGACACAGCGTTCAACGGCGCAGCAGCACTCCACAGCCACAGCCATCCAGCACTGCAAACATTCGCAACCCCGACTATTGCTGCGCACATCCACGCATGTCTCGCAAAACACAGATGTCTCCATTGAGGCCGCACACACAGACCGCTTCGGGAAGCAAGAAGCGATCCACGGAGCATTCGGAGAGGGAAACACGTGAAGAATAAGTCACTTACTATGAACTTCAGATCCTTGGAGAACGCGAATCGGAGAGCGGCCAGCATGCGTTCGAAAGGATCGTCAGAATCATTAATGCTGTGGTTATGTCAACTCCTCGACGTCCACTGATGATCGCCGACAAAGCAGCACTCACGCCGCGAACAGATCTGGCCGGTCCAGATAATGCCAGTACTCCAGGTTCGGGATCGGCTCCAGCAACGAAGCAGGCAGCGATAGTCGCCTGACCTTGCTATCAGCACGGCTCCAAGGCTCGACAAGACCTGCCACGTACATGGACGCGATGTCCTTCACACCCACGACCTTCTTGACAAGTGATATAATCATCTTGAGCTTGCCGCTCTCGCCCGTGTCGGCCGTGTCGGGCACAGAAACTGGCTGAGAGCCATCGTCATACTGAGTATCATCCGCCGGGGACATGATAGAGCAAAGACGAAGTAGAGGAAGGAAATGGAGGAGGACAAAGAAGAGCACTGCCGTCTCCCGTCCGTGCCACCGTCTCCGAGCGCGTCCTACCCTGCCACATTAAGCGCTTACGTAATATTACGTCTTCGCACTCTTCGCACCCTTAATCGCCAGCGCTGCCGAATTAGGCCGCCTCAACCGTTTCACCTTCAACATTGTCACGGTGAATCCCTGAACAATGTGAACTTTACTTAGGTATGATATCAGATGTCCGAGTCGTACGTTCCACCAAAGACTAACCCAACGGTAGGTCGATCGCAAATTGCACTTACAACTAATCCGAGTCTGTCGATCCAACTCGGCTCTCGAGTTGCAGTGCACGACTCAATGGGATGTTCCTCCTCACATAGATGAACACTATACAGACAGCAGCTACTGTACTGCATATCACTCATTGAATATTGACCGGTTACCGGTGACCCCGCAGCTCCTGCCAGAGTGCTGACTCCACATCACTCGCGGTACCCACCGCCATTGACGTTGATAGTCTGACCTGCAAGGAATATTCCTCAGTATTTCGCTCGGTCTGCTACTCTTCAGAACCAGTACATACCTGTGATGAAATGCGACTCGGGTTTCACCAGATAAGAGACAAAACTCGCTATTACATCTGGTTCAGCCATGGGCAAGGGCGTATCTTCTGGCAATCCAAGCGTCTGCAATGCTGTCAGCATAATAGCAACGCCATGGCTCACTGATACGAACTTGTTTCATTAGTGCGCCAGGCTTGAGACCGAGCCGTACTTCTTCGTCATGACCGACTGTAACGAAGTGAGTTGCCAACAATGTATATACTACCAGAAACACTCACTCATGTTGGTGTAGATCAGTCCAGGAGCATATGCGTTGACGGTGATGTTATACTTGGCGAGTTCCAGCGCTGGAAATAACCATAGTGAGCGGACCACACGATGACCACCCCACCGCTTCTGGAAGAGCCCACGTTCCACGTACCCGTGCTGTTCACCGAAGTATGGCCGCGTCCGCCACTGCATGCCGTTCAGTTGAATGACAGAATTGGATCTTACCTGCGGAGGTCAGCATCCCTGAGCGCATCGTTGGACATGCTCGCGCAGCCCCCGCCGTTGCCAGCAGCGGAATGGAGGTCCTCGTGTGACTCACTGTTATATTGCACGCCATAACCATGCGCGCACGTCTCACCCGCATGCAGACAAGGGAAACATTCAACATCAGAGAATCGATCTCGGCGAGTAACATAGAACACGAGTGAGCACCTCTACATGATACTGATACACATACAAACGACCACACACCGAGCATCCAACCGTCCAAATTCTCCATCTCAGCCATCTCTTTCAGTGAATCCGCACGTCATTCTCGCCCTCGCCCAAGACGAGCCCATTGAGGATGCCCGCGAGCCGAATGCCCGCCATCGCCAACAAACGCTCGACGACCCAGCCCTCGCGCACACGCCCCGCATACTCCGGCGTGTCGAGTTCGAGCAGCTCGGGATGCGGGCGGGGGGGACGGCCCGCTGCCTCCATCGCAGCGTCCCCGCCGTCCATATCGCAGTCATGATGCTCGAACGACGAGCCCTCGACATCAACCGACCTAGAGCTGTGCGCGCCCGCGGCAGCGACCTTGTCGAGCTCCGCAGGCCAGATAGGGAACTCGCAGTTGAGCTCATGGATCGCGCGCGCCCACGCATACGGGCAGAGTACGTCGTCGTCCCAGCGCTCCTCATCCTTGCCCGCCCATAGCCAGCTCCAGAGCCCGCGCGCGCGCTTTGTGTGCCTGTTGTGTCTGCGGCGGCGCACGCCGCCGTTGCGCGTGACGACCTCGCTACGTCCTTCGAGACTGAGCACGCGACCGACGCTGCGCAGGACCGTCTGCATGACCGAAGATTCCTGTTCCGCGAACTCGTCCTCGTCGTCTTCGTCCTCTGACGGGCACGCCAGCCATTCCTCCACCGCACCGAAGCGGCCTTCGCCAGAACGGACTTGGACCCCATCTTTGTCCCTCAGAGACAGCCCGAAGCCGTCGATCATCAGCCTGCGCACGTAGCCGTCGTAGATCGCGCCGCGGAGGTGCACCTCGAGGTCGCCCAGCATCGGGCGTGAGTAGTTCGCGGGGATGCTCCGCAGCGCTTGGGCGAGGAGGAAGCTGTCCCAGACGGAGTGCAAGTCTGCGGGGCATGGTTAGCAAGTGTAGTCGAGGACGTAGTGGCGTTTGAGTTAAGGTTCGTGGCTGCAGTAGGCACGCGAGGAGAAGCGCATCTGATCCACGCGCGCTGGGGCATGAAAGGATGCGGAGCGCATGTAGGCACAGAAGCTGGGAACGAGATAATCATGATGCGCCGCATGTCGGGCGAAAGCAGCTGCTTATTTGCGGCGGTCGCTGCTTTCCTCCCCCTCCCATCTCCCCACGTCTCAACATGTTCATTCCACTATCACGCTCGCTAGACCACAAAGGTCCAGCGGGGGCGACAGAGCCTAGCATACATAACGAGAACTCGGAACGAAAGCAGGGCCTCAGTTCTAGCAAGATTCCGAGTCCTGCTCCCGCTGCACTACCGGAAGGCCCATACTTACTCGTCATCCTCCCATCGAACGTCACCTTCGCGCCATTCCCGCCGCGCTCTCGTCCAGTGAGATGCAGCGGCATATGCATATCTCCTGCGAAGTGCACGAGGAACTTGAGTGCGTCTGCTGCCTCTGCCAGCCCGACCTCGCCGTCCAGGAACCCGGCAACTGCGTAGGTCTGGTTTCCGAGCGCAGCAAGTACATTCGAGTCGCGACGACCAGCCCAGCCTCGCTCGCCAGGGAAGACGCACGACTCCCCGGGCATGTCGTCCTTTGCGCCGACGTAGTGCCAGCTTGCGGTGTGCCGGTACGCGGGAGTCATACGGACGCGATCGGCCCATGCAGCGATAGGAGCGAGGTGACAAGGTGGGTACCCATTTGAGTCCGCTTCCTTGGAAGAGCCAGGATGGAGTATGTCGCAGAGCACAGGAAGGACATCTGGGTGGAGGTGCATCTGTGCGATAGTCGCAACGATTTCGTGACCAGCGGCACCCCAAGCTAGCGCACCGGGAGCACTAGCAAGCGCGAGAGCGGCGCAGACGAGAGTTGCTCGCATGCTTGTGAACAGTCGGGGGGAGGCAACGGAGGACCTGTGGATCAAGATGTGTCGTTATATGCAGCTTGCCCCAATCGGTAGCGGAGGCAACGGAAACAAAAGGGACGGAGTCAGGGTGCTTGCTCTTGTCCTCAGGAAGCCTGAGAAGGGTTTGTCCGCACCGGAAGGACAAGGGAGTGTTGGTACTGCGGGGGGACGATGCTCAACCCCAGACGGTGGCGGAACAAAGGCAGCCAAGTTGAGCGACAGCCAGTCGGCCAGCAGCCTGAGTGTCCGGCCCAGCCACAGTATACAGACGCCCATGTTTACCGCAATAAGCGCCCATTATCCTGACTTTGTGGAAGGCTGCCTCAGGAGAGTAGGCGATGTCGGGCAGTGTTGTACCGTCAGAGCTTACTCAGGGCCGGTACTGAATGTTGTAGCGCGGAGACACTGATCACTCTCAACCGCGAGATGTCCGCCAGGGATTACGGTCAGGAGGGGCCGGGCGCGAGAGGCTGAGGGCGTACGGAGTCGGGAGAAGAGCGGCGAGTCCTCCGTCGCAGAGACTGAGCCTTATATACAGCTTTCTACGTCTCTTCACATGTCAACACGTCGAATGGAAGCGTGAAATGGGGATGAGACAGTGCAGGAGGATAGAACTGCATATACGTCACCATCCATGTGCGCCGAATGCGGCAGTTGGCTTGCCTGATTCAGATCATCCACCGTCCACTCGAACCGAGCGCACCTGTTTGTCTGCCCCCTTTAAATTTTGTGTTACATATCCGCCATTCTAATACACCTGCAGATAGACATATAAAATATGTATCCGTCACTGTTCTCTGCGACGTCTTCAAGTTGTTCACCGATGAAACACTGACCAGTGGACTCCTCCAAGGGGAGCGACTTGCACTCCAATCGGAGAACTATATTCAATGATATGACACATATCGATAAGTATAACAAACCCGCCGCTACTATCCAGGAGCCTCACACCTCGGCTTCCCCGAACGGGTCCCAATCCTCCTCCCTCCCTTCCCCGATCCACTGGTCATGCTCAGAGCCAAGACCTCCCATCTCACTCCAGAACCCATCGGACTGCAGGTCCCCCACCTCTCCATCCGCAAACAGCGAGTCCCCATCGAACTCTACATCCTCATTCGGCCCGTCGATCCCCTCTCCGTCAACATCCTCGCCGCCATCCGAGTCGACGACCAAGATACGTCCACCCTCCTCTGCCTCTTCCTCCCGCTTACCCTTGCTACTCTGCTTCTTTCTCTTCCCCTCATCCTCTTCCTCACTGCTCCCCATCTCCTTCAACCCGCTCCTCGTGATCCGCGTCAACCTGTTCGACGCCCGCCGCACGCGCCTCGCGAGCAGCGGGTGCGCCGGAAACGGCGTCGTGAGCGGGAGCGTGCTCAGTGTGCTCCGCATGCCGGGCGACGAGAGCGGGTACGACAGTGTCCGCGCGCGCGCCCTCGGGGAGAACGTGCGCCGCAGCGGCGACGTGCGCGGCCTGCGCGGACTGGATTGCGGTGACTCGAGGGACGGGAACGCGAAGAGGGGCGGCGAGGAGTTCGAGGGCCCGGGGTGTGTGGGCGACGAACTGTACCGGGGCGGGGACGAGGGCGGGAGTGGCGAGTGAAGGCGATCCAGGCGGGCGTATGGAGGCGAGCTGAACCCTGCGTCGGATAGACCAGGGGGGAGGGTGCGGGTGCGCTGCCGGCGGAGAGTACGCTCGCGCTCTTCCTCCTGAGAGAGGAAACGCGCGAACGCGTCGAGGTGGTTCCATCGACGGAGGCGGAGCTCATCTGTGTCCGTCTCGTCCTCAAAGACTTCGTCCGACAGGCAGGCGAGCGATGGAAGGGAATCGAGGGAGGTGGATGGAGTAGAGAGATGGGCTATGCGGATGGCTCCACGCGCCGACCCCTTCCAGCGAAAGACAAACGGCTGGTTCCCGACGCCCTTACGCGGCATAAGCTTGCTGCTGTTCTGCGTGATATGTATGGACACGCCTGGAAGGTGGTGCTGCAGGGCACATCATAAGCCAGAGATAGCATACGAGTGAAACGGACGACGCACATATATAATGCCCTTCGTTAGATCAGGACCATCTGGCCAGATGTGTCCAACCGTATAGTCGTCCTCCGCCTCCCACACCCATTCCGTCGCACCCTTACCGTCCCCTTCTGCATCATCTCCGCTGAGGTCGTCCGCGTCTTCTTCGAAGCTCGTCTCCGGCACGCTGATGACATCCAGCTCCTCGCCTTCGTCCCACGCGCCACTCGTACTCGCAGCAGACGACGCGTAACGAGAGGACGCACCAACGAGCGCGTCGTCGCCGAAATCCGGAAAGAGCTGCCTGTCACGCACACTCGATAACCGCACGCGGACGCGCCCCGCGTTGCGCTTGATCACGCCAGGGCGGTAGCTGGGCGTGTAGAGCTGCACGTCGTCGCGCACATCGAACACATGCCCGGCCCAGCTGGGTGGGATGTCCGTGCCTATAGCCGGCCGCGGGGCGAACGCCGGCTCCTCTACCTCCGCCACCCTCCGCTTGCCCCTCGCACGTCCGTCGTGAGCGGATCTCGTACGGCGCTGTCCATTACTAGACGGAACCTTATGTTCCTTCAGCCGCGAGCTGCGCCGATGTCTGGTAGGCAGCTTCGCGCCTGCGGGGCGCTCCCAGCGCGCGTCGGACGCGAAGAGCCAGAGGATGAGTTTGTGGAGATGGCGCAATGTATAGTTCGTCGGCACCTGGACGACGCGGTGTACGTTGTCGAGCTCCTCCGCGAGTGTCCTCGCTAGATCCGCCTCATCCACGTCTCCGCCTATGTCATAGTGCCCTACGCGAGCCTTGCCCTTCCCCTTCACATCGCGGCGTGGCGGCTCATACACGAGTTGAAAGCGCAAGGCAAGGTGTTTCGCAAACCCGAGCGGACGCGGGAGCTTGAGCGCGAGGAGCGCGCGCTGGAGGCCGAATGGGTTCGACGGCGAGTCGGAGGGGATGCTGTACGGCGTGCTGGTTCCCGTCCCTGAGCTCGGAAAGGAATAACGAGTGTAGGGCGAGGAGTCGGACGCGGATGGGAGATAGCGGCGCGTGGGACTGCTCGTGCCGGGCTCGAAGCGGGCGCGCTTGGATGGTGGCGTCGCGGAGGAACTGGGGATTTCGAGTGCATGTTTGACCATTGTGTTACGTCTCGTGATAGGAGGGCAGGAAGACCGGTCGGAAGGCTGGACAGGCTTGGAACTGCCCTTCGATGCGCAGGATCAAGGCGGCGCTGCGCAGAGTCACAGTCAAGATGATAAATATTGGCAACAAAGGACCGACACCCACAAGTTGGTTCGCGAATTATTGTTGTGTCCAGAAGTAGCACTTGCAGCGCGTATCAATGTGGAAGAAAGTGCTCAAGCTATAGCCGGTCAACGCAATGGGGAGAAAGAGAGTAGTGACACTGACACGACCGGGCCGGGGATCATCAACAAATAACGATCACGTGGACGCGTCGCGTCGCAGGCCCGAGCGTCTGAGTGACTAACTCTCCAGAATCCGACTACTTACGGTCTGAGTAACCCTTCTGCGACATCCCCTGATATATTGTGGCTTCTGGCGACGTGTTGGATATACCACCGTCTTGGGTGGCCGAGACCAAGATGTTATATGACGTGGAACAGCACGATTGTACGTCGGTTCAAGCTCATGGCGTAGCCACCGGGTGGCCATACCTAATGTCACGATCTATTATTACACCTGTTTAACTTGACGAGCCCCTACAAGATTTCCTGATATTCCTGGACATGAGCTAGGTGCCTCTTCCATTTCCCTCCGTTCAGATCCTCGATTCTCTCCCAACCTCCCTCAGGGCCTGCCAGCCGGAACCAGATGAACATCGCAGCCAGAACAAAGTCGGCATATCCTGGTCCTTGTACAGTTCCAAACAGCCATCGTTCTCCGTGCTCAATCTCATCCGTGAGGGCTGACAATTTGCTCAGGCCCTCTTCAAGTGCCTGCCACCTCTCGGCCTCCTCTTCTGGACTGCGAGCTACCATGTCTTTGACATCGACACCTTCAACAAAGACAAGTTGATTCCTCAGCCACAACAAAAATCGTATGGACGAGGTGGGCATACCGAAAAGCATCTTCCTGGTGCCAACGAAGTACTCAGCGTCGCGTTCCGGCAGGATCTTGGGCGTGGTGGGTATGACCATGAACGGCATCCGCCTGATGACGTTTTCCATTATCGCGTCACTCCACCTGATCTGTGCTTCTCTTCCATGGGGATATATGGACGGCTTCGGGTACGTTTTCTCGAGATAGTCCGCGATGATCGCTGAGTCCGACAGAACAACTGGCGGGTCCACCGAAGCGTCGATGATAGCGGGTACGCTGTACTTCGGGTAACTTTGACTCGTGGGCGGCGCACCGACAGCGGAGAGCACCTCGCCAATATCGGGAAATGCCACCCATTCGGTGGTGTACGGCACTTTCTTGTAGTTCAGCACGAACCTGCCCCCCAAAATACTGCATGAGAGTTCCGTGGAGTGTGATGTTTGAAATGGAACCTACCTTGCTCGCCAGGTGAAAGGCGACCACGTCTGAGGGGTACATGTCGAACGTAGGTCAAAGAGTTTGATGAGTTGTTGGCCGGACATCCTTACCTTGCACAACAGTGCAATGCTACGTGCTCGGGTTATATTGACTGAGACGCGGCTGTGCATCGATTGTGACTCCAACTGCGCTTCCGCTGTCGTCAGCTGATGCCGCTACTTCAGCCAAGAAGTAAGGAAAGTCGCTGCTTATATCATATATCAATGATCGTTATTACCGGCAGTCGAGGAGCAACTGTCGAGTCAGACTAACTGACACGTTTCCCACTCGAGTCCTTCGCTGCATTTCAACCTGCACGTCACTTTCTCTGACTCGCTGACTCGAAAGCTTACCTTCTCTCGGAGTTCGCAGTGCCTTGTGAGGCGTCAGTGTGTCACGTATCGTAGCCATTAGCTAAGTATGTCGTCACAACAAAGGAGCGGGGTTCTTCACATTGCTTCAGACAATCATTCTATGACTTCGCACCTCGTACTATTCATAGACCTATGTCGACCGTCAGCGAGAGCACTATGAAGGTGAGTCCTTGACGCACCCTTGTGAGGTGTCTGACGGGCTTATACGCAGCGGAGCACGCGAGGGTGACGGAACCGGGCTATCATAATGAAAGGGGCAAACAGTGTGTGCAGTGGTGGAACCGCGAATGATCTACATGTCATCGTAGAATCCAATTGCACAGAAATGATCAGCGATATCGCAGCTCGCCGTTCCACTTACTTTCGACAGGTCAGGACTCAGGTCATATTGGCTACATCCGAGTAAATACAATATGGCGAGTCCATTAGTAGCTGGGAAAAGACGGTCATACAAGATCACCATACATACATAAGTACATCCGAGCGCGATAGTCAAGGCCACTGGCCAGCCGCCAGTTTCGATATCCTAGATTCATTCTCCGTCCGACAATAGCCAGCGGACACTCCCTTGGCGGAGGACTGCCCCAGTCATCGAGTCGCACAAGTCGCACCTAACGCCAACGCGGGTCTGTGCCCTCAGCGTGTGGGGCAAGTACTCGACGAGTGGCGCCGCGATGTCCGCCGTGACATTGTCCGAGAGACCTGCCGCAGGAACGAAGGCGATGCGGATCAATACCGTCAGTGAGGGTTTGCGCGCGTGCAGTTGCACGAGGGCGGCATCCATCGCGGCCCAGTCTACGAACGTCCAGTACATGTTCGTCGGGCGGAAGAGGCTGAAGCCCAAGGTAAGCTCGCGTAGGTTCGTAGCGTCGAATTGCGTAAGGAACGGGGGAAGCGAGGGGCAGAAGGCGTCGAGGTCGTGCGAAGACGCGGCAAGGTTCAGATCGAGGCTCTGAACGTTGGCGTACTCGGAGGCATCGAGGTCTGCGAAAACTGCATAGCTGATGGGTAAGGATCTTGACTAGTTGAAGGTTCGACCACTCACTATTACAGTCATATCTGGTGACGAGATCCAAGACCCTGATGCTGCTCGCGGAATCGCGCAGCAAGCCTAAGAGGATGCGCTTCTCGTCTGCAACATATGTTGTCCATCCAAACTGCCGCGTTGCTTGCAACGACGGGAACCTCTGTATACGTCGCAGCAAGTCGATTGGACTCGGCACGGTAAAGAGTGACAAATGTCCAAGGTGCTGTAGTGTGCCTCGTGCGTCCTCGAGCTCTGTCGGTGCCAGTGGAGAGTCGCTATTATCCTGCCACCAGAGTGCTCGTTCTATGTTGAGGGTGGACAGTCGAGGAAACGCTGCTATCAAGCGTGTGATGTCATGTATGGAATGGACCATAACAGAGGAAAGGCGTAAGCTCTTGAGGTCAGGGAGTGGGAAGAGATGAGAGAATGATTGGAGCTCTTCGCCCGTTTCCAAGTAATCCATCGGGAGGTGAACATCGAGGTCAACATTATCCAGTTGCAGTTCGCTGACGTTGGGTAATCGCGTGATGATGTCGTGCAACAACAGTGCGTTTCCGCTGTCATACTGGTCGCCGAGTCGGCACAGAGGCAGGCCGACGATATTGATGATCTTCACATACAGTGCAATGTCTGTTCCAGCCGCACTCGAGGAGTCGAGCGCGTCTCGAAAGCACAAACAGGCGAGTTGCGAACAGAGCTCGATGCGATAAAAGAGGTGGTATCGCGAGGATGTGAAAAATACTCGACACGTAAGGCTGCATTCCCGTAGTGTCGGAGTGTCGTTCCATAGATGATCAATAACCTGTTCCCATAATTCCGGTGGAAGCTGGGGTACAGGACTCGGAGTGTACATCGCTTCTTCCAGTGGACAGCCGTTCGGATAGCTCGCCGGATCAAATATGCATTCCTACGTAGGGAAACGATTGTCTTGCAAGTTAGCGAAGTCTATGAACAAAATTGATAGCTTACCAAAGCACTAGTCAACGGATGAACCATTGATTTGAGACCTCCAACTGAAGGTCGCAGGAATACAAGCTTCGAAGCGGATGTGGGTCTGGAAATTAATCTCATGAATACCATGATGGTCCCAAGAGCACTGCGCCTGGCAAAAGTTGCGGTAGCTGGCACATGCATACATACCCTCTCCCGTGAAGATTTGCCCCTTGAAGTCCCACTTATGACAGGAAGAGTAGGTTGAGAGTCGACCTGAGTGCCAGTGGCACGCCTGACTACTCAAAGGTGCCTTGAAGGGACTGAGCGGAGTGACCTGGACGCGATGTTGTCAAGCAGTGAGAACCCAGAGGCTGAGTGTGCCGGCGGTGAGGAGGAGATTAGGCGTTCACGGGATCGCAACGCCGGCTGTCACACACGCGTGATGGACGTGACGACGTCGGACGCCCGACCCAGCGATACTTATGTAAGTACTTAAGTTTTTTTTTTTCTTTTCTTTTTTTATTCACCGGGTTTAGACTCCGTACAACGTAGGCACATGTAGAGTATAATAATAGAGAGTCCCTCGACGCATTCACCCGCCTGGTAAGTACTTAAGTTATGTCCATGGATCCATGGCGCCGGCGTGTTCGGCGGACTGGGCTACAGTAGAACTTCTCCAGGGACACTCAGTGAGCGTAGACGGTACTAGATGGACCTACAGAGGCTGACTAGCTTTCGCCTACAATAAATCATAATTAACCAGTGCCCATACATGACAGGAACGTTTCAACATTTGAACTGGGGCCCTATACTACGTATTGGTACATAACGTCATGCCCCCGTCTGAAGTACCAGCTGGCGATCGAGTTCGTTGTAGTACAGGCAAATTTGACTACACCACGACTCTCCCATGGTTTGAACAAGGGGCGGAGCATCCCAGAGATTGTCGCTGCAGTGAGCGTATCTGCCCACTCCTTGCTGTGACGGTGCCCTTGTTTGTAGTACACCACCGTCCTGACACGGACGCCCTCCAACGCCTCGAAATAGGGCTGGTTCATGACATCGTGCAGGCTGCGCAACTGCGAGTCGAAGCTGTTGCGAAACGCCACGGTGCTCAGCTCGTCCTCGTCACATCCGCCGCGGGTAGATACGCAGCAGTAAACCTCAATATGCGCGAGCTTGTGGCTTCGGATGGTAGAGAGGCGAGCGCGCAGCCTTGCTGCCACCGCCAGCCATTAATGCTCTGCAGGCGGACTAGAGAATAGCGTCGAATATGAGACAATGATGTCGAACTCCCAGTAGCTCAAGGCTGGATTATTCATGAGGTTCGTGCAAGGGCCTGTGCCATATCCGGTATCATTAATAGCTGGTTGGTTACAAAGCAGGAGGTATTCTCACCGCGAGTGAAGATGTTTCTCTCGCAGAAGGAAGTCAAGCATGACCCGCTTGCTTCGAGGAGCCGATTGGCCTGCGTAGATGGGAACTCCGCAGCGGTGTCGGATGAGGCATCGATACCAAGCACTAACTGGCGAAGGCCAGCGCAGATTCCTGAAGAAACAAGCCAAGTGACCATATATCGCATATTGCGGACTTCAGATTCTTGAGCGTCACGGTTCTCAGGCAAACAGGCCATACCTCCGACCAACGTGATCTCAAGGCTTTGCAGTCGGATGGGAGACCTATTCTGGGTGACGATGTCCGATAATCGGTGAGTTTGAGCGCTGAATGGGTACGGGACCTCGAATTGAAGGTGGAGAGCGAGTTCTTGCAGGCGCGAGAACGCAGATACGATCCGTCGCAGCTGGACGAGGAGGCTTAGGCGAGCGCGCAAGCACAATCTGGTGACGTGGTTCAAATTGGGGAGAGCCAGGTAGAATGTCGGATGCATAATGGGACGCAGGGCAGTTATTAGGTCGAGCACTTGCAAAGCTGGTAATGCATGGGCCAGCACCAGAGGCAGGCTATCCAAGTAGGGGATGTAGACCTTGCCAGTGTCGCTCCGAACATCGATGATGGATAGCTGTCGTGTGGTTGCCAGCCATCGTTCTACACGAGGCGATGTGTGTAGCTGTTTCACCAACAAGTCATAGCTCCTGCGCGACGAGATCTCGAGGCTTGAGTACATGCCGCGAGCGGCACGAAGATACCAAGCCCGGCAGACCAGCGCAGCGTGTCGCAGCATACGCCACTGACGTAGCATTGTACTCACGCCGTGTTATTGCTCGAATAGTGTACGATATTATAGAATAGAGGGGGCCGCTTGGGTTGGATCCTGTCATGAAAGTAGTGAACGTTGTCGGATGTCACGTGTAGTAGATACGCGTACATTGCGGCTAAATGGACCCATCTCCTCCTCCTCCTCCTCCATGTGGTCGATGACATTCTCGTGGCTCTCGATGGGGATGCGATCGGTAAGGGATAACGACAGGGTGAGTTCATTGCGATCTGTGTCCTCGAGCTCGGCCAAAACGTCGAGTGTGAAGTCATGGCTTCCATCAAGAGCTATCTGGTCGTCCGAACTGCTCGCAAAGTCTTCCTCAGAGCTGTCTTGTATGATTGCTAGCTCGTGCGTCAACAGACACAGGTGATCCTGCAGGCATAGCCTGGACGAAAGGTCAGCACTGCTTGTACCGTCGCTGATAGACATAGGACCAACACAGCTGACGGAACTGTCTCCCGACATCGCCACGATACTGCGAGCAGAGATCATAAGCTTTATTCGTTGAAGCTGTTTCGTGAGACTCACAGTGGGATCCCAAACCCAGGCTGCTTATCTACATAGCAGCGTAGGCGGTGCAAAGGCTGTTCAATTCGTTTCGACGCGATAGAAGCTGGAAAGCGTCTTCTGTCTGTTATTTTGAACAACGAAGGCTCGACGACAGGGCTCCGGGTCTTATCCGATCGCAATAGTATGGACTCGTGCCCTCGCGTGCACTGTCATTGCTAATTGTGCCGTTGAACCGCCAAGTCCGCACAGTCAGCGTCTCAACATGGCTTTCGGAGCTTGCAAGTCCCGTATATTGGGGATCCGAGCTCTGTTATAATCAGATACTGGTGAGTATGCGCATACAGAGTCCAGACTCAGGGTCGACCCGCGCCGGGAACGTTTGCATCGTGGGCGGAATGGAGGTGGTGCCCGAGGGCAGCACGTGGGATGTTCGAAGTGACTCTGCGGTGCGGTCAACGTGAGCGAGAAGGTCGTGCGAGCCTTACGGGAGGCGAACAAGCCCGCGGGAGACAACTGTTGCAAATATCGTCGGTGGCCGGCATCCTGGGGATCCCGGGTACTGCATTTCATGGCATCGTAGCTTGATATTTGGCTTCGGGTCGCCCCTTTTACTCCGGGCTTCGCTGAACTTGGCACCCAGACCTTGTCGCGTCGACATTGGTCACGAGATATTGCGTAGAGCTTTCACCACTCTTCGCCAGTGGTATGTATGGATGACCTGATGGTCACAGATAAGGGCGGCGGCATATCATTGGGGGTGCGATGAGACCAAGCTGAGTTGTTGTTCTATACCATGACGTGTCATTGACGATGCATATATGATCGGAATGGAGGACATACCGCGCGGTGAGGCTTCGCAAGTGAATCGACTTGACTCTGAGACATGTCTCCATCTGGCACAATATCAGATATACAATACAATGCATTGCGTCTAGCGGATCGTAACGAACAGACAAGGACGAGGAGCACACGTATACTACAGAATAGTGGATAATACAACCGATTGCCACTCCGAATTTATGCACGATCGCCAGCGTCCAGATCAGCCTATGGCCATAGGCGCATCGACAGCCTCACCGAGCTCACGTCGCGCCGCGTCCTGGGGACGCATCGAGAAGATGACGTCCTTCAGAACCTGCGCGATAAGCCCATGTTGCGCTTCCGTCGCAAGTTTCTCGCTACGAACGATATTTGTTAGTTCTGTCCACATCGAGACGGGAACTGACATACCTGTCTTTAGCACCCTTCAGCAACTGGTTCTGATCCTCTTTCTTCTTCTCTTCTTTCTACTCGCCGCCGTTAGCATTCAATGGTCATCACACCCAATGCAACTAACCTTCGCAGCCTTGTCGTCCTTGAGTGCAGGCGGCGGTGCCTTCGTGTTCGGAACATTCGTCTGCGCTTTCGTGAGCTTCTGTGCAAGATCCGAGAGCTGCGAGGCTGCATATGCTCGGTTCTGTGGATGTTCAGTCGATTGCCAACGCAAGCCACAGTGCAGAACATACCGATATCAGCGCGCTCTGGCTCAGCGTGTTGACCCAGTACTTGTTCCACAGCAAACCGAGGAGCTCAGCGTCTAGGCTGCTCTTGAACACCTGCACCTCCAGCGGGTAGTATTGGTTCGCGTGGACACCAAAGTCTTCGATCTTGCTCAATGGGATACTCTGGTACTCGCCCGCGCCCGCCTCGGGCGGGACATAGGACTCAGGATACGTCCGGAACGCACCGATGTCGACCTTGCCCGCGGAGATGGTGCGGTTCGGGTCGATGACCACGGCGACGAAGGGGTCCTGGTACTTCTGGTTCGTCATCTGTGTGTTGACGTCGATACCCGAAAGCCAGCAGCCGTAGCCCGGATGCGAGTGATACCACCCAACGGCGTTCTCATAGCGCCCGACGCGCTCGCTGCCCTGGATGTACTGGACCATGTATTCATTCGCCTCGTTCGCCGCGTTGACACGCGTCTCTGTACCCTGCACTGGAAGGGCGAAGGAATCGACGATGACGAGGGTGCGATCCATGATCTTGCCGTGCATGAGGCCCATAATCTCGTAGGGCACACCCGAACGCGCGTGGATGACCTGAGAAGCGTGGATGAGTGGCGATCGAGGACGAGAGGGAAGGTACGTACCATTTTGATCAACGCTACAGCAGAGATCTTGCATACTCTGAAGTAGTGCGGACTGCATCGCCAAGGGTTAGCTCGCATTCGAGTGTTCAGCATTCAGAGGGACGGTACGCACTCACGCGCCCAAGGTGCCTCCTGGAGGAGCCTACGGTTCGCTGCCTGGTCGAAGCGGTAGATCTCGTCTTGAGGTGAGACTTCTAAGATGTCATTGGTCAACGAGAAGGTCTTCAGCGCGGTGCTCGACGACGCCATGGTCGTCGAAGAGGAAGGCAGCGCTGGGCAGCGCTCATGCAGGCCACACAGGCTCGTGGACTAGTAACAGAAGTCAATATAAACCCTATGTTACCTTTGTTATCATCAATTCATTTTTTGCTGATCACCAATACAGATGGTCAATACAGCATTAACAAGTATTACAAGCCTGTCTACAAAACACTACAAAGATGAACGCTAAAACGGTAATAGAACTCTGCAGCTATGCCTCTTTGAATGTGCCCTCCACTCCGCGTCGCCGTCAATTTCCTCGACGTGCTCAGCGCTGCCCCCATTCATGCCCATCGTTTACGGCCGTCTCTCTTGGTAACCCGTGGTGGTCGTCGCCGCTCTGCGGCTGCCCGTTCTGCGTCCACTGCCACCACATCTTCCGGACAGTCTACGCCGCCCTCGCCAACATCGCTCACGGAGTCTCCGACCAACCTCGACCCTTCTGCTGCACCGGAGCCTTCTGCGCCACGTCCAAACACGTTACCCACTCAGATCCAGATAGAGCAACAACGATTGCGCTCGCGGGGCGGGCAGAATCTCACAGCGCGATGGAAGCGACTAGAACGCTCTCTGCGAGGGAAGGGCGGGTACGAGGCACGCAGGGACACTTTGATTGAGCAAGCGGACCATGCCTCTGCTGACGCGGAGATGAGCACATTATCCACGAATGCACCGCGGACTCGGACGTTCTATGGTCTGGCGTTGCCCGAGAGGCCCAAGGAACCCCAGTCAGACGGTACGTCGTTCTGCTTCCCTTTGCATTTCCATATAGTCTAAGTCGGCTGTCTGCACGGATAGAATGCTGTATGTCCGGTTGTGCTGTCTGCGTATACGACTTGTACGCTGCTGCCCTCGAGGATTATAAACATGCATTGGACGCCCTTCATTCCGCATTGCAAGCACGCGGAGTGCCAGAGCGCGAATGGCCGGTTGAGGTTGCAAGGAAGGACGTCGCGGAGGAGAAGACACCCAAGTCATCCCATAATGTCGCTCTCAGCGCCTTCGAGGAGCTTGAGCGATCTCTGCGCGCGAAGAGGGAGCGTGAAGCAGCAGAGAGTCCCGGTTAGTGTGCGCACCCTGCCCTACATCACTACTTTCCACGGTTCTGAAAGATGCACCAGATGTGTCCGATGGTGTTCGACGCGAACGTAGGAAGCGGAGACGGACATTGCCTACCGCTGCTGCACTATATGAAGGGCTGCGATGGATCGTATTCAGTCAACGATAGCTCATTAGAGCGTGGACTGGACTGCGATTTCCCTCATGCCCCTCGATAGAGCGATGATCCGCGAATGTCTTACTCTGGACAACCAAGGAGGAACATTCCTCAGCTCGTGACGCATTGTACAAACATCGCACATCCACCATCTCATACACATGCCATGTGCATGAACAGTAAGTAAGCCATCCGTCGTTACATGCTCGTATGATTGTTCTGTAGGCGCACTTCGCGAGCAGGCAAGCCAGAGCTTTATCCCGCCGAGCACCGTTTGACCTTTGGTTGACGTCCTCCACCTCTACCTCATTAACTCTTGCACAACGAATCCGCACAAATCATACTTCGGCGAAAACGACTTGTTGCCCAGAAACTTGGCATCTGAAGCTGGGTGAGAGCCTGAGCCTTCATCGTGGCATTTTTGGAGAGTACGTGTGTTGAGGGAAGCTGCAAAGGCTTAGGGGGGTTCCATAAAGGTAAGTGTACATATGCTGGCCAAAGACGATTATGTCGGTTTCTGACCCTACCGCCGGCATACAGTAATTCCATGACGGCGAGCCATGATGATGAATAAGTTACACCCGCTAGATCATCACAAGGTCGCTCTTCAGCTCCCTCACCAGGTCTCGTCGTCCAGCGGAGCTAAGCCAACCTCTGACTTCGAATGACGCCAGAACCAAGAGTCTTCGCCATTCAATTGGACGAGCGCACGCGAAGACACCCCGCCCCAACAGGCGCGTCTTATCTGCGCATTTCTGGTCAGGTGTCAAGCGTGCAACAATCCACGGCGAGTGCGATATCAAGATATAAGCTGGACGAGGTGGCAGGCAGTCTTCCCTACTCCTTCCATGTTATCTGACTAGTCTCGACGGTAGTTTGGGACTGGCGACCGTGCACATCAAGCAGGCTTTTACTACTCTGGCTACGCATATAACCAGTACATTTATCGGGTCTCAATAGGTGTTTTGGGGTGGTGCGTCAGCGTTGTACAGCTACCGACTGCGGGTCCTGGTCTAGGTTTTCTGTTGCTTTGGACTGGGTTGGGCCTGGTGTCTTTGGTTTGCCTCCGTGCTCCCTGAGTCCCTCTCACCGGGCTACTGGGAAGCATGACGTGGCATATGTTCTCTTTGGCTGCGGCGGTCATTCTGGGGTGTTTACTTCACGGGCTAGGCAAGTCGTCCCGGTACGGCTGATTACCGAGGTGCGGAATGGCCGGGCCCCCAATTCGGACAACTCCACTCACTGTCCGCCCCGTTGAGGAGGTGTATTTCTTACTGCAGGTCAGGTCACACAATCCGCCCGACAGCAGTTCGGTGAGTTAGATGCCTTTAGTCTGGGACCATATGCTATCCTGACGGCGGTGACCACGTTCTGACGTCGGTTGACAGTCTAACCTATGCACCCGGTGAGAGCCTAGCCATCCAGTCTTGTGAGGAGAAGGATGATCAGCTGCACGCGCCGGTCATACCGGAAAGGCGGCGCGCCCTGGAACCTTCCTTCGTCGTGATGTAGCCACGGCATTACGTCTTCCACATCTCCCTTTCTCAGGTAAGTCATCCCTTCCGTTGACCTCATCGCCGCGCACGTCCTGACTACCCCCGACAGGCTAGCGCTCGGGGCGTGCTGCATACATATGGGTTGTGGTGTATACCTGCCGTTGTATGGGCCGTGTACCGTAGCAATACATGCTTAGATGCGTGTGTCATTCTTGACCGTACGTGCGTAAGACGTCCTGCGATCAAGTTTACGCAACAAGCAGTCGTGTGGTGAGAGGTCCTATTACAAAGTTTCTTTACTTATCGTACAAACCCCGCCCAGACTCCTGATGTTTCCGAGATCATCAGTACAGAAGGCTAACTTCACACTTGGCGAATACAGTCTCCAGGGCCACTCATCACCGTCACGCTGCGCTATCGATTGATGTCGCGGACGTGCAGACGTCGACGCGGTGAAAAGGCAAAAAGCTCTGTACCACGAACTGCAGGGGCGGTGAAAGCCCCATTGGGCGACCTGGTGCGCTGGCTTCCGTCGCAGCTCAGCACACTAGCGGCATGCCCAAACCTAACGCGAAAGAGAGTACGTACAACGCACTTTGATGACCTTTACATGGTTCTTTGCGCTCATTGATGCTCATTTAGACTGCTGTGCACGCTCGCAGCCATTGGCGCGCGCTCTTCGGTGCTAATCCGTGTTCGCCCCAGGGGCGCATCCCAACTGTTGGCTCGATAGGCCAGTGCACAGGGGGCGTCATGCTGATGTCAAGACGGGGTCGAGGCGAATCGGCTGCGTCCCATGGCCCCTTCTGCTCACTTGGCCGAGCGTTCGAGTCTGTTCGCCCGCTGGTCCCGGCAACTTCCGAGGCACCTGGACCGACGCCCCAGTGCGGGGCTTGCCTTTCGCGGCACATCCGTCGAGTTTTCAGCCTCCCCGTATTCGGACGGATCGATGTGCGCGTGCGCGACCGTCTGGACAGATACCCCGCGCAGGTACAAATCCATGTCCAGGTGCGGTCGCTGGGGCCCCGCACCTCTTGCGCCTCGCACTCCTCGTCCGCGACCACGCTGCCCCTGTCTCTGAGCCTCCTGGCTTCACACGCGCCAGCACCCGCTGCGAGCATCGGCAATGATTGCGAAGGTTCCTGCGTTGGATCTGGAAGAGCCTGTCGTCCTCCATGAGGACCTCGCTACGACATTTACCGGTGTCATCCATCCGGTTTCCACTGCTGAGGTGCCCGTACACCAGTATCGTGGAATAAAATACGCCAGCATCCCTGCGCGCTTCCGTCAGTCGAGGCTGAACACTACATATCCTCCCCAGACGGACGCTAGTCACTATGGGTGAGTTGAAGGTGAAAACGTGTGCAAGTCCTATACTTATCCTGTTTATGTAAGACCTATCTGCCCGCAGTCAAGACAACCCGACGCGGACGCAGAACTGTTTGGCATTTCTGAGGACAACATACCTGTCCAGCTTCTAAAACAAAATGAATTCGAATGCTTGAATCTTAACATCACTTGTCCCGGTAGTGCGACACCAGAGTCGCGTCTCCCTGTTATGCTCTGGGTACACGGGTACGTCTGGACCACTTCCTTCGCTTCTCCCCTGCTAACAATGGTGAAGGGGCGGAAACCGTGGTTCAGGCTCCAAGTGGGTCTATGACGGTGGCGCCTTCGTACAGAAAAGCATGCTCATTGGCAAGCCTGTGATTATGATCACCTTCAAGTGCGTACCGTTCACTCTCCATGTATGCAGGTGCTCACACGAATTCATAGCTATCGCCTTGGTCTCTTGGGCTTCGCCGCGAGCACTGCCCTTCGTGAGGACAACAGGGCTGCAGGGGACGAGGGCGTCGGTAACTACGGTATGCATTTCTTATTCGATGTCATTGCTACTGAACCCACGTCTGACATCATACATTAGGTCTTCGCGACCAGCGGCGAGCGCTAGAATGGGTTTATCACTTCATTTCGGCCTTCGGCGGAGACCCTTCGAACATCGCGCTCTTCGGCGAGTCGACGGGCGCTGCCGATATTCTCTGCCACCTTCACTCTGCTTCAAATGAGAGACAACCCCTTGTCCAGCGCGCCATCGTCCAGAGCGCTATCATGGACCTCGAGATCCCGACTGTCCATGCCGCCGGATGGCAGCTGTCGAGATATATGGCCGCGCTGCATGTGCAGAGCATCGACCAGCTCCGCAAGGTAGATGCGGACAAGCTCGTCATGCTTGGCGGGAGCGTGCGCGCAGTCAACGATGGTGTTTTCTTCTACAAACACTTCTCCGGCTCGCTGGCTCCCGAGGCCGAGCAGCCAGTGGAACACAGACACGGCCGCTCGCACCATCTTGCCCACAATCACAACCATACCCACCTTCGCGCCGGCTCGCGGTCTCGCTCGCGTGCGCGACACACGCCCGTGCCGACGCGCCAGCAACCACTGCTCATCGGCGATTGCAGCGACGAGGCGCTCCTCTGGGCGCTCCCCGCGTCGATGTGGTCGGCGACAGCGATTGAACGCCGCGTACGCGCGATCTGCCAGTCGCTCACGAAGGCAAATGCGCTCCTGCGTGCATACGACATTTACCCACATGCACCGCCGGACGAGCTGCATGCGCGCGTACTCGAACTCATCAATGATGCGCGCTTTGCTTGGCCCGCGGAATGCGTCGCTGCCCACGCACGACGCGAGCGCGGGGGTAAGGGCGTGTACCGCTACGTGTTCGACCAGGAGGGCCCAGGGCGGGCCGTTCCGCACCATGCGGTCGATTTGGTGTATCTCTTCGACAACGTGCCTTTCCCGACGAACCCGGCGCCGGGGAAGCCCCTCGGTCCTTCGCAGCTCATGCCGGAGCACTTCGACTCAGACTCGGACGACGGGGACTTTCCGCAGCTTGCGCCCGAGCATCACGAACACGCACCGGCGACGGGCCTTGTAGGCCTTTCCGCGCTTACGCTCGATGCCGAGATGGACAGCGGTGCGTCGGACTCGGACGTGTCGACCGACAGTGGGTTCGTGGACGACTGGGGCGTGCCTATCGTCGACGACTACGCGTACACGCGGGTGCGGGATGCGATACAGGCACGCTGGATTGCGTTCGCGTATGGCGAGGCGCCGTGGGCAGAGGACAGAGTGTTCGTGTTTGGGCCTGAGGGTGAGACCGGAGAGCGGTCGATGAGCATATTTGAGGGTCGGCGAAGAGCGAAGGTGTGGAGGGAGGTGTTGGAGCCGTTGGGAATGGAGGTCGTGCAGAAGGTGGGCACGGAGCTTGCCAATGGCCCTGCGCTACCGGCGAGGGGGCATTGGTGATCGTGATGACCGTGCAAGGGGATTATGGCTCTTGAGTATCTTTGGTGTTCGGGTTTCTTCTGGGATTATGCTCATCTTTGTGTCTGCATGCATTATGATCTTGCATCGCATCGAAGCTATGTATTTTACGACATCCACATTGGACATCGCGTAACCAGCACAGCAGTGTACGCATAGAATACCTTCATGTATCCAGTAGCGTAATACAACTAAGCTCATACAGTGCCTTAACGCGCGCGGTTCGATCCGAGCAGTCAAACGTTGCATCGCCCGACTGCTTCTCCCAGTATGATTGGATAAAGTCCAGTGATTAGCACCTATGTCCGATGTCGTATGGGATTCTTGTTAGAGTCACTACGGACTGTGCAGAGGTAGAGTTGACTCTGCTCGAGGCAGAGACGACCTTCAACAAGCCTGTTGGTGGTGTCGTGGCGAGGACGTGACATCACGTGCGTGACACGGTCCTCCGCGCGCCTTCACTTTGATTCGTTCATTCGACGGCGGCATCACACAACATCAGAACGAAGAGCAGCTTGGTCATTGGAGCCCTTTCCGACTCTGCTTGTCAGTAGAGGAAAAGGATTGACAGACACATCACATACACTGCCACGCGGTAGGCAGGGCGATCACCGTACCGCGTTGGTTCGTTCTTTCACAGCAGTTGTGCCGGATGGTTCATACATCTGCGGCACTGCAGAGCGACGTATACAACCCCGCCGGAGACTTCAGGCGCAGCTACTGTTATCTTCCCAACATATGAGGTAAGTCTCAACAGTATCTGATTCACAGTTCGACGTTTGTCCCCAATACGCTGTGCAGCGAATGCGCACAGGCAATGCACGGTCAGACACGTTGAAACTTACATCAAATCTTGCACGCACAGGTCAATTGAACGGGCATCATTAGTATTCGAGTGCTAGTCACTTCGATATGGCGCAGACATCGCAAGGTGTCTCTCCAGTTAGTTTCTTCCTCTTCTAGCTGCAGTTCGAGCAATGCTCATTGCTTGATCAGATCCTTCCCACCGACAATTCCTTGTCCGTACCGCGGCACACACATACGGGCGCTGAAGCGCGCGAGGAAGTCGGACTCGATGGAGGTGATCTACGCAACTCGAACTCAAACGACCCTGGCTTGTATAAATCGCACAACCCGGCGGCAAACTCACACGAAGAATCCGCTTCCTCCTCGTCCACGTTATTTGTCACAAAGGATACCTCCCCGACCACTGTCCCCTCGGGTGACATAGTCCCGTCCACTATCTCCTCGACCAATGAATTCTCGCAGGCCCACGACCGTCTGCCACATTCGCTCTCTAGTCGCATCCCAATTGAGATCTTCGAGACGGTCATGGACGTTATGGCCTACCGCGATCTACCGTCTGCGGCATCGGTCAGTTGGGCATGGCGGCCTCGTGCTATCCACAACCTGTACTCGACCATTTTCCTTGATTCGCGCAAAGGATCCAGTATGCTGGTGGCACTGCTGCGCCAGGTTCCCCATGTGAAGGAGATGCTGGCAACTACGAGTAGACTGGTTGTCGGTCACTCTGATGGTTCATATCGGTGGAACTTGAACATAGATCAACGATATCTGTTCGTGGACGCCCTACCCCTTGTCTTTGCCGACGCACTCCCCGCTCTGCGAGTACTCGAATTCGAGTCGAGCCTCCGACATTCGATGCACCCGACGTTCTATTCCTCTCTCGCGCGTTTCAAACACGTCAGGTCACTGCACCTGCGTCACGTCCGCCTCCACAACACCGCTGAGCTGCGACGCATTGTCTTCGTGTTTCCGCATCTACAGGATCTGGTCTTGCATGGGGTGACCGTGATCCACAGGCGCCTTTCCGGCGACAGATCTCAAGCTTCAGCGTATACTCGCTTCCATGCTAAAACTACTCCCCAGCTTCAGCGACTAGAAATCGATCCGAGAGAGGCACACCTTAGGTGCATTGTAGACCTGCTCGTATCCTCAGGATGCTGTGCGTCTCTCCAGCATCTGACCACGGATAGCCGGATCGGCGACTCGACATCAGTACCCAATACTCCACAGGTCAACCGCCTCCTCCAATCGAGTGGACGGTCTCTGATATCCTTCCATCATCGAGACGACTGTTATCGTAGCCGTTTGTACTCCTCCGAGCTGCACGCCCTCTTCTTCTTTAATAATGTGTCACTTTACAGGTCAATTTGCAGCCCGGGGCTACGATTTTGACACCAACGCGGCCCTGCGTCACTTGAGATTGACGGTGTGTATCGATCCTTCAGAACTAGGAGGGGATTGGCTAGAATTAGTCGCCACCCTCCGCGCAGCATTCTCCACTATCCGAAGCCACAATCTCGAGCGCATCACAGTTGACATCGGGATCGAGCTTGGGCAGGCTGACAGGCTGGACGAGGACATGCTCGTCCCACCCCGGGAGGAGCTCGTTGCGGACACGGAAGAGCTGCACAGTGTCATGGTTCTGCCGTACTTTTACGCGCTGCAACATGTCGTGGTCGGCATGGAGGTTCGATATAACCAAGAGTGGCACAGCTCAGAAGAGGGAGTGCACGACGCTGTCCAGGCGTTGTTGGTTCCAGTCTGTCGGCAGTCGTTTGCGCCGTGGCTCGACCGCGGTATCGTGAACATCTTTTGCACAGCATCAACAACGGGAGGAATCAACCTCTGAGTCTGATCACGGTGCGTACCGCGATTTTTCTCCCTCAGGCTTGGGGCTTGGCTTAACCAATGGGCATAGTACATCCGCTCACGACATACTGAGAGGTGGTCCTTGGGTGCGCTCTGCATGAAGGGACGTTTTGTACGGTTGTGCGATTCTCTGTACGGCATTTGCTAGCTATTCAAGCACTTTTCATTCCGGACTACCAGGTTCTGCATACAGTCAAGCCGGACACCGCAGCAGGTTCGCTACGCTGATTGACCTTCCACCCTTGCAGTGAGCGCTTATATCCGACGCGCTAATAACTGCCACCTAATAGGTACCTATACCTTGCCACGCAGCAGATGCGGCGGGTACGCGTCTGCCGTCAAGCGATCTGATAATCCAAGTGATCTATCTACTACTCAGTGAACAATCGGACGCGTTATCGACAACCACGGACCTACGCTGGCGAACACACAGTCAATAGGAGGGCGAGGATTGGTTCGGTTCTTGCAACCTCCGCCCTTTGTGCGTTGAGTGGTGCCGGTGAGTGTTTGCTATCGGACAGATAACGACATGTTGTGTGACTTGGTATTGACGTTATCGCTCTCCCAACGACATCACGTTCCCCCTTCCGAATATGTTGTGTAAAACACCAGGACGAATCGCATAACGCAATACCTGAGCAGGCCGACCTAGTTTGTCTCCCGCCATTTGCGGTCCTCCAACAACACGCGCGTCGCCCGCATAGCCTTTTCTCTTGCGCCTGATGGTCGTTGAGAGCAGGAGGCATCGTTTCTCCGAGTTGCTGACTATCATACTTCATCTAGAGCATAGATGGCCGCAGAAGGCGTCTACATTCCGTTCTCTTCTCAGGCCCTCTGCGCATCGATCTCGCCCAGTCATTCCACGCATGAAGTGGGCGGTTATAACCTAGTAGGCCTTCGAGTCTGACCACCGCCTCGCAGTAGCGGTGTCACTCTTTGGTATACGTCTATCGCGTAGCAGTGGGTATGTTTCGCTTCATCTTGGTAGCCTTGGTGTCTCACAGCAGTCCGATTGATCACAGGTGATACTGGTAGCGACTTCTCCTGCTACAGGTTCGTCCCTCGACGGCACATACGGCGACGAAATCGTTACTGATGGGACCTGATACTGGCGCAGCAGATGCACACGACGGCACTGGTACATCCTCCGACTTCGTTCATGTCCACTGAATCAACATCGCATGTTAATGAAGGAGTAGGCGAGGATCAGGTCAACCTGAAGAATGCGGACAACGACCTCCGGTTGGAAAGACTCAATACCTACAATGGCCTTTGGAGAGTCATGATGCCACGGCGGTCTCTTGACGGATCCTTGCCACACAACCTGTCCGACCGCATACCTCTGGAAATCATCGAGAGTATCATCGACTGCATGGTGCAAACCACGTTGGTTCCTACGGCGCAGGTTTGTCGTGCATGGTATCCCCGCGCCATGTATAACCTGTACTCCGCCATCCGACTCCAATCCCGCAGATGCTATAACCTGTTGGTCCAGCAAGTACGCACGTCGCCCCGCGTGAAGCAACGGCTCGCGACAACGGACGGCCTAATCGTGAGACACTTCATGAAGCGCAAAGGGGATACTATACCCTTCCTGGACGCTCTGCCCCTCGTCTTGGCCGACGCACTGTCCAGTTTGCGAGTGCTCAGCATAGAGGGGGGGCTCCGTGCTGCTATGCACCCGACTTTCTATCTCGGCCTCTTACAGTTCAAGCACATAGTGTCGCTGCGCTTGTGTTCTATCAGGCTAAGCAACATCAAGCAGTTGCAGCAGATCGTCTACGCGTGCCCGCACGTAGCAGAGCTTGGCTTGCACCACGTCACCCTCATGAAAACAGGTCCCGTTGGCCGGGGATCCAGTCGTCCAGCACACATCCGTTCTCGGACCGAATCTACCACCTCGCTTCGACGACTCGACATCAAAGCGATGGACGGCTTCCAGCACGAAACGGAATCTCTGATGACTTCCGTATCAATAATCGATTGGCTTGTGGCCTCCACCATATGTACATCTCTGCGTGATCTGGAATGGGACGTTGGCAATCTGGCCGGGATGGCGCGCGCGGGAATCATCTTCAAGCAGCTTGATCGACTCCTCGAAGCAACTGGTACATCTCTGTCGTCGTTTAATGATAAAACGAAGTGGGACATGGCTTTCGGTGAGACATGTCTCCGATCTACAGCATTTATCACCGACTAATCTTCACTTGATGTACAGTTGGATACGAGTCTTATATCAGTGTTCTCAATCTTGTCCACAGCACTGCCCTACGGGACTTGGCGTGCACTGCGAATATTGATACCGTTGCGTGCAAGCGGAAGTACGGCTGGTCCGTTGTGGCAAGCTATCTGTGCAGAATCCTCTCCACAGTCCGAAGCTACCAGCTCCAGCGCATCATGATCGACATATACTTCGGTCCCGAGCTAGCGACTACCGAGCCCATGCCCTTCCGGGCCCACTGGGAGGAGGAGGAGGAGGAGGAAAAGGAGGAGGTATGGGGGAGGCGTCTATTGAAGCTCATGCGCGATTTACACAGCGTCATGGTCCAACCGTACTTTGGCGCGTTAACTGCTGTCCACGTCGCTATTGAGTACGCGCTTAGCCTTGGGACTCGGAAACGGAGCAAGGGAGATGCACACGATGCTGCAGAGGCGATCGAGGTAATTCAGCAGCTGCTCGGGCCGTGGCACGAGCGCGGTTTAGTCAAGGTCTCTCATACGACTAAAATCTACTATCCGCCTCACCTCTTGTAGTGAGCAGGGGAGAAGAGGAAAACAGTGCGTACCATCACCCATCAACATTCGAACAATTGCTTACGAAGTCACTTCACAGGAAATGCGAGAATGTGTAGCGCGGTCGTTGCGATTGTCTAGCACGCAGGTGTTCGTAGAGGCATATCGGACTTAAATTTGGTCAATGGGATTCGGAATCTGTATGATAATCGGTCGGCAGGTCTGGCACCAACTCGATTTCTTGTATCAATATTCGGGAAACATTTCCCAGTACTGTACACTCAGCGGAATCGAACACTCTGCATTCTAATGCTAGTGCGACCACTTGACAGTCTTGTCACGGTAGGAGATGCTGACAACATGGCAATTGCGCCACGGTGTGAACAGTTCCCGGCAGATGCGCTCGTGCGCTCGTGCGATATCGTCCGCCCATTCCTTGCTCTGTAACACGCCAGTATACCGAAGCTCCAATTTGACGTCGACACGCTGCAAAGCGTTGAAGCAACGGTAGACACATGACGGCATGTAGGCTGGGTAACTCCGGGGAGACCATCTCGAGAGACGGGATGCATCTCGTCTGGTCGAGTGCGTCGACGTCATTGAGCACGATCCAGGTCACGACTATGATGTGTTCAATGCGAGGGCTACGGATCGTGGAAAGCGCAGCACGCAATTCTGCCGCCGCCGTAGGCCAGTTGCTATCCGGTTGTCTGACCATGATGTCTAGACTGAATTCTAGGCTACGCAACGCCGTGTTATGCGCGAAATTATACGTAGATACACGGCGACCTGCTGAATATCTCTACTTCAGTATCTGTCCGACGTTACGGAGTAGAAAATAGCTGACCATCCCAAAATTCGCTCCGTGTGTCACGATACGACGCGAGAACTGGTCCACCTGCTCTGCGGAGCGCATCGAGGCGTATACATGCACGTTCGTGGGCATCCCCATTCGAGAAAGAGGATTGTGTGATCAATCCTTGAAGGGAGGCGCATAGTGCGGAGGACACCAGCCAGCTGACGCATAGTGCGGAGGACACCAGCCAGCTGACTATAGCTTCGAAGGCCTCTACACCGTTGAGACCATAGTAACCCCCATTGACGCGAATCTCTGGAGTAGCTGTCTGAGCCGGATATCGGTCTTCGTCCGGGGATCGGTGCGTGCGGCAGATCGTGGTCGCAGCAAGGTCACCTCGTTCAGGGTAAGGTTCTGTAGGTGAGGGATCGTAACGACAATCTGTTGCAACTGGGCGATGTTGCTCAGTCGGGCATGGAACAAATTCAGTGAGGCGAGGCATGGGAATTGACGGAGGCCGCGGTAGAAGGTCGGATGCATGACAGGTCGCAATACCCAGGAGATGTCGAGTACTCGCAGTGAAGGCGCTACGCTCGCAAAGACAAGGGGTAGGGGGTCCAGGAAGGGGATGTCTCCCGTCTGTGTGGGCGAGCCTGACGACGTGACGGTAAGTCTGTGTGTGGTTGCGAGGAATTGCTTGACGCGAGGCGATGTGCGGAGCTGCCTCACCAACATGTCATAGCTCATGCGTGACGTGATTTTGACAGTGGAATAATAGACGGAGATTGGCTCCAGGATACCATGCACGGCAAACCAGCGTGGCGCTGCGTAGCGTGGGCCAGTCCATATAATCCATGATGTGTTCGGAGGTTTCAATAGGGATGCGAGCACGTTGAAGGCCATGGTTTCCACCGTGACATCGACGATGCTGCCATCCCCGTAGCCACTGTTCGCTGCGTCTTTGCAATGCAGCCAAGGTTTGGGTCTGCAGCGCATCTGTTGCGCTCGTAATCAGCGTCTCCAGCGGCAAGTATATGTTGGAATCCATCCCGGAGATCTCGGGCAGCCATGCGAGGAGTCGGGACATGAAAGCCATGTCGAGCTGTGCCCTGATACTAGTCGATGAAAAGCGTCCTCCTGTAAAATCCCATCAGTATAGGCGAGGATCTTCGTCCGAGGATCGACAAAGAGACATACGTACCAGAGTAGAGTGCGAGGCTCTTGCAGGGGCAGCAAAGTCGTGCAGCTTGCTTCTAGAGTTCGACTATGCCTGGCATCGTCCACGCAGTCTTCACGTGGAGAAGACGAATGTCCGCCCTTCAGTGTGGGGTCATTCGCAGCCACCGGCGAGCACCTCGGCATCCTGAACACCGTGGTCAGTAGAATGGCCACCTTGCATTGCATCGTCGAGTCATTACCGGAGCATCGCTCACATGAATAAACTGCCTCCTGATTAAATATGGACATTCGCCGTCCTTCCATTGGGTGACTAGCAGTACACACGTTATCCCCAGTTCTACTTATGTAGAAGGAGTCGTGCCCGTTGTCGCACGCGGTAAGTACGGAAGCTTTCCCGAGCCCGCCTCCGACCGTCGAGCACTTAGCCCCTTTGTACCCGTCAGTGTAAGTTCAACGCCTTGGGTATATAAGGGCACTCGCCTCACAAACTTAACACGCGACCGTACAGTGCCGGCACTTGGGTGTCTACGGTGGCCGTGGCGGTGTGACATCCGGAACGGTCACCAGGCTTCTTGCCGTTTTAGGGATGCCGTCGATCGTGAGCCCGTCACGGTCAAGCCTGGATGACATCATCTGGCATTCGACGTCATTGGGCACTCACCAGAGCTTCCTGATATGGCAAACCACCTTCCATATTTGCACTGGGCTCGCTCAGTTCTCTTTCCGTGGCGCGTCTCGGCATTGTCTTCGAGATGTCTTCTGTGTGAGTTCAGTGCCTGTCAAACGGTCGTGTGCGCATATATAAGACAGACCTGCGATGGCCGACCGACCGACCGCTTTCTCTCCCCATCCCCCATCTCCTGCCTCCCGTTGCCCCTCGCCCATCTTCCGTCTTCCATCTCACACTCATCTTGATGGACTGTAAGTCGAAACACGCGCGCAGTGCTCATGGACGTGTAAGCGTTGACGAGGTATTATTGACAGTGCTGATCGGGAAGTATCCCCTGCGTTGGGCGAACTCGGACGCTTCCAGTCAACGCTGCGACAGGCTGCAACGCGACGTAATGTGTATGCTTCACGCTGGGTTCGGGGAGGCCTCGTGCAGAGCTGAGCTGTGAGTAAGTAGCGCCAGTTACACGTACTGAATGATGCTCGTTCGCTTACCTGCTTTGCTACCATTCGCCTCCAGCACAAACACGCCATGATTTACGTGAGAAGTGGTACGAGTCCCTGTCATTTCATCGCTTTGCTGAGAAACCTTCGTTAACGTAGGACGCGAAGAGCAGAAGAAGCGTCGAAACTGCCACGCACGTCGGGAAGAGCCCTAAATGAGGACATATCCTGCACGTGACAAAGGGCGGGGTGAATTTATGGGCGCTAGGGGCTCGCGATCTGCCTTGATCGCGCCAGGACTCCGCCGCCCCAAATTCAAAGTCAAAATGCTGCGTCTCTTGACTCGTCCCATCCGTCCCGCCGCCCTCGCCCCCACCCCCATTGTCCGCAGAACAATGGCCTCCACTCTCGAATTTGTGCGCTATTTCATGTATTTTCTGCTATAGATATGTTTAGGCTGACGCTGTGTGTTCTACAGAACAGGGCGCTGTACGCCCCGCTTGCCGAAGTCGACCCGGAGGTGAAGAACATCATCGACAAGGAGGCATGGAGGCAGTTTTCGGGTTTGGAGCTCATTGCCTCGGAGGTGCGTTAGTTTGTGTTGCTTCGGTGACGACGGAGCTGACATGCACCTCAGAACCTGACGAGCCAAGCCGTCATGGAGGCAAACGGCTCCATCCTGACGAACAAGTACTCGGAGGGTCTCCCGGGGGCACGGTACTACGGTGGTAACGAGTGGATCGACGAACTCGAGGTGCTCTGTAGGAAGCGCGCACTCGAGGCGTTCCACCTCGACCCCGCCAAGTGGGGTGTCAACGTCCAGCCGTACTCAGGCAGTGTATGTGCTCCGTTTGTTAACCGTTTGAACATCTCACTGACCCGAATTGTAGACCGCAAAGTGAGCACTGTCTGCGCTGCTATCCCATGGTACTACTGACGTGTCGCCTCCAGCTTCGCCGCCCTAACTGCACTCCTCCAGCCGCAGGATAGGTTGATGGGTCTCGGGCTTCCGGATGGCGGTCACCTGACGCACGGCTATTACGTGCGTACCCGCTCCCACCTACGCCCTCCTCGGTTCCGCGATGTCACCCCGCTGACGTTCTGCCATGCAGACCGCAAAGAAGAAGATGACGGCGTCGTCCATTTACTTCCAGTCGTTCCCGTACGGGCTCGACTCAACGACGCAGCTCATCGACTACAAGCAGCTCGCGTCGCAGGCGAAGATCTTCAAGCCGCAGCTCGTCATCTGCGGTGCTTCTGCTTACCCGCGGGACTGGGACTACGCGGCGCTCCGTGCCGTCGCAGACGAGCACGGCGCCTTCCTGATGGCGGACATCGCGCACACGAGCGGTCTCGTTGCGGCCGGGGAGCTCGCGGACCCGTTTCAGTACTGTGACGTTGTCACGACCACGACGTAAGTCTCTTGTTCCGCCTGTTCCGAATACGGATCGCCGACGTGTTCCCGGGATAGGCACAAGACCCTCCGTGGCCCCCGTGCGGGTCTGATCTTCTTCCGGAAGGACTCCGAGAAGGCGAAGGATCTCGAGAAGCGCGTGAACGATGCCGTGTTCCCTGCCTGCCAGGGTGGCCCGCACAACAACGTCAGTATGTTACTTGTCTTAGACCGTCTGATTGCTGACGAGTATGGATATACAGACCATCGCTGGTATCGCCACCGCTCTTAAGCAGGCCTGCTCGCCTACCTGGAAGGCTTACGCGAAGCAAGTCATTGCGAACGCGAAGACGCTTGGTGACGAGCTTGTGGGCAACGGCTACAAGCTCCAGACGAAGGGCACGGACAACCACCTCGTCCTCTGGGACCTGCGCCCGCTTGGTCTCACTGGGAGCAAGCTGGAGAAGCTGTGTGACCTCGTTGGGATCACCATCAACAGTATGTTTCTCGACGAGACCCGTCAAAGTTTCGGTACTGATTGCCATTGATAGAGAACGCCGTCTCAGGTGACGCATCTGCGCAGACACCAGGCGGTATCCGGCTGGGCACGTCGGCGCTCACGTCGCGCGACATGGTCGAGGGCGACATGAAGGTCGTCGCGGGATTCCTGAACCGGGCGGTCCAGCTCGCGCTTGTGCTTCAGAAGGAGGCGGGCAGCAAGCTTCTGAAGGACTTTGTTCGCGTCGCGGTGACTGAGGAGGAGGGCAAGGAGGGCGCGAAAGGCGTGAAGGCGCTCCGCAGAGATGTCCGCGAGTTCGCGAGGCGGTGGCCGCTGCCCGGTGTGGACGTAAGCACCATCCAGCGGCCGCAGGGCATCGAGGAGGATGATTGAACGTGCTTTGGGGCATTGCTCGGTGATTGGCGCATGCGTGGCATGAGGTGCGGATTGTTCTCAGGTATACGCAAAAGGGCGGGACGTTCAACAGGGTCCGGCCTACGCTGGCGATTCAACTTTGCCTGGCTGTAGATGTATTGTAGAAGTAGCCTTCCACAGGTGTATTCTTAGCGTGCTATCGATTTTAGTTGTAATTGCCGCTTTCGCAGCTCATCTGTATCGACGACGCGCTACCTGTACAGTAAGCGTCTCAGTTACTTCAGTCCTTGCTTTCTTCGCTACGAGGAGTACAGTAAGCATCCTGGTGAGTGATCTTCCTAGGTATGCTGCTTGGTACTGACCTGATTGCATTATCAGGTGTCGATTTCTACTCACCCCCTGTGGTCAGAAAGCAGTGGATGACTTGAACCCAGAATGTGAAACATCAAGAATCGACGGCGAGTGTTCTACATACCAATATGACTGATCCTTGACCGACCCATGTTTCTATCCTCATACATATGCGATGGTTCCACGAGCAGAGATGGATCTGAGCAGGATCAAGGAGCCTGCCATCCAGTTCTCTCCACGTGCGACGTGCCGTATGGGCTCTCGCAACAAGACATCTAGCGGACCACCCTGGGATCACGAATGTGCTGACGAGTCACTGCCAGGTCACTGCTGCGCGCAGTGCCAACATCGTGCCCTCTTTGATTCAACGTCACAGCATCGAGATGTGCTGAGACGCCTCTCGCGCGGCCGCAAGTGGGGGGCGCCCGGACCGTTTCAATTAGTTGTCGTACATGCGTCGCCGCATCGCGATGGGCCTACATCATTACATGGACGGCCTTGCCGGTAATTCGGCTGATACATGACGAAAGAGGTGGAGAGGGGCGACATGTAGCAGCGCCTTGAGAGCTAGTGACAGTCTGACAGACTTGATAGGCCCGATATGCCTCGGGTATCGTTCTTGGCCTCAGGAGACGCCCGTCATGCGTTGGTCCTGTTCGGTGCCTTCGGTGAGCCTGTCCAAAGCTCCACGCCATCAAACATCATGATCACAGTAGCGCAAAGGCGGGACCTGTTCCGGGATCGTATGTTTCACATCCTCGCCGCCCGTGGCGGTATATAGCTGCGCCCTCGCCCGTGCGTTTCTGCATTTCGTTTCCCTTCTCTTCTTTCACTGAGCCTAGTGCCCAGTCTGGTTTTTCTTTGTTGCAGGTCTTCATTCGCTTTCTTCTTTCAGGCTACTTTCTTTACGCCTTTGGGCATCCACTGATCCTACGTCGCATCGCTGTTCCCCACTGTTCTTGACGAACTTCATCATGTCTCCCTTCACGTCCCCGTTCGCTTTCCTCCTCGTCGCGATCCTGGCGATCCAGTCCTCGGTCTTGGCTGCGCCCATCAATGAGCGCGCACCTTTCGTGCGCCCTAATGGTATGTCTCTCGAGCACGCTCTTCGATGCAAATCGCTAACCTCTTGCCCAGCTGTAGCTGCCACTTCTTCCGTGACCGCCTTCGTCCCGCGCGCGACTGGATCCCACCAGGCACCTTGGCACCGCCGCCAGGCATCTGACGGAAGCATGAGCGATCCCCTCAGCGGCGCGGACCCCTCCTCTGGATCATCCGGTGACGCCAGCAGCACCGCCTCGAGCGCTGGCCCCACCGACGCCTGTGGCATGGGCTCGTCAAGCGGCACTGGCACTGCATCCGGCACGGATAGCGCCTCGACACCGACGTCTACGGGCGATGCCTCGAGCTCAAGCGGTGGAGACGGCGCTACCCCTCCAGACGGTTCTTCGACGGATGGCGCTGCTCCTTCCGGCGGTCCCTCGGGTGGCTCTTCGGACGGGGCTACCCCCACAGGTACCGACGGCGCGACCCCCACCTCTGGCTCGGGCTCCGGGGAACCGACTGTGACGACCACTGTCTTTGTCACTGTTACTGCGCCTGCCGCTGGTAGCACTGACGGTGCTACTGGTACCGATTCCGGCGCGCCGGGCAGTGCACCCACCGACATGCCTTCTGGTAGTGATGGTGCCGGCGCAGCCCCCACTGGCTCGCCCGACGGCTCTGGCGGTGCGGGTGCGACCCCCACCGACTCTGCGACGCCTGCCGGTAGCACTGACGGCGCCTCCGGTACTGATTCTAGTGCGCCGGGCAGTGTGCCCACCCCTTCGGGCACGGATGGCTCGTCTGGCACAGACGGCTCTTCTGCCGGCTCTACGCCGGCTGACGGTGCGAGTGCGACTCCCACTGACCCCTCAAGCACCGCTGGTGCTGGTGGTGACCCCTCGGCGAGTGGAACAGACTCTTCCTCGCCGAGCGCGACAGGCTCGTCGGATGGCTCCGTGCCCACGGGTGGTGCCGGTGTGACACCCACTGGCTCCTCCGACCCTACCGGTGCCAGTGGTGGTGCATCTGCGAGTGGCAGTGACCCTTCCTCCGCGACTGCAACTGGCGACGTGTCCGCAACGCCCACGGACCCTGCGGGCGCGACCGGTGGCGCCTCCTCCAGCGCGAGCGCAACTGACTCCTCTGCGTCTGCTGCTGCGACCGGTGACGCTTCTGGCTCCGCTACGCCCACCGACTCTTCGAGCGCCGCCGGTTCGACGGATGCTTCAAGTTCTTCGGCTGGGTCCACCGATGCAGGCGCTTCTGCGACTCCCACAGACTCTGCCTCATCCTCGTCCGTGACCGGAAACCCCTCTGCCACCGACTCTGCTGCTTCGTCCGGCGCCACCGACTCGAGCGCTGCTACCCCCACCGACGCTGCGTCGTCCGCTGCCACAAGTGATGCCGGGGCATCTGCCACCGGCTCTGCTGCATCGTCCGCTGCAACGTCGGACGCGTCTTCGTCTGCCTCTGCAACCGATTCATCTGCGTCCACGCCTACCGACTCTGCGTCGTCTAGCGGCTCCGCATCCTCCGCCGCTGCGACTGGTACCGACGCCAGTGGCTCCTCCGCGTCCACCGACGCCGGTGCGTCGCCCACAGAAGTACCAACCGGTGCGCCGACGATGCCTATGCCCATGAAGATGCGCCGCGTGCCCCTGCGCCGCATGTACGAGGAGGCCTACTGAACTCCTGAAGCTCCCAAACATGATGACGAACACTCCCGGAATACGACACGACAGCGATGCCCATTTCATTCCAGTTTTAAGTTATTCATATCATGATTGACGACACAGACTCGACCGACCTGGGTGTCGCCGCTGGTGCACGCGTGCTGGATGGACTGAATATATAGCTGTCGTAGCCGTTGCACAATGTATTGGGCCATATAGGTCCTTCCCCGACTCTGTTTGCTGAAGTATGAGATGATTCGCTCTAACAAGACATGACTGCGGCGGTGTGCGAGTGTTTGTCGTGTCTTCTTCCGTTTGGGTGCACAAATCCGGCAGATGCCGTCCGCGTAGGCGTGGGCGTCTGTGGATGATGATGATGATGTGGTTCTCACCTTCGGGCGGGAGTGATCACTCCGACTCTCTCACTCTCGACGTCGACCTGGCGACGACCTTGCGACCCGTTGCGATGGATTCTGCGAGACCTATGTCACCTCCGCACTAGATTATGGCGACTTTGAGACTCTGACATACGTGAATCTACTCATATTCTCTCATTTGCGAGCAATCTTGTCGCATACAAATCGGGCATACCGGCAGTCGTACTTCAAGTTGAGCGCACCGGTCCCTCCGACAGCAACTCTATGGGACCAGAATAGCAGCGTAGTGAGGACATCGCGTGCTCCAAGCGTGCTCAGGCTAAACCACCCGCCGTAGCCCGCCGTCTGTCCACAATTACCGAGGTTGGTGCGTCGAGTCGCACCCCCCGAAACTGGCGGATGCTGTACACTGCCGGTACAGATCTGCAGAAGCGTCAACGACGCGCACGGGCCGCCCCTGGGCCGCGCCGGGGTCGAGGGCGCACTCCGTTGCCATGCCCGACAGAGGGAAAGCGGTCTCCCCGTGCTGCGGACGCCCATCGTGGAACCGGTCAACAGAACAAGTCATGACGAAAGGGGTGACCGATCTCGGAGATGTGACGATAGAGTTGGCGGCTACTCAAACATGAGCTCACGGGGACTCTCCGCTAACAAGATGGATACGCTAGGGAACGCTTCTTCTTCACCAAGCGGACGAAGCGACTCCAGCTCGCTCCACACCCATCATGCTCAGAAGTTGCGAACCTTTGCAAACGTGGACGACGACAGTCCCTCCCAACCGGCCGTTGTTCCATCACTCCTTGTTCGCTGTACGTATATAATGTACTCTTTCTCGTTGATTTTCTGCATCCCCCCTCTTTCTCTAAGCCCACCCACCCCGAGCCCGGTGCTCCGTTCGACTTGCTGACCTTTCGCTGAGTCGCCTCGGACGTATACTTTCCTTAACCCAACTGTCTATACGCTCGTCAGCACCCCTCCTGTCGCTCAACATCCCCCGTGTATCCCAGTGAACGCATCCTCGACTCTACCAAGATGTCCCGCTTCACATCCGCACTCACGGCTTTCGCCGTCGTAGCTATGGCCGGTCCCTCCGTCTGGGCGATGCCTGTGGTGGCGCCTGCGGGTATGTCATTACGCTCGTGGTATAATTTATACAGGCTAACATGTCATCTGCAGCGCCCACTAGCTCTATCCTCGTTGCAGCACGCAGCGGTGGCGTCCTCGCCGCGGCGCCCACAAGCTCCATCTTGGCTGCACGCCAGATCGACGTCCCTGACCTCGGCCTGCCTGGCGAGTCCGCCGTCGACAGTGTCCTCGGCGCCGTCGAGACCGCTGTGTCGTCTATCACCGGTCTCAAGCGTCGCCAGCTCCCCGATCTCGGCCTCCCTGGCGAGAGCCTTGTCAACGGTGCCCTCGGTGCCGTCGAGACTGAGGTCGCCGGCGTGACGGGCCTGCTCAAGAGGCACGGCGGCAAGGACAAGAAGAAGGACGGTCAGGCGGCCGCGAACGGCCAGAACTCGACCGCGACCTGCAGCGGCGCGGCGGGTGCGGCGGGCGCGGCCAACAGCACCGCATCTGGAGCGGAGGGCGCTGCGAACAGCACCGCGTCTGGCCTCGACGGCTCGACTGGCAGCGCGAACGGTGCCGGTCTCGACGGCTCTAACGGTGCCGCTGGCGCGAACGGTGTCGACGCAGGCAACGGCTGCGACGGTGCTGCCGCTGCGAACTCCACCACTGGTACCGGCTCTGCCGCGGGCGACGCTGGTGCTAAGGGCAGCGGGAAGGCTGGCAAGGGCAAGGGTGCGGCCAACGGCGACGGCAATGCCGGTGCTGCGAACGGCAACGGTAACGCTGGTGCTGCCAACGGTAACGGCAACGCTGGTGCGGGCAACGGCAACGGCAACGCTGGTGCTGCGCAGACCGTCACTGTGACCGTCACCGCCGCCGGCGCATGCGCGACCGACGCTGGTGCTTCCGCCGCCGGTGCTGCTTCCTCTGCTGCCGCCGCCGGTACTGGCGCTGCGTCGGCTGGCGCTGCCTCTGCTACTGGGGACGCCGCCTCTGGCGCCGCCTCGGCTGCGTCTGGTGCCGCGACTGATGCGTCTGCCGCCTCGAGCGCTGCCTCCGGCAACCTTGCGTCCGCGACCGACTCTGCTGCCTCTGCCGACCCTACCAGCCAGGGGTCGACGGGCTCGACCAGCTCCGGCGACTCGGGCCTCGTCGCGAACTGCGAGAACTGCTGAGCGCGTCGCGCCCCTCCCGCAAAATGTACTCGCACTTATACCCCGTGGCGACGTGTGGTCGTCGAACTTTGGTACGACGCGTAGTTACGGTGGCCGCTTCGAAGGGCCGCCTGATGGACTGAATCTATAGCTGTCCTACGTAGTTTGTCGTTCCGACTACATCCGCTACTTGACACTACGCATTTGGGCCTGAGGCTCGTTGTATTTTAGCACTTCGCAATTTGCATGCTTTCCTTGCAGACATCATGTTTCTGAGTCGTATGTGCGTGACCAGTAAAGGTCTGCAACGTGAGAGTTGGTGAGGTCTTCTTTTCGATTGTGTTGGGAAGAGCAAGCCCTCTCGCAGGTGATCGTGAAGGGTCTTGTGGTGAGACTGGCTTCTGCGGTCCCATATGCATGCTCGACCTTGATATAAGTATATACACACCGTCTACCGCTGCAGGATATGTTGAAGTCGTTGCCACTCCTCGACTGAACGCAATCCAGTTTCTGGGTCGGAATCAGAGAATTTTCACAGCTGCCTAGTCACAAGTACTTCCAAGGTGCGCGGTTCCCATGGTCAGTCGCGTGGCTACCATGCGCTTTGAAGCTCGCCCTTGTGACTTGCCAGCCGCCCTCAGCAGCGAGGCATCGCGCACGCAGCAACGCGAGGATGTTTGTCATAATTGTAGGTCCAGGCTTGGCGTACAGGATTCCTTCCCGGACCATTATGCTGGCAGCCGCGTGGCTGACGACCAAGTTGAACAATTACGCGGCTCTTATAAGGCTCCGGGTTTCAAGGGTTTCGAACTTCCTCCTCGCCCGGTCTCCCTTGTGAACTCTTACGACCCCTACTATCGTTCCTTCCAGTGACAGTACTGGTATACCTTTCACGACATGCTGGGCATGTATGATCCATTACGCCTGGCCATGGTGGCGCCGCTCCTCCAGTTACTTGCGTCTGTGGCACCGGCGTCTGCAGCGGTCGTCCCAAGGTCCTCAGGCTGTACGATGCCGGTCGCGATGGCTTGGTTCGCAAATTGGGAAGATGCGGACAACCCAGCGTTCGGCCTTGCGAACATGAACTGGACGCAATACACGAGGGTGTCATACTCATTTCTGTGAGTTGCTTATCGGAAGCAAGCGCGGTCCTTGTTGCTAAGCGCTGACCGTGCCGCGATACAGTGAACCGACCACAGATCAAACTATACCCGTTGACGGGTATGATGACCAGCTGAAGCAGTTTGTGCAAGAGGCTCACGCAAACGTAAGTCTCGTCCATGAGGTCTTCCCGGATAGACTCGATGTCTCATGTCTGGCTCAGAATGTGAACACGTCAATTACTGTCGGCGGATGGACCGGGTCAAGATACTTCTCGTCAGCAGTAGCTACCGAGCAAAGTCGGTCCAACTTCGTCAATGCAGCCGTGCAGCTCGTCGACACTTACAATCTCGACGGCCTGGACTTCGAGTGCGCCTCTTTTCTCTCTCTACACCCTCTTTCGCATCCTGACCAGTGACGCAGTTGGGAATACCCGAGCCAGACTGGCATCGGCTGTAACGAGCAGTCTCCCAACGACGCCTCGAACTACCTCCTCTTCCTCCAAGAGCTCCGGAGTCGCCTGCCCTCCAAGACGCTTTCCGCCGCCGTCGGGCTCAAGCCCTTCCTCGACTCGTCCGGCTCGCCCATGACAGACGTCTCCGGGTTCTACTCCGTCCTCGACTACATCGAGCCGATGAACTACGACGTCTGGGGCAGCTTCTCGTCGTCTGTCGGCCCAAACTCGCCGCTCGCCGACGCGTGCGCGTCCTCCGCGCGCCAGGAGGGCTCCGCGACGAGCGCGGTGAAGGCGTGGTCCGCCGCGGGGTTCAAGGCGGATAAGATCGTGCTCGGCGTCGCGGGCTACGGGCATAGCTTCAGGGTGACGAAGGAGAACGCGTATGTGTCCTCGACGAACAAGACGCTGAGGATGTATGCGTCGTTCGATACGGAGGGCCAGCCGAACGGGGACAGCTGGGACACGGCCGCGCCAGGGACGACGGCGACGGACGAGTGTGGTAACCCGTCGAGCGCGGTTACGGGGATCTTCAACTATTGGGGAATGTACCAACAGGGCTTCCTCGATGCGTCCGGCATGCCTGCAGACGGGATTGACTACCTCTGGGACTCGTGCAGCTCTACGGTGAGTGTTCGTCCGTGGCAACCGTTTGGTAGACGCTCACGCACTTCACTTGTACGCGCAGCCATTTGTCTACAACTCCAATACGCAAGTCATGGTATCCTACGACGACGCCAACTCCTTCAGTAAGTTGCTTTTCTCAGGTCCTCTTGGGACAGGTCGTTAACGCTGAGGACAGCGGCCAAGGGCAAGTATATACTAAACTCAGGTCTGCGAGGATGGGCGATGTGGGAAGCCGCGAGCGACTACGACAACATGCTTGTGGACGCCATCAGGGCTGCGAGCATGCGCTGCACCTTTGCTTCCATGGTCACCGAGTCGTTGGTAACTTCGGTCGAAGATGTCACAACCCTATAAATCGCCTCTCTGGTTGGTATATGCGACGTCCACGTCGCCGTGCGTCCCTTTGCAACACCCTACATGCTGTGGTATTCTATGTAGCGATTAGTAACCATGACTTAAAGCAGTATACCCTGGGTCATCCTGTACAACATCTTTCTTTCACTAATGGAGGTCACCTCGGAGAATTGATTGCAGGCGAAGAACAACACGAGATTATTGAGAGTTCATTACGCTACATCACACCGGGACACAGAGATGTCTGACTTACAAACACTTGAAGAAATCAAGTTGTTGCCAGACTCGCCGACCAATATATTATACAGATTCAGAATCGCATTGACCACATCCTTGAAGTCCGGGATGCCTGTACGAACACCTGTGCGCTAAACAGCCGCAACAGCGACGGACGCTACACATCCTCGCACTCCTTGTGAAATGACTTCGTAAGCAATCGTTCATGGGTGAGATTGCGGGGGGACGCACTGTTGTTCTCTTCTGCTCTACTCGCCGTATGATTTGCATGTGAAGAGATAACTTGACTAAACCACGCTTGCGCCATGGTGCCAGCAGCAGCAGGATTGAGGACTTGATCGCCTCTGCGTCATCGTGTGCATGTACTTTGCTCCGTCTCCGTTCCGTGTACCGAATCTGCATCGCGACGTGGACAGCGGTCAACGCGCTAAAGTACGGCTGGACCATAACGTCGCGTAGATTGTGAAACTCCGACGCAACCCTCACCCTCTGCCGGGTCAGGGAGGGTCTCGGACGAAGACTGCTCCTTTGTACTTGATTTGGCAGGCAACTCGCTATCGAAGTATATTTCGATCGTGATGCGCTGGAGCTGGTAACTTCGGATTGTGGAGAGGATCCTGCGCAGATGGATTGCCAAAGTGATCCAGCCGTCCGACCACGCAACCGGTTCAAGTGCATGAATATGTGCCGTGCACGTCAAGCACCGTAAGGCAGTGCTGTGGGCAAGATTGGAAACAATCCGGGAATCGACTGTACAATAATTGAAGGTCAGTCGGTGATAAACGTTTAAACGCTGTAAATTAGAGACATATCTGACCGAGATACCCCGTCCATTGCTCATTGAACGACGACAGAAATGTACCAGTTGCTTTAAGGAGTCGATCGAGCTGCTTGAACACATGTCTCTTGCGCCGGTGCGCCATCACAGGCCATCACGGGCATGTTGCCAACGCCCCACATGGCGGAGGACACAAGCCAATCGATTATCGGTACAGAATCCATCGTGGGGTCCGTTTCGCGCTCGAGCGATTTGCTCACTTTGATCTCGAGTCGTCGAAGCGAGGTGGTGGCTTCGGTCCGGGGACGGATGTGTGCTGGACGACTGGATCCCCAGCCAAAGGGAGCTGTGCATATCAGGGTGACACCGTGCAAGCGAAGCTCTGCTACGTGGGGGCACGCGTAGACGATCCGCTGCAACTGCATGATGTTGCTTAGCCTGACATCAAACAAGCGCAGCGACACGATGTGCTTGAACTGCAAGAGACCGAGATAGAAACTTGGGTGCGTAGCTGGGCGGAGCGCTCCCTCTATGCTGAGCACTCGCAAAGTGGGCAGTGCGTCCATGAAGGGTATAGTATCCTCCTTGCGCTTCATGAAGTGTGTCACGATCAGGCCGTCCGTTGTCGCGAGCCGTTGCTTCACGCGGGGCGACGTGCGTACTTGCTGGACCAACAGGTTATAGCATCTGCGGGATTGGAGTCGGATGGCGGAGTACAGGTTATACATGGCGCGGGGATACCATGCACGACAAACCTGCGCCGTAGGAACCAACGTGGTTTGCACCATGCAGTCGATGATACTCTCGATGATTTCCAGAGGTATGCGGTCGGACAGGTTGGGTGGCAGGGATCCGTCAAGAGACCGCCGTGGCATCATGACTCTCCAAAGGCCATTGTAGGCATTGAGTCTTTCCAACCGGAGGTCGTTGTCCGCATTCTTCAGGTTGACCTGATCCTCGCCTACTCCTTCATTAACGTGCGATGTTGATTCAGTGGACATGAACGAAGTCGGAGGATGTGCCAGTGCCGTCGAGTGCATCTGCTGCGCCAGTATCAGGTCCCATCAGTAACGATTTCGTCGCCGTATGTGCCGTCGAGGGACGAACCTGTAGCAGGAGAAGTCGCTACCAGTATCACCTGTGATCAATCGGACTGCTGTGAGACACCAAGGCTACCAAGATGAAGCGAAACATACCCACTGCTACGCGATAGACGTATACCAAAGAGTGACACCGCTACTGCGAGGCGGTGGTCAGACTCGAAGGCCTACTAGGTTATAACCGCCCACTTCATGCGTGGAATGACTGGGCGAGATCGATCCGCAGAGGGCCTGAGAAGAGAACGGAATGTAGACGCCTTCTGCGGCCATCTATGCTCTAGATGAAGTATGATAGTCAGCAACTCGGAGAAACGGTGCCTCCTGCTCTCAACGACCATCAGGCGCAAGAGAAAAGGCTATGCGGGCGACGCGCGTGTTGTTGGAGGACCGCAAATGGCGGGAGACAAACTAGGTCGGCCTGCTCAGATATTGCGTTATGCGACTCGTCCTGGTGTTTTACACAACACATTCGGAAGGGGGAACGTGATGTCGTTGGGAGAGCGATAACGTCAATACCAAGTCACACAACATGTCGTTATCTGTCCGATAGCAAACACTCACCGGCACCACTCAACGCACAAAGGGCGGAGGTTGCAAGAACCGAACCAATCCTCGCCCTCCTATTGACTGTGTGTTCGCCAGCGTAGGTCCGTGGTTGTCGATAACGCGTCCGATTGTTCGCTGAGTGATAGATCACTTGGATTATCAGATCGCTTGACGGCAGACGCGTACCCGCCGCATCTGCTGCGTGGCAAGGTATAGGTACCTATTAGGTGGCAGTTATTAGCGCGTCAGACATAAGCGCTGCAAGGGTGGAAGGTCAATCAACGTAGCGAACCTGCTGCGGTGTCCGGCTTGACTGTATGCAGAACGTGGTAGTCCGGAATGAAAAGTGCTTGAATAGCTAGCAAATGCCGTACAGAGAATCGCACAACCGTAAAAAAACGTCCCTTCATGCAGAGCGCACCCAAGGGCCACCTCTCAGTATGTCGTGAGCGGGTGTCCTGCGTGCTCGTAATGCACCAGAAGACAATCAGTCGCTGCGCGAGTGAGAGAGCCTGGTGCATTAGGATTGTATACTATGACCATTGGTTTAAGCCAAGCCTGGGTGAGAACAATCGACGTACGCACCGTGGTCAGATTCAGAGGTTGATTTCTCCTGTTGTTGATGCTGTGCAAAAGAGGTTCACGATACTGCGGTCGAGCCACGGAGCAAAGGAGTGTCGACAGACTGGTACCAACAACGCATGGACAGCGTCGTGCACTCCCTCTTCTGAGCGGTGCCACTTCTGCCGGGAACTGTTCACACCGTGGCACAATCACCATGTTGGCAGCTTCTCCTACAATGTTTCCCGAATACTGATATAAGAAAGGAAAATAACACAGCTTGTCAAAGGTACACCCCAACCCGTCCAAGATCACTTCACCTCCGTCACCAGCTTCCGCATATCCGCATTGCGGTAAAAATCCTTGTCCGGCCAGCGGCCCTTCGCCAGCTCGACCGCGAACGTGCCCAGCTCCTCCGTTGGGGTGTACGTGGAGGGTACCAGGCACTTGATTGCCGGGGTCATGACGTTGTCGACCCTGCCCATGGTCGCAGAACGCTGGTGCTTCCGGTCCTCTGGATACATCTTGGACGGGAAGAAGTAGCCAGGTCGGTATATGCGTGCCTTCATCCCCGGCGTGCTGTTGCAGAACTCTGTCAAGTCCTTCTCCGTGCGGCCCTGTCCAATCGCCGTAAACAAGAGTGGTCGTCGATTAATCAAACATTCGCGCACCTTGACGTTCGCCCACATCTGCCAGCTTTTCTGGCTCGGATCCGCACCCTCCCCGCTGATGTACACAATCCTGAACGGCTTGTCCACCGGCCGCCCCTCGCCCACACCAGCGTCCTTCACTGCCCGCGCGGCGTTCATGACGTTTGTATAGGTCGTCGCGGTGTACTCCTCCTCAGTCATGCCCACGGCGCTCCTCCCCAGCGCCCATATGCATGCATCGTTCTCCGCGAGCTGCTTGGCAAGTCCAGCGGGGTACGAGAGGAAGTCGGTGTGGATGATCGTGGTCGTTTTGGACGAGGCGTTGAGAGGTAGTACGGCCCAGTCGGGGACGGGTCGGCGCGTGAGGAGGGTTATGTGCGTCACTTCTGGGTCTTCCAGGGCTCTGCGATAGATGGCGAGGCCGGCTGCAGGCGATAGCAGGATATCCAGCAGTTGAGTATACCGACATCATGACCACCGCAGGAAAGGCCGGGACGCACCTACGCCCGTGACGCCTGTGAGAAGGAGCTTCATTGCTTTCAATGCGGATGTCGGGTGTTCTGAGCTGCCTACACGCACCAGATGCAGGTCTGCGGGTTTATATCGTTGGATAAGCGTACTGTATCATGATCTATCATCCACCTTCCCGAGACGTAGCTGCCGGACCACTGCGTGTCGTTACGGCGCCGACCGCAGAACAGACTTGGAACAGACGCACCCGCTGTGGTTCATCATGTATCACCCATCATCACCGCCCGCCTTCCAGCGCGAGAAACGTGTACGCAACCTCAAGGCTCTCCTGCTATGAAGCAATGCATTCTTAGGGAATCCCCAGGGCTTTCCAGTCGAGATCTGCGTGATTGCTGGAAGAGGCGAAGGCATCATGCTTGAGTGTTGGTTCCGGAAAGTAGGTCATAGTCTGAGCGTTCGCTGCAGCCTCGCTGTCCATCCATCCCCTCTGTCGTTGGTGTGTGTTTCAGATCAAGTTTTGCTCGTGTAATAAAGACGTCCAGACGAGAGCCTGGTACTGTTGAAAACTCGAAAGTGTCGAAGCAGCGTCACGGTAGCGCGGGGCGCGGTGTCGGCGACGTCCGAGGTACGAGTGGATTGCCCAGTGTGGAAACCAACTACAGATGTAAGTACTGCCTGAGTACTGCTCACAAACCTTGCATCATTCTATTCCGGCCAATAACTCTGCCCGAGAAGTTGCGCAGCCACGTATGTAAGTAGCTTCACATCCTCGGAACGACTGCAGTACAACATGGCGTCAGCCGCGCGCGAATGAACATAAGAATGTACATTGTATCATACATGAATCTCGGAAGTACCGTTGCAGGCTATATACCATGCGCGACATGCAGTGGATCGTCCAATTCACATACATACGACTGGTAACTGATTAGGACGATGCATTGCAGTACCTGAAGGTAGAATGTTCCCGGAATAGCTAAGTGTACATGCGAAGATAAGAAGAGCGAGTTGCAGGACACGATCACGCGGAAACTAATAACGATACTGGATCTATGAGAGCGACTTCGCCCCGCCGTCAACATCCGCACTCGCCGCTTGAGAAATGTAAAGACTCACCGCATCCGTGACAGGGCGCCCTCCAGACACAAATGTTACCTCCCCGGGCCCTCCTTCTCCCTCTCCACGTCCTTCTCGCTGAACCCCTCCGGCCTCGTCCCGCTCCCGACCCACACAACGCATGGCACATGACCCGTGCAAGCGCACTGCTCCACCGCACGGCTGCCCTCCTCGACACTGACAGTACGCTGAATCTCCACTTGCACGTCCAGCTCGACGTCGCTCAGATTCCCTACGAGGTCCGTCAGCGACGTACTCGACCACGCAAGCACGTCTCCGTCGCCATCCGCATCGGCGAACGCCACGTTGCTCTTCCGCTCCTGCGAGCTGGCGAGGCCGCCCGCCGAGAACGGCGAGGAGTACGACTGGGAGGAAGGGCAGTGCGAGCGCATGGCGCGCGAGACGGCGCGCGGGCTGCGCAGCGGACGCGAGACGATGTGCGTGGAGCGGTTCGCCTCCGCGGCCGCATCTCGGAGGTGAATGAGCAGCTTCTGGCTCATGATCCATGTGACGGCTTCGCCAACGGCAGCCCTGTGAACAAGTGAGTATGCAAACAATCCTCCTTTCGATGACCGCTTTACTGACCCTGATGACTGCAGAGACGTCAGTCGGCTACGTGGGAAGCCTGAGGAGAGAAAGACGGACCTGGGTCATAAGATCGCTGGTGCGATAGAGTACGAGGTTCAGGACGTTCGCGCCTAGTGCAAATGGTCAGAACCGCTAGAGTGGTGACCAGCCAGCCAAATACCTGTCAGCACTGCAAAATATCCTAGGCCATCATAGAACATCCTAAAGAGCACCATATATTAGCTCCGCACGACTGGTGGGCATTGTCAGGCGGGCACGTACAGCTTCACAAGACCGGACATCCTACGACTGACGGTCAGCGATTCCTATCTACGGCATGATGGTCGCATGCGAGTCTACTCACCTCCCGGCTACTGGTCCATATCGCATAAGGTAGAAGGACGATATACCGAGAACGACGGCGTCGTAGAACATCGCCAGGAGGTAGTACAGCCACGCGGACAGGAAGATCCCGCGCTCGCCGACAGTGCAGCTGCGTCAACTCGTCAACATGTGTGCCAGAGTTTCGCAGGAAGTACTCACTTATGTCGCTATGATGTAGTCAGCCGCGAACGCCAGGGCTTGTGAGGAAAGGGTTTATTCGCGAACGAGACGTGACTCACGGGATTTTGGACATCTAGCGGAGTCGTTGAGTGGGGAACGAAGCCATATACAGAGAAGACTCACGGTTGCGATGGAACATATCCGTAAACAATTCACCCTGCGACCATTGGTGGGCGGTGACCTTGTGGGAAGACAATGAGCACTCACTGTGGTGACCATAACGAAGAGCCCAGCAACTACGGCGCCCACGCATGGAGACCGCCTGGATATGTTGACGGTCCTGTGTCATACGATCAGCACCCCTGCGTTGATCGAACGATGCATAGCGTAGGCACCATAGGTGAAAGGATCGCGGAGGAAAAAGTTCGGGACGAAAATTCGTGGAGAAATGAACAGGATCCGAGGGTATCCATGAACGGAGCACCGCGCTAGACATCTCCTCGCCATCCTAGAGCATCTGATATCGAGGAAGAGATGCCGCTAACTGAATGCTAATACTTAATAATAGGCGTTTCGGAGGAGGGTAAGGCTGATGGGGTTTCGTCCGGACATACGAGCAATCATCGCCGACGATAGTTAATGAGAAGTCGGGGGACTCCAGAATTCACGGACGACAGCAATGTTCTTGGCTGGACATATGAACAGAGTCCTGTGATGGCAGAGCTGCGTCTAGTAAAACAGCGGGTGGTCTCATTCGTTCCCAGAGTTGTCGCCGCGAGCAATAGTAATGGTCATAAAACTGGTTACGACATACCGTATGCCCAAGATGACCTGAGATACCATAGTCTGTAGCACTAAGTGCACGAGAATTCCTGAGCATACATAGACTATTGAAAGAGGTCGACTCGCACCTTTGAATATGGGGCCAACCCAGAAGTAGTGCGAACATGTCTCCGGACTGAAGTGGGAGAAGTAGCCGACGGTGTTCACAGCGAGTACCACAATGCTGATGTAGCTGCAAACAGTTACAGAGTGTGAGTTACGCCGCGCTAGGATGAAGCGTGTGACGCACCGGATGAGGATGAACAGTATGCAGCCCGTACTCAACCTCCACGACCTCTGGCTCTTGTAGAACCTCCATTCCGCGGGCAGAGTCAAGACATAGCTACCGACGTCTTTCAGTGATCATGTGAGGGAGTACATTGTTATAGGACACACTCATAGGCGGCAATCGACACGGATGCGATGCGAATGTAGGACGCGACGCGGCTATCGAGCCACTTGTAGCTGCCGGTGAAGAGATACGGGTTCTCGGATGTCGCATTAGCTGGAGGAGTGAGGACCATAGATGGTGGACGACATGGATGTCGGGGTAAGAGAGAGAGCGCGTGGAGATTAGTATGTATTCCAGTCCACGGGCGGCGGGCCAGCCTAGGGCCAGCCGAACGCTGGCGCGCGGCTCGCCTTCGACGCGAATCGCACTTGTTCTCACTCTATCACGATTCGAAGTTTCAGGGCTCCCAAAGAGCCTCCAGAGAGGTCATGCTGTTGATGCCGTGCATTGGCAGTATACGCGACTTATCACCGTGTGCCTGGCGTGGCCCGCGTTCGTGGTCTGTCTTCTATCGCTCGCAGGTGAGGCGTGCCCCGCAAACCCCGGCCCACGTTGGCGTTCGGAGAAAGGCATGCTGCAGACGGTGCTTGGCGTGGTTGCGCGTCGCGCACGCACGGCACCAGCTTTTGGGCCGTCAAACATTGGTATGAGAGCCTTCCCAATTCGGATGTCTCACCATGATACAGACCCCACGTGACTTGGATGATGCAAGAGGGAACCCGGATATCGACATTGTTCGACCACACCTTCGAGCTGTTCGACGATTCAGCGAGGGCGAATGGAATTCGCATCCACAGGTTCATGTGAAACACAACAGCGACCCTCTCGATGACTTGACATGAAGCGGGATAACCTCCGATTCGGGAGCAATCTCAGGTTGCTCCTGCGTTAGCTGCTCCGCGGTCATCATTAGCCAATACAACCTGGTGAGCTTCTGTGCCGCAGTCTCGCCCACAGCTCATTTGCTTGACGGACAAGATATTCTGAGTCGCGCCGGCCTGACCGAGGTAGCAAATGTACGATTATTCATGTAGCTGTGAGACACAAGGCCCCGACACTGGCATCTGACCGACAGCACTCACAAGGAATTCTGGATCTCCCACTGCTGCAGAGCTGAACTCAGGTCCACAAGTCGAGTCGTCCACGCCGGACGGACTCCCTTCAGACCTCACCCAACTACAGGTCTGCTTATAAGTGTTTCATGCGCGCGACAAGGAGCGTTTCAGATTTTCATTTTGCTGAGGTTGTCCCCAAGTTGTCCCGCATATGATGCTTTGTGCTTAGGATATGGCTCTGCTGCTGGGGATCGCGTCGTAGCAGATACTCGCCGGCGGTGCGCCCACTAACCCGCATCCGGTGCCTCTTTCCAAACCTAGCGAAGTCACGTGCGCTCCCCTTTAGGTTTGCTGACAATTTCCGCATTAGGAAGCCACTTCGGGATGTGGGTGCCTGTGGGTCCACGCCTACTATCGAGGGCGCACGTTTTGATTGGTCGACTTCGGCTTGTCGATAGCAACGGATTGGTTTCCCAACCTTCCGCTTCTTCGCGCGCCAGCTGTATATAAAGCCAGCCATGATCACTGCAAAGTCCCCATCATCGCCCCGCCTCTCAGAGTCCCTTGCAGCCTCACGACCCTTATCGTCGCCTACGCCCTGCCTATTACAATGTCTGCTCAGGCTTCGACCTCTACTACCTTCGTCATTCCCTCTGTCTTCACCTGGAGCAGGTCCCAGGAGTGTGACCTCGAGGCACAGACCATCTCCGGCACGCACGAGCACTTCGATGTGCGACTTCCCACTCCTCCTGCAGCGCGCCTTCACACGCCTCGTACTCGCCCCTCTGACGTTGAGGAGGGCACCAACGCGATCGACGACTTCTTTGGCGCGTCGTCGTCGCGCTCGCCCCGCGGCACTCAGGACAGCCGCCACGACGCGGTGTCCTTGCCTGTGCACCACGACTCGGACTCGGACGCGCCGCCGCCGTACTCCTACTCCGCGCAGCCTCCTGCATACACGCGCTACGCGGAGCACCCTACGCTTGCCATGTATCTCTTCAAGTTTGGCTTCCGTGAGTATTCCCGCATGTGCTCTCACTCTCGCGCCCCCTTACTGACTCTTCGTTCGCCAGTCTTCCCGCTGTTCTGGATCGCCGGCGCCCTCATCCTTGTCTCCCCTCTGCGCGCACCGGAAGACTGGGAGCTCTCCAAGACGGAGGCGGAGCGCCAGGAGCTCATCGAGAGCATGCGGGGCACGGAGGTCAAATGGGCGAAGCGATGCCTCGTCGCCTTCTCAGTCCTTGCGCTCGTCGTTCTTATCGTCGTGCTCGCCGCCGTGTTCCTGACGAGGACATGAGGCCCTTCAAGACCATCCACCCCGCGACGTCGACGCCATCAGCGCGATGCACTTACACCCTCCGGCTCTAGCAGCCGTGACCACCTCGACGAGTCCTAGCGACACGCAACACCCACGCCTACGCTGCCTGGCACTGTGGCCCACCCGCTCCTTCGCCCCGCGCTGGCGCACCTCACATCGCAGCTCTCTCTCACCGCCCTTACGACCGCCATCACCTTCACGCAACACGACGTCTACCCCCGAGTTCTACCACCCTATATGATCGTTGAACGATGGTTCAAATGATCTGCGCGAGACTGGCTCGCTCGCGCCCTACTCTTGTATCGTTATTCGTATGTCTGGATTTTGTACGACTGTATCGCTATGGGATAACGACGGGTTTGGTTACTGAACACGCACGTTGACTGAAAGAGTGAGAGCTGGTGACAAGAATGGTGAGCTGAGCTGTGTTTGCTGAAGTGCTGTCTTCGTTGTTGCGTGGGCATTCGGTGAACTTGAATGGTCACGGTGGCCGTTAATCGCCGTGACAGCCTCAGGTGGACCGTGACGCGTGACGCGTGACCTGTTCATGCCCACGGCGCCCGCACTCAAAGTCTGTCTCTACCATCCTCCTCTGCGAAGGTTCTATAGCTCGAAGTGCCAACGTTTGACCTATATACGTTACTCTTCTCACTGAGTCAGAGCCGAAGTCAAGCGACTTTGTGGGAGTCGTAGAGGTTGTCTACACTTTGGTCACAAACGTCGTGGTTGAGAACCTCGCAGCCAGCCGCGATCGACTCCCGCTTCTGAGGCCCTGATGAGGAGCTGGTGGTACATAAGTATATCGATCAATGCTGACATGTGTTGCAGGGCTAGCATCCAATCGCACTCAATAAAGTCGACTAGTTCACATAGTATGTGGATTGTGGGCAATCATCCTCCCATCGCAGAGCTAACTTGCTATGCACTGACATTATCACAGAGAGAGCTTGAATCCGGTGAGTGTACAGTACTGAGAAATGCATTCCTAATAGTGAAATACGCGATCGAGCTGGTGCCAGCCTACTCGCCAACTGGATCATCATACAGATTCCGACCCGTGATGCCTGTATGATCACCTGTCCACTGGACAGCCGCAACGGCCGCGTTACACGTCCTCGCATTCCCTGTAAAGTGACCTCATAAGCAATTGAAGTTCATGTGTGAGATTGCACGGGGTACGCACTAATGGCCTCCTCTTCCCTACTCACTGCTAGACATACGGGTCAGGCATATGGGAGAACTTGACTAAACCGCGATCGTGCCACGGCCCCAGCAGTTGCTGAACATCAGTTCTGATGTTCTCTGCGTCGCGTGGATTTCCCTTGCAACGTGTCCCTTCATGGTAGAAAACCGGATGGGCGACATGGACAGCAGTTAACGCGCCAAAGTACGGCTGGACCATGACGTTGTGTAGACGGCGCAACTGAGTCCTTGACACGAACCTCTCCTGGGGAGGACTGAGCTCCTTTGTATTCGGCAAGGCAGGCTGCTCGTTGCGGATGATGGCGCCGAGTCTGATCGTGATGCACTGGAGCTTATAGCTTCGGACTGTGGAGAGGAGCATGCGCAGATGGGTTGCTACCGCGGACCAGCCGTCCTCCAACTGATCTCGGTTGATATTCACCGTGAACGTCCAGTACCTCAAGGCACGGTTGTGGACAAGATTCGGAACAATGACAGAACCAACTGTACAACACTCTAGGTTAGTCGGTGGTTATTGCTGTAGATGGAGATTCATCTGACCAGATAACCCCGGCCATTGTTCTTCAAACGACGACAGAGATGTACCAGTTGTTTCGAGTAGTCGATCGAGCTGTGCGTTGAACGCGCCGTGTTTCATGTGACCAATGGCGCCCATGGGACCGCGGACGGCCCATTCCAGATCGCGCAAGGAAGTACATATGGCGGAGGACACAAGCCAATCGACTATTGATACAGAAGCCAATAGGCTTCCCGAACTAAGGCTCAGTTTGAAATCGAGTCGTCGAAGCGAGGTGGTGGATGCGATCCGGGAACGGGTGTGTGCTGGACGACTGGATCCCCAGCGAACGGGAGTGGCCCCAGAGACCAGGGTAACGCGGTCCAAGCCAAGCTCTGCTACGTGCGGACACGCAAAGATGATCCGCTCCAACTGCGTGATGTTGCTTAGCTCGACAGCAGACAAGCGCAGCGATACGATGTGCTTGAACTGCAAGAGACCGAGATAGAAGCTTGGGTGCATAACTGGACGGAGCGCCCCCTCTATGCTGAGCACTCGCAAAGCGGGCAGTGCGTCGGCAAAGACGAGGGGCAGAGCGTCCAGGAAGGGTATATTATCCCCTTTGCGCTCGATGAAGTGTGTCACGATTAGGCCGTCCGTTGTCGCGAGCCTTTGCTTCACGCGGGGCGACGTGCGTACTTGCTGGACCAACAGATCATAGCATCTGCGGGACTGGAGTCGGATGGTGGAGTACAGGTTGTGCCTGGCACGGGGATACCATGCACGACAAACTTGCGCCGTAGGAACCAACGCGGCTTGCACCATGCAGTCGATAATACTCTCGATGATCTCCAGAGGAATGCGGTCGGACAGGTCTAGTGGCAAGGATCCGTGAAGAGACCGTGGCACCCTCCAAGGGCCGATATAATCATCGTCGGTCGAGTCAGTATTGAGTCCTTCATCGGAGTCCGACCCGAGGCTGTTGTCCGCATTCTTCAGGTCAACCTGATCCGCGCCAACTCCTTCATCTACGTGCGATGTTGATTCGGTGTACATGTCTGAAGTCGGAGGATGTGCCACTGCCGTCGAGTGCATCTGCTGCGCCAGTATGGAGTCACGTCAGTAACAATCTCGTCGCGGTAGGTGCCGTCGAGGGACGAACCTCAGGTAGCAGGAGGAGTCGCTAGTACCAGTATCACCTATGACCAATGGGACTGCTGTGAGACACCAAGGCTATGAAGGTGAAGCAAAACACACCCACTGCTACGCGATAGACGTATACCAAAGAGCGACACAGTTACTGCGAGGCGGTGGTCAGACTCGAAAGCCTACTAGGTTGTAGCCGCGCACTTCATGCGCGAAATGATTAGGCCCAGGGCGAGATCGGTCTGCAGGTGGCCAAGGAATCCCACTGGGAACAAAGTGGTACCGTAAGCAGGCGCGTTCTGCGGTTCAAGTTGTCTGTGGTGCTCTATGAAGTGTGATACTGTAGTCACTGGCATTGGCAGTAACTCAGAGAGACGATTGTACCTACCACTGTCAGGCGTGAACATAGACCATCAAACGTGCGGGCGCGTGTCATCGGAACCGCAAATGGCGGGAGACAACGTACTGAAGTTGGCCGAGGGCTCCCAGTGCTCAGCGTTTCAGGTGCGAGTGGTTTGAAGATGAGGGCCACCGGACGGCTCCGGAGACGGTACCGTAGTAGTACGGGCTGATCAAGAAAGCTTGTTGTAACAAGACGAGACTACGTCTTGTACAGAAAGGGTTCAGTCCTCACGAGGCTGTATCGGAAAGGGGATCGACGCGTGATCAGGCCGTCGAGTCGGGCGAGAGAAGTTGGGCCTAGTCTGGCCTAGTGAGGCTGTGGCGGCGCCCAGTGATACTATATCGGGAAGACCCTGGGAAGATCTATCATATCTGGGTCCCGCCGATTGATCGAGGCTTTGTCGTTGCCGGCGGAAGCAAAGTAAACGCTTCCTGCGACGGTAGCCCCAGGGTAGCCCAACGGTACTTACCCTGCGGTGTCTTGTGCATGTCGAAGGGCGGTGCATCGGAGAGTGGAGTGCAGGAGTGCATGTCAAGGGCACGCGTGTCAAAAGAGCACATGCGCCAGAGTGTCAAAGGAGGCTAGCATCAGTCAGTTCGCAGCACGGAATCGGATGAACTTCATCACTGTCGTGGCAATATAGATGATACACAGAATACAGCTACAGATTTTCATGCTCTACTTTTGCTTCCCCAATGGTGCCTTTGCATAAGCACTGGAGCTTTAGGCTAGCAGAGGAGTATGAGTGCGTCTTCTTTAGGTTGACAATATATGCGCTGCAACTCACCGGGCTTTCAGCGAACTACACATGACAACTAGACGCCACTGCGCCCAACAGCTCGCCTTACGCCGCCAGCCAGTCGTGGTAGGTGCTTTTCGGGAGACTGGTTGCTCGGCGACGGCAGGAATCCCGCGTCGATGAGCCACGCAAGGTACTTGCCCATAAGCTCATCGTCCACGGTGCTGCTCGTGTTCTCCATGTGCGGCGCAAGGAGAGCGCGCATGTTCGCATCGTTCAGCTCTGGCGCCTTGGTGCTCGTCGGAAGGTCGTCCAGGACGAAGTGCAGCAACGGGAAGAGCGCGTTATCCTGCACTTCCATGACGTGCTTCTCGAGTTGTCGCCGCCAGATGAGGTACTCGCAGCGCTGCGTTGCGAAGCCGTATCTCGCCAAGGAGGACAGGAAGTCGTTGAAGGCAGGACGGGGGTAGGCGGCGACGTGCAACACGCTTTGTGCATCGCGAGGAGCCGAGAGAGGCGAGAGAGCTGCTAGTGTAGTACAGCGTGCTACGTGATCCACTGGCACCATGTTCACGGTGTTGTTGATGTCAGGGACGAGGCCGAGCTGGATGCAGCCCTTGACCATTCGCCAAATGAAGTCATCGGTGTTGGTGACTAAATGAGCTGTCTGTCAGTATTGCGGCAGAGAAGCGCTCGAGCCGACTGACCTGCGGAATCTGAGTCACCAACGACATAGCCTGGACGGACGATGTGTCCCTTCAAGCCTCTCCTGCCCGCCTCGAAGAGAAGCTTCTCAGAAACCCACTTAGACTGTCCGTATCCGGTCTTCAGCGACGTCCTGGCGCCCTCGAGGTCGTCACTCTCCGGCACACCTCCCAGGCTATCCTCGCCCCTGGAGAATGTGTCAGACAGCCGGACGTAGTACTCCGTATCGATCGCAGACGTCGACGACACGAATACGAAGAGCTTCGGCTTGCCAACCGCGGCGAGGTCCATCGCCGTTAGCGTACCAAGCACATTCGCAGGCCGGAGTCGCTCATAAGGATACACCCAGTGCACCAGCGCACCGTTATGCACGATGGCGTCGGCCTCGCCAGCGATGCCCTTCCACGCCGCGACTCCCAGCCCGAAGAGCTCCTGGTCAAGGTCACCTTTAACGACCTCTAGCCTCGCCTGCTTAACCCATTCTTCGTCCCATACGCCACGTCCACTGGCAGCGTCCCGCAGACGTTCAAGGGCCTTATCAGCGTCGGGCGCTCGGACGAGGGCAATGACCTTCTTGACACGTTCAGGCCGCGACAGCAGTTCGCGCAGAATGAACGCGCCCAGGAAGCCAGTGGCACCGGTCAGGAACACGGTCAGAGGGCGATTCGAATAATCTTCCGATACGCTTGAGTACGACGGGCGGAGCTTCGCTAACAGGCTTTCGTAGTCTTCGCTGTAGCTGACCGCCTTTTTGGGCTGCACCGAGCGCTTCAGAGCCGCCTTGAGCGCTGACTGTTCAGTTGTCGAAGCCTTCTGGCCCCCATCAGCGTGCGCGAAGCCAAGTTCCACATTGCGCAGTTCGTCCACTGCAGCAGCAAGCTCGCTGATCGTCGGCTTGTCGAAGATGAGGCCCAGAGGTGCATCGATAAGGAATGCCTTGCGGATCTCGAAGACAAGCCTCGTCGCAAGGATTGAATGACCACCGACGTCAAAGAAGCTCTCGTCGAGAGGAATAGGTGAAGGTGGACTCGGGAGAACACGCGCCCAAATGGCACGAATGGCCTCTTCGGTCGGCGAAGCTGCGGGGCCTGCCTGAGCGGTGGTAGGCGCGGCCTGTGCTGTGTCAGGGAAGGGAAGTGCGGGTTTATCGATCTTTCCATTGGGGTTCAGCGGCATGCGCTTCAGAGGTACGAACACTGTTCCATGGTTGAGCACAAAATCTATGAACCGTCACGTTGACTTACGAGTAGGGACGCTGTAACTCGGGAGCTTCTTCTTGAGATACTCCCGGATGTCCTTGATGAGCCTCCTGTACTTGCGCATGCCAGTGACAACGCCCTTCTCTTCTTCGCCCTCCGGCACGTCGCTCGCAAACTCGTCGAGCCCAGGCCCGCTAACAGGCACGAAGTAGCTCACGAGCACCTTCTCCTCGTCCTTGTCTCTCCGCACGAGCGTAACGTTCTCCCGGATGAGCGGGTGCTGGCTGAGATACAGGTCGATCTCGCCCAGTTCGATACGGAAACCACGGATCTTGACCTGGTCATCGGCGCGGCCGGTGCACTCGACGATACCATTTGGTAGGTACCGCCCCAGGTCGCCGGAGCGGTACATCCTGTCGCGAATCCCCTTCCAGAACTGTGCTTCGGGGCCAGGTTGCACCGAGGGCGGCTCAAGAATAGTATCCTTGCGCGGAGGGGCGTCGGCTGCGAACCAGTTCGTCACGAACTTCTGAGCAGTTGCCTCTGTGTCGGAATACCCTTCCGCAAGACCTCCGGAGCGGACGTAGATCTCACCCACCTCGCCGACTGCACACGGTACGTTCTTGTCATTGCGATTCACGACGAGCAACTGGACGTCGACCATGCCTTCTCCAGCGGGCATGACGTCCTTTTGGGTAGCAAGGAATGTAGGGTCTTCGGACACGCTCGGGAGCAAGAAGTAGGATACCGCGCGCTGCGTTTCCGTCGTGCCGTACATGTTCACGATGCGGACGTTCGCCGCGAGCGACTGCAACCGCAGGCAGTCACGCTTCGTAAGAATATCACCGACGAAGAACGCGTTCCTCAAAGAAGAAATATGTCGCGTCGCTTGCGCGGACAGAAGCTGACCCATAGCGGGTGTGAGGTGCGTGACCGTCACCTCGTTTTCTGCCATCCACTCCGCGAGTCGTCCAGGTGTCCCGATGTCGTCAGCGGTAGGGACATACAGCCTTGCGCCGAAGAACAGTGGCGTGAACACTGATACTACCGTTAACAAACGAGAACAAATAAATATCAGAAGCACGTACTGTCACGCTGGATAGGATCGTGGGCAATGCCACTGAGCATTGTGAACTTGGAGTCTTCCCCAAGGCCGAAACGCTCGCCCATCCAAGGGAAGAAGTGCGTTAGACTGAAGTGCCTCCCGCGCACGCCCTTGGGAATGCCCGTACTGCCACTGGTGAAGGATAGCGTACCGACGCTATCGGGCCCCAGAACGACGTCCGGGTCCTTGTCGCCTAGCGACAACTGCGGGTGCAAGACGTCCTTGCCGTCAGCGCCCTGTCCACCAACAATCTGGCCATCTGCGAGCAGCTCCAGGGCAGGAACTTCCACGCGAATTTGGAGTTCAGACGAGATGAAGTCGCGGACACTTGGGCTGATCCGGCCGGCGCCCTTGAGCACCACCAATGCTCGAGGCTGTGCTACCTTGAGATAGATGGTTTGTCTGGACGGTGGGTATGCGGGGTCTGCAGCGCATCAGCCAATCCGTCCGCCAGTAAGTTTCATGAGCGAAGACTCGAGATGAAAGATAGGCACCTATCACAGAGAACGTTGCGCCCGCCTTGAGGACGGCCATGACCGCGACGACGAGCTCGACACTGCGGTACGCATACACCATGACCACCTCCTCTCGCTGAACGCCCCCCTGCAGCAAATGGTGGGCGAGAATGTTGGACGCGTGATGGATGGCCTTGTAGGTGAATGTGCGCTTCTCCTGGGGGTGGTCGAAGCCGGCGGGAGGAAGACATTGAACGACGCATGGACGGTCAGGCCATCGGCGAGCATTGCGCGAGAAGACGTCTGTAATGGCACCCTTCCAATCACACCAGTTAAGGTCGGCTGTTGGGTCTGGTAGGATAGCGCGTTGGGCAGGGGTGAGCAGAGGGGCGGACCCTACGGGCGCGACGGGGTTTGCGGCGACCTTCCGTAGGAGGACCGAGAGCTGGTCGACAATGCACGTCATGCGTGAAGGCGTGAAGAGAAGCGAGTTGTATAGCAGACGAAGACCGATGTGGGGTGCGACAGAGCTCCGGCTGGTCTCATGTTGGCGGGTCACGAAGACGGTGAGGTCGGAGGTAAGGCTGGTGCTGCGTAGGAAGTGTTCTTGTGGTGTGTCAGTCTCGTCGAAGAAACGCACCCGGAAGAGGGGTCGGGCGCTCTCTGCAGTATCATGCTTGTCCTTTCCCAGCGCATGTACGATGGTTTCGTACGGCAGAGCGTCTGCCTCTGCCTCCTGCTCGACTTGCTGCACCTTGCGCACGACCGCCCAGAATGGGTCATCCGGATTTACTGCTATCCGGAGAACGAGAGGATCCCGTGCAGATGCGGACGAAGAGCCAATAACAAGATCTGTATCGCCGGTGTAGCGGTGTAGGAGCACAGCGAAAGCGGCGAGGAGGATGTGGAAAGGTGAGGGCGCTCTCACCTCCGGTGCTTCCTCTTCTTCCGCGTCCTCGTTCTCGTTATATAGAGCAAGCTTCAAGAGTCCCTTGCATGTTGGTTCCGAGAGGTCAGCAGCAAAAGCGGCTTCGACCAGTCGATTCCCTGCGAGCCGAGGATAGTCTGTGGGGAGCGAGATCGATGGCAGATTTTGTAGGCGAGCGAGTGTCCTCGCCATCCGCGCGTCCATCATGGTACGCTATCTCTGAAAGCTTGACGTTTCTGTTTGGGAGCAAGCCGACGGCGAGAACGACAACAACGACGACGGGGGAGGAGAAGAAGTTCTGACTCGGTGCGAAGGTGCTTAAATCGCGATCACGTGCCTAATAACTGAAGAGTCATTGAAGACGCGTCGTGTCCTTCCGGCCGTGTCACAGTGATTGTTTGCGAGGTTCCACACATTGTCCGAAAATATATGTACTAGATCATAAACGGCGGCAGTTGATCCGTCCCCAGGCCGATGGAACGCAACTTATACGGAATATGACCTTGAGGTTCGGGTTGCGCTTGTGTACCAGCACGAGGGCACTGTCACCCACGGCGGCCCAGTCGATGAACGTCCAAGACATCGTCAGCCAGGTGGTGCTGAAGACCTGGAAACACAGGGTAAGCATGCGTAGGTTGGCACCTGTGAGCCCGAAATAAAGTGCGCGATTGAAGCACAAAAAGGAGTATGAGAGGGATGATCTGTCAGGACACGACAGAATAGCACTTTAGACCCGATAAATATGTATTGGACTATCAATGTCATCAACCCGTGGGCTGAACCTAAACGAGTCGGCACTGCTGCGGGACCCACGCTCCCAATGTAGTGAGACTTTGATCTCACCGACAAGGACGAACGAGTCAAAATACCGTTACATTAGAGATGACCGGATGATCTACCCACTATGACCATACGCGCATACAGTGCGAAATGTTACGTTTACGCGTCTTCCATCAGGTCCTTCCGAACAGGTCTTTCTCAGGTCATCGTCCCTTCGTAGGCTTGACAGTAACTTGCCTAGCTCTTCCGTGGGCGTATATATGGACGGTATGAGATTCTTCAACAGCGGCGTCATGACGATGTCGATTGCGCGGAACCAGGCTGGACGCTGGTTCTTCCGGTCCTCAGGGTACTCCTTCGGCGGGGAGAAGTATGTTGAGCGGACTACACGTGCTTTCATGCCTGGTGTAGTGATGCAGAGTTAGGTGAGGTCTTCCTCGGCGCGGCCCTATAACAAAAGAAATTATTCACTTAGGATAGACCGAGAAAGAAAGCGCGGAAGAACATACCTTGACTCTTGCCCACATCTACGAACTCGTCCCGGTGGGATTCGCATGCTCCGCGCTGATGAGACGAACTTGCACGGTTCGCCTTCGCCCCTATTCTCCCCCACGCCGGCATCGTTTAGTGCAGTCGCCACATTCAGCAGGTACCCGTACGTCATCTCCGTGTAGTCCGTCTCATTCATGCCCGCAACACTCCTCCCCAGCGCCCATACACACTCATTGTTTTGCGCGAGTTGCTTGGCGAGGTCGGGAGGGTAAGGCAAGAAGTCGTTGTGGATGATGGTGGTGGTGTTGGTGGAGGTGTTAGGCGAGAGGATCGCCCATGAGGGGATCGGTCGACGGGGGAGAACCGTTACATGGGTAATGGCGGGGTCGACTACAGCTGCACGGTAAGTCGCGAGACCAGCTACACGGCACCCACTGCCACCCAGTGCTTAGACGTTTGCGATATGCAGTTGAAAAGAGAATACGTACCGACACCTGTGACCCCGGTCAAGAGAAGCGTCATATATGTAGGCCAACGCATGGGGAAGAAGATACGACTCGGCAGATGCTGCAGATCAGGCCTGCCAGTGTACAAACCTTTATATTATCTAGATATCGTCCGTGCCGCTAGGTTGCGTATCCAGGGCGGATCGTGGGGCCTGCCTCTCATACGCATCAGCCCCCGGCAGTCCCACCAGAGGCCCGCTGCCATACAATACTTCGCGGGGCATTGGTTGGCGTTGTGAGTCGCATTTCCAGTACAGCTTCATGTATGAATGAAACTGACAGTTCGTGAAGTCCGTTGAGAAAGAAAGCCGTTGTGTGTAGCCACCGCCACTGTCAGTGGACGGACCAGGGAGGCTGCCACTGGGCTGCTGCCATGCAGCGCTGCCGCGGTGACACTGACACTGTGACAGACGCGTAACAGGACGGTGACTCACGATGTGACAGGCGCGTTTAGGTCACGTGCGGGTAGGGGTAAAGCGCGCCCTCGCCCAGCAAATTTCTACTGCAGACTTCTCCTTCTGCACGGCGACGACGAGCAAAAAATGACCAAGTACATCATCGTATCTGGCGGTGTGGTGAGCGGCATCGGGAAGGGCGTGATTGGTACGCTCCAGCGCGTCGCCTGTGTCAGGTCATGTTCAAGCACTCGTTGTAGCCTCCTCGACAGGCCTGCTCCTCAAGACGACCGGCCTGAAGGTCACCGCGATCAAGATTGACCCATACATGAACATAGATGCAGGCACCATGCGGCCCCAGGAGCATGGTGAGGTCGCCTCTGCCTGAGAACGTGTGATGTCCTTCTGAGAGACGCGTTAGGCGAGGTCTACGTCCTGAACGATGGCGGCGAGGTCGACCTTGACCTCGGCAACTACGAGCGGTATCTGAATGTGACGCTGTCGCGCGACAACAACATCACTACCGGCAAAATATACCGCGAGGTCATTGAGAAGGAGGTCCGTCGTCTACCCCGCGTCTATGTCGCGATTATTGAGTGCATGACATCAGCGGCGGGGAGACTACCTCGGAAAGACCGTCCAGATCGTCCCCCATATCACGAATGCCATCCAAGATTGGATAGAGCGCGTTTCGAAGATCCCCGTGGATGACACCGGTGAAGAGCCGGATGTCTGCATTGTGGAGGTACGACCGTTATGCTCGCTACAATGCACTGATTGAAGATGCAATTGTCTAGCTCGGGGGAACGGTCGGCGACATTGAGTCCGCGCCCTTCGTAGAAGCGATGCGACAGTTCCAGTTCCGGGTCGGTTATGAGAATTTTGCTCTCATCCACGTCTCCCTGGTCCCAGATATGCATGGCGAGCAGAAGACAAAACCGACACAAACCACGGTGCACGCACTCCGAGGCTTGGGTCTTCTGCCTGACTTGGTAGCGCATATTTCATCATGCTACTGTTTGATGCTGATGAGGGCGGATGCTTTAGATTGCCTGCCGCCTCATCGTACAAAAACCCCTTGAACCTGCTACGAAAGCCAAGATCTCAATGTTCTGTCACGTCGCACCAGAACAGGTCATCGGCGTCCACGATGTTTCTTCCGTCTACCACGTCCCGCTACTCCTCCAATCACAAGGCATTGTGGACTACCTCCGCAAGCGTTTGAACCTGGGTGCACTCGCGCTCACGCAGGAGATGAAGGATAGGGGCACGGATTTGGAGCGCCGATGGAGAGAGCTCACAAAACGGTGCGTACCCACTGTAATATCTGAGCGATGACCACTGGACGTCCTACAGCCAAGAACGAGTTATTGACGACGTCACGATCGTTCTGGTCGGCAAGTACACTGATATGCACGACTCGTACATGTCGGTGACAAAATCGCTCGAGCACTCTGCCTTCAGGTGCAACCGCCGTCTCATCCTTAAGGTTCAGAAGACGCGTTCGCTTGAAACGTTAGCTGACTTCTTGACAGTGGGTTGACTCGTCCGATCTCGAACCCGAGACGCAGGTTACAAACCCTGCGAGGTACCACGACGCATGGCGGGCCGTCGTCTCTGCAGGGTGAGTGTCTCGCCGGATGCTGCTCCCACAAGGCACTGACACTCTGACAGGGGCATCCTCGTCCCAGGTGGGTTTGGCCTGCGTGGCACGGAGGGCATGATGCTCGCCATCAAGTGGGCGCGCGAGCAGAAAATCCCTTTCCTTGGTATCTGCTTTGGCTTCCAGCTGGCCGTTGTTGAGTGGGCGCGGAACGTCTGTGGCCTTGAAGGTTAGACCTCACCGACCGCGCGGTCCTGACATCTTCATCCCTGGCATCTTCATTATTCTGACTGTGCGCAGGTGCGACTTCCGGCGAGTTCGAACCCGAGGCCAAGCACTCGATCATCATCTTCATGCCTGAGATCTCGCGGACACATATGGGCGGCACGATGCGTCTTGGGCTCAGGCCAACGGTGTTCCAGGACGGCAGCGAGGCGTGGTCGAAAGTTCGTAAGCTATACGCCGGCGCAGGCAAGCTTTGGGAACGCCACCGCCACCGCTACGAGGTCAATCCTGCATATATCGAGAAGCTCACGGAGAGCGGGATGTCGTTCATTGGTCGGGACGAAAAGGGCGAGCGGATGCAGGTCCTCGAGCTCAAGGGTGAGCGTTGTGTTCCATCTGCCGTACTTGCGCTGACAACGGCCTTCGAGTAGATCACCCGTACTTCGTCGGCTTCCAGGCACACCCGGAGTTCTGCACGCGTCCCCTGAACCCCTCGCCGCCCTTCCTCGGCTTTGTCGCCGCTTCGTCCGGACAGAGCGTCCTGGATGAGCAGATGGAGTACCAGTTCAAGAACTTCCGCCCGCCGCACCCCGAAGGCTCGATGGTCAGCGAGGACGAGCTCCGCAGAAATGACTCGCCTCCCCCTGGTGTGGAGAAGGTTCTGCGGCAGGAGTCATGATGTTGGTCTGAGTGGGTTGTCTGAATCGTGTAGATCGTGTGGTACTCCTACAATATGTCGAATGTTAGAACGCATGATACTCATCGCAATGTCAAATACTACACGCATGTATAGGTTCGCTAGCCATATATCTAATGCCAATTCCACCAGTCCACTACACACCGGCTACGCGCTCATTACATATTGCGAGATACATCGTTCTCCAACGTCCTCTTCCCACCGTCCATCTTGCTCCCATCAGCCGTCTTGCGCGCGAACCTCCAAGCTATGACAGGCAATATCTGACAAGACAGCCGCAATGATATGATGTGGTTAGTCTGGCTTTAGAAGATAGCCAGCGGCCGACGGCCACTCTCTCTCCGACACCTCTTTCAGCTATGGTCGCCACGGTCTGGCTCGTCGTCGGTTGCCTACTTCTGCTCGTCCTCTACATTCGTCTCAACGACGCAAAGCTAGGCCGCGTCGCCCCAGAGGCGGCCGCGTTCTCCCCAAAGCGGTGGGCGCCGGAGGATGTCCGACGCACGGTGGACGAGCTGGCTGCCTCCCCTACATCTCTGCTGAGCGCGAAGCTCCCGCCCAAGACCGGAAGACGATATATCATCACAGGCGGGGTGAGTGATAGGTTACTGCGTTTCTTGGCCTCACGATCTTACGCAGATGCGTGATAGGCAGGCTTTCTGGGAGGATGGATGGTCCTACATCTACTGGCACGCGGGGAGGACCCCCGACGCATACGCGTCCTCGACATCCGCCGGCCCATTCGTAAGGACCTGCTAGAGGGCGCTGCGACAGAGGTCGAGTTCATCCAAGTCGATGTGTCCGACGCGAAGGCGGTGCAAGCTGCGTTCGACAAACCATGGCCGCTCGCCGTTCCCGGTGAGCCAGAGCCAGAGATCACCGTGTTTCATACCGCAGCCACCATCCGTTTCTTCGAGCGGCACCCCGACCTGCTTCACCTCTCCGAGAAGGTCAACCTGCGCGGGACGCAGAACGTGCTGGACGCGACACGACGCGCCGGTGCCTCCACCTTCGTGTACACCTCGTCTGGCTCCATCTCCGTGCACAGTAACCGGTTCTTCCTCTGGCCGTGGGAGAAGGAGCCGAAGTACTTCACGCAGCTGGTCAACGACGACGATGCGATCATCCCCAAGCGGCACGAGGACTTCTTCTCCAACTACGCCGTCTCGAAATGCAACGCGGAGCGTGTCGTCCGTGCAGCGGATAAGTCGCCCTCGGGCAAGAGCGTGCTGCGCACCGGCTGCATACGCCCGGGGAACGGGATCTACGGCCCCGGCGGCGACTTGCTGGTCGGAGTGTATCTAGTGAAGAAGACGAATCCCACATGGATCCCGAACATCCTCCAGTCCTTCATCTACGTCGAGAACTGCTCCCTCGCGCACCTCTGCTACGAGGCGCGACTCATAGAGATCCAGAATGGTGGGAAGAGCCCAGACGTCGGCGGCCAGGCATTCTGCGTCGCGGATGCCGGGCCGCCTGCGACGTACGGCGACGTATACGATGCCTTAACGCAGTTGTCCAATGGTGTGTGCGTGTTCCCGAAGCTGTCGTGCACGACTATGCTTGGCATTGCGCAGCTGGTTGAGGGATACGACCTCTTGCGCCATTTCCTCGCGCAGTCGCCACTCGCGGTGCTCACGAAGCTCATGCCGCGGCTCGGCGGCGATATCACCTTCCTGCAGCCCTCAATGTTCGCCTTAACCGTTATCCACCTCATATTCGATGACTCGCGGGCACGCTCATCGCCGGAGAAAGGTGGACTAGGCTACAACGGGGGCATCACGACGCTGGAGGGTGTCTGCAAGGTCGTGTTGGAGCACCAGAGGGGGGATGGCGAAGGATGGGAGCGTGTGATCGCGGGCCATAAGGAAGAAGGGCACGGCTTCGGCCTCGCAAGGGCTGAGAAGGGTGTAGAGGAGGTCATCGAGAAGGTGGCAAATGTGGTTGGAGTAGACCCACAGAGGGTGTTGACGTAGGCTCGACCAGAAGCAATACAGATAGATCCTTGCTGGGCTCATATCGACATCATGTACTACTTACTGGCTCATGTATCCATCTTGTAGGATATATACCGGGACTTCCCGTTGTGTGCAGCACCCAATTATACATTCATACCAGACACAAGGGAATTACGACAATATCGTAAGAACCAGCAGAAATGGCTAGATCAAAGCGCAAGATACCATGAACCAAACCTATACAGTACCTCGCACGTCGCTCATCAGGCAGGAGGCGGTGGCGGCGGTGCGCCGTCACCTGGAGGCTGGCTGCCCGGAGCCGGTGGGCTACCCGCAGGCCCGGCGTACCCTTGCTGCGCGTAGTACTGTGCATATTGCTGCTGCTGCCATGAAATAAACTCGGGCGAGTTGACGTCGTATCCATACGCGGCCCTGCGCGCGTTCGTCAGTCCTTCGTCGGACGGCGGAGTCGCTAGACGTACCAGTATGCTTTGTATGCGTCCATATCACCGGCACTCGGAGCCGCCGCTGCAGCAGCTGCGGAGCTGTCCTGGCCCATAGATGCAGGTGCGCTTCCTTCAGGTGGCGCACCGGGGGGAGGAGGCGGTTGCTCGCCCGGGGGCGGGGGCGGAGGCGCGGCACCTGGTTGCGGAGGGGCATATCCCTAGAGCGTTACCACGTTAGCAATCCACACAGGAAGGATACATGCCCGGATACAAGTGGAGATCAGATCAGTAAAACGAGGGTCGTCGCGCCTGGAAGATCGCACACAGGCAGAGAGGGGGGCGAATGAGCAGAGTATACATACTCCATAGCTGTAGGCGGCGTACTGCAGTTGGGCTTGGTGGAGCTCCATTTGCTGTTGCTGCACGACGGTCTTGACCTTAGCGTGCTCCTGACGGACGACTTCTAACAAGTCTTCGGTAAGGACCTTTGCCCGCTGTACCTGCCCTTCATCAGGGCCACTGCGCGGAATGAGCAAGCCGAAGAAGTGTGTTGAGATGGACAAGACGCACGTTACGTGAATATACATCGGCTCGTCGTGCTCATGTCCGGTTTCCTGATCGACGAATCCGGAGCCAATGCCCTTGATTTGCACGCGAGTATTCGTTTCCTGTTGAATGTACTTCACGAACATACCCTGTGATAGGAAGGGCTATCACGACATACTCGCGAGGCATCTCGGAGTGATACTCACCTGAGGCCCGACTACCTTTGCCCTGACGTTGAAGTTCCGAATACTATCGATACCGACGGGAATCTTCTCTTCCGGCCATTTGCGCTACAGGGACGTGAACAACCGTCCGTTGAATTGCGTTAGCTGCGTATGCACTCACACGTTCCCTCATACGATCCTTCTTGTCTTCTACTAGCGAGCCCATGTCCATGGCGATGAGTTCATTGACTTTGTCGATAGCGTTCTGCAGCATCTCCGGTGACGTCGCAGAGATATGGAGGTACAGTGGAGGGTCCTTCTCTGTAGCCTTGGTACGGTCAGGGTACCATACACCCTTCGTGCTGACCGAAGCACCCGTGTCCTCATGGATCTGACAACAAGACGTCGTGAGAGGGCCAACGGCAGCTTCTCCCAGGCTGTACCCACCTGTGTCTGCGTCGAGCCTTTCGTCAACAGATATCTGTTGCGCTGGTCGTTGATATCGATGTCGCGAATGTAATCTCCATCGTGCGGATCCTTTCCGCCTGGCAATCCACTGCCACCCGACCCAGCAAACTGCGCGGCGATTTTCGCAGCGATGGCGGCCGCTGCAGCTGCAGCCTCAGACGCAGTCTTGCCATCTTCCTGTTTGATGGCCTTCGTCGGGGTATTGTCCTCTTCCGGAGCAGCCTGATCCCACTTGCGTTTCGAGGACATGATCGAAGTCAAAGGTGAGTGTCGTGGTCGACGAGTGTGCCACAGTGTGGCGAGGGATGGGTCTCACGGTAAGTATACTTACAGGTTTCAATACAGATTACTTATGGTTCCGTAAATAAGTAATTCATTACCCTACATATTTGACAGGGTAACATCGCCGAGCGGCATCATCTCCCTGGCACAGGCCGCCAACAACCGTGGCTCACGGCTTTCTTTTTCAACGGACTTCCTGGGATGTCATTTCATTCATAGCATGAAGCTTTACTGGAAATGCGACTCACGATGTGGCCAACCAATGCCTCGCGAAGTATCTTATGGCAGCGGGCCTCTGGTGGGTCCGACCGCCCGGGGCTGACGCGTATGTGAGGCAGTCCCTGCCACGACCCGGCCGGGATACGCAACCTAGCGGCACGGACGACATCTAGATGATATAAAGGTTTGTACACCAGCAAGCATGATCTGCAGCATCTGCCGAGTCGTATCGTCTTCCCCACACATTAGTCCATATGAAGCTTCTCTTGACCGGTGTCACAGGTGTCGGTACGTTTCTCTTCTCAACTGCATAGCGCAAATGTCTAAGCACTGGGATCCGTGTAGCTGGTCTTGCGGCCTACCGTGCAGCTGTAGTTGACCCCGCCATTACCCATATAACGGTTCTCTCCCGTCGACCGATCCCCTCATGGGCGGTCCTCCCGCCCAACGCCTCCACCAAGACCACCACCATCATCCACAATGACTTCTTGTCTTACCCTACCGACCTCGCCAAGCAACTCGCACAGAACGATGCGTGTGTATGGGCGCTGGGGAGGAGTGTTGCGGGCATGAATGAGACGGACTACACAGAGATGACCTACGGGTACCTGCTGAACGCGGCGACTGCACTGAAGGATGCCGGCGTGGGGGAGAATAGGGGCGAAGGCGAACCGTTCAGATTTGTCTTCATCAGCGGGGAGCATTCAGATCCCACCGAGACGAGTTTACAGATGTGGGCGAGGGTCAAGGTGCGTTTTCCGCGCGTCCTTTTCTCGGCCTCTTCTAAGTGACTATCTTTTTCTGTAGGGCCGCGCCGAGAAAGACCTCACCAAACTCTGCAGTACTACGCCAGGTATGGAAGCGCGCATGTTCCGCCCAGCATACTTCTTCCCACCGAACGAGTACCCAGAGGACCGGAAGAACCAACGTCCGGCCTGGCACCGCGCAGTCGACATCGTCATGACTCCGCTGGCGAAGAACCTCATACCGTCCATATATACCCCTACAGAAGAGCTAGGCAAATTTGTTGTCGAGCTTGCAGAGGGACGATGGCCTGAGAAAAACCTGTTCCGTAATGCGGAGATGAGGGAGCTAATGAAGGCCACACTGTAAAATGACGTTTCGATTGTATTCATGGTCGTAGCGAATGGGGAAACCCCTATAGCGTGCTTCGCCTCGTGTATCCTTCTCGATGACTCTGAGAAGTGCATTGGGAGCGTGGGTCTCGTGATGCCGACTCGTGGTCCAATTTGGCTTACCCACGGCCGCCCACTGTTGTCACCTTCCGTATTGGGCAACCTTTGGGATGTGGGCGTTTGTGGGTCCACGCCTGCTATCGAGGGCGCACGTTTTGATTGGTCAACTTTGCCTTGTCGATAGCAACGGATTGGTTTCCCAACCTTCGCTTCTTCGCGCGCCATCTGTATATAAAGCCCACCATGATCACTGCAAGGTCCCCATCATCGCTCCAGCCTTCGAAGCCCCGGGCCTCCGCATCCTCAGTACTCTCGTCGTACAACATATTCACACGCTGCCTACAATGTCTTCCCAGGCCTCGACCTCTACCACTTCTATCATCCCCTCCGTCTTCACATGGAGCAGCGCCCAGGAGCGCGACCTCGAAGCACAGACGATCTCCGGCACGCACGAGCACTTCAACGTACAGCTCCCCACTCCTCCTGCAGCGCGCCTTCACGCCCCTCGTACCCGCCCCTCTAACGCAGAGGAGGGCACAAACGCAGTTGATGACTTCTTCGGCGCGTCGTCCTCTCGCCGTTCGCCCCGCGGCACTCAGGACAGCCGCCACGACACGATGTCCTTGCCCGTGCACCACGACGACTCGGGCTCGGACGCGCCGCCGCCGTACTCTTACTCTTCGGAGCCTCCCGCATACACGCGCTACGTGGAGCACCCTACGCTTGCCATGTATCTCTTCAAGTTTGGCTTCCGTGAGTGCTCCTGCATGCTTTCTCGCTCTCACCACCCTTTACTTACTCTCCGCTCACTAGTCTTCCCGCTGTTCTGGATCGCCGGCGCCCTCGTTCTCATCTCTCCTCTTCGCGCCCCACAGGATTGGGAGCTCTCCAAGACAGACGCGGAGCGCCAGGAGCTCATCGAGAGCATGCGACGCACGGAGATTAAGTGGGCAAGGCGCTGCCTCATCGCAATCTTCGCTCTCGCCCTTGTCGTGCTCGCCGTCGTGCTCGCCGCCGTTTTTCTTATGAGGACGTGAGGACGCACGGGCCCTTTCGGCGATAATCGAGGTTCGCGAGCGCAGCGCGCCGCTCCCGACCTCTGAGTCCAGTCCCGACTTCTGCCACGACGATGTTGACGAGACCCGCGGATTCCTGGTGGAAGGCCCGCTGTTCGACGACGACAAGCCCCTTCCCTTGCCTTTCCGCATCAAGCCCGCCGCTCTGGCAAGCACTACCCATGTAGATGTGCCGCTCGGGATTACCTTCATTCCTCTCCCGTCACTACAACTTGAACGTTCTCGCCTATCATGGCCCATCTGACTTCAATAACGAGCAGATGAATCCGACGACTTTCCAGAGACCGGCTGTTCTCCTATATTGTTTGTATCGTTATCAGTAGTTCTGCTCAGGACCTTATGCGACTGTATCCCTACACGAATATAACAAAGCTCCCCACTTAGCGAATGCTTACCCTGCCTGAGGACATGGGAAACCAACTCATGAAGTCCCGTTGGGAGTGCATCATACAGTGATCAGCATGTCAGACATTTCTTGTGCTTCGTTTGCGGTGTTCCAGAGTAGGTTGCCCTCGGTAGTGTTGCTTCATATCAGCTTTATCGTCGTGTGATCCATCAGCGTGGTACGATATTACGTTGTCGGTCATGGCTCTACAGTATTGGTGGGTAAGTGGGGGTATGCGATCATACAATCCGGACAGTAACCGGAACAGACAAATCGACGACATAGTATGGGCCGCATCCTGCCCGGGGACTCGTTCTTCGATCCTATTCTTCATTCGGCTCAGGCTTCCAAACTTCATCTTCCAGAACCCCCGGAAGCCTCTCTCTCAGCACCGCGGCGACAACATGTCTGTCCCGAATATGCAAGAGGATTCCGCATTGCTGAAACACAAAGAGAGTGGAGAGAGTGACAAAAGTTATAGAAGCCCCCATCTCAAACCTGTGAAGCCGTGGACTCGGACGTTTTATGAATAGGAGCCAGACAAAGCTTGCGGCCCAAGCAGCGCCGTTGATTTGCCAAATGCGCTATCACGGTAGCGGTAAGCTCACACCTGTGAATTTTGGGCAGTAAGGCCACGTACGAAGTGTTTCTCAGTACGTTCTGCCCCTCCAAGATACAGGGTCGTTAAATCGATATCGCGCTGTGAAACATGCCGATGACGCAGATCCTCCCCCACGCCCGTACGCATCATATACATGACTGTTGACGATGTCCACACAGTTGCCGCGCGCATGGCGATCTTCTGCAGAATGCTGATGGCAGGTTCCTCTGCGACGCCTGCCGGACGTGTTATTGAGTGAACACGGCAGAATGAGTGTCGTACGGTACAGCATACCTTCTGGAGCTGGGCCTTCCCATGTGCGCGGTAATGAGAGCGCAGACGATACTAGTGCCCGCAAGCGTGGAAAGCTATGAGCATTTATTACGAGCTGATGGGCTTGCTTGATGGTACGAAAGGCTTCATCTGTCCTCTCTGCTGCTTCAGCTTACTTTTGACGTATCGTCCAGTAAGCAGTCGCCCCGAGGCCAAGGCTGATAACAAGAGGTTCGCAAATGTGGTCTCTGACAGTCAACTTCTCCCTAGCGAGTGCGGAGGTGGCAAATCGCGGAATGCGGCGTGCAATGAGCGGGCCTAGCGGGCACGAAGCGCCGAAGGCGAATGTGGCGACAGAGAGCGACATCCAGACGCACGGTGCGCGTTGCCGGGCTATGCGGCCAGTAAGCTCGTATGCTAATCCATCCCTCCAAATGGCGTACCACGTAACGGCCCGAATCGTTGTAGGTGGTGGCCTGAGGTCGGTCAACTCGAACATCACCGTTGGGCGGTACCTATGATTGCTGGATAATCGCCGCCGAGTCGGGAATGGAGACCGTCAAGCCAAGCAAGAGCGCAGACACTTGTGTTTTTATGAACAGGGGAGACTATCTGTAGGCTAGCTCGTTCCCGCGGACCGTGCCAAATCTTCCTTAAGGACGAGCCGACAAGACACGCCAGGCTCGGCCCACAATTAGTACGTAACTGAGATTGGGAGCCTATCTCCGCTCCGAGTGTCCAGAAGGTCCGACGCATGAGTCTCACAGTACTGTATCCCACGCACGCGTGCTGCCATGCACAGAGCAGAGATGCTATAGAACGGTATAGAGTTATACATGAGTGACGGAGCCACAGCCTGAGAATGAGGTAAGCAGACCTGGATACCCAGGAGATCGAATCGGTACGATACGCTCGGTGCTCCACTCACCACTGTCTCAATCCCAGTCAACGCCAAGGATTGAAATATGAAATATGAAATGTCTCGCCTGGCTCGCTCAGGCTTAGTGGATACAGTACGCAACTCGAATGGACATGCAACGTTGCATCGCGGCCGCAGTCTCATGCCTCACGTCCAAGCTGGCTGTTGACCTTATGCATTAGGGTTCAAACTCAAGCGCTCAAGACTTGCCGGGCCTGGGCCTGAGGCCTGAGTATTCAAAGAGTGCATATGTATCGCCATCTTGTCTCAATCCAGAGAGTAGTGGGGAGCCCCAAGGTCGTCTCTATTCGCATCGAAAGCGCAACAAACCTATTACATGCATGAAAGCGTAGGTACCATACTAGAAGTACAATGCGGCCCAGCGGCGCTGCGCACCCAGTCTAACCCATACCACCGCATAAGCTGGCGGTCAACAACCTCCGTGCGAGGCATCGCGCCTGCACAATAGGCTTTTGCGCGATGAGTAAACGTAGGTGGATCACTCATCGTCGAACGACCTCCTCGGCGCCGGCTTGTCATAGCCGCCGCTCCTGCGGGAGTCGCGGCCAAAGTCCCGAGAACCTCTGTCGAACCCTCGAGATTCTCTAGGCTGACCGTAGCTCCGCGAATCCCTGTCAGATCCTCGCGACTCTTTATCAAAGCCGCGCGACTCCCTGTTGCCACGGCCGATCCATGGTTGCTGGTTGGATAGTGACCTGCTGGAACGCCCGCGGGAAAACTGCGACGAGGCACCACCACCACCACCAAAGCCCGTCTTCCCGAGAAGGGAGGCCGAGATATGGGGCGGCTTCGGGAGACCCATCGCCTGCGTCGCCCACTTCTTGACACCCTCGAGGACGACCTCGCGCTGCACGCGCAGATCGGCCACACGCGGACCGTAGTACCCGAGGAGCGACATCAGAGTCTCCACGATCGCTTCCTCGTCGAGCCGGCCGTGCAGCTCCTTGATTTCATCTTGCATCGTCTCTAGCACCGGTGCGTACGGCTTCTGCGCGGCGTGGAAAAACTTGACGTCTAGCTCGCCGTTATCGTAACGCTGCGCGAGCTCTTGCACCTGCCTCACGAGCTCGTTCGACGTCACCGGCTTCAGCGGCATGTCTTGGAGCTTCCAGCTGACGTAGCCAGCCTCCCAAGGCATAAGCACGAGGTCGACGCGTCCGGACGTCGTATCCTTGCCACGGCCCGTGCGACCTGCACGGTGAATGTACGATTCAGCGGTGATGGGAATCCCGAGCTGGATGACGCGCGTGACCCCGGGGTAGTCGACGCCGCGGGCAGACACGTCCGAGCTGACGAGGACGGTGGGGTTCCGCGACGCCTCGCGGAACGCGGCGGCAGCCTTGTCGCGCGACGGCTGGCTAAGCTTTGAGTGCATCGGAGTGACTCTCGTCGATTTACCCGCAGGCAGCGTAGAAGCCAGGCTGTAGACAATCGTCGTGAAGAGCTGCGTCATTTTGGTCGTAGGGGCGAACACGAGGACCTTGGACTTTATGCCGTGCGTCAACTGGTCGTGGGCGAGGATGCGGAGGAGATGAGGGACGAAGTCGCCCTCGGACGGCACAACAGTATGGTATTGTGGGATGCTAGCATGGGTCGGAGGCGCCGCATCGTCGACACAGTTGATGTACGAGTGCTTCGCGTCAAGGTACTCACGGGCAATCTGTCGAATTGGGGGGGAAACCGTGGCAGAGAACATGAACGTCTGTCTCGATGGGGACTTTGGCAAATGCGAGACGATGGCGTCCAGGTCATCACGGAAACCCATGTCCAGAAGTGTGTCGGCCTCGTCCAGGATCAACTACAAGACAGGGTAGGTTACGATGAATGACAGCGAACAAGGGAGCGAGGAGATCACACACCATGTTCGTCCGCTTCAAGGCCTTACTGATATCAGGCTCGTTCTCCATAATATCCCGAATGCGACCCGGGGTCGCGACGACGATGTCCAGCCTGCCATTGTGCCAATCGTGCAACTGACTTCTCCTGCTAGCACCGCCGACGAAGAGCCTGACCTCGAAACCGCGGTGGTGGGAGCTGAGACGCAGCGCCTCGTTCGTAATCTGGGTCGCCAACTCGCGCGTAGGGCTGATGACGAGACAACCGGGAGTGCTTCGCGCGAAATGGCGCATCGCGCGTTCTTGCGTGTGCTGGTCCGCCGACGCCCCAGCGTCCGTCACCGCCTGTTCACCGTATGCCTTCATGGCCCGGATCCGAGCCTCGATAGCGGGCACCAGGAAAGCGAGGGTCTTACCAGTACCTGTTCGTGCTCTGACGAGCAGGTCGCGGGGATGCTCTGCGCCAGGTGCGTGGGGCTCAGCCAAACCGGGGAGAAGGGGAAGTACGGCGGCCTGCACCGGGGACATGCGCGTAAGCTCGAACGGTTTGCCGATGATCGCTTTCAGGGTGTTGGGCGAGACAACGTCCTGAAGAGTGGAGAACTCCGGTGTCTCAGAAGCCGCCTGGTGTGCCTCCACGTGTTGACTGAGAGCCTCCTCCGGGGCTGTCTGAGCAGCAGCAGTAGCAGCCCATCGCCGGATGGGTGTCTGTCTGAAGACACCTGCCACGACGGTCAAGCTCGAACCACCAGAGTGACGAGGACTGGACGTACCTCTCGCCGCGTGTACCCGTAAGGAGCCTTTGGCGGGTACCCGCACGGCCCTGGCGCACAATGTGGCCAACATATTGGTTCGGGAAGAAGAGGACAGCGGGGCTACCGAGCGCTACACGAATTTTCCTCTTATATAGACGCTCCACGTGACGCCTGGCGCCGGACAGCGCTTTTCCCACCGCGGCAAAGTTCAAACCAGCTTTTTGCAACTCCGAAATCTTCCGAAATACTAACCCGAACATTCTCAGAATAGATGCGTTTCAGCATGTTCACAGCATGTTCGACGGAAACATGCCTTTTCGAAGCCTGTTCGAAGCCTTTGAGTCTATTATGCAGAATTCAGAAAAGGTTCTCCGCGGGGGTCAAACTCGCAGTGTTGCTGTATATGACACGTATGATACTTACATCTATACATGCATGTACTGACTGTAAGCTCAAGTACTTCATTACATAACGTACGTAGTACTGATGTAGCAATCGTTTGCCAGCCGGTGCGGTTCGAATGTGGTTGAGTGAATCTCGCAGGGTGCCTCATCATATCATTGCCCAAACCTGCATCTTAGGCATAACCCAGAGCCATTCGCAGCTAGTTAAACGCGAGTGTGAGTATGATGCAGTTCGGTTCAGCTAAAGCCATGCGACTGCGCGATGTATACCAGTGATGGTAGGGTATTAACGGACGGCGTACAATACATCCTCTGCGTCCCATGAAGCCCCAATTACGCAGTAGCCCAGCCTCCCGGAGGCCCTCTGACAAGTCCAATCCTTGCCGCTAGTTGTCTAGCATGCATCGCCTGCAGGCGTTTCGAGCGCATAAACAAGACGACGAGTGCGACAGCCGCAATGACGGCGTTGCATGCGAGGAATTCGTAGAAGTCGCCGCGCTCCTTCGCAACGATGCGCCCGCAGGCCTCCCAAGCAGGGATCTCGCCCCCGTCGGGATCAGACTGGCCAGTGTCAGAGTCGGCGCCCGCGAAGGGCGGCGGTCCGCGGTCGAAGTCGTGTTCATCGCCACGGAAGGGTACTGGACCGGAGGCAGGGTGATATGCAGAAGAGGGTGTGCGAGGAGAGCAATGCATCAGTCGACGGTTGCCGAAGGGTTGGCAGAAGGGCTCGTTCAGCTGGAGGGCGTCAGTATTGACGAGGGCAACGACGTGCAGTCCGGACTCACCGCATCATTTGGACAAGGCTCACACGTTCCAAACGGTCGGCAGACGAGATCTGTCGTGTTACCGACCTCCTGAGTTACGGTAAGTTGAACAAGAGACGAGATGAAGAGCCTTCTAAGATGTGAGTCGCGGTAGCAAAGCTGACTGCTCCGACGTACCATAATTGCCAGGTCAGTCTCATATCAGCCCGCTAGCAATGCCCTTGATGTTCAGAATAGTGACGGACAGGCAGCACACATCGCGGTCCGCGACGTGTATAGTAGTAGGTTGGAAGGTTGTGAACGGCTCCCGCTGGCCATCAGTCCCGCGTTTGGCGCCGCGACTTGCTGCCGACTCGGGAACACAGCAGCTGTTTATATATTGAGTTCGCCGTTGTCCCGTTCTTCACATATAAAACCACCTATGAGGCTCTTGAAGCAATGTCAAAAGAGCTACGAAAAGACGGTTGCAGGTGAGCAGTTGAGAGCGTCTAGCGCAGACTCGGCGGCACAGGCCGTCGGACGTCCCTTCGCGCACTACGACCATCATCCCATCCTCTACGGCATACTTTCGAGTGCACATTGCTAACCCGCCTTTCGGCCATCGCCAATGTCTCGCAGAACAGCGGTCGTCGAGGACTTCGACGATGACACCGACCTCCCTCTCCCGAACAAGCCCCTGCCCAATACTGGCTTGCGCGGCGCCATCCTCACAGAGCTCTCAGACGACGCCGACTCAGACGACGACGTCCCCCCGTTGCGTGCCCCAACCGCTGGACCTGCATCACCCTCACAAACGCAATTCAAGGCCCCCGTGCCAGAGCATGGCTCGCGAGCGGTCACCGACATCACGCCCTACAAGAAGTGCGCCCGCCTTCGCTTTTTCCTCTTCGCATTGCTTATGTCCGTACCTCTGTCTCCTTCTGACTTCTCATTGCTGGAAGATGGACGTGTGTGTACCCAATATACATCGACGCGAAGCGACCCCACGGGACCGGCGAGCGACGCATCGCGCGCTCGAAGAGCCTCTGGTGGCCGCTGAGCAGAGACATCGCGGATGCCGCGAGCAGGCTCGGGCTTGGGACGCTGCACGAGATGAACAAGGCACACCCGCGCGACTGGGACAACCCCGGGAGGGTGCGTGTACAGTGGAAGAAGGATGGGCGGCTCGTCGACCCCAGCATCAGTACCAGTGCGTCTCCCCGCTTGCTCCCCCTAGCGCACCCTTCACGCGTTTCGTCCCCCAGAGAAACAGCTGCTCGAGAAGATAGCAAACCAAATCCAGCTCGTCAAGCCTGACAACGTGCCCAAGGCGCCCTACACGACATCCACGACGGAGTCGGCGACGCCAGAACCTGCGCCAACACCCACACCCTACAAGGGCAAGCAGCCCGCGTCCGGCAAGCCTTCCAAGGCTACGAACTCTTCGAATGTCTCCATTAGCACCTCGAAGCCACCCTCGCAGACGAAGGGCCGCCCGAAGCCACCCAGCCCGCCGCTGCCGCACCCACCGCTGACGAGCCAGGTCTCACCATACTCACCCGCGCTGCCGAGCGGTGTGCTGATAGAGACGATCAAGGCTGGTATGAACACGCAGGAGGGCGCGCCCGCAGTAAGCGGTGGCGGCGGAGGAGGGAAGGGCAAGCGGAAGGTCGTGAGGGTGAGAGGATGAGTTGCTCTGGATGTCAAGAGACGGTTGTACTGCTCATGTATTGTCGCTGTAGCAGGATCGTGGATCAATTAAAGCTTGCCTTGTTTCAACAGCACATCAATGGTATCTCGGCAGCCCGTAGCTTTGGTGAATTTCGAAGACTATGCTACAGACTAGCGATATATGAACAAATAAGCAAGCCCGTCCCTGCAGGCAATCCTGGTATCCCCTCCCTGCGTATCCATGATTCTGTGGGCTCCTAACTTTCAAGCCGAAGCTTGGACGCTCTCATCAGCATCCCTACTTCTGTCCGTGCTCTGCTGCCTGGCGCTGCATCGCTCTTTGCCTCTCGGCAATTGCTTCCTTCAGCTTTTCAATCTGCCGCGTGAATAGCGTGACCGTCTGCAGGTCGATGATGAAGCGGGGGCTCTCCGACGCAAGATATAGCTTTTGCTGCTTCACGACCGCGTTCTACCGGTACCACATCAGGACACAGAAATCTCGGATAGGGGGAGGGACCTACGGCAGTGACGAGCTGCTTGATCGTGTCCTCCGCCATCCAACAAGCATATAGCGGCAGGAGCGGCTCCATCTCTGCGATGTGTGTCCACAGCACGTTGTACATCCCGCGGTACTCAGACTCCTCCTCTGGCGGTACATCCATGAGGGGTATATGCGACAGGCCTACAGTTTTCGTCAGTATTCCTCGTCCTGAAGCTATCCGGAGCATATACTCACGTGCCAGAACGGCTTTTTGCACCCAGTTGACGTACATGGTTCCGTGACGGAGATCCACGTCGCTGGGCCGGCCCTTGACGTTCGGTTTGGAAACGGGGCCGGCCAGCTCTCCTCTTTGCTGAGAAGCGGTCGTCTCGCGGTACTCGCTCGGGCAAAAGTCAAGTACCGCGCTTGCGGACGGCGATCGCCTGTGCAGCTGGTGCGGCGACACCGTCGTCGGTTGACGAACAGCTGGATCGGTGACAGCGAAGTCAGTGCTGGAGCCTCTGGACCGTACAAGCTTTGAAACATACCGAGCGCGGCGCGCCGCTGGGCTACCTGGACCTGAGCTTGGACCTGCGTCATGCGCGATCGGATGCCAACATCAGAAGCCCGAGCCTTACCAGCGGCGCGAGTGCTGAAGGTAGGTTGCGCAGGCGTCGACATCATCTTTGGTTAGTGTCTTTCGTCGAAGAGCGGGGGCGGGGGCAGTAGGATTGCTTGGGCCCGGGAGTATCGGTGCTCGGAGATTGGGTTCCTTGGCCCTATCCCTCGTCGAGAGGCTGATTTATACGCACTGGGAGCTCCTCCTGGCTCGCAGCCGCCCCTCCATGCTTCTAATGCGCCCCAGGGCATGCGGCACGCCGCCCGCCCAAATCCGGCGTGCAGCCTTTTGTGCGTGCTCTAGGCTGTATGTCGCGCGCATTGTGAGACGCGTCCGGGCGAGATATGATGGGCAGCGTGCGCAGACATCAATGTACCAACAATGACGGGCGTCCGCGAAGGCTAATTGTCCGGCTCCGCGCGAGGGAACGGGTAATTGTTGGGTGGACGTCTATTGTGTGGCCATAATTGTCTAGCGTCGGTGCTCTGTAGCGCCTGAGGTAGTCAGTGGGATTCATATGGAAGGCCAGGACGAGGACATGATAGTCATAGCAACCGTATGCATACATGGTGGGAGAAGAGGGAGAATGACTCCGAGGCATCATCATACCATGCACTAGGTGTTCTGCTTGTACGGCATGGGTCAGGTGGTGAGCTCTTGCAGTACGGCCGTGACAACACAATCTCACTAGCAGAGTTCAACCCGTTGACTTCAGTCCTCAAACAAAGTAGGTCGGAAGTGTCGCCTGCATGTGTGGTTCTTTGTACGCACGCCGGGTCGGGAGCGTTGAGTAGACACGCGGAGTGGTGTCGCTCACCTCCGAGGGACGCCTCGAGGATCTACGTGTCTCCTTGATGTCTCCTGACTTGGTATTGCCAATGGTACGTCCGAACGTCTATTTGTTTGTGGCCTCAACGCACAAGAGTCACAGGGTGTCATATGCACTCGATCCCTGTGAGTGACATTCGTAGGCTCAAGGTCAAGGTCAGGAGCACTGACATTTGACCGAAGGCGGCAATTGCTAGCAATGAATAGATATAGAGCCACTATACCCTCCAGATGCAGTCCAGACAGAGCACGATAAGAAATCGCACTCCATGAAGGCAGACTGCAAACTACCCTCGTCGATCTCGAGGCCTTCTAACCTATCTATCATACATTGTTACATACATACTTACCCATGTCAGTAATCACTGTGACTACTTTCCCACGCATAGTAAAGCAACCTATTACTCACAGAGTTCACTGGCAGCAAGGAACGGCCTCAGCCCGCTGGCTGGCGCGTCCCTTCGGCTCGAGGTGCACCATGGCAATTCTTAACCGTTTCCCGTTGGTTTGCCCAAATCGGATTCGACCAGATAAGAGGGTGCCGATAGCTCCTGTGCCAGCCGTACTTTCGCCGAGGCAGCAATTGGTGTGCGGCCCGACGATGCGGACGGATGTGCGAGATGAAAGTACACCCTTCCCCGCGATACTCATCAGCATACAGCGTGCAGACTCTGCTCAAGCTGAGACTCTACAGCCAGTGTGAGCAGTGGCCATTGACTACAGCCAGATGTCGGCACAGATGAAAGCAGTCCAATATGAATCGGTACGTGACCCGCGATGTCTACATTGTGCATCACCATCATAACGATACATTCTTTGGACTGTGGAGTAGCCCCGCAATTTCACGCTCACAGAGGTGCCGATTCCAAAGCCAGGAGATGATGAGGTGTTGTTGAAAGGTGCGTGCATCCGCGTGTGCATCCTTATTATTGCGGCTGATCAGTGACCCATGTGTGTGCATGAACAGTTACATGCTGCGGTACGGGACATACCAGCCACTGGTAGCACGCGAGTAGCTATGCTAATGCTCACTCGCTACCAGGTGTATGCGGAACAGATGGCCATGTACACGAAGGAGAATTCATCGCGTCTTTCCCGGTAAGACCTGGTGCAACTCACCGTTCGCCATATCGCTGACGTCGCCTTCATATACAGCTGATCCCGGGACATGAAGTCGTTGGCGTCATAGCAGAAATTGGGAAGAACGTCAAAGGTTTCGCAAAGGGCGACCGGTGTGTTGCAGATCCTGGCGTCACTGTGAGTTCGTGATATATGTATCTAGTATTTCAGTCAGCTGAACATCGCACTAGTGCGGCTCCTGCTTCTATTGTCGGCGCGGAGAGACTCTGCTCTGCGAGAACTTCCAGGGCAAGGGCGTCAGCGCGACCCAGCCAGGGGGCTTCAGCGAGTACATCACTTTGTACGTCTGCCATGCATTGCATGTTCGACGCCGTCCCCATATCATCTGTTCACCCCATAGCTCTGCCCACAAGGTCTACAAGATCTACAACCTCACCGATGAAGAGGCCACCCTGATCGAGCCTGCGGCGTGCGCCATCCATGGGATGGACAAGCTCGAGACGGCGGTGGGCATCGATGCCCTGGTCATCGGTGCCGGCCCGACCGGCCTTGTCCTTGCGCAGCTCCTCAAGCTCAACGGCGCGACCAAAGTCGTCATCGCGGCGAACAAGGGTATCAAGACCGAGATAGCGAAGCAGCTCGACGCAGGCGACGAATACATCGAGCTCGATCGGGTCAACCCCGAGACACAGTGGGCTCAGCTCAAACAGGACAATCCGTACGGCTTCGACGTTGTTGTGAGTGGCCCCTGTGTCAAGCCAGGCGGTGGCTCGCGCTACCTTGCTGACTAGGACGGATTTGTACAATGTAGGTGGAGGCGACGGGGTCGGAGAAGATCGCGAACGAAGCAATCAACTACGTCCGCCGCGGCGGGAAGCTGATGATCTACGGCGTGTACGACAACGCCGCGCGCGTGCGCTGGCCGCCCTCGAAGATATTCGGCGACGAAATCCAGATCATTGGGTCCTTCGCGCAAACGTATTGCTTCCCCCGGGCGGTGCAGTACCTCGATAGCGGCAAGATCCGCGTGAAGGGGATGGTACGTCTCCGTTGTGGCCCTATGCGTTGGCCATAGTAACCTCGACGATACACAGGTGACGGACGTGTTCACCATCGCGGAGTACGAGCAGGCGCTGGCAAAGATGCATAGTCGCGGAGCGCTGAAGATTGCTGTCAAACCCAGCTGAACTTGTCAAGCCACTCGATAGATAATCCCTCGTAGATTGGGGCATCGCGATATTGCTGCGGTGACAGTCGGCATGAACGTCAACGAGGTGGGCTCTGAGTGGACAGTAGTATCAATGATGGATACCTTATTAGCGCGAAGTTCTGGTGTTTCCCGCTCCCGTCGCACTCAACTCCGCAACGAGAAGCTTACCCGCGAAGGACATTGACGCTTCTGCGTATACGTCCCCGTGTGAAGTTGCACTTGAGAAATCAGCGACTAGTGAGCATACGTATGCATGTGAAGATTTCTGCTTACCGTCGCGCAACAAAGAGGTCGCGCTAAGAGGCCTAAGGTGGGGGATCAATAATCGCGGAGCCGGCGCGGACTGTGAGGCAGCACATGATAAACAGTACATTGACGCTAACACGACAAGAGGAGTCTACCTAATGATACGCCACTGCGCAACATCCCGTGAACGCAACAAGATAAGCAGCTACAAATTTGGTCGTTACAAATAGCAGAATATACACTAAGGCACAATGGGCTGCGCGATGCCCTATAGGGCCGAGCAAGGATGAGCGGGCGCGGAGAGGAGAGGTAGCACGGGCGGAGGCTAATTCGCTTCGCTCGAACGCAGCTCGTCCTCCTGCATTTTCGTATCAGGGGTGAATGTGACGGTAGACACCTCTGGCCTGCCCGCGGAAACGGAGGGGAAGGGGTCTGAGTTGCGTTTATGCTTGGCAGGTGAGGGGAGCTCCCCGCCGCGCGTGACGTCCTCGTCGAACTCTCTATCAACCCCACGGCTGCGACCCAGGGCATTCGCGGTGAGCAGAATCGCAGGAGCGTCGGTGAAACGGAGCGATGTGACCTGCGACCTGCGACGGGGCGTACTTGTCGAGTAGTCGGACCAACCGCCGGACTCGAGGTCCTCGCCGTACCGGAGAAGGCGCACGAGCCAGGTGACGAGCACAGCGAGGTTACAGATGATCAAGGATACAGCGGCCTGCGGTACCAAGTTAGAAGGACAGCAAGGAGTGAGGCCGGGTACACACCTCGACGTGAGCAGCGATGGCCTCAGCATCACGATTTGGGCTAAGCTCAAATGCTGTGTGGACGATGCTGACAACGGACGTAATCATGCTTGCAGAGAAGATGGCCACGAGGAGCTTCCGTGTGGTGGAGGAGATGCCTATGTCCCAGAGGAGCCGGATGGGCAGGGCAACGAGGATCGAGTCCGCAATGATATCGGCTATGCGAGCACAAGGTGAGCAATGCCCAAGGATAAGGGACGACGAGGGAGCAACGCACTGGCGAGCTCGACACCGCCCACAGATTCGCCGAGAACACACTGCACATTCGGCTTGGACTGCCAAGCATTATTGTGCACGCAGATGTACAGTTTCTGCGCGAGCACGACAATCCACATGATTAGGAACAGCACCGAACAGACGTAGGAATATTGTCGTAGGTTCATTAAGCGCGGGATAATTCGCATGACGGAAAACAGAATGCTCATGCGCGCGGACCTACAGGGTGGACCATATCATCCACTGCGCTCAGACGAAGCGAGGTAGATGGGAAGACGAACCATAGGACGCAGGTAAAGCAGGAGTTGAGCATAAAGTAACCCATAACACGCTTGTGGATCGGCAGGCTCACGTCCGAGCGCATCCATGCTCCCGCGAGCAGGAAAATGACTGCGAGGAGCGAGAAGGCTGCCCAAGCGTCATCGAGGCCGAGGTGTCTCCTGGATGCGCGGTAGTATAGCCGAAGTGTAGTTGCTACAATCGCCGTACATTCGCAGACCGTGGCCACGACTACCTGCGTCAGCAGAAATCGCGCAAGTGCAAGGACCGCAGGTGCTTACTCCGGATGGTTGTAACGAATGACATGCAGGCGGACACGCCGCTAGCCTTGAGTGTGAGGAGGGGACGACGCCTGCGCGAGCTCTAGATAAGCTGGGGCTTCTGAGGGGTGGAAAAGAGAGGCTGGACGGGGCGCGTCGCATCATATGTAATGGTAGGTAGGCAAGGGTGCTCCTTGGGAGCTCCGCTGGACGAAACTGGTCGCATACAATCGACAAATTCTCATTGCGTCGCTCCTGGCGGGATCTCAGATGAGGCTCGAGCTGCAAGAGGATCAGCCTGATTTGGACTAGCCTTGTCTGCTCCATTCATCGCACGGCATCCTCCTGTCATGCAAACCGAACGAATATTTTCACCATCCGCAACGCCCTCTGAATCCGGTACATAAACTTTCGTATTGCAGTGAGTGTTTGACTGAAACGGCCCATTGTGATATGTGCAGCCACCGACGTTGAGAAGCTGATTGAAGTGAAGTCTGCCAGAACTGCTGAATATATTTGTCACAGTGCAGCCATTGGAATGTCATGCCAGCGAAGTATCATCTTGCTATCACCCAGCATTCCCTCCGAGACGAATACAAATGAGTCCGCGCACGACCGGAACCGAACCACATTGGACGGGCCAATCAAAATGACAGGCTGATGACGGCCGCCACACTGATTCTCCACACGGCGGTCGATATACGACTTCATTGGGCAGCACGGACGATACCGGCCAGTCACTCGGGCAGTACGTACAAACGAGGGTGCATAGTGTAGGCTTGGCTTCTGCAGGGCAGCTAGAACGAGTGGATTCTGAAGCTGAAGCCTGAAGGATAAACCAAGCCGCACGTACTTGTGCACTTCAGACGCCGAGCTTCTGGACTTTCTGGGCCATGTGCACCTAACGGAGCACACAAAGGTTGCATCCTCAACTTGCATGTGGATTGTACGAAGGCTGAGGAGACCCGCTGCCAATCTCCGAGCGTATGTCGAACTGAGCCGATCATCGCTATCGCACATATGACGAGGGCATCGCGGAGCCGGCGGGACCGGGAGAACTCTCAGAAACCCCTTGCAGTCATGAACAAAACGTACACTTCTTGAACTTCGATACCGAACGGTACGACGTGGTTGTCGCAGGCATGGGGACGTTGGCTCTATACAGGGTTGTCGTCCATGTCGACATCGGCTGCCTGTTCTTCGGCCTGTTCGACGCTGATGTGCCCAGCGGGTCGCCATACGTTGCCCGCGGTCATCTTCCAAAGACGCACACGCCCGTCATTCCCTGCAGAAGAGAGGACGGTGCTGAAGATCGCGGAGTCAGTCATTCACGCTGTATAAAATCTGACGCTTCATCGGATTGCACGTACCCTGTGATGTTCCATTCGACACGCCCTACGCCTGACCTAGAACAGAAACAGTACATAGCATGAAAAATGAATAACTCCAATCAGAGATGAACGCCAGCACGCACTTGTGGTCGTCAAAATCAGCTACTACAGCAGCAGACCACCGTGTATCAGACGCATCTGTGCCGTCGGTGTCCCCGCCGTCCTCCAATGTAGGCGGCTTCACGCGCCATATCCGTACGTGGCCATCGCGGCCCCCGGTGGCGACGAGGTGGTAGGAGCGGCCGCATGATGGGGCCCACGAAACGGCTGTGATCGCGTATGGCTGAGGCGCATCACCGTCACCCGGTGATGCTATTCCTCGTGCGGCGCCGTCGCCTGGCGGGCGTGGCGCAGGCGTCGGATCAAGCGTGAGGATGGTTGATGGAGTCCGAGCGGCAGAGAGTTGGATGATCTGCAAGGCGCGTTTAGCTCCTTGCCAGACGGGCAGATAGCGCACTACATACTTTGACGAGGCCGTTGATCCCGCTCGCCGCCGCTATGATCTCTCCCCAATATCGGTCTTTACACCATGATATGCACCACCCTCCGTCCGCCTAGCAAAGGGGTCAACATTGGAATGACTGAATAAGTTGCAGACACACTCACTTCTCTATAACCGAGCCCTGGTCTGCTGGGCAGCTGGCTTTGCTGCTGTGCGGCATGGGCTGCGAGTGAGACACTGGCCCCGTCGAGCGTTGCAGACGGTTGCGTCGGTGTAGTCAGAGTGACAGTCGGCGCGATCGAGCGCGGTGCAGACGCTGACGGCAGGGCCGTCACGTCCACCTCCTCCAACAGCTGCCATGTCGCGAGCGACGGCTGCTCCAAGCATTCATACACACGCAGGTGGTTGTCGGACGATATTGTCGCCTAGTGTCGCACCTAGCCCTGTCAGCGACCGCGCGATACATCGGCCTCTGACACGCACCAGTTTCAACCCAAAGTGATGCGGCGCGAACTCAACGGCGCGCACAGTCCCCTTCGCGTCTACGAGCATCGCCCGCTCTATCCATCGCGACCCGCTCGAGGGGCCCGCGCCTCCGTTCAGCTGCGGTCCGTCGCCGTCGCCGGGATTGGCTTGCTCCCATACCTTGACAGTTCGGTCGAACGACCCGGAGGCGATCACTGTGCCAAATTCTGGGTGTGCCCAGCTGACTTTGGAGATACAGGCGTCGTGGGCCTGTGGGTATTAAGATGAAGACGCGTTCGGCGTGTTCAGTTACATAGGACAATGAGACGCGTACCTTCCAATCATCTTCCACACTCCAAGTCCCGCTATTCTCGTCGAGTCTCCAGATTTTGATTCTTAGACAGCACAAGCGCGTCAATATGTTCCTCTTCGAGCGGAAGTAAAGCAAGTAGATCTGACCTTTGGTCGAGACTGCACGTCGCGAGGCGAAGACCGTAGAAGTCGTAGGACGCGTCCGTGACGAGGTCGCTGTGAGCATTCGGTATGAGGCCCGTCTGCATCATCTTGTGAGCCTTCCAGGAGTTGACAGTGGAAGACGAGAAGAGACACGCGAATACAAGCTAGGACAGCCCGACAAAGTGGCCTGCTGCCACAGCAAATAAGCGCCAACCTCGTTGAACCCGAACCACCATCGTCCCATGACTGCCTTATAGAATGCCTCACGTTGAGAACAATCTCTCAAGCGACTCTTAAGACTAACTCCCTTTCGCTGTGGATGCCACCGATGTCCTTGCGAGTCACATTGTCACAGATCAGCACTCGTGCCCACCGCATCACTTTGAGCAACATGACCTTCCTCCGTGGTCGTGCTTGTCAAGCGAACGATGCCAGATCAAAAACAGGAATCTTCTGCAGCAGCATATCGACTTTCAGGTATGCTCCTTTATTGCCCGTGTTCCTGACATTCTGCCTTTCTCGATTCACTTGCAATGAAAGAAATCGTTCCGTTTGTATTGATACAAGTAACCTATCTAACGACCAACTATCGATACAGAGCTGTACATCATAATGGAGATGAATAACGATTAACCAAGGAGTGCGAATAGTGTGTGGGCGCAAGCCGGTGCGTATGTCACCAGGGAGTGTGAGGTATCGAGTGTGCAGGAGCGTGTCAATGTGGGCCTCCTGGGCGTGATCCGAAGTTGCGTGGGTCGAAGGAGCGGGAATGTCGGTCGGTCGGTCGATGGTCCGTCAGTTGCCAACGGACGGGCGACAGCGGGTGGGTGCGAGCGAGTGTGCAAGAGTTGGTATGGATGGTGATGCGGAGGTCAGCGAGTGGGGACGTCCGACGGATACGTGTCGCGACGCGGGTAGAGGACTGATCACAATGTGGAGGTCATGATGTAGGTGGGTTCACGTCCTCATGACGAGGACCGCAATGGCGACGATGGCGGAGATGAGGAGTGCGAGGGCGGAGAAGGCAATGAGGCAGCGCTTTGCCCACTTCAATTCGGTGCGTCGCATGGACTGGATGAGTTGCTCTCTCTCCGCCTCGGTCTTGGTAAGCTCCCAGTCCTCTGGTGCACGCAGAGGGGAGATGAGGATGAGGGACCCAGCGATCCAGAAGAGTGGGAACACTGGAGAGTGCCCCGTCAGCGGCAAGGTCAATCATGTATGGGGGAAGATGTACTCACAGAAACCGAACTTGAACAGATACATCGCGAGCGTTGGGTGCTCGCCGTACCGACTGTACGCAGGCGGCTCCGACGACGAGTACGGCGGCGGCGCGTCGTCGAAGTGGACGGGCAAACCGACCGCGTCATGGCGGCTGTCCTGCGTGCCGCGTGGGATGAAGGACGGGGAAGTAACGCCGAAGAAGTCGTCGATGGGGTTCGAACCTTCCTCAAGGGAGGAGCGAGCACGAGCGGTGTGAGTAAGTGCTGCTGGAGGAGTGGGAAGCCGGACGTGGTTACGGAGGCTCTGGGACTCGAGATCGCGCTCCTGCGCTGCGCTCCAGGTGCTGAAGGTAGCTGGAATGAGGAAGGCAGTGGAGGTCGAGCTGCGAGCAGACATGATGGCAAAGTTTAGAGATACGAGGCGGATGGTGCAGACGATGCAGACGACTTGAGAGTCGGGGGATGATAGTGAACTGCAGCGGGGTGAGCAGGCTATATATCCCTGAGCCTGCTTCGGCTATCGCTTACCTCGGCAATGGATTGGCCTTCGAAACCAATCATGTCAATTCCCGCCCACGACAGACGATGGAAATCGACGTACGCCTGCGCGGACCCACACCCATTTGTGGCCATCCAAAAAGAGCAAGTATTTGTGGACCCACAAACGCCCACCCCATATATCCTCCAGGAATGGCCACTCCTCACTACCAGAACCCGCTGTGCCGGGACCTTCGGCTCTTCGAAGCCTAGATTTCGCCGCCGTGTACGACTAGTCCCCTAGGTACCTATATATACTACCTAAGTTTTCAATGTCAAACGTTGAGCAACAACTTGAGCTTGAACGCTTCAAGACCCACTGTCTGTTAGATTGACTTATAATAGCACGCCCGCTATAACCTCCATCTCTGGTAGTATATCGGTTAGTACACGCGCCTGTCATCAGTCGGCTTCACCAGCCTGCCTGTGTGCGCGCGAAAGCGGGGTTCGACTCCCCGCCAGAGAGATCTTTTTGAGGCTCGTAGTACCCACCAGCATCGATACAAACTCTCCATAAACAAGGGACTACACCGCTTTTTGCCCACGCCGGGATCTTGTCAATTCGTCTGTGTATGTGTAAAATACTTATGTGTATACCGTGATGGTGCAATACATCCTGCAGATATCTTATTACGTGCGCCGGAACGTACATTAAATTACTAGACGCTACAATCGTGAACGACGTGATAGCACGGGCTTTGTCGACTATGTAGAGTCACCGCGAGGTCTTGTGTGGGAGTACGTTCCTTGCGCGATACCTGATCGTGGAGCAAACGGACTGCTCCCAGGGTTCAATTCAGACTTGCTCGCGACGGACGCATTCCTCGCCGCGCTCAGCCCAAGTCCCGAGGGCTCGAAGGTCGGTGCGCGGCTCGAAAGGTTGGACCCACCCGCTGCCGGCGCCGGAGAGGAGGCCGCGGATGACCCGGATCCCGATGCAGAGCCCGAGCCTGAGTTGGAGTGGGCACGACCGGTATGTCCGTTTGCATGCGATCGACCGCTGGACTTGTGAACGTGAGAGGAAACAGCCGCTGGGGCTTGTAGATGGATGACGCCAGGGCCTGCGCTGAGCTCGCGATGGCCTGGAAGCGACAGCCGTGCGCTGTGTGCCGGTCGTTGGATTGGAGGAAGGGTTTGCGAGTGCGTATGTGATTGCGATGCGTCGCGGCCAGCGGTTCGTGCAGGTGGAAACACGGAATGATATGGATTGTGGTGGGTATGAGGGTGTGAGTGTCGTTTGCGAGGGTGCTGGTGTGGATGGTGATGATGCGCATGCGCGGATCCAGTGTGATTTGAGTGGTGGTGCGAGAGTTGGTGACCTTGCGAGGAGCTGCCAGATACACTCTGGTGGTCCGAGCGACTTGTCGCACGACCTTCGGGTTCGACGATCGGGTCCTCGTTCTCCTGCGACCCGTCCGCGTCCTTCCCTCCGAGCTCGCCCTCGTAGCCGAACGGATCTCGCTCTATCCTCTCGCGCTCCTCCTCCAGCCTCCTCAGCTTCTCTTCCAACTCGCCGATAGTCCCTCCCGCGCCTTCGCCCGAGCCATCCAGCTTCTCCCTCCTCACAGCCAACTTCTCCAACGTCCGTCCTAGCGCACTCATCTCTGCCCCCCACCCCTCGCGCCTCCTCCGCTCCCTCGCCTCTGCCTCCTTGCGCTCGTTTCTCTTCTCCTCTGTCCTCTGTCTCACCTTCCCCAACGATTCCTCCGCCTCGCGCACACGCTGCTCGAGCCCAGGGAGCGCCGCCTCCACCTCCTTCCGCGCCGCCTCGATAGCCTCTGCGGCCGCCTCCGTCTGCTTTCTCGCCTCGCGCAGCGCGAGCACCTTCTGCTTCGCCCGCTGCTCGCCCGCCGCGCCGCGCTCAGCCGCACGCTTCAGCGCGTCGATCTCTGCGCGCAGACCCGCGTCCGCCTTCTGCGCCTCTTTGCGCGCGGTCTTGAGCGCCGCAGTCAGCTGCGCGTGTTCCGCGTTGAGCGTCGCGAGCTCGTGCGTGAGCTGCTGTCGGCGAGCCTCCAGTGTGAGAGGTGCTGGGGTTGGCATCAGCACAGGTGCGGAAGGGGAGGAGGATGGTGAGGTTTGGGAAGGAGAGATGGAGAGCGCTTGGGAAGAGTTGCTAGAGGGAAGGGAGCTGCTAAGGAGGACGGCCTCCTCCGTCAGGGGATCCGGCCGTAAGGGATCGGAGTGGAGGTCGTTATCTGGATAGGTATAGAGGTCAGCGAGCAGTCAGCAGCTGAGCGAAGACAGACGGTACGGGAGCAGGGCTCTATCGCTACGTAGCAGATAAGACGGTTAGCAGGCGATGTCACACCACTTTAACGCATGCGCAGTCATGTTGACCTCACGTATGTCGTGCGCTCGGTGCCCTACTTCGTCTGTGGCGGCGATGATGGGCCAGAGCTACTGCTCGGACGGGTCTACGCAAGGACCAGGAGCCCCGATCAAACGCAGCAAGGAAAGATACGTACTCTGCAGTCAGCTGAGTATGCAGATGTTTGATAGCCTGTGCGGAGTCCCTTCTGGACTGTAGACCCGCCGATCGCGATGGGCGAGGAAAACGCAATCGCCAAGTCCGAGGGAAACTCATCTGGCACGGAGCGTGTAGGCGTTATCTCCGGGGGCGACCTACTACCACGCATCGTCGTCCCGAATCCTCGTTCGCCATACCGCCCTCCAGACAAGCCCGAACAGGATGTACTCACCAGTAGTGATCTGCCCTCGCAATGTCCTCTCGCCCGGCACCACTCCCAGCTCGACGTCATACTGCCTGCCTGGCATAAGCCCGAACAAGATGATCACGGCCTCATCCGTCTCCTCGTCGATTTTGATGAGCACTCTTTGCCAAGGGATGCCGTTGACCTTGACCGACAGCCCTTTTGCGAGGACATCCGAGATGATCTGCGTCCTGTCTGGCTGGCAATCGTCTTCCGAGCCTGACCCTTCATCTTCGTCGGAAGACATGCTGAGAGAGCCGATGGAGTCGGAGCTGTAGGGGGAGGATAGGATGAAGGTGACGGAAACCGATGTTATTTCACGGATGGACAGTGCCAGGGTAGGACGCCACGGCCGAATGGAACGCCATTCCGCGAAGTCGTCCATCATAATGACAAGATGACCTGGGAAGGTGCAGAGTCGAATGTTTTATCAGTACAATTGGCTTCGCGCAGCGGGTGAGGGGAAGTTCACTTGCCTGTACTTATGTAGTACGGACAACAGCGTTAGAGACACGCACGCGAAGAAATTTTTGAGCCACAGAGATCACCGCCTAAGCCTATGCGTCTACACCGTGGGCATGGAGGTCCCGGGCTCTAAGGGAAAGGTTGTGGTCGCGGTCGCGAGTGAAGGTGTGTACAGGGCCACCGAAGGCTGCTTGAGATCCTCGTCTTGTGCCCAAAATACTTAAGCTGTGTTCACTCGGTGGAGCCAAAATGTATTCCGACACGGGGAATTGAACCCCGGGCTATCGCGTGAGAGGCGATAATGTTAGCCACTACACCATATCGGATTATGGAAAGCAGTCTTGTATAGTATCTATGTTGATGTTTAGCTCTTACTGTGCAAATCTGCCTCATTAAACTTTCGACCTCTGTATGTCCTCAGCCACCGTCTGTGTGCACCGACCTCATCTCTAGTCCCGACTCCTCTCTTCATCTGTGCGGTGTCTGCACATCGTTCAAGCAGCTTCTCCTAAATCTTCTCTTGTGGTCCGTCGCATCAGACCGCTAAATACTGCGCTTGGTCTTGCGCTGGAGACATGGTCGCGTTCGCGGATCCTACGGCAGTCAAAGTCTACACCGTCAATGGCACAGCTTCTGGGTCATCTTCTGCGCTACCGGACTGGCTGACACGGAAACGTGCAGTCAAAGGTAAGGGAAAGCGCGGCGCTGTCAGGGAGCAGGTCGAGTCGACCATCGAGCTCATTCAGCACTTCGAGTTCCCCGAGGCGAGTAACCGAGTGAAAACAACGAGGGATGGTCATCATGCCGTTGCAACTGGCACGTATAAGCCGCAGATACGGGTTTGGGACCTAGACCAGTTGTCGCTCAAGTTTGAGCGGCATACTGATGCGGAGAACGTCGACTTCGTTGTGAGTAAGTCCTCCTAGGCGTGGATTTGTATATTGCTGGTGCTAATCTACGCATATATCTGGGCTAGATGTTGTCGGATGACTGGACCAAAAGCATACACCTCCAAAACGACCGCTCTATAGAGCTACACACGCAAGGCGGATTTCACTACCGCACACGAATACCTCGCTTCGGGCGAGCACTTGCGTACCATTTCCCCTCGTGCGACGCTCTGTTCGCGGCCTCAGGCCCAGAGATCTTCCGTCTCAATCTAGACCAAGGTCGTTTCATGAGCCCTCTACTACTACAGGGCGAAGGCGGCGAGGCAATTGCAGGCGTGAACACCATTGACATCAATCCGGCGCACCAACTATTCGGCTTCGGCGTAGAAGGGAATGGCACCGTTGAGTTCTGGGATCCGCGGTCGCGGGCCCGAGTGGGTATCCTCAGACTGCCGAAGGACAGGCTGCTGCCCATAGGCGCGGCAGTGCCCGCTCTACCGGGTATAGACGATGGCGCAGCTCAGTCACTCTCGGTCACTGCAATCTCATCCCGAGCAGACGGATTGTCCTACGCGATTGGTACGTCGTCCGGCCACACGTTGCTCTACGACATCCGATCCGCTCGACCACTGGCAATGAAAGACCAAGGCTATGGTCTGCCGGTGAAGAACGTCGCATGGATAGAGGGCGGCAGTCGGATGGCAGGCGACGGGCTGGTGTTGAGTGCGGACAAGAAGGTCATCAAAATCTGGGACAAAGATGCGGTACGTCTGTGATCGCATTTCCTCGGAACCTCTTTTTGGCTAACACTCGTCTTTTTCAGCCGGAGACCAACTTCGCCTCGATCACACCTGCTGCGGACATCAACGACGTCCATCACGTACCGAATAGCGGCCTCCTACTTCTCGCCAACGAAGGCATCCAAATGACTACCTACCTCATCCCCCAACTCGGACCCGCCCCTCGCTGGGCGAGCTTCCTCGAAAACCTCACCGAGGAGATGGAAGACCAGACGACGCGCACCGCCTACAAGGACTACAAGTTCGTCACGCGCGACGAGCTCACGAGCCTCGGGTTGGACCACCTCGTCGGCACGCCCGCGCTCAAGCCGTACATGCACGGCTACTTCGTCTCACTCGCGCTCTACGATACCGCGCGTGTCATCGCCAACCCATACGTCTACGCGGAGCAGCGCGAGCGCGTTGTCCGCGAGAAGATGGAGAAGCTCGCGGAGAGCAGGATCCGTGCGCCGAAGAACGCGCTTGCGGGCGTGAAGGTGAACAAGGCGCTGGCGGAGAAGGTCCGGAAGGAGGAGGAGCGTGAGAAGAAGAGGGAGGAGCGGAAGCGGGCGAGGAAGGTAGCGCATGCGGATGGCGAGGGTGATGCGATGGACGTGGACGAGGAGGGCAGTGAGGCTGACGGCAAGGCTCCTCAGGAGAAGCCGAGTCTGCTTAATGACCCACGTTTCGCCGCGCTCTTCGAGAACCCTGAATTCCAGGTAGACGAGAGCACCCGAGAGTACGCGCTGCTCAACCCGTCAGCGGCCACGCAGCGGCAGACTCGTGAGGCTGCAGGGAAGAACGGAAGGACGAAGACAGCAGTCGAAGCCGAGGAAGAAGAGAGCGACAAGAGCTCGTCAGACGGGCTGAGTGAGAGCGAGAAAAGTGGGAACGAGAGCGAGGAGAGCCAGGACAGTGACGTTGCGGGAGGTATGTCGTCCCAGTCGGTCTCGTCAACGGTATGTGCTCACTGACCGTGCGCAGAGCTTTGGACAGACGACATCCGCGCCCGTTTGGCTGCGCGAAATTCGGCACGTTCGCAGCCTCGCTCGCGACCACATCAGCGTCAACCAAAAGTCAACCTCGTGCCCTTACATGCACAAGCATCTGGAGTGGGCCGCTCTACGGACAGGAGTGCGACCTTTGGTCAACGGCGCTCCGGATCGTCTCTCGCCGGGAAGGGCAAGGGCAAGGGGCGGGCAGACGCCACAGATGTCCGTCAGACGGGCGATGGTGGCATGGAAGTGTCGTTTGTTTCCCGGTTTTCAGGCGCATATGACTCTGATGAAGACATGGATGGCTCGAGCCGCGTCACAGCCAAGGCTGGGAAGGAGGCGAAAAGGAAGGGCGTTCAGACGTTCGGCGCTGGAATGGAACGAGGCGGAGAAGACCCTGAACACGAGCTCAGTGAAACCGAGCGGCGGGGAAGGACTCAGCGACGCAAAGGCATGCGCAGCGGAAGTAAAAATACGTTCAGGCGGGGATGAATGCAATCCTCGCTGTGTATTTCACCCTGTACGTCGTACAGTTTCTGCGTATCATGAACAGCCCAACTGGTGGGACATTATATCATAGAGCTTGCAGTTGCGCTGGATTGACGATGGCCGTAGGTACCCAGAGCGTTCGCCCGGCCATCATCCAGACAAAGAAGTCCAAACGTACGCACCTAGCGGGGGCTATCTCTCTGCATGTACCTGCATGTACCTAGGCAATACCTAGGCCAGCACTCCGCATGAGCCGCTTGAGATACACTCGGCGTAGGCAGTGCTACTGAATCCCATCGGCGACTCTGCCGACCAATCATTTGCGCCTCATGCTATGTATATTGGCGTCTTCTTCTGCCTGATTCTTGATTCAAATACCTCATCTGCTATCTTCGCTGAGGTAATACCGGCCAGAATCGTGTGCACCTGGACCGGTATATATGCCGTACTGATACAACCCCGCTAGGAGAGCCGTGTCGTATCTCTTCCCATAGCAGTCCCACTTTCGGCATGTCCAAGAGGGTACTTTTGGCACAATCTACTTCAGAAGGGGTCGCCTGTGGCGTCGAGAAGAAGCTGTGGTTCAAGACGAAGCCACTTGATCACGATTTCTGTCGTCGGGCGATACAGCTTCAGCTCTGGACAGATTCGCACGACGACCAAGGCTCGCAGGATGCTCCAAATCATGCCTTATGCACATGGTTCGAGCTCTGTATTCTTGAGGACAAGCACGCGACGCAGCCAGTCGTCAAAGACGGCAAGGAACTGGTATGGACGTCACACTTTAACGTACTGCATTCGCATCGCCGCATCGCCAGACACTTCGGTATTATCTTCGATCGTCGTCGGGAGATCCTCAACGAAGTAGGGGTTGGTCAGATTTCTGTCTTCTTGTGACCCTCACAACAACGCGCTTCATGTTACTAGATTGGCAACTGTATTGGAGTGCGCATCTGCGCTCAGCACGTCCTTTCGAGGAATTTCGCATCTGGAGGCACATTAACAGCGAATGTCCTCAAGAAGGGTAAGTAAATGCTGCCGTTTGTATTCTCATATGATTGACTACAACGAATTTGTAGTCGATCTAGTCTCCCCGACGTTGTGGACGTTGTGTACCTCCAACACTCCCATCATGCCTAAACATATTCTAAATGGTGTCTACACTGTGACTGTGACGGCTACACATGCTTGCCTCGTCGAAGCCGCCGATGCTAAAGTGTACTCCCGTACGTGGTTCACAACTCCCGTTGGTGCATGTCATTGAGTACCCCTCGTGCGCCTGCTGAGACTATAGCTTTACATACAGGCCTTCAATGCCGATCTCCTCAATCGTATCAGAGACCTCCGTCTGTACACTTCTGCTCGTCAACAAGGCTCTGCTGGCTTCCCTCCCGCCAATCAGTGTAGCTGGTTCGATATTGCCGTGCTTGAGAAGCCAGATTCGAAACATCCGAAAATAATGAACGGCCGTGAGCTGGTTTGGGTCAGTCACCACCTGAACACGGAACATGTGGATTGTGCGAACGACGAGGGGAGACTGTTCACGCGTGCCGATAACCTGTTCAGCTTTCTACAGGTATGAATATTATGATCGTCTCAGCTCGCCATTCATTTGTTCGTCGGCAGTCCGGTAATGCCATCGGTGTGCGTGTATGTGCTCGCTTCGAAGGCAGCCAAAATCATGCAAAGGAAGGACGCCTAGTCGTACATGTCTCGAACAAAAGTACTATAGCCTCTTATCTGCGAGTTTTGCCTATTGATGAACGTGTAGGCTACAAGAAGAGGCTGCGTACTGAATTCCAACCTACGGTTGACTGGAATATTGTCACAAGAACAAACAAAGACATCCGGAATCAGCTACTATCAACACTCCCCGATGATACGCAAAGTACTGAAGCGGAGGTTCTTGCGCAGCGACTCCGCATAGATCAAGGTTATGGTGTTGCAGGTCGCCCTCTCCGCCTGCTGTCTCTTGGTGAGTAACCCGCTACGAGGTATCCAAATGTACATGACTGACCATATGCAGACGGAGGGGGCGTGCGCGGCATATCGTCCCTCCACATCTTGCAAAGGCTCTTTCGTGGCGATGAGAATGCTCGTCCGTGCGAGGTTTTTGATATGATGGCAGGAACTAGCACTGGTGGGTGAGTGGATAAGCTTCATCAATGACCCGTCACATACACCACAGAACAGCTTGATCGCGATCATGCTTGGCCGCTTGCGAATGACAATTGGGCAGTGTATAGATGTCTACCAGAAACTCTCTAGGGAAATCTTCGGTGCCACCAGCATCACCCAGACTACTAATATGCTCAAGTCTGGGACAAAGTATAATGCACGAATATTCGAGAACGCCGTCAAGAAAGTTGTAGAGGATTATTTTGAACTCAATAATCCAGAGGAGTGCATGCGAGACAGACGCACAGGGTGCAAAGTCACTCCCAGAACCTCAACAATAAGAGAGTGACTCATCTTCGTACATACGACAACCCCGAAGTCAATCCATCCTTGGCCGATTACAAAATTTGGGAGGCAGCAAGAGCGACCACCGCAGCACCTGTGTACTTTGCACCCATCGAGCTGGACGGCTACAAGTACATGGACGGTGGGTTCGGATATAACAACCCAGTATTGCAGTGCGTAAACCGCAGAAATATTAGTTATTCTGTTGATGGTCACACATTCTCAGGTTGATAACTGAATCGCGCCTGTGTTTTGGCCCCGCTCGTCAGGTTTGCTGCCTCGTGAGCATCGGCACCGGAGGCAATCCCGATATCGCCTTCCCCAAGGGGGTCACCTGGTTGTTCAAGCCCACAAGTGTCAAAAATAATTTACGGCTCTTGTCGCTCCCAACGAGCTCATCCAGCCAACATTACGAGGCAGGTTTGCTTTGCGGGCCTGGTGCCTATCACCGCTTCGACATGGGAGAGCTCGTGTCAGAGCAAGATTGGGACGTGAAGGTGCGTTGACATGCCATTGACAGGGTCGATCGCGATGTTCTTGGTTATAAAGCCTGACGGTGGATCCCTTGGAAGGCATATGGTGGACAGGTTGCATTCCATCTAGACGACCACGAGAAGCTCGGACAGCCTATCGTGTCACTCACAGAGGAGTATCTGAGGTACGGGGAAGCGAAAGTCGAGGCTTGCTCAGCAAGATTGCTTTCAGACGTATTATAGGCCTGATTGTATGTCGCTGTCGCAGTCGATCTTCAAGCTTCAGGTGCCGTACTTGCAATGTAGTAGTAGTCCGTCAACGTTTCAACCTTCAAGGGAAATGGTTGGGAAAGGGTCGGATTGAGGTCCGTCGATCAACAATATCAAAATATTGTAAACAGCTACAAGATCCGATATGGTGTAGTGGCTAACATTATCGCCTCTCACGCGATAGCCCGGGGTTCAATTCCCCGTGTCGGAATATTTTTGTTGCTTTCATTTGGCTTTCATCGGTCAGTATCGACTCATAGTATCGAGTCAGTGCAATGATCCAGACTTCTGAATCGGCCAGATTAAGTCGCAACAATGTACTTATGCTATGATCTGTATCCCTCAGATAGCTGCCATGTCATCATCGAATAAATTAATGGTAAAGAGTAAAGGGATCCGTGAAAGCCAGGTTTTCGGTCGTTGCATATACACCGTGAGACCGCTCCAATCCAGTATTACCATCCGTCCGCCGGCCTCGACCTGCACCCTGCTAAGGGACGCTCCTTCCTTCCCATATCGTGTGCGCACTGGACCATACCACGCGGGCAGAATCTAGTACGTCTTTTTCTTCTCATCGACGGATAGACCACCTATATTAGACGAGGGTTAGCCACAAGCAGTGTCGAACCCCATGAGATGACGTACCCGGGCCCATATTGACCAGAAGGATCAGGCCACCGACGATCGCTGGTACGAGAGAAATTGGTTAGTCTACGACGTACATACGCCGAGGCACTCGATACGCACATAGTGTTTGGAAGAAGTCGTATCTGGTGGAAAACGTCTATCAGCAAGGAGACGCTGCAGCAATCATAAGCTAAACTCACTTTAGGAAGTCCCTCTGGGGATGAGCGGAGTGGACGCTCCACCAGGAGTTGATGAACACGTTGAAGACGGACAGAATAATCACGAGGAAAGCAGCGGACCACTTGGCCTTGAAACCCACCGCGACCATGATGCATGCTCCCAGCCCGACGAGGGATACGATCGCACGACCAATGCTCCACTGTCCCCGGATGATGAAGCCGAGGAACAGGAATATGAGTAGCACACGAGCGGCGAGCAGGAAGCTGTCCCAGTGTCAGCTTCACAAGACGTAGGCGAGACAGAACACGCACTATTTCTTGCGGTCGGTCTCGCTAATGGACGGGAGGCCGGCGAAGATCTTCTTGCGCGTGTACATCGAGTCCGTGAAGACCATGAGCAGACCACCGATCACGCTCAGGTTGCGGAGGAAGAAGTTGAGGTCGAAAATGAGCCCGTATCCGAACGCCTGCATGACTACGACCCCGAGAAGACCGCCAACAGCATACTCAGAGTGCTTCTTCACGATGATAGCACCTGACCCGACAAGCATCGTCTGACAAGATTCCGAGGCGTCTGCATTTCATCAAGACGGAGCTGTCACGTCCACTTACGACCACATTAATCAACAGGAAGAGATGTGAGAAGCCCCAGATGAAATGACGGTGTCTGAACGTCAAGCATAAGTATTAGCCTTTACAGCCAATGCATATACGCGTCTGCACACGTACTTCTGCAAGTACCACAGCTGGTCACCCCATTGTGTTATGATTCGTAGGGAGTCCTCCAAGAAGGTGATGACAATCAGAAACCGGCCTATCGCCGGCAGATGGGGCTTCAGAGGCTGCGCGTAGATGTCGATGTTCTCCTCCGCCGTCTGAGCGAATGCGCGTAGCTTCTCGAGTGGGTCGTCAGGATTTGCGGCTCTGTAGCCGTTCGAGGGTCGTGAGTTGCCAAAGCCATGAGGGTCAGGAGTGTAGCCACCGGTAGCCTGCGCCGGGCGGGCGAGAGAAATACGAGCAGACATGGCGAGATGGGAGTAGGTTAGAAAAGACGAGTTGGCGGACGAGCAAGGCGCGGGGCGACGTGTCACGCCCGTGGGAACTTGAATGCCATTCCTGGTGCACCGCCTCCGGCTTGATGGCCACTTGATGAGCTGTTACAGCGGCGCGGTATGTCTCCAATACACGCTCATTTCCACTGCTTGCGTTCTGCACAGCATCCTCATTCCAGCGAAATTTCTGCGACCTCGCAGCTCGCCGAAACGTGGGCTGAATGACTTGCTTGGTTTGCACCTATTAAGTTATGATAGTACTGCGTAGGAGCAGTCAGGCGCGCAAGTGGCGCGTTACAACTTACGCGTAGACGCGTTCAGCGTCTGCACTTTAATTCCGAACATCAGCCACCACCGCGAACGCGACCCGAACAGCGATACCCGGGAACCTTGCCTCTTCACCAGAGATGGCCAGAAAACGCGTCGTATCATCTGACAGCGAGTACAGTGACGCCAACAGCGATGAACACGAACCAGGGTCCAAGACGTCTGCCACGACGCAAGCAAAGAGAACAAAACGCGTTACAAGTATCAAGAAGGCCAGAACGAAACGCGCGAAGCTTGATACCGAAGAACCAGAAGACGAGCTTGAAGATACGTCTATACCTGCAACAGCATCAGGGCCACCTCACCCAGCTGCTATACACGTCGTGGCCGAACCTGTGCCTATTCGAGAAGCATTGCTCGGATGGTATGAAGGGGTACATGAATCCCGGGGTATGCCATGGCGGAAACCTTATCACCCAAGTATGAATGCCGATGAACGCGCACAGAGGGCCTATGAGGTGAACCTAGCCCGTATGCAGCATGTCGGGGTGTGGAAACTCACGCGCGGTATCCTGTGTTCTCCCAGGTGTGGATTTCCGAGATCATGCTTCAACAGACTCAAGTCAACACCGTGATACCGTACTATAATAGGTGGATGGCAAAGTACGTTAGATGCGTCGCTAGGATCATTGTGGTCTGACGCAAACTGTCCTTGACAAGGTTCCCGACAATCATGGATTTAGTACGTGCCGGGAGCAAAAGCTGCTGACTGACCGTTCTCATTGCTGACTGGACTGACAGGCAGCATCCGACATTGAGACCGTCAATGGCCTCTGGAAAGGCTTAGGCTACTACTCGCGCGCCGCCCGCCTACTGAGTGGTGCCAAAAAGGTCGTAGAGCAATTCGACGGCCGCCTGCCCGATAACGCAAAAGACTTGGAGACGCACATACCGGGAATCGGTAGGTATAGTGCTGGAGCTATTTCCTCAATTGCATACAATCAGTGTGTCCCTGTTGTGAGTTCAACTTGTTTCAAGCTTGGTGCCTATTCAAACAACAACTCCGCTCGGCGCGTTGGACACCTTGCTTCACTGCTTCTAGTTAGACGGGAACGTGCACAGGCTTCTCAGCCGTCTACTGGCACTCCATGCACCGCCAAAGGGGAAACAGACCCTTGATCTCCTTTGGGGTGGAGCGACAGACTTAGTAGACGGCTGCACGCGTCCGGGAGACCTCAACCAGGCCCTGATTGAATTGGGAGCCACTGTATGCAAGGTTCGTGATCCACAGTGTTCCTCCTGTCCCGTGAGGCCGTGGTGCCACGCATACAAATTGCAGAGCGCTTCAGACACGAAGGTAGGGCAGACGGCACACATGGCACGCACGAGGTATAAGCTGTTAACTCGCCTTCAGGCGCCGGGATCCGGGGCGTCGAACGGTGAAGACCAAGTAGGAGATATCGAGGAACTTTGTGCGCTATGCGAACCGCTGTCGGCTGGCAGCCCGGTGACGAGTTTCCCGATGAAAGTAGTCAAGAAGAAATCCCGAGAAGAACTAGACATCGTGAACGTTATCGAGTGGCGTCACCACGCCGATGGCGAGCGGTGGTTCTTGCTAGTTCGGCGTCCAGAAGGCGGTGAGTCAGCTGCATCTCTTCTGGTCTCTTGCATCTCGAACGACTATCTGCTGCGTGGGCCGTGCTGATGCCCACCGGCCTCCTACGAATAGGTCTTCTGGCCGGCCTGCACGAATTTCCCACCGCGTCCAATGTCCCTGTGACTACGACGTCCGCAGAACAGATCGAGATACCACACACGCTTTTGTCTGGCATCCTCGCCGTTCCACTCCCGCAATATGCCGCAAGAACCTCGGCAGATCAGACGTACAAGGCATCTTCCAGCTCGGAAGGCTCGAGCACACTGCGGATCGTGAAGGTTGCTCCTGCCGGCGATGTCATCCACATTTTCTCCCACATCAAGAAGACGTATCGGATACAGTGGGTCGTTTTGGAAGGTGGCAGCGCTGAGCCTCCGTGCCTGGCACCGCTAAGCCTACCTGCACCGGTCGGCGGTCCTACTAAGCGCGCAGTCAATGCGGATGGCAAGAAGTCGTCTAAGGTACGGAAGGCTCCGTCCAAGGCCGGACAGCCTAAGGCTCTCCATTCTGAGGCGCCCGTACAGGCGATGTGGATGCCCATGGACGACGTCATCAACGCTAAGTGGGTGCACTTCGTCCTGAGCAGTTCAGGCGCGGATCATAGGACTGACCTTTCCTTTCTATTCTCACATAGCATTGGCACCGGAGTCCTCAAGGTCTGGAATCAGACCCGTAAGCTGTGGGGGAATGTCAGCTGATCCCTGGCCATGTGTTGACGAACACCGCGCGGACGAAATGTTCTGCCAAGCAGCGACAAGCATGTATGCACCCTTTCGTGGATGGTACGCACAATAATGTACAGATGGAGGAGATTTCAAGGGGATGCTAGCCGTCCTTGACTATCATGATCCGGTCATAACGGCAGTACGAACATGCACCGACCCTGACTTAAGATGCAACAACTCCGCATCTCAGCTGGTGTCTTCGGAGATGTGAGATGAGAGTCCAGAGGTGAAGCGATGGTCGGCCATATGGCTGTCCTTGCACTCCGCATCCTGCTCTGTCTCTGCCAACAACCCGACCCTGCGAGCGTGTCGTCCCTCTCGCAGAGCTGCTTCCCAGAAGGGGGTGCTCTGCAGAAGTGCGGTGTAGATAGTACTATAGTACTGAATAGCGCCGAGCGTCGCTGAGTGACTCTTGGAACAGGCCTGGCTCGGAAGGAGTTACCCGAGCCACGACCGCAGTTTGTTCACTGTCTATGAGCGCTTTGGCAAGGACTTAAGGAAGAATATTCCCAAGTTCCTCGCCTTCGCTCGAAATCAGCTCAGACGGGCCCAACACGTTTGCGGGTTCAACCCACTCTAGTCTCTACGCCGCGTCACATATGGGCGACAAGTGGACACGCTACAAGGTTCGTATTGAACTTCTCGTTCCATTCTTGACGAATTGCCTAACCTCCGTTTGCTTCCGTCACCAGAACAATGCAGTGGCTGGATGCGGCGTCCAGCGCCAGTGCGCCATGCCGAACAAAAGGAACATCCGTCGTTAACCTTAGGTCTAGAACTCTAGAACAAACGCATGCGCACGGTGAGACCAGTTTGAGCGATCTTGACTGCTCGCGGTAGGACAATGCCACGATCGCGATCCTGCCAACATATCATCAAACCACTGAATAACATGTTGAACACTTAGCTGATATGCCCACTGAATCACGGCATGTACTGTCAACGGGAACAGGCCCACTTCATGGAGAGAGGGTTCCCTCCCGGGGGTGCTCGCCGATGCTACGTATGGAACCCAGGAGAGCGGGTGCGCGATCCGAGCTTCGAGCAAGCGGGTGATCGCGGAGAAGCCTGGCAATAACCGGCAGATTACCCGATGAATCAGTGCCGCCGGGAAGTCTGGATCAGAGAGAAGATCCCAGCGGTGGACGGGAGGAAACCTTGTCTGCCCATACAGTACCACCTCGCGTAAGTATGCTATGCGCGACAATGTCACAATGGCACTGCTGACCAAGAGACCTGGTGAGATGGGCCAGGGCCTCCGGCGGACGGCGGACATCATCGTCCGAGTCTTCATCGACCAAGATCGGGAGCGGAAGTCGGCAAAGGGGCATAAACCCAAGGCCCCAATCGCAGGCGGGTCCAGAACATGCATATGGCATCTACTGCAAGAATTCAGGGCGGATGCAAAATCATGAGCATATCCGGAGTTATGGGCAGCACATACCCCTATGATTCCAGTCTGGTGACTTCCGCGATCCCGCTTCGAGCCTCGCAGTGAGCTAATCACCATGCAGCTGGACTTACCCCATCGTGTGCTACTCACGAACAGTGAGAAACTGCAGCGCAGTAGTGATATACCCTACCTTCGGAGAGGAGGAACCCCCTACCGCGCACCGCCCATCAGTCTCAAGGCTCGCGGCGGATCTATATCGTACGAGATGGTACACCAGCGGTATTCAAGCAACATAACCGCTGGGCGGAAGGAAAGGTTATTCAGATCACGGCAACGGCCAGGGGTGTACGTACACGCACGGAGAAGCGGTGAAGTGTCCACTGATCGTAGAATGCTATTCATCCGACCATGCGTCTCCCGGACCGAGTCAGGGTCGATCAGCCTTTCGCCCCTTCACATTAGGCAGGTACGGAACGTAGTCATGTAGAGCTTGCAGGGCAAGGGGGATTGAAGGGGGATGCGGTGAAAGCCAGGAGCACATGCATAGCGTGGGCGGAGCGACACGGAAGAGCGAAGTGTCCTCGAGAGCACTGCGATGTCAGAGCGAGTTACAGGGAGGATACATGCTGTATAGTACATGTACATATGCGGGGTATAGCTAGCGTTATGCTTCAGCGTCCGTTAACCATTACGAATATTGTAAACAAGGGGGCAAATTTTGAGGGTCCTTCGGAGAGGCGCGCGCGCACGACACCCGCGGCTTTCACCACTCCGCTTGCAAGGGGATGCGGGGTTTGATGTCTTCACCGTCGAGGATTGGTGCGCCGAGCCTCTGGTGCGGCGACCCAGCGAACGAGCGGGGCACGTCCCGGCTGCCCGTCTTCGACTTGGACAGCTTCCGCAAAAATTGCTCGTCGACGGGGTCGCGCGGTATGCGCGAGGCAGCCTGCAGCACATCGAGCGGAACGAGGTCACGCGGTCCGCCCGACGATCGCTCAGCCTGGACCACGACGGCCTTGGTGCGCGTGTTGACAGGCGGCGGCGTGAGAGGGGACGCAAAGGGCAGGCGCGGTGAGGCGTCGTAGTCCGACGAGGACGACGCTGAGTTGGAGGAGGTGAAGTTCAGCGGGGACGGGTCGCGGTAGGATTTAAGGCCGCTGTCTTGCAATGTCGGCAGATGTGGACGTCCCGCGGGTTGGGAGGCACCGTAGGGTTGCACACTTGTACCCGCGACAGGTTGGTAGTCGACACGCACCGTCTGGCGAGGGCCGTAGGTGTACGCAGCGTGCGGTACGTTACCGGCTGAGGCAGGCCCGACAAACTGCATGCCTTGCACGGCGAAGGCGGGCTCAACGGGGAACTGAGACATCCCATGGTTCGGGGGAGGTTGGAATCCGAGGCCCCATGGGTCCTGAGCAGAGACGAGCTCATCGCCCGACCCATTCTCCGCACGTTTCCCCTTGCTGGCGCGAGCACTACGAAACCAACCTTCCGGCGCAGGTACATCCCCCACGTTGGGGATGTCATCGATGGTGCCCAGACTATCCAGAGTGGTCTGGCTGAAGTATGCGGCTATAGTCGTGGGTTGCGATGAGCACCGCTTCGACATAGGACGCCGGCGCTGTACTTACTAAGATGCCATTTCCGAGTGACACCTCGCGGTCTGTCCTCGGGCAAGGATACGTGGACGCTGTATGTTTGCTTTATAAGGCGTTCAGCGTCCGAGCGGGCGAATGCCGGCTTTCCGCCGCGAGTATCGCGACCCCTAGGACAGGGAAGTCAAAGTTCATCAGACCATGTAACGGAGGTATGAGGCAAGGGTGTCCCACTTCATCATGGTGGTCCACCGCGCGGAGGGGTGGCCCGAGTCTTCGTTGAGACCGTTCTCGCGCTGGTGATAGAACAGGAAGTCCTAGCATATCATCTTCAGCTCAACGGCATCTGTAACAGCGAAGCCGACGGCACTCACGTCTCGGACGCGACTGGGCCCCCAGCCCATGCCGTCAGTCCTGCACGAAGCGCCGTTCAGCGGATATCGAAGATAAAATATTGGATGAGCCACTGACCATCGCTCCATGCCCATACCGGTGGCTTCGGCGTTGGCGCAACGTTCCTCCCAGACGTAGACGTTGCCGGATTTTATTCTGCATGCGACTCACGGTGAATCTCAGTTACAACAGGTGGGATGGACTGCTTACGCTCGGCGCTCTTCCGCGTCGAGGCGGTGGGTGGTCATGCGCAGGACATTTCTTGCGACGGCGTAGAATATTTGGCATGCATCGCGCGTGGAGCGGATGCGCATGTTTTGGAGAGTGGGCTGCTGCATGGTACGGTGTGAGTGTATGTCAGAGAGGCAGGGTGTGGGGGGTCCAAAGGGGGGAAGCACGGCGGGGGAGGGTTTATATATACGAAGGACGTAGCGCTGATTTAGCGCAGAGGTGTGGAACAACAGAGGGTGGCAGGCTGCAGAGCCTAACTTAACCGCAGGCGCAGGGGATCCCCGAATCTGGGGAGATGCGATTGAGTTTGTATAGAGTTGACCGCATGGACATAATACAAATGGGCCGCTCCGGAAGATCGGGGAATGAAATCGTACATAACAGATCAGTCACTCAGACTCGCTCCCACCCAACCCCGCCTGCCGCCTCCCCTGCCGCGGTCGGCCAGGCCTGTGCGCCCCTCGCAACGTACCGAGTCCCATTCCACTCGCACTCCCCAGAATCCCTCCTCGGCTGCACACGCCGTAGAACATTCGGGGGCCAGCCGGCTGCACTAGCCGCAATTGTCGAGATTGCACCGTCCGCAAACACTTACTTCCGAGTTCCAGACACCGAAGCCCCCACACAGGCTATTTGGCAGGCACGAGTGTCATTGCCAGCCAATGTGCACAGACTGATTGCCGCTGTCCCCCTCTCCTTCATCTTTTTCGGAGGTCTCCAGAGCGAATTTCCGCGCCCTACCGGGAACTCTAATCACATCGCCCTGTGATGGTCTGATAGCCGCTGCCAGGAGCCCAGGCCACTGGCGCATGCCGCAGCGACCCCTGCGTGACTAACGAGGCTTAGTCGCAGATTGACTACTGATAAAACATTCCACCGGAATGGATGTCAGCTTGTCGTCCTCCGCCGAGGGGCGAATCGCGATCGTTGCCGCAATGCTCCCGCGAATTGTCGCCCTAATCAGGCTCGCGCGCTCGGGGCGCTGCACTCAATCTAATCGACACCAGCAAGGTTGTGATAAGATTGAGCGTGGGGTACGACAAATTAGCGGGCCATGGGCGGCGTACAAAGTGCGCCCGCCTCTAACTCCGCCATCCTGTACAATCAGCGCGCCCACCAATTGAGATACCCACCAATGCAGATCATCGGTGCTAGCACGCAAAGGGAACTCTTGAGAGGTCAACCCAGGGCCGTATCAGAACGACGCCACTGCTCGCGTCCCGGGGCTTCTTCGACCTCTGCAACGGGCCGCTTTGTGCGTCTGAGGATAGTACAGGAAGTAAGGGAGCACACCGGAAAGGAAGCGGGTGAGGGAAAAGAGCCATGAACTTTATCACAACGCCGACACGTATGACAGATCACGTACAATGTACTACCACGCTAACGCCACGTTTGTCACTTCAAGATGCATGTCTTTCGACAGCCGGCGAGCATCGCGGGAGAAGACAAGCGAACGAGGACTCGAGCCCTCACATGGACCGTACATCGTTAATAATACGCACTCTGAACAGCAAACTTGGCAGCGGAGCTCCCGCGAATCCGTAGAGCGATGAGCATCCAGGCTCCGGGAAAGGGTCAACCCGGAGATTCCACTCGCGCGAAGCGTGGCGTCGCATGGAGGACATGATTGTGAGAGCAACACCATTACCAGACCTTCATATTTGTAGAGCTTCAGCGAGCATCAGACCCGCTTCAACGGGCCTTTCCAAAGGCAGAGTCCGCGGCGCATGAATCCATGACAGGTGCTCGTCCTAATGGCGCTCAACCGCCGCGGTAGTGAGAACGGAACTCGGACAATTACGGCAGCGCTCTTCCAGATCTGCGAAGAGTGTAGTTAATACTTACCCTTGTGCGCAACTTGTGCGGATAGACATCAAACTACCGACCGGTGGTTATACCGGTTAATTTCACTTACGTGGGTGTGTGGAGGCCCGAGAGTCTTGACTGGTAGACGTCCACGGGGATGAGGTCATGATCGCGGCGACTCGTTCTGGTATGCCGCGAGTCTGCTGATATTCTCAGGAGACGGCGTTCTACCTCTTTGATACTACTTTGGTAGTCATTATGGTGGTCGTGGCATCCGAGCTCTAGAGCAGATAGAAGAATGAGAACCTTCAGACGTCACATCAGCAAAAAGAACAAGCGCACGTACAAGAGCAATTGCAGACGATCTCCGGGCGGGCGGCCACGAGAACGAGTACAGACGCGTAGTGACCCTGAAGTCGTATTGACACCCTCTCCAATGGAGCTATTGTGCCATACATGCACAGCACGTTGTCGTGTGCACCGGCGGCAGCAATCCGTATCGACGGCGACGCCCCCTTAAGGCTACTCGCGGCTAGATTCCGGGCTCAATCTCATATAGTGCATTAGGCAGGGCAGCCCTCAAAGGCAGCTAGTATGGCAGGTTCGTTAAACATGCCCACCGACATCATCGCGGAGCGAGCCAAGCGTTGGGAGGCCACTGTATTGCCGACGAACTGCTTCACATGTGATGCGAGAGACATTCAGGACGGCCGCTAGGGTAGCATTGATATGGCCTCTCGCACATTTCGCGGTTGCTTGTGATAAGCAGGCAAATCCGAGAGTGGAGAGTAAGGGCGATTTTGCGATTAGTCACTATAGAACATGTATTAGCGTCGTAGGAGTGTCGTATATTATTAGATAGAGTCGTGGGTGAGGTCTTGCCAGCGCATGGTGCCACTATTGTTTGCGTCAGGCGCAGTTTCTTTTGTCACATTCGGATTTTGTCCAACCAGGTTTCCCGTGCTACCGGCGTCGCGGTCAATCAACAAGATGTTCTACAGACCGCCGAGCATGGCCGACATTCGACGAAGGTTCAAGCGCCAATTAGCCTCGCGGGTCAAGAGTGACGTGCGAAGGAAAGATGCGGAGCGACGTACCTTCCAAAGGCAGCACCACGGGCATCCAATCCGATATCTCTGCATAATGCAGAGACCCTCGGAATGTGTATCGGATTCGGAGCACTTTTGCCACCCCGGGGACAGGGTCATAGAACCCCTGGAGGCCAGCCTAGGGTGCATCGGAGATGTTAGTCATGGTTGATCATGGAGCACAATGGATTGCGATGGCAACAGCTTTCTGCAGAAGCGAGGCATAACCGCATAACCTTCGCCGAACACTAGCAGACGCACTGGTCACACGGACAAGTGATATGCTTCTGCGTGCGGCTTGATAACCTGAGAGTGAACATTGGAACGCGCTTCATTGACCGATGTCACCCTTGACAAGACACCACGACAGAAGAAGGATCACAGAACGTCGCCCGAACAGGCGCGCGTTGTTTCTGGGACTTGCCGAGGGAGTACGTCGAGCCGCGAGCGCAGCAGAACCTGAGCGCACTGTCGCTCGACGCCACGACGTACAGGGAAGATGGGCAAGACTGCGTGGCAGCCATCAGAACCCGAGTGACATGGTTCTGTCAGGGAAGCTCGGATACGCCCATTGTCAGCAGCACGGTGCCTAAACGGCTAAAAAGCCGCCGAAGCCTCCGAGCGTCGTCGCGTCGAAGGTCCGAATAAGGTCGTGGCGAGAGAGGAGGCGCAGATGCCTCCCGTTATGTCGAGCAGAGAGACTCGATATCCAAATGCCAAGAAGATTGGCAATGCTTAAGTGAATAGGTGCTAACCTTGCTGCGCCTGCCGGGGATGTACAACTGACTTCGGTGCACCAAAGCCTGCAAAGCCACAGTGACGTCCAGATCCAGGCCCTCGGCCGCTTCATCGCGCTCCAGAGGACCGTAGAATGCTTCGAGGATGACGAGACCTGGGTCAACCATGTCCAATCAGAATTCGCACCCCAGCAGGTGGCATCCAGACACGTACCGTCGCATGCTCCCTCTGCGTCCATGTGCCGTTTTGCGACGTCCTGAAGCAGATGCACAGTCTCTTTCGTCTCACGCTGGAGCTCAGCTTTCTCCTCGTGTAAGGCACGGCGCGCGTCTCGGAAGAACCTGAGCAGCGAAAGCAGACAGTAAGTTCAGCGCGACTGCTCTCGACGGATATGAAACGCACCGAAGGCGTTCCCTTCGATGGCGTGGACGAAGGACCAAAATGTACGTCAAGACAAGTGCCGCCGAGGGCATTGCCGTGGTCCAAAGTGCCAGCCCTGGCTCTCGGTCATGCGAGAGCACGATGGGGAGGGTGAGGGCCTGCCCCAAATAAGACATGCTGTGAAATTGAGTCACTCTTCGTGTTTTGCTCACATGTACGTCTATTAGACTCACTCAAATTTGAAGGTGACACCTCCAAGGTTACAGGCAACACTGGACCCGACAGAATTTTCTCCCCTACGCCACTCGCCACCAAAGGACCAGCTGAGTCCCGCCATCCCCAGCTGAATGCCTGTTTTGAGTCGCAAGCCAATTTCCGCCAAAACAACGCCCCACTCCGCGTTGATCCCGCTCCACAAGCTCGCCAGCGAGAACTGCAATTCCCAATATGTACTACCCATCGCAAGACCAGACTTGGACGGCGGGCGCAGAGGAGGGCTGGCGCCAAGGAACGCTGGTGGGACATTGGCTTCTGGAGTATGGTCGAACAAGCGGGCCGAGGACAAGATGATGGCCAGTGCAGGTGCCACAGACGTTGTCTGGAACATGACTGTCCCCTCCATCGGCGACTTGCTGGAGAGGCGACGGGAATAAGCGAGAGTCATCGGTCCGGGAGATGAGGTAAACCCAGAAAAAAGCCAGTACAGTGCACGTGGGGGATGGACCTGACAGGTGAGTGTGTTGTTGTCATCTCGGTATGTTGTCTTCGTCGATAGAAGAGACGTTTGCAGGACGCTGACAGTGGCCTGGTGGTATACGTTCACGTAATAAGTACAGGCAGTTAGAACGGCGACTCAGATAACGTACCTCAAAATTCAGACGCGGCGAAAACTGATGGGAAACTGTACCCAGCAGTGCGATACGCACAGGGCCTGGTCGCCCGCTAGCGGGACGGGCATTCAACCGATCGGAGACAACAATGGACGTCTTGTCATTGATTCTCCGCTACGAGGTGCACGTCAGCGAGCGAGCTAGCGAAGGCGCGAGCACATACCTGGAACTTATGCCTGAATGTCAACCCAGTTTGTCTGATATCTTCAAACCTGTTCCGTAAACGTTCTAGCTTTCCAGGGACTTGATCGGAGTAGTAGCCAATGTCCTCGTCAAACAATGAACTTGCGTCGTAACCAGCAACGATCCGGTTTTCGGACTTGAACAGCATCTCGGGTCGTTCATCTTGCATTTCCCGGTTGCACCGCAGCAGGTAATTATCGAGCTGCCGAGATAATAAGACACGAAGCTTGGCTGTCCATCGCCCTCAAAAGACTTGCCTCAGCCTCTGGGATGTCAGTAAGGTCGGTCTTACGAATAACCTGTAGACCCTGTGGACCTGAGCTGACCGACGCTTAGCAAGGGGACGCATATATCAGCAACATTCGCAAACCTAGCAGGTCATAGGCACGTCTGACGCGATGTGAGCGGCTCGACGCGAGGAGCAGTGAGACAGAAGTATTCACCGACTATAGGGGTCGGACAAGACTATGCCGCATCAATGATACTACTCCTGTAACGCTGCTGTGTTCCGCACCTTGGTACGCCTTCTGAACCTCCAAAAACCGTTGAGTTGCCGTTGCTTTTGTGGTCTCATCCTGGTGTTTGTCCGGATGGAATAACACAGAGAGCTGACGGTAGCGCTCCCGTATTTCTTGATCCGAGGCCGTCTTTGGCAAATTCAGTACCGTGCTGACGGGCGTTCAGCGAGTATATGCTGCACTCATGACACGTTGACATACTAGAGGTATTCTCGGTCGTCGGGAGATCCTGGTATGCCGCCATCGTCAGTGGTCACACCCGACATAAGTTCGCGATTTGATCCCTTCGCAACCCTCCCAACGGCGATTTGCAATGGTCTCTTTAACGCAAGATGGAGGAGCGAAAATGCGCGACAGTTGAGCGCGCAGAACAAGCCAGACCCGGGCCCGGGCCAACTGCCAGTGAGGGCACGCCACAACGGCTTCGGGGAGCGGATAATTACGTAATAGAGAGCGGGGTAATCCAATCTTACCTTCCAATTATGGTCTAGCGTACTAAAGGGATCAATATTGACCTCATTGACATTTCGGACTTGCCACTGCCAGTGGTCGTTGCACACTCCCCGGTTCCCGTTGATCACCTCTAGTCTGCCATGTCCGCTGGTCAGTCAACACAGAAAATCGTTGCACAAGTCGTGCCGGAGGCCAAGGCTCGCGGTGCAAACCGGTCGACAAAGGTCGCGGGCAAGCTAAAGGTGTTGCCAGAGCAGCCAGAACCTGTTTTGCCAGCGAAGAAGGTCGAGGTCCCCGCACCCCCGAAAGACGCGGCGGTAGCCGAGGAGAGCGAGGAGGAAGCGGAAAGCGATGAGGACGGAGATGATGAGGAGGAGCCGGAAGACGTAGAGGTATGAACCGATCAGCACCTATGTTGGATGTCTGCATGCAAACGTTGCGCCGCTTTGCTTATTCGGCTAGGTCTACAACCAAATCGACCTAATACCGGCTGGCACTGCAAGACGGGATGCATTACGCTTGACGAAACGAAAGGCGAAGTCGTTACCGCGCGTGACTGCCTATGCCACTGCTGGGTGAGTCCAGTTTGGGTTGACAAGGTATCCGCGGTCTAAGCACTTGCCACAGTTCCTATCGGTTCCCGGAGTTGATGAAGTTCTTCAATGCGAGGCGTTCTTCATACCACACTAACCCCCGAATCATTGACGAGGTTATCTACACACCCTATGCTTACGACGAACACGCCGAGGCGTCCTCCGGCTCGCAGCGTCAAGTACGCTTTCAGGCTGGTTCGCCGGATACTGGGGATTTGCTCGGCGTACCGGAGCTAGCACCGGACAGAGATGGGCATGCTCATACAGACGGCGAACAGGAAGTCACCAAACGTAGGAGGAAGCACAAGTTCCTAGTGCCCGAGACTCCCAGGGAGGCGGAGATATTCATGTTCAAGTACGGAACGGTTGTGCTCTGGGGCATGACTGAGGCCCAGGAGAAGCGGTTCCTCTCGTCAATGTCAGCCAGTTTTCACTCGCACGCTACGTATCTTGACTCACCTCTGTTCAGCAAGCGATTTGAGGTGGACAAACTAGGTATGGCATCCGACAAACCTATGCCTTTCACGAATTCTTACCCCGAGTATTAGCCCCGCACGATGCAGAGATGGAAGATCTCAATTACTATTACGCGAATTATAGCCGGTGAGTAGTATTGCATTTTCCATTAGCGACTCCGAGCTCACATCGTACGTCGGTGAGGATCTACAACGATGTGATCACTCTGCGTGTGGGATCAGGTTACATGTAAGGCCTATCGACCCGTAAAGTAGCCGGTCTACTGACTGCTGCGTCTAGGACAAAGCTCTCACTGTCGCATGCTTTGTCGCAGTCTGTCAAGATTTCTCTGGTGAGTTCAATACCGTGCGATGCATCAGTACTTGCAATTCCCACTCTGGCGTTGCATCCGTGGTCTGACCCTGACCTTCCCATGCGCAATCTGTCCATTTGTAGTTTGAGGAGCTCATCTCGACAACCATCGAAGAGACCAAGGACATTCCCGAGATCATAAGCGAGACAGGGAAGATCGGGATGCCGCATAAAGGTACGCTGGTCAATCCCGTGGCTATCTGAATTTACAACGAGTCTGTGTATGTAGATATCATGCGAAAGATTGGCGAGCTGTTTCTATTGAGGACAAATATCAATTCGGTCGGATCAGTGCTAGACTCCCCGGTAAGTCGTTCATCGTACATCATGTCCGTGTCTCAGGGTCATTCATTTATATCTAGGAAGTGTTCTGGGTACGTGGCTTTCTCTGCTTGGTAAAGCCGTTTCTAATCATAACGACGACATCTTGTCTGCCGTATAGACGTACCCTGATTTGCAACCGCTGTACGATGCAGCACGCGACTACTTAGAAATTCCTCAGCGAATCGACTTGCTCAACACTCGTGTCGAGGTGCGCGCAGCAACATGCCGTACACCATCCGGCTAGTCGTCTCACATATTGACCATGCTCCCAGGTCCTACAAGATATGCTCCAGCTTCTCAAAGAGACCGTGTCGAGCCGGCATGCGGAACGTCTCGAGCAGATTGTCATCGCTCTGATCGTGGTAGAGATAGGTATGCACCTCCCGAGTTGACAAATAGCCGAACGTATTCTCACCTTCATACAGTCCTCGGGATCATAACGATTATCGTTGACCTGTTCGCATAATCTCGTGGACTACGCCTGGCGTTGACGGGGAAACCTTGATTACTATCACTATACCACACACGTCGCATTGTAGCACAAGTAGTCGTATATCCATCCGAGGTATCGTAAGGTTCCGGAGTTGTCTATAAGACGCATCAGTACGAATGAGGTGCACGTTTAGCCCCTTTGGCAAGGCAGGCACCGAGGGTCTCCGGAGAAAGCCCACTGAGTGAGCCAGACCCGCTGGAATGGTTAACCCCCTGCTTCTGGCTGCTTCTCCCGTCTCTTCTCCCTGGTCCTCGACCCGCCGGAAGTGCCCTCCTTTTTGGCTTTATCCTTCGTCTGCCTAAAGCATAAGAATTCGATTCCGGTGGCACGGCGCGTATCCGCCAGGGTCTTCTTCACGCCGTCCAGGTTGGCTTGCAAGTTCTCGTCGCCGGGTCGGCGCGCGTATGCCTGCGAGATCTTCGTGTATAAATCCGAAAGCGTCTGGTCCGCGGAGGGAGTGACGTAACGCGAGAGCGTTTGGTGAAGGAACTCAATCTCAAGCGTGGCCTGTGGGTGGGATTGGTCACGCGTGTGAGAGGAGCGCAAGCCTCTGTGGCGGCATGCAGGGAAAGGATGCCTCCGGAAGAGATTCTACGCACCCTAAGCATGCCACCCATTCCGAAGCGCTTCACCTGGCGGAAACAGCGGAGCGCCTCCTCGGCAACATCTTCTACGAGCGCATTGAGGGTGCGTTCCAGCAGCGGAGCTGCTGCCGCGCTAACTTGAGCGTGCACACCGACAAGGAACATGAGGATCTCGAAGATATACGGACGGATCTCTGTGAGCAAGAATCATCGTCTAGGTCGGGCAGAGCATCCCTGATAGCGCAGGCACCAACCTCTTGGTTGTGGGGTTTCGTACCAATCCATCTGGGGGTCAAGGACCCCATTCCGTACCATGCCCATTAGCGCGCCGGACTTGGGCTTGACGTAACTCTGGAACAGCGTCTTGTCGAGTTCCTGCACGACCGACATGAGCGTCTATGGAGTGCCAATTCAGTTGTCTGCCAATCGCAATGACTAAACCGATTTGAATCCCTACACGTTTGTCTTCCTCCATAGACACGCCTAGACTGTTCCCCAGCTCAGTGGCCATATTGGGAATCAATATGCGCTTCAGATGATCGATATTCGATACCACGAGCAGTATCCTGTTGTCCTGGGAGAATCGGAGGTATGAGGTCAGCGGATTCTACAGAGAAGCGCTTAGACGTTCGTACGGTGTCCTGTATATTGACTAGCTCCAATGGGTTGGCTTTCGTCGCTCCGGTGACTTCGGATACAGCGGTTGGTAGTGCAGCACCGGGTGGTGACTCATCGGATGCTAGATGCACGAGGCCATCGAGTACTGCGAACAGCGAGTCCAGGAAAGCCTTCGTGATCTTGGAGGTGAATTCCGGGGCGACAGCTTTCCGCTTAACTAAACGGGACGAAGACGTCGCAGCGGAGGACGACAGATCAACTCCGCCGGCGATCTTGAAGGTACACGCGGACATCTCCTTCTGGAATGCGCGCAGCTTGGAGAGGTAGAGTGTCGTAAACGGGTCAGCGATGGATCCTATCCATTCCTCCAGGTGATAGAATATATTGGCGTCTGGAGCAAATGTTCAGCCTTTCCGTTCCTCCGATGGTCGGTATGACCCCTACCTCTGAGCCAGCCATGGATGACTATATCTTCGAACTTCCACCTCGCGCTCTCCAGGAGGCCCTTCAGACTAGAGCTCGCTTCGTTCGCGATATCCATGCCGTTCACATCGTTGACACTGTCCTGTATCTCGCCAATGACCCTCATGAGCTGGTGAGCAGTCGTTAGTGAATTCGAATCGCGGGGAAGTAGGGGCGGCGTCGCTTCCGCCACGGTATTGGGCGGCGATGATACGCGGCTGTCAGAGAACATGAAGACCTCGGACAACAGCGAGATGTACAACTTCACAATGTCCAGGGCCATCGTGCGACACTGTGAAGGACTGCGCCGCGCACCGCCGCCGGTGTTCGGACTCTGCGCGCGAGGTCAGTCATTGTGGGCAGAATCTAAGAGGGTACCAGCCTTCTTCAACTTCCCATCGAGGAAGCCCCTAGCGATCCGCCAGAAGTTGGGCAATGCGGCGAGCATAACCTCTGATACATTCTTCACCATTCCTAGGACGGCTGCCCAGACCTCGATTGCCCCTGCCTGCGCTGCACGTCACAGTAGAGCAGTCATGAGAAGAAGATACCGTATTTGGTCTATCAGACGTACCAATCACTACGTCCCCTTGTTTTGCTTCTAATGCCGCAATACATGTTTGGAGCTGGCCAGCGAGGATGCCAGGAAGTGTGTCCGGACTTCGGATGACAGGCAGCGCAGCGTTGTGAACGGCTTCAAACGATATTTAGCGATGTTCGCATACCAGCCCTAAGCTCGCTTACACCGAATATGTTCCACGGAAGTCGTGTAGGTTTCTTGCATGTGGTTGATGATATATTTGTGTTGCGCGTCTAGGTATGTCCACACCGGATCATCTGAAGGGTTGAGCTCGAGCAGAATCCTGGAGAGAAGGTCATGACTACGCCGGTGCCTTGCGTCTCAGACTCACTCAATGGTCTTCTCCTGCTCGTCTACGCCGCGCGCGGGCTCTTGCAATTTTGTGAGAAGTTGGTTCTTCATCTCGCCCATCACCTTCTCCACGGTGCCCCAGACCTTGTTGAGGATCTTCCTCTGCTGTGACTCCGCGCTGGACCCTTGAGCATCTCTCGGACCTACGGGCAATATCTGCCCGGGTCTTGTCTCTAGCAGGAACTTGCCTTTCTTGTAGTCTCGCAGTGCTGCCTCGTAGCGTCCCTGTATGACATGCATGAGTGATCGGAGTACACACGGATATGCCGTAGTAACATACCGCTTCGATCAACTCAATGAGGGTTCCAGGCAAACTGAAGAAGAACTTGGACCGTTCGAATACACCCAACGTAGTGCGCAGCTTCTGGGCTTTCATGGCGTTTTCCAGGACAGGGAGAAAGACTTGATCTGCCTTCTGAGCAGCCTCTGCAGTAGGGCTGCGTAAATCCTACGCAAAAACGTGGGTCATCCAACATACGCTTGATGTGGTCTCTGGCCGGTCTTGAGCCGAACTCAGACTTCTCCGCTAGGAGACCCTCCTGCATTTCCGCGTATAGGGCTGCGAGGTAGAGATTCATGAAGTTTATGCCACGGTCTCGCATGAGAAGAATGCATACCATCTGTGGAAGCCTTCACGGCGACGAACCGATTGAAGTGCTCCTCTACGAGCACCTTCACTGCTTCGGAACGGGCATCAATGGACGACCGCAGATGCTGGATTCCTGCAGCGAGGTCGTGGTAGGTCGCATTGGGGTGGACCGCGTTTAAGAATGCCTTTGGGTTGAACGACTTGGACGAGATGAGGACCGCGGTCTCTGTAACTAGGCTCAGAACTGCGTTACAGTAATTCAGACGTTACTGACTCGTTTCGAGGTCCATGTCTCGCACACTGATCGGCGTATGAATATGGGATACAGCAATTAGTCTAGATACACGGACGCACTCGATGACATCCTGGAGGCCCAATGGATCCTGCTCGCCCTCACCGCTGCCTGTCAACATGCCTGCGAGGGAGTTGTCCTTCTCGTGATCGACCTCCTCCCATTTCCTAACCAGCAAAGGTTGTTAAAGGCAGAAAGTATAAGTGGCATAGTCGTCCTACTTCGGCGCAAGAGAGGATATGCTGTAGGTCTTCAAGAGTTCCGCATCATCGACCTCGAAAGTGAGCCTGCCCATCTTCGCCTTACACCAGTCCCTGCACCAGACAGCCGAGAGAACTATTCCTTCAAGACGTTCGACGATTGCAGTCAAGTATTAACCGCGCGTGGTCATAGAGGTAATGTTCGCTGTTCTGTGTCGGTGGAAAGCCGCTGCCCAATGCCAAATGGTATCGCAGTGCACCTGCCCCTTCTAGCGTTGAGGTCATTAAGCGCCCGGACACTGCCCCAGTAAGTTTAATAACTTCGTCGAATAAACGACTAACTGCGACCCGCCCGTATTGGACAACATCCATATGTATGTACAGCCTTCATCCGCGTATGCTGTTGTAGCGATGTCGATGATACTGGCACTCTGGCAGCAAGGTAGGAACTGGTTTCCTGCAACGCCTCGATCGGGCATGCCCGAACGGCGTCGCGACCGTTAAAACGCAATCGCTCTGGCAGAACTACGTTGGTATCCGGCAGGAACTTATTGTCGTCCCACTTCGTCGCAGCCAGTGCATGCAGATGCGGCGAGAGGATGGTAGACGTTCTCGCCGAGCTCGAGATGGGTCAGGATGGGTCCAGCGCGTGATCTGGAGCGTGAGGAACAGTAAAACTCCTGTACTGTAAGCACATATCACTGCAGCGCAGCACTCCCGGCCTCCGACGCGCTCCTTGTTTCCCGCCGTCATGTCCAAGCGCATCCGCATCTTCACGTCCGAGGACGTCGCCGCCCACAGCACCGCCCAGAGCTGTTGGGTCACCCGTAACGGCAAGGTTTACGACGTAACGAACTTCCTCGCCGACCACCCGGGTGGAGACGACCTCATCCTCAACTATGCCGGGAAGGACGTGAACGAGATCATGCGCGACCCACAGGAGCACGACCATTCCGACTCCGCGTACGACATGTTGGACGAGTGCTTCATTGGGAGGCTGGGCACCCCCGAGATGATCGTGAGCGACGGTGCGTAGTCAGGGATCTTCCTTTTTGAGTGTCGCTGACTTGGCGTCCAGACTGGGTCCCGGACGAGAACTTCCACCCAGAGAACACGGACGTCGCTGCCGACTTTGAAAAGAACGAATTTCTCGACCTTCGCAAGCCTCTGATGCGCCAGGTCTGGGAGGCGAACTGGTCAAAGTCCTACTACCTGCAGCAGGTCCACCAGCCCCGCCACACTCCGGAGTCCCCGCGTCTCTTCGGGCCTGCCTACCTTGAGATATTCACCCGGACGACTTGGTATGTCGTGCCCGCATTCTGGTTGCCCATCGCGGGCTACATATTCGTTCGCTCGCTGGTGCAATACACCCTTGGGGGCAACTCCCTGCCGCTCTTCACCCAAAATCCTTTGGCGCCGCTGAAGCTCTTTTTGGCGATTCACATCCCTGCTTCCGCTGTGGTGAAGACGACGTTGTGCTTCTTCCTCGGCAACTTTGTGTGGACCGTCCTGGAGTACATTTTTCACCGCTTCCTATTTCACGTCGACAAGTATCTCCCGGACAACTCTGTCGGGATCACGCTGCACTTCAGCATGCACGGCATCCACCATTACTTGCCCATGGACCGGTATGTCGCACAGCTGTGAGCGAGATGCATAAGAATATTCACGGATATTTTAGCCTGCGGCTTGTTATGCCTCCTGTGCTCTTCGCGACGCTCTCCTTCCCAATGACACAGCTCGCACATGCACTCTTCCCACCGGCTATGGCGAACGGCGTTATCGCCGGTGCCTTCGTGTTCTGTGAGTACTCCCCACTTTGATCTTAGCACATCTTGCTTACGCTGCCACCGCGCAGACGTTCTGTATGACTGCATGCACTACGCGTGAGTATTCCTAGTACAACGTTCCCAGCCACGCCGGCTGACTGATACCTCTGACAGACTGCACCACACGAAGCTACCGGCATATGTCCGCGAGATGAAGAAGTATCACCTTGCGCACCACTACAAGAACTTCGAGCTCGGCTTCGGTGTGACAAGCAAGATCTGGGACTACGTGTTCAACACTGTGCTTCCCATGTAAGCTCAGCCGGGCGTTCTTCGCATTGGTGGGCAGGGGGGCAGTCAACGGGCAGGAGTGCCGGTTGTACAGCATCGTCGTTCGGGGACTGCGTTTGCAGATTTACAGAGTACATTACTATTCCGCCTTCGCCGTCGTTGACGCTCTAGTTATTGACATGGCTCGGCTTGTTGGACTCTACAGAGTTCGACGATAGCCTTTGTCGTAATGGATTATACACACCCACATTCACTGCTGTGTGCTCGCTTGCATTTTTAACATTCATGACGACGCCGGCGCAGCCGCTCTCAGTGCTAGTCTGAGTAGCAGGCGTCTCCAGGCCGAACTGGACGTACTTATCTGTGATTGCACTGCGGGGGCGCCCACCAACTACCGACCTGAGCGCTGCACAAGCACTGCATCAGACAGCAGCCAGCGACCTTCCTGACCCGTGTCCGTCGTGTTCGAAATCGAGAGCGACGTGCTTGGCTCGCCCAAGGTTCCCCCGTATTTCGTCAACGCAACCGGGAAAGCCCGTGCGGCCCCCGAGCCAGAGCCTCATGCCGCCCCTCCTCCCCGCCTTCAGCCTCATCGCGTGCCTCCCGGTCCTCGTCCTGCTGCTGCGAGCACAGGCTGGCGCGTTCCTTCCATTGGAGATGAGCAGAGACGCAGGGCCGAGCACCGCAAGGAGCTTGAACGGCTCCGTGCCGCTGGACGTCAACAGTTACCCCGTTGCACCGCCGGATCTCGAGCTTGAGCAGGTGCACGTTTACATACGACATGGTGCGCAAAGTCGTTCATACAAACCCTGATCCAGCAGGTCTGACGAGGGCCTTTGAAGGCGAGCGCACGCCTGTCGGGGTGCGGATGGCGGACCCGCCCGCGTCGATCCCGAAGCACTGGATGTTCTGCCATACTGCTCGCAACTTCCGTGCCGCTGTTTCGAGCGCGACTCCGTCGATCCCGGGCGTGAGAGGTCCGGTGGGCGGAGGGGAGGCGCAGCAGCAAGAGTCGCTCAGGACGGTGCGCGTAGTCGAGCGGCCGGATGGGACGGCTGCTCCGGGAGAGTGGTGAGTCCATGTCTAACCGTGTCTCTGTCGGAAGACGCGATTATTGTTCTTCACTGGTTCTGACCTACATTCATGGTTGAAGTCTGCTGGGAGAGTTGACGGACATTGGAAGGCAGGTAAGCCCACTTCTCCTATGGTACCTGCACCCGACGGAACGCAGAACCCTCGCTCATACAAGATACGTTCTTGCTGACAGACAACATACGACTATGGGCGCGGTCTCCGGCAGCTTTACATAGACAAGTGCGTCGACAGGTTGTCGCAAGCCTCTGCATGCTCACGATGCTTTCGTCCCGCCTCTCACTCAGACTAGGCTTCCTGCCTGACGTAGCTAGTTCGCACGACGACGTCTACCTGCGATCCACTAATGTGCCGAGGACAATCGAGTCGCTTCAGCAGATCGCACATGGCCTGTATCCCGACTCGAAAAGCACATCTGACTTCATACCGCAGCTGAGGATCCGGTGAGTTGCACCCGTGGCTATCCCTCGAAGCTTCCTGGCACGTCTTAATGCAATCTTGCGTTAGCAACGGGAAGGATGAGAACCTCTTTGGCAATACGCTTGCATGTAAACGACTCGAGATCCTGCAAGTCGGCTTCGCAAAAGGTCAGCCTGTAGTGATATCTTCCGTCCAGCCTTGCTGAAGTAGATACTGTACTCCTAGCTGCTGCGTCCGAATGGAATGACACTCTGGCCCCTCTGGACAAGAAGTTGTCAAAATACATTGGAGGAAATCCCGTACGCTTAGACGGCAAACCGCGGGCTTCGGGCATTTTGGATACTGTGCGTGTGTCCGTCCTCCTCTACCCCGTCCTGCTTGACATACGCGTTTGTCCGTATAGGTCCGAGCCGCGAATGCGCACGGAATAGCAGTGCCGCCGGAGTTGAAGGACCCCGCCGTGGTGGATCTCATTGTGCGTCTGCCATCTTCTCCACGTCCGCGACTCGCTGCTCAGGCATCGTTCTGATCCCAGGAGAAGGCGGTGGTTCACGAATGGTTCGCAGGGTGTGAGATGCTCGCACCGTATCGTACGCTCTAGCTCGCTTGCTAACGAGCCCTTTCCCTTCCCGCATCAGACCAAACTGAAGAGGTGCGCCGCCTGGGTATGGGCCCGCTCCTGAGCGACCTTTCGCGCAAGATGCAGGCGAAGGCGATGAATGCCTCAGGGGACTCACTGAAGATCCTGATACATAGCACGCACGACACTTGCCTGGCCGCACTGTGCAGCACGCTTGATGTGTTCGATAACCGGTAAGTTTGGTCAATGTGGATGCAGCTTGGGCAAAACTCATGATGTGATTTGTGAAGGTGGCCGGCCTTCTCGTCCGCCGTCACCTTCGAGCTATTCCGGAGACGAACGCAGCCGGAGAAACAGCAGCAGTCGATATGGCAGAGCGTCCTCGCACCATTCCGGCAGCACACAGACGCGTCTACTGAGCACTGTAAGCCTCTACCGTGCGCCACTCCTTTTTTGTGCTGACGGCCCATGGCAGATGTCCGGATGCGTTACCAAAATCGCAACCTGCCGCTGCCCGTCTGCGCCGAGGACGGCAAGCACCTCCCCGGCTCACCCGAGTTCTGTACACTGGCCGCGTTCCAGGAGCGGATAAGGGAGCTCACCCCGGTTGACTGGGATGCGGAGTGCGCACCCGCCGGCCTTCACGGGAAGCACGGGGGTCGGTAGACGGGCACGGAGTTTGTGCGGTATAGATGGCACGAATATTTTCTATGTACTGGTTGCTTAGAGTAGGTCCTTCTCAGAATTGATGATTAAGTCTTATGTGCTGGGCGGATGCCGCACGCAGGTCAGAATTGTTGACTTCTCTGTGTGGATTCGTTCGGTGGTGTGGAAGAGGCGCCTCTCAGTCTTATGTCCTATCAAGCCGGATATGACGGAGAACGGGGATGGGCCTGAGATGTGCGCAGGGAAGGATAGCTTCGGGGATCGACAAGATCAGATTAAGTCAAGGACGGTCATAAGCAAGAGTATGGGATACACGCCCTATACGCCGTCACCACGAAGATTTCTCTGCAAGTGTCCACGTCCAAGGCTGCGTCTTATCCTCGAACGTTGCTCCTACTGAACGCGCCGTCGCTCGGAAGAACCAAGGACATGGTAGGACGCGGGGACCCAGCTTCACCACTCGTATCCATCCCTCTGACCCGACAGTGCTACCATCTATCGCGTCTGTCGCGTCCTCACCTGTGTATATCCATCTCTCGACGTTCACCTCGTCGTCGATGATCAGCAAGCATTGGATGTACTGCCCAATGCGGATCATAGCCCCTCTAGCCATGTGCGCCGTCGCCGCGGGGCCGCCAACCGTAGCGACAAGGCAGAACTTGTCTCTGTCCTGACCAGTCGTCTTCGCCTCCACCGTCTCCCACATCTCCTCGTAGTCGGACATCTCACCTGTCTCGGGGTTGGCCATTCGCCCCGTCTCGCGGCAGAGCACACCGTCCGGCTCCGGGAACATGTCGCCCTCGTCGACAGGCGGCTCGGCTCCGTGCGCGGTCCGCGAGTCGATATGGTGTGTCCACGTCTTGTGGCAGACCCCGTCGCGGTACTGGGTCTTAGCAACACCGGAGAAGGCCCACTCGAGACCTGACGCAGCGGTGGAAGGCTCGGCTGTTTGAGGGGGCGCCTCGTGCGACTTGAAAACACGGACGTCGACGAACGTCTGGGAGGGCACGGTGAGGACGAGGGTGGACGTGTTTTCGAAAGGCTGGCCGTCGCCCCAGCGTATCCAGACTCGTTTCGAGATGTCTGCCATCTGTGAGCCTCTCTGTAGAACGGTGCTCGAAGGGGGGTCGAAGTCGTGGATGATTAATCACAGGATCGCACTGAGTTGTGCTGCATGCAGAGGTGCCTATGCGTCGGACTTGTATGGCACAATGAGGTACTGTAGGCCGCCATGTATCGTCTCGTCGGCGTTACGCGTAGTGCACGGTCACGTGGGACGCGAACGTTTCACAGTCAAGAGCCCCGAAGACACCTTGACCACTTAGCAGTGACCACGACTGAGTTGGCAGGCAAGTCGCCGTCCTCCTGGATGTCCCGTAGCGTTGTGTCTTATTGGTCTGCTTAGTTACCTCAAAATACTCTCGTCTGTTTCCCCAGTCTGGAATCTGGATTGTCAACCTGCAGTACCGTCCAATCGGGGCACTCTCGCTCCTCCTCCGCCCGACGTCTTGATTGGGGATTGCCCATGCCGACCGCGAAGAACTTCAAGAAGCATTCTAGAGGTATTGGATCTGCCGGGAAATGACCTGTCATTCTCAGGGTACGGATACGTGCGGCCTATGCAGAGGTGCTACGGGCGAGTCGTCTACACCGACTATAGCTTCGCCGCTACATCTTACCACTGAAGTCGTCGGCGCCGTCGCATTCTCATGAATTCTTACGAGAAGACGGCCGCTGCGCAGCGTACTTCCGAAGGTTGGTGCCCCTTTGTCCTTTAACCGTGCCGTAGCTGTTCCCATGACCAGCTCCCCGAGCCCTGACCCGGCCTGATTCTGGCATAGATCTCTGACATGCATCTCTTCCGAGCTCGGACTAACTCTGTATGTATTGAGCTCGTGATGCTCACTGTTGGCGATCTCTTGTGACACTGCCGTCATGTCGCTCCTGCGCCCCCGCCCGCCCCCTAACGCGTCGCCCGCAAGGATCGCGAAACTGCTGCGACGCGCAGTATCGCTCTCTGCGGTCGAAGGTCCCACGCATCCTCCGCTCGTCCGACAGACGTTCCCGGAGTACTTCGCCACGGAGATCCTAGCCAAGCATGCGTCCCGACCTGCTCTGATCTCGAGAAGCGAGCCACCTCGGCCTCACGGCGGCCCATTTCCGCAGAATCAGCTCGTGGAGAGCCATCTTGCATGGGACTTTGGAGAGTTCGATGCGCATATACAGGCCCTCGCGCGAGGTCTACTGGACATGGGAGTCCAGAAGGGTGACCGCGTTGGGGTGGTAATGGGCAACAACAGGTACGTACACCACCCGAACCCTCCAGAGGGTGCGCACGCATAGTCACGACATCGCACAGCGCATATGCGGTGCTGCAATGGGCTTGCGCGAGCATAGGTGCCATCGTCGTAACGCTCAACCCCGCATATAGGCTACCTGAACTTGTAGGTGGTCATTCTTCCTCCTTCCAGTGTTCATATACCTGCAAACTTGAGCTGAACTTGGAGAGAGAGCATGCGCTCACACTAAGCAACCCCCATATTCAGGAGATATCATTCATTTAATGTCATGTTCCAGTATGAGACGGCCGCTTGCAGCGCCGTACCTCGATACTCATGCATCCTAGCTTGATCTCAGATCAAATGTGGAGCCTTCTGGCGCATCGGACAGCTCGCTCGATCACCAGTGCTAGTGAACATTGAACGGGCTTGTGAAGGGGCTCACTAGTTTTCATAGAGTTTTCAGGCCCAGTTACCACTTCTCAGTCACTGACCCTCACGCATGTGGTAGGTTAGCACCCTGAACCTCGTCAGTGCCAAGCACCTCTTCATCGTCCCAAGTCTACGCTCCTCGACCTACGTCCGCACACTCGCTAGCGCCTTCCCTGCACTCGCACAATCTGCACCTGGCAACATCCAAGAACCGAACCTCCCTTCACTCAAGAATCTCATCGTCGTCGACAACGTCCCCGGCGCGGACGGCAGAGTCAGTGGTGACCTGAAGAAATTCGAGGAGGAGCGCGAGGTCGCGCGGTGTGCGGTGGACTTCCGGGAGGTCCTCGTGTGGCGGGAAGATGGCCCGCTGAAGACGCGGGTTAAAGAGCTTGCGAGGGGCTTGCATTGCGATGAAGTAATGAATTTGCAGTTCACAAGGTGAGTGCGAGGCGAGCGCAGTCGCGCTACTTGCTGATATACTGCGGCCTAGTGGGACGACGGGCGCCCCGAAGGCAGTCTCGGTATGTATACAGCGGATTGCGCCCCTGGAACGTACTGATACCTTCTAGCTGACGCATCATAACCTGCTGAACAACGCGATCTCAATCGCACGCAACATGCGGCTGACGTCCTCGGATGTCCTCTGTACGTACTCATTGAATCTCCTCATCGCCGGCCACAACACTCACACTGTTCGTTGTACAGGTAACGTACCGCCATTATTCCACTGCTTTGATACGTCCCTCTCCTTGCTGGTACCTCCCTCTCGCCGACTGATGTGCTTCCCCTTACACGCCTTGTCCTAGGAAATCTTGCCGCCTGGAGCCATGGCGCCTGCATCGTTTACCCTTCCGAGACGTACTCGCCGCCGGCGATTGTCGACGCGATCGTTGACGAGCGGTGCACTGCGCTGCATGGCGTGCCGACGCACCATCTCGGTGTCCTTCACGAGGTGCAGCGACGCCGTGCAGAGGGCGAGACAGTCGATACGAGTTCGTTGAGGTATGTTGCCAGTAGTATACCTGGTATCTCGGCGCGTTCGTGAGGCTGATCATGTGGAATAGGACGGGGATTGCGTCTGGAGCCCCAGTGCCAATCGAGATGATGAAGCGGTTGATTGAGCAGCTCAATCTCAACGAACTCACTGTGGCATTCGGCATGAGTCCGTCTCCGTCTCATTTCAATATCGTGGAAGGCGCTGACATATGAGGCATCGAGCAGCGGAAACGAGGTATGTGATCGCCTTTGCTGGTGATGGTTTATGCAACTCCATGCTTTTCCGTTATGCATCAGTCCGGTGTCTTTCCAGACAAATCCGGACGACCCAATCATCAAGCGTGTTGAGACAGTCGGCCGTCCGCTGCCGCATGTGAAGGCGAAGATCGTCGACGAGCATAAGGAGACAGTGCCCGTCGGCACACCGGGCGAAATCCTAGTATCAGGTTACTTGGTGCACAAAGGGTATGTATTCACAGGCCACAAATGCTCCCCGATGCCTAATGTTGGTTTCACTTGTGCAGGTACTGGGAAGACGAGCAGCAAAGCGAAAAGGCGATTGTGAGGGATCCGGAGGGGGTGGCGTGGATGAGCACGGGAGATGAGGGCATCATGGATGAGGAAGGATACCTGAAAGGTAGTATCCATGTCTCTTCAGGCTGCTCGGTCTCACGCCGGATTTTCACTCCAGTGGTTGGCAGAATCAAGGTATGCACACTATACCTAACGAAGCTCAGATCCCTCAAGACAAGTCACAGGACATCATCATACGCGGCGGGGAGAACCTCTTCCCCGTACAAATCGAGAACGTCCTGACCACACATCCCGCGATAAGCCAGGCGGCCGCAGTGGCAGTCCCACATCCAGTGCTGGGTGAAGTAGTCGGTGCGCTGATCGTCCGCGAGACCAATGCGCCGCGGCAACTCTCCCGCGAGGAGGTGCGCGAAGTCGTTGCGCAGGGCATGAACCCGCAGGTGCGTCCCTGAGCAGCGGCCAACGTACACCGCAGCTGAACGACGGATGCTTCCCATCTCGCTTGGATGGGTGCAGAACGCGCCTGCCTGGGTATGGTTTACGGGCGAAGACGGCGTGCCTGACGAGCTGCCGAAGACCGCGAGCGGAAAGGTCATGAAGCACGTCCTGCGGAAGTGGGCGAAGGACTTGGCGAAGAAGGACGTTGGTCGCGCCGGCGCGCCAACGGCAGCAACCTATACTTCATGACGCGTAGCGATGCTGGCGGTCAATGCAAGGACATTGCGAACTCGCTCGTAACTGTCAAGACCGAGCCAAAGGAGCTGATATTGTGTATAAATTGGCATCGTGTAACAACATGTGCGGCGTCTGTCACGGTAGGGAAATGTACTCGTCTTCGTATTCTCTAAACAGCCCGCGGCCTCGTTCTGACTTTAGTTCACAGTGCGGGGGTTGCTCAATGGACCGTAGTTCCTGTAGGTTATGATTGCTTGTCCGCAACGGGCCTGTGTGAGGCTCCTTGGTAATGGGCTGAGAGGCCGTGTCCCAAGCTGGCTCTTTCGTCTAGACGATCCTGAGCATTTCTATTAGGATGGGCTGAGCGAGTCTTTACTAGCTTACTTTCGTCCGAACTTTGGACCAGGCCTCACCCTGTATCCGGCCCTCCCAGTCTGATTGTGAGTCCGGATGATCTTGAGCGCGACGTCACATCTTGATTCAGATAGTCCCAGCTACTTTTGTCCGCCGATCCTCAATACTTCGGCTTTTAGTCTTTCGCACCCCATGGCACTTAGCCGCGTACAATAGTCATTGTGGTCGACAGTCCGATACTGGGTTCCACCCGCTTCGTTCGGATAGGATGTGGCATAGGCCAGTCCACGGTGCTGCCCAGTGTCACCCGGATGGTCTCAATCCCCTTTGGCCAGCGCAACTGGTCGGCTTTTGTCTGGATAGTATCAGGCCTGAGGCTCCCGAGGATCCGCAGTTAAGTATGACTATCAGCAGTGTCGACCTACCGACGCCAGGCACACAGGTTCATTTGTCGCAACCGATGCCTCTGCAGATCGTGCTAATTGAACGTTTTCTTCCTTCGCTGCTCCACCAGTGGAGTGCATGTATTTCCCCGTCCTACACCTCGGTAGGTTGGACTATCATAATCACCTTCTACTCGCCTCCGCAATACCCTCTCCCGCGCTGTGGTGCCCTGCTGACGTTGTGCCGTCCGCCCGCTGGTTTGCGCTTACGCGCCACGCACCCTGTATCATGCGGGCTTGGTAAACGGGGGTGCTGATTGCGCAGCCCGTGTTGACATCGATTGGCAGCGCTGGCCTCGAAAGCTGTGGCAGACGGCTGTATATGGCGATCCTGCCCACCAGACGCCATCCGTCACTTATCCGTCACGGTGCACGGGACCGCGTCGTCACGCCTACACCGTGCGAAAGTAAGCCTATAGTGGAGCGTTACGACGCGTCGTCTGCTTCGCAGTTCTACGTGACGTCAGGCACCGGGCCGGGTGAAGAAAGCATATCCGGCGCTCGATGTCCAGAGATAAATACGAGCCAGCCCATCGAGGCGTATCTCTGCCTCTGTCTTGACCACCATCCCCTACTTCTTGCTCGACACACACAGCAACGACCACCATGCCCGAGGGAACCATGCGCGCGCTCTACTACAGCGCTGTGAGTACATACGTCAGGTCATCGCCGGATCAGTCTGATAAACATCGCGTGGTTGTCTAGCCCCAGAAATTCGACATTAGGCAAGTGCCGATCCCGAAGTGCAACGACGATGATCTTCTCCTGAAAGGTCAGCGAATGTGTCTAATGTGCAATGCAGACGTCTGACAGGCGCATATAGTTACATGCTGTGGTGTCTGCGGCACGGATGGCCACATCCACGAAGGCGAATTCATCGCCACGTTTCCGGTACGTACGCATGCGTCACTCGCACTTTCCGCAAAACTCACTGTACGTGTGCACAGCTCATCCCCGGTCACGAAGCGATCGGAAAGGTAGTGGAGAAGGGCAAGAACGTCAAGGACTTTGAAATTGGCGACAGAATCGTCGCCGATGTCGGCATCTCTGTACGTCGTCAGCATATATGCGCGCGAGATGACGTCTGACACCCCAGGCTCGCAGTGCGATAACTGCTTCTACTGCCGGAGGGGACAGGCGGTGCTTTGCGAGAACTTCAATGCGCGTGGTGTGACCATGGACGGTGGTTTCGCTGAATACATCGTCTAGTGCGTGTTCTTAGCGCAAGTCTGTTCACGGATTCTGACGCCATTGCGTAGCCATCAAAAGAAGTGCTACAAGATTCACAACCTTACTGATGAGGAGTCAACGCTTCTCGAACCCGCGGCATGCGCCATTCACGGTCTGGACAAGCTCAACCCGCCCGTCGGCATCGATGTCCTCCTGCTCGGCGCCGGCCCCACTGGTCTCATCCTCGCACAACTTCTCAAGCTTAACGGCGCGCACAAGGTTGTCATCGCGGCGAACAAGGGAATTAAGATGGACATCGCCAAGCAGCTCAATGCTGGAGACGAATACATCGAGCTCGACCGCCAGAACCCCGGCCCGCAGTGGGAGCAGCTCAAGAAGGACAACCCGTACGGCTTCGACGTCGTAGTTGAGGCGACCGGCGTGGAGAAGCTCGCGCAGGAGAGCATCAACTACGTGCGGAGGGGAGGCACGATCATGATCTATGGTGTGTACGAGAACAAGGCGATGGTCCACTGGCCACCGTCCAAGATCTTCGGTGACGAGATCAAGGTATGTTCGCTTTCATGTCTGTGGAAGATGAAGTGTTTATTGTGTGCCATAGGTCATCGGCTCGTTCTCTCAAGCATACTGCTTCCCGCGTGCGGTCGCATATCTCGACGGCGGAAAGGTCAATGTCAAGGGCATGGTACGTTATGTCCATAACAATGTCTGCGCACGCTGGCTTATGTGTCACCGGGTAGGTAACGGACGTCTTCAAGCTCGAGGACTACCAGGGCGCTCTCGACAAGATGAACAGCCGCGGCGCTCTCAAGATCGCGATCAAGCCGTGAGGCTGAGTTTGGACAATGGCGAGAAGAAGAGAAGTCCTGGCTACATCGTACACTGTAGCAACAATGGATATAGTTCCCTGTAGCAATGTGACATATTGATACCCTTCACTGAAACTGTTTCAATTGGCTGTGCAAAAAGCAGGGAGGCCTCGACCACCATAAGCTTCATCGTCGGGAAGGCGAACACTAAAAACTAAAATGTATTCCGACACGGGGAATTGAACCCCGGGCTATCGCGTGAGAGGCGATAATGTTAGCCACTACACCATATCGGATTGGTAGAGAAGTGCAGCTTTTGTTGAACAGCCTTCGAAGCCTTCATGCACATCATGATCAGTCGGTGACATCATCAGGCATTCATTCTGTCCGTGAACACTTCGAAGGTGGTGCAACTTAAAAGGACCTTGAAGAGCCCTGGAATACGACACTTACCTGCATCACCACGAGACTGCACGCACTCACTACTCTCATACCGCATACTGATTCAGACTATGCCTTCCGCGTTGATTCTGATTGCTGACGGGACGGAAGAGATGGAATTGTGAGTCCCTCGCGTCATTGACAGTGGCAGGCCTGCCTTCATAGTCCGCGATGTCATCAGTACCATCACCTACGACACACTCGTACGGGCTGGTGTATCTTGCACGTCAGCATACGTCGCCGCCGCAGACGCTGCGTCACAGAACAAGACAAGCCCGCCGTGCGCTACGGGATCGCGCGGGATCAACATCCTTCCGGACCAGCAATTCTCGCCACAAGCCGCCGCTGCAGTATGTACATAGTGTCACTAAGCGAAGGATGTATTGTAGCGATGGCTTACGCGCGAGTGTACAGGCGAACTATGATTTACTCGTTATCCCTGGCGGCGCGAAGGGCGCGGAGACGATCGCGACCAACTCGCCTGTGCAGCATCTGGTGCGCGAGTATCTGAAGGAGAACAAGTATGTCGGTATGATTTGCGCAGGTACGCTCCAGCGCACTGTGGGTAGTACTATGAGATGACCCATAGCGAAAAAAAAATCAGGTAGCATGGCAGCAAAGACTGCTGGTCTACCGAAGCAACCGCTGACATCTCACCCGAGCGTGAAGGCGCAGCTCGAGGGCGGTACGTGCTGGTGCTTCCGTATGTATCATCGTAGATATTTGACCGATAAGTAGACTTTGAATACTCGGAAGAGCCTGTTGTTGTTTCCGGTAAGCTTGTCACAAGGTGAGTAACAGTGCTGCTATATTGCTGTAAAATGACAGTGTCAGTGCTGACGATACATAACATACTACGTAGCCGTGGGCCAGGTAAGTCCGCGTTCGTGACTAGCCGCTAGAGCCTAGCATGCGTGTACTGACTACTGACCACTTGTACTTAGGCACAGCATTCCCGTTCGCGCTCACTCTCGTTGAGCTCCTCTGTGGCAAGGAGAAGCGAGGGGAGGTGGCAGGCCCCATGGTCTTCCCACCTGGAACCTTTGCTTAAACTTATCTGAGCTTGGGATTTGGACTTTCGGGAAGTTTGAGAGACATGTAAATGACATATGCATAGACAACACCTCCGCTGTTGGATTGGTCATAAGTTACCTCCTCGCCCACCCCCCGTGGGTCACTTTCCTGCCAGTGAGTGGGGAGCGCGAACGTCAGTTGCCAAACTGTAACATGTATCGTTGGAGACCGCTCGGAAACTCCACTCAAACTATGTGTTACGATAGGCAACCGAAGTCATTGCCCGTTTAGCTCAGTGGTAGAGCGCGCCACTCGTAGGATTCGCATAGATTCGTATGCCAACCTCGATGGTGAGGTCGGTTGTTCAATCCAGCCAATGGGCATTCTTTTTGCTGCGGTATGATCTCCAAGGTCAAGCTGAACGCGTAGGTGACGGTAGAACAGCAAGAAAGTCGGGAAAGGCCAGCAGGAGGTTTGATGTGGCTGGGTGGTAGTAGGCGCGCTCTAAATATCACGTGACATACTTAAGCGCGCGAGCGCGATCCGCGTCGCGCGAGTCCGCGACCACCGACTCGGACCGAGCGTTCTGCCCGGGACGCGTGCAAAGGCAGACTCTGGCCCTACCTTTTACTTGGGTACCCGAACATATCTATAGGGATGCCTCCAAAGCACGCCAAGCAGCGTCGCAGCACAACCTCGCAGTACAAAATCCCTGCTACCTTTGCTCACGATATCGAGAACGCAGAAGGATGGAACGCGATCGTCGAGTTTCTTTGCGGATACTTCGACCTCCCAGGTGCGCTGTATACCATCGCAACCGACGGATGCCTTGTTCGGAGTGCTCACAGACATTGACGTCCCATTGTCAGATCTGACCACGCGCAGCGGGCTGAAAAAGGCACACGCGCGCTTCAACGAGATTTCCAAGAAGCTCGATGCTGCCTATACGAAGGGCGCTGGCAATGAAAAAATCATGGGAGGCATTGTGGGTATCTGGGCCAAAATGTCCGCAGATGCGCTCCTACGGGACAAGCTCTTCAAAGCCGGTATGTTTCAGCGCCGCCCACCCCTTCTCTCGTACACCATGTCTAGTATCTTGGCGCGACGGGATGCTTAACCACCGCGTCAGGGTTGGTCTCAAAAATGATGCCCTTGCTCGATATGTCTCCCACAAGGCATATTGGCCTGCAGGCTCTGTGCAACGTTACACACCACGGCGGAGTCGCAGCGAGGCAGGACATTGCGAAACAAACTCCAGTCCTCCTGCGTATCATGGAAGAGTTTCCTGATGATGAAAAAGTCGCAGAACTGGCGATTGTAGTCATGAGCCATGCCATCGGCGCGGTCGTCGGCCAGGACGACAAGCCCGATCCCAAGCTCCTCGAGCTCATCGACATGCGTGCGGTCCTCAAGGCGACCATTGACAACTTCCGCAAGCCCAACGCTTCCGCATTCCTCATCAGTCACGGGCTGGGCCTCATGACGAATTCGACGCTGCACTGCTACAAGCAGTGCAAGGCGCTGCCACCACTGCTGTCCTTCCTCGTAGCCTGCATGCACAGCAACGAGATTACGATACGGTGTAATGCACTCGGAGGCATCATCCGCCTCAACTTTGTCGAGTCCGAGCGAGACATGCGGTTCTACGACCCACGCCAGTTGATGGAGGCCGTCCAGCGACGGTTCCCCGACGAGCTCACCGAGGTGATGATGGACTTTGGCTTCGAGCGCTGCGACATCACCGTCACGCTGCGCTCGAGCGGCGACTTCCAAAAGGCGATGCAGGCATGCATGCAAGATAGGGACTTGTACAAACTTGGGAAGAAGGTCGCGGAACTCATTGTGCGTACGGAGTTCTCCATCGTCAACGGGATGTACCAGGCCGTCAACGAGCGCACGGGCCAACTGGAGGTCATAGATGTTGGCCTGCCCTTCACGATGTGGGCGGATTGCTTGCCTCACTGCGCACGGGCCGTCAGGGCCAAGGGAGTTCAGAGCGACCTGGACGACGCGGATATCCTCGAGATCAAATGGTACATCACCAAGCAGCGCATCCCGGACGCGATCAAGGTGGCGAAAAAGGCTCTCGAACGCAACCCGCAGTTGGCCTATGCATACTATGCCATCGGACTGGGGGCGGACAGCGAGAACGGCTTGCGCGCGGTGAAAAAGGGCCTGAAGGCCACGCAGATCACGCCCTTCGTGCGGAACTACATGCTCTGGCGCGCGGTAGAACACGCTGGGAATTTGGGAGTGAACCGGTTGCAGGAGGCGACCGCCGGCGACCGAGACTACAACGAAGGGATGGCATTCTTGAAGTCTTCGTGCGAGGATGCGAAGAGGTTCATGGCGGAGGCGCCTCCGGACTCGAGGAACATGAGCACGGTCCTTGACTGGTATGTCATATGCTCGTTCGCCACGCGTGGTCCCGAGCTCAGCCCTGATCTGCGGGAGCTGGAGGTGCGTGAAGTACCCATCATCTTGCAACCGACGGTCTAATCTCGCGAACTCGCGCAGGATGCATTCAAGAAGGTCGCGCTCGCGGACAAGATGCAGACCTTCCTCGGCTTCCCGCCAAAGAATACGCAGGCCAGATTGACTCGCGAGCTCATCGTGAAGCAATGGCCCGTTGCGGTCAGGTCATGGGATAAGGTGATTGCGCGCGTTGACACGATGGACTTGAGCTCGCCGTCGGCGCACCGTCTGCCCACGCCCGCAAGAGCAGAAGACGACCTCGCGGCGTGGCTCGAGAACATAAGCGTTGATGATGCTCCGGAAGAGGATGGGCATTGTGCGCACCCCAAGATCATCCCCACTGCCGTGGAGCTCTACCGGTGCTCGTACTGCGGCAACCCGAGCGCTGTTCTGAAGAAGTGCGGTGGCTGCGGGAATACGAGGTATGTGGGCAGGGGCGCTGTCAAACTGATGGGAATCTGAACACTATTGCAGGTACTGCGATTCTGGATGTCAGAAGCAGCACTGGGCCGACCACAAGCGTACATGCAAAGGGTCTGCTTGATCAGGCGTGCCAGATAGTTCCTCATGTCCATTGTATCATTGTATTTGTACGTCCATCTTGCCCGTCGGCTGCTAGCCATGTATCGTTGTACGATTTTACCAACCGGACACTGTCGATACCTTGCAACTTCTGTGTGTACTAATATATCACTTGCGGACACCCTCCGTTCCGCTCCAATGAACCATCTCATCGTATCTCCTTCGCCATAAGGTAGGACGTTCGACCGTAACCGTAGGTACCAGTACTGACAGCTGGCCTTGCGGTAACACATCCAAGGGAACATTCGTTGTGGTATTGCCGGCGCAGCAAACCCGACACAAGGTAGAATACGGACAGACATAAATACAAAGCAGGGGCCGGAGGATAGTCAAAGGTCCAGCGTCGAATGCTGCATCAACCCCTGCGTCGCTTCGACGTGCTAGCGTCCAACGCGTCTGCCTTCCGTTCCTCGACTCGCTGCAAGAACTCCACCTTCTCGAGGTAGCCACCACCACGGCGGTTCGCCTCAAGCTCATCCTTGAGCCCAGGCTGACCGTCCATCTGCACATGGCCCCGCCAGTCCATCGCAGATTTATCCAGCGTAGTGAGCTTCTTTGCCTTCTGCGCACTAGGTAGTGGTGCGAGCGTCGTCTTCGGCTTCCGAGGCCCTGGCCGCTTAGCTGGTGGCTTGGATATGGTACTAGTCGACGGTGGTGTTGAACTGGACGCTGTAGGTTTCGGCGAGGGCCCCACCGTAGGAGTGGTGGTATCCTTGTCGTTCTCCCGTGCGGGGTGCCATCGCGGCCACTTCTTGGCTTCATCTGAGTGTTCGGGCACTTCTTTCACTTCCCTACGAGCGGCGCACTCGAACACATCAAACCGGACGACGAAACTAGGCAGTTAGCTGGAAGATGGGACTTACACAACGTCCTCGCCAGCAAATCGATACCGCTTTTCAATCTTCACCATGCGCGGTGGTGCGTCCGAGGCGGATGCCTTTGGCTGTGGCGTGGACAGAGAAGCCTGGAATTCTGCCCATGCAGCATCCCGCTTTCTGAGGATTGTTACTCAATAAGATGATGGATAAGATGTTGCTGCAACTTACTTCTTCTCCTCAAGCCTATCTTCCTCCAATGGGCTGCTCAAGCGTGCACGCTTCGGGTCCGGTTCATCGCCAGCTGATTGCGAGTCTGTAGGGCAGACGGTGAGGTACGGCTGGCTAAGGGAAGATATGCTTACCATTGTCTACTGGGGGTACATAGTCAGGATCATCCTCCGAGTCAGAAGAGGAATGCATAGCTGAAGTGGTGATAAGTTCAAGAAATGTCACGGTTTGGACTTGGTCGCAAAACGACGCAGTGGCTGGCGCCCGCCCCTACAGATAGACGCCTGCGACGCGTCGGGTCCACGTGACAGGCGCGTTAGTGAGTGCGCGATGTTTATTCCTATTTGTCTGTGGCTTAAACTCAACAAAACGGCGTGGCGGAAACTCAGAAACCTACCCCTTCCCGCCGTAACGTACTTTGTTGTCGAACCTTTAATTCAGCTCAGGAGAAGCATTCGCATGTCGTCAAACATACCTGTGAGTGTTCCTAAGCTTCTCGTCTTCAGTCGTCATACTGAAACGGTGTAGACACGGCGTGTAACGCGGGCGACCCGTTTGACCGTCCACAAGGATGAGAACGCGGTTAACCGTCCTGCACGCACTATCACCCGAGCGAAACCCCCATCGACCACTGCGAATGCTCCGGAGAACGCAAAGCCAGCAGGAATAGCGCGAGCCACCGCGTCGACCGCCGCGACCCGCGCGAAAGCAGCCGCGGCCGCTGCGTTGAAAGTGGACCCCGCGGCACAGAATAAGCGGAAACGGGAGGCACTTGGTGAGGTTCCCAAACCCTCTGAAAACAAAGCCGCCAAGCCTGTGAATGCGGGTCCTGGCTTGACTGCGCTGAAGGGCAAGGAGAAGGTCCTCCACCTGAAGGAAAAGTTCGAAGGTGTTGTTATCAAGAAGAGCACCACAACCACGACCACTACTGCTCGCGCGCCCCTACGCGTCGTTCATGGCTCTGCGACGACGGGTCCATCAACGACGGTTGCGCGACGGGCGCGAACGACCCCAGCTTTACAGTCGGCTGAGCAGCCACAACCTGTGCCTGTCTTGGAGGAGGTAAAGGAGGAGACGATAGAGGAAGTGGAGGAGGTGCCTGAGGATGATGCAATGGTCGTTGACCCCGTCCCAGCACCAAAACGATTTGTGGCCGCTCGTGCATCTGCGGCAGCAGCCCCCTCCGCCATCCCTTCGCGCACCCCACGTCGCTCCTTTGGCCGACCTGCTTTCAGGCAAGAACAGCTTGAGGAGGACGAAGAGGCGGAGCGTGCGTTCAAGAAGCGGAGGACATCTTCCGACTACCCTGACGAAGCGGCCGTCGCAGAGGTTGAAGGGGCCATCCTCTATGAAGATCCGCCGGAGGTAGATCCGAACGGCAACCAGTGGGTTGACCTCGACGCCGAGGATGCAGATGATCCGCTCATGGTGAGCGAGTACGTCGTGGAGATCTTCGACTACCTCAAGGAGGTCGAGCAAACTACGATGCCGAACCCGCGGTACATGGAAAACCAGAAGGATCTGGCGTGGAAGATGCGGGGCATCCTGACGGACTGGCTCATTCAGGTGCACTCGCGCTTCAAGCTGCTGCCCGAGACTCTGTTCCTGTGCGTAAACATCATCGACCGATTCCTATCCACTCGCGTCGTGTCCCTCGCGAAGCTGCAGCTGGTAGGGATCACGTGCATGTTTATCGCGGCGAAGGTGGAGGAGATTGTGGCGCCGAGCGCCACGAACTTCCTGTACTGTGCGCACTCGAGCTACAACGAGGCGGAGATCCTGCAGGCGGAGCGGTACGTGCTGAAGACGATCGACTGGAACCTGGGCTACCCGAACCCGATCCACTTCCTGCGGCGGGTGAGCAAGGCGGACGAGTACAACATCCAGGTGCGCACGATCGCGAAGTACCTGCTCGAGATCCAATGTCTCGAATGGCGGTTGATCGCTGCGCCGCCATCGCTGCTCGCTGCCGCCTCAATATGGTTGGCGCGTCTCATACTCGGCTTCGACTACTGGGTACGTGTGGCTCATGGGTGCACTCGGAGCGCATGTGGCTGATTGTTGTCCGCAGACGCCGAACTTGGCACACTACTCGTCTTACCCTGAGAGTGCGCTCTACCCGACGGCGAACCTGATGTTGAACTACGTGCTGAAGCCGGTGAGGCACGAGTCGTTTTTCAAGAAGTACGCGTCGAAGAAGTTTTTGAAGGTATGTTGTACTCGTACCTGTGCCGGTAGCCACTGAGTGACGAGATTTTGCGCAGGCGAGCGTGTTCGTGCGGACGTGGGCTATAGAGCGGTGGTCCGAGGGCACGGCGGTGTCATTGGTGGACGTGCTGCCGGAGCTGAAGGCGGCAATCCGACAGGCACACGCTGCGGAAGACGCGCAGGCGGCGGAAGACGCTGTGGCGCAGGCTGAGGCTGAGGCGATCGCGGCGGAAGAGGCGTTGGCGAAGGCAAGGGCGCAAGCCAGCGCAGGCGCGTACTGGACGAAGCAGTTCAACTTCGGCGCGCGCCGTTAGGCGTGCACATTCACTCATACACCCCGACTACCTGGATACCTCCTTCCTACACACCCGCACAGGCTAGCGCATCCCCTTCCTCCCTGCCCGCCGCATCTGTCCTGGACCCTGCATCGCACCGCACGTTTTGCATACCTCTTTATTGTTCTCTCTCTGGTCTGTTTCCCGCTTCTGTACTCTCACCGCACTGGTGTGTTCTGCACTCTCGTCATCGCCTGCGATGATCTGCCACATCATCCCTAGCCCTAGCTCGTCCCCATTCCCCCACCCGGCAATGCAATGTCCATAACTCTCCTGTTTGCTTTGTACTACAATGCCATCTTACGGCGAACGACTTAGATGCATAGGATCGGACGGATTCCGGACGTCGCATTCACCTGTAGCATCGAACCTATGGTACATGCACCATTATATGTCGCTCTCGGTAGGAATATAAAATGTATTCACTTATGCTCTGTCGTATGGTTGGTCTGAATCCCGTCGCGTGGATGGACAGTGACATTGTTACATAAACTGTTCTGGAGTCTGGACGATCGAGGAGATCGACTCGGGCAGCGAGCGCCTTGCTCGCCGACCGGCTATAGTCCCTTCACGCTTCCTCGACGTCCTCGCTGCTGCAGTCGTGTAAGTAAGACGGGTTGGCTGCATGCTGGTCTCTCGACATGCGGCGCGACGATTGACACGAATAAGCAGACGGCTGATCCCTGCGCAATCGATAACATCCCAAAAACGCGTCGAGTCACTTCCTAAAGGCGCTGTACCTCTTTGCTTTCGCTATCGACCTCTCTCGACGGGGACCATGGCTTCAGTCGAAAGCATTACTCAGTCTTTGACTGGCCTCTCAATCCAGCCTGTCGCAGTGGTGACACACGATGCGACGAACGCGACGAACTGGCGGGAGGCCTTGCAGGCTAGCTCGTCTGCCCCTCAATCCTTCGAAACTCTGAAGACAATGGTGTACAAGCCCAAGACCGCAAAAACCGCGACCCCAGTGCCCCTGGTCATCATCGCCCGTGAGAGCACGGAAGTCAACTCCACAGCGGTGGGCAAGAAGCTGAACTTGAAGGATGTGCGCGTCGCGTCTGAGGACCTGCTGAACGAGTTCTTCGCGCTCGACAAGAATTCTCGTACGTGCTACAGCTACTCTTACGCATCGTTCGATTGACCGCCGATGCACAGTATCTCCTCTCATCCTGACCGCGGAGACATACCCGAAGGTCACAACCGTCCTTGACGCCTCGATCGCTTCATCATCCTCCCTTTTCGCCGTCCGCGCCCGCTCCTCCACCACTACACTCTTCCTGACCGGAAAAGACATCCTTGCATATCTACGTACTCTACAGACCCAGGACGCGCCCCTGCAGGAGATCGACTTCCAAGCTCTGATGTCTGAAGGTCAGGCAGCGTCTACGACTCAGGCAGCGGCCGCCCCCGCCAAGAAGGAGAAGGAGGATGCGAAGATCGAGGGCGCTGTGCAGATTGCCATCGGTATCAAGAAGGAGGTTGACTTCGCGGGATGGTACACGAATGTCCTCATCAAGGCCGAGATGCTTGACTACTACAACGTGAGCGGATGTTACATCCTTCGCCCGTGGTCGTACAGCATCTGGGAGGTAATCCAAGGTGTGTAACAAGACTCTGGATGCGGGCAATGCATTGATCCGCTGGCTAGACTGGTTCAATGTACGGATACGTGAAATGGGTGTGCAGAATGCGTACTTCCCAATGTTCGTATCGGCAAAGGTACTTGAGCGGGAGAAGGACCACATCGAGGGCTTCTCCCCCGAAGTCGCTTGGGTCACTCGGGCGTGAGTCGCATAAATAATCGTTGTCAACCTATCTGACCGCGATGCAGGGGGCAGTCTGAGCTTGAGGAGCCCATCGCTGTGCGCCCAACATCAGAGACAGTCATGTACCCTTGTAAGTGCTCTGCGATGTCGGGCATTCGTAAAGCATTGTTCACGCCTGCACAGACTACGCAAAATGGATCAAGAGCCACCGTGATCTGCCTCTGAAGCTCAACCAGTGGAACAACGTTGTCCGATGGGAGTTCAAGAACCCTCGTGAGTGTGTGTGGCTCTTCTGTGTCGATGCGTCTAACGCGTTATCAGAGCCGTTCCTGCGTACACGAGAGTTCCTCTGGCAAGAGGGTCATACCGCATTCTTGACCAAGCAGGAGGCCGACAAGGAAGTGCACGAGATCTTGGACCTCTACCGCCAAGTCTACGAGGACCTTCTCGCGGTCCCTGTCATCAGGGGTGTCAAGTCAGAGAAGGAGAAGTTCGCAGGCGGTCTGTACACGACGACGGTGGAGGGCTTTATCCCGACGACCGGTCGTGGCGTTCAGGCGGGCACCTCGCACTGTCTTGGGCAGAACTTCTCGCGCCCGGAGATGTTCAACATCTTCGTCGAGGACCCGAATGATCCCACCGGTCAGGCGAAGGCATATGTCTGGCAGAACTCGTGGGGTTTGTCGACCCGCACTATCGGCGTGATGGTCATGATCCACGGTGATAACCAAGGCTTGGTCCTTCCGCCCCGCGTCGCGTCCATTCAGGTCGTCATTGTCCCATGCGGCATCACAGCGAAGACGACCGACGAGCAGAGAAAGGCGATCAGCGACAAGTGCGAGGAGCTCGCCAACGTGCTCAAGAAGGCCGGCGTGAAGGCGAAGGCGGACCTCCGTGAGGGCTACACGCCTGGCTTCAAGTTCAACGACTGGGAACAGAAGGTAGGTCGCTATCTCATAGCTCAATCCTAATATTCACCGCACGTGTATCGTAGGGTGTGCCGCTTCGTCTGGAGATCGGTCCTGCCGACCTCGTCAAGAACCAAACACTGGGCGTCCGTCGCGACACTGGTGTCAAGGCCCCGATCCCCCTCGCAGATGTCACGTCCGCCGTGCCGAATCTACTTGAGACTATACAATCCGATATGTTCAAGCGTGCGCAAGACACGTACTTCTCGCGCCTCAAGCAGGTGACGCGCTGGGAAGACGTTGTTCCTACACTCGACGAAAAGTGTGTCGTCGTCATGCCATGGTGCGAGGAGGAGGCATGCGAAGACGACATCAAGGAACGCAGTGCTCGGTCGTAAGTATCTCGTGCATGCAACATGTGGCTATTGCTTACCGTACTATCGTTAGTGCCGAGCCACAGGATGAGCGGGCTCCGTCAGCGGGTGCGAAGTCGCTGTGCATTCCCTTCGACCAGTCGCGCTGGCCGCCTATCGAGCCTGGCAAGACAGAATGCGCTGCGTGTGGCAAAGACGCGAAGCGTTGGACCATGTTTGGTCGTTCTTACTGAAGGCACGGGGCGGTAGTGATTTGAATGTAGTATAGACCGACCACTTATATAATCAGAAGCTGTTCTAAACACAAGCGAATCGGGAGAGACGAAGCCCAGATACTCAGATTCCTAGTAAAAACGTTGTGCGGAAAGGTCAAAGCAGGCTAAATGACTATTGGAGCATTGTGCAAGAATACCCCCATCTCTGGAGACTCGGTCCCATCGCCATCGTTGGCTACAATTCGAGTCGAGTACATAAGTATGTGAGACTGAAAGGGTAAAAATCGGAAGGGACTGTCATATAGAGTGTTGGGGTAAAACGATTACTCCCTGGCGGGGAGTCGAACCCCGCTTTCGCGCGCGCGCTTGGAATGACAGGCGCGTGTACTAACCGATATACTACCAGGGATTATATAATTAGCTAAAATTATAATCATATAAGGGTAAAGCGTGCATCCACCATGCGTGTAGGCTCCGAAGCGCGTGCTGTGTTTCCGTTGCTCGCCACGAAGTCTCTGCTTGTGGTCGCTCTGCTGCTCATTTGGAACATAGTGGAGGGACATGAGGACGTCGCTCCAATACGGCCCAATAGCATGGAAGACTTGGGCTAAACACTCATCGAAGCAGACAGTATGGCGGTACTTCTCGGGCGCAACCGCCTGTTCGTCTGGTGGCAAGGCCTCGCTCAGCAGTGACACCACCTCGTATACGGACACCTTGTTTTTACCAAAATTCAAGCTCGGACAACATATGGTTCCATCCACGTACGCAAGGTTACAGGACCGGACTTGTGATGCGTTATACCGGCAGCAGGTATGTATCCAGATACAAGCGAGAATGGTCTTGAACATATCCAGGTTAGTGGAAACAAGCCGACAACCCGCTTTTCGTCCTGCATGATGGTCCACCGTATGCAAACGGCGACTTACACTTAGGTGCGTATCCTCTGTGAGACTCTTTTGGGATGCATCGTCACATGTGTCAGGTCATGCGCTCAACAAGATCCTAAAGGACATCATCAACCGGTATCATGTGTTGTTGGGACATCGCGTACAGTGCGTGTCGTCTACTTTACAAAAAATCCTTTGGATGAGCTTCTGTTTCCCCATATGACTGTCACAAACAGGCAGAAGCAAAGCTGCGGTACAACCAGAAACGGTCTATGCGGACAGAATCACATCCAGTAGTACCATCGCGACTTCGGCTGACTATTATGTCTCAGTTACATCCCGGGATGGGACTGTCATGGGCTACCGATCGAGAACAAAGTGCTGCAGAAACTGAAAGTGAGTGACTTGCAAACATGCGAGGTCTCGTACTGACCCGTCGCAGAAAAGCGCGGAGGAATTGACCCCACAGGCTATACGAGCAGAAGCGGAGCGATTTGCCAAAAAAGAAGTTGCCGCGCAGCGAGACCAGTTTCGTCAATTTGGCATTATGGCAGATTGGTCGCCGGAGTCGACGTATCGTACAATGGGTGGGTCACTCGATGCTGAATGGCCGCGTCCGCCGTCTCATGTAGGTTCAGATCACGACTACGAGATGCGGCAATTAAACATATTCAAGACCATGGTTGAGAAAGGTCAGTTGCACGTCATTCATTCATGTTACATCGTTGCTGAGTTGGTGCCAGGGCTCATTTACAGGCAACTGCGACCGGTGTACTATTCGCCATCCTCACGTACGGCGCTGGCAGAAGGCGAACTGACTTACAACGAGAAGCACCACTCGCACGCAGCCTACGTCGCCTTCGAGTTAGACCCGGATAGCCCGAACATGAGCCCTACCCTGAAAGCCCTCGTCAATGGTCAACGCAAGGCGCGTCTTCTGGTCTGGACAACGACGGCATGGACGCTGACAGCGAACATGGTGCGTGCCCGTGAGCTGTAGTGTTTGGGATCAGATATAAGACTTATTTTGCTCGCTAGGGCATAGCCGTCAATCCGGATATGATGTACAAGGCCGTAGCCACGAGTGACGACCCCATTGCTCCCGTAGACATTTACGCCGTCGATCGCGAAACAGCATTGGTGAAGAGCCTGGGGATGACGTACCCGAACATCCCTGTGGCTGAGTTTCCAGGTGAAAATTGGTGTCCAGAAGGCAAAATTTGATGCTCATGTCTGCTACAGGGTCACATCTTGTCGGGGCTACCTACCGTCCATTGTTTGCCTCACTCAATGAAGCTGATCCTGTCAAGTCGTTACCCGTCATTCCTTCCTCGCACGTTACCCCAGACGCCGGAACAGGTCTCGTACACTATGCCCCGGCACATGGTGACGAGGACTACAATGACTTCCGCTCACTTGGTCTACTGTCGTCGGCGGCGGACACTTCGACATCAGGTCTACTGTGCCACGTGGACGTGACTGGCTGCTTCAGCGAGAATATCGCGGACGTCGTGGGGTCTAAGGCTGCAAAGGAACTGATCGGGAAGGAAGTCCTGACCAGTGGTAGCATGGCAATCGTGGACCTGCTAACGGAAGTTGGTGCTCTGCGGAAGCTGCAACGAATTAAGCATAGCTACCCGTATGACTGGAGAACGGACCAACCCATTATCATCATGTACGTGCTCAGCGAGACTCAGGGCACCTTGCGGACATAAACGCTGATGCCCCGTACTCGTTCAGTGCAACGTCGCAGTGGTTCGCCAACACCGATCAGATTAAGGATGATGCGCTCGCAGCCATAGAGGGCATCTCATCCCATCCCGCAGGCTGTACGTCGTGTGCCTTGCTAACCTTGCCACACCGCTGATATGTTCTTTGTAGCACATAATCGATTGGCAATAGACGTCCGCCAACGCTCAGAATGGTGCATTTCGCGGCAGCGTGCGTGGGGCGTACCTATACTCTCCTTACATCACATACCATCAGGCCGCGCGGTGCTCGACGGAGAGAGCCTCAAGCATATCCTCAACATCCTCCAGGAGAAACGCACCAGCTACTGGTGGGAAGGCCCCGTAGCCGAGTTCGTCCCACCCTCGCTGCGTGACGGTATGGACGACAAGCAGCTGGAAGAGACCTGGCATAAAGGTACGGACACAATGGACGTCTGGTTCGACAGCGGCTCTTCGTGGTCGATGCTGGAAGGTTTGTACGCGGACGGGACGGTCTCTGTCACTGGCAGGCGATCTGGCGCAGATGTTTGCTTAGAGGGAAGAGATCAGCACCGCGGATGGTTCCAGAGCCAGCTGCTCACCGCCGTTGCGACTGCCCCAGATGCAGAGGGGAAGCAACAGGCCCCTTACTCTACCCTCATCACGCACGGCATGACTATCGATAAGCGCGGGAAGAAGATGAGCAAGTCGCTGGGGAACGTCATCAACCCTATGGACATCATCCACGACGGCGCGGAGAAAGGCAAACTCGAGTTTGGCCCGGAAGTGCTCCGACTCTGGGCTGCCAACGTCAAGTTCACCGAAGATATGCCAATCCACCTTGCAGTGCTGCAACAATGCCGTTCAATGTACATGAAGACACGGAATACAATGCGCTTCATCCTCGGCTTGATGGAGGATCCGCCTTCCTCTGAGAAGCTCGAACGCGATCGTCTGGGGCTGGTGAGGATTGCGTAATGCAACTCTCGTAGAGGCTCACGCAGTTCCCAAGCTTGAACGATACATTATGCACGAACTATGGAAATTCGAGGATACTGCTTTGAAGAGCTACGCAAGCTACGATTTCGCTAGAGGTATGCCGTCTACCGGAGCGCGATTGTGTCACTGAACCCCCTATAGTGGTCAGCTCCGTTTCAGATTTTCTCATCACCAAGTTGTCGCCTATCTATATAGACGTAAGGAGGGACAGTCTCTACGCAAATGCAAGGGACAGTCCGGAACGCCGTACAGCAATTGCGGTACTGGCCCAGGTGCTCGACACGATGACCAACGTTGTGGCACCCATTTTGCCTTATCTCGCCGAGGAGGTTCATGAGATCTTCTGTCCTGATGGTGCCTCCTTCTTCAGCAAGAATTGGACACCTCTGGTGTGCACTATGAACAGTCGATCGACTATCCATTGTCTCACGTCCGTATGACAGAGTGCGCATTGGAATGATCCCGAGGTCGACTTGCAGATGGGACAACTTTTGCACGTGCGCGCGCAAGTTCTGTCTGTCCTAGAGGAGGCTAGGGAGGCGAAGTATGAGTGTTGTACATCATTATCTCACGCATGACTCATGGTCGTTCTTGTAGACACTTGCGCAGGTCCCCAGAAGCAGACGTCTACCTGACGCTCCCGAATGATGTATCGTCCGAGACTCGTGATGTCATTGACTTGATTCAGAGCCAAGGTGAGCGTTCAGTGGTGGACAATTTCTTGCAACTCATCAGATATGTGCAGTTAAAATGCTTGGAGAAATATGCGTTGTGTCCAACCTATCATTGGATACACAGCCATCTCATCAGCCAGCCTGGCAGTACGTGAGAACGCGAGAACTACCAGGTTAGTAAGGTCCTGAATGTTGATGGGCGTTCACTGACATAGCCGCAGGCGGTGGAGAATTGGGCATCACCATCCGCCCATCTTCCCTGCATAAATGTCCTCGCTGCTGGCTGCATACTAGCGAGGAAGACGGCATATTGTGCCGTAGATGCTCAACAGTCGTTTCGCGTTGAATTCCAAGTCTGGATAGCATATCTGTCGTCATTCACATGGTGTCGTAGCGCTTGTCGTTCTTTTATGGTCGGCAACGGAGACTAGGTGTCGTAATGTAAGCTCCTATTAACTGGCTCCACTCCCTTTGTGACGGGACCTCCGAGAATAGGACGAGACTAGCGAGGTAGGTCGCGGTTTCCACGGTCTACAGCCCTCACTATGCCTGAGACTTGACAAGTTGGAGTGCTGCTCATAAGCTCATGCATATTGCTTAGCATTAACGGCGCCGGTAGGATTAGCGATTTAAGTGAGTTGTGATCCTTTTGTTGCCTGTCATCTGCTGAAGATTATATAGAGTATGATGGTATGCGTCAGTCTGTCCGAATAGATCAGACGTGTTTCGGGAAGTCCCAACAGGGTCCCGCTAAAATTCTTCTGCCTTGCAAACAGCATGTTGCATCTCCACCATTGCAGTGTGAGTATGAGATGAGAGTTGTCCAGCCACAACGAGACCACACTGGTGAGGACGGATTCAGATTTTGCTACGTGCGTTGTCTGAACCGAACAGAGGTATTTGCCGAGTTTATGTCTATTGCCACGCCACTTACAGGAGGGGGTGCTATACAGCGATGTCATGTCTCTTCGCGCCAACACCCACGCGCTGCTCTACCCTGCGTTCTGCTAACCTCTGAGTCTTAGTCGCAATGTGTCCCGCCGTTAACCGAGATAGTTTGGCCTCCACAGATGAATCGGGCTAACTTCATGCCTGATGTCTTGCATAAAGTGCGATGCCGGTGATGAAGTACGACTCCGGCTTGGCAAGGTACGAGACAACGCTGGCAATGACTTCATGGTCTGCCATCGGCATGTTCGTAGGCATATTCAATCGCTGCGAACGTCCCGGTGAGTCTAGATACGACTGAGCCTGCGACACGTTCTCACCTTCTTTGTCGTCGTGCCCCGAGGCAGTCCGAGACGCTCATCCTCGCGTGCGTCCTCATCGTTGTTGACTCAGTGGATACTTGTGAGTCCCAGGTCGAGGACTGCGTTTCATTGTCTACTCACCGATGTTCATGCGGATTGCGCCGGGGGCATAGGCGTTGACAGTAATCTTGTGCGCGGCCAGTTCCAACGCTGCATTGACAGACAGTCAGATGGCGCCTTCATGCGGAATCATGAAGCACTAGCAGCTGCTGCCTCACCTGCGCATTGCGTTAGGCCTCGCACGGCAGACTTGGAGGCGGCGTAGGCTGACAGGCTCGGTATGCCTTCGGGTCGGTCGTACAGGCTACCAGTCAGCCTGGTGTCGGTCTCGATTTGACTGGCTTCCTCTCAACCTGTGTCCCAGCTTGGGAGCACGCACCTGTCGCAAGCAGATTCATTGTGAGCTCGCCTATACAGAGTTGACATGTCTAATCACCGATGATTCTGCCCCCACGACCTTGTTCGACCATCTGCTTCGCCGCGTGCTTGTAGCACAGCATGACTCCCCGGGCGTTGATCGATCCCACTCTTTCACCTCAACTAAAGGAGGCCCATCAGTGATAGTCCATGCCTCAAGGTCCTACACTCACGATCCAACAGGGAGCGAAACCCTGTGATCCCAGCGTTCGCGATCATCTGCGGGCGGCGTCAATTTACCAATGTTATCCGGAACCAATGAATACGACCTACCACATCCAATCCTCCGAGCTGCTCCACAACAGCGGCGACCATCGCTTGAACATTCTCTTCGCTGGACACGTCTCCGGTCACAGCTATGGCTTGACTGCCTGTAGACGATCGTATCTCCAAGGCGACTGCTTCCAATTGAGCGAGCTTGTTGGGGAGGTCGTTCACGGCCACGATCAGACCTTCGTTGGCCAAGCGTGAGGCGATGCAACGTCCTATCCCTTATCCCTTGAGCGGCACCAGTGACTAGGGCGACTCGCTTCGGATTTACAAAGGACCACAATGTCGTGGGGTTGTTGCAGCGACTGGAGTCTCCTGGGATGAGTGTCGGCGTGGCTTTATAGAACACAGATTGACAGATCAGTAAAACAGTGAGTCTGTCCACTTCACCAAATGGCGCGATGATACAAGCCTACCACCCGCTCCTCAGCCTCCCTGGGAGAGGAATTCACCCACCTCACGCAATTCTAGCATTCCCGGTAACTTAGCTCAGATAGACTCAAGCTATTGGAGCCTACGATTGAGTCCACTTTCCTGTAGGAGTAGGAGGCGATCATAGGAATCTCAGTCTCATTCAAGCTCAAGCTCACGCCGGCAATCACATACCAGTTGTATAAAGTTAACCCTCGAGTTTGTTAGACCGAGACACTTTCACATTGCCAGCATACCTGATGGGCAGCATTCATTCAGTCGTAAGTGCTTCTTGTGTCTTATGGTCGGCAACGGAGGCCAGCATTCAAATATTCTTTACCCGCTGGTGGTCGAGGTTTTAGGCGGTCTTGTTGTCTGTTTGGCACCTCTGACACTGAGGCTACTTGTCTGTGCACGTCGGACTAACACATGATCTCCCATCACAATGGGGGTTTTGGAACGCGTCTACGTGACCACAGGGCTTCGCTAGAAACTACGTAACGAATACGAGTATAGCTTTGCGATACTTATCATGCTCGATTGGTGTTACGATCCGAGTGATTTTACAACACTTGCATGTATTCTAGGGCACTCTTGAAGAACCTCTCCCATCTACCGCCGTTCATGGTTCTAAGTCTCTCCCACCCATCTTCGGGGCCTGCGTTTCTGAACCAGACGAAGGCAGCCGCAAGAACAAAGTCAGCGTACCCTGGTCCTTCGGCCGTCCCGAACAGCCATCGATCTCCGTGCTCAATCGTTTCCACAATGGTAGACAGCTCTTCGAGCCCTCCCTCCAGCTGCTGCCATCTCTCCGCCTCGTTCTTTGAGTTGTACATATCATCCAAGTCGATACCTGGAGTGACGGGTCCCTCAATCACAGTCCCGACCAACTGCGCGATTCATGGACATACCGAATATTCCCTTCCTCGAGCCGACATAGTACTCCACATCACGGCCTTGCGGCAGTATCTTCATCGTATTTGGGACGACAATAAACGCCATTGGTATCGCGACCAACTGCCCGATCTTGGCAACATACGACAGTTGAGTTTCTCTACCATGAGGATAGATTGATGGCTCTGGATATGTATCCTCGAGGTAGTCCGCGATAGCGGTTGAGTCGGATATGATGACTGGCGAATCAGTCATGGCATCAACAATTGCCGGTAGAGTGTACAGTGGTTCTGTCGTGCGTGTCGGTGGCGCGCCTACTTCGGTAAGCACCTCGGTGATGTCAGGGTATGCCACCCATTCCGTAACATAGGGTAGTCTCTTGAAGTTCAGCACAAATCTAGGAGCAAAGCACTTTATCAAGGATATGTCACAGAATCCAGAGACATGGCTCGCTCACCTTGTTCTCCAAACATGAGGTGACCATGCTTGTGGAGTCAACGTCGAGCGTATGTCAAACAGTTTGATGGCCTTTTCGCTTGACATATCCGCTCACCAAGATGAGACGCCTGTGAGGGACACCAATCCGCGTCGAACGCAAGATCATACCGTTGAGCTTTATCTATGTGAGAAGTCCGGCGACACCGTGAAACAGCACTAGTCGGGACGCCGGCCGCACTCCTACATTACCGTTTGACAGAAGTGATGCGCCCATTCCTTACGGGAACACAGGTGATTCCCCGCATCAGCATCCATAGAGCTCTATGGAGAGGGTAACCCAGAAGACGCCCTTCTTTGCTTTAGCTATCATACGCAGTGCTTCTCTTGGACGACATCAGGCGCTCGTATGCTCCGGGAACCACTGAGAAAACATGAGTAACCGTGCCGCGGCACCCTGGTAGAGGATATCACCTTGCTGAGGAATTGAGCAGACTCTTTCGGATACCTCTTCTGCGTGGCATAATCGACGTATGTGACACCGAAACGAGCCTCGTACCCGTCCGCCCTGCAACACCCGATCTCTATCAGTCGACCTACGACCCATAGAGGAGCGTACTCCTTACCATTCGAAATTATCGAGCAGGCCTGCAGGCATACAACCATAAGATGCAGAAGGGCTACAGCGCTCGTGAGACTTACTCCAGCCGAAGTACCCTTTGACAGGGACACCGTCTTCTGTCACTGCTTGAAGCATCGCATTCGCGTACCCTTCGAAGTACTCAATGCGATCTTTATCGCGAAGCGCTTCAGAGATGGTCATTTTATGCTCGTCCTTCACAGCAAATCCGTTCTCCGTCACACTGGGACCGAAAGGCCGTTTCAGAAGGTGTTGAGGTGATAAATCCGCGAACATACTAAATCGGCTTTTGATACGTCTGCGCGTATAACGAAATTATGGGAGTGAACACGCGGCTAGACCAACGGACCGAAGACTACCATACCTTCCAGAGGTAGTTGAGTAGCTGTGGAGGCGCATGCGTCAATTTATCAGCCGCATCTGACGTTGCAAATGAAGGACTTACAGATCGAAACCCGGGGGGATCTTGGATGATCGGTCAGCATCAACAACGCCGAGATGACGGAGGCTCTTACAGGTCTGTAGCCAAGTGCAATGCGCTGAGTGAGATAAGATTCGGCGTCTCAGAAATGTGCGACACTGACCACGCATATGTTCTTCGCACCTACGGTCCCTAGCTGGGTTCCATCCGGGCGTGTGTGACCAACAGTGATGTAGCCATTTGTTTCGTCGGTCCCACCCTCCTCTGTGGTGATTCCATGGTGTCTGTCAGACGCATCGCCTGTTTGAGGGAAACATCACTTACGGACGAGCTGCGAGGTATACGTGTTCAGGCCGAAGAAGTCGGATGAGCCTTTGACGACGGCTAGTTCCTCCTCTGTGAACTCAGGAAGGCGATCGTCAATTATCTTCTTCACTCGTTCGGGATAGTACCCTTTATAGATGGGATCCTGGCGGCACAGGTTGGATCAAGATATCAGCCAAGTGATTAGAGGCGACTGGTGCCTACCGCAAATCTGCCTGAATGACCGCGAGCTATGAGTAAACAGTGGGCGGGCCTGAGGGTTATGGCAATATACCGAGTTTGAAATCAATCCCTTTCTTGGCAGCTTCGATGTCTGCATTACCAATTGATACGATTTGTTGCGTGTAATTCATAGCATATACGCACTCTCCGGAGAGTCATCATATGGTATCTGCCAGTGGCAGTCCAGTGTAATGCCGATTTGGCCGCCTTGGACGGGTTTGTACTGTTCACGATATAGCTTCACAGCATACGCGTGCGCCAGTATTGCATTGTGGGCCACACTTCAGTAGAAGTCAGAGGCCCCGCGGAGTGGCAGAGGATGATGACGCGAAGCTCACATCCACGGTTCCGTGTTACTCTCGTGTCCAGGTGCGAAGACGCCCTTCTGATATCCAAGGCAAGATATGACCCACGGTTCGTTGTGCGTTATCCTGCGATGTGAGGAGGGTCAGATAGATGAGACGTCGTACTAGTAGTCAAGCGTTGGACCACATACCAGTTCTTCACGAGATGACCAAAGGAATCGAAACAAAGCTGACAGACCGGATCGTAGATACCGAGTAGATAGCTTGTATTAGTTCGCACCACGACGCACCTTCGCATAGTTGACGTAGTCCTTGACAATCTCCTCCTTGTCCAACCAGCCACCGTACCGGTCGTGCAGTCCCTGCGGCAAATCCCAATGGTAGAGTGTCTAGCGCGCGCTATCAGCCGCACCCTCCCGACGGTCATTCGACATACTGACCACATAAGGCGTGATACCGTTCCTCAACAGCTCTTCGAGGAGCGACCGATAGAATGCGATGCCCTCCGGGTTGACGGGGTCGTCCCTTCCGCCCAACGGGATCATCCTTGACCAGGAGATCGAGAACCTGTAGGCCTTGACGTTGTACGACTTCAGGAGCGCGACATCCTCCTTGTAGAGGCGGACCGAGTCGGTCGCTACTTCGCCGCTGGAGCCGTCGCGGATCTTGCCCGGAAGCTTACAAAACGTGTCCCAGATGGACGGTCCGCGACCACCTAAGGAGGCTGAGCCCTCGATCTGGTAGCTCGCTAGAGACGGATGCACGACGTGAGCCTGCTGACTTTGAAAGTAAATGCGTACCCGTTGCGAAGCCCCAATCGAAGTCCGACGGAAATTGTGCCATGGAGTTTATTCAGTCGAGCGGGAGGCGAGGAGAGTGGTGACTACGTCCCAGACACCGTCTTATAACTCACCGCAGCAGCTGCATGCCAACGTCAAGTATAGTCGCGAGACATGAGCGGACACGGGGTATGGTCATACAAGTGTTGTTCCCGAGCTTTTGCCGAGAGCGGAAAAGCGGGTGACCCGTACTATCCCGCAGCAGGAGGCTTTCATACTTCGAGAGGGTCGAAGTTTAATTGACGATGCACATTGAATTTCGCCTTTCGTCAGATGGTTATGCAGCTCTGAGACAATTGCACTCTATCGATACAAAAAGTAGTTCATGCTGCAGATCCACGGACGATCAGTCAGTCATATTCCAAAACGGAACGTTCAGAGGCGCGTACCTTAGTCTACAACTGCCGTTTGCTCTTGTACAGACTTTCAATTTGTGTGTACTTTCCACACCTTCACCAATCCGTCGTCACCTGCTGTAGCGAACACATCTTCGTACCCATCTCTTGGGCACCACACGACGCTGTTGACATCGGCAACATCGTGTGCGGAGGGTAGACGCGCGATCACCTTGTCCGAGAGTGTGCTCTTTCCACCGCTCTCACCGGGTGTTGTAATCTGTTACCATACCGTCAGAGTACCCCATAGCAAGCCAGTTTGCCCACATACACTGAGTTCCCGGACGAGAATAAGTCCATCGCCGCCCGTGCTCGCTAGCCAGCCGAGCGACCCTTCGCTTGTAGCCTTTCCCTTCCCCCAGCTGACGGAGTAAATGCTGCGCTCATGGCCCTCCAGCACCTCCACGCACTCCCACTGGTGCTCCTGCACGCGCTCCCAGATGCGCACTGTGAAGTCGTCCGAGCCTGACGCGAGGAACCTGCCGTCGGGCGAAAAGGCGAGCGACCACACGGTCGACTGGTGCCCGGCGAGCGTCGCGAAGCAGTACCAGTCCTCCGAAGGGTCGTCTAGATAGAGCTTGATGGTGTCGTCGTACGACGCGGATGCGAGGACCTGCGCTGGTGGGGCGCGCCTGGTGAGCGGGGGCACGTGCGGAGGGCGGGGAGAGGTCGATGACTGACCTCCTCTGTGGGGTGCCAGGCGACGCACTTGACGTCTTGGGAGTGTTCCATGAGGACGCCCATGCACTCGAAGTCGTAGTCCGGGTGCACTTCACGAGCCAATGCGTCAGTCAATCAGGATCACACTGCACAGGAGAATTGGGGCACCTTCCCAGACCCATACTGTCTTGTCCCTGCTACAGCTCGCCAGAAGATTTCCTCCCGCCGAATATGCAACGGTCTTGCACTCCGTCTCATGGCCCTCCAAGAGACTCATGCATTCCCACTCTCCGTTCCCTCCCGTGAGATCTTCGGCGTCATCTTCGTCTTCCTGCGCCCAGATACCGATGTTCGAGTCGAAGGACGCCGTAGCGAGCGTTTTCCCCGATGGTGACCAAGCGATCGACCGTACTGTCTTTGCATGCCCGGTCGGGATGGTCGTACTGTGCGAGAACACTGGCTTGCTTTCCCCTTCGCCTTCTGTAGACGAAGTCGAGTGATAGTGATACATCCGCACCGTCTTGTCCGCTGAGCATGATGCTAGTATTGGTCGCTTAGGATTCCACGCGACATGCCAGGCGCGATCATCATGACCTGCACGGCGCCCTCAGTATCTGCAGCACGGATTTTGCGGTGGATGTACGAGACCTTCTAGCTGCGCGACGAGCTGAATATCCGCAGGGGATTCGTTTTCTGTCATTGATAGTATTTGAAGCCGAAGTCGGTGGGCAGCGTTGACTCGGACTCTGGCCTCGACAGCAAGCGGACGGCGGTCGATCCTAAACGTCACGTGCCGACATCTTGCAGCGTTAAGATTCCATCTGTACTGTACGCCGAGCGCTGTTGCCAGTGCCAAGCCGTTGCTTCTCGCCGCCGATGTGGCCATGGTGGCAAGGAATCAAAATTACACAATGCATAGCTCTTTACCGGTAAATTGAACTTATTGCAGTCGATTTCCAGCCTGCAAGTCAAGAGAAGACAGCAGGATTGTTCCCAGTCACTGCCACTACGGTGACGAGTCGACTGTCAATGCAGCATGGAACGCGCCACGGCCTCATCTACAGATGTCCGAGTTGGCCGATCTGCTGGAGCGTACGGTACGTATGGTGCATGTAGACCATACGGTACCGTGCCTTACCTGTCAATCATCTCGCCGAGGTCCGCGAAAGGGCCTCACGCGGGATTCGTAATTTCACATCTGACTTTGGATGGTGCCTGTATTATGTGCGATGAGATCGAGTTAGCGTTGTGTGGTAACGGTAGATACGGCAGAGGATAGCTTGCTACAGGGTACTTCTAACAGATAGTTCGGGGCTATAAGTTAGTTATCACAATACAGTATTTAGTGGTGACATGTCCTCGACGCGAGGCGATATAAAGACACAATACACATACAGCCATGTCCGCTGGGAAGTGTAGGTCCATTTGGAACTGCCGATCACGGAGGTCCCGGGCTCAGATTCGCTCGTACATGCAGATGTACGCTTTCGCCTTCAGCACTTCCTCAATCGTCGTCAACCGCACAACAGTGTCGCTGATATACGCCCACTGCCTCGGCGGAGATTGCTGATGTTTCGCGCCGTGTCCATGTTCAGTGCCGGACGCAGATGCCGCCCCAGGCGTCGGCGGCTCTGCAGGAGGCGTACTCGGGGGGCTGGTTGCGAAATGCGAGGGCGGCAGCGCGGTGTAGGCGATGTAGTGGCCACCGAGCTGGGAGCATACGTACGTCAGCGACGATGCCTCCCAAAAGCAGCGAACCCAAATTCTGATACGCACCATGTTCCCGATGTGGACGACCACGGCATAGAGGCGGTACATGCACCGGCGCTGCTCCTTGTCCGTATGTCTGACCTTGACCTTCCCGTCCTCGTCCAATCCGTAGTCTTCTCTGCGCGGCGCGAGATACGGCCCGATGTCGAGGAACTCCGGGAAGGAGACGTACTCGTCCACTTTCTTCACACCGCTGGCGCCGGAGAACGACACGCTGTACGTTTTCGACGTCTGCTGGAACCGTTTGAGATGGACGACAAGGATGGGTGGCGCGTCCGCGATGAGGTAGCGCTTGTACATCCGCCGCAAGATCACCTGCTTCGACTTGGAGATCTTGGGCGACGTCGGCCCAGCCTGCGCATGTTCCGGGGGCCCCGTACCGGGGGGTCTGGCAGTTGGCAAATCATCTGTCGACGCGCGCGGAGACTGGGCGGGCGAGACGGAGATGGATGGCGCGGAGGTCGCATCTGAGTACGCGGACGTGCTCGCGGAGACGTCAGTGTCAGACTCATAGCTGCTGGCCGACGTATCGCTCTCGGCATCGAACGCGTCCGGCGTCTTCGAGCGACGTCTGCCCCTCGGCGTGAGCAGATCATCGTCTGACGGGGAGGCACCCGGGAGTTTGGCTGGAGGTCTGCGGGGCGTGCCGCCCCCTTCTGATGCTACATCTTCCGTAGAGGGCGCGGAACGCGACGGCGACGACTCCGGTGCAGTCGTCGAGATCGACGGAATAGGCAGACCACCGTACGTGATGGGCTTCGTACGGCCGACGAGCCCCGTCGCGTGCAGCCTCTCCAGCCTGTCCCCATCGCTCGTAGCGCGGGACAGACCTGTAGACACGGTCGTCGGCGCAGATACCACGGACGTGTTATCAGACAGCCCATCCGAGAATGAGGTAACACTCTGCGTACTGTGGAGCGCGGATGTTGACGCAGGCGATACACGACCGTCGCCCGACAGGTCTGGTGAGGAAGGGAACGTCTCAACGGACGCGGACGCAGTGTCTTTCTGAGCTATCACAGAATCGAAGTCGTCGCGCTTGTCCGACGAACCGCTGTTACCACTGTCCTCGTTCTCGTCTTCACCGTCGCTTGCGGCTTCGTCGTCGTCGTCGTCCTTCGTGACGCTGGGTCTCTTGGGCTTGTACAAGCCATGCGCGATCTTCCAACAGCGATGGCAGCCGACCATGTTTTCGCCGTCAAGGATCTCAACAGCCGTGAACATCCGGAGGCACTCCTCAATTCCAGGGAGGTGTCCCATCTTTGTCAATACTGCATGTGCAGCGGCAGTGTGCGTCTGCCCATTCGCGATAGCCTGCTGAAGCGCCGCGAAGGGGTTGTTAGACGCGACGTGCACGTCAGCTAATAGCTGCCGCAGATATGCTTGCTCCTCCCGTGACGGCTTTGGGGGACGCATGCTCTTCTTGCGCTTGGCCTTCAGCCCGGTAAGACGCCGAATGTTGTGCGCGCGTGGATTTGAGGACGCAGCCGTGATTGGCGGATTAGAGAGAGGCGATGGCGTAGGGGACGCGGAGCCGAGACGCATCCTCGCAGTGTCGGACTGATCCCCGGCATCCGAGCCACTGTCGTACGCACTGCCCAGGCTGGCTACGGACGTGCGCACGACCTCCGTTTCTGGAACGCGCGCTGGTGTCCTATCGGCTTCCCGATCCTTGTCCTTGTCTTTCTCTTTGTCCTTGTGCCGGACCTTCCGGCCACGCTCGACAGATCGACTGGGGCTACCCGGGTCCAGCGCCTTCATGCCCATCCGCACCGACACACTCAGCCGCCTGCCGAGCCGGCCCCACGGGTCGGCCTTGTCCTTCTTGCCCTCCTCACCCTTCAGGTCGGACTCCTGCTCGTCCTTCTCGTCGCTCGCCTCTGCACCCGCCTCCGTGTCGTCGACAGCAGCGGACGGCGGAGACCCACCTATGGGCACCATATCCTTCACCTCGTCCAGCGCCTCCTCGTGTGCCACCTCCTCGCGTCCAGCATCCTCGCCCGTCGTGTGCTCGAAGCTCCTCCGCCGGGGCCCCTCGTTCGTTGGCGGCTCCTCCTCTTCGTGCGTGGGCGTCTCGATGCTGCGCCGAAGGCGGTCGGTCGGTGGGACCGACGATGAGCGTGGGCCCGGCTGCCGGAACGGACCCCTCAGCTTTCGTGCGAACTGCTTGAAGCGGTCACGCTTCCGGTCCTTGGAGTAGTCCTCCGGCTTGATGCTCAGGCTGAGGTCGTTGAACTCCTCGTATGTTAGCGAGACCTTCTTGCACTTCTCGCAGACGAGGATACTGGCGAGGTGGCCGCCGAAGAGCATGTCCACGAAGGATTGCAGTTTCTCCTCACCGGCGTCTGTCAAGGAGGCTGGTGGCAAGGTACGCTTGCGGCGAGGACGCCTGCGAGAGTCCTTCAGCGGAGGAGGTTGCCTCTTCTTGATGACCTGCGGCTAGTTATGGCCATACCGTGTAAAAACGGGAGTGTGTCCACTCACGTCTAGCTCCTCCATACGCATCGCATCTAGCATATGTCTGAGGAATTCATGCGCGTCCTGTTGCCGGAAGTCCATATACTGGTCGTACTTCTTCCCGATGGTGAAGAGCACTTCCCTACATATGTAACAGTCAGTCTCCATTGGACATTGATCCTGTGTACGCACTTTGGGCTCATAGTCTGCCGCGTACGACTCTCCTGGATATCCCACGCTTTCCTCATAACGTCGATGAATACGTCTCCCAGCGGCATATCCTCCACCCACGGCTGGTCGTCCTCGCCTCCCAGGCCATGCCCGTTCGTCAGTTGCGGTGACCGCTTTGCTACGATCGAGGAACCGAACGTGTTCTGTACAGCTGGCGGAGGTGCCTGGAACTTGACGAGGGTGTGTAGAAGCTCCGTTGCCAGTAACTGGTGCCGGAGATGTTTCAGCGGTCGATGTTCCATACGGAATGACACAACATGGGTGGCTAGCGGCGATCGTACTCACCCCTTGTAGAGTCGAGTTCATAAAACATGTGTTCCCATGATTGATGAAACCTGGCGGTAGCCTCGCGTCCTTCTCCTGCTCCTCCCTCTGCTTCCGCGCCCGGTATAGATCTTGCGCGGTCGGTTGGTGCTTCTTCTTCATCATCTTGGTGGATGCAGACAACGAAGTATTGAAGAGTAAAGATATCGGCTGGGTGCTGCCAGAGTCCGAGAGCCGGAGAACGTCGTCGAGATGGTATAGGAAAAGGTTGCTGGCTAAGCCTAAGGCCCGAGCAAGCTAAGCCGCTGGCGCCGGCTGCCAGGAGAAGATGCTCGAAGCGGCCCTTAATCGAAAGCGGGTCCCTGATGGGTCACTTGCAGGCTGATCAGCCAATTCGTGCTTTTATCGACCTCCGCTGCGGCGACGCTGGCGACAGTGAGGAAGCAAAGTAAGGCGATGACTGGAATGCAACTGCGCTCGCAGGTCGCTCAGGATATTCGGGCCCCGGGGAATGCACGGGGCACCTTTGGGGCACCTGCCAGGCCGCAGAAGCGCTGCTTTAATGAACTCACGTGGTGCTAAGTAACAACGTGTTACGTGTAACAGGGGCGGGTAAGTGACGTACTTATCGCCCAATAGTAGCGCCAGTATGCTGTTTTACTGTACTTACGCGGAACTGTAAGTGATCCGGAATGCAGAAATCAAAATCTTATCTAATCTCCTGCACCGCGGGCACAGGTCTGCAGTGTATCCCGAGTCATGATCAGTGACTACGAGCAGAGCTTTCTCGCGGCGAACCAGCAACCGCTGCTTGTCCTCCTCTACCATATTCTGTGGGCGAGAAAGGCGGGTAGACCGACAAGACTTCGAAAATGACTATCCTCGGCCTCGCACCGTCGCTGTACCCCAAGGCGCCCGCGCACTTCGACATCGAGAAGGTCATCCGGCCGAACATCCTCTCACTGCACCCATACCGTTGTGCGCGAGACGACTACTCGGAGGGTATCCTCCTGGACGCGAACGAGAACGCTCTTGGACACTCCATCCCCCGCCCGAACGGCGATGCGCGCCCAGACACCTCCGAACTAGATCCCGAGCTGCAGTCGACCCTCTCGCTTGACCTGCACCGTTATCCGTCGCCGCGGAATGACCCCATCCGGGAACGTCTTGCGTCCATGCGAGGGCTGCCAGGCCCTGAGTACGTCTTCCTGGGCGTAGGCTCGGACGAGGTCATCGACCTGCTCATGCGGGTGTGCGTTGCCCCCGGGCGAGAGAAGATCCTCACTACACCGCCGACATACGGCATGTACGCCGTCTGCGCGCAAGTGAACGATGTTGGTACCGTGAAGGTGCCTCTTGAGCTTAGCGGAGAGTTTGGCGAGGGTGGGGAGCGTGGCCGGTTCTCGGTCAATGTCGAGGAGGTGTGAGACGCCTCGCTGCAGTGCTACCTTGCTCACGACCAACTGACGGTCCACGCAGATCAAGAAAGCGGTCGACGCGGATCCATCCATCAAGCTCATCATGTTGTGCTCACCTGGAAACCCGACTGGCACGTTGATCTCTCTCACCGCGCTGCAGGAGCTGCTGGACTACGACAAGTTCAAGGGCATCGTCGTCGTAGACGAAGCCTACATCGACTTCGCTGGAGAGGGCAGCGCAGTGCCGCTGCTGCACGACTACGCCAATCTTTGCGTCATGCAAACGCTCAGCAAGAGCTTCGGGCTCGCCGCTATTCGGTCCGTCGAAATTGACCGTGCCTCCCGCGAGCCGCACTGACCCCTGACAGATTGGGCATGGCCTTCGCCCACCCTGCGCTTGTGCAAATTCTCATGAACACGAAGGCGCCGTACAATATCTCGGCTCCCACTGCGTCCCTGGCGCTTTCTGCGCTGTCGCCGCCCGCCGTCTCGGCGATGAGCGCGAAGGTCGCGAGTCTTGTGGCGCAACGCGCGGTTCTGCTCAAGGGCCTTGCCGAGCTCGCGCCCCTGGGCTTGGGCCCCGCGATTGGAGGCAATCACGCGAACTTCGTCGTGGTCCCTGTATTGGAGAAGAGCGGGTCGAGCCAGCCGGATAACGCGCGTGCACAGCTGATATACAAGACGCTCGCAGAGTCCGAGGGTGTCGTCGTCCGATACCGGGGCAGTGAGCCAGGGTGTGCGGGGTGCCTTCGCGTCACTGTGGGGAGCGAGGAGGAAAACGCAGTGGTACTGCGCAAGCTCCGGGAGATGCTGGAGAAGATGTGAAGACGCTGAATTTGTGGTGCTGTACACGAGCTGCCCCTGGCCGACCTGAACTTGTCCTAAATTATCCTTTTGCGTTCGATCACAGTGTCAAGGAATTCGATGAGCACATGCTCGTGGCGACCACAGAATCGCCCGAATCGGTTATTCATCAATATGGGCGTCAGGCGCCCAGCAGGGCTGTGAAAGATTTGCCGTACTTCATCGGAAAGAACGACAGAACCGAGTAGCGAACTAGTGCAGGAAGCTTACTCGACGTGGAGCATATGATAATTGCCGTTCGTCAAGTTGTATGTGTGGACGAGCATGAGGGCGCAAATTGATGCAGTGTGAACTTTGTTCGAGATTCGAACTGACGCTTTTGGGGCCACTGAGGCAATTGGAGAACAGACGAAGGTAACTCGGAGATCACTTGTAGATCACAAATCATAGATCCATTCCCTGTCTCTGAATCCGTTTCGCTCGTCCGGCTTGAGCGGAGACCAAGCGAGACACGCACCATGTGCCATGACCTCGAAACTAGCGGGTCAATGCCTCATGCACATATGCGTCCATGAAGCGGTCAATTACCCTACTTGAACGAGCATACCAAGCATAAACCTGCAGTGTCTGTACATCCGTCGTGGGTCAACGAATACCACGATCATGATCGGTGATGTCGAATTTGAGGGTGCTTGTAGAATCATCGTGGGTCCACCGGAAGCATAATGGCAAATTGCGTAGTAAGTATATGCATTGACGTGCCGGCGGAGTACAGGTTGATCCCGCCTGAGCTGGATCTCCGGGATCTCGAATTGACATTGACAAATAAAGCAAGGAGGGACCGTCATGTATGGATTCGAAGCTTTAGACTACGGCTACATGTGAGTGACCGAAAGCGCGGGAAAGAGACTCTCGGGTGGAGACCCCCCGTCATACGAGGAATGCTGCAATACTACACAAGAAGCAAGAGAATCGAAGAGGGTACGGCGAATAATATCCGTGAGGGAAAATCGGAATAGGACGTGAGCAACCCAAGCATCAAGGTGCACAAGATTCGGTCCGATGCGGCGCTCAAACAGTGTCGCAGTGCTCGCGGAGATGGCGAAGCAGAGCATCATTCCTCGCAAAGGTCCCTCCGCACTGAGGGCACTGCTTCTTCGTGCTTCCAAGATGCACCTGCGCCACATGCTTCCCCATGCTCTCGTAGTTCATGTCGTCGCCCCGACAATTCGTGCCCCAGCTGCACCGTCCGCGGGCCCGCGCCTGCCAATTTCCGCGGAAATGATAGCTTCGCAGGTGTCGCGCGATTCCCGCCGGAGTAATATCGTCAAGTGCGACCCCGCAGGAGCCGCCGTCCCACTCGCAAAGCGTGAGACGTCCCGGATAGATGGACAGTTGTGCCTGGGGTGTGTAGGGTTGCTGGGAACCTCCACCATAGCCCTGCATCATCTGGCTCGTCGAGTTCTGGGAAGGTGGCTGATCGTGATAAGATTGGGTAGTACTATTTCATACCTCCGTGTCAGACTGCGACCAGTGCAAATCGCAACTCGCCAACATACCTCCGATCCATTGGCATCGGTGCGTACAGTCCTGGTTGGCCTGCATGCCAACCAGTGCTGTATGAGCCATGTCCGCATGGTGTTGGAGAGAGCCTAGCAGAACCGAGACATGAATGACAGTGCGCTACACGAACGAGAGGACAACTGACTGGGGCGATAATGTGTCGTAGGAGGTGCCAGTGTACGCAAATTCATACTCCTGCATGATGTACTGACCCACATCAGCAGTAGGGGTGTTCGACGAGAGGGGCGCCCTGGGGGACAGATGTCAGCCAAAGCCATGGGTGCCACTGGCAGGACGGCGAGGCACTTACGAGTAACCACTGCCCGCGTCATGCATAGACGGGGAGGTCGCGTATGGGGAGTGTGCTTGGTTCGCACTGCTTGGCGGGTACCCACTGTCATTGCTGCCATAGGCACCGTTGGCTGGAGGTATGCTGCTCAGGCTGCTGTGGTAAGGGTAGTACATGTCGAGGCTCGATGGAACTTGCGATGAAAGGAGCTCGGCCCACTTGGAGATTTATACTGGCCTACACCATGGTCTATGTAAAGCAACTCTTGTTGTCACTGCCGACGATGACATTATGATCGGCCGTTTCAACTGTAATTCCAAATCCCGGATCGAGGCGCAGGGAGCGCGGCTACTAAGGAGGAGGTCATACTGGACCTGGACAAATTGACGCCTGACAGTCTCAACGAACTTATGGAAGCCTGCCATCAGTCATCGATCTTCTGAAGTTTTCTTTCAGGCCCTCGCACGCTGCCAGCCACACAACCTCCTCCGGCTCCATAGACAGAATCCCTCCCAAGGTGCTTTAACAAGAGACCGGTGCCCAGCTGGAGGCGTAAACCGTATCCGCGATAGCACTCAGTTACATGAGGTCGAGAACATCGATAGAGTCACAGCTCGGAGGCAATTCGCGCACGACCATATACGGTGATCCGGCTTGCAGACAGTTGTCATGGCTGTGTGAGCGACATGAAAGCAGTGTAGATGTGTAGCAACGCTCACTACCCTCTCGGGCCGATCGTAATCGCCTAGAGCGTGACATTGGAGAGGTCCTCCTGAGGCAGACACCTGCCAAGCCTTTTGGGAGCGACAAGTGGACAAAAGCAACGAGTGGGCCATGTGCGCCTGCGATGGCTTACAGAGAGTCGGCGCTAGTCGTATAGCCCCTGTGGCTGGGTTACGTACCAACTTAATGTTCGCTCCAGTTTCAGTGTTGTCCAAACGGCACCATTATTTGCTCTTTGCCGACATAGCTGGCTGATGATGTCATCCTCAGATGCCGCTCTTAGCAGGAAAATATGTTCCTGAGGACGAGCGGCTCAGCCAATTCCATAAAATTCAGTATCAAGGCCGCACTTTGCTTTCTGAGCCACATTCCATGTGCCTTGTAACCCGTCTTTGTGGTAGCGAAAGTGATCTCAACGCAAGTATGTAGGCGTGTTGAGGACGCAATGTCTTGTCTGGGGGGCGTCATGTTTGATGGCGGCGTCTGGACTGTTGCAGCCATCGAGTCCGGAGGGAAACACGGAGCGCGGCAAGCTTGGCCTATGCTTGGACATGGGCGAGCATTCAGACTGTCGGCAGACGGACGATGCTGTGAACTTGTTATCTGCTTGAGCGTGCCCTCGGCCTTCGGAGTGCACAGTCATTTGTGGAGGTTCGAAATTTGTGGGCGAATGAATTGGACAGCGATGCCTGTTCGAGATCTGCCGAATGTTGATCCGTGTCGTCGCAGCGGATATGCTGACAGCAGTGGAACACACCGGTTAACACGAAGATACCTCACCTGTAGTCTGTACAAGCACGGGGCTTTTTGCTAAAAGGGGTCGCTCTGCAAAGGCTAGACCGCGTGACGACATATGAGTGCCTTGAATCATTCACCATGGTTCACATACCACACGCACATGGACCGTCGAGTCGTTACATGTGTACTTCCCGGCACCATTGGTGGCTCCTTTGCACCGCGCTGCCATTGGTTACACGCCCTGGAGACTATGATTCAAGGATATTCCAGCATCGTGCAGGCCATACCCGCGGAGAATGGAGAAGCGCGAGGGGGAGGGGGCATATGTCTGAGACAATGACACGGACCTCGCACGTATGTTCTGCACTTGCGACATACGAGCATAAACAGAGCATTTCACCGGACATCCGCGCCTCCTCAGCGCCAGCGAGTGAATAACGATGCATTTGAGTCTCCAGACCCGATGACATCGGCCGGTTGGCCTCTGCAGCACTGGTCCTTTGGGAAGTTGAAGTATGTGGGAAACATAGCACCTAAGCGGACGATGGCCCTGAGGCGTCGTTAAGCCCATTCACTCAGGGAATGGAAACAGGTCGTCGAATACCCTGAAATCTTTCGCGAACTCACCGTCTTCGAAATTAGAGGCCACCATTCGTTCGCAATGTTGAGCGTGTCGCCCCCCTCTTCCGTGTCGTCTTGACGTGAGCCAGAAGGGCACTGGCCCGGGAAAGGGCCATGACAGCAGAACCTCCGGGACAAGTTGTGCATCCGTTGACTCGCGAAAATCACCTGTAAGTGTACCACGGCCAGGTTTCACCTGCATCCTGCACCCGTTCAGACGTGGAATTCACGAAGCTGTGTAAGCTGAGGACATACCTTTACCCAGTCTATGTATGTCGAGCCCGTCAGATGTCCGCGCGCGGAAAGTGAGCCCCTTCGCCGCGGAACGGGGCAGCTTGAGACGTGATTGTGCTCCTCTTGTCGTCATAACTTGAGCATTGCCCGTCTGCAGCAGTGAATGAGTAAGTGGTGGGCGCGGCCTGCTTTGAACTGAGCGTCAGTAAGTACCAGACGCCTATCATAACTTGCTCGAAATTGAGCGCTGAGCGCAGAAAGGCTGGCGCGCATGAGCATGACTATGATCCCGCGAGTGAGCTGAGCGCCGTACCTATTTATTTTCCAACGAAGTGATGGGCCTGCCACTGCGCGACACCGCTACGGGGCGCACGCACGAACATTCGTCGGGCGTGTCGTGATGCGGCGGTGGCAACTTAAACAACTTAATAGTTGGAGCTGGAGCCGGAGGCGGTGGCGGGGGATCGAGATTACCTCAGACGCCTCGGCAATCGCCGCGACAATGAGTTTGCGCGGACACTCAGGCTACCCCATGTACCAAGTGCTATCGACTGCCAAGTATGTTACTGACACTACTTATCGAGACATCCGAGGGCAGCAGGGTATGTGGCGACCGCTCCCTGTGAGCCGCCGCAACGACGTTTTTCTACACCTTCAAAATCAATCAAGGTATACGACTTGACCGCAAAGACGACATCTGTAGGGGAATTCCACGACTAAGGACATATGCTACTACAAGTACACTATTTACACCATGGCGGCTAATTGTCCTAGATCACATACACACTGGGTATCTGCTCCAATCACAGGGGCCGCAAGTTCCCAGAGAAGTCGACGGACCTACACAGCAAATTGCGAAACACAGCAAGACGACATAACGAATCACACAAAACGCAAGTAGTCCGCCGCATCCTCCAGTTAAAACCTGTTGATGAGCATAAGCAGAATGCACCATACGCGCTGAAGTACCACAAAGGACGGAACGTACCGGCCAAATTACGGCACCTCATTTCTTCTCCGCGCGGCTGCTGCGAGGGCAGTAGTTCTTGATGTGGCGTTCAAGCGAATCCGCCCTGCCCAGGTTCTGATGGCAGTTCGGGCAGGGCCTCGCAGTACTCTGAAGGTGCACTGCCGCGATGTGCTTCCCGAAGCTCGCGTAGTTCAGGTCTTTGTTGCACACGCCGTCCGCCTCCCACCACTTGCAGTGGCCCCGGTTCTTTGGGTGCCACGGCGCCGATTGGTCGCGGAAGTGGTGCTCCTTGAGGTGCCGCGAGATCCCGGATGGGGAGAGGTCGTCGAGGGGGATCCGGCAGTCACTCCCCCAGGCGCAGGGCGTGTAGTGGCTTGATGCGAGAGGGCGGCTCATCCCTGCGGGAGGTCAGAAACATGATGAAAACTAACTGAGACGAAGACGCGCACTCGAGTGGATTCTCGCCGGTTGTATCGATGATGATTGCAGGAACTGACTATTGAAGGCTGCCTCGGTGTCATTGTGTCCCCATGCAGCATAGTGGGGATCGAAGACGGCGGGACCGGGGTCTAGGTGATAACCAGAACCGTGGTGGCGGAGGGGAAACTCGTCTTGTGGCGAAGCGTAGTAGCTCGACTCGCCGTCGGAGGGGCCAGGCATTGTAGGAAGGTAACCACTTCATACTATCGTCAGCCATGCGGTAAGAAGCCGGTCATGCGGATGTATACGCACGGGTCAGCTATGGGATTGGCATGCATGTATACGTTATTCGGCTCCTCCCATGGACGTGCCATGGAAGGTACATGGGAGCCGCTACTGTACTCCTCGTTCGGCGACCATGTCGCTCTGAGTGGGTCAAAACTCAATGCCAGGGAACCAGTCAAGCACTATCAAGACACTCACGGGCCCAGCTCGCCGATTCGTGTGTCGTGAACCTCGCCTTCGCAGACACCGTGGCGCATCGCGAGCTCCGGGTCTTCGAACGCGACCACGTTGTCCTGACCAATCTTGAGTGAGTCGTACAGCGTGTCCATCTTCTCGACGGAAGACTGTGTGGGCGAAGCTCTGATGACTGAATCTACGCTAGGCGATGTGTCTGATCTTCGAGGGGCCACAAGGAGACACAGAGGCGGAGGTCGGCGGGAGCGAGGTGCGCCGATTATATGTAGTGTGGCTCTATAAGATTCCAAAAGGTACCGCTATCCTCACGCTGAGTGCGCGCAGCGGGAATGGCAAGGACGCTCGGATGTCCTGGAAGCAGAAGGATATATGAGTCCGAGGGTGGACAGTGAGTCCGGCGCTAGAGGTGTGACGGTGCAATCATGTCTATCTTGGGAATGCTGGACCGCAAGTGACCCGCGGGCGACCGCCCATAAGCGAACAGATGGCTTGCAGATAAACCTCATCTTAGTACAACCCACATAATAGGGCGGGGCCCGAACCTGGAACGTGCCATCGTGGATGGGAAGCTTGAAGCCAAGCGCTGTGCTACCGACTATAGGCCAGCCGCGTGCGTGGTACGCCATGCCGAATCAATTTCCAGCCGGCCAAATCAACTATTAGCTGCTCTTTACGCAGCGCAAATGAGGCTTGGATGCCCTCAGGCTGGCCAAGCGCTGAGTTGGCTGAGGAGCGGGAGAACAAAGTGCGGAGGCGTCACGTAAGGATGGGTGCGCCCGCGCTCCGCCCGAAGCGAACTTCCTCTGCCAGTGCTTGATTTCCCACGTGCGGTCTGGGAACATATCCACAGGCATCGATGATATTTCGGCACAGTAGGCCCACTGGCCCAGCACGCGGCGACGCACGCAGGGCGGCAGCGTGAGGCGGGGTCTCATGATCCGGGGCTGCCCCATTGACCCTTGACCCGGGCCATTCGATACCAAACCGAAGCTATAATCAAACATACCACACAATTTCCGCCGTGAATTGGTGCATAAGCTTAGGCGCGGGCGAAGTCGACTGCGGGTGGGCAAAAGCACCTGCGGCACTATCTAGACCGAGTGGTGACTGGCACGAGGGGGGACTGGTGGGCTGCTGCTACTAGTACCACTGTCAGGGTAGCGCCGTTGAAGCCGTATCGAACATGGGCCTGTCGGTGAATTCCAGAGATTTGGCAGTACACCGCCAGGCGTATTTGGATAAGCAGCGCGCTGTGATTTACTTACGGTGGGATTGGCGACTCGGTGGCTACGGCGGGACCGCAGGATTGAATTTATTGGGCGCGCTGGAGTGGGGCGGCGAGCGTTCTGCGTTGTCCAAGACGGTCGGGGACGAAGCAGTACGTCAAGGCGTCAGGCACTATCAAACCGGCGGGCAATTGCGTTCTACTGGCTGGCTGTGAAGCGTACACACGTGCATGGAAGGCTTACGATCGTCTTACCTCCCTTGGGATCGACGTGCATCGTTCACAGCGGCACATCCGCGGTGCGCCACAGGCTCCAGCGTGATCTCCGCGAGAAAATGCAGTTACAGAAGCAGGAATGGAAGAGAAAAGGTATTAAAGAGGACGTGCTGTGTAAGATGGGCTCCGTGAACTGTCTGATGCGCCCTGCGCGGTCACCCACAAGCTTTGTCCGATAATTTGCAGACTGTCATAGAATGGAGAGCGAGGGTCGTCTCACCCTTCACAGCGTCTCTTCTATGGCAACGGTCAGTCTTCTCTGTTCGCAAATGCGCGAGACAAAGGCTCATCTGCTCGCGTACCTGTTAAGGCTGGGGCTTCGAAGGCCGCCCATGGCAAAAGCGTTTAGCATGGCGATCGAGGGTATCCCCGCGCGCCAAGATCTGCCCACACATATCGCACTTGCTCGCGGTGGAGCGAACATGCACCGAAGCGATGTGCTTCCCAAAGCCGAAGTAGAACAGCACCTTCTTGCTGCACGGGCTCCCCTCCCACTGGCAGTAGCCGCGCGTCCGGTCGTCCCAAGGCTGCACATGGCACTCCTTCAGGTGGCGGTTGATTCCCGAGGCCGTGAGGTCGGTTATTATCGTCTGGCACTGGCCACCCCACCGACAGCGCTCGCCTACGGGCCCGCCACTTGGCGAACATCCTGAACGCCGCATGTCCATCGGGGGCGCCGTGTTGGAACGCGGCAGAAGGTCGCTGGAAGCGTGTGGATGATACATTGGCGGTACTGACCGGAACGGCAGCGAGTCGCCCTGACCGTAGCTCCATGAACGACGCATGATCGCTGGTTCCCAACTGGGCCAGGCGCTATCAAGTGTCGGGTCGTACGATGGGCTGTGGAGTCCGACTCGGTCAGAGAGCGCCATGCCGACGGTGGTTACAGCGTACCCCATTGCCAAATCGTCTGACATCTGGTCATAATTTTGGTTCAAGGGCGGTTGCCAACCGCCAGTAAATTGGGATGCTTGACCAAAGCCTACACTGCCAGAGCACAGATATTTTAGTATGCACGGAGGCCGACGTTTTTATAATTCCTACCTGTCCGCTGTACCTGACCCATAGCCAGCAATTCCCCGATGCTGATCGAGCCCTGACGTTGACGCAAAGTCGGCACGCGCACTCATCCACGAGCTAGAAGAATCCGGTACGCCTGAAGACATACCGAACACTGATCCATAGGCATCGGTCCGACCCGGCGACCTAAATGGATTCATCGAAGGCTCGCCCATCGCGTCGGGGAATCCACTGTGACCCGCGGGGTTAAATGACTGCGGGAGCGGTGTGGTCTGAGAAGCCTGGGGTGCCAGTGGCTGAGGATCACTGAACACGGGCGCGCTGCCACGGTACGGAAGAGGTGTGGGGTGTGTGTCCCGCCAAGCCTGGCGGTTGGCAGCGGCGTCGTCCGGAGCCGTCCAGCCTTGGATCGGACAGTTGTTGGTGCGAGGTTGGGATCCGCCGCTGTAGTTCGACATGGTAGGAGGAGACTGTGCGGTCGCAGGGATCTGGTAGTGTTACGAGCGTCGATCCAACGCAGTCGACGCTCCTTAAATGCAGCATGCGTCAATCAAGCCTGCGCAAGTGAATATCTCGTCATGGCTCCCCTCTGGAGGCCAGCTCCGGCCATTGTACTGAGCCCCGGTATCTTCGCCAATGACATCCTTACACTGCGATTGAATCCGGAGATCCGGGGTGTGGCTTCTTTGATCATTGCCACGACAAGCAATGCGACCATTGCTTGGATGTCATATCGGCAGGCATGAGGCGGCGCGCCTGGGTGAAACAAAGCCTCTCTGCAATAGCCTCAGCAGAACGTGGAGTAGAGTATGTATATTTGAAATCACAGGGCCTGATGCTAACCTGGGTACGTTCGTCCGTGGTCGGCGGACATCTCTCCTAGGCATTCCGTAGCACGGGCGTCACACGCGTGAGAGGCCGCACGCGCAGCTGTTGATCAGCAGCAGCATGCTGGCCAGCGCACGCTGTGTAGTACTGGTAGAGGAGGACCCAGGGAGGACCGGGAATTGCAAGGCCAAGGACATGGACGAATGCCGACTAACGGTATATGCGATCACGTGTAGGGCGCAGCGCCTCGCGCAACTGCCGTTTCAGGCAGGTTGTGTGGTTGAAGGCGCCCAAATTAAATGGCGGAGGACGGGCGAGGCGGATCAACATACACATCGTCCGAGGGAGATCTCAGGGCTGAGGCCATCGCAGGCGGGAGGCTCCTACGAGCACGGAGCAGTGGCGGTGCCATGCACCCGCTATGTAACTAAAAACCTAATGCATTGCACAGCTACGACGAGATACGCGATCAGATCAGGGCTACGTGGCTACAGCGATCACCAATCGTCCATGCAGAGTATGTCCAGAAAAGATGACCGCTATCTTGGCGGCGTCCCACAATCCTCATGCACAACCCAACCAAAGTCTCAAAAGCAGCACCACGCGCCTCAGCCTCGGCGGTGATAAAGGCATGGTTCAGCCATGCAGAGCGAGAAGTACCGTCGCGAGGTCCGTGGAGGTCGGGCCAGAGGCTGAGACCGCTACTGCGCAAGGGATAGTTGGTGAGATAGATCAGGATCATGGTCTGGATAATGACGGCAAGCGTCGGGAGAGGCGGAGGAGGGATTCCGAGGTACAGGGGTTCTGTTAGATTACCGTTACTCGCTCCGACCAAGCAGAGGCGAGAAGTCGTTAGGTGAGTGGAGGGGCGATGATTACAGAGGTTAACAAGTTGCGAGGAATAGGTGCGTCGACGAGTAGCATAGCGAGGATATAGTGCGCGCGAAAATCCCAGATGAATAGTACTGCATAGCGTGGAGGTGTGACGAGACAGCGGGAGAAGGGGCACGTATTGCGATGGTCCATAGTCAGCCTGGCCATGAGATGGAAGAGTTGCGGACGGTAGAACGTCGGCCATAGCGGACAGTACGGTACCCATCAGGTACGACATTTAGGTCGGCAAGCTAGAAGCAATACCTGCGATCCGCGGAGATGCGGGGTTAGCATATCAGATAGTAAGGATCAGGAACGGGATCGAACGTACCAACAGTAGCAAGGCAGTCAGCGGGTCGTCTACTTGCTACGCTGGCGGCAGTAGAGTTTCATGTGGCGGTCGAGCGTGTCCGCACGTGCGAAAGTCTCCCCGCACTTTTCGCAACGTCGCGCGGTTGCACCGAGATGGACTGACGCGATGTGCTTCCCGAAGGATTGGTGATACATCATGGTGTTTGTGCACGGACTCCCGTGCCATTCACAGCGCCCCCGGGACCGGTTGTCCCAGGTCTTCACGTGATACTCCTTGAGGTGCCGTGCAATGCCCGCGGCGGTGAGGTCGTCCAAGAGGACGCCACACTTCTGGCCCCACTGGCAGACAACGGAGCGCGATGGCGGCGAGCTCTCCGGAGGTGAAGAAGCAGACGGTGCATCATTTACAGACACGGACGTAATCTGCACATTCGATGGTGGTGACGGCTCGAAAGGCTTAAATCCCCAAGAATCCGGCTGCAGGGACGTCATTGCCATACCGGATGGCGATACTGAGTCTTGCATTGCACTACCCGAGGTATCAGAGGGGTGAACACATCAGTACAAGGCGAACATACAGAGGCATGGGATTGAATGTGGGGTCATAGGGGAATGTTGTCCACTCATCGTTGTTGAAGGTGGCGTAGGAAGATGGTCTGGGGGCGGCACATGAGACCGACAAGACGCAGAACTGATACGAATGACCCACTGAACGCCGCCAAAGTAACCGCTGCTCGTCGATCCACCGTAACTGACTGGATGGAGGTAAATCGGCGACCCGCCCTGATGCAACGGGGCACTGGAGGGCCCCACCAGTGCGGGGTCCACCGAGAGACGCGCGTGTGGCGTGCGCGTGGACATGCCGTTCATGTCGAGCGATGGATAGGAGTACGCCTGGGGCGCGAGATATGAGCCCGCAGGGTGCGAGAACGTCGACGCCAAGGCGCGGGAGCTGTCGAAATCGTTCATGAAGTCCGAGGCACCATCGCCATACGCCTCCGATGCACGCGTATCGTGCCCGGGGGTGTGGTGGCGGGGGTCGTACGGTCGGTGGTCGTACATGGAGGCACGGCTGGGGGCGTTGCGTGCGGAGGCGGATGGGTTCATGGCTGAGGTGGAGGCTGAGGATGGTGGGGGAGACGGATCGAAAGGCATTGAAAAGTAGACGCTGCACGCCGCCTGAGTCGATCGGGTATATGTACACGGATCCGAATCTGAGCGCGCATCCAGCCACCGGTTGTATTCCAATTCACCGCCTATCTAGATACAGCTACTACTATATAATCTCGCCCAGGTACAAATATGCCTCCGCCGCGCACTGTGCGCGGGGCGCGATCTGGCAAGCGCGACAGTCCCATTGACCCCTCCGCCCTCCAACCCGCCCTCCAGCGCTGCCAGCGGTTAGGATTTGCGCAGTGCGGTACCAACGTACAGATTTGATGGACCAGATCATGCCCAACGTTCTCGCATCCAAGCGCCTGCATGGGGCTCCGAACACCCAGGAACACCGCCACAGCATCCCAAGGTCCGCTAGCACGCTGGCGAACTGGCAGCACAGCCATCTACTGAGGGCACGAGCCAGGAAGGCGGAAGGGGCTGGAAGGGGGCGCAGTACTTACTCAATAGCATACACTGCCGGCCAAGGGAGAGCAGTCGGATTGTGGTGCGGCTCGTGAGCCCACACGGCCCGGGTATACTATCGGCGTGACAGCCGGCTTGCGGGCTGAGCAATTCTGGGCGCCCCCGCGCCAAGCAGTGACCTGAGTGCACTCGGACGACGCGCCAGACTGCAAGCAGACTGCAAGCTCGGCTATGTTGCTGGATAGATCTATGCACGTGAGGCTGAGTCATATAGAGCAAAGAAGGAAAATTAGGTTGGCTGACTCAGGCATACGGCGAAAAAATGCAACAACAGCAGGAGTCGAACTTGAGACACTAAGCTATTCGCCCAGCGCTATTACCGCCTCGCCATGGGACCGATATAGGTTGCTCAACATACCTGTATATATATGACAGGGCCGTCAAGTAGACTATAGGGACTTACGAACTTAGACATATCGTGCTGTTGGGCCCGCACCCAACGGTCGGCACCATGCTCTGGTGTGCACACTGGGCATCTATTATACACTTATGCTGGTGTATATGCCAATCAGGATTGCAATATACCAAAACGGAGCGATATATGACCTCACAGCCCGAGGAACCTTGAGTTCGTGTCAGCTCACTTGGCTCGGGCATTTGGTCACGAGGTGTCACCCAAAAGGGCAGGTGGATCGATTCGTAGGCAGCGCGGAAGACTGCTTGAGATCGGCTTGCACTGCCCGGTTTGCGATACGATCGCGGGCTGCGAACATGCTCGGATCACGGGCGCCCCAACTCACTCGCCTCACACGCAGCGATCGGGCAGATGTTAGTCGAGCTCGTAAGCGGACTGTGCTCGTCGGCGCTCGCAAGCTGCCTACGATCGTTTCGTTGGCCGTGTAGCCGCATCGGCTCCCCGGCCGGGCGTGTAGAACCCAATCTGTGGAAACACGATACTACGATCAGATGTTATTCGAGGTCTGCAGAGATCGCTTACGGGGACTCGCAACTGTTGGACCTCCCTCGGAGTCCGAGGTGAGACGGCACGTAGCTCACAAGAGCTCACATCACTCGCATCCATCGACCGAACGAGCGATCCTACGAGGTGGCCACACCACGGTGGGAGAGCATGCAGATGGTGGAATGGCTGCCGACATGATGTAGCGATGATGTGTGGGAACGGTGGCAGCGCTCGGTGGGCTTCTGTCATTCTACACGCCCCGAACCAGCGCAAACCTGTGTGTTCTTTCAGAACGGCTCTTGGCTTCATGAAAGAGATTTAGCACGTACCTCGTCTTCGCATCGTCAGAACAGATCACATGCCGGCAAGGGGCTCAGGGTGCGACGATTGATGCTGTTTGCGATCCCAGTCCTGTAACAACCTATCTGTCTCAGTCCGTATGCCATAATGCCTCGCGACGCTAGCACTCATGGCGAGGATTTGCAAATCAACCTCCAAACCAAGCGCGTCCGAATACACCCGACTTGAGATGCTGCCTTATGCTTGATTGCGTGCATGTAGGCACCTGCTGCTGGATCCGGAAGGCGTGTCAGGCAACTGTTGAGATGTCTGCATTTGGTTAGGCAGGATGCCATACGCTGTCTGAGCAGACGGGCCAAGGCTCACCGAGCAGTCTGACGGTGCACGTACCAATGAAATGTGACGCAGGGTCGTGGATTTGAGGGTACGAAGCTGGCATGAGATGGCATTGCTTCGACGGTCTGTGACAAGCTCAAGAAGCCCGATCAGGATCGGAGGCAACGGAGCAAACGCGACATCGACACGAGAGTGCAGCCTTGCTCTTTCGGAAGCGACTGAAAGGGGTGTGAAGCAATTGGACTATGAGAAGCCTATCGCTGTCAGTAACTTACAGGTGTAGACCCACGGTCCGGTGTACAATGCCAATCGCGTGATCGGGCACGACGCTCGGTGTAGCGGGCCGACGTCTACGCCGTAGTTAATTCGTACGATCAGCACTCGGTGGGAAGTGGACATCCACCTTCATTGGTCGACCATGCACAGGCAACCTAGACCGTGCCACCAGCGAAGTAGCACACAAAGCTGGGGAGGCGACGATTCCGGGCCTCCGAGGTCGGAAATTAAAGGTATCAACGTCAATCGTTCCCATGGTCGAAGTCAGGTGGGGTTGCGAACCGTGCCCGCATTGCGTATGCAGTCCACCGAGTGACATACCGCCAAAGGGCCCGGGAGAGGGTACTGCTGGTGAAGGTGCCGCTTCCGGGGGGCGGACTTCCGGTTCGTCGACGTACCGACTGTCCGTGCCCGGTGTGCAAGCCCGAGCCCGAAGAGAGGGCCGCGCAGCGGGCTAACTGCAAGGGGAAACGGGGCTCCGAGGATAGTTGCATGGTGCCCTATTCTGGACGTTGTATGCCTTTAGCCTTGGGATTCCTGACATGTCAATGATGCTGACGAGTGACATCCGCTTCATCACGGAGTGGCCTTACATTGAATCCATTTCGATATTCCTGTACTCGCAAATCGAGCGTTGTGAGGTCTTCAGATTGATCAGAGCGGAGAACCATCATGTCCTACTACGCCCTTTGCACCTGAAGTTATGTTATTGAAGTATCTGTTATCTAAATACATATCGAGACGGTCAGCTCGGGCGACGTCGGTATATTTCAGACTCGAAGAGACAGCGCGACTCACTGGGTGATGTCAGCGGCAACAAATGGGCGTCACACCAACGCATTCGCGCAGTGATTTGCAAGACGCTCCGCTGCAGCACTCTTCGACAACGGTACTCAGATGCAGCCGACTGACAGACATTGCCCTGGCAGGTTGCCACCGACCAATGGTGTTCTAAATGCGGCTGTCGGCGGAACGATGTGTGCTGCGCCACGAAGGGAGCGACCAGATCCGCCGCAGGTCTTACTTACAAGCCACACTGACAGCGGAGTTCGTTCGAAGATTGGAGATGAACAGTCGGGATTTCGCAGGCTGGTCAATGTTTCGTTGATGATCTAGACAGCATCAACTGGGGATGACGCACCCGATGAAGTTGGCCAGGATACAAGCGCATTGAGCTGATAGCAGGTCCGCCGATCTAAGCATGACGTGGATCCCTGCGACAAGGAGGCCACTTCCGGGACCAGGGACGATTCTCAACTCCACAATGTTGGATATCTCAAATACCTGTGGGCGGCACTCGTAGTACTATCCCCGAGACGTTCCAAACCATTGAATACGTACCTGTTTCACCCACCGTGGACTTCTGAGCTATCAACTCGACCCGGAGTCTGGCAGCTTCTTGCGCCAAATGTCAAGCAACGATCATTTCGAGAACCCTTCATAAGGGCATTTCCGTCATGACCGACCATGCTGGGGGTCTCGATGACCCTGCAAATGATCATGGGTCAGGGTGATAGACCCTGAGGTGCATGTGGTGCTCGGTGTTGCAAATTGACGGCAGCAATCCATTTTGTTCGTGCGGATCATCGAGGCTATGTTTCAAAAAGCAGGCCAGGCAGCACAAAGGCAGCATAGCAATGACACAACTCAGCAGTAGTTCGTACCTCGTGGAAACAGCACGCATACGGTGCATTGGCCGACGCAGAGAGACGCCAGATTGAACTTCTCGACATTTGACCTATACTTGACAACAGAGCGGCCAGGGGGGGTATTGGGGAAATTTCGTTTTTGTCTTGGAGGCCAGAACAGGAGGTGATAGAAGTCGTAAGTATGCATATAAATCGAGTCGTCAATGAGCTGGGGGTGTTGTCGTCGATGCCGACAATTTGAATATAATCAGGCGCACTTGTGTGGATTGCGACCCGTGATATTTCCCACGCCTACTGAACGCAATGTCGCGCTGCACACAGCAAGTTGAGTAACGCCGACTGTATGCACGCGTTCCGCCACAACGTCCAGGACGTCTTGTCTGGTGCTAGAGGGGAGTCATGTCGGACGGTATTCAGATAACGATCCCCGGTGCGTATTACGCTCCTGTCTACCACGACGCGAATACTAACCATACGCAGACTTCGACGAAGATGACTACAGCTCGACCCCCATCTTCGGACGCCCGCAAGGCGGCAGCCTCTGGGGAAACTCGAGCTCAGGACAAGACTCGCCTACCATCCTGACCCCGTTGGCACTTCCAGAACGTGCGGAGAAGTCTTACTTCCATGCTCGTGGAGACTCCACTACCTCTGAGGACTCGGTGCATTCTGTGCAGTACAGCGGTCGGAAAGTCAAGTCGCCATTCGCGCATTCCGCACAGGCATCCTTCACTACCAACAATACCAGCGGTGGTGGATCCTCATTTGCGAAGAAGACCTCCTTTGCCTCGCTCCGGAATGCGTTCAGCAAGAAGTCCACCGACCCCGTTCCTCCCGTGCCTGTGCTGGATCACCAGGCTTATCCCGTTCTCAAAAACCCCTTCAATCGTTCTACTTCTTCTCTAGGGCATTTGCCGCCAGTACCTCATCGTCATCAGCCATCGCACGCTAGTCCGCCTCAGTTCCGTCCTCCCACACCAGCGTCCACGGAGTCTAGGACTCGCGGTACGTCGTCCAAGGCCCGGGAGCACGCATATGCCCGCTCGCAACATTCGCAAACCGGTTCTATATTCCATTACTCCGATGCCGGAAGCGATTATGGCGGCGGCTTCGCACCTTCTACGCCACCCCCGTTACCTCGCAAACCAAGCGCCTTCGGGGGTATGTCTACGCTCGATGAATCGCACACGATTTTCGACATAGAGGACAAGATCACTATGGACCCGCGAACCCCGTCGGACTACGCTCTGCACGCCATCTTTATTCGGTTCGCCGCATCCGGTGAGCAACACATCGACGAGTTTCTGCGGCAGCCTGTGGTACGTATGCTTACTATATGCGCTGGATTTGGCTCATATGTGCGCAGGATCGTGACGCCATCCTCACCGAGTTCATGGGCCCGGGTGTTGACACCAAGTTGGACGAGCTCTTGACTTCGCTAGGGAAAGTCGCGCAGAAGCACGCGAAACCGGTAGTCGAATCTGTTATGCGTTGGCGTAAGTCACAGAACGACGGGGTAGATGAGAGGCTCGTGCACCACCATCTCTCACTCCCGTCCGGCAGCGCACGAGTCGCGCGGACGCAAGACATTGCGTCGATGCTCGTGGAGCGGAAGTCGCTCGCCTCGATATACATCATGTGTCGTGCACTGCTGGCTGCAACACAGTCCATGGCCAAGGATGCGCTAGGCGAAGCTGTTGGACAAAGCTTGGAGGAACTAACCTTCGAGCAGTTCAAGAGACCCGACGTGAAACTGCTCACTCAGTCTGCCAATCACCGAATAAATGCGGAGCTGTACGCGAGGCTGTTGGGTCAAATTGCCAATGTCCGGTAAGCAATGTCACAGGTTCGCGCGCACGAGTTGTCTGCTCATTCTGGTCCCATTGTCAGCTTTGAGAGCGTGACAGATCGTTTCTTGACCGAGCTTAAACCAGTAGCAGCGGGTCTAGTGCCGAAAGACGCGGACTTCAAGTACGAGAACCTTGTCCAGGGTCTCAAGCATGTGCAGATAAAGGTACGGATCATCTACAGTGGACGAAGCCTATCATTGACTCAATGACTCTTGTGATTAGGTGTGGCCGCCCGAAGCTTTCGAAGAAGGTGCAGACTTCATGGCGTCGTTGTCTAAGTCGTTTGAGAACGCGCACGGCAATCGTCTCAAGACATCCTTCGCGGAGACCCTCGTATATATGTTGCATCCAATTGCGAAGGTCTGCTTTCTGCATTGCTTCGGCACGAATGACGTTGACACGAGGTTGTTCCTATAGACTGCTCAGGCGGAGGTCAATCATCCAGAATGGGCGAAAGCGATTGAAGTCATCTATCCGAGAGCACGGGACATGATGAGCAAGCCCAGATACTGGCACGTCGCGTACCCACTGGCGGTCACTGCGCTGTGCGTTGCTCCACAGGACTTCTTCGCCAAGAACTGGAGTACTTGTTTGGAGGCTGGTCTGGGCAAGCTCAAGGTAAGTCCGCGGCGTTGTCAAGAGGGAATGCGCATTGAATGTCGGTTTCCAGGAAAGGATGTATCGCACACAGGTGCTGAATGCCGTCGTACGTCTCATCTGGACGTACCTCTATCGATGCCATGAGCCGGCTTCCACAACAACCTCGAAGCTGGAAACGATATTAAGGCACTTCTTCCCTGCAAATCGGCTCTCCATCACCCCCCCAGAAGAACACCTGGACCCTTTCGTCTACATGATGCACTTCGTACTTTCCCGACACTTCGAGTTCGGCAGCGAGATGTGCCTCGAGCTACTGCAGGAGCGTAACGTCACAGCACAGGGTGCGAGTCTATCCACCTCATTGGCACCCGAACGGATAGCCATAGCCTCCCGCGCGGTCTTGCTCTCGTTGCACGTTATGGAGAGAGAGGAGCCGACCCCATCTTGGCCGAGCGCTACCGACTTCACGAAGCTGCCGAACCGAGAGGACTACCCGACATCGTCGGAGCCCTTGCCCTCGACGCTGACGTTGAAAGCGGGCTGGTCGGACTTCCTCGACCATTGCAGTCTATGTCTCAAGTTCTTTGCTCTCAGCTGTTTCCAGACTGTAGGGAAGTGGTCTTCCCTCGACGAGCAATGGTCGGCAACGCGCCTCAGCCCGACGTACGAGGATGCTCACAGCTTCACGATCCGGCGACATCCCGAAGGATCTGTCGCGTACCCCAACCAATACGTCCCTCATATCAGCATCCTACAGACGGTGTACCAGTCGTGGCCGCGCTGCCTGCATTCCTCTTTCGCCGTTGAAGATGCGTACGACATGCTTATACGCGGTATCGTCCACGTAGAACCAGCAGTGGGCGAGGCTGCTACGCAGGCCTTGCAACGGTTCATGAATGACCCCGCGCAGGCATCTGCCTTACTATCCCGCTTCTCTGCCTTCCTCTTCGACCCAACACTCATGTGTACCGAGGGATCCGGACTCAAGCTGAACATCGAGAGCTCGCGACTCGTGACGTTGTGGATCACCTTCGTTGATCAGTGGATCTATCGAATCAAACAGACACCCACGGAGGAACTCAGTGACGAGGACGTGGAGGCCATTCTATCTCGTGTGGACGAGATCGAAGCAGGAGCTTTGTTCCTTCTGACACACTGCAAGCGTTCCGTTTACATGAATGGTGTTAGGGCCGTTCGTCTTCTCCATATTCTCCAGGTGCATTTCCAGTCGATGTTGGTCTCGCGTTACGACGGTCGCACGCCAACATCGTTCCATATTCTTACGGCGCTTCACGACGAACTAGGTCCAGCTGCATACCTAGACGCATACGAGGACATGATGGACACCACCGAGACCACACGTTTGGAGCAATTGAAGAAGGCGCCCCACGGGGAAATCGCGTTGCGACTGGCCGAGAGCGATATGGAGCAGGACCGGAAGATTTGGATACATGTATTCCCAGCGTTGCTCAGACCTTGCATGGAGGGCATGCCTCACGCCCTCGTCACATTCCGGGAACAGATCGTTGCTGCGGCGAGCCGGTATCATCAATCTATCGTGCAGCTGGCGGGAGTGCAGAATAAGACGCCATTGAATCTGCCACCGAGGTCTGCGTCCAGCGGAGACAAGGACACAGCCAAGATACTCAACGACTACGGACGTGTCATTCTGCAGTGGCACGCGTGGATCAAGATACTGTCTGCGACTGCTCAAGTTTCCGATGTCAGGCCGACCGTGAACTATCCGATACGTGATCACTCCCGTGCCAGGTCTGAGGCGAACTACGAACGTGATCAGATGGTGACCACTCGCGACCTCTTCAAATATCTCAGCCAGTTCCTCGATTCTGAACATCCCGCCTTCCGCAACATCGCCGTATCATGCATCAGTTCTTCCCCCGCGCGAGCATATTCGCAACTACTCGAGGATCTGAACATACTCGCTGCCCGTCAGTTCTACGATGAGCGACCAAAGACTACGGCGGCGCCCTCCGGAGGAGCACGCGCACGTCGTCAAGAAGGGTTCCATACAGCTGTGGCAGGCATCTACTACCTGACGGCTCATCTGTTGCAGGAGCAACGGTCGTCTGGCAAGCAAACCGTCCTTGCGCATGTGCTCAAGTACATCCGGAATATGCAGACATTCCTAGCGGCCCCAGAACATCGCGATGTCTTCTCTCTCCAAAGGTTGCGACGTTACTTCTGTGGCACGGTCGAACGATTGTTCGACGGACTCGCCACGCTCAATGATTCAGATCGTTTCATCCCGGCCCATATGCATCTGTCTCTGTACAGACTATGCGAAGAATGGTGTCAGCTGGGGAAGCAGTCGGAGACTGTTACAAGACGGATTGTGCTCATGCAGACCGCTGCCGCGAAGTTCCACATGGATCCTACAGACCAAGCAGAGAGCATCCGAAGCTTCCAGTTGGAAACGCGAGCCTTGTCCAACGCTGCCGTTGGTGCCATGGCGGCCTTGTGCGTAAGTGATATTTTTCCTTCGACCAACGCCGTCTGCTTACCCCTGCCCCAGCACAAAGCCTTCTATCCTCCTGACCATACGTCTATGTCCCCGATGGATAAGTACGTGTCGGATGATGACTTGAAACCTCTGCATCCATCTGCAACCCTCGATCGCCTGACCGCGATTCTAGCTTCCTTCCATGAGCCTAATCAGGAGGCTGGCAAGTGAGTACTTCGCTTGATGTTCCTTTCATCCCTGACTGTTGCTTGCAATAGGAAAGCGCTTCGGTCGCTCTTGGTTCATGCGCCTCCCGACAAACGCTTAATGGACGAGGTGCTCGTGAGAGCCTTCGTGACGACCCGACAATTGGGGACCAGTAACGAGCGCTTCTTTGCCGTCGTGGCGGACGTCATCAGCGATCCTGCGGTCGTTCATGGGTTCAGCTTCAGCCAAGCTGTCTGTCTCGGCCTATCCAACTTGTGCCACCCGCTCTTGGAGATCCGCCGACGTGCATTCGCAATACTTGAAGGGATTCACCAGCAGTACTCCGGCCTTATCCCTCTGATGCAGTTTGAAGCGGCCATATGTAGTGCATCACCTAGCGCCTACCTCCAAGCTCATCGCTCCTGTTCCGACACTCTTGCTGGAGAGCATCCCGAACAGGCACCCTTCGTGCTTGCGCAGTTCTCCGAGTGGATACCCCGCGTATTGGATGCCAACGCTCAAGGCAGCCCCCTTATTCTCTTGCAAACTCTGGAGCACTGGCTTTCCGACATCGAACTCGTCGATGACACCGAGGAGTCTGGGTTATCGCGAACTGGCCGTTCCGTGGTCTTCCACATGATGAAGCTGACCTCCCAATATGTCGAGCACTATGCCGAACAGATCCTCGTCATGTGGTCACGACTGGTCGACGAGCCCCATCAGTACAACGGCCTAGCCGTCGTCAAGTACTTGTTGGAGCTGTCGCCCAAAGTCGGGAACGCACCGTTCATCAGCTGTTCTGCCAAGGTTATCGCATGTCTCGTCCAGAGTGTCATCGGCAGGGATATCTTCGTCAACATCGCTGGATGCATACACCCGACACGAATGATACCCGTCTATGATCACAAGGTCAAGCAGCTCGACGCCGAAGAGATCGAAGAGTGGTCCGACTTCGACATTCTATTCTCTGGCCAGCCAAGGCTCAATCTCACTCAATCTCAATTCGCCCTCCTGTTCCTCTCGGACGCAACACTCGATCGTCATTGGGATCTGGACCAGCATATCTGCCCTTTGCTTCATGCACTGTTCGTCCACATCGACGACACGCAGCCCTTGTTGCAGCGACGATGTCGCCACATGCTCGTCCAACTCCTCCGTTGTTGCATTTCGGGCTTCGACGAAGTGGCGGATCGTTCGCTATTCCGGACACACTCGGATCTCAAGGCCGCTTTGCATCGTATCGAAGAGGAAGTCGAGGCAGAGCGACGAACGGATCGACAGATCTCGACGGACGCTGATGCTAGATTGGAGCGGTTGTCAGGCGCAGTCCTAGATCTCATCGAACCGCTGCATCCCGAAGTGCGCATCGACTGGGGGGCATGGGCAGTGACATGGGGCACGGCCTCTGTGAAGCGCGAGATAGCCCATCGTTCCCTACAGCTGTATCGTGCGCTCTCGCCGCCCGTCAGCCCGGCGAACGTCGCGGCTTTCTTGGGACGCCTCTGTAGTTCTATCGCCGACTCAGAACCTGGGATCAGCAAATTCAACGTGGAGATGATCGACACCTTGAAGGCTATGGTGTCCTGGGTCAGTCTTGACTCAACACTAATCCCTGTGTTGTTCTGGTGCGCCCTGGCTTGCCTGTCGACCACAGTGGAGGATGAGTTCCTTCATACGCTCGAGCTGTTGGACGCGTTGTTGGGCAGACTGGACTTGGACGACCCGGAGACCATGCAGGCTCTCCTCGACCACAAACCGGAGAATTGGCAAGGCCCCTCAGCCCTGCAGCCATGCCTGCTTACCGGGCTACGTGCTTCCAGCACAGCAGCTTTGACATTTAAGTTGCTGGAGCGCCTCTCGAAGGTCAACAATGGCAGGCTCATAGATCCGTCCGAGGGCCGCGTCCGCGATCTCTATGTCGTCGCACTGCCTTGCTGTCTGCAAGCCATGATCGATGGCAAACAGGACGTAGATCTCCAGGAGTTTGCGCTGAGCATCTGCCGGCTGGCGGAAGAAGAGGCCCGCCCGAGCATTGTCCGAATCATGACTTCTTTCGCCAAGAGTCGGTTCCGTACCAAGGAAGACTTCTTGCGGGAGTCGGTTGCCAGCCTCCGCGAGCATTATGGATCGGAGCACTGGACAAACGTGATCACACTCCTGATGGGTCTTGTCCTCAACAAGGAGCAGTGGCTGCGAATCAGCACGATGCAGATCCTGAAGGTCTTGTTTCAACAACGAGAGACGCGGCGACCTGTCGACCTCCTCGGCTCAGAGCTCCTGATGCCTTTGCTGCGCTTGCTCGAGACCGACCTCGCATCGCAAGCGTTGGATGTCCTCGATGAGCCCATGCAGATATCTGGCGGACCTGCGGCCAAGCACGTCCTGCGCATGAGCCTGTACACGCATCTGCGTGCTGACGCCAAGGAGGTCGAGTCGGTTGCAGAGATCTTCGGCATTCCACAAGAGTCGGGCTGGTGCGTCCCGCGCTCCGATGCTCTCCGCAAGACGTGCAAGCAGAACCTATACGCGCTACGGCTCGTCGTGCATCCGCATGATCCGGACCAACCCCTGTCGCAGACCGAGTATCCCCAGATGACTCCGCCTTACGACGAGCAACTGCATCAAGAAGACGACCTCGGAGAGATGGTGCAGAATCTCCACGAGCTCAGCGCGTTCTTCAAGGAGGAACGTTCCGCCGCCCCAGATGCTAACAGGCAGTTGGAAGCGCGTGTCGCTGCTATCCTAGCGAAGTCCACAGATGCTACTGGCGACATCCCGCAGACACCCTTTGCTGACGTCTTCGACGTCGATGCTGTCGAGCCAGCCTCGCCATACGAAGATTCAGATGACTCCGATTACGATACTAGTTCTGACCTGTTTGAGTTTGACTCTCCTTCCATCTCTCGCTTCACACTGAACACCTCACATCACTATTGACCAGAAGTTTCCCGTTCGTTTGCGCTTGCTTTGTCGCTGCTCGTTCAATAGATTGTCGTGCACTGTACTCTACCGCACTCGTATGTATTCTTATGTATATATGCCGCATTGGGACTTTGGGGACTACATATGATCGCACAAGCACGACTTTGCGTCTTTAGCTCTGACGTTGTGATCATTCTCGCCAGTTGGGTAACTGTTGTTGTTTCCCTTGACTACTTAGTCCATTCGATGATATATAGGTTTTGTGTGTGCATAAAAATGGCGAGAACATGACGTGGAAGACAAACGTGCATATGCGCATACAAGAACTTGGCACATGCGCGGAGACACATTGCCAAGATGTACATAATGCGAAGCACAAATCAAGGGTACCAGTCAAGTACCAGTTCACATCAGTCAATGCAGCCGGTCTCATTGGTCCTTTGCAGCTCGTGCTTATATTGGTCTGGCAGTCAAACGACTCAGACTCTCGTTGTAACCATGAATCCTCACTACAGTGGCATTGAACTTGAGGCCGGCTGAGGCGTTCATGGACTCAAGGATTAAGGCAACCACAACTTACTACTTCGCTATGTCACATCCGTTGATATTCCGCTCGATGCTACGCGGTATCCTTTCTTTTGTCTACAGCATTATAGGAATATATGATGGGGGAGAGATCGTGCATGCTGTACGTGTACGGGAATGTACGTCCTGGATGGTAAGGCGGAAGGGACCAAGATGAATTAAGTATACCATTATAAGTCATTGCGAGGGATGATGGTACGAAACCTGTGCCGGTGAATAATGAACATGAGCAATGGAGGTGGTGTTGGTGATACAATACTAGAGTGAGACGGCTCCTTCGCCCCACGGATGCTATGAGCGATTCGTGAAGCCCGCCCAACCGCCAGGGATGCCGCTGCGTCTCTTCACAGTGCCGTTCTTGAATCCGGGCATGCCGAGCGCCTGCCAGCCATAGCCCTCGCCGTCCTCATCGTCCGTAGGGCTTCGCATCGCGCGCCCGACCGCGGCAAGCGTCTCCCCGTCCTCATCCCAGGGGTTCTCGGGCTCGTGCAGGTTGCTCCGGCTTTGGCTCTGGTGGAGGTGTCTCCGCAGGCTCTGAATGGAATACTGCCGCTTCGGAGGCACGAGCAGCCGGGCGAAGGTGAGCTCTCCGTCGTCGTCGTCATCGTCATCGTCTTCGCCGTCCGAGTACATATCATCATCGCCGGCGTCGCCGGGGCGAACCACGGTCATCGGCACGCGTTCCCCGTGCACCCATTGAGTGCTCCACGCGTCGTTCTCGACGGAGGTAGTCGCGAGCAGCGGCACGCCGTCACTTCTGCTCTGCCGCCTCGACGAGAAGCTGAAAGCCTCGCTCCGCGCGCTGGGCTGTGGGTTCCGTGTGCGAGACGCACCACTCCGTGCGCTGGTCGGCGCGTCCCTGTCGCCAACGCGCGAGGATGAACGGGAGGCGGGCGCAGACCTACACATCACGCGCGCGGTGCTGACCGTGCTCGGGGCCGCTTCCGCGCGCGCGAGGTACGACGTGAGACCGGGCGGCACCCCCGACGCGCTCCGGGCCTGGCGGTTCGTCTGGTCCGCCAGCATAAACTTACCTGCCCTTTCTCTCGCACGCGGGGCGCGCGAGGACGGGCGGCTGAGTCTACGGGCGGTCTGCGGGCCCCCGACGTGCGCGTGGGGATTGCTTGCTCCTGCGACTGCCCTCGTGACGGACTCGAGCCAGCGGGGTGGGAGTGCGGGCTGCCCGCGGTCCATGGCATATACGGAATGGCGGTCGACGGACGTCTCGCGCGTTGAGGGACGGCGCTTGGGCATGTTGGGCGCGGAGGCCATATGCCGGAGGTAGCCCTGCGCAGCTGAGACCTGGGCATATGTACGCAGGTTACTGGAGGCGGAGGTCTTGGGCCGGAGCAGTTGAGGCTGTGCGTTGTGTGCATGCTTGGCGTAATGTCTGTAGTTGACGGTGCGCCCATCGGAGCTGTCGACAGAAGACGCGATTGTGGTGCTCGAGGCTGTTGGGGACGCGGAGAGTGGGCTTCGCGGTCGTCCGTTCTCATCAGGGAGCTTGTGCTTATGCGCAAGCGGTGAGGGTGGGAGAGACCAATGGAGCCGGGGTTCGTGCGGAGGCGTTGTGCTCAGGACGTGGGAGGTGGTCTCCGTCCTGCCCGACCCCGGCACCCAGCTCGCGAGGTAGCCCACCACCGAGTCGACGCCCCCGCGCAGACTGCCTTTCCTGCTCTCAGCATCTCGGGCCTCCTTTCTTTCCGACTCTGGCGTGAATACGCGCGTCTCTTTGTAGCCCGCTTCGCGCAGTAAGTCCTCCAGCCGCTCGTACGTCTTGGACGTTCCCCGCCTGTGTAATGGAACGCGTCCGGGATCGCCGAGGGCAAGCGACGCGGGGTAACGTGACGATTGTCGGCCGCGCGGTGGCGTCGACGGTGGCATGTTGGTTAACGTCGGAGGCATCTCGCAGGTTTGAGTGCTCTGCAAGGGCGAGGCTTGTGAATTTACGGGATCGGCCTCGGCCACCGGAGGTGGACGCACCTTCGTTGCCTGAGCTTGCTGCCACACCGCACAAACAAATCTCTCTGTCCCTCTGGCTTGGGCAGCCGGTTAGTCAATCTGGCGTTGTCCGTGTGTTTGACCAGGGCGATACCGAAGGGTCGTAGGTCGTTTGGAGCGCTAGAGGAGCCCCACAAGACCGTTGATTCTATTCTGTCATGCGTCGTCGTGAGCAGTCTGTGGCGAGGGTCGTCGGCCGCGGAGCGGGCAAGGCCGTCGTCGGCGTCGACAGCGAGGGGGGCGGTGCAGGCGGGGATGGCGGCTGTGAGCAAGTTGGGAGAGTGAAAGATGCAGATGCCGACGTCCTGCGCCGGGTGGTCGGGTGTCCACATATGGCAGTTGTTCAAATGCTACAGCATCATGTGATTCGTCATAACGCGCTTGTGGCGCTCAGGAGCTTTCAGCCACACCCGTCACCACTCATTTACCTCCAACCAGCTTTTCTCTGACATACACTTAGAAATATAACATGAACACTGTCTGATTGTGCTATATCTAATGACTACGCAAGACCGCTCGCCATCTCCTGCACCAGGCCCCCAACCAATCCGTCGACTGGAACAATCGGTCATCAACCGCATTGCTGCTGGAGAAGTGCGTGTGGGTATCACAAGTCACTGTATGCCGCTGATTTTTGTGTAGATAATCCATAGACCTGCATCTGCATTGAAAGAGCTCATTGAGAATAGCTTAGATGCAGGCTCTACTTCCATACGTGTCACAATCAAGGATGGAGGCATGAAACTACTGCAAATCCAGGACAACGGGTCTGGTATCCGTGTATGTATCTTACACAAATGACATCTTGCTGCTGCTCAGACAATTGAGAAAGTAGCATGACGATCTACCCATTCTCGCAGAACGTTTCACAACATCTAAGCTGGCCACATTCTCCGACCTGTCGCGTCTGACGACGTACGGCTTTCGCGGGGAAGCGCTCGCGTCCATTTCTTATGTCGCACATTTGAGCGTCGTAACTAAGACGAAAGCAGATTCTTGCGCATGGAAGTGAGCCGCATATATGCAGATCTTATTACATGATAGTAACACCTTGACACTGGCAGAGCATGCTATGCAGATGGTGCATTGACGCCGATGAAGGCAGGTACCTCTGCTGATCCCAAGCCCTGCGCTGGAAATGATGGCACCACTATTACTGTGCGTGTCAGGATACCCCACACATTCGCACGTTGTAACATCATGACCATAGGTTGAGAATCTGTTCTATAATACACCCACACGACTCTCTGCACTACGGAGCTCCTCGGAAGAGTATGCACGTATCCTTGACGTCGTGACCAAGTACGCTATTCACAACCCGCATGTATCCTTCACGTGCCGGAAGGTGACTCGCTTTCCTTATTCACTCCCTTAAATACTTACAGAGCGTCATCTTGAAAGGCGGGTTCACCAATTCCAGACGTAACCACACCGTCAGCCTCGACAACACAGCAAGCGATCCGCTTGCTGTATGGCCAGTCGATAGCTAAGGAAATCTTGCACATGACAGTGTCTTCCCGTACCCCAGCCGAAGAGGACGACGACGAGGAAGTACCGGATAAGGGCTCCTGGGACGCAGATGCGTACTTCACCAACGCCAACTATCAGGCGAAGAAACTGGTATTCTTGCTCTTCATTAATCGTGAGTGTCATCGACACTCGTTGAGTTCTCACCGCTCATTCAGTGACAGATCGTTTGGTAGAGTCAACCAAGATACGAAAGGCAGTAGAGGCGATCTACACTGGGGTCCTGCCAAAAGGCGCTTCACCCTACGTCTATCTCAGGTCTACCCAAGTGTTCTTCTCCCGCTTAACTCACTGTTGAACAAGGCGTTGCAGCTTGAACATCGAACCCCGTTCCGTGGACGTCAACGTCCACCCGACAAAGCGCGAAGTCCACTTCCTCAATGACGACGAGATCATCGAACGTATCTGCGATGCGGTGCAGGAGAAGCTCGTTGGGCAGAGCCAGAGCCGTGTCTTCGAGTATCAGGTCAGTTCTATCTTCCACGACTAGACTAGTAGCTAAACGTGGCCTGCGCCTCCGTCAGACCCTGCTCACGGGCGGCATAGCCGAGACACCTTCACAAGACAAAGGGAAGGGCAAGAAACGCGCTCGAGAGGAGGACGAGATGGACGTCGACGAGCCCGAACCCCCACGTACGCCGTCAATATCTCCGTGTCGCTATCATAGACACTGACTAGTTCTGCTAACAGCATCACAAGCAGCGAAGCCCAAAAAGACGCTCTCCCAGCACAAAGTCCGCACATCCTTGCAAGACCGTACGCTCGACTCGATGTTCCCGGTCTTCAGCCCCTCGCAGCAGCGTCCCGGGGATGGCACGCAGTCTGGGAGCGGCTCACCGAACGCGGGTTCGGGTACGCCCCCGGGTACGCAGAGCGGGTCGAGGGTGAGGGAGATCAAGGAGTCGCAGTGCTACTTGACGTCGGTGAGACAGTTGAGGGCCGCAGTAGTGAAGGGGAGGCATAACCGTGCGTCTGCATATGCTTGAGAATCGCGTCTTGTTGCTGAAACGTTTTATTGAAGACCTCACGGAGATCCTGCAGAAACATACGTTTGTGGGGATCGTGGACGTGAACAAGTGTCTGTCACTCATCCAGCATTCGACGAAACTGTATCTTGTCAATCACGGAGCCCTTGCGTAAGTCTGCTGCATAGTCCTGCTCACCAGCTCGTGCGACCGCTGACCATGGACAGTGAAGAACTGTTCTATCAGATCGGTCTCAGGCAGTTCGGTGACCTGGGGAGACTACGTCTGGACCCTGCGCCTTCACTTCGCAAACTAGTGACCCTCGCAGTAGATGCCGAGGAGGGCGTCGAGCGGAGTAAGATGACAAGGCCGCAGATCGTCGACGTACGTAGAGATACGGGCGATTCGTGATGCGACTCTGATTCAAATCGTCGACAGTGCATTGTGGATACATTGCTATCGCGGAGGGAGATGCTGGAGGAGTACTTCTCGTTCGGCATCAGCGCAGATGGGAAAGTCGAGACACTCCCGATGCTGCTGAGGGACTATACACCAAACCTCGACAAGCTTCCGCTGTTCCTCATGCGTCTAGGGCCCCAGGTATGCTTCCCCTGCACCATGTACCTCCCCACTGCGAGACAACTACTGACGCCAATCCGCCCTGGCAGGTTGACTGGACGGCTGAGCAAGAGTGTTTCGAGAGCTTCCTCCGGGAGCTGGCGTTCTTTTACGTTCCAGAGCCAGTCATCCCGGTTTCTCCGGATGAATTGACGGAGCAAGAGAAGGTTGAGGATAAGGCGGTTCAGTGGCAGATCCAACACGTCCTGTTCCCGACGGCGGCACGTTACCTCGCTGCACCGAAGTCGTTGCTGGACCGAGATGTGGTGCAGGTGGCAAACCTGCCGGATTTGTATCGTGTCTTCGAGAGGTGTTGATAGTACGCCGTACAGTATTGCTGGGACGACCACTGTCCACGACGAGGAGTAAGATTGTTGGGTTGACAGCTAAGATGTACTGGCCTGCCTTCCGGTGGATGATTGAATTTGACTTCGAAATTGACGGGCCACTTGGAATATCCATATTCTCGTTTTGGCAGGTGATCACAAATCCTGACGAAACTGGACGCGACGCGTACGCGTTCAGCCACCCAAGCCTCGAGCCTTACCTCACTCCTCTCACTTAACCACCCACCACCCGCTTGACGATGCCTGAGCCAACTATTGCTATTCCGGTGACTTCTGAGGACCCGAAGAAGAAGAAAGAGGAGGAGGAAGCGGAAAAGGCCGATGGTAAGCTGAAGGAGGACGAGAAGGCGGGAGAGGACCTGGTGCGTACCATGGGAAGTGCATGCCTGTCGCGAATACCGGCTCACTGCGAATGCTATGCAGTCAGAGGAGGACCTCCAGCTTAAGAATGAGCTAGAAATGTTGGTAGAGCGGCTCAAGGTGTGTAGTACTGAACGACCGGTGCGCGTACCGCGTTTGCGTTACTAACGAGTCTGTATGTGTAGGAATCTAACACGGACTTGTACCGACCTGCCCTTGAGACGCTTCGGACACTTATTCGAACCTCTACGTCCTCCATGACATCCGTTCCGAAACCTCTGAAGTTCCTGCATCCACACTACCCCGAATTGCAATCATTGTACGAGACATGGCCACCCTCGGAGAACAAGGTAAGCCAGGCCCATCTGTTGACGTATGTTTATCGTACTGAACTATTGCAGAGCCTCTTCGCAGACATCCTGTCTGTTCTCGCTATGACGTACTCGGATACCGAGCCTAGAGGCACCCTCCGCTACCGCCTGCTCTCCGCGTCCCTCGCGCCCGCAGGGTCCCAAATATCAGAGCCGGGCTCATGGGGCCACGAATACGTCCGCCACCTGGCTGCAGAGCTAGGAGAGGAGTACAGCGCACGCGTGCTCGGTGAATCGGACACCACTGCTGCTCTAGAGAAGGACACGGAGGCGGCACAGGAAGCCATGAAGCCCCCACAGGTCATCGGAACCATTGACGACCTCCAGGATTTGGCGATGGTGTGCGCGACGTTCCTGCTGCGCCACAACGCAGAACCAGACGCTGTCGACCTGCTGGAGGAGCTGGAGATTGTTGACCGGATATCAGAGCTTGTGGATGAGAATACCTATGAGCGAGTGTGCCAGTACATGATTCGGTGCGTTTTACTCCTTACCCTTGGTATGGGTCTCAACTCATAGTATGCAGTTGTGTCAATCTACTCCCCACGCCAGACGACCGAGCCTTCCTCCGGACAGCACACATGATATTCGGCCAGCAACACAAGTTCCCACAAGCACTCGCTCTCTCAATACGTCTCGGCAACCCTGAGCTGATTCGCAAGGACTTCAACGCTCCGGCGAATCCGCTCATGAAGCGCCAACTCGCATTCATGCTTGCGCGCGCGCAGATCCCGCGAGAATGGATCGACCCGCAAATGTCGGAGGACGGTGCCGACGAGGGCGAGTCAGAATTACCGGAGGATATTGTAGAGTGCCTGAGCAACACGCACCTGAGCGAGCACCTCCGGGACTTCGGCAAAGAGCTAGGCGTTTCAGAGCCGAAGAGTTTGGAGGACGTGTACAAGTCGCATCTTGAGAACACAAGTGCGTTTTTACTTCTTTGTTCTAATCCACTCCTGCTAATGCTCTCTGCAGGAACGTCTGCGGCCGCGAACGTCGATTCGGCACGGGGCAATTTGGCGGGCACCTTCGTGAACGCCTTCGTGAACGCAGGCTTCGGCAACGATAAGCTCATGGTGGAGGCTGAGGAGGGTAACAGTTGGATCTACAAGAACAAGGAGCACGGCATGATGAGTGCCGCGGCGAGTCTTGGTCTGAGTCTGCTGTGGGACACGGATGTCGGTCTCAGCCATGTCGATAAGTATACCTACGTCCCGGAGGAGTACATCAAGGTCATTCCCATATCTTCTGGCGTATACTGCATGCATGTCTGACCTGTTCTAGGCCGGTGCGCTCCTCGCGACAGGTATCCTGAACTGCGGTGTACGGACAGAAGCCGATGCGGCCCTTGCACTGCTTGGCGACTATGTCGAGAACAAGGCGGCTTCGCTGAAGACCAGCGCCATCGTTGGCCTCGGCCTTGCCTACGTCGGCTCACACCGGGAAGACTTGCTGCAGATGCTCGTCCCGACCGTCAGCGACGACGGCGTGTCGATGGAGATCGCGTCCTTGACGGCTTTGTCGCTCGGGTTCATTTTCGTGGGCAGCGGAAATGGCGAGATCGCGAGTACGATCTTGCAGACGTTGATGGAGCGCGATGACAAGCAGCTCGAGGAGAAGTGGACGAGATTCATGTTGCTCGGTCTCGCGCTGCTCTACCTAGGTATGCAGTCATTGAGTGTTTAGGATTGGCTGGCTCACAGCCCGTAGGCTTGCAGGACGGATCAGATGCGACCATCGAGACGCTCAAAGCGATTGAGCACCCCATCTCGAAGCAGGCTGTGGTCCTCGTGCAGACGTGCTCGTACGCGGGTACGGGTGACGTTCTTAAGGTCCAGGAGATGCTCCACCACTGCGACGAGCACATTGTGAAGCCGTCAAAGGATGAGAAGAAGGAGGGCGAGAAGAAGGACGAGAAGGACGCCGCACCAGAGGAGCCTCCGAAGGACGACACCTTCCAGTCGTTCGCCGTTCTTGGTATTGCGTTGGTCGCAATGGGCGAGGAGGTCGGTTCGGAGATGGCCATGCGGACACTGAACCACCTAGTGAGTCGCGAAGCCCAAGTGGACTTAAACATCGCTGACTCCCGCCTATTGTAGATGCACTATGGCGAACCCGTCATCCGGAAAACCGTTCCTCTCGCTCTCGGCCTCCTCAGCGCATCAAATCCGCAACTCCCCATCCTCGACACCCTCTCCAAGTACAGCCACGACAACGACCTCGCCGTCGCGCTCAATGCCATCTTCGCGATGGGTTTGGTCGGCGCGGGTACCAACAACGCCCGGCTTGCGCAGATGCTCCGGCAACTGGCGGGCTACTACTACAAGGAGCCGGATTGTTTGTTCATGGTCCGCATCGCGCAGGGTCTTGTGCACATGGGCAAAGGCACGCTCACTATCAACCCGTTCTTCTCGGATCGCAACATCATGAGCAGACCGGCTGTGGCGGGTCTGCTTGCGACGCTGCTCGCGTTCACGGACGCGAAGGGCTGTGAGTAGCATGAGGAGTGTCAGGGGAAGATCACTGACGCATTTGTGTCTCTCAGTCGTGCTCGACAAGTACCATTGGATGCTGTACTTCCTCGTGACCGCGATGTACCCGAGGTTCCTCATCACCCTCAACGAGGAGCTCAAGAGCTTCCCGGTCACTGTCCGTGTCGGTCAGGTATGTAACGACGTGGCTCATGTCTCGACCTCAGCTGACCTCAACATATGCAGGCCGTCGACGTCGTCGGACAAGCCGGCAAGCCAAGAACGATCTCCGGTTTCCAGACACACTCAACACCGGTACGGCTGGGCACGAGCGAGCGCGCGGAGCTCGCGACGGAGGAATTCATCCCCTTCGCGCCCGTACTGGAGGGCTTCGTCATTTTGCAGAAAAACCCCGGGTACGAGAAGGAGGACCAGATGAAGCTGTAGTCGCTATCATTGACAGAATTAGTGTAATTTTGTCGCATGAACCTGAGCTTTCTTTCGCGCTTTCGCATGGGCCCTTGCTTTGAGAACGCCCCTCCTACGCCTGCTGCAACGAAATCTAGGCCCGAGTATGAATTCCTATGCGTGCTAGAACCGCTCGGCCTTTGCCGCGCTGCCAAAGGAGGCCGCTCAAGATCCTCCCGCGGTGAAACTGCCCATTGTACGAGCACAGTATGGTGCCATTCGACCTCGACCTTCGCGCAACGCGTCTTGTCTCTACACTTCCACCTGGATAGCTTGGGCTTATATTTGGTGACTGTCTTCAACGGCCACGATGGCTGCAGCGTCGACAGCGAGCGCGTCTCAAGTCAATGGGTCTGCCTTGCCGAGCCAGGGAGACAAGTACAGGGGAGCGGTGGTGGAGGTATGTCTTTTGGACGCAGCACTGTATGTGGAGGTGGACAAACATACGAACGACAGGACCTACAACTCCCACCAGCATTCGCGCTGCCGTCCGATGAGGCCATCTCACGAGCGATCGAGTCGGCCTACGAGCGCGACTTCTCGTATATCCCGTATGTCCTCTTCGCCATCCAACCATACACAGATTGCCTTGACGATGCTCGGTCAGTGTCCTCGACCGCCACCGCAAGCCCCTCGGATATCTGGACGTCGCTGCGCTGAAAGAGAAGTGGGAGGCTGGGCAGGCTGCTCCGGTATGTCTGCATCTCGTACCGTTCTCCAGGACGTCACCGAATGCGTTGTTGGGCCTGCGCACAGGATGATAGGGTCATCATACATCTGACGAAGTTCAATCGCTCGTCTTCCCATCCGTACACGATCATCACGCCGTCGACGTCGCTACCGGAGTTGGAGGAGTTTCTGCGGCACAACGTCTTTGCTATAGGTATGTCACGCCCTCACAGTCCATGAGATGCCCCTCTAGACGAATGTCCGTCTTGCCAGTAACGGACTATAGCCGGAAGTTCGTGCTTGGAGTCGCTACACAACAGGATCTGGATGTAAGTCGCTGTCTTCTTGCTCGTGTGGTTGAGCTCATTCTTGAGCAACAGAACTTTGTGTCTCGTCGCGGGTGATCGCACTCCCATTCCTGCATCATACCTCTGTTCCCCTAGATTTTGTTTTGTTCGTTTGACTGTATTCACGAGTGCACTCAGCAATCGCAGCAAGTTATGCATAGACATCTCCACTATGCGCAGAGCGGATTCCATCGCAAGTAGAAGTACATTGGAGCGAGGGTATGCATAGGGATTACGCAGCTGGATATAGGCTCTTGCAGAGTCCGCAAAGCAAGCGCGTGTAGAGGCATTATGAAACCTAGGATACGGCCTATCCGAGAGCACGAGGAGGGAATGAACGACTGACTAGGAATACATATGATGCACTGATGCACTGCCGAGTAAAGGAACGATGGTGACGCTTTCGAGACGACCTCAGCGGGAGATCTACGCGGAGAATCAGTGGACGAGCGACATGAGCCGCCGCCAGGGGAGCACGCCGAACGCTATTGTCGGCGCCCACGCAAAGAAGAGGAACGCGACGTGCTGCGAGCCAAAGGGCGTGGGCGCGCCGCGCGCCGAAAAGACGTCCGCGAGCGAGGTAACCGCACCGACGATCTGGGCGACGGACAGGAAGGTCTCGAAGAAGAGCGTCCGCCACACATCCGCATTGCGCCACGCGGGCGTGGACGCCGCCGCGTCGGAAGACGGCGGCCGCTTCGGGTCTGTGCGGCAAGTGCGACGGCGCGGGGGTTCTCGTCAGCGACGCGCGATGCGGGGGAGGAGCGCAAACGGGACCTACAGGTGTACATCATGGCGCCCTCGCCCGGGGCGGGGCTGGCGAACTCGAGCTCGGGCGACTTGGTCGAGTCGGACGCGTCGGACGGGCGGGCCCAGCGCATCGAGCCGCTCGCGGTGTCCGCGTCCGCGTCCTCGCCGTCGTCCTCGCCGTCGTACACGAACGCGCCCGTCGCCTCGTCCCAGAACACGCCGCTCTGCCGCTGCGCGTGCCCGTCCGCGGAGCCGTCGCCGAGGTCCATCAGGAACGTCGAGGACGTCGGCTGGCCGTACATGAGCGTCGGGCACACGTGGAGGCTCTCGGGGCTCGTGCGCGCGCTGCTCGAGGACATGTGCGGCAGGAAGGACATCGGCGAGGGCGAGCGCGGCGAGCGGCTCGGGCGCGCGTCCGCGGACAGCTTCCCCACGGAGAGCGTCGAGCCGGACTTCCAGGAGAACGGCAGGTGGTAGTGGCGGCTGTGGCGCGCGACGACGGGGCTGATGGGCGCGCGCCCGACGCTGTGCCGCGCGTGGTCGGACGGCGTCCGCGACGGGACGATGTAGATCATGGGCTCGCCGGACGGGGTGGCCGACACGCTTCTGGAGGCTTCGCGCACGTCTGCGTCGAAGACGGCCGAAGCGGGTGTTTCTGGCTCGGGCTCGATGGGTGTGTCGGGCTCGAAGGTCCGTGCAGAGAACCGCTTCGTGGAGAAAGAGCGGCGTATCGGGGCTGTTGTGAAGGCATCCGCCGCCCTGGGGGCTTCGCGATCCGCGGGGGGGTTGGCGGATCCTTGTCGACTGGACCACAGCAGGAACATGGAGGCACAAGCGAGCACAAGGGAGGGTATTGCGAATAGAAGGGGTATACCGGCATAACCCAAGAGACGGATCCTGAGAAGAGGAGAGATCGTCAGAGCGGTCCTCTGCGCACCGGCATGTACATACCAGGCAGGACCCGCGACATCGCATTGCAAGCCATCGCTTCCCTCGAGCGCATGCAGCTTGAGCGAGACAACAAGGAAGATCGTGAAGAATACTGCCAGGCTGCCGCACAAGATGGGCATGTATACGGGACGCCACTCTAGGGAACGTTGGCTGCGCGCTCGTGAGCACTGTACGAGGGACGGGGGTAACGATGCGACTCACAATTCCGCCATGGTGACTTTCCCCCGGGCACGCACGATCGTCAATGACGTGGAGACTGACATGATGGCGCACAGGCCAGTCATAGCGAACCATGAGAGGGTAACCAGTGCGGCCTGGACTGTGAAAGGAAGAACAGCGGTCAGCATTGGTGAGAGCATACAGAACACGGCGCTGCGGCTCACGTCTACAGAACCCTGACGGCATTGCGTACGGGTTCATCTTCCAAATCATGCCTGTATGGAGTGAGCTGCTGGTCTGCAGGACGGCGAAGTTGGGACATACCGAGGCAGAACGTAGTCTGCATCGTCGTATTGGCAATGGCGTATGACACGGGTATCCAGTGTCCTCCGAGGGCGACAACGGAGTAACGCAGGGCCACCAAACTACTCAAAAGACCTGGACATCGGACAGAAGCCGGCACCATGAGCCCACGAGTATCGCCGACGGTACACAGACGTATCACGCACCCGATAGAGAAAGAGCGAACCATGCAGCCTTCAGCGCGTACGAGATCATGCCGGTACTTTGTGGATGTGCGCTCACCGGGAGGCACGGCGAGGCATGTCGGTGTCGACGAGGTCGTGGTGCGGAGGAAGGGCACGATAGGGGCGGCTGGAGGCGACCTGGGAAATTGCGAGACACCTGGACCAAGCGGACGATCGCCCATCGGCTGCGTCTCCCGCGCCTTCCCAATCACACCATCACAGCGCGAATCGGGATCTGGCTGCTGCCACCGCGGCGTTCAGTAGACCACAGCCGCCCGCTCCGTAACCAACCCGGGACAACGGCGAAACCTGCCTCTGCGAGAACCAAAACGTGAGTGGTCTAATGAGGTAGTCTACTTGTATTCCTGAAGCTTTACCTCCTTCTCGTGCGAGCCTATCTACAACCACCGACGCGCCGGACTTCTGAACCGGACATCCCGATCAAGTCCGTGCGGCACTGGCTTTGGCGACTGGGCGGACTCTCGCTTCACTGTCGCGCGGAAGTGCCAAGCTTAGCCAAGGAGTAACATACATCGGTACGCAACGAGCGGATGTGTATGGACTTTAGCAGTTGCGTCTTGTTCTCCGGCGTTCGCGCGCACAGGCCCTGCGTTCGCCTTCGGATATGAAGTCGGCAATATCTTCAGCCCCAGGATGCTGCTTCTTACTCACAGACCTTGAACTCTGATGAAGTATATGGAGTCGACCAGGAACCCGCGGCGTCATGAATCCATTTCATTCGGTTGACATGTACACTGGCAGAGTAGGTCAGGTCGATTCAAGCCCTACTTGCTGGTATTCCTCCTCCTTCCAGTTTTCCGCATCTTGGGCTACAAGTACTGTGAAGCAAACCATTGCGCTGGGCCGGAAGACGGTGGTGGTGTCAACGTTCTTACCTACCTGCGAACTTCGAATGAGCTTATATCGCCCGCACAAACCCCGGCCGCGTTCATGAGCGATGTTCGCCAGCCTCTCGGTCACTGTATCGGCGCAGAAATCACATACGTCTGTCTTCCATTCCGCCATCTCAACGGTGCAAAGGAATCGCGGCTGTACGTGTGTTTCCTATCCCCACCAGGGTATAATCTAGTCTTCCGCCGCTTGCTTCGTATCCACAACGCCCGCAATGGGGTCGTTCACGGCTTGCAGCGACGAGGCCAGAACGGCCGGCTCCCCGCGCCCCTGGCGCGACGCCAGACTGCCTTCGCGTGACGGCGGATCGAGCACGTCCGCCTTCTCAGGTACCCAATCCATCGAGACTGTCACGTCGATGATGTTGGCACCAATGCCAATGGGGAAGTCGAGCTCCTTGCGCGTCAGCACTAGCTTGGTGCTCTGTCCGGCCGGGGTGCGGGGATGGGGCATGTGGAAGGTGGGAATGAACCAGAACCAGCCCAGGAAGACCTGACGCGGGTTAGCTGATTGTTGCTCAGTGGAGGGACATATCGCCGACATACCTGGCCCATGTAGAGCTTGACGCGCACCTCCCGATCAGCACTTAGCACGACACCTTGATTGTCCTTGAGAGTCTGCGTGACGTCGTTGATGGACGCGCCCTCCGACTCGACGCGCTCGTCCTTCGCGCTATCAGGCAGCGGCTTCTCGTCGTTGTCTTGCACCTCCCTCTCCTCATACTGCCTTATCTTTTCCCTGAGCTTGCCCCAGTTGTCATCTGTCAACGGCCTGAGGACCCGCGTCATGACCTTTCCGTCCTGATTGCAATCACAGTAGTGGCGGCATCAGCGCTCATCCATCACCAATGCCGCTAGGGCCATGCACGTAGGCGCGGCGGGGGCTGGCTCACCGTCTCAGTGTCCTCCTTGCGGTAGTCCTCCTCCCGCAGCACGCCCAGGCGCGCGAACGGCCTGACCATCTTACCCTTATCCCATCTGTCGTCCTTGAAGACGTCCTCGAGCGCGTCGTCGCCCACGCGCTCGCTCCCGGGCTTGCGGCGGCCCATGTTCCCGCCGTCGTCGCGCGTCCGCCGCTCCCACCGCTCGAGCGTGTCGACCAGCCCGTCGTCGTACCGCGCGAGCGACACCCACACGCGCCCGCCCGCCCGCGACGCGGGCGCGATCTCGCCGGAGGGCGCCTTCGCGTAGCTCGTCCGCTCGAGCAGCGCGTTCGCGGCGCGCATGAGGTTCACCTTCACGCCCGACAGCTCGCGCATGCGCACCGTGACGTCGGTGAGGCGGACCTTCGGCGCGGCGCGGCGCAGGGCGCCGGGCTCCGTGGACCAGAAGCCTGGCGGCGCCTGGTGCGCGATGAGGAGCGACCAGTAGGAGAGCCACCTGCGCTGGCTGGGGATGCTGACGCCCTGCTTCGACTTTTGGGCGGGTGTTGTGGGCCGCTTCATCCGCTTGGACGTGTGCAGCTCGAGGACGCGCGCGAGGTTGTCTGCGTGATCGGCTCCGGCGGCCTGCTGAGCGACGCCAGAGCTGTCGTCCTCGGTGTTCCCCTGGATGTCCAGAGGCAGGGGCGTCCCAGGCTCCGTCTGGGGCGGCTCTTCTGGGGAGACTTCGTCTGAAGGCATTGAGTTCATCATCTGCTGTGCACGCGAGGTGGCTTCGTCCTTCGCTGTTTGACTGCGCCTCATAGCACTGGGGCTAGGAGCCTCGTCTGAGGTGAGGAGGTACGTACAGGCCATCGTACCTGATCGACCCTTGCCCGCTTGATGAGAGGCCTACTCAGTATGCGACAATGTGTTTAGTCTTGAATCATACCTTTGCAATGCAGGACGGCGACCCGCCCCTTAGAAGGCTCTAGCCACGCACGCATCTCGCGAGCGACTAATGGAAGGATGGCTAATGGTGGCGCGCTGCATAAATACGCTCATCTCAATCATTCGTCGAACAATGCGAGAAGTCGCCTACTTACTGGTGGTCAGGAAAGGGGTATCGACTGACCCTGCCGTCGAAAATGCTGGCAGGGTAGCAGTTCTCGGCGACAGGGCAGAAGTTGAATACCCAAAAGTTCTTGCCGTGACGATGCTCCAAGAAACGTTTGGCATCCTCCCGCCGGTTGCGATACAGCGCTTCCAACCCTGAAGCAGGATATCCCATGACGATCACTTGCTCAGTGATGTATACAAGATCTGAACAGCTCAAGAACTTCAGTGACACGGTTGCAATTCTGATGAGCAGACTCACCAAGGTCAATGTCCAGCTCATCATCCTTGTACCGGGCCTTGTCAAGCGAGACAAGACGACGAATGAAGTCTGTCATGGCCGTGAGTGCTAACTCGCTCAGACTCAGCAGAGCGGTGTGGAGGAACGCGGATGCTCCTCATTGATCATTTCAGGCCATTGTCCCCGTTGGCGATGGCGCTGCCAAGGGCCCAAATGGCCGACCGTGTGATGAAGTCATAGTGTGCTGCCATATATGGTATGCGTAGTGATGGTCGGCAACACCCGGCCCGTCTTTCCAAGTCAGCAGGGTTGCCAGGAGTGCATTCTGTTCGTGAGTAGGTGTGAGTCAACGCCGACTGGGCGTGGTACCAGAAAGAGATTGGTAAGCAGCCGTAAGGAGGAGTTACATGGGCACTAATTCCCCTTCGACACTCGCTGGAATCAGTTCTGATAGAGGTGAGTCATGAACGTTTGAACTTGAACTAAGGGCCAGGAAAATATCATTTCAGTGCCCATCGATCTTAGTCCGAGTCCGAGAGATGCAAGCTCATTCCGCATTCACAGATCCGAGCAAGTCCTCCTAAGCAAAGGTTACATTCCGTCATGGCTGCTGTTCCTCTATCCGAATTGTCGCTTTACCCTGCGACACCGGACCAAGTCCTTGAATCGCGTAGGCGTCATGCGCATCAGTGGCGTAGGAAACTTAGCTTTGAGGACTACCTCCTCAGGGATCAAATTATGGACGCACAAGAGCAGTCTGTGGACAAGAAGATGACCACATGGTAGGCAACTCGACCTCCACAGTGTCTTTGCAGATGATATCTAATAGCAGTCTCACGTAGGGTATTAGCTCCTCGGACAGATCCTACCACGCTTGACTTCATGTGTTCATGTGAGATGTACGTATCCCCTACCTCGTTTCTTGGCTGAAATGTCTGAGGTAGGCCGCAGCTTTCGCCGAATAGCGATCTCTGCAGATCCCTCAGACCCGGCCGCGGGCGCGAAGCAAGTGATCACTTGCGCCATAGCATCCGTGTTCACCCCGCCTGAGAAGCGCAAGAAGGGTTACGCTCAACACATGATGCGCCTCCTCCATTGGGTCGTCGCTCCTCGCTCAGCACTGCCCGATTTCCCCGAGGCTTGGGGCTCTCCGCCCGAGGTACCCGAGGAGCTCGGGCTGCAGAAGGCGCAATTCTCTGTTTTGTACAGCGACGTCGGCAAGGACTTCTATCAGCTGTGTGGGCCTACCGCTAAGCCAGGTGGTGGATGGCTTGCGAGCGGAGCAGTTGAGACGTCCTGGTATGCGGACAAGGCAGCCACCGGGTCGACTCCGGGAGCGACATCGCCTCACATATGGCTTACCGAGGACGACGCGAAGCACGTATGGTCACTAGACGTGCCGTTCATGAGAGCGGATGTGGTGGAAGCAGCCATGACCTCCGGTCATACTACGATCTCCCTCCTTCCAACCAAGGGCGTTGGTGCCTACGTCATACAACGCACGATGAGCTTCGCGGCAGATGGGACATCAGTGCTACCCCTCGACACGTGGGGCGTTCTGCTGCTTCCGAGCTCTGTCGTCGGGGTCGATGAAGTCTTCGCGGATCTGGAGACACAGCCCACGTACGCTACCTGGACTCTGGACAGCTTGAACGAGACGTCGCGCGCGCTGGTGACGACCCGCGTGCGCGCTTCGAAGGAGACCTTGCCGGCCCTGCTCAAAGTGCTCACGCAGTTCGCGCTCAAGGAGAATATTCAGAAGGTCGAGATGTGGGGATTGCCTGAGGGCTTGCAAGCCGTTGCGAGCGAATCTGGCTGGAAAACATCCGAGAGGACGGACCATGTATCAGCGTGCAAGTGGTACGGGAAGGAGAACGAGAGCCAGCTGAAATGGATGTTCAACGAGAAGTAGGTGTTCGCCTTCATGACACATAAGAACCGAGTTTGACGTATGGCGATAAGGTTCTCTTGGTGTTAGGTGCGGGATACGACGCATCCTCCAATTCATGAAAAACGTTGTACATTGCAAAGCTATCTTTCAGTCCATCTTCGTAGACATCATCTGTGGCACATTCAAGAATATCGTAACATTGTGAGGCACGCCGACGCGGTGATATCTACAGAGCAGTCCCCCATCCAATCACGCTGGGGCGTACTCCGATATGACACTCACGGGCTCTCTGTACTGAGCTATGTGTTTGAAGGCGACGTCATGCAAGCTGTGGTAGACATGTCAGAATCATTCACAGCAAAGAAGCGACAAAAGTACCAACCCGAAAGCAGTCGGACCTCCGCATGCCAATCCCTCTGGAGTACTCGACCATTTGGGGTCGGCCGCCATGGCGATGACGGTGACTCTCAATCCATATCTAAATCCAAATCTGAGTGCTCGTAACTCAGACATTGTGATAACACAACACACCGATAATCCGGGGTCCCGAGCGCCGTTCCGTTCTGCGAGTCTATGACAGTGATGAGGTCTGGCACGGTAGCCAACATCTGCAAGTGGCCAAGACTTCAGCATACCTCCATGCCGGTTACGGTCTTATCATTACTTACCTTCTGGAGCCCATCTGGAGCCGCCAGGTACGCATACAAATTCTCGTTCTGGAATGGTATGACGAGGCGGTCGTCCGGGAGATATGCTGGCGCCGTCGCGTTCACTGAGCCTGCATCTTCTTCCTCATCCTCCAAAAGAGGTACGATAGTGACTTGACCCCAGGTGAAGCCCTTGCGCACCTCCTGATCAATGGTGTCAGGCTTATCGAGAGCGTGACTAAACGGGACGTGAACTCACTCGTTGGACGTCAACGATTTTACCGACGAACAGACAAGCGCCGTTCTGCAATCCTAGAATTGCAGCAGGTATACCCTTCAAATTGTTTCTCTTCTGGCAAAGCGCGACTGCACGACCGATGCGCCATGCTTGAGATACGCTACGTATGACCCCTATCATGACAGGATCAATACCACGAACACCATTCATACAATGGTTGTGTTACCATATTTCTGGCAATTCTTGCGGCTGAGAGGAGACATGCTGACTCCGCTTCTGGAACCCATTTCCGTTGTCGCGCTACGTAAAACGGTCTCAACCATTTTGGGCGTGCTTGCTGATGGCATGACCTGTGTGAGCAGATGAGCGTGCGTGGCTGCATGATGCTGTACTTGATACTTACCACCGTGTTCCCCACGCCGTCGGATATCGCGCAAGGCCACAGGCCGCCAGGGATGTTGAAAGCACCAGGAAGGGATTGGTACATCTTGGTACATAACCACAGTCAATTCCTATAAAAGAGAGCTTGAGTAGAAAGACGCACGTTCGGATACGCGCGACCCATAAGATCAGCGTCCAGAACTTTCTTGCCCATCTCAGCCGCGACAAGCATGGGTTGTATACCGTTCCCTCCTCCGATTTCATCAGAGATGACGCCTGTGAAATCGTCGAGGTTCATGTACGTCATCAGCCTACGAATCGACGTGGGTATCTCGTTTCCTCCTTGCACGCGTTCGATCTGCAGACGAGATGGTAAGTTTGCTACCAGACTGTGGCAGCCTTATGATCGTACCGAAACGCTGGGGGATCCCTACTTCGATGTTAGTGTGATGCCATAGGGTGGACGTGCATCAAGTTCTCACCATAAACATGCAACGCAAGAACAAAGCGTCTTCTGCGATATCATCCGGGTCGACGACCTGAGCTATGGTCAATGCCGGTTCAACTGCAGCTAGATCCAAGTACTGACAATGATTTCTTTCCCATCACGCAGCAATTGGCGGGCCATCAGGTAGGGCGGATATGTCGTTCCGCCCCCACCTGTGCCTAGAATACCGCAACCATCTGCAATCCACTCTGAAGGAGGGGGATCATGAGTCTCGGGACATGCTGAGCCGACGAACACAACGCACTGAGGTCAAGCTCGGATATACTCCAAGAGCGATCTGGTCGGATGTTCGGCGTGTAGGTCTCGATGTCTACAGCAACGTCCTCCACAGTGTCGGTCAGAACCGTCTTATCGTCTTCAATGGAGTTGGCGATATCCTCAGCGTCCAGTGCATCATCGATTGAGGACACGGAGGCCACTACTTCCGGTGCCAAGTCACCTGCAGCTTTGACAATAATCCGTGTTGCCTCGTTCGTAACGTATTGCACAGGAAGATTGGTGACTTCGACGACCCTGACAGTCGCTGTGTTGAAAAAGTGAGTGTGGGGATTGCTTATGGTTCCTATGTATTCACCTGGATCTGCGCCGCCTTTGATGGCCTTCTCGATAGCCTGGGCCTTGATACCTTCGATGACTTCGTGTACATCGCGACCTTGCAAAATCTCGATGGTGTCAACTTCTCCAGCAACTACGAAAGCAGGAGGAAATCAATCAGCAGGGGAACCGGTCGCGGATCAGAATGGGACATACCTTTGGCCATTGCTGCACCGACAGCGTTCGCAACTCCGAAGAAAGGCGGCCGTATGATCTCTCCGACGCCGGCCAGTTGTTCTGGTGCGATAATACTGCCGCCGCCAACTAACAGGACAGTGATGTCCTCGGGGGAGGTTTTCATCCTAAGTCCAAGTTGTCATTCCAAGCATGCATGCGATGCCAAGCACTACACACTTGTCGATGATCCCTTCTATTTGCTTCTTCATCACTTTGCTGGCCTTCTCGATGACTTCGGGCTCGATGCGAGCGACGTTGCTCCTTTCTCCTAGGTCCGCACGACCGTTCGCGACAACAATGTCAGTCGTCGTCAGTATGTCTCCTCCAAATACCTTTGCGTCTCTTGTGATGTAATGTCCGACAGAATCGGGACCAACTACCACGGTGCGGCCCTGAGGCGTCTCAAACACCTTCACACGAGACCCACCTCCCAGCCCAATCGACTGCACATCTGCCATGGAGAAGTTCGTGCGTACGCCTCCTACTTCAATGAACGACGCTGCCTGTCGCGGGAGCCCAGACTGAAGAAGCACGCCCACATCGGTAGTCGTACCACCGACGTCGGCAACAATGATCGACTTGCGTTGTTGTGATATCTGTTTCTCATCGAGGCCAGCCAGGAACGCGGCACCTCGCATCGAGTTCGTTGGTCCCGACGCAAACGTACGGATCGGCAGTCGCGCAGCAGATGCTGCGGTGGTGAGGGTGCCGTCGTTCTGCGTAAGGAATAGAGGGCACGTGAGGTTGAGAACCTTCATGGCAGCCTGGAAGCCGCGGATAGTTCTCTGGGCGAACGTCAGGATGGAAGCGTTCAGGATGGACGCATTCTCGCGCTCTAGGAACCCGACTTGTCCAACTGCGATGGACGATGTCAACAATGATGCAGTAGCGAAAAAGATTGCTTTGACCATTTCGCGAGCAGACGACGTTGACCCCGTCACCTAAGACTTGTCGGATGATCTTGGCAGCAGCTTGCTCTTGTTTTCCGTCATTATCGAGCGGAGAAAACACGCCGCAAATGACGACCTGATGAGGTTTAGCTTTCTAAGAGGTCCTGACGAGAATGTAGTGAGCCCTTACATTCCTCAGACCCTTCCTCTTGATAATGTTGCACTGCTCTGTGATCTGGTCTTCGTTCAAGGGAAGAATTTCACGACCATCAACTGTTGCTCGCATTGAGCACACGCTTCTCCTTGCAAGAAGACGCACAAACTTTGAAGACCACCGTCGACGTACCCCACGTATCCTTCTGTAAGAGCCCGCAAGCGGGCAGGGAAGTCAACGAAGGGAGGACATTGCTTCGTGTATGGTCCACAAAGGCGGATGACTGCAACTTTCGCGAGGCGGCGTGCGTCCGCCTCGAGCACAGCGTTGATGAATGCGGTTGTACCAATGCTAAGGGAGGAGACTGATGTTGCAGCTACATCTGCATTCTTCAATATTTCTCGAACAGCAGCTTCGATACCCTGTGAGACGTCTGGAGTTGTCGGTGCCTTGAAGTGCGCGAGAACTCCGCGGTTTGGCTCGTGCAGGCGTGTCAGATCGATGAGTACGCCGTCGGTGTTCGTACCTATGAGGCCTCATAGGTCAGTAATCATGTCCCTTCTATACAGAGAACAATAAGACTGGAAGAAACACGAGTTTCACAACTCTCATGTAGACTCGAACGACAGCGGCCTTGAAAGTGCCACGCAACAAGACCCTCCTTAGCAAGCCCTAAGGAGGTCGACACAAGTAATATGGTTCTCGTGCTTGCCTATCGCATAGCATCACAGTCTCTGCTGAGGGCAAAGATTGCATGGCAGACACCATGAAATATTGGTCGACATCGAGGAAAGGGTGAACTTGAAGTCAAGGCGTTTGAACGTTTCCCCATTTGGATACACTTCCTGAGATCCGATCGATACTCACCGCCAACGTCAACTCCGATGCGCAACATGCTAGTGGCGACGAGTTTAGTCTGTCGAAAGACGCGGTCCGCACTTCGGACGACGCACTCCTTAAATTGGAGGAGGCCTTATCAAAACGCTGAATTCAAGACGAGTCAGAAGATCGGTCCCCCAGATAAGCGTTGCGGTTTCGCCGAAATCCCGCGATAGCGAAATCCAAGCAAGCCGTCGTACGTGTTCCTCACTCGGTCCTAGCTTCTGCATCCCCTATGACGGAAAAATATACAACATTGTTTTTGGAACGGATACACCCTTTGCTACATCAAATCTACAAATAGATGCCTAATCATGTAGTACGACTCCCTGCGCCAGCGAAACGTAGATTGTGTTTGAAACATACATCGCCGTTCAATCTCAGGCAAACTCAGCGATGACGCTGTGAGGCGGTTTGTACTTCGCAATAGGCGTGAACTCCACTTGGTTCAGGCTGTCAACGCATGTTGAGTTGATTATCCATTTTACATGTGAATGAAGGACATTACCCAAACGCAGATGGACCACCGGTAGTCAATCCTTCACTCGTGGTCGTCCATTTGGGGTCCGCGGCCATAGCGATGACAGTGACGCGCAGACCATATCTAGCATTCGACCTTAGGCATGTGAACGAACGGCCGAACTACGCTCGACTCACCGATAGTCAGGCGTTCCTAGCGCCGCGCCGTTTTGTGAGTCAAGCACGGTTATCAAGTCGGGCACGGTCACAAGAATCTTCAGACAGATTATGAGTCGCTAATTGACAAAGTCGAATGAGAATTAGCATTACCTTGCTGCTCCCGTCCGCTTTCTCGAGACACGCATACAGGTTCTCATTTTGGAATGGTATGACGAGGCGGTCGTCTGGTCCATACGGAACTGGGGCACTGCTCGCACTCGCGATTCCCTCTTCCTCCTCGTCCTCCATGAGCGGTGCTATTTTGATTGAGCCCCATGTGAACCCTTTGCGGACCTCCTGAGTATCCAATAGCCTGAGTCGGGATGCCATGAGACATGGACGTGGAAACACTGACCCTCGATACATCGACAATCTTTCCGATGAATACACACGCGCCGTTCTGTATCTCTAGGATCTTTGACGGGATGCCCTTGAGGTCATTCTTCTTCCTACAGAGTGCGACAGCACGCCCTAGGCGCCAAGCTTGGGAGACGCTGTGGGTGACACCTAACGCATATATGCTCGGACAGACATCAAGTGATAGTGCAGGGGAACCTACCGAAGTTCTGACAGGTGACTCGCTTGAGGGGAGGCATAGTCAGCCCACTTGAAGACCCCAGTTCGGTGGTGATGGTGCGCAGGATAGTCTCGACTGACGTTCGGCTGCTAGCACTTGGCAGTACCTGGCGGAGGTTCAGACGCTGTGCGCAAGTCGTAGCATGAAACACATACAACGGTATTGCCGATAGCGTCTGAGATGGCACAAGGCCACAACCCGCCTGAGACGTTGTACGCACCGGGAAGACTACGTGGGGCGATTAGTGCCAATTGAAGCCGCTGGGAGATAGAGGAACTCACGTTTGGTAGAGCTAGTAGACAAGACAGGGTTCTCATCATCATGTAAACTCAGCACAGAATACAGACGTACATTGGGGTATGCCCGACCCATGAGATCGGCGTCCAACACGGTCTTCCCCATAGTTGCAGCGACTATTATAGGTTCGAGCCCATTGCCGCCCCCAATTTCGTCAGATATTACGCCGTAGACGTCGTCGTCCAACTTGAGACCCATATACGTTGTCAAGGCGCGCACGGCTGCCGGGAGCTCGGTCCCGCCCTGTAGCCGCTCGGACTGCACGAAAACAGATAAGCAAACCCAAGCATATACCCATGTCGGAAAGCGAGCGCACCGATACACTGGGTGAACCCTACGACGAGTTAAGACAAGTCCCAAACACACCGGATAATCACTCTCACCATGAACATGCAGCGCAAGAAATACGCATCTTCTGGTACGTCATCGGGATCCACGACCTGTCATACTGCTCGAGTACTGCTGATGCAGTCGTAACATTGTACTTACGAGGATTTCCTTTCCTTCGCGCATCTTCTGGCGGGCCATCAGGAACGGCGGATAAGTCGAGCCTCCGCCGCCAGTACCCATGACGCCACATCCTTCCGCGATCCACTCTGCAGCGGATGCTACTTAGCGGTGTGATACGAGATTGATACGTCGATATACGCACCGAGGTCGAGCTCAGACAAAACCCACGATCTGTCGGGTCTGATGGTCGGCTTGTACTTTTCGATGTCAATGCTCTCTTCCTCATCGACATCTGCTGAGGCCGCCTTGTCATCCTCCTTATACTCATCCTCGTTCGAAGCCTCTAGAGCGTTGTCAATTGCACCAACTGACGCCACTGCCTCAGGAGCCAGATCACCAGCAGCCTTGACGATGATGCGGGTCGCTTGGTTGGTCACATACTGCGTAGCGTGTCAGCATGAGTCGGGGAAGATATCGACCATGACCTTACTTGGACAGGAAGGTTGGAGACCTCGACGATCTTGACAGTGGCTAGGAACGTCTGTGAGCCAGATGAGTTGCCAGACGAATGGCGAGGCTAACCTGGATCTGCCCCTGCTCTGATCGCCTTGTCGATGGCCTGGGCCTTGATGTTGTCAATGACGTCGTGAATGCTCCGACCCTGCAGTAGCTCAATCGTATCGATCTCGCCAGCGACTGCAGTCAAACTGCCTCAGTGAGAGCTTTTGAACCCGACGTGATCTACTTACCCTTCGCCATGGCCGCGCCAACGGCATTCGCGACGCTGTAGTGAGGTGGGCGCAGGATCTCACCCACCCCCTCGAGATGATCCGGAGAGACGATGCTTCCACCGCCCACAAGGAGGACAGTGACATCTTCCGGCGACGTCTTCATCCTAATTGATCATCGTCAGTACGTTCCTTTAGATACTGTTCGAGTTGTCCCATACTTATCAATGATGCCCTCTAGCATTTTCTTCATATTCGCCATGGCCTTATCAACGATATCGGTGCTGAGACCCGAGACTGCCTCTTTCGTTCCCACCTCTGCACGACCGCTAGCGACGACGACGTCCGTGGTAGTCAAAATGTCACCACCGAACACCTTCGCATCCCGCGTGAGGTAGTGTCCAACGGACTCCGGGCCGACAGAGACATGGAGTCCTTGCGATGTCTCGTGTGCCTTCACGAGCGAGCCTCCACCGAGGGCGATGGACTGCACGTCCGCCATCGCGAAGTTCGTGCGCACACCTCCGACCTCGATGAACGACGCCGCCTGACGCGGGAAGCCCGACGGCAAAAGGATGCCTACGTCCGTCGTCGTCCCGCCGATGTCCGCGACGATCGTCGACTTACGCTGGGCGCCAGCCCTGTGCTCGTCCAGCCCCGCGAGGAACGCCGCGCCACGCATAGAGTTTGTCGGCCCGGAGGCGAAGGTGCGAATGGGGAGGCGCGCGGCGGAGGCGGCGTTAGTAAGCGTGCCGTCGTTCTGCGTCAGGAAGAGCGGGCAGGAGAGGTTAAGCGCATTCATGGCTGCTTGGAAGCCGCGGATGGTGCGTTGAGCGAAGGTGAGTATAGAGGCGTTGAGGATGGTGGCGTTCTCTCGCTCGAGGAAGCCGACTTGGCCAACTGGAGTGGACAGTCAACATAGGCGAGCGAGGGTTTTAAAAATTCGAGAGATGTACCATCGCGTGAGCAGACGATGTTGGCACTTGGGCCTAATTCGCGCTGCATGATCTTCGCTGCCTGGACTTCGTGCTTGCCTTCACTATCCAATGCCGTGTACACTCCACAAAGCACCACCTACATATGGTGTGAGCATTCGATTACGCATGAGTGAATCGAAATCCTGACGTTCTTCAGACCCTTTTCCCGTATCAACCTGCATTGCTCGATCAACTGCTCCTCCTTGAGTGGTCTGATTTCGCGCCCATCGACTAATCGTCGTTAGCGAACACATCCAAGATCTGGAAAAGCTAGCCTTACTTTCTAGTCCTCCGTCAACGTACCCGACATGGCCTTCTGTCAAAGCACGCAAGCGCGGTGGAAAGTCGATAAACGGAGGGCACTGCCTAGTGTAGGGACCGGAAATCCGGACGACGGCAACCTTCGCAAGTCGCCGGCCATCCGCTTCAAGTACCGCGTTGATGAACGCCGTGGTTCCGATGCTGACGCAGGAGACCTTCTCAGGAGCGACGGAGGCGATCGTGAGGACCTGGCGCACGGCGTTTTCGATGCCATCTGAGACGTTTGGAGAGGTGGGCGCCTTGAAGTGCGCAAGCACCCCGCGCGTGGGCTCGTGAAGACGAGTTACGTCAATGAGAACACCGTCGGTGTTCGTCCCTATATATCATGAGTGAGTTTGCAGTCGCTCCAAATTGTACGTGCAAGAGTGACAAAGGAAGACAACGGTGACTGAGTATCCACTCTCATGTCTCGCAGATCCATGTCAATGGGTCGATCAGAGCAGTATTGTGCGGCCTGTTGTTCGCATAGATCATGAACCACGCAGACGCAACAAACAACGTGCTTCCCCAATAGCTGGCGGGATTGATGCAACAGTAGCGACCATATCGTCAACGGCACTCACCTCCAACGTCGACGCCAATGCGCAGCATGTCTTGTTAAATGTTCGGCTATTGGGAGTGTGCGTGGATGCGCAGCTGATGAAGCTGCTCTCTCGCGATGAGAGCTTTAAATCCCTCCCTCCCTCCTTTGCACCCGTCTTATCGGTGCTCGGCGAGTCGAACAGGAGGCCGTAGCGATAAGCTGTGGTTTACACAGGAACAGCAGGCTCGTAAAGCACTCGTGCCTTCGACCCGACATGGATCGCAACGCCGAGTGATAAGCAATCACTTCAATGACTCGAGCGAGCTGCCGCACGTACCCCTGGGCCCTGTCCCCCTGTCCCCCACGCCGAAGAGCGGTAACACTTAGGATGCTCCTCACGCACCGTCAAAACAGCAATATGTGTGCCTCGAGTCCTTTTCGAGCCAGGAAGACGTACTGCGATATGCGCTTTCTCAGTGCTGTACTGCCAGCGCCGTGATGATTGGGCATACGACGTCCTCCGCGCATTTGGCTGCGAAAGACCGGGTTGAGTGGTGAGTGAACAGACAACTGTGTCCCGATGAGATGATTTCGCGTAGTCAGTATGATTCAATTGTGGTGACTTGGTCGACGTCGATAGGTATGTATCTGGTACAATTCAGAGTCGAGTCCAACATTGACGAGACGCGGGATTCAAGTCGACGGTTGGTCAACGGAGCTCTGGGCAAAGCGTGATATGACAGTAACGCGTTACTCAAGATGGCTGCCAGAAAAGGAATGTCACGCCAGATGGGACTCATCACAAAGTGTGACGCCGGTCAGTCAGCGACTCGCGCCACCACCGCGGCCAGGGAGAGCAAAGCCTTGTCGGACACCTTCACCAGTGTTCCTCCTCCAGTCCTCTTCCACTCGTTTGCGCACAGCTAGCTCCGGTTTAGCCTCCTTGAGCAACATACAGCTTCAGGAATCCCCACCCGAGACATGGCTTCAGCATACTACGAGTTTTACCGCGGGTCCTCGTGCGTATGACCACCCGTGTGCAGGTTCTACAGCTGACAATGCAACGGCCTTGTGTCTAGAATCGGCATGGCATTGACGGACTCCCTTGATGAGCTGATCACGAGCGGCGCCATCACGCCACAGCTAGCGATGAAGGTCTTGCAGCAGGTCCTGTGGCGCACCCACTCATACCATGCCCATGGCTGACAAGTGCACCCGTCTTCAGTTCGACAAGTCCCTCGCTGATACCATGGTCAAATCGGTCAAGAACAAGACTACCTTGAAGGTCTGTGACCCTCACTATCCTACTATTCCTGGGTGGCTCATGGTGTCGTCGCACGTAGGGACATCTGCACACCTACCGGCTCTGCGACGACGTATGGACGTTCATCGTGAAGAACCCAACATTCAAGATGGAGCAGAACGAGCTGGTGTCCGCGGCCAAGATCAAGATCGTCGCATGTAAGAACGGTGACGCCATAGAGGCTGGCAAGAAGTGATAGTCTCCCGCGCCCCGTGTCTCCCGCTCGTCCCACTTGTCGCATCGTCGTCGTTCGCATGAAGCCATACCGTATGTTCCGCTGTGCGCGTTAGTGAGCTTATGTATTTGCATGTATCATAGGTCATGTCCTAGACGGAAGACTGTATGGACTATGTCTGTCACGCTGGGATTAGATTCGCTCGTGTTTCAGTGAAGGCGGCGGTAACCCATTTGATATGCGGTTCGCCTCAGGCAGCAGCATCGGCGATCCGTGTCATACCCAACTCCTCGCCGCAATGAGATGCAAACTGATGCCAATGCAGTAAGCAGAGAGCCCAAGCGGCGCGCTATGCGCGAAGAACAGCATCGCAATGGGAGCATACAACTGATGCCAACTTCTACTAGATCCCATGCTCGCGACTTGCTCCCTATGATGCAACGTGCTGCAGGTGCCGAGTGTCTAGCAGTGTGCATGTTGTTGCCTAGTGCCGGCTCAGCGGCTCAGCGCTCAGCCCCAACACCATGCAGCTCTACAGAAGACCGACAGGTACGTGTCTATAGTCTCACTTCCCTGCGAGTGGCAATCAAGCGCTACTCCTCAGATCCCTGCCTCATTCTCGTCGATCCTAATCATCATACGTGCTACCGGTCAACCAGACACGAACAACGTCAGCAGCACCTCAGGTTCGTCGCCCACCCACAAGGCCGGCGACTTGACGCCTTCCAATACACGGGTCCCGCGGTCGTCGGTCACCTGCGACTCTGCACATCTCGGTGACGTCGCATCCACCCGCCACAGCTCGACTCCCGAGGATTTGCATCGCTGCGCTAGGTTACCGCACGCCCGGCGTCTTGCTCGGGCCACTAGTCGGTGTTCAAACTTTCAAGCAGAGCTCCGCGCCTGAGGTCATGCAGCTTCGGCATATTGGGGCGGGCGATCCCCGTTAGAGGGAATTGAACGACTAGTATGTCGAGAGTAACGTTGGATGTGTTGGGGTTCACGGCATGCGAGTGAATCTGCGAGTGAACGGGCTGAGTATCAGAGGGAGAGTCGAACTGGGAAGCACGACAGCCCCTCGGCGGAAAGTTTCACTGCCATGAGGCTGTGTTGAGTGACCAGGTGAGTGGCCTGTATGATATCTATAACATTATGGGACGACGGTGTCGATGTGGCGCGCGTAACTCGCGTGGCAAGCCACGAGAAACGCACATGGAGAGCACATGGCGTCCACGTTCGCCGCGTGGCCTCAGCCACCTACCGGCCGGGCGCTCTCTCCTCCCCGGCGCCTGCGACCCCCGCCCGAGCTGTCCCCGAGGCGGGATTTCCGCGCGAAATGCAGGACAACTCAGTACCGGGAAATAGGACCTGTGAGTACACAGGTGTTCCCGAGGCCTGCAAAGATGGAAGGGAATACAGAACATGTCAGTAATGGGAGGATGGGACATAAATACCAGGAAAATAGCCAACATCAGTACCGGGAAAACAGGAAGACAAGAAATATTGCTGAATGTGTACCACAGGCCGGGAAGCATTGAATTAAAATGCAATCACAAGACTGAACATATTGGGAGCACCGGGAAATCAGTACCGGGAAATAGGATATCTGAGTAGTACCAGGAAAATGACACATAAATACCAGGACAATAGGGAATAAAATTGCCCTGATATTCTAAAAGTCAAGCATATCACTGACAGTGTACCACAGGCCGGGAAGCATGAAGATTAACACACAGAATTGAATAGAACTATGCTGCCAGCCCATGGCTTCGGCTGGCAATGCCCAAGAATATAACCTTCATAGTAACACAAAGCACAGAATGAAAGAACTGCCGCCAGACCTGAGGCGAAGCCCAGGTCTGGCATTGCCTAAGCTTGGAATCTTAAAAGTAACATGAAGCACAGAATGAAGAAATCACCCGCCACGGGCTGGCAATGCCCAAGCATATAACCTTCAAAGTAACACAAAGCACAGAATGAAAGAACCGCCGCCAGACCTGAGGCGAAGCCCAGGTCTGGCATTGCATAAGCATGAAATCTTAAAAGTTACATGAAGCACTGAATGAAGAAATTGCCCCGTAAACCCGTGGCGAAGCCACGGGTTTGCGATGCTCGTCATCATAAAAGAATGGGACGTCGGGGTCGATGTGGCGCGAAAAAGCCACGAGAAAGCCACATGGAGCGCACGTTGGCCGCGTGGCAAACCATGTGCGCCCAATCCTTACCACTCTAACGGGCCCGGCGCCTTCCGCTTCCCCGGCGCTTGCGCGGTCCCTGCCCGACGCGTCCCCGACGCGCGCGAAAGGAGCGGCGGGACCTTGAACGGGAAACCCCTTCGGCAAGTCAGGACATTTCAGCGGGTTTCCCGAGGCGTCGCGGCGTGTGTGATGGGCAACGGGCATGATGACGGGAGGTAATGTTGACAGGAAAGCTGCTCTCGGGCGCCCTCCGCTCACCAGTGTATCCTCGCCCGAGGTGTCCCCGGGAAACTTGAGAAACCCATTGGGAAATTTCTTGAGGTGTTCCCGAGGCATCGTGGCGGGTGCAAGGAGGTAAGTACATAACGGGAACCAATATACACACCAGGATATGCCCTCGGGCGCCCTCCGCACTGCAGTTCAAAGGAGTAACATGTAGCATTGAGTACCGGGTACGCCGCCAGCCTGTGGCTCCGCCACAGGCTGGCATGCCAGAGCATCTATTCCAGTAGGTACACAAAGCATTGACTAACGGGTATGCTGCCAGCCTGTGGCGAAGCCACAGGCTGGCACGCCAAAGCATTTATTACAATAATTACATGAAGCATTGAATTTTCAAATTGCCTGCAAGACCCGTGGCTTTGCCACGGGTCGGCAATGCACAAGAATATAACCTTCATAGTAACACAAAGCACAGAATGAAAGAACTGCCGCCAGACCTGAGGCGAAGCCCAGGTCTGGCATTGCATAAGTATGAAATCTTAAAAGTTACATGAAGCATAGAATGAAAAAATCGCCCCGTAAACCCGTGGCGAAGCCACGGGTTTGCGATGCTCGTCACCTAGTAATGAGCGTCTGCGCTGATCCATGATGACTAGCGCTGCATGAGTCGCGCGTGGCGACGAATGCATTGGACGATGTGGTCTGCAGAGGTGTCATCATGATGTAACAGGTCCGTATGTCGAAATTATACCATTATAAGCACATGTGGCGAAGAATACCTCTGAGGACTCACTCTTGTCTCGTAGGTTACTCAGGTGCGTCTTTCTTGACGCCCACAACTGTGGATCAGGTGTATAGTTCAGTGTTCAGACGTCTTCGTGTTCCTGGAGTCACTACTGAACAGACCTCGACGCATATTCAAAGCAGAGATGGGAGGCTCATTTTCAGGCTGGCACGCAGGCCTGAGTGGGCCCGTGATCCTCGGCGAGCATCATTGGACCGAATCGGACCAGGACCCATATGTCGGGCGAACGTTTGGAACCCGCTGGGCAGATAAGGTCTTCTTCATACATAGACTTGAAATTGCAAGCTTAATACCGCATTGACTACTTACTCCACGTGAAGTAGAATGCGTCAAGAATTCGTCTCGTTTCCCTGCCGTTCTAGCGGGTTCAGGTTGCCGAGTTTGTACTGCTTGCGTTCGGGAGGCAGCCCTTTTGCTTCGAATTCCGAGTCTTTTGACTGTACATTGTCCAACCTATTCCCGTATAGAAATACCACAGACAGTGGACTTTGGCGCGCTGCGAGTCTGCTTGCAATTGGAGTCTGCGAACCTGAAGGTGTACTGAGTGCAATGGCATTACCTCAGAGCCACGCGGAACGCGTCGCGTACACAAAGACAAACAACGCGCGTGTGGGAACGCGTCTCGTCACGCTCCCGTTACACGACCCGCGTCTTTCTCCTGAATGCCACATCTTCCTTCCGCACGTAACGTCTGACCATAACAATGTCCACACGACTGATGTCCTCACCGCCATCAACACCGTCACGGCCGACGCGGGTGTACCAGTATGGCTCGCTCGGCCACCAGCCACTCAACTCGTCCCCGCTCGCGTCCTCCGAGGGCTCGTCGCCGGCCTCCTCGCCAGGAGTCCCGTCATACGCGCGGCGACGCGCGCAATACAAGTCCGTTGAGTCGCACTCGGTCAGCTCGCCTTCGGCCTCGCGGAGGCAATCGCAGCGACGGCGCGTGACGCTCGGCGGGGACCTCTTCCAGCCCATGCCCCCTACGGCGTCCGCATCCACGCCGACTGTCCCAACAGAAGAGGCTCCGCGGAAAGCATTCTTGAGGGAGCGATTTAGGGCGCGATGTCTGGAGCGCGCACAAAAGGATCGCGAGCGGAAGATTCAGGGGAGACGGAATGCGATCAGTGAGGCGAGCAGCGAGGGGGAAGATGAGATGATGGAGGACGACGAGGATGAAGAGGAGATGATAAATGACGAGGTATGTGGGTCTATGCGGGCTGGCAGAGTTACTGAGCCTTACGCGCCTGTAGCTGTTCCACAGGCTGGTCGCGAGCGGGAAGCGGAAAGAGCAGCACGCATACCGCCTATCGTATCAAGTCGACGTTGGCTCATCTTTTGATCCTGTTCTGGAGGAGACAGCAGAGTGGGAGCACGAAACTGTTGGTAAGTCGCGTGTAGTACTGATGGAACCGAATTGATGGTGACGTTCCAACGCCAATGCAGACCCGCAGCATTCGAGCAATCCATATGATCTGGAGGAGGAGGAACTCGCAGCATATGCCGCAGAGTACGATCTGCATCTCGAAGACCTCAATCCGGACGAATTCTTCACCCACAGTGATCTGGACGATTACCCCTTTCCAGAAGAGGACATGACTGAAGCTGCTCCACGTCTGAACGGCGCAAGAGACGGGCCTGCGGGGCATGCGCAGGATGGAGACATCGAAATGGTTATGTGATTTTGTATCGTATTTCGCTAGAGAATTGTTGCTGCCTTGCTCTGATCGCATTTGTATTTGTACCCCAGGATGATGTTTCAATTGCTATCGTGGACTTCGGGCCACTTGGTCTGCTAATCAGCGTGTCATGCCTGGAATGGAGAATCTCAAATAACGGGGTCTTTCGCTGGTTCATACCAACCTCCCGATGTTATTGGTGCGGCAGCCTAGCAGGCATGCGTGCTCCTTGCGTGCTCCAACCTCAATTCTCCCGAACGCCTTAGTGTGTGCCCGACCCTCCTCCCTATCAATGATCGCTCACTTGACTTCATATATTCATCGCAGCTTTCTTGTCGCCGACGGTGCCACCACATTCAAATGTCTGCCCACGGGCGTCCCGAGCATGCCGGTTACTTGTCTATCTCTCTACTCCCTTTCAGTGCACATGTGGTACAATCTCGTGGGACGTGGTGCTTGTGCACATGGTCCGCGTGCGGGTTTGAGGCACTCCGGTGTCTGTCAACGCTAGGTGGTGAATGACTGAGCTCTCCGACGGTCAACATCAAGGACAAGAATGCATCTGTGAGTCTCCAATGCTCGCTTCACCGTCTGTCTCGCAAACGAAGTCTGACTCGGATAGAGGATGAGGTATACGAACATACAGCTGAGCAATAGAGCGTACATGCCAAGGTAGTGCAGCACGTCTGGCTTCATCAAGTGTCTCACTGCCTATACTTGGCCTATACCGGATTACTTGCTGGACTTGCGTCGATAACCCGAAGCTGATCCGACAGATGGGATGGACTACGCCACTCGGCCCTTCGAACTCGACGTCTAACTATCGGGAGCCCATTTTCCCGACTTGTCAAGCACCGGTATACTATGGCTTTGGAACGACAGCCTCGTGCTTCGTGTTCACGTCCGACGGGATACAGTAGCCTCCTCTAGGCTTGTACCGTGGCGCTTTCCAAGGCCTCGTCGTCAGGGGCTGGGCATCGCCGCCAATCTTCTCCCACATTCTCGGCAGCCGGGAGTGGCTCGAAGCCAGGATATTCCGTGCGTTGCGCACAGCTTCTGGGAGATCGAACGAGCAGGCTGATTCGCATTCGTTGTGCACGTAGGTGTAATCTTGGTCGGCAGAACGTCTGACATGCATCCCGTCCCGCGGCCCTCGCTGCCTCCTGTCGTGATCCCGGAGCAAAGGAGGCTCGGTTTCATTGAACAGAGTGCGAAAAGCTCGGATGACACAGGCGCCGGATCGTACAGGTATGATGGCTCTGCTGAATCCCCTTTTGCACGCACTTGCCGTTCATCTCTCGCTGGCGTTGATTGTACCTCATGACTGCATGAGTTTGACCCCCGTCCGCCGTTGCGTGAGGACTGCCCTGTGGCTGACACTTACACACGCACCCTTACCAGAAGCACCCTGCGCCAGGCAACTGTCACCCCTTCTCTCGCGCTATCCTACTTGCGGTACCGGGCGACTCGGCGTGGCTGCTATCTTCCGGCGCTCGATGGTCAGCCATCCGGGTGTACGTAACACTGTTGCCTCTTGTTGGGCAACTCGCTAGCTCGCAGCGGCTAGCACCTTCCCTAGCGGCTATTGCCACCGTCCCCTCGCCCTCGGACGTGCTCCCGCTCAGCACAATTCAACTCAGCCACTGGCAGCCGCCATGCACCGGTGACGACTGCTAGACAAGATACCGGCTTGGCCGCACGCGCGTGACGAAGGTATTAAACCCGCTCTTCCCCAGAACCGCCGTGATTCTTTCGTGCCCCCCAATATGTTCGCGTCCCGGCGTCATCTCGTAGACTGGTGAGTGCTTCTGCGACTCAGAGGTATACCGACTAGTATACTCATGACCAATGCGGCGATTGCGGCCAACCACTAACAGCGCACGGAAGCAGCAAGAACTTGTGCACAAGCGCAGCACTCTTCCACCGATCTACTCGGAACCGCTCACCGACGATGACCAGAAGATACTTGGGCTATCTCTCTCACAGGTTGCCTCGGAGTGCAATGCACATACCATCGCTCCAAAGGCCGTATTGCACGTGTATGGCAAACGCGCTCTCATGGCGCACGACGCGACGAATTGCCTCTCCGACTTCATGATCCGCGATGCAGAACGCGACGTACCGCTACAGAGGCCGCTGTCCGGGGTTGTTATCAGCATCAAGGACTGCATAGACGTTGCGGGCTACGATACAACCCTCGGATTCTCCGCCAGAACCGGCAGACCTGCGGAGACGTCTGCACCATTGGTGAGACTGCTGCAGGATGCCGGCGCATTGCTTCACGTGAAGACGGCTGTACCCACCGGATTGCTTTCCTTCGAGACCCAGTCTGACGTCTTCGGTGAGACACTCAACCCATACAATCCCGCATTCTCCCCTGGCGCGTCGACGGGTGGTGGGGCGGCCCTCGTAGCATACCAAGGCTCCATCATCGAAGTCGGCACAGACATCGGCGGCAGTGCACGATTCCCTGCGGCTTATTGTGGTGTCTACTCCGTCAAGAGCTCTGTCGGGCGTTTCCCGGCTCACGGATGCGTGCAATGCATGCCGGGCCTGGAAGCTTCTCCAACGGTAACGTCGCCCCTCGCCCGGACACTTGACGATTTGCGCGAATTCTGGAAGCGAGTAGTGGAGATGCAGCCGTGGCTGTACGATCATACCGTGCGTGCGCGTTTCTTGCTTCGTCACATGCGTCACCGCTACCGGTGTCAGTACTCGGGGCTCCCTCGCTGATAGTATGGGTTTCCTCCTCCCGCTTCTCACGACGTACAGTGTATCCCGCTCCCCTGGCGCCCGGTTGACTTCGTGCTCAGTGGCCGAAAGCCGAGATGGGGCGTTATTTGGTCCGACGGTAGGCATTGCGTTCCTGATTGACATCGACTTCTTCCTGACTGTCTTCGTTTAGACATTGTGCCTCCTTCTCCTGCGTGCCTGCGCGCGTTACGGGAGGCCGTAGATTCCCTAAGGCGAGCGGGGCACGAGGTCGTTGACTTGTTCGTGCTCATATCTGTACTCCGGAGATCGCGAATGACGTATCTATCCCCAGCACTCCTCCACCCACTTTAGATGGTCTCAAAGCCGGCTTCCAACTTCTCTTCGGCGACGGAGGTGAATAGCCGACCAGACAATTGTGGACGAGAGTTGAATCTTACGTCACTCCAGGTATCGCGTTGCATGCTCCGCGTCGTCCGGGGGAAACGATGAATGGCGCGCAACGCAGCGTGCAGCTGATGCTCTCCCTGCCGCTCTGGGCCAAGAAGTTCCTGGCATCTATGTACCGCCTCCTCTCGCGTCCGGAGGGTCGGAATGAAGCGTGGGCTACCCTCCTAGAAACGATCCACCCAATGACTATCGCCGAGGAGCACGTGCAGACCGTCGCGCGGGAAGCATTCAAAGAGGCATGGCACAAGGCATGGCGAGATCAGGGCATCGACTTCGTTTTGACAGTGCCACATGCCATCCCTCCCGTACCAAGAGGCGGCACCGGTACAGCTACGCTTGTTTCTGCGAGCTACTGTTTCTTGTTCAATATTGTGCGTCACTTCCCTCTTCAGATCTAAAAGTTGTCCGCTCACAGCTCTGTCGCAGCTTGATTATTGTGCCGGTATCGTTCCGGTTACGTACGTCGACGAAGCTCTGGACCGGTTACCAGCGGACTTCAAACAAGGCCGTGAGTATCAGAATATGAACGACATCGCACGCGGCGTATACTCGCTTTATGACCCGAGTGGCATGCATGGGCTTCCCCTCGCCGTGCAAGTTGTCGGGCAGAGACTCGAGGAGGAGAAGGTGCTCGCTGGGATGGCGGAGGTCGAGCGTGCGCTGTGGGACGCAGGGCACGGCTTTATAGCCAAGGAATTCTGACCGCTCCGGCGAATGAGCAGGTGAATCTATTCCAAGTTGGCTGTAGTCTCTAGGCCGGTGAGAGACGAGTCAGTGGGGAGTCTTATTACGTGCGCGTGCACAATACAGTACGTTGTCAGCGGACATAACGTCGGCGAATAGTCAGAACAAACTTGATCTCAACTTGTAGACATATAATCCTTATCGTTTCGGTCTTTGCGTGGGTTTCTTGACTATACGTCACCAGAATTGTACATCTTGTCATCAGCTTGTCATCTGTACTAGTACACCGGCTATTTTACACAGTCAATCACCGGTAAATTCCAGGGGGTCGGCGAGGGGGGGGTGTAGTAAATAGTAGGGTAAAAGACAACGAAGGGTCCAGTATTTTGCCGACCACTGAGGACAACAATACACGGCTTGAGCCTATACATCAATTAAGAGTCAATACGAATTGGATGCATACGCAGAGGGATACCATATATCATGGCCATTCAAGTTCTTTTGATCGTCCTCTGCGAATGAATGAATCAATCCGTGCGGGACTAGACGGGGCATAGAATGCAGCAGGAAGAGGGTGCTCAAGTTCTCGGTCACGGTGTATGTCGTGCCTTCCAGTGGCGTAGTAGTTCGTGTTTTGACTGCTAAATCCGGACCTGCGCTACCTGAGCACTTCTGGACCTGTTGATTGTTTAGGGTTGAGGGGGTATGCCTCGCCCTTGGGCGGTGCTGTGTCTTTTATGTCCACAGGCACTCGCTATCAAGCTATAGAGTTGGTTGTCCGAGTCGCGAACTCCATGCACGATGAGCGAGCGATGTCAATGAAGTTAACGTACCTCAACCTCTCCTCCTCCTCCTCAACAATGCTCGCTCAAGACGTGCGATCGATCTGGCCATGACCAAATGCGGATACGACACTGCTCCATACGGCGCAAATAGTACCTTTGTTATCCCCAACTACTCGAGTCCACATTGCAGACTCCACTCAGGCTACTAATCCATTTCCTTTGAAAGTACGCAAAGTACGGACAACTTGACCTCAACAACATCGTTGATATTCTGCTGCCACTGACACGTGCGTACATACTTCGAACGCGGCAACAGCCACCTCAAATGGAAATCGAACTGTGGCCTTCCGGCGTACCATGAACGGCTCGTCCAAATATATGCCTCAAGATTCCGACAGCATAGTCTCGTTGACGTCCCCATGCAGAACCAAGAGACTGGGGTCTAAATCGTCCAGCACTAGGTCCTGCTTGCCAATTGTGCATACGAGCTCCTCGGTCTTGCTCCGCAATTGTCTCAAGCACCTCCGCAGATTCGATGGTCCATCGACATCCGCGAGAACAATGATAAGACGTTGCAAGCGTTCGACAGAGGCATCGAGTTGACGATTGCAGATCGAGGCAGTGATGCCGCGTATGATGTCGTATGCATCGCTGTTCATAGCGGCGCACTCGAAGCGTGCACGTTTCAACTTCGGCCATGGGAGCGGAGCATGATGTGCACGCTGCGGCAGTGGTGTGGGACCAATGTCGGATAGGAATTCGTCGAAAAACCCCAGGGATGGACCGGCAAAGTCAATCGCCTCGATGTGGGGGAACATATCGTATAAGCTCTTCCAGCTCTCGATGCCAGTGGGATCTAGCCGCATATCGTAGCATTCATCGTCCGCGATACAGATGCGGAGTGTCGTGGCGGATGAGAATAATGATCCTAGCTCGATCATGAGTTGCTTTTGGAGGGACCTTGTGTTGTGTACGTCGCCGAAGTCGCAATACAAGCCGACCGAGGGTTCGCGGACACCAGTATGGTCTAGTGCCGCTAGCATGAAGCCTTCGACCTCCACACGCTCGGGTTTAATTTTAATTTTGATCTTTTGTATCGTAGAGAACATCGGGAGAAGTGTCTTGTCATGGGGAACAGCGTCAGCGAACACTGTGTATCCGGGGGATAAGTCGACGATGCCATCCATGGCGTCGTCGATGGATTCCTTCCACATGATGATGACGATGGTGGCAGTACGTGGAAGGGCGACATGTGCGAGAAAAAAGGACAGGCTCCTGTGTCCCTCGAACTGTGAAAGATAGAGCTTCCGGAGGTGTGGCAGCTCTATGGTCTGACGGCCTGCTGGTGTGACGACGGCCATGGAGTCAGCACTGAACTCGTTCAACTCGAGATATTCCAGAGCTGGACAGCCGCTGAGCGATATGAATAGTCCGTCCCAGCTGTCATACGACATCGACACGAGTTCGAGCCGCGTGAGACAGCGCGCATTGACGATGCGTACTCTTGTCCTGAGCCCGACGAGTGTCAGGGACTCCAGCTGTGGGAGGCATTTTCCGTGTATAGAGACAACCGAAGAACGAAGAGACGAAGAGCGGTGCTGCGCGATAGGCTCTGAATCATTCAAGATCAAGGAAGACAGGGACATCATGGGATGCTCGACGTAGGCCTCGAAGCTACGTGTGGCCAGGTGCGTAATTCGGTCGATATGCGGAGAGAGTGCATCCACAAAGACTTGAGGAGCACTTGCTTTGATGAGCCGCGTGTCAAGTGAGAGGGCAGCGCCGCGGGATCGGCGTAGGTATTTCTCGAGAACTTGAAGTGGCATTCTGAGCGTTATTTTGGTCCATAGCACCGCAGAGGAGACCGCGGTGTTGTACCAATGACGGCAGACGAGCAACACAGTTACGAGCGACGGTTTCGGATTCAGAACAGGGTACTGTGCGCATACGAGTCGCAGTCTGAGAATTTCCGTGAGCAATTCGACCGGTAGCCTGTTCACCGCCGCAGTTGCATTGATCAGGTATTGCAATTTGAATAAGCAGTCACGCATAGCTGTGTGGTTCCGAGTAGGCAAGTGCCGCAAAATATCCTCGGGAAGGGGCGACGGTATGCGAAGAAGTTGGTCTGAGTCATGATCAGAGGCCATCGCACTACCTGCCTGAGCGATATGTGAGCAGACCCTCCCTCGCTATGACATACTATCTCTGGGGAAACCTACAAGCTCGCTTGTACTGGACTTCTCCTGATGATTGCTGCGTGCTCTACGCGCAAGTGACAAGGAGCGATTCGCGATCGGAACAGCTGCAATCAAGTTGGCTGCAATTCCGAGATCGTGTCTAGTTAGAAATTCAGACACAATCAATCAAGATGTCAAGCGGCACTCACCTGAACGTTGGTTTCGCGACAGAGATGTACAGAGAGCCAGGACCGACTGGGCAGCCTAAGTCGCGGTGTCGACTCGGACTCGTGGTCGTGAGCACTGAGCTTGCTGTCACAGTGTCACCGTAGCAGGCGTGTCACGCGGTCAAGAACATCAGTGCGCCGGCGACTTCGACTCAAACTGGACTCAGCATCACCTCAAATCGTTACAACGTCAAATCCCATAAGCATCAGACGATAGTATCGAGTCTCGAGGCCGAGACGTTCCGATATGCTAATATCGGGTCTTTTCCGCAACGTCCGAGCCCTCGCTTGGTCAGCACCGCGTTAGGAGATCGCGACATCGGACAGTCTCATTGGACAGACACGTCGGACAGCTTACATCATCCGCGCGCTTCCGAGTCAAACATTCAAACCGCCTGTTGTAAGATTCGAATTCCAGAGTTGCAAGAGCCTGCATCCGGTAGCATTGACTAGTCTGGTGTAGTAAGGTTCTGGGTGAACAAGGAAAGTGGTAATATGCCTCTGATTGCGGCATAGCTCCGAATCGCCCGGGGCGGCGAAGCCGCCGCGGGCGAGAGGAGCACTGTACTGTACATACTATAGGTGCTCACAGGTCACTTGAAATATTTTTGTGTCGTTGCCTTCACATTGGTGCATACAACAATATGCATATCGGATCCTGCCGGGCGTAGCAGCGGCGAATAAGACAAGTTGAACAGACATGCACAGAGATGGTACATGTTTTATCATATACTGCCCTTACTGGCCAGGCGGAGCCAAGCGAAGCAGTCTGTCGTCTTTCCTCTCGTAACATATCATGGAATCGCGTCAAGGATGAGTGTCTCGCGAGAGCTTTCGTCCCAACCAACAGACAGTAAGCTAAAAATACAGCGACGTAACGAAACGTCCCACTATACAAATGCCCGATAAATAACCAGACAACAAACCAAGATAAAATAGCGCTAAAATACATCCACCATGCTAGTGTTTGAGCACGAATCAATCATTCGACGAACCAGGACGCCCACGTCTTCGGCGAGGTGCTACGGAAGCATTGAGTGCCCGACCCAAGCGCGTGATGGCCGACAAGAATCTATGTTGCTCACCCCTCAAATGTGGGCTCCGTACACACGACCTCCTCGATTCGGCTCTTCAGCCACTTGAGCACGTCCGGCCCAAGCATCGCGCAATCATGCAACTCGAGATGTCGCAGGCGCGCGGGGCCGAGCCCAAGGCCGGCCGCAGCGGTATTGGCGTTGTACGGCCCGTGCAAGTCGGGGTTCCGCGCCTCCACCATCTGCACAAGTTTGTGCACGCCGTCCGTGTGCGCGTGGCATCCACGGAGCGCGAGCGTGGTGAGGTTCGGACACACCCAGTGCTCTGCCTGCGCCTGTACCTGCGCAGGCACCTGCGCGTCGTCGTCCGAGGCGCCGAGTGCCGTGAGCAGCGGCTCGAACGGCGCCCCGCCGATCTGGAGTGTGCGTAGGTGGTCGAGCTCGCTCAGGAAGTGCCACGTCGCGACACCCGCACCGCCGCCGTAGTAGAACGAGCTGGAGCCGGAGCAAAGCGTGTAACTTAGCGAAAGTCGCGAGAGTGGCGGATTGTTCGAGCGTGCGAGCAACGCGGAGACCGTGTCCTCGATCGGCTCGCGTGCATCAATGTCGAGGATAAGCGACTCCAGCGACGGCAGAACGAGCGCGTCTGCGAGGCTCGACAACAGATAGTGCCCGCCGAGCGTCAGCGACTTGAGCTCACGCAGTACGGTCGGCGTCAACGGCAGCACGGGCGGATTTGGCGAGCTAAAATGTAGCGAGAGCGACTCGAGCTGCGGGTTGGACGTGATCATGAACATCACCCGGTCCAGAGCGGGATGCATCGTTGGCAGCGTGCGGATCGACATGGAGCGCAGGTTGCGCAGCATCGGCGACGACCACTTGAACGGAACGTTGTTCAGCGTGAGCGTTTGTAGGTTGCCGATGTCGACAACCATATTCGACGGCGCGGACGGCAACCATTTCCAGTCCCCATAAAACGCGGGCTCGGCCGCCGATACTTCAAATTCCTCCAGAAGAGGCGCGTCACCTGCGACAATCGTCAGTGCCGATCGTCAGGGTGAGCGCTCATGCTCACCTTCGATCGCCCTGAGTGCGGTAACGGACGTAAATTGCTTCTCAAAGCGGAACACGAATCGCCGCCAGCGATGCATCTGTTCCACCAGATAGAAGAACGCTATGTGGCCCCAGTGCATGTTCTTCTTGTTCCGCTGATGACTCGACGCTCTCTCGCGCTCGCTCGAAGCAGAGACCGCTGCGGGCACAAGTGGAGGCATGCCCCACAGATCGTCGTGCGCGTGGCTTGCTGTGTTTGCTGCGCCGTGCGTGTGCTGGACTGCAGGGCCAAGGGCCGGAGGTGGCGGAGGTGGGGGGAAGAGTGCGATGTTTGTCGGAGGCGCCATGATATACGCCGTTGTCACTCCGCCCATTCCGCCTGGAGTCGCCGCAGGCATTGGCGGCGGTATCCAGCCCCAATCCGACACTGTGTGCGCCGGAGGCGAGACGCGACGCCGTGGGGATGGCTCACTTGAGGATGAAGGATGCGAGCGGAGGAGTATCTCGATGTCTAGGGGCACTGTAGATCCCGAGCGTTCCAGCCAAAGTCGTATCGTATCTGCGGATGTTGACTGTGTGGTAACGAGGCGAATCTGGTAGTCATTCATCGTTAGCCTCTTGGGTGCACATAAGGCTACGCCCCATGAAGGAAGGAGCCATAACAACATGGGCATCTGGAGCATAGCGAAATGTATTTGTTGGCTTCCACAGAGGTATTTCTGGCCGAAGTAATATTCGGCGCGACGGATAGAAACCAGCGTCATACAGAAGGTATTTGTTGGCTAGGCGGGGCAGGACCACCAATGCCATATGAAATTCTCGTTTCGTAGCCGGACAGATATCTTGGTATCATAGCATGAACAAGGATCGCACATGAAGGTGCAGTCCCTCATCTACCAAATCCCTGTTGCTCGAGACTGCCAGACATTGTCCGATTCCCGCGTGCGCCTTGTTTCCAAAGATGACGTGGCCATACAGACCCATTGCGCCCGGACTCGGTGCATAACATCATGACTAGAGCTGAGATGGCTGGAGCGGGGATACCACGCAAAGATGAGACACAGTGGAGATACGGGTTCGCCATATGTGAACCCGCAATTCCGCCAGGAAGACCGTGATCTAGGGATGTCTGCCACCGTTGTGAATGAGGTCTACCCGTCTGACGCCGATGATAGAGGAGATAGAGTGCACAGTGCCGTGAACATCGGAGCTCACCTTGGACCACATAGTCGGCATGGACAGTACCTGCCTCCGCCACAGTACGCATACCGCTGACAACACCCACGCGCAGCACGGATACTCCTCGAAGTTGAGCAGGAAGATGTACCGGAGCAGCTCGTGCGGCAGACGGCGGATCGGAGCGACATACGCGAGCGTGTGTGCGACCTGCTCCTGCAGCTCGTCGCGCTCCTTCTCCAGCTCATGGATCCCCCCCTTCGCGATTGCAACCGTGCGCGCAAGCTCTTCCTCGGCCGCCCGGATTCGGTCGGACAGCGCTTGGACCGACTGTTGCTTCGTCGTGAGCTCACGACGAGCTTCCGCGAGGGTCGCCTGCGTTGGAGGTTCGGGGAGGGGTCGATTCGGTGTGTAGGGGGCCATGGGGCGTTGAAGACGGTGAGAGGGAAGGGCAAGACGAGTTCAGGCTCTGGACCAGGCCCTCGTGGGCGGCCCGCCGAGGCACATGAGTGATCTAAGATTCAATTCTGCGACAACGCCCGTCCTAAACGCCGTATGTTGACTGTCTGATTGATGCCGGAATTGCCCTCAGAAATAAGCAATAACGACGCTGAGTTGGACGTTCCGGTAAGCTTCTCTCATCGGATTTGACAGGAGAGGGGTACACAACAGGGGCGCTTACGAGTAAGGTGACACTGGGCCAATGCACGGAAATAATGGAAAGGACATATGATAGAGCCTACCCGACAGCCTCGGAGCGCTGCTATTGAATTCACATTCAGAGGATCAATATGTTCTCCCACGGAGCTACGAGCATCAATGCGTTGCACCGCCATTGCGCGGTAATATCAACGGTGCGACGCGTCGACGCCGATTTGCCCGAAAGCGCTTTATGTCAAACTTGAAGGTCCGGACATGATAACCACAACCATACCGATGATGAAGCGAGGCTCGATGAAGGGGAAAGCGAGGTCACAGTGGTTCTAATCAAAGTCAAGGGTCGAAGGCAGCAGGCGCGGTGGTATAATACTGTAGCGTGACGCTGGAACGGATAACTGCAAAATCGTCAACATTCTCGGACTCGGACAGGCGTGCGTCGACATGGGCCGGGAGCCCGTGTATTATTGCGTGCAAAGACGAACATGTCTGTTCATACGCGTGGGTAGGCGGCCGACCTCCTCATACTTACCGGTGCGCCTGACAGGTTTCGTCGAGTCACCGCTCGAACTTCAATCAGCGGCGGGCAGGTGACACCAGTGTGCGCAGGCGTAGTGAAACGTGGGCCTACAAATTTCGAGTCAGGTTGATCTCCTTTCATGTCGTTGAAATCTCGTACCTCAAACTCTCGAAGAGGCACATGATTATCGTCGATGCATCACTGCGACAAAAGCCTGGCGTCCTCATCGTCTAACACCAGGTCTTGTCCATCAATGGTGCATACGAGTTCCTCTGTCGCGCTTCGGAGCAGTCCCAAGTACGTCCATAGATGCGGCGGCTCCGTCGGGAACACAATCGCGAGGCGTTGCAAGCGTTCAATCGAGGCAGCATCTCGGCGGTTGCATATCGTGGTGGTAATGGCTTGCATGACCAATCCCTCCTCCGGTTCATCTAGCGAGTCGGCGCCGTGACTTCCCGTGTATTCGAGTCGTAGATACTTGAGCTTCGGCCACGGTATAGGAGCGTGAGCAGGCGGCGGCGGCGACGGACCAATGTCGAATAAGAAATCGGTGAAAAAATCTATAGTTGGACCGCCGATATCCAGGTCCTCCATTTCTGGAAATGCGTCGTATAGGCGTCTCCAACTCTCCGCGACGGAACCTCCCTGGTTCTCGTAGTGATCAGCGTCGGCGACTATGATCTTGAGTGCTGTTAGGGACCGAGGAAATATCGTCCCTAGCTCGAGCATGATCTGTTTCTGTATGTGACTTGTGTTGAACAGAGCGTATAGGTCGCAACGAAAGCGACTCGACCGCATGTCGATCCGGGGTTCTCGCGCAATTGGCATTGACGCGACAATTTGTAGACATGTCTTGCTGATCAACGTCTCTACCTTTCGGATAGAAGAGACGAGGGGCCAATACGTCTTGTCATCAGGAATGAAGCCGGCCGCAATCACTAGTCCTCGTAACTCGGCATAGCCGGCGACATAGAAGTCTTCGGTGCCCAAGGCAGCAGCGCTAATCTCGACCCTCACGCTACGCGGAAGGGAGAGGTGCGCAAGAATAGAGCCGAAGATGACGCGGTCGTCAAATGATGTGAGAACAAGGTTTTGGAGGTGCGGGAGCTCGACGATATGTTGGCCATCGTGCATGGGGATGGCCATAGGGTGGCCTGTGGGGGATTCGATCTCGAGACACGTAAGGGCGGGACAATTCCTGAGCAAGTCCAACAGCTGGCTGGCTGACATTTCCTCCACTTCCAGCGACGTCAGAGAGTTTACATTGACCAGGCTTGCTGGCATCCTGAGCCCATAAAGTTTCAGGGAGCACAGCCTTGGAAAGTGGTCGCCGCGTATGACGATGGTCTGACGACTGCTTGATGTAGAGTGGTGTGCCAGGGAGAGTGGGAGTGTGATGCAGTCGTCAATGATCAAGGAGTAAAGCCGTTCCATGCGATGCTGGACGTACGGTTGGATACTGTATGTATCCAGGTGTACGACTCGTTCGAAGTGCGGAGAGAGCGCTCTCATAGTATCTTGAGGAACCGCGGCGGACACGGAGCTGTTGGTGACGAGTGAGAGGCTAGCCCCGCGTGATCGGCGCAAGTATGTCTCGAGGATTCGAAGCGGCATGCTAGACGTTAAGCGGGTCCACAGCCTCGGGAAAGAGACCGCACTGTGATACCAATGGTGGCACACCAGCAGTACGGTGACGAACGACCATTTCCTAGGACAGTTGACCCGAATGAGTTCCAGAATATCCGCGAACAATTCGGGCGGCAATTTGTTGATAGCGAGGGCCGAGTTGATAAGTATCTGCGCTTTGACTGCGTATTTCCGCAGTTCCGTCGCATTCAGACGATGATCGTGAAGTTGCAGGTGATTAATAGGTAGGGGTGATGGTGTGCGGATGACGTCCCGCGCAGACTCGGAAGCCATCGTCACCGTCGCATCTATAACAGATAAATGAGTAGGTTGCCAATAATGTTGGACTGTTTTGTCACCCACGAGCTAGCACGATTGTCTCCGCCTCAGATATACTGCAGTGTTGCGTTCTTGATGAATTCCTGCGCCGACGTCACACTGGCAGTGCAGCTATGGCAGCTGAGCGCGAAGAATGTAGCCAGCAGTAAGAAAACGGACCTTACATGGATCACACGATTCAAAGACGACTTATACGACTACTCACTTCGATTACGAACCTCAAGGTCCCAACAGTATTCACGGTCGATGAGCGAACAAATGATGATGGGGAACCAATGGGGGACGGCAGTACTTCACAAACTCAGTGGCCTGGGCGCGATAAACATGTGATTGCGATATTCGAACCTTAGACGCCGGCGCCTCCTCCTCCGAGCCACTGTGGCACTAACTTACATAACCTACACAGTAGTACAGTACATTACACTCGTAGCGCAAGTTGTCCTGCCCATTCAATCCAAACGACGTCCACCATCCGAGGCGAAGTCCGAGACCCCCGATACCAGCACTAGCGACGTTACCTTCTACTCCATGACAGGATCGACCTCCATCAATTCCTCCCCGCCAATATTGCATACAAGGGTATCCGTGGCGCCTCGCAATCGTCCTAAGTACGTCCGCAAAATCGGCGGCTCCGCGGGGAACGTCAGTGTGAGATGCTCCAAGCGTTCCACCGAGACGGTGTCGCGACGAGCACAGATCGAGGTCGTAATGGCTTGCATGACCTCCTCCAATTCGCCGGCGTCTGGGTCCGTCCCGGTGTACTCGAACTTGATTCGCGTTAACTTGGGCCAGGGCGGCGGTGTGTCTGTCCTGATCGATTGCACCGGACCGATATCGTACAGGAAATCAGTGAAGAACTCGAGTATTGGTTCCGCAGCACAGAATTCCTCGACCTGCGGAAACGCTTCGTAGAGGCTCTTCCAGCTCTCTGCGAGTTGAAGAGAGCCGTCCCGCGTGTCATAGTAGCAGTCGCTGTCGTCGACATACATATGCAGCGCCGTCAAGGACGAGGGGAACACCGTGCCCAGCTCAGACTGTATTATTCTTTGAACAGACCTAGGATTGAAGGCATCCGTCACGTAACCGGTAGTAAAGGTGACCGACGTGCCACCGATATGAAGGTCGTCGTCCATGGCCAATGCTTTGACTTGCACAATCGAGTTGCTGAGGTCACTTCCGACCCGGACGATCCTAGTCTGCACGGCTCTTATCGCAGGAAATATGGGTAAGAATGTCTTGTCCTCCGGGACGATGCCTGCGATCACCGTGGAGTCCGGTAGGTCTACACTCTGACCCATAGCGAGGATGTCAGCGTACTCTTCATTCTCGAAATCCAGGTACATGAGGACGCCGATCTTTGCCGTGCTTGGGAGCGAAAGATTCGCCAAAAGGAACGTAATCGTTTCGTGGTCCCAGCGAGGTGCGCAATAGAGTTCTCGCAGGTGCTGGAGTTCAATGGTAGGCCGGTCCCTGGTGAGTCGGACAGGGTCCTCGGCGCGGGACCATTCGCTGAACATCCCGAAGCGCTCTATGACGAGGTCTTCCAGAGCAGGACAACTCCCGAGAAAGCAGAACAACTCGTCCCACGTGTAGAACACCACGCCTCTCAATGCCAGAGACGTCAAGGAACTTAGCGTGCCGATGATTCGCGGTCTGGCTTCGAGCATGACAAGAGTCAAGGATTTGAGTGCTGGGAAATGGTCGTCGTGGAAGATGAGCTCCTGTTCCAGAGAATCGGAGTCACACCTATCCTGGATGTGCATAGAGGACAACAGCTCCATGCGATAGGCGACGTAGGATCGGGCCTGAAAGCCATGGATATCCAGATGCCCGACTCGGTCCAAGTGGGGAACGAGCGTACTCAAGAAGTCGTCTTGTGGAGCGCCGAAGGTTTCCGCTCGTGCGACAACCACAAGGGGACTCTTGCACGATCTACGCAAGTAGACCTGTAAAACTTGACGTGGCATGTTGCCGGCAATTGAGGTCCACAATGTTGGCGAGGAGACCGCGAGATCGTGCCAAAGGCGGCAGACTAGTAGCACCGTGGTAGTCGACCACTCTTCATGATGTTCGCACCTCGGAGGGAGAACAAACTCAAAGATCTCCGTCAACAATTCGAGAGCAGTGATGTCAGTTTAAGTGCATCTACTTTCATTCATTAATGAATTAAACCCTGGATCTGATTTACACACTTTTGTACCCCTGTTAATCTAATCCTAATTCAATGCAGTCTTAATCCATTGCTCAGCTCATATGCCCAATCCTGGTGTATTACAGAGGTCTCTTGATGCACTCTTAATGCACTACTGATCCACTTATGATGCACTGACTTAAGACATGCTTGATCTCAGTGTATTACAGGGGTACCTTATTACACTATTGATCCACTAAAGATGCATTGTCCAAGTCAGTGTATTACATGTTTAAGGCATACATGTATGCAGTTCTAAGCCGCTGGATTAGTTTTAGATCAAGGCAAAAAAAAGCGGACATTGGGGGTTTGAACCACAGACATCAGAAAGCATTACATAATCACATCATCAAGTCGGACCAGAGGAACACTAACCACTACACCACAGGTCTGTTAGAAAGGCTGTAACACAATGTTATATGTCACATTACTGGGATGCTGGACTTAGACATATTTTGGATGCTGGCACAGGGTGCCCTGCATTAGTGGTGGATCAATAGGTGTATTAGCAGTGAATTGACACAGTGTGGTAACAGTGTATTAGCAGTGACTTGACACAGTGTGTTGACAGTGAATTAGCCGTGAATTGACAAAGTGTATTAGCGCTAACCCAACATGTGACTCAAAAGTGACTTTAACCTTTGACCTAACAAATTTGACATCTAGCATCCATTGTCAGTTGAGTCACTTTTGAGTCACATGTTGGGTTAGCGCTAATACACTTTGTCAATTCACGGCTAATTCACTGTCAACACACTGTGTCAAGTCACTGCTAATACACTGTTACCACACTGTGTCAATTCACTGCTAATACACCTATTGATCCACCACTAATGCAGGGCACCCTGTGCCAGCATCCAAAATCTTCTATAGTAAAGGAGCATGGTTTCCTTTTGCGGAAGTGCCAAACGGCTTGCCTGATTGAGACTCACCGCCTTGCTCGCGCCTATACCGTTTTTCCTGCATCCCCGTCTGTTAGCGCGCATCCCCATCCCATCCCCGTACGCACGCCGTCATGCTCATGCCCGCGATTGGGACATCCTTCAATGCCCCGCCTAGCTTCCGCGCGACGGCATAGATTTCACCGCGAACTCCTCCGTGCCGCCTCCCCACGGTCAGTGCCTCTTCTTGACACGCTGCATGTCTCAAGACCAGCCAGGCGTCTCGCAATCACCGACGCGGTCGCCGCTCGCTGGACAACTCTGCCACGCAGTTGTTACATTCTGTCAGCAATTCCAGTCTTGCAATCGCGGTGCGCGTCTGTTCACCCGCACGCGAGAAGTCGCCCTCCGCGCTCTCCGTGGCACTGCCCGCGGTGGTTCAAGCCGCCATTGTCTCCTTTATCATGCACCCACCTTTATTCTTTTGTCATGCATCTCCTCCATTCTCTTGCGCTGTGTTGTCCATTGAACCGGCTGTAGTTTATGACGTTCGTGGCTGGGCTCTCGCAATGACAGATCATTAATTTGTCTGCTATTCCGTTCAGACGAGTCTCGGAGCAGCGCGATCGAGCACGTCGGGTGCAATGGGAGTCCCGGCCAGGCAATTCAGGCGAGCCAGGGACATGGTGACGAAGGTGAGTACTGTGGACCTCCTGTGCCAACTTGCCTTCCACTGACACCCTATGTTCCCTTCGCTCAGCTCTGTCACTCTTCCCGATGCCGAAGAGGTGCGGCGTGCATGGGCTGTCAGTCGACTTGAAGATCGCCGCCGTCGCGAACTGAGCCCGATCCGCGTCGCGCCAAGGCGCAGGTGCACTCCTGGCAGTACCTCCAACAGTCGTTCTGTGGAAACCACCGACAATGACGGCCACGTCCTCAATACGTCTGCCTCGACGCCTCCAAGCGGGCGAGCAGTTGACGTCGACCATAATCGACTCGCATCGTTCGCACCAGCGCACCCTTCACGTGATCTGTGCGAGACGCCTGCGCAAGCATCTGCGCAGGCGCTTAGCCCTGTCCGCGCGACGCGCCACCGCCGTTCTGGGGCCGTTCACGAATCACAATCGCGGCGTACCACCGGTGGTCTGCCAACCCCTGCGCTTTCTGTGCGGAGCCCTACGACCCCACGCCGCAGACACACTTCGACGGCAAATCTGCGCTCGCCAGGCCATTCTCCCCGGAATCCGCTCAGCCCAAGAAATGGTGCTACGCACGACCAACTGCCCGCTCTGCATGGTACCCCCTCTCAGCGCCCCGTGGTCTGGAACGAGAACCATCCTCCCCTCCCTTCGTTATTCCCCGCGTTGTTGAATGCTCGGGCTCCTCCCCAGTCCAGCCTTCACGTGCCTCTGCCAACGCCACCTCTCACAGCACCTCCACCTGGTGTACAACCACCGCTCAAAACGATCGACTTTCTGGAGCTACAACGTCGTGGAACTCGCCGGCGCACTGTACGGGGAGGCAATCGTGCTCAGAGCGGACGTAGCCAAGCGAGTGGACGTGGTCGGGCACAGCATGCTGAACAGGGCCATGCAGATGGTGGTACCGTGACATTTCGCCACTATGACCCGAGTAGTGCTACGTTTCATCCCGGTATGTTATGTGCCCATCATTCTGTCTGTCTGGTGTGCTTATCTCCTTTGTAGCCACCACGTCATCCTCGACATCTACGCCGCATACACCAGCCCTTACACGACCCACGCCAATCCCTACACAACCTATGCCAACGTCGACTTCAACCATCCCTAGGTCACCATCACCAATCCCTAGGTCGCCGCCGCCGATCCCTAGGTCACCATCACTGCTTCCTCGGCCTATGCCCTTCCCACGGCCTCCCACGCCAATCCCACGGCCGCCCACACCAGTCCAAGTACGGCCCTTGCCTCCCGGAGATGACCGGCCAGGTTCGTCTCTTTTGGCTTTGTATTTTCGTTATCTCGCCTTGCTGACGTACTGACTACAGCTTCAAATCATCGCCGCTTACTGCCAAAAGCACGCCGGCCTTACCGTGATCCACCGGCGAGACATGATTTAGGCAGCATGGACGTTGCATGCACGTTTTGCGGCGCTCTCCACTGGCTAGCAGAGCGCCTGACATCCAGTTCAGCCCGCAATCCGATGTTCGGTGGCTGTTGTAACTCGGGCAAGGTCCATGTCCCCGCTCCTCCAGACCCCCCCGATCCTCTGAAGCAACTCTTTGTCCAAGACACGGTACAGGCACGAGAGTTCCGCAACAACATTCGCCAGTACAACTCTGTGTTCGCCTTCACGTCACTCGGTGTGCAGATTGATGACAGTGTCAACCGTGGTCCTGGTCCATACGTCTTTCGGATCCACGGCGAGCTCTGCCATAGGTCCGGCTCACTCGATCCCCCTTCCGGCCAACCCCGCTCATATGCTCAGCTATTTGTCTATGATGCGCAGGCAGCGTTAGCAGAGCGTGTCCGCCGGAATGGCTCACGGCGCGAAGATACCATGGCTCTCATCCAAGGTGTTCTCAACGACTCCCATCGCTACGTCAATCTCTACAAGCACGCTTACGAAACGCTCCAGGAGCACCCGGATGTCGAGCAGGTGTCCTTGCGCTTGGTGGTCGATAATGAACGTGACCAACGGCGGTATAATCTGCCAACGGCAGATGAAATCGCTGTCTTGCTCCCTACGCAACAACCAGAGGGAGCAGATCGCCGTGACATCATTCTTCGCAAGCGTGACGGACCACTTCAGCATGTCAGTGAATGTCATCCAGCGTATGCGTGCTTGCAGTACACGCTCCTCTTCCCTCACGGTGAACACGGCTGGACCTTCAACCTTCCTCTGCGCGATCCAGACACATTGCAATCTATTCCGGACTCCTCCATCTCACAGACACGTTTCTACGCATACCAGATCCAATGCCGCGCACAGCAATTCTCGCTGGTCCTCAGGGGTGGACGACTTTTCCAGCAGTATTTGGTCGACATATGGGCAGCCTGTGATCAGCGGCGTTTGTCCTACCTTCGCCATCATCAGCACACGATCCGCGCCACGTTATACAGTGGACTGGCTGATGCGATGCGTGGCGGCCGAGACGTCGATCTCAATGAGTTGGGACAGATGGTCGTCTTGCCTTCGTCATACACTGGTGGCCCACGTTACATGCAACAGTTGTTCCAGGACGGCATGGCGATTGGTCGTTACTTCAAGAACGTCGACCTCTTCCTCACGATGACGGCGAACCCTCAGTGGCCGGAGATCACTCGAGAACTTCTTCCCGGTCAGACTGCAGCGGATCGGCCTGACCTGGTGGTGCGTGTGTTCAACCTTAAGAAGAAGGCGCTGTTGGAGGAGATCCTGAAGGATGGCATCTTCGGACGTACGGTCGCCCACATCTACACCATCGAGTTCCAGAAGCGCGGTCTTCCCCATATGCACCTCCTGATATTCCTTGAGCGCACAGACAAGCTGCTCGATCCTGCCGCTGTCAATTCATGTATCCGCGCTACCTGGCCAGATCCCACGACAGAGCCGATGCTGTTCGACGTCGTCAAGAAATGCATGGTGCATGGCCCCTGCGGCGATGCTAACCGCAATGCGCCGTGCATGAAGGATGGCCGGTGCTCGAAGGGCTATCCCAAGGCATTCAGGGCAACAACGTCAATTGACCGCGAAGGCTACCCGCTGTACCGCCGCCCAGAAGACGGTCGTTCCTTCCGGGTTCGCAATCAAGACGTCGACAATCGCTGGATCGTGCCTCACAACGCCTATCTATCTGCGCGGTACTTTTGTCACATCAACGTCGAGTGCTCAGTTACGTTCGCGTCAATGAAGTACATCAACAAGTACATCCACAAAGGCCACGACTGCGGGACGATCGAGGTTCACCGCCGTGACGAGATCCGCCGGTGGATAGACAGTCGCTATGTCTCGGCGTCTGAGGCTGTCTGGCGCATCTATCATCTTGAGCTCCATCAACAGAAACCAAACGTAGTCCGCCTTCAGGTGCACCTTCCAGGCCAGCATCTGGTGACGTTTGATCCCAATGAGCCCGCTGACGCTGTACTGGGACGCGCCTCGCACGAGAAGACTATGCTCACAGCCTTCTTCCGAGCTAACTCACCTTCCTGTTCCTACTCCGACATCGCACACCGCTACACGTATCAGGAGTTTCCCCAGTTCTTTACCTGGAACGCACGGACAAAGCAATGGAAGATCCGAGAGAGTGGCTTTGCACTTGGACGGATGTACTTTGTCTCTCCGAACGCCGGTGAACGCTTTTATCTGCGAACACTTCTCACTGTAGTCAAGGGACCTACATGTTGGGACGATCTCAAGCGTTTCAACAACGAGCTGTATCCAACGTTCCGTCAGGCCTGTCTTGCCCGTGGGTTACTCGAGGACGATGGCGAGTGGCGCCAATGTCTTCAAGAGGCGACTGAGATGCAGACTGGCAGTCGCCTTCGGCATCTGTTTGCAACGTTGCTCATATATTGCAATCCCACCGATCCCGGAGCCCTCTGGCATGAGTTCCGTGCTGGCATCTGCGACGACCTGCGCCACCGCCTTGGCCTTCTTGGCATGCCTGAACTAGCCGATGAAGACGTCTACGATTATGGCCTGTTCCTCCTCGAGAAGATCCTGAACGAGACAGGACACTCGCTCTCCCGAGTTGATGGCATGCCACAGCCTCAACGCGATTGGGAAGGTCAAGTGGAGAACCCTCATATCACTGAGCAGCTCGACTACGATCGCCGAGTGGAGCGACAACATCAGGAAAAACGTTTCTTACTTCAGAGGTCTTAAATAAGAACCATGCGATCTTAAGCGACCTCTGGTAACTTGTGCACCTTAAACGAGTGCAGTATGCACCTGAAGACCGCTGAAGGGAAATGAAGTACCTTTGAGATTTGCGCCTTGTTTTCAAGACTCGAGCCATGCAGCTTCAGTGCTCTACATTAAGACCCCTGGAGTACGTGTAAGCTAGCTAATGACTACCAAAGTGTTTGATACGCGTAGTGAGAGGTCCAATTGTTCAATAAGAACTTTGAAGCGCAATCCAGTACAGTATGAGTCGTCCATTCCTCTGGTAGATGCTCAGGAGAATCTCCCACTGATCCGGGGAACTTGGGAATCAGTTGGCAAGACTGCCGTATCATGCTGAGAGGTATTATCTCTCCTTGGGGATGTCCGTTGGCCCTGAGAGCGGGTTTGTTGACCGCGTACATCATATGGACTGGGTCGGCTGTACGTGCGAGCTTGGAGTACCATTCCACATACGCTAGTGGCCCTTGATCTGGCCAGGACGCAGGCGCAGGCAAGGCAACGCTGGTCCGCGGGTCATGTATGCGCTGCGGGAGTCTGAAGATAACCTTGACTCGTCCTATTCTTGTTCCTGAGCGACATGCGTCTTTGAGTAAACGAATATTCATTTGAACGCGAGTCGGTCACATACCTTGGAGGCCGGTCGTCTCTGCATCACTCTCCTGCAGGATGACTGCTGTATCAAAACGGGCAGGCTGTTTGGCGCATGCTGGACGCGCCTTCACCACGTCGGTCTCGTTCTTGTCGTCAGTCAATGGCTGGGGAGCGAACTTGAATCCGTGGAAAACGTCGACGCGATTGAACGGCAAGTTGGACGACGCGGTCTGAAGCTCAGTCGGAGTGAGGCGTCGACCGAGTTTGAGGGTATAGATATGCTGGAGGAGTGCGTGTGTAAAACCGGGTGCGTTGTGACGTTCTTCGACGAGCTTGATGGACTGGAGCGGTACGCTTGGATTCTTTGGCAGCTTGATCTGGGTGTGGCGCTTGGTCGAAAGGTCCGGGTCTTCAGACGCAAAGGCAGCGTCCTCGTCCGGATCCTCGTCGATTTGTAGCTTCCTGCGAATGGTAGAGCTGAGCATGATCATCTTCTCCTGGCGTGCTAGCCATCGGACCATCTGAGGACGCGCGTCGCGATGGTTCGACGCCCTCCAGCCGTTCTTGGCATAGTCAATATGAAGACGTTCGAAGGCTTCCGTGTTGTAGTTGTCTGTTGCGCCAAGCAACCGGATTGATTCGACGTAGTGGAGGAGGGAGTGGAACTTCGGGATCTTCATGTGTTCGCGCACGCCAAGATTGACCAGAGCTTGTTTGTTCTTGTGATAGATTTTGAGGGCGTCTTCCATGTACTGGAGGGTGGAGTCATCGTGGGTGGTGTATTGCGCGAGATAGATGAAGTCGAGTAGAGATCTGAACGCAAGCATGACGTTCTGAGGAATCTTGCCGACCAAGCATCCCAGCAGGATGCGTGCGATCTGCTTGGACTCCATACCGGATACTTGGGATAGAGAAGTGATCCCGTTAGCAAAGTGACGAGTCCCGAACGCGGGGGGAAGGGTGCGAATTCGGCGGTCCAGTTCATTCTCGTCGATGAGGTCGCTGCACCACTCGACGATGTGCTTCAACACGCCTTGGTAGAGCTGGTGGAGAATGTCGGGCGTGATGCACGAGTGGATGTCGGTGAAGGGGAGATCGCTCCAGAAAGGGCGTATGACGTATCCGGAGACGTCGAGACTGGTACACGCCCTCGCGTACGTTGCTGAGTTGGTGTTTCCGCCGCTTTTCTTCCTTGCAAGGCGTAGAACGTCCAGAGTCCAAAGCGCGCTCCTTGGCACTCCTGGGGAAGCAGCGTCGAGATCAGCCTCGGGTAGTCGGCACTTGGGGCACGTTCCGTACTTCGTGCAGGTAACAAGGCACTGCTCGGGAAAGTCTGCGACGTACGTGGCGAGGATGGGGTGGACTCTGCGGACGGCGCCGTCGCCTCCGGTCACGTCGATCCCGTTCTTGCCGGCCTCGATCAAAGGTTCGAGGATGACGCGAACGGACGAGTGGAATAGTTGCTGCATGAGGGCGCGCTGCTTGCGCTGCGTGATTCCATCAGAACTGACCTTGTCGACAGACAGGTAACCAATAAGGATGCAGGCGTGCTCGGAAGGTTTGCGGCGAAGGGCGCGAGGGATGTTGCCTAGAGTCATGTACACTGGATACGCGGCCTTGCTCCCGGAGAACCGCGTCAACTGAGTCTTGTCTGTTGCAATTATCACCGGGGCCACTGCTGCACCCACTGGTAAGAGACTCTGAGTGGAACGTCAAGGCCGGATACACTGGAAAAATATTATCAAACTCACCTGAATGGCATGCCACCACCGCCCTGTCCACATCTCATGGTAGATGCGGCTGGTGCGAGACGCGTCAGTGAATATGCGGCGCGGTCGGTAGACTATACGGTCAGCGTGCTCGGGGTTACCGAGGAGGGTTCGTATGGCCTCGATGATGTCGCGGTACTGGACAAGATGCTTCTCGTTTGGCCGGTCCTTGAACGTTAGCCAACGCTCTTTCCACTCCGCGCGTTCTGGAAGAGAGTCGACTCGTTGAAGAAGTGTGTATGAATTGTGATAGGAAAGGCCGAGTCTGTCCCGGAACTGCGGTGGCTTGAATCAAGGAGCCGAAGGGAAGAGAAAGAAGTATACGCACACCGGGAATCTCAAGAACTTTGTCAATGGAAGTTTGCGTGAGGCCCTCTTGGATGGCCCACGACGCAAATTTCCAATCCATCTCTGAGTCGAAAGGATCCCAGGGATTGTCATCACCGGCATGTTCCAAGTCTCTATCTGCACAGATGCGTTACAAGAATCCATTGATCTACGGCGTCGTACTCACCTTCATCCTCTGCAGTTTCTGTACGCCTCTTTTTGGCACTTCCGCCCCTGCTCCACACGTCACCCGCGTCTTCAACCATGCGGAGCACTCTCGCCGCTTCTTCATCCACCTCCTCAACTCGTGTGTCTTCATCGTCATCCAGCGCA